TACCGTAATTCCTAAACTAATATAGTAGCTATATATAGATACTAAGGATAGTTTAATTCTTATAAAGGTATTTTACCTATCTATTTATTTCAAGGAACTTCTAAAACTAATAAACGAATAATCTATAACTAATAGAGAAAGAGTTATTTATTATTTATTAATTTATATAAATAAATCCTTTATTTAAAGAATAATAACCGAGATATCCCGAAACAGGAGCTTTAGAAGAGTTTATTAAACTATATTACAGAAATAACAGGATAGCCCTAAAGATAAGCCTATTACTATTTTTAAGTTCTTCTAGCTAGACTTATAGTCTAAGCTTTTATACTTTCGGGACTCAGATAAAGGGAAATACTTCTATATTCCGGATAAGCTATAGACTATATTTATATGTATTATATATAATAATCGAGCTTATATTAGGAGAAATAGAACTTATAACTTCCTATAATGGAATATCTTTATATTATAGCTAAAGAAAAAGACAAATACCTATATATTTAACTATCCGATTTACTGGCTTACTAAACCGGTAATATATAAGTTATATGGTAGACTTATACCTATTCTCGTTTCTAGTTATTAATTATTAATACTTTATATAGATTTTATTACCGGGCTCCCCGAATTAAAAAACGGGAATAATACGGTTCTTCTCTCGACTAACTAGTTAATAAAATAGATTAAAGTTATATCCGGAAAAGATACCTGGTTCGGGAAGAACTAGACCCGAGTATACTATAAGAACGAATATAAAGAAATAAGTCTTCTAGAGAACTTAATCTCGGATAGGAATCCCAAATTTACTTCTATATACTAGCGGGAGTTATATAGTATTACGAATACTAGACTTTCCTTTATTATATTCTATTATACTAAAGCGGATAGCTAGTTTGAAAAATCAAATTAAACCTTTATTTATATTATATAATATACTATTAATAGTTAATTTAATTAATTAGGATAGGAGAATCTAATTCTAGCTATAATATTTGCTCTTAATACCTTACTAAATACCTCTACCGGGTTTCCTCTATATAAACTATAATATAAATAGAAACTATAGTTCCTTCTCTAGCTAATATAAGTGGTATTCTTTATTTCTCTTACTAAAAAGAGAGCCAAATACTTTATAGAAAAATACTAATCCTTACTAAGGAAGGCCTATAATATTATTATACTAGCTCAAGTATATATAAAGGCAATTTATAATAAAAAAAGGAAACTAGTAGAAATCTATATTAGGAATAAAGTCTATTTAAAATTAGTAAAAGAAGTAAATAATAGATATAAGCTCCTAGATAACTTTATAAAGTTCTTCTTTAATAAAATAGGCCTATATAAGGTAACTAGAATTATAATACTGCTTTTATTTGAATTAGAACTATTATTCTAGCTAAGTATCTATCCTATTATATTTATTAAATACCTAGAACTAAAAGATATAGATCTATATAAAAGAAAGAACCCAGAACCGGAACTAATTCTTATAGATAGAAAGGAAAAATATATTATTAAAGAAATTATAGATAAGGAGATAAGAAATATACTAGGATAATAATATAGGTAATTATTTTACCAAGTCTATTATATAGGATATAATATAAAGAAGTAAAGAATAGGAAATAAGCTAAGAGCAAATATCCCTATACTAGTCAAAAAGTTTAAAAGAGACCTCTTAACTAGATACTAATACTATTAACTATTTAGGTATCTTATTTAGAATATTTATATATAGGAATAGTATTTTATAGGAAGCAGAAATTTATATATAAAAGAATTCCGGAATTATATTCTTAGCCTTATTAAATATAAGGCTAGTAACTATTACTAAAATATTTATAACTATAATAGTTAATAAACTAATAAATTAATTTCCTTATCTATATATCTCTACTTATTTATAAATCTCTATATATCTATATGCCTTTATCTATCTATATATCTCTATTTATTTATATATCTCTATCTATTTATATACTTTTATATATCTATATATTTCTATAGATTCCGCTATATTACCCTTTAGTAAAACCCTTAAAAAGCTAGCAGAAGCAAAGCTTAAAAAAAAGTAATAGAGCCTAGCCAGAAACGCTTCTATAGTACTAATGGATACTACTATAGGGCTAATTATAGTTTATAATATACTACTAGTATATACTAATTTAAGAAAGTAGCTAGATACTAGGAATTTAGAATATAATAAATATAAATACTAATATAGAGATAACTAGGTAAAAGGTATTCTATAGGATCTAATTAAAGAAAAGAAAGAATTATAGGACCTATTTATAAATCTAGTAAATAATTATATTAATAGTAAACTATCTTACTAAGAAAACTAAAATACTTTTATATAATATACCGGTTTAGTATCCGAACTATTAGTAGAATAAATCCTGGTTAATAGCAAGACTAGTATCTCTTATATTAGTAACTTAAAGAGTTCTTTCCTAATTAATATCTACCCGGGTTATAATTATCTTAAAGTATTATGGCTTTATATCAAGATTAACCTCTTTTCTTAGTTCCTGGTAAATATCTATTTAGACCGCTTTCCCTTTAGAGATTACTGCGGCTAGGGTAATACCTTTTAACCCAGATATATATTTATTAACTATCCTAACCTGGAAACCGGGAAAATAGATAAAAATAACTATATTATATATATCTGCCTTAGTAAGGACTATAATAGCCAAATTCTTATCCTTAGTAGTAGCTATTTTGAGATATCTAAGGTTACCGAGTATATACTAATAAATTAGTACTATTTCTTTATAGATATTATAGAGCGGGACCCAAAAAAGCTAGTCTTTATTCTCCTGGAACCCGAGAAGGCCGGATATTACCTAAAGGGCCCCAAGCCACCGAATATTTGCCCCTTAGGGATATCTAGTACCTTTAATAAGCCTATAGAAAATCTAGTCAAAATCTCTAATAATTACTAGAACTATAGTATTATAGACCCGAAAATCAGGAAGACTATCTTCGAAAATATTACTACCTATAGCTATAATTCTCAGGTTCCTATTTTTAATATTCTTTCCTATACCTTAATATCTGCCCAGATATATACGGCCGCCTTCTATAATACCCAAAATATACTGGCTTTAGTAACTAGATAATAGTATAAAAGTATCCGTAATCTGAACTATCTTCTTTAAACTCTAGTATCCTGGACCGAATTAGATAAAGAAACTATAGCTAACTTCTATAACTGGTTTAGGGGAGATTTACTAGATATTAGATAGGGTATTATAAATTATAGTATTATAGATTAAAAATATATAAAAAAGGTTAAGAGACTTATATAAGATATTCCTTACCTAGTAAATATACTTAATATACTTCCGGAATCTATTCTCCTAATTCCTTATAGGTTTTATAGATAGCTCGCCTATATAGCATATAATAGGCTAGATTATAATATTCTCGGGGGATCTATAATTAGAATTAATGCCCTAAAAGAATAAAGTAATACTATTATACCAGAAATCCTATTTATTATCTAAGGCGCTATATAATAGGTACTCCCGTAATTCGGCTACTATAAACTAGACGAAGATTATACTAACTAGCTACTTTAGAAGCTCTTACTTAGTTAAGGGAATTATAATACTACCCTGGTCTCCGTACTAGGAACTACTAGTCCCACTTCCTTATTACGGAAGAGAAAGGAACCTAGCTTCCTAATAAGATCCTCCTAGCGGATTACTAATAACTCTATACCTACCAAGGTTCTATAGAAAAAGGCGAGAAAGGGCAAAGCCCCCGAGATTAAAGAACTATGGAAATAATCGGACCCCGGTACTAATAACCGGGTACTAAAAGTACAGGTAGCCTATATCCTACTTAATTTGCCTTGACTAGCTAATTATACTACTATGGTCGAGTCTATTAAGACCAAAATTAATAATAAGAAGCTATTTGACTACCTGGCTACTAAATATAGCAAAATAACCTAAGCTATAATTCTCTCTTACTTATATCTACGGTTTCCATAGTAATCCTTCCTTTACGATTCCTATATAGATATTCTCTAATTAGAGAATAATACTATTAGATCTTTACCTCTTTATACCTTTTACTATCTAATATATTCTTTACTACGGATCAAATATTCTTCTGGTCTTTATTAATTAGACAGATATTCGCTGGCCTTTATTAGTTGGATTAGTTCTATAGAGTACTAGATACTACGGTTTAGTTATAGATAAACTTAAGTAATTATTTATAGCTAGAACTAGTCTTTAGTAACTAGTACTCCGAACGGATAGGAAGTTTCTTTTTTATTATTTATTATTTTATATAGATAGATCGATTATAGCCGCTACGGGAGTAGCTTTTCCTTGCTCTAGGGGGGAGAGATATTATGGGAAGGACCAGACCTTCTATACCTTAGTTAGCGGCATCCACGCTAGCCTCCTTAAGAGGCAGTGGCGGTTCGTCCATCAAAATGCATACATTTTGATCTCTTCTTCTTCCTCGACAGTACCCGTGATGTCCCGTGTAAACGTATGCTGAACCGGGAACAAAGTGGAGGTGGATTCAACGAAGCAGGTGGGAGAACACCGCCATTCAGGCCCTCAGAATGAGATATCAGGTGGTGAGTGAGGGACATCGGATTTGGGAGGGGAGATACTGATTGTTTTCAAGAAGAAAGTGTTGCTCCCACGCTGATCATTTCCGCTCCATCTCAAGATCGCGCTGAATTGCTAAAAGACTGCTGGAACGGTAGGCGTTTTTCACTGGTGACATGTGAGATGTTGCGCAACTCGACATAGGGTTGCACAAAATAGTAAAAGCACTGACAGAGTGGGTATCACGAAGTCATCCTGTTCATGGGGGAAGTGAAGTGGTTGCCACACTGTAAGAGGTTGAGCCAATGGAATGTCACGGTTGCGCCACAGCGGGGAGCCTCGAGGTTACACAACAGTCAACTTCCTGCCACATCTCGCACCTTCACTCGATAATGCGGCATGAGATTCAAAGAGGCTCGCCATTTAATCGTACGAGTAATTTCTTTTGTTTACCCCTCTTCTGTACAACTATATGGAAGGCCGATCTCGCTGAAGGCTTCCTGAAGATGGGTTCATCTTCTCAGAGTGTCAGATACAGGATGGTTTCAAACAAGGATGACCTCGTTGATGCCGAGATCAATCAGGTTGAGCCTGATGACCAAGATACGGGGCTAAGGCCAAAGTCAAGGTTATCTGAACTCTTTGACAGACAGAGGTAAGGTACCAGACTCGTTTGGAATATATCTGCTGACGATATCAAGCTACACTGGGGCATTGCTTTTCAATCTTGCCGCATTCATGCTACCTGCTCTCTATGGCACATTGAGCAAATTATGGGTTGCCAACATCGATTCAAGCCAAGTCGTTACTACTGATGTGTACACTTACATCGGTGTAATCGTTAACGTTCTCAACGATGGGCTTCCGAGAACTGCCTGGAGCGTCATCGGGGATAAAACAACACGAACACCAAGCTCTCGAATCGGTCTGACGTACACGCTACTCCTGTTCCAGATCACCTTTGGCGCCATATTGACAGTCATCTTCGTTGCCAGTTCTGACAAACTTGCTGCTGCTTTTGTTCCTTCCGCTGTCAGGGATACCTCTCTCAGATATGTCCGCATCTCATCGGTCGAGGCGTTATCGTCTGCTATGGAGGTGGCAGTTGCCAGCTCAACCAGAGCCTTGGATCACCCTGATGTCCCGCTGCTTATCAGCTCAATCAAATTTATCGTGAATATCGTCCTAGACCTGCTCATAATTTCGCGATTTCATGTTGGCAACCACGCCCCAACGATCAATACGCAGGCATTAGTGCGAATGGCTTGTGACCTAACGGCAGCTCTCTCCGGACTGGTATACTTCCTCCACATCGCCACCAGGTTTCAAGGACGCTCGAGTTCAAACCCATCAGACCCGAAACCGAGACCAAGCGTTTCGTCACTGAGAACTCTCGTACGACCTGGATTCTGGACTTTCATAGAATCGGCATTGCGGAATTCCATCTACCTCTGGCTTATCCATGGGATTGTGTCGATGGGTTCTGACTATGCCACTGCGTGGGGAGTTTTCAATACCATCAGATGGGGCATCTTCATGGTTCCTGTTCAAGCTCTCGAGGCGACCACGTTGACGTTCGTGGGTCATGCCTGGGGAAAATGGAGAGCTGAAGTAGGACCGACTTTGAAGAACCCGAAGGCGTCCAAGGAAGACTTGCTTGGTAAGTGATTTCTAAGCATTCATGGCTTTCGCCTGACTTTTGACAGCCATCACTCGGTTGGCATGGCGTTCGTGCCTCATTGCTCTCGCTTTGGAGGTCCCAATTTGCATCCTCCTCTCGATCTGGGGCATGAAGCAGTTCGCATTCTATCTCTCAGAGTCAGAACCTGTTGCGCTGATAACTCAACATATGTGGAAGGTTCGTACCATTCTCTTAGACTGCACCACATTTGACTCATAAACCGCAGACTATTGATTGGTGTTACATATTCTATGCGGTCAACTACCAAATTGCTGCTATTGTACTTGCCACTACGACTCGATGGTTTCTCATCCAGGCTCTTGGCTCTAACCTCCTCTGGATGCTGCCGTGGGCTATCGCGGTTACCAGAATTGGGATGACTCCTGAGAATGCTTGGAGCTATCACTCCATAATATTTGGTGGCGCTCTTGTGTTTGACTTCTTCAACGTGTCTTTGGTGGTGGGTATCTGGGCGTGGTACCTGATGAAAGGGAAGATTTCTTTGGCGCCGGTTCACAGTTCTCTTTGAGGAAGGTAGTGGTCTGCTTTTCCATGAGTTGGATAAGGCAACATGGGAATTGGGCGGTGATATCGGCAGGTCGAGTTTGGTTCTGGCAAGGCTGTACAGAGTACAAAATGCAAAAAGCAGAAGCAGGGTTTACTTTTTGGTCAGACTACGGACTTCCACTAGAGCGAGAGCGAAGGGAAAGGAATTACAAAACAAGGGATTGGCGCACATCACATTATCGCTCTAGTCAGCAAACGATCATGGAAAAGCCCTCGTCCAGGAAATTGAAGCATGTGAAAAGAGCTCAAGTGGGGGGCGGAATAGGGGGCGGGGAAACGCTAAGCGAGGCGCCCGTAACCGAGCTCTCCACCCCATAAAATTCCGCCAAGTTTCACTCTTCCTTCAATCTTCTTCGTCTTCTTCTTCTTCTTCTTCTTCTTCTTCTTCTTCTTCTTCTTCTTTTCATCCGCCAAGAATACTTGTGAAACCGCACAGAACAGCACTATCTTTCAATCCAAGCGATCGCAGCTTCGTAGAGTTCTACCTCATCTCCCAGAATCTTCGCCTCAGCTTTGTCTTTTGCGCCAATCAATACTGCAAGTCAAGGCCTCTCTTGGCATTTCCTCGGTTCGCAATCGACCATCCTTTCAGGGACTGTCGATCCCTGACTACAGTAATGCCAAGGGCGCTATCAATGATAAGTAACTTAGAATATCGTGACCACCCGGTATTGCGCAAAGGAGGGGTTAGATGTGCCACAAGTGAGGGAGAGCACCCAAGTCTACCAAGTCGCTCGGACTCCAGCTTTACAGATGTCGCGATGTCTGAGATCTCGGCAAGCGACGCCAAGTCAACGTCTCATCCAAACTCTCAGCAGGCTGCTCCTTGGCCGGATGGCTCCGGAGTGTGTTCCTGATGAAGCAGGTTGATATGGAGTGGTCTACCAACGCTGCCATGGAAAAACTCCATGGTTTCTGCACAGCATTGAACTTCCCGGCCTTGGCTGCAGGGTCGCATATCTCAACTCTCCAACGGAAACAAGTTATCGAGCACACAGCCGCAAGAAGACTTGTCAGCTTCCATATTGGACGAGCTTCTGCCAAGGTAAGCGCAGCACGCGATTGCAAGGGGGATTCAAGCTTAAAGGTTATCCGGAGTGTTCCTGCTTGGCAATCAACTCAACGATCGGCAGTGAAGTTATCCCGCGTCTGCTCATCTGCTTTCGTCCTTCTCCGTCTTTAGTCCCATCGCACGTATTGGCAGCCGGACCAGAGAGACCTATCAAAAGTTTCATAGGTCTCATAGCTCCTGATTCTGTGCAGCAGCCAAGCCACCCGCAAACGCCTCTTCTTTGGACAACAGTCTCTGGCGGTTGCGAGCTGCCAAATTTACAATGGAGGGAACGATTGATCATCCGAGCTTGTTACTATTCGAGAAGGTCTTTAGAAGTACCCAAGAATAATGAATCTGGATTGGTGAGTTGAACAAAACTGCACAAGATGATAGTCGAAGATAGAGCTGAAGAAGCGGGGTTGGAGATAGAGCTCAGAGATATGAATTTCTATTGTCCAACCTCACAGAGAACATTCTGAAAGTATATATACAGCTTTCGTTCCACTCACAAGTATGATTCATTCAGCATCCAATCCCAGAACCCTCTCAATCATTCAAGTTTTGAAACTCCCGATCCCAGAAGTGTCATTTCAATTTTTGGATCTTTGGCTCTTCAATTCATCCAGCCTTCAAGGCAACATTGAAAACTTGCTCTCTCAATCACCCAAAAACTTCGACGTATATTAAACATTCATCATGGTATCCTATTTTACTCGTTTCTTGGCATTGGCGGCTGCCCTCGCGCCAGCCTTCGGTGCTCCAGCAACTGCCCCTCATCACCTTAAGATCCGCAATCCCCTGGCGGAGGATGTTGTTCCAGACAGCTATATCGTCGTTTACAATAGCAATGTTGACGCTGCAACAATTGCTAGCCACGTAAGTCTCCCTCGGTCAATGTCCTACTGCGATTTGGACAATGCTCTGGATATTTCATTTTGTTCTGGCTAACCTTGGGACCTTTAGGTAGCTTCAGTAAGCTCTATGCTGTCCAGAGGAGATCTAACAGGAATTGGAGCGACGTATGATATGGATGAACTTAAGGGGTATCAAGTCGTTGCCGATGAGGCTGCTATTGCTGAAATTGCAGCTTCCCCTGAGGTAAGTCACGTACTGTATCTGATTGCCCCAAGACTCTCTGACTGACCAATTCAACTTGCAGGTCGCGTACATTGAGAAGGATGCCAAAGTCTACGCCAATGCTCTCACCTCCCAGACTGGGGCTACCTACGGTCTTGGTCGCATCTCTCACAGAAATCAGGACTCGACCACCTATATTTACGACTCTTCAGCTGGCAGTGGAACAACGGTCTACGTCGTCGATACGGGAACCTATACCGCACATTCTCAATTTGGCGGACGTGCGACTTTTGGAGCGAATTATATCTCTGGCTCACCAGTAAGTGACCTTTAGTCAATATTCCAGTGTCTGTAATACTTTGGAAAGACCTTTGAACTAACAAACTGAAGAATACGGATGAGAACGGCCATGGTACCCACTGCTCTGGAACAATCGCCGGAAGCACCTACGGCGTAGCCAAGAAAGCCAACCTCGTCGCCGTCAAAGTCCTTGATAAGAGCGGATCTGGCACCACCTCTGGCGTGATTTCAGGAATCCAATGGGTGGGCAACAATGCCAATACAAACTCAGTCCTCAGCATGTCTCTCGGAGGCACCTACTCCTCGGCCCTCAACTCCGCCGTGAAGAGCACAGTCGGCAAAGGCGTCACTGTCGTTGTGGCCGCTGGAAACGACGGCGATGATGCTGGTAACTACTCACCTGCTTCTGAACCAACTGCGATTACCGTTGGTGCCATCGATGCGGACGACAACCGTGCCAGCTTTTCCAACTATGGAAGCCTCGTTGATGTCTTTGCTGCTGGTGTAAATGTTCTGAGCTCGTGGATTGGAAGCACGACTGCGACGAATACGATCAGTGGAACTAGCATGGCGACCCCGCACATTGCAGGTTTGGCTGCATATCTCATTGCTCTTGAAGGTATCACTACTCCGGCTGCTGTTCAAAGCCGTATCAAGGCTCTCGCCACCTCCGGCAAGATCATTGACGCCAAGTCAGCAAACAATCTCATTGGGTACAATGGCAATGGATCATAAGTGGGTCATCAGAAGAGATGAATAAGATGGCGAAGGAAACCGTCTGCATTAGTCATGGGCGAAGCGAAGGATGCCTTGATCTGTATGAAATGCTTTTGCTCTCTCATATTCAAACAATTTCCTACAATATCACTCCCCGATCAATAACTACAAATGATCCCACCATTCTCAGCCTGCTGCTTTGCCCGAATGTCTGCCAGGAGTTCAGCTGCTGCCCCCCGCTGCCCCTATGCAATGCATTGACACAGTGGTACTAACGTCTCGTATGTGTTTCTAATTGCTTGTTTGGCTTCCTGAGTCCTTGCTTTCATTTTGAATGGGTCGATCAATCAGGTCTTCGTTCAGACCAAGGGCGACAAGGTCCACGTCCTTCGATGACAGGCCCCCTTCCCTAAGCTCGTATGCCATTGACTGGTGCCGATGGAGGTCCAGGGGTAAGTCCAACACCTCTTCGCAGAATTGCTCCATTGCCTCCGAGACTTCCATGAATGGTAGTCCGTGACCTGTCAGGCCTCTTGCTGACAAGGAGGGACCCTTTGCGCACTCCGCGCATGGGCAAGGTTCGAAATCCAGAAACCCGTGTAACATTTCGTGCAAAAGCACAGAAAGGTATTGCTCCAATTGTTCTTGATGGTCTGCCCTTTGTACAGCTTCGAAAATATTTATTTCGACTCTGATATAGCCGTTTCGGCTTCGGTGGACGAGGGTTTCTCCCCACGTCGTGGGATATTTGCTCTCCCATTCTTCCTTGAAATCGCCCTCTGCCATGACCATCCTAACCTCGAAATTCTTCACGCATTGATCTCCCGCGAAAAATATCTTCCAGAAGTCGTGCATATACCTCACCAGCAGACACGGATGTTCAGGGAACTCGAATTCGTCCAAGGCGAGGCCCAAGTCTTCGCGGCCATTTTCGAACCAAAGGCGCAAAGTATCATTGTCCCTGGGTTGTCCTTTCAACTCCTCCAATTGCCGTTTGATTTTTTCGGCCTTCAGCGCTTGGATGTGCTGGTTTTTGTTCATTTTCGGTTTAGTACTTAAGCTCGCTATTGCTACACAACGTTAGCACCCATTACAGATCAGCGACAACGAGATGGATGGAGCCTTACCAATGACTTTGACTACAGAGCTGTAGAAAGCCAACAAGAGTCGGAATTTTCACCATTTTGAACTCGCTTTGTGGTCAACGCTTTGCTTAGTCGCTAGCTCGATTGGCTCGCGGCGGTCATGATTCTCACAACCGCCATCTACAAGCTCGTCCAAACTCCCAATAAAAAATCATCCTATATATAAAATCAGTGTATTGTAGTCTATATATCTTTAATTGCACTTCAGAGGTGCAATAAAGCGCATTGTATTCTTATTTTTCTGTCTTCTAGTGTTCTGTTGTTGGTAGAAAGCAACAAACGAAACTGTAAACATTCGCAGAATGCTGCAAAGGGTTGAGGCAAATCTTTATTTTCTGGGAATAATTTAATCCGAGTAAGCCTTGCTAGATTCTTAAGGTATTGGCTCTACTATCAGCTACTTTTAGGATATTGATAAGGCGAATGTATCCGAGAAGTATTGTGGGTGATTGTTTGGCTCAGTTCAGGCTCCCCCTTTAATTAGCCGAGTAAAGCCACCCCGCTGAACGCGACTAGTATAACTTCAAATCACAAGACCAAATCAACAAAGGACATTATTTTGTGTTGTGGAACTGTATAACCGCTCAAGGAGTTTATGGTTGGATTAGAGCTGATTGGGATGGCCCATCCATACGGGCACATTTCTGAGGCGACCAATGGCGGGTTGCTCCTGGTGTTTACACCTGCTCAACACCCGCTCCTGCGTGCGGAAAGCTCTCCGCCACGATGACAATATGAGGGCTCCCCTCTTCGTCACAGAGGAAGTCCACGAGCATGCCACCAAAAATTGCTTGCTCAGCTGAGCGGCCGAGTCTGCAATGGCCAATATTTAAACACTCAAACTGGCGGGTTTTTTTATTTACTCCTGCTGCTCTAAGTCAAAGTATGGCTCTTGGTCCCTGCCACAATTTTCCCCCAGAAAATTAGATTAATTAAAATTCCTAGCACCATAACAATTGCATGCTGTATTCCCAAGTCAGTCTCCCCTCCATTCCTTTTAAGTTAGATTCTTCCGCTGTGTTGTATAACTCCATTGAAGAAGCTAGATATACATCCAGCATAATAAACTATACGGCCATTGGGATGAGAGCTTGTCTGGGAACAAACTGGCACATCTTGAGAGAAGAATTATTCTTGTTCGGCGGTTTTGGGGAAGTTGCTGTTGATCCGAGTGCCAAGCGGCTGAAGGTTAGATGGCTTCGGTGGAGTTGTTGTGTCGAACCAACACCGTACATAGTTCGAGGCTTGTCTTGCTCGATAAGCTGTTTGAGCATCTCCCTCCAGTGAGCACTCAATCCACGAACTTCAATGGTATCTTGGAGAGCACAGGATATCTGGATAGCTTTCGATCGTAGTACTTCATTTCTTTTCCATATGGGAAGGGAGCGGTGAGTAGCCATTAAAAATGCAGGACAAGAGTGCTTGGAGACCTGTCAGGTTCAACGAAGCGTATCTTTCTATCTGATTCGTGACTCTTGCGCAAAATGCAGTCATGCGTACGGCGGAAAGTGCAAGACGCCAAATGAATGAGAGCCCTTAGAGTTCTCGCCTCCATCCCAAACAAATTGAAACCAGCCACAATGAATGCACCCTTTTCCAAAGCGAAAATCTCTCTCGCCCAAACCTTTCCCGTGCTCTATGACTATTGATATTCGGTGAAATCGAACTTGTCTTCCTCGGATTGTTTGCTTCGGACACAAATAACGCTGTCATTGATAAAACTCGTGGCACACTGACTTCATGAGTTCAGACTTGATCCGTGACTAATTGTTTGACGCTCGATGCGACTGAAATGCAGTGTTCGCCGATGAAGCAGTCCCTGCAGCTCAAGAAAACGTGGCAAGATGAGATACTCGACGGGAAGCTGCGGAACAAGCTGGGGATGATGCAATCGTTCAGTGACACCTAGATCATGTCCGTTCTCAAATACTTGGGCTGATCTGATCAACTGAGCGGGCCCAATCTAGATCCGGTGTCGGAAGCAGATATGTTGTGACACTGGAAGGCTAGGCTTCAATTCCGGTTCGATGATACGTCGCTTGTCTAGGAGGGCCTTGCCACTTGACCGGCTCAGATGCCGTGAGAACCTAGTCCGTGGGTGAGAAAGAATAGGGAGGCCCTGGCAGGATTCTCAGGCTGTGAGGAAAGAAATGGTTGAAAGTTTAATAAGCCAAGGGGTCCTTGCCGTTTCCTTTATTGGGTAATTCTGGACCCCTGTAAGGGCCGAGGCTCACGCCATCTGAAAGGGAAACTTTCTACAGCGCCCCTTGGCTTCTAGAGTTTTTCCATTGAAGAGTCATTCGACCCCCCACGCAACATTCCAATCAACCCGAGAACCTATATGTACGACCTGCCTACTTTATCTTCGGTACAATGCAGCAGTCGAGTCGCACCACCTCCTCTTCCGATCCAGGTATGTACAGTAACCTTCCCTCCATGGGCACTGGACCGGTGGCCAATCCACCGCAAACCGAGTGCCATACAATCTCCCCCCACCAAGAAAACGAGGTCTCATTTGCAGCAATTGGCTTGGGTTCATACGGTTACACTTGTTCTTAATCATGCCAGTGCGAGAATCGTGTTCTTATATTTCCTTCCTGTATCCGTTGGGGGAAAGATCATCATTGCAACCATTGGAACCTAACAGCACACAGAATGGCCCCCAGCGACGAACAAGTAGCAGACATCGAGAAAGGCCCTGCCTCTGATGTCGACAACTCTCGTCTCGACTCTTCCACGAAGAAGGAGCAGAGGGAGGTACACGACCCAGCAATTGACATCGACGAGCTTATTCCGTCCGACAACATCGTGATACAATGGACCAAACGAGTCGAACATTTCCTTGCCCTTGAAGTCCGTGGCATCCACCGTGTCAAGTCGAACGAGCAGAGCCCCAAGGCAACGCTCAGCTTCTTGCAGATTGTCGTGCTGTGGTTCTCGATCAACACTGCTTCGCAGAATATCACTCTTGCGAGTATTGGGCAGGGCGTATATGGGCTGGGATTCGTGGATGCCACATTGACAAGCATATTTGGGGCCATCGTTGGGAGTATTCCGGTTGCATACACGGCTGGCTGGGGGCCATGGAGTGGGAATAGGACAATGGTATGAACCATCCTTTTTCTGGCCCGATTTTTCAGGAACAGGATTCTCGCTGATTCACCCTCAGATCTGTGCCCGCTTCTCAATGGGATGGTGGCCAGTGAAGATCTGCGTTCTCCTGAATCTAGTCGTCCTGATTGGATACTCTATGATAGATGCTGTTGTAGCTGGCCAAATCCTCTCGGCAGTATCTCCCAATGGCAGTCTCACTGTGGAGGTGGGTATTGTGATCACCGCAGTTGTGACCTGGCTGGTAACTACCTTTGGTATCAAGATATTTCATCATTATGAAAGGTGGGTAATGTTGAAATGAAAATTTCGTTCTTCTCTAACTTTCTAGATATGCCTGGATCCCTCAAAGCATAGTCCTGCTTATTCTAGCAGGAACTGCTGGACCCAAATTTGATATATACTCGAAGTCTACAGTTACTGGTGCAACACTGACTGGCAATCGTCTCACTTTCTTCTCCATTTGCCTCTCTTCCGCTGTAACATATGCTCCAGGAGCAGCCGATTTCCTCGTATATTGTGATCCGAAGATTGCTTCACGCTGGAAGGTGTTTGGCGCTACTTTTACTGGCCTCACCTTGTCATTCGTCTTCACCTTCGTTCTTGGTACGGGTTTAGCCTCTGGACTTCACAACGACACTGTCTGGAATGCCGCTGGGACCGGCACAGGAGCATTGGTTGTCGCAGGGTATGATAGCCTGGGCGCTTTTGGAAAATTCTGCTCCGTCATTGCTGCTTTGGGATTGATCGCGAATATGGTCCCTCCAACCTATTCGTCTGGCATCGACTTCCAGATTCTGGGACGATATCCAGCAATGGTTCCACGCTATTTGTGGAATACGCTTGCTGTGATCATTTTTGCTGTCTGTGCTCTCGCTGGAAGGAATAGTCTCTCAGAGATATTTACGAACTTTTTGGCTTTGATGGGCTATTGTGAGTTCTCCCTATCGACTCGACATGTTTTACCGACTAACTCTCTCTTCAGGGGTTGTTCTTTGGATTGCTATCACTCTCGAAGAGGAATTTATATTCCGCCGAAAGATGAAGCCTACTTTTGTCTGGAGTGATTGGAACAGGCAAGAGAAATTGCCTATTGGGATTGCGGCTGTGATGGCATTCTGTGTTGGCTGGGTGGGGGCGGTCCTCTGTATGGCTCAGTACTACTTCACAGGCCCTATCGCGAAACCGATTGGAGACTACGGTGGCGATATGGGCAACTATGTTGGGTTTGCTTTTGCTTCCTTGATTTATCCGCCCTTGAGATATTGGGAGCTGAAAAAATTTGGCCGGTAGAGGTTGAAGGCTCTCAGCACTGGTCTGAATACTCGGCAATCAACTTCGGGCGAGGTTGAGAGACCCGAGATCGATCAAGAACCCACTCGAGTTTGGGTACGAATCTACATGACTTTGACGTACTCCGCGAGCTTGCCTTGTGGAAACTGTCCCTTTTCGTGGCTTTATTCTGGCGTAGATCAGGTGACGTTAAACTATGATGCGGCTGATCACGATGCTTTTTTTCAGCTGCAGCCTTACTTCAACCTCGACTCGAAGAAATCGACCAACGTGATCCACTACCAACCCTCCCAACTGTCGGCGAAAAGAATATATAGCACTCTCCGGCGTCTGCAGATATTGGCGAGACTTTGATTCGGTCCACCGCAAACAGTGGATTGGCTTAGCTCCCCATCGACAAACTAGACGACTAGGCAAGCACGAGCCCTCTTCCATGTGTCTTAATGTTTCGATTTCCGTACACTAACATGGACGTCCTGTAGATGATCTGCCAATAACTTTCTTCCTCGACCTATATACCATACCATGGCACAAGTGCCACCGCCTCCCACACCTTCAGGCTCCGAAGTCTCCAAAGTCGAAAGCGATGTTTCCCAAACAATCAGCCTTGCGGATTCGATCGTGACATTGCTGAGGGAACCCGTTTCTTTACTTTATCAGAACATCAAGGAGAGGGAAGTGCTGGAACGAAACTTGGGGCACTGGCAAACAGAGGCTTTGGATGATTACAAGCAGTGTCGGATACCAGTCCTACGGCTGACAGAATTCGAGACGCATCTCGTGAAAACCGATGGGCACCTCCTTGCGAAAACGGCGACCGATTCTCGTTTGAGTTCTGACACCAACAGCCCAGGCAGTCACAAGACATTAAGGAATAGTATGTTGTCTTGGGGGCCTCTCCCTCCTTTACCTTTCTTTTGGCAAAAAAATGCAAGCCCTCAACCTGACAAATCGCCACCTGCAAAAGCATGCTGGGCATCCCTCCTCCGTGCTTTAGGAATTGGTCCTGGGATGAACATTGTTGGTTGGAGGCCGTCCAATGATGGCTTCATAAGCACTCAGAACGGAGGCATCGAAATGGAGGTTGATGGAGCGGTTTTGTGCCACATCATGAACCTATATTCTCCATCGCTTAACCCCGAAACGTACTGGGGCGGCTCAGCAGGACGAGTCCCAAGCTACGCATCTAAGGAATCGTGTATCCTTCCGTTTGGGAGATTAGCCTGGACTAAGACTGGAGGCGAGATCCACGCTCACTTTGAGCCCGGCCCCGAAAAAGAACTCGATGCGGAGAAAGCACCATTCGATCAATTTGACTATTCTCAATATCGTCTTGACCCTAACACATGGATTACAACCTACTTGACTGCTCTCGAACATGGGACATCCGATTCCGATCTCCACCTAGCCGAGATCGAGGCTCCAATAACAGAACGTATCGAAAGATTGAGTTATTGCATGAATAAGTTAGCCTTCGCTTCTCTCACACCGAGATTGGTTTCGTCGGCTTGGTTTGAGGAGGCGGCTCGGGTTAAGCGCCGTGTTCTGGCACAAGGGGGAGAGGATCATTCTTTTTTCGCAGACATCTGCGAGACCCTTGACAAGGATCCCTTTTCACATATACCCGAGGAATCACGAGGAGATTTCAGAGAAAAATCAAAATTCCAGGTTCGGGAACTTTTCTTGCTCGACAAGGAAAGCTTCACTTTCTGGTTTCCGGGGCGTCGGAAAGCAAGCTTTAATATCAACACAATACACGAGCTAGCGAGGGGAGTCTTAGACAAATATGAACACCAGCCTCCTGGCAGCTGGAAGCGCGAGCTGTACGACATGCGGGAGGATGTGATCGCAGTTCTTCGAATCAACAACCGGGTCTTCGTCAAGCATTTCTGGTTTTTGGAGTTCACGAGAGAGTCCCCGCTGTGGAATGAGCGAGTGCTGCTTGGGGCGCCATCTCTACGTTAAGACAACATTTCGTCTGCTACAAGGCAGTATTGGATCATATGTATCGAGTCGTTGGATCGTCACCAGCAAACACCGACGTTCAACTTGCACGGCCCGACTTCCAATTGCCAATTTAGCTGGCCGCCGTTGGCCGCGCTTTTTCAGCAATATCATTCGCTCTTTGAGTTTACTAACGGGAGTGATCAATACTTCGTTGCGGTGTCTCCGATGCGTTGAACACTGCAAACGGAAGAGCAGATATTCTGAGGCACGACGCTGCCGCATCAATCGGCATCTCCTGGAACTGAAGCTGCAAACTGGATTCTGCGAGACTTAGATTCAAAAATGGGAGATGGTGCTTAAGGTCAAATTGTTGACTCGACACTCATTTCTTCATATTGAGTCAGGTTGAGAGCATTTCTAGTACAAGAGACGGAGAAATGCAGCCGCGTAGGCAAAGAGCTACCAGGCTCTCAGGGAGGTTCTCACAGATATCTAACGATATATCACATCATTCACGTGATTCATATTGGGAATTGACAATATGTTCACTTATGCTCAATAGTTGGTTGAAGATGTCGCTATATGCATCAAGCATCGGAAGTCCCTTGCAGCGTTTAGTTCTCGCTTGCCTTTAATGATTATCTATGCATGTCTTTCCTGCATTCAATCTCTGCGTTTCCAATGTTTCTTGCCTCCAGTCGTTCATCTGTTTGTTGGGACTGTACGTTCAAACGAAGTCGTCGTCGTGAGGGCCAGTCTGGCCCGGGTGGTCAACTTCGTCACTTGATTCGCGTTTCTTGCGCCTTTGGATGAGATCCTTTTTGGCTTTGCCATGAAAATCTCTGTCGGGGTTGAAATGAAGCACATACCATGCTTGATTGTATCCAGCTGCTTGGGAACGAGCCTTAGATTGTAGGCGTTTGATCTTCTCGTGGCGAGGTGAGGTGTCCTCAGCATGGTAGTATTTTCGGAAGGCCATTCTCAATAGATCGTGGCAATTGTAAGTGGGCCGCTCTTTGAATGTCTGAGTCTCCGAGTTTCGATGGAAGTGGAAGTGTCTGAGAGAAAGCTGTCCAGTTGGTAGTAGAGAAAGCAGGAGCTGAGTCTGGAACCACCGCCGCCTTATATGATACAATGTCGCCCAATTTACGATTACTAAAAGCCATTGTTCAAGGCTTGTTATCAGCTTCTTTCATATGTCTCCTCATCAAAGCAAAATTTCGAAGGTCGTGCTCCCGTCGCGCAAAATTTGGCGTCGACGACATGTCGACCAATGGAGAACAAAGAAAAGTATATGCTTTTTCGCCGTCTGATGCATATTTCCGTTCCTTCGCAAACTCCTTCTCAATTCCTAAAGAATTCCCCAACACTTTCTGGATTTCTGAGCATAATTCCTTATTGACTTTGTTTCGGAATAGGCGAGTCAGAGAAACAGGAGCCGTAAGGTCTTCGTGAATGGACGAACCGCCAATTGGTTTGCTCCAATATGCTTAGACTCACAAGTTTAGTTTCTTGATCGCTGGTTGAGAAATAGTATTCATGTCATACTCTCAAATCAGTAGGAGAGGAATGCTTGTCATGTGATTGTCATCACGTGGAAACGAGACTGTGAAACACCTGGTCCTTCCGTGGTTCCTCCCCACATTTCGTCCACTCTAAAGTTCTGGAAGTCCTCTAGAAGCTTCAAGTGGAGTATTCGAGGGCTTGTTACAGGTAAGTGGGTATCGTTGGTTGCGGATCCCCCTTTTCCGTGCAACCCAAAACGTTTCACCTCAAAGTCGTTACCTATCACCTGGCACGATCTGATCTAATCACCCCATCTTGCTCCAAATCGTCGGGACCGAGGATGTTTTAATATTTGGAAGTATGAATATGATCGTTTCCGGGCTGCACGCTTTGATGTCGAAGTGCGCGTCACACAGATCATTCGGATCTGGCCGAGACGACGCTGGTGGTTTGAGAGCTCGAGACCGCAGTCCACACTTCACTCCACCGAATTCCCGCAAAGCTAGATTCACTACAAACCCTACGTTTAAGCATAAAGCGTGAGAGAAACTCCTTCCTTGGCTTACGAAGTTCGGAAACACGTCTGTTCTCTTCGAGTTTGAACACTCCCGATCAGATTATTTTGGCGATTTGGCATAGTTCTCTTCCCGTCTCTTCTTTCCATCTATCACCCTGGGGCTTAGGCGGATGACGAAGTCCATGTTGATTGAATTTCTCTTGGTCATATTCAGCCCGGACTTGGCCAAAAACGAGACAAGCTTTCCGCTGACCTGACTGTTTTCAGTCTGGATCTCGAGTCTGACACAGCATGTCATCGGTTACAGTACCCACCTAGGTATTGCGAGAAAACTATCACCCGATGAGTTGAGGTTCGAAGCAACGACGCCTGATGTTTGCGCAAGTTTCTACAACACCTATTTCTGGAAATGCTTCATTCTATACTTCCCGTCCATGAGGGTATTGTGGCTTGCGAGCTTGTCACTGACTCTTAAGCATATCGCCAGGCCTTGGGGGAGATCTATAAAGATGTTCAGGTTCCCCGTTGATTTCCTTCCATCATCAACAGCAAGTCTTCTTTTCTGATATCGACCGGGTCGACTTCACTTCGCTTCTGCTTCTTCTACCAGCTGGTCTGATTTTCAATACTTAGAATTTTAAAGTCAATACTTTCCGACAAGAAATCTCCATCAATCGGCTCGACTCCACCATGCGTTTCTCCACCTCTATTCTTCTGCTCATGAGCAGCAGCCTCATCATCACGGCTCCTGTGCCAACTCTTGACAACCAAGAGGTTTCAGTTCGGGCCCCTCCCCCACCACCAAACCATGCCAACAACCATCCGCCTCCACCTGCAAATAATGGCAACAACAACGGCGCAAACCGCCCTCCGCCACCGCACAAGAGAGAGTTGACTGAATTCGAAGAGCGAGCCAACCAGCCTCCTCCACCTCCCAACAACAACGCCAACAATCGCCCCTCTCCTGCACCACAAAACAATGGAAATAACAATGCCAACAACCGTCCTGCTCCACCGCCAAACAATGGAGCCAACAACGCCAACAACGGCCCTGCTGCACCGCCGCCACAGCACAATCGGGGTGTCGTGACTATGGTCGAGGAGCGAGCACCTCCTCCAACCCCAAACAACAACGCTAATAACAGTCCTGCCCCGCCTCCCAATAATGGAAACAACCCTGCTCCGCCCACTAATGGCGGAAACAATAATGGCAACCAAGCTCCTGCTCCAGCACAGAACGGGGGGAACAATAATGGCAATCAAGCTCCTGCTCCGGCACGGAACGGGGGGAACAACATTGCTAACAAGCAACCTCCGCCGCCACCGCACAATTAAGAGGCTGTCAAGTGGCTTGGGCATTGGCCAAGGGATGATTTGGGGATGGTTTTGGAAGAGGAAGAGGAATGTAGTGAGGAGGGAAGTTGATTGGCTTGAGAGAATGGCGATGAAAGGAGTTTGGATCGGATCTGGGAGGGATTTAAGGATGTAGAAGTAAACCGGGTAGTTGAGCGTAGTTAGAATAGAATTTGGCTTTAATCCCTCCGTATCCTTTGCTTTCCTAGCCTGGTATTGGCCACAACAAGTTTTTTGACCTTACTTTTTTCGGTTTTTTATCATTGAGAAGCTGTTGTATGATTAAAAGCAAGATCTCGACTTGTCGAAAGCAGAGCATTTAGTTACGCCAGGTGGCCACTGTAGAAAATTGATCTCGTAACAGAGAATTTACCTGTCACATAATAAGGGGGGGAAATAAAACCGCAGGAAGCTTAAGGGGGATGTGCTCCCACCAAGATTGATGACTTATATCTTCTACTTAGGGGGTCTCTTGAAAGAATACTCTCTCTTGCGCAGCTTTGTTGCCCCAATGATTTTGTGGGGGGGGGGGGGCGCGGAGCTTCCCCAGGATTAGAAGTATACTCTAACAATATCCCCTTCCAAAGTAGGAATAATATTGCTTTTACTCTTTCCATTTGCGCCTGTTTGTGCGGCCCCTAGTAGGTCAACGGAACTGGTACTTTGCCAGCTTGACTCAATCCAACATTGAACAACGTTTCGGTCACATGACCAATCATCCACGTGAGAGACTTCTCCTTCTTTGCCAACGAAGTGAAAGGAAGTAAGACGGTAACTGTGCATCAGCTTGCATTAGGGAGTTGTATAATTCGGCATTGGAACGAGGTTCATAAGGTTTCTGAGATGTAAGAAGCTCGATGAAATTCGGAGTACCAGAATTGACTCCTTCCCCTTCCGTCACTTGACGAATTTCGTCTCTTGGATGCTTCATTCCCTGGTAGTTCCTCCCTAGGTTGAAGGATTCTGGAAGTTGGCTAGAACTAAAAAGTGAGAATCATAAAAGCTCGTCACAGGCTTGTGGGTCCTCGGTTGTTGCAGGTTCTTGATCTCCGACTCAAGGCGTCTTGAAACTCGTCACCATCACGTGCCTCAGTCTGATCTTATCACTCGATTCGACTTCGGGAATTCGGTCCCGAGAAAGGTACACGCAGCCTTGTGTGAAGTTCAAACGCCTTGTTCGGAGAAGGCTGACAGAAGGAGAGCCCCTGACAGATGGGCCAGAACGGGGAAGTCCACTTTCCGTTCTTGGCAATCTATCCACTCCCCTCTACCTCTTTGGCTTTGAATTTGTTGAGCATATCTTAACCACCATCCTTGGATATAATGTGCCAGAATTGTTTCTGTTCCTTTCAATGTTTTGCATCCCCGTCTCTTCTTTCCTGCGCACATTATTTTGGCTCATCTGAGCATGGTGGATTCTATTCAATGTTTGACACTTCCGTTTGTTCTTTCCTCAACCGAGTGATATCTCTCGGTTGACCTTCGTCCCATATATGTGATGTTTGATATCATAGTTTGGTTTTCGTCAGCAGATTATTTTTAGCATTCTGTCACGTCTTCGTCTCTTCTTGCCTATGTCTGTACTTCTCGTTCGAAACATCAATACTGCCGCGATTCAGCTTCTCGAAGTCAAGTAGATGACGAGTTTAGCTTTCATTGAGTTTCTGATGTTCGATGTTCGTCTAGGCTCGGTCTGAAGTCAAGCTTTCTGGCCTACCCAGAGTAACAAGTGCCTCTCGATGGAGAATGACAACATCAGATGGGAACGTCAAACAATGATCACTTGCGCGTCGGTTCGGGGAGAACTCCATTTTTGGACGGAAACACTAAGCCCATTTGCTCAGCCCCTCCTCTCACGATAGTCTTGCGAGTAAGTGCTCGAGCTCTACACTCCTCGTCATCAACATGAGAAGATATAAAGATGCCCAGCCTCGCTGTCAACAATACTCAATCATCATCAAGACCTGGCTGTCTTCTCTGATCACCACCTCAATTCACCTCCACGCATTCAATTTGTCTGATTTAATAATCTACTCTCCTCTAAATTATATTTCTGAAAGGTCATTCCAAAGCAAGATCCTCTACTTATCATGCATTTCTCCACCTCAACACTCCTCCTTATCCTCGGCAGCAGCCTGGCGCTTGCTGCTCCTTTGCCGGGCGCAGACTTGACCGACCTTTCTCTTAGAGAAGCTTTGGCAGCTCCTCCACCAGGACCACCTCCACTAAGCCTACCTCCCCCACCCCAGAACGGTGGCAACCAGCCCCCTCCTCCCCACGTTCGAGACATCGAAATCGACGAACGTGCTCCTCCTCCAGGGCCCCCTCCTCCACCTAAAAATGGAGGCATCCGTCCGCCTCCACCACATGTCCGTGATGTTGACGAGAAGCTAGGGGAGAGGGCTCCTCCGAGAGGTCCGCCTCCTCACAACAATGGAGGCAACCGTCCCCCACCACCACATGTCCGCGATGTTGATGAGAATCTGGCGGAGAGGGCTCCCCCGAGAGGTCCGCCTCCTCCTCACAACAACGGAGGCAATCGCCCCCCACCACCACATGTTTAGATTGCAATCGTGATAGGTCTCAACTGCTGAGATCTGAGCTGCAGTTGGAATTGGAATTGGAGTTGCGGCTGTTGGGGGATGTTGGGACTGGGGCTGTTTGGAAGGCTTGGTTGGTTGGCTGGTGGGGGGTTTTGGCTTGGGAAAGGAGACAGTTAGTCTGTAGCTGAATGGAGTGGGATCCAGGATCCCTTTTTTTTTTAACCCTTTGTTCCAAGTTTTCGATGAGGAGCTCTTACTGAGGCCATTAGCGGGCTAGTCGACAAAACCGAGAAGCGAAAAGTGATTTTCTGATTTTTTGATTTTCGCGCCCGCACCCCCCCCCCCCCCCCCCTCCCTATACCTCACTAAAAAAAAAAAGTACAGCATACACGCCTTATTCTCGACTACTCCTAGCCCCCCCTTAGCTTGCGTGGTCCGTAAGGCAAATCCCATGGATTACGAGGCACATCTCTATCTCCCTTACTCTCTATATCCTCCGTACTACTTATATTACTCGAATTATCTATATCTCCTTCGTCCCCTTCTCCTCCAGTATCCTCACCCTCCTCTGCTATAACCTCCTTCCCCATTGCCTTCTGATCTTATATCTGTCTTTGTACTCACTTTCTATATCTTATAGGCAGTCGAGGCTTTGGTATAAAGGGTTTTATAGATACGGAGCGAGGCTTTCCAGACTTAGTAGGATTAGTATTAAGTTAATAGAAAGTATAGACTTTACCGTTATTATTATATCTGTAATTTATATAAGTACTATTAAATTCGCCTTCCATAACTATATAGTATTTAAAAGGGCCTCTCGGCCTCTTCTTATTACTATAAGTAGTATAAGCTTGAGAGGATTCAGTTCCGCAAGTATATACTAAGCTTACCTCCAGATTTGCCTTGCCTTTCTCTAATTCCTTTAGCTCCCTGCTCTGGTATAGCTCTATCTCTCTAACTTTAGCCTTATTATTAATTTGCTTTACTACTTTAGTAGTATTATTAGATAGTATAAGAAGATTAAAGTATTATTATAGAAAGAAAAAAAAAGAGGAGAAGGTTATATATAAGGAGGAGGTTAAGAAGTAAAGGAATTTATTAGTTAAATATATTAATAGAAGAGGATATTATAGACTAAATCTGGATTATTAGAAAATATATTATAAATATTATCTTTTTGCTTATTTATAGTTTTATTACTTTTTTTACTATTTTTACCTTTACTAGAGCTATTATTTAAAGCTATATTTAATATATCTTTAATAAAGAAAAGCTTTAATAATAGTATTATATATTAGAATTAAAGTTATTTTTAAAAGAAAATTAAGATTAAGGTTAAGGCTAAGATTAAAGCTAGTATAATTATATCTTTATTATTTATTTTTAGGATATAAAAATATATATTTAATATAATTATTTAAACTTAAATAAATTTATAATAAATAATATCTAAAAATAGAAATATTAATATTTAATAGCCCTAAATTAAACGTATTTAAATATTAAAAAAATTATAATTTTAGATATTATAGTTATAAAAATAAAAATAAAAATATTTTTTCTTTTACTAATTTATAAAAGCTAAAATATGCTAATAATAATTAAATTATACTTAATTTATATAATTAGCTAATTTACTTTACTAATTATAAATAATTTAAGATAATTTAAATCTTCTTAAATTTTTATATATAGTTTATTATATAAATTTTTATATCTCTATATTTAGTAATACTATAATTATAATTTTTAAATAAGAAAAATTCCCTTATTCTAGTATATATAATTATATTTATTTCTTATTTTTTAAATATATAATTATTAAATTAGAAAAGCTTAAGAATTCTAAATAATACTTTTTTCTAAAAAATATATATTCTTAATAAATAATAAAAGTAAATATGAAATTATATAATAATATAATTATCTCATACTAGTAATTTTATTTTCTATAAAACTATAACTCTATTTTATCTTTACTTTAAAACCTTTATTTTTCTTCTATATTTTTTCGATTTTACTATTAATACTAAGAGCTTCTGCCCTTTACTAATACCTTCTCTATTAATACCTTTATTAATACCTTTATTAATACCTCTATTAATATTAAAAGCTAGTATCTAACTACCTTATAACCTTTCTCTCCTTTTCCGAACCCCTTTTCCAAACTCCTCTTTTAAACCCCTCTTCCAAATCCCTTCTCCAAATCCCTTCTTCTTTAATACTTCTACTATTAATACCAAGAGCTAGTATCTAACTACCTTATAACCTTCCTTTCCTCCTTCTTCTCTCCTCTTCTCCAAATCCCTTCTTTAAACCCCTTCTTTAAACCCCTTCTCCGAACCCTTCCTCCGAACCCCTCCTCCTTTAATACTTCTACTAATAATACTAAAGCTAGTACCTAACTACTACTTCCGGGTTACTTTTATTCAGAACTCTCATACTATAAGTCTTTAATCTACTTGCTTTTTAGAAAGCTAAATTTTAGATCCCTTTTTCCCTTCTCTAATATCTTCTTTTCTCCTTTTCTAATATTTCTTATATCTTTAGGTTCTTTAAAAGTATTCTCTCTCGAACTTCTAAAAAAGAAACTAATTCTTATTTAATTCCCTCCGAACTTTAATATCTTCTCTCTTTTTCCAATATTTTTTATACCTTTAGGCCCTTTAGAAATACCCTCTTTCGAACTTCTAAAAAAGAGGCTAACTTCTATTTAGATCTCTCTAAACTTTAATATTTCTTTCTCTTCTTTAATACTTATAAAAGCCTTTAGGCTATTATTAAATACCCCTATTTTTTATTTTAGAATATATACTAATTTATTTTTATAAGAAATAGCTTTTTTTTTTCTAATCTTGACTTCTTTAATATATACTTCTCGCTTTTAGGCTATTTAGATATTTCTCTATTTATTTTTATAAAATATATATTAACTTATTTTTTAGTTCCTTTTATTTTATCTTTTCTTTAATATTATTATATATATATCTAGTTAGTATTAGTTCTTATAACCTATAATTAGGCTTTCTATTTATTAAATATCCGGGTATTTTATTTTACTTTTATTTTATATATTTTATTTTATATACTTTATTTTTCTTTTATTATAGGTTAGAACTCAAATAGTATTTATCTTAAGTATTTATATTCTCGGATATATAAGATTTCTATAGATTTTTCGAGATTATAAACTAGCCTATTTTAGTTCGGAAAAGCTTTCTCGAGAATATTTCAGGAATTATAATATTTATTATAATTCTTTCTAAAAATTAATATAATATAGGTATTTCTAGTTTATTTTTTCTTTATAGAGTAAACTACTATCCTAAATTTATATAAAAGTTCTAATTATTTTTTGAATTAAAATATAAGTATTTTTTATTTTTATTAAATTAAATATAAAAAATAGTAGGCGTCTTTAGGCTAGATTATAATACTAATTAAATACTAAGATTTTTTATACTTATTTTATAAACTTGTAATTCGAGATATATTATATTTAATAGGGCTTTTATATTTAATTACTTTATATTATAATAAAATATCTTAGTATTATAGTTAGGAAAGTTTTATTTTATAATCTTATCTATTATTTATAGATTTTCTAGCTAATAAGTCTTAATTAATAGCTAAGAAATTTATTAGCTACTTTATCTAAAGCCTCTAGAAATAGGAAGTTATCTTAATAAAAACTTAGTATTAAAAATAGGTTTAACTAATTAATCTAAATAAGAAGTTTATAGTAGAAATCTCTATATATAAATAATTTCATATAATAAACTCAAGTCCTTATTTCTAGTTATATAAATAAGCTATATAAGAAACTTTTTCTAGTTTATTAAAGTAGTTTCTATTTCTAATTATATAAGTTATAATATATAATAAATTCAAACTTTTTTTAAGTTATTTTTAGAAGAATTAGTAAGCTTTTCTAGATAGATTTATTAAGGCCTTAGTTTTTAAAAATATTAATCTAGTTTTTTTACTCTTTCTTTAGGTAATAGTTTAGCTCTCAGGAATTATATATAAATATTAGAATAAATAAGAAGATATACTATATATATTTTTTAGATAAATTAGAATAGAACCTATAGGATTCCTATAATATTTTTATTAAATCTATAATACTAGCTAATAAAGACTTTAATAATCTTAATAAAACTTAAATTACGAGCCTAGCCTTTAGATTTCCTATTTAACTTAAAGGTTAAGTAGTTTATAATAAGTTATCTATTATAAAATATATTATACTCTTTTCCTAAAAAGTACCGGGTACTAGTAATAGTCCGGAAGCCCTAAAGCCCTTGAGATTCTTTATAAGTTTCGGGCTTTAGGACTTTTCTATAGCTAGCTAATTATATAAAGTTATATAATTATATAGGTCCGGTATTAATATAAAATAATTAGTAATTTTATATATAGATATAATATAGTTTTTAGTATAGCTAGTCTAATATATTATATATTTATATATAAATACCTATAATTTTATTATTATAATATAATATATTCTTAATATATTCTTAATATAAATTTTTTTTTATAACCCTAGACTTTTAGGAGCTTTTTTTATACTAAAGATAAAATATATAATATAATTTAAGTATTAAACTCAAAAAATAAAAAATTATAAAGGCCCTAATAATTATAAGACTTTATAAACTTGAATAAATTTAAGTATTATAAAAATATTAAATTTAGTAGCCTGATTTTTAAATTATATAAAAACTAATTAAAAAGTATTATTTTAAAGTATTAATTATAAATTTCAAGTATATATATATTTATAAGAAAATAAGACCCAAAATAATACTAAACTAATTATAAGATATAAGAAAAAATATATTAGATATTAGGTTTATTTTTTTTTAATTATTTTAACTTTAATAGATATTTATATATAATTTAATAGATATTTATATATAATTTATTAGATTTTATATAATAGGTTTACTTAAAAGAAATAAGGTTAATTAGCCTGGAAAGTTTAATAATAATAGTTAGACTTTTATCTAGTATAATAGGCAGAATACTAGTAATAGCCCGGGTATTTTGGGTTTTATTTATAAAGCTAAAAATATTATATCTATTAATTCTTTATATCTAATAAGGAAAAGAAATAATATATTTATATTTCTAATATATCTATTATTATAGAGTAATACTTATATAATCTATAAGATTAACTATAATTTCTTTTATTAAAGAAGAGAATAGTAAAATTAAAGAAAAATCTAATAGCCTATTACTATTATTATTATTATTACTATTAGGATTAGCTTTAGTAATACTTTTAGTAGTACTTTCTATATTATCTTATAGCTTCTAGAAATTAGTAAATAGAAAAGAATTCTAATATATATAAATTAATTAAATCTAAAAATAAAAAAAGGATTTATAAAAGAAATAAAAAGTAAGAGCCAGAATTAAAAAAAAGAATTATATATATATTTTTATTTACCTACTAGTTTATTAGATTTCTTCTTATTCTTAAAGTCTCATATCTATACTAGTAAGTAATACTTTTCTAGGCTTTTTAGGCCTCTTTAGTCTATTATTTAATCTCTTTAAGTTATTATACTTTCTAAGTATTTTCTAGCTCTTTATAAATAATTTTAAGATAAAAATCTTTATATAAAGTTTTCTTCTAAGTATTTTCTAGCTCTTTATAAGTAATTTTAAGATAAATATCTTTATATAAAGTCTTATTCTAGTATAAAATAAGGAAAATTATTCAAATACTTTTAAAGCCCAGATATATACTATAATAAGAAAAGTTAAAGATAATTTAAATAAAACCTAGTAAGACTATAAGTTCTTGGGCTCTTTTACTATTAGGATTAGTATAAAATACTAGTTTATTTATATTATTAATAAATTAATAATAATAAGTAGGTTTACTAATATAAAGAGAGAAATAAAAGAATAGCTATTAAGAAACTATATTAGAAAGGTAAAAAAGACTTAATTATTTATTTTAAATTAAAAGTTACCTATTAAAAAACATTTATTAGAATTCGTATAAAGAATTTAGTAAAACAAATAAGAGAAAACTTATTACTAACTTCTTTAGAAAATTAGATAGTTCTTTATTTAGCTCTCTAATTCTTTATATTATTAAATACCTACTTATAAAAAACTAGCTATAAAACTATAATTTATAATTCTATAAGACTAGATCCGGCTATATTTTGATTTATGAAATCTTAAAAGGCTCTAGATAGCCTATTACTAGTATAAGAAACTATAGCCTAGATAATAGCCTGGATAACTCTTATATTTATAGCCCGTTAAGCTTATATAGTAATATAAGTATTACTAGAAAAGTAATTAGATTAAGTAATATAGCTTATAATAAAAGGAAATATAGAAGAAAGTAGTTATAGGGCTATTAGAATAGGAGGAGCCTAGAATAGAATAGAAATAGTATCTGGCGGCTATATAGTAATAATAACTAGAAGAATAGATATAGTAAATATTTCTAGAAGAAAAAATATAAAATAAGAATATTAAGAAAAGCTAAGGATCTAAAATATTCTAGATATAAAGAAAGAGGCAAATATAGGTAGAATTTCAAAGCTATAAGGTTTAAGTCTATTAGTATTATTATTCTAGATAAGTAAAATAATAGCTTTTATATTATATTTATTATTAGTAAATTAATAGAACTTGTAATATTAGATATTATTATACTAGTATTTGGCTATAAAATATATAATATTAGAATAGGTTTTAAGAAATAATAGTATTATTTTAAAAGATAAGAATTTAAAAATATAAAATATTTATATAATAAATAAACTTAATAATTCTATTAGTATTATTTTTAAAAATAAGAAAAGGATTTCGGAAATAATATATTTAATAATAAATAATACTTATTTTAATATATCTAGTTATTTTATAACTAGCTTATTTAATTATTTTATATTATTAGGAATATTACTAATAAAGGGCTATTTCTAGATAAAATCCTGAATTATTAGGAATTATATAAGTATTTTTCTGGCCTATATATTACTTATATATTTTATATTTATTAGAATAACTTACTTAAGAATCCTATTTCATATAATAGTAATATTATATTTACTAATTAGCTTCTCGAACTCTCCTAATATTAGTAGCTACCCTAAGGCTATATATACCCGAACTATATATTAGAGCTAGTAATAAGCTTAAATATATAATCGGTTACTATTTCTATTAGTATCTCTTATATAAATATTAGCTATATTTATATTATAAGATATAAGCTTCTAATAGTATTACTCTAGTATTTCTCTTAGTAGAAACTTATTAATATCTATATTAGTATATAAGTAAACTATTTATATAGAGCTATATAAGATTATATTACTTATTTTAAACTAAATAATTATTAAGGATTATATTATAAAGCTCTATATCTATAGGGTAACCCTAGTACTATATCTTGTCTAGGGGCCTTATATATAATCTAAATGGCTTACTAGCTATTATATTAGGCCTAGATCTGTCTTTTCTAATTCTATAGATATTCTATAAGTCTATAAACCTATATATCTCGTTTTAGATCTATTATATATAAAATACTAGTAAAGTAATCCGGTTTTATAAGTATTAGTAATTATAATTCCTGGTATAAGCCAGTTCCTAAAAGTAGTTCTATATATACTAATTAGAATTAGTTATATAATCCGGTATTATAATACTAGACCTAATAGCCTTAATAAAAAGTAATATAATTATTAGTATCTAATACTTTCTTCTAATAATAAAAAGAATAAGAAATAGATATAGAGAAACGGAATTACTTATATATTATTAGTATAGCTAGCTTTTCTAAAGCTCCTATTATTAGAATTTAACCCGCTAATTCTCGGTATTTTCCCCAGAAATAAAGTAATTCTTTATATATATAACTAATGAATTAGCTATCTGCGAGAATATAAAGTATACTTTAGTAATAAGAGAAAGTTTAGAGCCTTAATTAGCCCTAAATAAATAAGAGTAATAGCCTATTTAAGTATAAATTTAAAGATATTATTATATAACTAAATAGGTAATCTAATTAGAGATTCTAATATATACCTAGATAATATTATATAAATAAGTATTAATATAAGTATATATCTTAATCCCAAATAATAATAGCTTATTATATTTATTAATTAACTAAATCTAATCCGGTCCAAATATAATATATTCTCTTTTTTTAGACTATATCTATTATATTTATAGTATAATTACCTTAGGATCCAGGAGTTATAATATTATATATAAGCTCTTTCTATAAATAATAAAATATATTAGTAAATAAGGCCCTAATCTTTTAAACTAGGGCGAAATAGTAAAATATAAAAAGGCTAACCGGATTACTAGTAAACCTTATTAACGGAAATATATATATAAATACTGCTATTTATAACCTATAACCCGCCTATTATTTAGCTCACTCTATAGTATTATAAATAGTTATTTATCTGCCGCTTGCCTGTCTATTATAGTTATATAGTAAATAAGACCAAGCTTCTTATATATATAGATAACTCTAGTAATTAAAGCTATATAGCCATAATCCTTAAGATCCTTAAGTATTTCCTTATCTATATTTTCCAGATAATATAGGATTATAATCTATATATAAAGAAAAGGCATATTTACTATTTAAGTATATATTTAGATATTTTATTCTTGTAGTTAGTATTTAATTATACGGGTATTAATATTAATTTTCCATAAATCTTTTAATCTTATTATAATTATTTCATAGAAAACGTTTATATAAGCCTATTTAATAATAGTATTATAATATAGTAAAAGATTTATAAAGTATTATAGTATTTTAATATAATTGAATAAGATATTAATAGTATTAATATATTATAAGTTCAGGCCATATATTACTATTACAAAGCACTTTTAGTAATATAAGCGCTAAATTACTAGAGTAATAGTGAGGCGTACCCTAAAAATAGAGGGGCAGGTACGTACGATTGTCAGAAATCAGAAAATCAGAAATCGAAAATCAGAAAATCAAATCTCGCTTCTCTGTTTTGTCGACTAGCTAGCTGTGGGCCTCAGTAGCTCTGGGTAATTTGGTGCTTTTGATTATTGTCTCTTCTTGCGATAAGTCACTTGATCAGGAGGGATGTGAATGAGAAACTTCAATACAATTTGGTAAGATTCAAGATGGGAAGTTCGTTGATACGGACACAGGCATGTGAATAGGTTGAAATAACTCGAAATTGGAAATGGGCCAACCACTATTATCTCTCTAACTCTGGGACCCGCCCAATCTATTCCATCCCCAAAACTTCAGGCAAAAAGACAAGATGACCTCTGACCTGCAGTGGTTCCCCACGCTCAACTTCCTTCCCAATCCAAATCCAATTACGGAATCGGTAGCACTGGGCACCCGCCGCGAGAGAAGCACGGTTTGCGGACGACTTTCGCTTTTGCTACAGAAAGTTTCTAGTTGTCTTATTTCAAGCCCATGTACAATGCTCACATCTCGGGTGTCCACAACTGGGGCAGCTGGAGATCCATCCGTATATCCAGATCGGATGGATACAGTTGCAACAGTTCCAACCATTGTGCGACATCTCATCAACCATTTGAGAAGGGTCAATTTCTTTTATTTTGTTGTTGCTGTTGGTATTGAGTCTGGGTACTGAGATGCTGTGAAGTTTATTATATGATGTAGTTGAAGGGTGGTATGTTGTGTTGAAAACTTCAGGAGTTAGTGTAAGAAACCACAGAAGAGACTTACTTCCAGAAATGGGAGGCACATTTATAACTTCACATTTTATCCTTTGAGTTCTATGCTTTTCCAAGGATCCGAGATAAGAGATAGGAGTTGGAGCTCTTATTCCCATCGAAGATTTATTTATGGGTTGGTTGAACATACTTTACTATCCTCGTGCTCCAATAATCGAACTGTCAAACATATTGTAAAGGACATTCATGGCAAGCCTCCCTGAATCAGCCTTTTGATTGCATTCAATAAATATCTTCGATTAATACCTGTGATCACAATCATTCATCGGTCACCAGCGCATGATATTTTGGAGATGAACAACCAAAGGTATCACATTTTAATATATACAAACATCTCCGCCCCTCCCCTGCACTCCACTCTCTTCCCCCGCTTACTCTCTTAATCACTCCCCGAAAACGTAATCGCCGTACTACTTTGTCCCGCGGCCGCCTTATCCAACGCAACGTTCGTCGCCAACTTGGCCTGCTGCGTCGCCAGCTCACTCTGACTCCCCGTATTGCCCTGTGCAACCTCGATCTGAATCCTCAGGACATCCGTCTGCAACTTCAGCACCTTATTCTTGATCTTCCCGTTTTGGAGGGCGGTCCCGGCTGTGGTGCCTGTTCCGCCAGCCGCAGCAATCGCATCGTTGAAGCCGCCCGTGCCAGTCTCTGCATCTTCGGAGACTTGGGCTGCTTTGGCAATTATGGCGAGGTCGGAGGCGGCTACGCCGGCGAGGTTGGTTTGGTCGACCTGAGAAGAGGTTAGTGAGAAACGAGAAGGGAGGGTGAGGAGGCGTACGGGGAACGCGGCGTTCACTTCAGCGAGGGCGTTGCCGGCTACTCCGCCGGACACATTGAAATCGTCGTAAGTCTGGACTTTTAGTACACCTGCTGCTGCTGTTGCGGCCTTTTTATCGAGGCTGATTGGTGCGGCTAGGGCACCGGCGAGCGAGAGAAAGATCGTGAGTGTGGTTGAGAAATGCATGATAGTTGATTATGCCAGCTGTTTTCGGCTTTCGTAAAGAATGGATATGTATTAAAAATGAATATGTTGGTTCCGTTTGGTTTGGAAGAATGAGAGAACAAAGTTTAAAGATCGGCAACAGCCCAGCTGTGAATAAGAAGAATAGTACAGTATAAACAGAAAGCGAATGTGGAACCGTGCCAAGAGAAGGAGGGGGAGGACAGGTTTATAGATTTATTAGATTTGATTGATGAGATATGATTAGATTCAATGCTTATGCTTACTCTCCCCCTCTAATTAAATGTAACAGTGGGTCCACAGAGCAATACATTCTACCATACAAAACTCCCCGGTCAAGAGGGCCCACTGTTACATTTAATTAGAGGGAGAGTACTAGCAATTGTTATCTTACTGGAGATGACACTCCCCCTCAGTTAGGTTTTCAACTTTATTTCAAAACGGGACATTTTTGGGAAATCCCCGAATGAGAAGATAGGATGACAGAAAACAATGGTGCCATGTGGGTCGCAGCTTACGAAGGCGGGCATCTGACGGGATAATAGGGTTGAAGGATTTGAAATGGCAAACAAGTTTGGATGGTTTCCCGACGTTGAAGGTTTGAGTTTACCAGATCATTGTTTTGACAGGGGTTTAAGCGATGATCGGGAGGGAAAAAGGGGGCATCACGTGCTAAAACCCATGTTTCGGAATCATCGGAAAGCTTGAGTGCTCATCATTTCTGAGCCTAAGCCAGACAAGCCTCGGTAATCGACAGGTGATACAAGTTCACCACAAGCAACTCCCTGAAAAGCTTCAAATCAAGCCTTTCACGCCGCATCTCGTCCGAGTCCCTGCTTGTATCGCGCCAAAGCGCGATCCCTACTTTCCTTGTGGTCCACAATTCTCTCCGGGTATCCTTTCCTTTTCGCTTCATTGCCCTTCCCTCTTGCATGTGGATCGTGTATTGCGTTTCCTTGTATCCCTTCCAGCTCCGGAACCCATTTCCGAATGTATTCTCCACCAGCGTCAAACTTCTCGCTCTGAAGGAGAGGGTTGAAGATCCGAAAGTATGGCTGTGGATCCACTCCTGTTGATGCGCTGAAACCCCAGCCGCCATTATTGGAGGCAAAATCGCCATCGATTAAATGCTCCATGAAATATCGTTCTCCCATTCTCCAATCGAGAAGGAGATGCTTGGCGAGGAAAGACCCCACAATCATTCGACACCGATTATGCATGTAGCCGCAGTGTTTGAGTTGCCGCATTGCGGCGTCGACGATAGGATATCCAGTTTTCCCGTCGCACCAAGCTTTAAAGTGCTCATTATTATATTCCCAGTCGATATTAGTATACTCGGGTTTGAAAGGTGTATTCATACTAGGAGCAATCAGCAGAGTCGTTAGGAGAGGGGCCGAATCAAGACCTACCAAACGTAAGGCCAGTGTGCCATGACATGCTTATAGAAATCCCTCCATGCTACTTCACTAATCCAAGTTTGAATTCCTTGATTTCCTCCATCCAGCTTTTTCGTACTATTGTGGTCTCGTGCCGTGCGAACACACGTTCTTGAACTTAATGTGCCGCTTGCGAGGTGTACACTCAACGACGAAGTTGCACCTTTTGCGGGGAAGTTTCGGTTGTCAGAATACCCTCCAATGCGCTCATCACAGAATCTCTTCAGACGTTCATGCGCCTCGTGCTCTCCTGATGGCCACATTGATCTGAATCTTTCCTTCTCCTCCTCAGTCAACTTCTTGTTCTCCGGCGCACTTGGAATGTTGCTCTCGAAAAGCTTCCGCAATTTCTTCCTCGCACTCTCCGGATTCTTTCCCGGCTCGTCGAACAAATTCAATACGTCGGCATGTCCGTGAATATAAGCAACCCACGCTCTGAACCATGGAGTGTAAATCGAATACTGTCTGCCCGTTCCACTCGCCAACTCCCCAGGACTGACCACACAGGTGTCGGGCACAACATCCATCGCAATTCCCCGTTCCAAGCACGCCCTCACCAAGCTCGCCTCCCTCCTCAACTCATCAACCTCATACTCCACGTTCGCAAACAAATGACTCGCGCCCCATACATCAAGCAACTCCAATATTCTGTCTGGAATCTTCTTCCTCTTCTCCACAGTCTCGACGTAGAGTGGGATATCCAGCTTCGCCAAATCCGACTTCAACACCTCCAACGTCCGGAGTATGAAATCCACCCTCACTGGAGCTGTCAAATGTGCCTCGAAGTCCTGCGGACTAACAATATACATCCCAATCAACGGGACGCCCTTCTCCTTAGCTTTCTCGCTCGCCAAATGTAAAGATTTATTATCCTTCGTCCTCAAATCGCATTTGAACCAGTGAACCACCGCGTCCTTGACCTGTATCTTCTCCCTCTGTTCTTTCGTCCCTGACAGTGCCGCATTTAGGAGCTCGATAGGACGTGTAATTTCACCGTTGTTGTAGGCCAGTGCTCGCGCGTTCGACATTTCGTGTGGGTAATATTTTCGGAGGACGATGCCATTTTCCTCTGCTTCTTGAGCTTTGGGATGGGGTTCCTTGATATGGTCATTGGTCCCGTCAAGCTTGGACTTCTTCATTCCATTGGAAGTTGGTTCGGCGGACGTTGAAGCTTTCCGCTTGCCATTTGTGATTGCTTTCTTGGGAGGCATTGTGAGAAGAGGAGAGCTCGAAAAGGTGTTTTTGGAGATTCGGAGCTGGGGAGAAAGAAGTTGATCGTTCTTGGTGAGATAGATCGAAGTTCTGCGAGCGGAGCATCCACTACATGATCGAAGCGTAAGCATCAATTGATCCTAGACGCGGTATGGAATTGATGGAGAGAACACGTCTAAACTACAGGAGTTGGAGCTTGAGCTCGATCTCACGAAGCACGCATCAAAGGGGAAAATCAAATACGTCAGTGATCGAGGCTAATGCAACTGCACCTCGCTAATCGGCGCTAGTCCCCCCTGTCTCCTGGTCTGTGCATTATCTGAAGAGGAAACTGAATGGAGACTAGAGATATAAATAATAAGGTTATACGTAGTTGAAGAAACAGAGAGATAATGTTCTCATGATCCCCTGGAAAATTCGGGGAGCACGGTATCGTAAGTCAACCTAGAAGTTGTCCAAGGCTTTTGGGATCATAGACCATATTGATGAACAAAATGGGGGCTCAGGATTTGAATAGCTAGCAATATGGGTCGTAAAAGAGTAGAGGAAAATCATAGATGTTGTCAAAGTGGGCGATCTCAGAATTCAATAGGCGGTGAAACAGGATGTTCTCCCGTTTGGCGCCCGATGTCATCCCGTAGCTTCATTCTGCCAAAGGCGGTGAGCGCCAATTTCCACCACTCGGGAGTCGGAACATCATCATCTCCTGCAGCTGAACGAACATTTTAAAAATGCGCTCGCTGCAGACGTGCAACAGAAAAACGTGATGAAACAGGAAACCTTAGAATTATATTGGCAACTCGAGGCCAAATTGGCAGCAAAGGTCTAGTCATTGCTCTTGGATACTTTCTCTCGGTTTTTGCTTGAATAATTTTGGATCAGAGTCGTTCCTTCCTTAAATCCATTTTGGGCATAACGCTTTCCAGATTCAGGGGTGGTCTTGGATGGATTCCAGGCGTCACTTCAACAGCATGCATCTTCTTCCACGAGTCACCCATGCAGCTAACGATTAAGAGAGTTATTTGTAACGCAATGCTTGCGACGACCCTGGATTCTCCTGCCGCTCCCTGCCGCTCCTTCCCTCCTCTCTGTCTCGTCTTCCTTGAACCCAGAAAGGGGACCCTACCTTCAAAATCTCCCCACCGCATCGTTCCCAAACGTTTAATTTGAGGCTCTCTCTACTAGCAAATAGGCCGCGATTTAACCAAACAACATGAAATATCTATACTTGGGAACAAGCGAGCAACCAACGATGTCAATATGGGTTAGTGGAGGCTGGGGAGAAAAGTATCACACATGAAGACTGGGCCTGAGACCCACTAACGACAGGGGAATAACTCTATTTGAGGAACTAGGGATGTTTGCGGAGCATGGACAAAGGGCACTGAAAATGGAGCAGCATGGAAAGGCGCTCGGATGGTCCAAGTGCTTCTGATACTCCCTTCCTGCTTTGCGTTTGTACTTGAATCACTGAAGTCTGTGAACCTTGTGCTTTGCATCTGTGATTTATTAGAATTCAGAAACTAAGGCCCCGGAGGAGAGATATGGCTGGCAGACCCGTGCCATGAGTAGCGGCCTCTCTGGCCACCATGTCAGACGAACAGCACGAATATTTTCAGGGTCCCACGGGTATCTCGAAGGAAAGGCCGTTGCTTCCCCACAGTCGAAATACGATGAAACACTCTAATATTTGACGCATGGCCCAGTGGATGCCATAGAGGCAATACCCATCGATAATACCCACCGGATAACCGAAGGCCACCAACTACTAGCCACAGTGACAGGTGACGAGTGCGGGACGGCCCGACTGCAATAATTAAGAAGGAAACAGTCCAAGTCCATCCAACCGATTTATGCCTCTTCCAACACCATAGCCAACGAATCCAAACCATTAATTGTTGATGGCCGACGTGAGGACCAATGGAACATGGCAAGGATCCTTCGAGTAGGTCGTTTGAAGTCCCGCCCAAACAGCAGGTTGTCCACCAGGCAATCCAGCACCAGCAGTCAACCTATCCAACTCAGCCTTCATCTTCATCGCTGCCCGAACATTAGAAAATACCACCGTGGCATTCCCACCATTATACAACCAAACCAGCTGAACGTCTTCCTCTCCCACAACCTTATTGCACAAATTCGTCAAATGCCGCTCCCCAAACACGAAGAAGAAGCCTTTCTTGACCATTGTAAGACGTCGGCTGGCGTTGATCTTAGGGTCCCCCATAGCCTTGATCGCCTCGTCAGCTGGGAAAGGGTCGCCGCGGACAGCGTCCACAATGAATCTGAACCGTTCGGGTCTGCTCTCAGCCCTCTCCTTCTGAAGCACTTGGTGGAACACCTCAGCATCCCTAGCATACTGGAAAACTACGCCTGCGAACTTTGCTTGTTCCACCTCATCGAAACCAAAAGCGATCTGGACAAGAGGGCCTTCCTGCACTCCATTGGAGACGTCTTGCAGACTGAGATTGTTCGGGAGGTTGAGTAGGAAGACTACGCGCATTTGCTCGGCTTGAGATTCAGGAATTACGACCTTGTGGCGTTCAGAACGTATGACGCTCGGAATTCGTCCGACTGGTTGGAGGCGACTTGAGACAGGCCGAGTCGGGTGCAATACGACGACGCCAGTGTTGGGGTTGGCGGCACTGGCGATGTTTGCCCAGGATGTTGAAATGGGGACGAATGGCGCTGGCGTGGCAGGAGCTGGCGCAGCTGTTGCATCTGAGTTGGCAGACTTTTCAGTTGTACTACCAGCATCATTGTTGGAGGGCAGCACAGACTCCTTTGGCGTAATAGTAGCGCTGGAAGCGGGAGCAAACTCGGGAGCTCTGGGAGACGGGGTAAACTCCTTTGGAATTGCCACTGATTTTGCTCTAGTAGCGGGTGTTGTGTACTGGGTGACAGGTGGTATGTTTTCCTTTGCCTTCTCCTGTGGATCGGTGCTTGAAGCTGGAGATGGGTGACCATGGACAGCTGGTGCTCCAAGAAATGCTCCAAGGCCTGCTCCAAGACTATGATAAGGTGTGTATGGAGGCGTAGGCGGGAGCCGAGCAGGTGCTTGAGTAAGAGGCGCCAACAAGCGTATCGTTCGTCCTGGCGGCGTAGCCATCGAAGTTGTCAAGTATTCTCCCTCAAACCTCATCCCATGCATTCCATTCAACAGATTCTCTGCCTCCTCAGCCGTGGCCATAATAGCCCAGCGGAATGTGTGTTCGCTGCCCAGGGAAATTAGGCATGGAACTTTCTCCACCTCGCCGAAGTTGGCGACGAGTATCTGAAAAGGTCCATTCTGCCATGCGTGAGGTACGCCTTTCACGTACACGGCGCGGTCTTCTCGCTGTTCCAGCCTGTACGCCGCCGGGATGCCGGGGACGCAGCGGTCGGAATGGAGAGGCTCCTCGGTGATCCAGGTATCGTGGCCTTCGACCTGCTCGCGCAGGATGTTGTCGAGGAGCTCCATATGAGGAGTGACTGAGAAAGCAATGTCGTATGCCATGGTGGGCGTGGGAGTGTGACGTAGCAAGTTAATGGTTTGTTCCTGTTGTTGCAATTTGATGTTGATTTTTGGCGAACCGCGCTAGTTTGTCGTCACAACTCTGTGGGAATATTGAAGATTCACGATTCACCTGATATATCTTATCGGAGTGGAGGTGGATCTGGAATCGCGACCTGTTTAATGCACTGAAGGGAGGCAGTCAACCACGAGTAATGGACTTTCCTTGTTCAAACAGAGTTGGCCCAAACTTGGTAATTTAAAGAAAAGGCTTTGTTTACTTGAATGGTCGAGTCAGAGGGAGTACAATGCTTAATTATCATGTATTCCTGTCTAAGTGTATAAAAAGAGAATCGGAAATACAAACGGATTTCGTAATGTCTGCATTGGAAGAGCTAGTAAGTGGAAGCGAAAGATTACGAGAGGCGTGTTGGGCTCCCCTTTCATCCTGTGTACTTCGATTTGGTCGAAAAATTGGGAGCTCACATTGGAAACTTAGGGCCTGTACGCCGTGTTTCCAACATTCATTTAGAAACTGTGATTTTAGATATAAAACATAAATTTGACACCCGCTCTGACTCCGCTAAATTTCCTGAATTGGATCTTGCCAACTTGATTGGTACTGTTTTCTGACAGAGACCGAAAGTAGTTATCGGTAATTGCCAGTTCAAGGCCTCACTTGAGAACCAACCCTCTTGACTTCGAGTTTGGAAGCTAAAGGCAAGACCGAATTCACGCTAAGAGGGAGTGAGCTTTGAATATACCAGAGGTTTTGGGGTATTCAAAGAGGCTAGATCTCTTTTAGACGTTGAGATCTGGGGACATTCGGAGCAGGATGACCGTTATTGTACTGAAAGCCTCGAGAAGTTCAGGAGGGGACTACTATATTGCACTTGAAGCTTCAGTGCATGATAGTGTTGAGTCAAGCACACACAGAGCTCCCGAGTTTGATTGAACCAGGCACTGACAGGTCGCAAAGCTCTTGGAAACTTTGCAAGTATTCCCACCAATCATATGACGGACAAAGATGTATTACTAAGATGTATCACAGCAGAGACATGAGATAGGGGCAAAGATAGCCGAGATCTGAATAACAGGATTCTCGATGTGAAAGAAACAACTGTGCATACATCGAGAGGAAACCAGAATGCAATAGAACATTCAAACCGATGCCAGGTTGGCGCAAATGCACCCTTCTTTTGTTTCTGAGGTTGTTCTTTCGATGTAAGATTTACAGTTCGATAGGTTGCCAGGCTGGGAGAACAAAGCAAAGGTACGACATCCGCAGGACTTGGTGGCCAGGAAACAATGCTCCACTTCCAAGTCACCGCGACGAATACGAGGACGAAAGAACCCCGGACCCCATCCAGGATCGGTACTATCCTCGCTATATTTTCCCAGCATCCCTTGGAGAATACCATTTGAGTTCCCATTTCACATGTTAGCGAGCTCGTCCATCTCATCGATAGAACCGCTGTCACTTTCGTCCGGTGGAAATTCTGCATCCTCCAGGTCTACGTTGCTATAATCTCCTTGGTGATGTATCGGCCCGGTAAAATCCCCAAGCCGATTCGGCCCGTACTTGAGGAGCATTATGCTGAGCTTTGGGCGAACCCACTCGGGATTTGCGGCCTTCTCTTCCTCACATTGTTCGACTATCATGATTTTATATTCATTTCAGTCTTCCCAGTAATCCTCATTTTCCATCGCGCTTTCGAAGTGTATATTGCCAGGGTGGGGTACGAGCCTTTCGACATATTTGCAAGTGCGTCCTTCTCTAAACGTGCCAAACGCCGGCGAAGATGTTGAGCCGCCTCATTGTCAGCATCGTTATCCACTGTAGATCTGCTCGGAGCACCAGCTTCCTTCTCGCCGGGCCCATGTCCACTACCGATGTTCTCGACCTCACTCTCATCCGTTGAACAGTCCCAATCAGTGACATACGAGTCAGAATCATGAATATGATCGTCGATATGATCTTCGAATATGACCAGTGTGGAATGGGCAAGCCCTTTGAGCTTCCGCAAAATGGTTGTCAGCCAATAACATAGACCTGAGAATTTGACAGCAGACTCTATGAACCCCGCATACGTCTCACTGGGAATTGCAATATGCTGAACTCGATTCGCAAACTTTGTGCTGAGGAGAGATCTCATTGGCTTCTGCAAGACGAACACTGGGTCGCTGATGAATATTGTATCTTCCTCAAAATCCACATAGGTATCGAAAGCCTTGGTGTATCCTTTCAATGCCTCCTTGAGTGCTTCTCTCGAGACTTTCCGTGTCGGCGGAAGCCGTCCGCAGCTGTATTTCCATGCGTGCCATGTGTTTGTGCTTGACTCGTAGAAAAGCTGGATTACTCGGGGTCGAAGTTGAGCAGATCTGGCCCAGATCATGCATCGCAGCTCCTTTGGCAGTTCGGAAAATATAGTAAAGCTTGCTGGAGCTGTAGACTGCAATTTGGATGCCATGAGTAGTTTGTGACAATGGATAGTATGTTTTGTGCAGGCAAAAACATGAATAAAGGTACCTTCATACATGTAAAGTGATGAACCGATGTCAGAAGCCCCCCTGCCTGCAATGCTCGCCTCCACAGGCTTTGTCAGCCAAGCGGCCGAAGATCCGCTCTTCCCAAGACAACATTTTCAAACTCGCTGCCCTTCAGTTGTGATATCACCAAGACATACACAGAGGCAAGTTTGCGTTACTCCCTTGGCTGGCACTGGCAAGCGCATTCGATCTCTCTCGTAATTGGCTTCCCATTTACTGATTCGTCGGCGTCACTTTAGGAACGCCTCCCGATAATATCTCCAAAGTCCACGGCGACGCGGCCGCAACACCTCCCCCGCATCGACCGCCCTCTTTGAAGTACATAATGTCAATGTACGAGAGTCCTCCCGATGGCCATGTTAGCGGCAATGGTATGCATGAGCTCGAGCTCGGCAAAGCCCCACAAGCTTGCATGTCATGCCGCAAGCAGAAGCGGAAATGCAGCAAGACGCTGCCGGCTTGTGCTCTTTGCGAGAGGATGAATCGGCATTGTGACTACTCCAACGCGGCACCACCTCCTTCGTCGGAAGACTTCAATGCTCTTCGGCAGAAGCTTATGGAGCTTGAGTCACGGTTGAACGGAGGTGGCATGAATCCACAAATATCTCCTTATGCTACACCTTCCTCCACCACAATGGCCACCTCGGACAACCTTGGACCACCTGTTCCCGCATTTACACCACCACAAGACGCTCCCTGGCAAGGCATCCAGAACAGATTTCCAGCAATTGCCTTTCTTGATAGTGATAATTTCAAATATGGGGGGTATGTTTCATTTCAGCTGCTTGAGGACAAAGGACAAAGCTGATGCAAGGTATCCCCTTTAGCATCGTCGTTCCAAAGCCATCTTTGGAGATACCAGTTGTGAGTACCAGCCGTCTCTCTTTCTAGACCATTCACTTCCTGGAAGTTTTGCTTTCATCAGAGGTTCTGTCCTTCACTCGCATCTCTTTGTCTACTTCCGATAACGAGATGTAGCCGTTTGGGCGTTATCCGTTGTTGCAAAGTCGCTGTCTTCGAGCTGATCTTTACACACAAATTACGACGATTCCCTTCGCTCGGATCTTCCTCTCGTCATCTGAACTTTCCAACGTCCCTTTCATAAGATTAGATAACGAGAACCCGTTGTCTGACCTGCTTCTCGTCATCTCAACTTTCCCCTTTTTCTGGTCTTTGTCTTGGCTTGGCCCGATACTTACTAATACTATTAAAGGATGTCCTTGAGCTCTTGGGAGACGCAGCAACTATACAAGCGACAATATCCGAATACTTTGCAACCATTCACAATTGGATGCCGATTTTCTCTCAAAAGCGGCTCACCCGAAATATGGTCAACCCCCTTTGGGAGGCTGGTCCTGACCTTGCGCTTTTGTTTCTTTGTATGAAACTCATAATCTCACGACCACAGGATGGCATCGAAAGCTCTCAACACCCAATTTATGTGTCGGCTAAACGCTTTATTGCTCTGCTAGAGGCTACTGGTGCAGCAACTTTGCTCATGCTCCAGGCCAACATTTTAGTTGCATGGTATGAGTACGGACAAGCCATTTATCCAGCTGCGTACATGACTGCCGGTTGGTGTGTTAGATATGGCAACATGCTGGGCATCAGTGGCAACAAACATGCTACCGATTTACTCGGTCGCCCGGTAAGAATGATTATTTTTCCACCTCAAGCAAAGACTTACCATGGAAATAGGGTACCTGGACTGAGCAAGAGGAACGGATGCGAACATGGTGGGGTGTTCTCATTGTCAACAGGTAAGAAAATCTTCATTTCAAGAAATAAATTTTGCTCATCCCATTGCAGGATTGTTTCACTTGGTAGCCAATCATATGTTCTTAATTCTCAAGAGCCCAAGAGTGACGATCCTCTGCCTGTTAATGATTCTGCATGGGTAAGTTAGCACAGATCGAGCTATATGAGTTTCAGTATCTTACGTTTGTATTAGGAGGCTGGTGAGATGACTGCTGCCAGACGAGCCGTAGTCGGCAGCCCAATCAGCGAGCCCGTCACTTCATTCCCACGCTTATGTCAGGCTGTGATAATGATGGGAAAAGTTTTCTCACATCATTATGGAGACGAATTTGCCTCTGAAGCCGACCAATATAAAGCAGCAAGTGAGCTGTACTCGGCGGCCTCGGCACTTGCAAGAAAGATCCCAGAAGAGGCAGACGCAGAGCAGGATTTTTTCGGTTATGCTAGCGCGACAGCACTGACGTACAGCACTCTATGTTCCCTTTGCGAGGTGTATTCTTGTCCTAAAGGAAACTGCAAGTTAACCGGAAAAGAGTCGTCAGAGATGCAAATCCAGGCCATCGAAGGTCTGAAGACCGTATCCGGCACTATTGTCAATTTCGTTGACCATATCAATGCCAACACACCACTTAGCCAGGAGCTAGATAGAATCAGCCCCATTATCATGGACGCGCTGTATTCTGCTGCCGCAAACTATGCGTGGATGGTTCGTGAGAGCGGCGACGAGGTATACCAGAATGCTTTAGACGCCATTAGACTTTGTCTAAGAAAGCTTGGAACTCGCTGGAGAAATGCGGCCGAGTACGTGCGCATCTTGGAGGCGCAGGAGTTGTAAAGAACCTATTTCTTTGACCCATCCCTCGAGCTTCTGTTATCACTGGTCGGGAGACTGTCCCGTCTCCGGGCTCGCTCCCGGCTCCCTCTTCCCCGAAAAATTATGTTGCTAATTTACTCCAGCTCCTATGCCGTTGGTAGCGCATCGTAAGGCGGATGATATTTGGGCAGGGAGTCAGGCGAGGATGGCAGGGAAACCATGGGCGGGGTAATTACGACATTCACATGAATTCTGCTGCGCCCTGGCACACCTCACAAATATGGCGAACCTTTACTGTAAAGATTGCAACACACAAGCGTTGATCTTACTCTGCCCTTGTTGCTCTGTGTCATATGTCCCACTCCCTTCAAAATCGATTTCAAGGTCAAGGCACCTCTAAAGCAGAAGACGATCAGCGTTATTATTGCTTTTGCATTCATAGTTGTTTCTTCTAATCTCCTATTCTATAACTTCAATCGTCTATAAAAACAACGTCTGTACATGATTCGTCTCCCATCTCAAGAAATCCCCCAAATCATGTCCCAAGTTAAACCCCATCGGGATAACCTCAATATCCTTACTTGGGTCAGGGACCACAAAATCCAGCATTGGACTTGGCGGTAAACTGTCTGCAAGAGACCCCTTTCTTTGCACCTCATTCATACTCCCAATCGCTGAGGTATCCGCAACCACGATTTTCTCTGTATCAACAATCTTCTTCAAACACTCGCTGGGTCTCGGTGAGATTCCTACTTCTTCAGCGCTAACTTGCTCGATATCCTCCTTCCTCTTCCTCCTCAAACTATCTCGTCGTTCTCCTCGAACTTTCAAACTCTTATCGCCAACCATCCTTCCCCACCCCTGATACCCAAACCCAGCCCACCAGTGCAAAATCTCATCCGCCTCCCGCTCCATCCCTGCTAATTCTGCCCACTCTCTTTCCTCCGTCTCATAGCTATCCGCATACCCATCAATCCTCCCCGTCCCCGAAATCGCCATCTGGAACGCAGTCCAATCCAACGCTTCCTCATCGGACTTCGTATTCGGCTCTCGGAATGGAATCGGGACTCTGATAGTCCCGTGCCGGAAAAGGGGTGAAGTGAGAGTGAACGGTGCGCAGGGGAGGTAGATGCAGTTCTCTTCTACTCCTGGCTGTGGAGAAGAGGGTTGGAAAATGGAGGAAACGGAGGTGAATTGCTTGGCGGGTGAGAGTGTCAGGGGTGAGATCTCGGGGATTGTGGGGAGACGAGGGACGTTTCCTGAGGTGGAGGGACGACGGGAGATGCGTTGTGGTGAGGGGAAGGTTAATTCGTTGACTACCATTCCTGCGTCATTGTCTGCGAACTGGACTTTTCGTGGCGGGTTAGGTCTCGAAGGTCTCTTTGGATGTCGCTGCGGTATTGCTGGGGGTGGCAGGGTCGGACTTGGGAAATGAGGAGCGCACTTTTGAGCAGCATCAAGCCGATTGGAGAGACTTTCAAGGTAGAAGGGCTCTGTTGGTGTGTCAATATCATCCTCTGCTTCGGCAACACGAATTGCATCTACGGATTCTCGGTGCTCGATAGAGAGTCTGATGCTTTCTTGCAGCTGTTGCAGTCTCCCGGGCGTCAACATCTCATCGACCTCTGTTCGAAAGATCTTTCCGCTTAGCACATCCACCACATTTGTTGTCATATCATTCAGGGTCCATCTCGACGGCGAACTTGCAACCGGTGGAGGGACACTTCGCAGCGCCCTACCTAAGAGATTCCGTTTCGCTGGCTTCTTCTTTTTGGCAACGGACATTGACCGCAATGCTTGCGTTTTGAGAGGAGTTACTGACGGTCTTGGATTTTTTCTCGGGATACCTCGGATTTCTGAAGCATTGCGTGCCACAGGTACGTCGTCGTCCCAGCCTCGAGTCGCGGCCTTTGCATCGGCCAACGCATTTCCAACGGCCTGGAATGCTGCGTCGGTTTCTCGAATCAATTGCTCGACGTTATCTGAGAAGTCTTCCATATCTGAATCGTATGTATATTTGAGGCTTTGTGTTGGTGTGTTCTCCTCATCCGGAGCTTCCAGCGCCAGAGCTCCAATGAGGTCAAAGGTAGATCCTGCAGCAATTGTCGCTGTCGAGCTCTTCTTTCGGCCTGGTTTCGAAATACTTGATTCCGGTGATCGCGATGGAGAATCTGAGAATATGAGGCGCCATGTTTGCGCATCGTCCGAAGCTTTCTCTGGGGGCAATGGAGGGAGATAAAGAATCTCGGGTTCATTTGATGCGGGCAATTCTTTTGACAAAGGCAGCTCGACCGCGGCTGGATTCGCAGCGCAATCACAACTGCACAAAGAAGTGGCGGAGGAATGCGCAGTTGCGGCTGCCGTGCGATTCTGATAAGCTCGTACTGTCGCCTGGCTGTTGGTTCTTCGAAGTGGTGCATGGTCAATCGAAGGACTTTGAGACAGCCAAGATAGTCTCTTAGTAGGGTTTGTGGACAGTTTCCTGTCCGTGAAACAGAGATCTTCGAAACTATTGCGAGAAGAGTCCCGAATTGGAGGCTTTCGGTGATGAGAGACGAATCGTTTGAGGCGCAACATCGTGCTTGGAGCCTTTTCGCGCCGTATCGAAAAATTGGGTTTGGAAGAGATGGGACTGAAGAAGAGAACGCAAGCCAGTGGAAGATTGCGATCTCGTGACGACATAAAAATATCTGACGACGATGACGCGTGTTTGTTTTGGAATGACATTACTGTAGACAACATCTGGAGGTGACTGAGGGCGATGAGAGATATGGAGTGCTGGAAGCTTAAGACGCAGGCCCACTTCACTTGATATGTGGTAGCACAGATCTGAGCAATCCGGGAATGCAGCCGAAAACAGTTGGAAACCCGTCGGTTTCTCCATTCGCGTGCTTGACAGGAGTGCATCGCGGAAACTTACTTAGGGCCTAAGGATGGTGCCGTAATCGTATATCCTCCACAGCGAACGAACATCTAGACTAGATGGTGATCAAGCCACCAGGAGAAAGTTTGTACGCCATTCTAAGCATTACGTGGGATTGGTCAATGCTGGGTACAGCTCGGTCCGGCAGTGCTGAAGAAGGCCCTGCATGGTACTCTTTAAGACGAGACTGGCACTGCAACAGATGGCCAGAAAGGTGAGCTATCACTCCACCCGATAATCCACCCCATCAGAATATTGGATAGAGCCCCAAGAGGGCCAAGAAGTTCTGTCGAACGCAGGGGAGCTGCAGCTCTGACCACCTCTATCGTCTCGCTTCCTCCATGTGGTCGCTCAGGGGAACACAATGTCCGGGCCGATACATGCAGGATGCTCATGAAAGCGCGATAGTAACGAAATTGTTCCCAACGGCTACCTGCAGCCAACCCATTGGAGAGCACGCTCGCTCCAGAAAAAGACATGAAGTTGGAAGAAACCGTTTGGGTGCTTTATACAAGGCGCACGAATGCCGCAGGAGGCATGAGTTCCAGCTCCTGAACAACGCGTAAAACACCCTACGGTTCGCAGGGACATGGTCTGCTCCAAATGCAATCATATAGATCTTGCGGGAATTCAGCAGTGCAGATTCTGTGTCATGAGGTGCTGCATAAGAAAGCAACTTCCCGTACGAGACCGAACTGTCGTCGAGTCCTCTGCAATGCAGAAGTCGGTTTTCGGAGGAGCACTTTGGGAGGAGATTGACCGAATCCCTCAGGATTGTCAGCTCGAGGACCGATGGTATCAGTGCTTCGCTCCGTGGTGCTCGTTGGGCCATGCTGGAATGAGTTGAAGTGACGTTGTTCAGACGAAAGCCGCTGGCTTCGCCAAAAATAACCTTATTCTCCCCCTGAATATTTCACGTGACTTTATCTTCTAGCTTATTTCAGTGTTGTCCTGCAGGCATCCTATCGTATACACTAGCATATGTTTCCCAAGTCTTTCCCTGTTAGCAGTAGCAGTTTCTTATTAGAAAATGTATATTTGAGTGAGAACAGGTTTTGAGTCACGTGATAACTCTGCTGTTTACAAATGATATCTTCGACTTCCCACGACGGGGCCGGATGGTAGTCTGGCGCACTTGAGGCTGCGGCAAGGCCGCTGAGCCCGGTGATGTTCTACCCATCGCGTTTATAATCGAAGGCAGTTTCTTAGACGAGAATAAGACATTCAAGCGTGCGTTCAGGTGAACCACTTTTTCAATGTGCATTTGCAGGTGAAACACGACGTAAGAGATCTATGAGATGCCACCAATCAAAAGTTGGAGTGGAAGTCTCTCAAAACTAGCAGTAACCATGATGTGCTGTCACTTTTCATCGATGTCTGTCACAGTGTTAGGCGAAGATCGAGGGAAATGTCCATATTTCTTGCGGAGCTAGAGAACATCACCAGAAGGAAACTCAGAGATAGAGGTGTAGCTTTCGAAGCGGAGTTAACTGCAGCAAATGAGAAACTCCATCTATTCACATCTCTTGTCTAATTTTGAACATAACGGCTTCTAGTGAGGCCCGTCGTAGAAGCCGAGTGCCCTGAATCCCCAAGCCGAACTCCTCCCAAAGTGGCCCCATGATGAATTGTACATAGCCTTACTAAACGGTATAAATGCCATTTTAAAGCGTTGAGCCTCGAGATATCGAATGTCAACCAAACGAATGGGTCTACCAGATCGATGAGAATGTCGGGGTATCAAATGCTTCTATCATCATATCTCATGAGTCGTCACACTCTAAGCCATCACTGTCTTTCAATCCACTATCAAATGCTCTCCCTGAAGTATAGAGTGTTTGTTGTGTAACATTCGGTAGAACCTCCGTAGCCCTCATCTCCCAGTCGTCCCGATGGAAAGCCCGTTCCCCTCTTCTAAACCATCACTGCCTCGACTGATGATAGAGCGTTGCATCATCGTCAAAACGAGGGTGGTTTCTCAACGGCTCTTCGAACATAAGGACCGGATCGCGCTCGACCATTCCAGTGGTGGTTGTTGTTTGCATGAATGATGACGACGCGTGTGTTGGCACATGTCTGTATGCTGTCGGCTGCTCCTCCCTGTCCTGCGACTTCGACTGTCTCTCTGGCGGGCCTTTGAAGATTCCCGATAATCGAGAGCCCATAGAGGAGATAGAGGTGGATTTGCGGTGGTGCTTGCGAGAAGGTGGTTGGCGGTATTCATTCTCGGAGGAGAAAGGATTGAGGCACTTCATTATGAGCGAGGGGATGGTGATTGCTGGAGAAAGAATACCCGCTTCGGTGGGCTTCTACTTATGGTCGGATGAGTGGTCGCTTGAAGTGAGGCAACAGGCTATAGCGTTTTCCCTGGAACCGCCGGTTGGGATACTGACCAGCTAAGTGTCTCTGTCGATCCAATGAATATAGACGACGACCGATGATGGAACAAAAATAAAGCTAAGAGACGCAATAGTGTGTATAAGAGTTGATATTTTGCCCTCTAGGCAGACACAGGTGACATATTGCTAAAAGTTTGGAGAGAACCGGCCGCATCCAATGCAAGAGAAAGCCGGCTGTATATCTATCTCGCCTGCAGAGACTTCAGAGATCACGCTTCAGGTCCAGAACCTCAGACAGCAAGCAGAAAATTCTTGATGGTGTACGAGGACTGGTTCGGAGGTGTTGACATTGCAGGACTCTGGTTTCTGAAGGGGTTTGGGATCTGGGACCCAATCGACTGATCGAAAAGGGTGCGAACTCGCCAAACTCCTTTCCGGCTGACCAAAAGCACCCATCCAACCCACCCGCAGCAAGCCACAAAAGGTTCCAGGGGTTCATCGCCCACGCCCTCAAGTCCACGTTCCCGCTTTTGGGGCGGGGTTGAAGAGCTGAGGAACAGGACCGCCTCGTTGGGGCCGAGATGTACTTTTAAACCGGATCAACAGTTACGCATCTGGGCGCCCCATGTGAGGATCACATCCTAATTGGAACGTCTCCAGATTCCCCCGAAATGAGAATTTTACCTCTCTCCGGAGATTCAGGAACAGATGGAACTGAGGAAGAAGCAAAGTTGAGCTGGAGAATTGTCTCGTCTGGAGTTGTCCGATTTTGCCCCCAAGACACACCACGTTGATCCACTGGCCAGCCTGAGTCGAATTGGCCAACAACAAGCAGCTCACAGCCGAAAGGGGGACGAAGTCCCAATTTTCGCCCTATGAAACTTGCCCGCATCTGGACCTTGATAAGAAAAGGGCTGAAATCTTGGCTGAAGGGGTGCGCAGTAATTGGCAGCTTTCAGCTTCACCAACCTGGCATGAAGACGCCTCCCTCCACTTGGGACAGCCACCATCACGAAGATCCCAGAATCTGGACCATTTCGTGCTTGAAGCTCCCAGATGTACCCCGAGCTGATCGCGCAAGCTCTCGGTGGAACCCGAGTCATGATCACGGGAGTGCAAACCGGTGGGGGGCGAGAGTCGATGAGGTGAAGTTCGCTCACCAGCCTCTGGTGCGTGAAGGGTGAAGCTTACATAGCATCGGAACTCCGAATACGACCCGTCTCATCAGTGCACCGCCAGGTACATCTCAGCTGATCGCCATAAGGTTGCAGTTCATTCCTTCCCCAATGCTGTGTTCCAGCTTCCAACGTCACTTCGCGAAGGAATCTGTAGTGAGATTGATAGCCTGAAATCTTACTCAGCAACAAGCTGAGCCCCGCCAACTCCAGCAATCACGAGATTGACGCAATTTGACGTGTTAGAAACCTGAAAATATAAATACGTGATCGTGACTTGATAGGTAGGTCGGCCAGTTGTTCCGCGGCCCTTCATTTTGACATTTATTCTGCCAAATTGTGTGTCAAGTTGTCTTGGATAGCCGAGCCTCCGACCCAGCAGTGACTTCTGATTGATGTACACCGAATGAGGTTCAATCTCGGGCTTAACCGACTCCCGGGACATAGTACGGTGATTTGGATTAGAATCTTAGGACGAGAGATAATCAAGCTACTTCCAGGCTTGTGAGCGCCTCACCTCCCCACTTTACCGCATCGCTGCAAGAGCGAAGTTCTGAACGACCCCACAATACGAGCTGTCGGCGTTCCAAAAACCCCAAAATGGAAGCAGTATTTGATATTCGAGATGACTAGAATGTAACTCTATCCCGGTTCAGGTGCGTTAGCGCCAAGGACAATAAGCACTTCTTAAGTTCTTACGAGCGCCCTCGCCTTTGCAGCCTTAAGATGATTCCAAAATATCTAAAGAACATCTTTTCAATCAAACATCTGAAGCCAAGTGAAGGATTTTGCTTGGCATGAAAGCGGTCGATTCTCCGACCTTCCCGTACTATGCTTGCAATCAGCCATGGCTGGGGAAACAGTGGGGATGTCCGAGCACTAACAGGAAATATTGGCGGCTTGCAGGGAGAATCCCCAAATACTTTAGGTCTGGAAGGGGACAACCCAAAACTTTGACACCGCCTCCACCGTTTAACTCGCATACTTGAACGTCCTCGCCATCAAATCTGATTTCGAGTCCTTCGTAAAGTCTCCCTCCTCAAGCCTCGAGGACGCTGCGGTTAATCCATACTCTGTATCAGTGCAACAGCCGGGCTTGCATAACAGAACTTCGCCTATGCAGTACGGCAACCTTGTGATTCTGGGAACCTGTGGCGGTATCTGCTTTGGGGAAAGTAGCTCTCGACATGCTTGATCTACAGTTCCACACAGCATCAACAAATTCTTTAATGATCTTCAATGCATCATTTTTGTACTTCTGTATTCCTGTTCGTCGATCAGCAGAAGAAATCGATGACGCTGAAACACCACCCCAAAGATAATCGGGGAGGGAGAGATCCATCCGTAACTGCTGCGGCCTTTCTCTGCTTCAACGCTCATGCACTCGCATGACTGTGACTCTCCGGAGTTCCCCCAGCACATGCGGAAGGATATTCGGAGAGACTTCGACAAATGGCACAAGGTTGTGCGGGAATTGCTCTTTTGCGTCACTTGAGAGTGAGGGACAGAAGGGCTCGAATCGGGCTCAAGCACAAACAAATCAATGCAAATCTACCCTGAACTCCGACCTGGCGCACTGAGTTCCCGTGGAGCTCGTGCATGGCATAGGTGACAAAGTCCAAAGACGCACATCATCGGAACGAGGGTGCAGAACAACGGCATGCAAGAATCCATAACCTTGACCGTACTCGAAACAGAAACGCAATTAATGTGTTCACCCCTTTTGTTTATTCAAACAGCACTGCACTTGAAAGACAATTCTGCTCCAACTCGAGGTATAAGTCATAACGCCAGCCAGCCATCCAGTTTGGCTTGAGAAACTCTTCGGACTTCTACGCCTGCAACGTTTCGTATCGATAGAAGGATCCAGGGTTGAAATCCCCCTAGAACATGAGATGATATCAGCACCACTTATCCCAGAATCAATAGAGTCAGCGGACTCAATTCCTGGGTAGTTGACTCTGTAAGAAGAGGAGCAGCAAGGGCCAGCTTTACTAGGCCACGTGACAGTTCAGTGATTGGAACAATGACTAAGCAATAAGAAAAGAATCCACCAGATCTCTTCGGATGTTCTTCCTTAGAGTACTTTACCTTCAAACTTCTTGGCTCGCCCCGAACCACACTAGGTCCTTCTCGAAGTCCTCCTCGGCCATCGATGTCGAGAATTGACTGAGCATGTTTGCTGAGGTACACCTGCCGGTAGTGTGCAGCACTGAAGGGAAACTTAAAAGACAGCTTTTGCAGATGAAGTCGTCCAAGGGAAGAGCGCTCGCTTTCTTCTGAACAAGAACATCACCACAACCTCGACCTCAATTGCTCTGGCGACTATCAGGCTTCCAGGGAACTAGCCGAGGCCATTTAGCGTGTCAAATATCCACGTCTTCAAACAAAAAGCAAGAAGCAGAAATCTCAATCTTGAAGCTCGTCAGAACTCGCGCCATGCTGGATTCAAATTTCATCGCAGAAGTGGTCAATTCTCGGAACATTCCTCCCTTCCTTTCCGTCACTGACTCGTGACAATTTGTCACATCTCTCTTTTCTCCATTAATTTCAAAAGCCTTTCCAATCAACCATTGATGAGAAGGCCCCTTTCTCCACCCCGATGGGTTTTCGGATGTGTTTTTCCTCAAGAAGAGCACGGCCCGAGACGAACGGCAGAATTTTCTTTGCCTCGGCACGCATCATCGCAACTCAGCTCTTCCAGTCTTGCTGCAGACGGACGGCCGTCCACACGAAAGAAGACCAATTAACCCCGTTTATATCTGTCGGCCGCTGCAGCACGCACGCTTTTTCGGACATAAGTCGCATAGGAGGCGGCGTTAGGCAAGTATTGGTCATCAAGAAGGAAAGGAAATAGTGGGATGTCGTCGTGTCTCCACTATCGTCATAGGCAATGGCCTCGCCGTATTCTCCAAACCTATATGTTGCTCGATGCGTCCACTAACAATCTAGCTACTCACCTCTTCCAGCAATACTCGATTGAGCTCTCAGCAAATCAATTGGCCTCCCGCAATCATGGTGCAGAACAAAGCGGTTATCTTCAAGTCCGTCCCCAATGGACAACCTATCCCGGGCAAAGACCTCGTCGTCGAAGCCAGCGAATTTGACCTCGAGCAATCTCCCCCCGAAGGCGGCGTGACGACTAAGAACCTCTATGCCTCCTTTGACCCCTATCAGCGCGGCAAGATGCGAAGCCCAGAAAAGAAGTCCTACTCTCCTCCCTACACAATCGGCGAACCCATCGGAAATGCAGTCATTGCCAAGATCATCAAATCCTCGAATCCGAAGCTCAATGCCGGAGACATCGTTGTGGGCGCTTTGCGATTTGAAGAATATTCGGTGTTGACGAAGGAGACGGCAGATTTATTGAGGAAGATTGAGAATCCGTACAACCTCGATTTGAAGGCATTTTTGGGAGCTTTGGGCATGCCTGGCCTAACTGCATACTCGTCATACTATGATATTGGGCAACCGAAAAAGGGCGAGACGATCTTCATCTCTGCTGCTTCCGGTGCTGTGGGAGCATTGGTTGGACAATTGGCAAAACATGACGGACTGAAAGTCATTGGCTCTGTTGGTTCAGATGAAAAGCTTGACTATATCATGAAGGACTTGAACTTCGATGGAGGATTCAACTACAAGAAGGAGAAGCCAATTGATGCTCTGAAGCGCCTCGCACCAAACGGAATCGATATCTACTACGAAAATGTGGGTGGAGAGCAGCTGGAGGCGGCCCTGGATCGCCTGAACACATTCGGCAGGATTGTTGCTTGTGGAATGGTTTCAGAATACAGCACGCCGGAGACGGAGAGACATGGGATCAAGAACCTTATGCAAATTATAGCGAAGAGGTTAACGATCCGGGGATTTATCGTTGGGGACGAGAATATGGGCCCGAAGTACAGGAAGGCTCGTGATGAGAATATTGCAAAGTGGCTTCACGAGGGCACGTTCAAGGAGAAGATGAGCGTTACTGAAGGTATTGACAATGCTCCTGAGGGTTTTGTGGGTATGCTTCAAGGCAAGAACTTTGGCAAGGCTGTCTTGAAGATTGCAGATTCGGAAGTAAGTGTAGCCCGTTTGAAATGTCTTCTTTCCTGTGCTAACAAGCTCGATAGTAAGTTTTCTAGGTGGGAAGCTATTGCGTTGTTATACCAGTTATTAGACTTCACTTCATCTGATGAATGAACGGCCAATTTACAAAATTTCAGTTGCCTCACTGTCTCGCTCTGATTCGTAAAGTGAGGATATCATAAGCTTATTACCGATATCAAAACATATCTCACAGCCCAGTCACTGATGGAGAAGTGTGAGATATCATAGACAAGTACGCCATGCAATGCAAAATAAGTCACAGCCTGTACAATGGTATCACCACCCATCCACCCCTTTCAACCTCAGCCGCATCCCATTTATTGGCTTTGCCGTAATCGCACCACCAGCAATAGGCACCTCATCCTTGTCCGCCATCTCCATTTCGAACGTGCCCACAAGCACAGCTATCAATACCCTCAACTCGCTCCTAGCAAATTTCTCTCCAATGCAACTCCTAGGGCCATGCAGAAATGTCAGATTGCTATAGTTGCTCCTCACACCACCAGTGTTATTCGCCTTCCCGGTGCTGGGGTCGATCCAGCGCTCAGGCACGAACTCTGCTGCTTGGTCTCCCCATAGAAGAGGCGAGCGGTTGATTGCCCACGGCGAGACGTAGAATTTTGTGCCTTTAGGGATTTGTTGGGTGAGGATTGCGGTTTCTCGGATGGCAACGCGCATGGTGATGGGGACGGTTGGGTAGAGACGGAGGATTTCGTGGCACACTGCGGTGAGGTAGGGGAGGGACTCGAGCACGGCGGCAATATCGATATTTGAGTTGGAAGTGGTTGAAGGAGAGGGGAGGTTACTTCGAATTTCGTCTCGGAGGCGAGTTTGGACATCAGGGTGTTTGGCGAGGAGGTGCAATCCCCATGTCAAGGCTGCGGAGGTTGTTTCGTGACTGGATATCTCAATCAGATTTGCAATTTGGGGAGCATTGGAGAACTGTTTACCCGGCTGCTAGAAACGTCAAAATTTCGTCCACGAGCATCTCATCGGAAAAGTTATTTGATTTGATCAAGAGAGAGAGGATATCAAGCGGCTGCTCCTTCGACGTTTTTGCTAGGTCTGTCTTATCTCGAAGAAGCTGCCGACATATCCTTCTCAGCGAGGCAGTATTTTCGTCCAATCTTTGGTTGAGTTTCCATGGGAGCGCAGCAAGCACACTTCGAGGAAGCAGCGTCGCCGCTGCGAAGTAAAGGCCCTTCTCATAGCTCGGCTCAAGGATTTCTTGGTAGTTGTCGATCAGCTCATCTTCAGCGCTATATAGCGAGTTGAATTGTCGACCAAGACCCGCAACGCCAATAATGTCCATCGTTACTTTGTTTGACCATTGACTGATGTCCAACACTCCTTCAATATGCTTTGGCCGATGGCTGAAGCTTTCATCTGTAGGCGAGGGATTCTCATACAGTTCTGCTGATAGTCGACCAACCAGATCACCGGCCTTAGACCAGAAGACCGGGACTAGGTCTCGGATGTGACCGAAGCTGAACGCTGGAATTAGGTGCTTTCGTTGGAACTTATGATTGTCTCCCTCAGCGACGATCAAGCCATCACCAAGCACGTTCCGGATTATGTTGCGGATTTCAGAGGGCTTCTCAAAATCGTAGTTTTTGTGGACTAGAACCTCGGCGAGTGTCGATGGGTGTGATAATAGAATGTCCTGGCTGTTCATGAGGCCAGGAACTATGATGAGGCCATCATTCGGTATCTCGTTCATGAATTTGATGAAAGTGTCTCCCCCCGGTCTCCTAAATGTTATAGTTGGGTATCCGATAAGGGGAATGACACCCGACTAGTTGCTTTGAGTCAATACGATGGTGTAGCTGGCTGTGGAAGACTCCTTACCGTTACTGCTGGAATGTCCCTCAATGGGCTCCCCCATCTTGGGTATATGAAAGCTTCCCAGACCCCCCACAAGACAAACACAAGAGCGGTAATTATAAGGAAGGATTTAGTAAGCCTTGCCTCTTGCAAGAAAAAATCAGGAAAGAGTATCACGTTGAACAAGCAAAGCGATGCCGACGTCAAGACCAATCTCAACGGAATCGGCACCGTCATGTCGAAGCGAAACATGGGAGGCGACAAGAGTTCCGACATGATTGCAGCTCTCTCGTAGATTTAATAAAAGAACAATAAAACCTCGCAACCAGAGAGCCTCGGGGTCACTGGGGCATACGCATGATTTAAAAGAGTGAGCTGGGTTGTGTGGTCTCTTTGACGCCTGGCTCATCGTATCGTGTTCTCGCGTTCCGTTTCATCCTTGTCAGGGCTTCCTTGAAACCCTTCCTCGACGGCAATTCCTTGCGAAGCTAGGCCGCGTTGGGAATCGCGATGCGACTTTTGTACTGTAGGTCAGAGATCTGGTTGGCATGGACTGTTCGGATCGCGGGGTTCGGACTGTGGGGTTATAGTTTCCATTGTATTGAGTGCTTCCTGAACAATGCTGCTGAGAGCAGGTGATCAGATCGCTCAGCGTGCACGGCAGATTTATTAGCAGGAGTTCATGCCTTTTTATTAATTATTGGTTTGCCATATTTTGATGGCTGGTGATGGAGGTGGAACATTCTGAAAGGTGTACTCAGTGCTCCCTAATTCCCAGGAAAGGGGAAGTCCAGGGTCACGTGACTATGGTTCAACTATGAGATCCCAGCCTTGATATGTCTTGGCTCACTGTCAAACACGCAGATGCGGAATGTTGCCAGCCTTTTCTCACTATTAGGTGTTTCTTGCATACTCCAATGTACTGTAATCTTCCTGACAACCCAGAAGTTCCGGCTTTGAAAGGCGGTAGAGAAACTGAACCTCTCTATAACCTCTTCTATCATAGCCTCGAGTGCCTTGAGAGAACCTGTCAAATTAAGGAGGTGGAATATATTGGTGATAGGAAAAGAACCCTACAATTTGATTCAGTCGCTGACAGTTTTAGGTGGTTTTGTCTGAAACACGGAACAATCAAATTCAACGCAGGCTTCATGCTTTCTACGATTCAAGGAGCTCCCAGCAGAGATTCGACTCATCATATGGGAACACAACATTCCTGTCCCAAGAGCCATACTCATCTGTGCCGATACGATAGTAGTCTCCTACCAATGCAAACACAAGCCAGATCCACATCATGGGCACGTCTACGTACACAAAACACGGGTACCTATAATTCTCCAAGCTTGCGTTGACTCTTGCAGTGTTGGATTAAAGCACCACGAGCTCATATGGGCTTCAAGTCCAGCGCCATATCGGAAAGACCTCCCTGAGGGTGCCAAGAGAATACGCAGCTTGCTTCGAACTCCCTTCCATTATCACACCCTTTTAGTTCCAAGAAACTAATTTACGTTGAATTGGCTCGAGATGCGTTTATCCTCGAGCGTCCTTTCAGCTCGAGTATATTCAAGACTAGTACGCCCAAGAACGTTTTGGATCGCATCCGCTACTTCGCCGACCCGCTTGATTATCTGGGAAGGAATGGACTAGATTTGGCGAAATGGTTGCTTGAGACGTTCAAAGACGTGTTAAGTGCTATGGAAGGAGTGGCTATTTGGAGGGATGTTCCCGTGGACAGGGGAGAATGGGAAAGGGCGGCTATCGAGCTGTCTAGGAGGCGGAATAGTAAGGGAAGAAATGCCTGAAGGCTAGGCTATTCAAATCTATGGCAGGACTTACGGAGGCATTGTCCCAGAATACGTTTTGGGGGTCTCAAAGCCGAGGCATGGGACTAGGGGCTTGAGGGACTTGGGTAGGATCAGCTTCATTCTACGGGAAGCAGAGCTACAATGGAGCTCCAATTTCTCAATGTCCCAGGATATTCGGGACACCAATCAAGTCGAAGGCAGTCGAGATATCTCAGAGTATCAAGTAACAAAAGCAACGTTGCAATACCCAGAAAATCGAAATGTTCCAGAGTCTCCAGCATCAAGTCCATCAATGTTCCCCAAGAGTTGAGAACAACATCAAATCCAAGAGGTACGTCCAAATGTTCCAGGTCGCCAAGAACATTAACGTCTTCTCCTATTCAGTTCCATCTTCATCGAAATGCCCCTGAACTCCTTTCCTTGGAAGCGCTCAAAGCACAACGCAGCATGGTTGTCTCCTTGTGTAGAACTCTCAAATATAATGAAGTATCCGGTCTGGTCGGCGCGGATATACTTCGGAGAAAAGTAAGCGTTCTCTATCATGGTCTTCATATGATGGAGATTGCCGTATCGGAACGGATTGTTGGACAAGGGGATGAAAATAAAAGCGCTATCGGCCAGCTGCCCTCGGATCGGCTCAGACTCGATCATCATATCCGCACGAGGACCTCTGGGGCCATCAATGAAGGGGTCTTCACTGTCGTGCAACCTAAGAGATGGAGCACCTGTAGAGCTTGATGGGAGTGTGGTATCGGAAGCCTTACGCTTAAGAGTAAACGAGAGAGGAGGCCGAGCCGCAGTCGGGGATGAAGCAATTGACATCTGGTCAGAATCTGGGTGGGGACGAGACGGTAGGGGAGGAGACGTCGCAGTAAATCCTTTATTTTGAGTGGCGAAATCATGAGGGCTTGGGGGACCGACGCCTCTTGCAGCTCTCAACATCTAATATCCATTTAGCAAAGCAAATTTGGATCTAGCTAAGTAATATTTACCTCCAGTTGTCTGAATGCATGGCCCCAGTTTCTCCGCTTCTCCAGCTTGGGTGTAATTTCACGGTGCAGTTGGTCCAGCCTAGAAAATCCTCGAGTCAGCATTTCCTATCTCAAAGTGTCCTGGGAGCAAGCTCAACAATAGGAACTCTCTCAGGATGTCGCGAGAATACATGTGATGAAGTAGAAGTATCTCACAATATGGGGAAAGGAGGGACCTTGGGTTGTGCTTACTTCTCCTGTTTGTCCTTCTCCAGCTTTCTCATGTCATTCTTGAACTTGGTCTCTGCTTTTGTGATCGTTGCATCCCGCTTCTTCTTGGCTTCCTCGAAATTCAGACTATACTCAGCGAGTGTGGTAGATTTGCGAACTTGTCCTTTGGGATCATTCTCAAAAGTCAAGTAATTGTCTCGAAGAATCTGCTCAAGCTCCCCCTCGGTCGGGCTGGCGGTGATGGCTCTATCGCCAGTTGAACGTCCTTGATCGCGTCGAACAGTTTCTTCGGATGGATGACCCATAGTACTGGCCATATGTGGGACATCCTGCGACGAGCGCTCGCCATGGTCATACTGGGGATGGTAATGATCATAATGGCGGCCAGGTGGTTCTGGTGCTGTAGAGCGGCGGAACTTCTCATCATGCTCTCGAAGGCGATTGAGCAAATCGACTTTCACGCCTGACTTAGGAAGACCACGCTCAGCACATTTCTTCTTTAATGCCGAGACAGTGAGATCGCTCCACTGGGTATCCATTGTTCCGTTGCGGCGTAATACTTTGGTTGGTGGAGTTGTGGTCAAGGGAGATCGAGACGAGGCTATTATTCGACGAGGGATGGAACATGTAAATTTATTTTGAAAGGTGAATCTGTTTTGACTTGACCCCGACGCACTGAACAATGAAATGGAATGTTTGAACTTCATTGAGGACAACGCATCGACCCCGATTCCATCACCTTCGGGGTATCGTTTAGTTGTTCGCTACCACTTCAAAATTTGAGACTCGAACCTTTGTTTGAATCTAAATGGATAGGTTACTTTTAAGTAAAAGTCATAGAATATTAGATTTAAATGTAGTGAAATCCCCCTGGGCTTAAAGAAGGGTTACTATTTTCGAAGTGTTGCAAGGGAAGTAGACGAATTTCACAACGCTTCGATTGCGATTGCCATAAATATAGCCTTGGTTGTCTATCTTCCAATGTCTCGACATCACCGTGTATAACGAGATCCATTCTGGGAGAAGCAGTTCTCTCAACCACCGAAGTCTATTTGTCCTCCATGCTTCTTCCACTTGACTAGTCTGATTTCGATGACCACATCAACAAAAGCAATTCAACTGTGTAGGAATCTCCCTCAACCTCGAAAAAATCGCACCTTGCCTTCTTGAAAGCCTTGGACGTTGCATCGGGAGAAATCCAGCGTTTACGTGAAGTACTGCCCTTAAGTAAGAACTGCTAGTCGGGTGTTATCAACTTTGAATGGAGTTCAATGTGCTAGTTGACTCGAGACATTGTCCACCTCCATATCCTGACCCTCCACCTGACTCTATAGGAACTTCTTAACTATATTGTTCACAATAATGAGAGCTTACTTCCTCTCAGAAACAAGAGCCATTGCTCCCGACTTTTCTCCCCACAGGTTATTTCGAGTTGCTTCGTGTGGAAATTAAACTCAGCATCGCTCATGGTGATACGAGCCCATCGCTTCAAGCCGTATTCTTCTTCGATGTGCTATCGCTGTTTCACGCCGTCTAGGTCATTGCTCCAATCAAGGTCTGAACATTGCGTTGGTGGTTTTGCTTGTCATCATCGACGAGGCGACGGACGAGGCCGAACTTGTTACCGGCGACGCTCAATCTGCGATTCGCACATTCCGCCTTGAGCTCGTACACTTTCTTCTTATTGTAGTCCATGGTGCGGGCGTTGGAAAAAAGGTCGAAGTTGTGTTCGGTCAACTAGGGAGAGGAAGGGTGGAAGAGATTTGAAATTGAAGTAGGCGAGATATTTCGCAAGCTACATTTGACTTGGTGAATGTGTTGAACTCTGAAAAGACGGATCTCGATTTCAGCGGGCTTCTTCAATATACTGACTTTCATGTGCTGGAACCTTAAATGCTGATTGATGAGCATGAGGTTTCCTTACCTTAGATTGCAGGAAAGGCACATTACAAAGGGCTCGAAACGATGACCACTTGATCCTCTCAAGGCACAATCAAAATAGCGGCAAGCTAATTGAAGCAAGAGAATTTTATTGCAGGATTGTCTCACTGCTCAATGTACCAACCAGCCCAGTCCTCCCATTGCAGCCTCACCACAAGAAGTACAATCTTGATCCTATCACCTATGCATGCCAAATCCTCTTAATGGCTTCTGTAACACCAACATCGTTGGTCTCAAATTCATACAATCCAACACCAACTGTAACTGTAGCCAATCTCAATCCCCACCAGAATAACATCCTTGTCTTCGGCAATCGCTTCGTGGGGATGTAGTCGATGACGATAGACTCGAAACCGATATGTGAATGGATGAGAATTGTAGCACAGAGAATAGCATCCATGGTAGGATTCAATGATCCTGCGGCAAATGGGGCGATCGTGAGAGGGATGAGGCCGGCAGAGACAAGACGCTCAAATGTCCAGTGGTACGAGCCATGTGATGGGTTCGCAGGTGGTACGGGTGCTGGGTCGTTTGCTATATAATCATCAGTGAAGTTCTGAAGTTCAGTGGCGGATGGATATACCAGTCCCGTCAATCACCTCTGCATCAGATGTTAGCTCTCAAGATAGTAGTTGGGATTGGAGCTTCAGCTTACGGGGAAGAGGAGGAAGGATTGCTCGTCTCCCACAGGCATGGAAAGCAGCAACTCGAACTGCGCCTGGCAGAGCGTCCTTTACAAGAGCATTCCGTACAACTGGTCTCAATAGAACGGATGCTGCGGGCTTGGTGTTGGTGGGGAAGCTCGAGGAGAGCTTTGTCGAGAAGGTCCGCTTCGAAGTAGCTGCGAAACAGGTCTGGCGAAGCATTGCTGGTCGAACAATTGAAGCCATCTTCAAATCCTGCGATCCGCCGAGGCACAATGGATAAGAGGTGTTGATGTTCTGATTTCGAATGTCGTACACACTCCCGGAACAACTCCCTCGGCAAGACTCGCGCTTACCCAAAACCATCGGAACTGCTCTGATTGGCTGGCGAAAAGAGCTTCGCAAATCTGATGAACAACTTCAAATCCCGGCATTCCACGACCTCAATCCAAGAACTCCCTCCATCACCGTCACTCACATCCCCATGGCATCCCGGCGGTTAGCTCTCAACCTTACTCAAGGATTGCGCAACCGCGCTGCCCTCAATGCCGTCGCCCCATTGAAGAGGGGCTTTGCCACGCCTGTCGTGAAAAATGGCGTGAAGACGGAATCCACAACTCTGTCCAACGGACTCACGGTAGGCATGGGAATCCGGAGAGATGGAAGTTTCTAACGTTATCAGATTGCTACGGAGCACTCACCATGGGCACAGACGTCGACTGTCGGGGTGTGGATTGATGCTGGATCTCGAGCGGAAACGGACAGGACCAATGGCACAGCTCACTTCCTGGAACATCTTGCCTTCAAGGTATGACTCAATTGGCTCAAATATGGTAGACGAAGGCATTGATGATGGCTTTAGGGTACCAGCAACCGAACACAACAGCAATTGGAGCTCGAAATCGAGAACATGGGCGGTCATCTGAACGCCTACACATCCGTATGTTTGGATCAGCCGGAAAGAGGGACAGAAGCTAACATCGTCCGCAGCGTGAGAACACAGTATACTATGCCAAGGCCTTCAACGCAGATGTACCCGCTACTGTCAACATCCTTTCCGATATCCTGCAAAACTCCAAGCTCGAGCCCCAAGCAATCGAGCGAGAGCGAGACGTTATATTGAGAGAATCAGAAGAGGTGGACAAGCAACTGGAGGAAGTCGTATTCGACCACCTACATGCAACAGCTTTCCAAGGACAACCTTTGGGCCGTACAATTCTAGGCCCGGCCGAAAACATCCAAAGCATTCAGCGAGACGATTTGGTCAACTACATCAAGACAAACTACACAGCTGATCGTATGGTCCTAGTTGGTGCTGGAGGTGTTCCTCACGCTCAACTCGTCGAGCTTGCTGAGAAGCACTTCTCGGGTCTAGCTACGGAGTCTTACACCAGTGATGCCGCTGCTTACGCCGCTGCCCAGAAGAGAAAGCCGGACTTCATCGGCTCTGAGGTCAGAATCCGTGACGATACTATCCCAACTGCCAACATTGCCATTGCCGTGGAAGGCGTTAGCTGGAAGGACGATGATTACTTCACTGCTTTGGTTACACAAGCAATTGTTGGAAACTGGGATAAGGCAATGGGCAATGCTCCTCACATGGGCAGCAAGCTTAGTGGCTTCGTCCACAAGAATGACTTGGCCAACAGCTTCATGAGCTTTTCAACAAGTTACAGTGATACTGGGTAAGTGTTTCTACTCCCTCTTTTGAGAGTTTATAAACTTAAAACTGCAGTCTCTGGGGTATCTACCTTGTCACCGACCAGCTTACCCGTATCGATGATCTTGTTCACTTCACACTTCGCGAATGGTCCCGGTTATCATACAACGTAACCGAGGCCGAGGTCGAGCGCGCCAAGGCTCAACTCAAGGCATCAATCCTCCTCTCCCTCGACGGTACCACGGCTGTGGCAGAAGATATCGGACGACAAATCATCACAACCGGTCGCCGCATGGGCCCAGAAGAGATCGAGCGTGTCATTGGTGCTATCACGGAGAAGGACGTTATGAGCTTTGCTCAAAGGAAGTTGTGGGATCAAGACGTGGCTGTCAGCGCCGTGGGAAGTATTGAAGGTCTCCTCGATTACAATAGAATCCGCAACGACATGTCGAGAAATGCATAAGCGGGGTAGACACGGGCAGAAATACTGGGGGTTGTTAGAGTGTATAGTGCGAGATAGCGCAGCTTGTTGTTTGTACACATAGGTTCCATAAGATGATTCCATCCCCTTGCATGACGCTGATGTTTGTTCTATAACCTGGGGAGTACAAGATACTGACAATATTACCGACGGAAGTCCCGTCACCTGATTGTAGCGTTGTCTTCTTCGGTTTCTGTTTTGTTGCTTGGCCTTTTAATTTTGGGCTTAAAACACCTCGAGTCTGTTGAGCATTTATAAGAAATTACCGTCTTGGCCAAGGGATTCGAATAAGGAGCAATGTCGAAGTTGACCTCAGACATCCGGTGAACAAGAAGTTCCTGGCGGAGAGGCGGTCGTGAATATTCCCCGCGAAGCCGGACATTTTTCAGGATTGATCAATCTCGGAAAAGCATTAAACCCAAGAGCTAAGCCCAATCGAGATAATCCCTCTCCACGTTTTCAAAGTATTGGCGAGCCAATAGAAATTCGAACTGGGCTTTGCAATGGTTTCCGGAGCCTCGTCTGCAGGTTAGCGGTTGAAATTCTTGAGAGTGACTGTTTGACAAGGATCAGAATCCTTCTGCTCCTCGCTCCCTGCGGGGTGTTCATTGGCCCCTTTATATAAGCGAACCAGCAACATGGCCCCCAATTATCAAGAGGAAGCATGCGCCCAGAGGCGCAGGCCCATGAGGAGCTACCCGTGCGTGGGATCTTGGCTTCCAAATCCTCAATTGCATTAGTCTGCATCATGATGATCACGCATCTGTGGAAGCCTTGCTGTGATCGACTGCCGCATTTCTCCTTCTGGATTGTGGAACGAGTTTCCGAGTCCCGAGCTGCTATCGTGACTGGTCAGTGGAGAAGCTGAGCCATGCCGCGGGGGGGCGGAAAGCCCTATTTCGTCCTCAAGCAGCAACAGCGAGCTCGGCAACAACCCCCTCTTTCCGTGAAGGATCGTTCCTCCCATTGGCTCCAAATGCTCAAGGCTCTGCCTTGTTTAGAAGTTATGAGATAACTGGAGGTTGAGCCAATTGGAGGGGTTGGGTTCACCCGAAAACTGCGCCATCCTGGTAATCGAAATTCCTTTTCTCGATGATAGCCTGTTAGAGGATGTTAGACTAGACCTCGTGTTTGGGAACAGTCGAGTTACATTCGAGAACGAGGTGGGGACAGTGCTCTAGGTCCCTAATCTTAAATACTAGGTGCCTTTCGCCGCACTCCCGCTCTTTCGTTTTCCCCTCTTGCTCTTCCACTTCGAGGCTCGGCACCAAGCGCTGTCCATTTTCAGCCTGATTCCACAAAAGTTTTGAACTCTTTTAATTGTCTAATAAGATGTCTCTCCATCTTCGCCTCATTGCAGTTCTTGCAATCGTCTCTTCTCAAATTCAGTATGGTCAGGCTTTACTTAATAACTGCTTCGATGTCACAGGCGCCCAAAACTTCGACCGTTTCGCATGCCAACCGAACGCAGCACAAAGTGCTTGTTGCTACGCCGGGGATCTGTGTTATAGCAGTGGACTTTGCGCTCCTGGTCCGACGACAAAAACGGGCTACACGCCCTTCTACGTGGATGGCTGCACTAATTCCTCGTTCTCCGCTCCTGCTTGCGTCCCAAACTGTGTTAAAAGCGAGTTATACCTTTCTTCTAGCCCCTTGAAGACATCTAGTTTGTAAAAAGCTAACGGGAAATAAACAAAGGTACCGGAAACGGTCTCCAAACGTGTCAGAGCCTTGGTCCCAATCATTTCTGCTGCTACGGCCTCAATGGCTGCAATTGTTCAGATCCATCTGCGGTCTTCACCCTGAACTTAGGAACGGTTGTTACGACCATAGATCCCTCCGCAACTTACACAGCTAGCGTCAGCAGTTCAACCAGCAGCTCGCTAGCTACCACGACATCCTCATCTTCCCCAACGGGAACGTCCGCGACCACTACCCCCAGCCCAGCACCAACCCACGGTGTCGCCATCGGGGTTGGAGTTGGTGTTGGCATCGTAGGCGTAGCTGCGTTCGCGGGACTAGGCTACTTTTTCTTCCGTCGTCGACAATCGAAATCGAAGGCCTCGGAGTTGTCAGCCGGGCCAGGTTCTCAACCTCCGCCGTTTCAGGAATACTATAACCCGCCAGGGGGGCAGAAGCCGCAAGGAGGATACCAACAGCAAGAATACCCGCAAACGCCGATGACCGAGTTACCGGAGGGTAGACATTACCAGCCTGTGGGAGAGTTGCCGGGTCATGGGAATTACTGAGCGTATCGTTGTTTGGCGTTGTTTGCTAAACGGAGCCAGAAACATAGAGGAAGAGATGGACACCTTTAGAAACGTCGACCGAATTGAATACGATTCTTGTGGGAAGGGAGGATTTGAGGCTTAGGAGCTTCGCGTCGGCCGTCACTGATTAGAAGTCCGAGAGAAGGAAACGCAAAGAGGAAAGCGAAGGAAGGCCGAGAGAGAGCGTCGAAAGACATCAGGGTCTTGGCGGAGACATTGTGCATTAGTGGCGGAAGCTTCGAAATAAGCTTTCTTGGCACGTTGAGGGGCGAGGGAGGGCGTATAATTTGATATACCCTCTCCACCCGCTGCATTAAGCTAACTAATAGATTAATCGTGATTTCTTTGAGATCCCTATAGCGACTTTCGGGGCACGCATAGCTATTCTATAGCGTATATAATTTACTACTGAAATTTAGCACATGCCTTACTAAGTTCTGGCGTATTATGCCCCTTTATCTCATCGCGGGGTTAGGCTCAGTGAGAATTTACCGGGGATCTGGGATATACTTTTTGCGTGGTGACTTAGCGAAAGGTATGCTAGAATCTGGTGAGGCAGCCCTATAATTTAGTGAAACGTGCGCTGGATGCGCGGTAACTTAGCGGGAGGCATGCTAGAATCTGGCGAGGCTACCTTATAATTTAGTCAAGTGTGCGCTGGAGGCCTGGAAGGCCGTGTGCTAGGTGGCGCTGTTTTCGTTGGCTTGATTAGTGCGGCATTGAGCAAGGGTAGATCAAATTCAAAGATAACAGAGCAGGGTGTATCAAATTATACGTCGCGAGGAGGGAGATTGCAAGGGCGTCAAGCACCCCCATTCTATGGTCCCATCCTGATTAAGAATCAACCCTAAAGACTTTTAAACCCCATTTACGTTTTTCTATTAATATTTTCCATACCGTGGCTCCAGAAAGTATTCAGAGTAGCGATTTGCTTCAATTGCCTTTTAGTGAAGGGTCCACTCGCATTCGCTTGCTTTCGAATCCCAGTTCAAAACGTCTCTCGATTTTTAAAAGAAATGGCTTTGAAAGGACTTTCGGAATCGGTCAGATATTACAGTAAGTCATCAAGGGAGCAGGGCGAAAGTGTTGAGGGCTTTAAAATAAGAACGTAGTAAGAACGTTTGAGTGAAGAGATGGTAGGTTATCCTGAGAACTGTGGTGCTGTGGTTTGTAAGATGCTGAGTATAAAAACATAATCAAAAGGTTTTGGCAATTGAGAGATTCGTGCAAGGGTCTTGAGAAACTCGCACTAGATGAATGGGTTCTAGAAGGGAGGAATGAGTGGTGGGAAGCAGTACTCAAGAGGGATGGGTTGATTGTTAATGTTTGGGGTATTGTGTCCAAGTAACTTGTAAAGTCTTTTCTTGCTCTGAAGTACAAACAACAACTGGGAAGTCTCCTTAGCCAAGTTTGCAAACAGATTTCCTTTTGCCTCTTTTGACTATTTGGTGGTTTCAAATTATGTTGGATCGTGCGTAGCTGAAAACCTTGGCACAAGGGTGCGGAAACGAGATGCAAAACTCAAATTGCACGTGCAAAAGGGACGAAGGAGGTCTAGTTGAAGAATATAGAGACGGCACGAGCGCAGGAGTTGGGTGGCGCTTGAGCAAACTATTGCCGCAGAGAGGGGCTGCCTGCCTGTGGGTGGAAGGGCAAGGATTCCTGTCTGAATATTGTTCTTTCAGCTAATATTAGACTTACCAGGAACCTCAAAGCCTCGGTATATGCGCAACCTTCCAGTCGGATCCTGTCATGGGCAACAATGTTGTGACGGAAGCTACTCTGGAAATACCTATATCTCGAGAGTTGCAAGGCATCCAGACCGCATTCTATGCCCTTCCAAATGTAAATGCAATCTTACCCCAGGTTACTAGTTCAAGAAATCTACCCATTAATCTCGATCCGGAGTCTCCAGAAGGGTCGCCTGTTGTAGCCGACATCTCTAGTTTAGAGCCTCTCCATGATGACACTGGGCTGTTGTGCCACAGCATGCATCGAGACACGCCGCGCAGACAGCGAAGTACGTATATGTAGAAAGATATACATCTCACATCGGATCATGCTGATTCCGAGATTCTCCCGTGCTTCTCCACTTGCGCGCCTAGCTTGGTCAGATCAGAGTGATCCTAATCGCTCTTCAGCCTGTACCCAAGTCAGGAGACGACCCGCGAGCAGTGGCCCTGAGCAAGCACCTGCTCCCAGAAAACGGCGTACAAACGTCCGTGGTGCATCGCCTGGGTCCATCATCAGACGATCTTCGGTTCTCGAGAGCCTTCCCCAAGGTTCGCACTACATTTTCATCAGCGCAGCAGAAGTCCCAGTCAGCGGTATAAGCCAAGAAACCATGGAGAGACTCTTCAATCGCTAGAAAGTGTGTGTAAGGGCTGATAGTACGAGATACTTTCTCGTGTTTTGGCTGTGAAGAAGAGGATGCAATGAGGGCTCGGGAATACTGCAGACACTTCAGAGATAACGAGATCAAGTTTGAGAGGAGGTTTATTCTCGGCCTTAATGCAGTTAAAAAGGATGAGGCTTGTTTGAGGACTTAATTGAGATTGCTTCGAGTAAGCCTTGCATGCAACTCCAGCAATGGAAAAGAAAGTCGCGCTTGTGAATTGAGTGTACAGATGGCCAAATAAAAAGCACAACTTGGAGATTGATCCTGCTGACTATCCGTAAGTAAACCTTCTGTATTTTCAGTCTTGAATGAAGGTGTTTAATGTCGACGTTGTGATACAAAGACTGCCAAGCAGTATCCAGACTCCAGTCTCACATCGAGGGAAAGATCCCACGATCTTCAGCGCCAATCTGGAACTGCTGTGGCAACAAGGTCGGAACATACCACGGGTCTAGTAAAGCATCCCAATTGATATCCACATTTTCCATATCTCCCAACTCATTGCTCGTATTCGCACCAAGATCCGAATCCGCCGCTTCAAGCAGCTGTACCTCCTGCCGTTTCTTCTTCATCGAGTCCCTCAACAGAATCCTCAATGTGTTCACAGCTTCAGTCGAGACATGATTTTGTAGCTGCGCAGCAATATTCTCGAGCGTGCACATTGCATTTTGAACTTGGGCAAGACTGTCTAGGGTGTCGATTGCCAGGAGAACACAGGCATATTGGAAGACGGTGCACAGGACATTCCACCAGAACTTGTTCTCCTGTGCAAGTTTACACGCCGCTTCCGTGGCGGTATTGCCAATGCTGATGATCAGCAATATTTCTTTCTTGTCGATGGGCTGTTTGAGTAGACGGTGGTGTCGGTAAAGAGACATGCAGAGATCTGCCTTGGACATTGAGATGAAGGGGTGCTCGTCGGGTATTTGTTGGATCTGTGGAAGAGTATGGTGGAGATCAGGGCCTGCATCCAATGATTCTCGTGGAACTAGCTGAGCCACTGAGATTAAGAGTGCCGTGTAATCGCCCTTGCTTGATGTAGGTTGTCGGCAAGTGATGTTATTGAGAGATGAGCTGGACCGTCCATATTCATATGAAATCATAGAATTGATCATCCAAGCACACCAGAATAATCGACGGGCCTGTTCGCATCCGCTTTGATTTGGTACAATTTGTGATGAGGAGTCCGTCGTCAACACCACTGCATCCATCTCGTGATGGATACCTGTTGCTTCCGCCAGATGCATGGCAATATTGCTAGCAAGCCAGGCCATGTGAGGCCTAGTCGTTAACCTCAAATACAGTGTCCTGAGTATCCACGCAGATACTTGATCGATGGAAACCCGTCGACTTATCACTGGATCCTCGAGGATATTCTTGGCATGCTGTACAATCTCCAACTCCCTTGGATGTCCCAGAGTAGCAGAAAAGAAAGACCCCAAAGCAACAACGCCAGCAAGAATCGCCTCAAAAGCGGAATGGCCACCGGTTTCACTCCAGAACTGATCAGCATTTCGTGAAAATATTTGTTTGTCCAGTATCCCAAACATCGGATGCACGGCTTCAAAGTATACTCTTTGGTAAAGCTCGAAATTCTCTCTCGAAATCAAATCCTTTAAGTTGGTATGGTTGCTTCCATCGTCTTCTTTCCTGATACCACAATTCCATGCGAAAGAGTGCACCCGCGGAGGATTCGCTGATTGGAATTCCAACCCTAGATTCCTCGGGAATGCCATCACGGAATGAAGACCCATATACCTCGTCTTCACCGGATCCAGAATCCCTTGATGATCGACAGCTGATTCCGGCGATTCCGGAGTCTCATCACGCTCTAATCTCGCTATTCTTGCTGCTTTCGTGGGACTACTTCCGAACGGAGAGGCCGTCGAATTCGGGGACACGTGAGAGGCATGTGACTTGCCGACGAACGGGGCTGAAGGGCCATCGTCGGCGGGGTATTGACATTGGTAACCGTATGTCGAACATGCGGAACATGGGAATTGGACGTCGCATTTCCTTTTGCGTTGGCGGCATGGGAGGCAGGCTTTGCGGGCACGCTGACGTTTTCGCGGTGGTCGCGGATCAACGGCAAAAGTTGATTCTGACATTGTGGATGCGAGATGGAGAAAGCGATGGCAAAAATAAGACAACTCGTGAGGTCAGATTAGGAATCTAATGGGTGGCGATGGGATATATACCTTATATGAGAGGTGCCAAAAGAGCTGTGGAGGTCTAGACAGAGGGAGGTGCTCGCTAATGTAAGCAACAGCGATAGGGGGCTGAATAAGCTTTCTCCAGGCTCGCTTACGGACCGTGCTAAATGCTTAAACATTCTTGATAATCAAGTCAAGCCAATCGTGTACAAGTTGAAAAATACATATGTCGATCCCCAAGTCTTTCAATGTCTCAGGGAACTTCGATACATTAGGGGTACTTCCGCCAATCAAATGGTGACTTGTTAATGTCCTTGGCAAATTCGTGAGATTACATTGACATAAAGCCAGAAGACGTCGATTCCACGCAATGATGGTTAATATATTGGAGTTGGAAGGTCTATTTCTGGTTTAACCCAACTCATAAATTACATCCACTCTATGCTTCAAGAGAGGACCTCTCCCTTGATCTAACATTAGCACTCCTCGTCTCGTCTCCCCTCGCCCTCAAAAAATGGCTCGTACCAAACGCCAAAGCAGTCAAGACCCCCAACCCACTAATCCCAAGCCCAAAATACAGCGCCCCTCTATACCCCCTCAACAAACCCTCCTGCCCCGTTCCCCCAACTCTCCCTTCAATAGTCCCCGCCATCCCAAGCCCAATGGAAATACTGTAATTAATAATTGTGTTCACCAAACTAGCTGCTACACCTTGTTCCTCCCTCCTCATCCTATTACTCAACAGTATCGTCGCAGCCGGGAAACTCATATCCATTCCCCAGGGCATGACAACCACCGCTACAAAAATCTGCGCCCAATATATTTGGCTGACAGGGGCGGTAACGACGAGAATCGTGCCAGTCATGAACGCAAGCATAGCTATCAGCATGACGAACGACGCAGGGACACGATGCAGTATCATGCCAGTAGTGAGCGCCGCGAAGAAGCCGGAGACGGTGGTGGGCACGAAGTACGCGGACGTCAGCAAAGGGGAGGCGTGCTTGAGCTCTTCGCAGAATTGCCAGAGGTAGTAGACCCATATCCCAAAGCTGGACCACCCAGCTGCGACGCAGCCTAGTACGAATGCTGTATCTGTTGATAATGCATCTCGGGGGATGAGCGGAAACGTGGCGCGGGACTCGATGAACCCGAAGAGCGAGAGAAAGAGGAATCCGACTATGAGGAGGATGTACGTGTAGGGTGTTTTCCAGCCAACGACCGGCCCCTGGTTCCAGGCGAAGTTTATGAGGACTAGTGCCGTGATGCCGGTTATGGAGCCCCAGCCATCAACTCTCGCCCAGGCCGTGATACCGTCCTTTCCCCCGGAGAGATGGGGGGAGGGCGTGTGCGGGATTGCGAAGTAACCTGCTATGGCGAGGAGGAAACAAATTATTCCCATGACCCAAAATGCCCATGGCCACCAGACGCGCTGGGCGAATAAGCTAGAGAAAATGGCACCAAGAGTAAATCCGGTCGGTGCTGTGGCGCCGAAGAGACTGAATACCATTTCTTGTCTCCTGCCTGGTGCATACGTTCTCCCGAGGATTGCAATTGCATTCGGGAGTAAGAACGCAGGCCCAATTCCTTGAAGAGCTCGGCAGATATCGAAGAATATGACTCCTTTACCGCCGCCTCGTTGCACATAGACAGTGAATCCTGCCATCAAGCTCCAGAAACCGAACCACAGGAAGCCGGCTATGAAGAAGCGTTTGTGTCCATACAGATCCCCAAGCCGGCCAGCAATCAGGATGAAAGTCCCCACAGTTAGAGAATAAGCAGCTGGAATCCAGGACAGTTGGCCTGGAGATGTGATGTTGAAACTATCGCCTATTATATGTAAAGGAGCAATTGATTGGCCAAGAGCGGCTTGTGTCATGAGCTGGGCCATGCAGAGGACGCCTACGAAGGCGATTTCGCGGGGTAGGGACTGTGGATGTCCCATGCGACTCTGCACAGGGTAGAGAGATGGCGGTCTTGTTTCTTCAAACTTGGATTCCATATCGCTTTCTTCTGGCGACTGGATTCCGCTCGGAATAGAAGTTGGAGTTTCCATGCTGGAAAAGGGGAGAAACGACTACCACGTGAACCTTTTCCGGAAAGGCAAAGTGTGTACAAAGAGCCCGATGGAGAAAGTCAGACTATCAAAGCAGAAAATGGGACATCTTTGAGGAGACTTATGAATGATTTGAAATTTGACAGGAGTGGGTATTGGATCCACCTCTATACAGATGATCCGTCAGGCTTGATCCAATTTACTAGGTGAAATGGGTCTCGTCCGCACTACCCGCAATACCCACAAGTCTCCGCTTTCACCGCTGCGTGACATCCACAAAAAGCATAAAAAAGATCGCGCTTGCGATGTCATTGGGAAGTTCGGCAATTTTCAGTTGAACAATAAGGGAGCGGTATCTGAGCGCGGCATGGGAAAAACTCGCAAACGTAGAAATGCCCTTGATTTACGCCTCGCTATGCTTTGCCTGCTTGCTATGCCGAATATGCAATGCTATACAACAAACCAAACTCCAACCACGCTGGTATATTTGCCGTCCTTCAAACGTTTCCTCTTATACCGCTCCCAAGACTCCAATGCTGTGAACAGATCAGTTACGTGTCAAGCTCAAACTTTTTTATCATCTGATTCCTCCCGCTCAAGACTGAGCCCTTCGACCCCGGTGATGGACTCAGCAGCCCAATCGGCTTGCCTCTCTTCGCTCGCAGCAGGTTTCAGCGCTCCAAGATCGGCGACTTGCGTGTCATCCTCCTCGTAGAACTGGTCGGCCCCATCAGCCCCAGGCGTCAAACCGGAATCCTCGTCTTCAGTTTCCTCTTCTTCCGCTTCTAACATCGAGCTCGTCATATTTTCATCCTCATCTATCGATCCAGACAAAATGCTCTCATCTAAGTCATTATCTTCGTCAATCGAATCGCGGCTAATGTAAGAATCTCCCAGATCATCATTCACATCCTCATCCTCATCCTCATCTTCACTGCCGTTGTCTTCCTCCGCTTCTTTCTCATCGCTTTCCGAGTCACTGAAGTCCTCAATCTCGAGAACTGGCTCTCGCCAATATGTGAAATCAGTATACTCTTCACCACCGCTCTTGACGAGTGTATTAACAGGTGGGAAGTAATGGTCCACAACTTCGCGCATATTGACGTAGCTGTATTTCAGTTTGTTTAGGCTAAGCAGATCCAGGGACACTTCAGCATAACTGTTGATTGTGAAGATGCGGTTGCTGGGTATGCTGACAGAACGGTACGATAGTGCATCTGTGAGCCTGTTGCCGAAGCCGGCGTAGAACGGCGTCCGGCTGGGTCCAAATAGACTCTTGATATCTCGTAGACAAGCCATCTTGAACACTTCCGGCTTGCGGATGTATATTTCTCTTCTCAGAGCAGCAAGTGTTCGATCAGGACTCAAGATTGTGGGCCCCCTGGGTATGCGATAGCCCTCCTGCACCACACCATTGAGATACGCTCGTGTGTTGTCCGCTTGTCCAACAGACCGGGAAGTTAAGTACATAATGTTATACCCGTTGTTAACAATTTCCGTGTAAAGCTTGGCAACCCCAATGTGTGTCCAGTCGCGTCCGATCATGTTGAGCACATGGCCAAGGGCATCCGACTTCGTGATGGTCCCATCAATATCAGAGATAACAGTTGGGACATCGTAACGCCAAAGATACATGTAAGCTTGGCATGTCGCTCTATTGACAGTAAAGCTCATAGGATTTGGTCCAGGCTTCAGACCAAGAGCTTTGAGCTGGTCACTCGTCAGGCGTAGAGTCTTGGCATAGTTGCGATTCGGATCTCCGGCGGTCTCAGGAGGAGTCTTCGGTGGAGTTTCGAGGCCCAGAGGTCCTGAATCGGACTCTGTTCGACGATGGGTGGGAATAATAGGGGTGTTTGACTCGCTCTCGGACTCGCTGTGGTAGCCTGGGTCTGAAGCAGCATCGCTGCTCAGGATGGCATGGCCTGGGATTCCTGCCAGAGCTGCTCGCTGACTGGCTGCCTCTTTTGCTTCCTCGCTACTGTAGATCCAGAGATTTCCATTCTCGTCGGCACCAATGAGAGCTCCAATATCATAATTGCCTTCCAACTCTTCTGATAGTATCTTCCTGGCAATAACCTCAGCTCTCAATGCATCATCATCGCTACTCTTGTATCCAGTCATATCTAGCATTAAATCTCCTGTATCTGTGACCTGGCTGGGAATATTCGAGGCAGAAAGTCGGTTGGACAGCGCAACTGCTCGCTCGATAGCCTCTCTCGTAGGCAATGGTGGAGGGCTATGAGATCTGTCTGTGAAGTCTTCAGATCGGGCATCTTGTGGTAGAAATGTGGGTGTTAGAGAACGTGTTTGTCGTTCTCGTTCAGTACCGTCGCTGATTCGTGCGGACGGGGGGAGGAGTTCGTCGGTATTGGTGCGTCTAGCTGCGAGGCCAGCCCAGTCTCCTGAGACTGGTCGTCCTACGGTGAACTCTGGAGAAGCAGAAAGTGGAGTTAGAGTACCTGTCGAAAGTTAGAATTGATGCATAGGTAGAGCTCCACTAAACATACTCAGATTGCTCGGCCGCCTGGGAGCTGAGGTTGAGAGCACGCCAGCCCCAGGTTTGGTGACACTACCAGATCTTGACTTCCCACTGACGGTGTCTAAATCGAGGTAATCCGGTTCGGACAGATTCGACAGATTCGATCCTTCAGCTGGCAAGGGAGGGCTAGAAGCTGGAGACACCAGAGGGGATGTTTGCATAGCCTCTGGAATATTATCGCTGGTCTCGAAGACAAAGAAAGCCTCGCCGCCCTCCCCGAGCTTCATAGCATAGTCTTGTTTCTGATCATTGACCCGGAATTCCACCTTCTTCTCGTATGGTCGCAGGAGGGAGAACTTCCCGAACCGCACATGGAACGGAGAGCATGCCAGCGACCCATCTTCCTGCTCGACGACTATAACATCAATGGCACCGCTAAGGGTGGCTGGGTTGATCGAATTCCATGTCTTCGAGACTGAACCACTGATGCTGCGAACGTACTGCATGGCAGTCGGAATCTGTTGGGAAGGGCACCAATTCGAATTATTCTGTGAACGAGAAACTTTGCGATCGTGTACGGGTAGAGACTGGACAGTGGGGATATGTTTTGGCTTTGCGCAGGGTCTGGATGAACGGTGGTTGTGGTGTGGTCAATGTGATGTCGTTTGAGAAGAACTTCGATTAATGTAAAGAGTTGGAATCGCAGCAGTCAGCACGCAAGGAGAAAGTCTATGGATGCACGAAGGTAGAATAAAGAGAGAAATGCACTTGGGGCGAAGAGAGCGGTGGAGGGATGGTTGACTCGTGTTGAGAGAGTTGGGGATGTGGTTGTCGCCGTCTCTCAACACTGCTCGTGACGACAAGCTCCGTCGGGAAGCTCGCTGCTGACAACCCGCATTCATGCAGCCACAACAACCCCGGTGAAAGGCCGCTTTTCATTTTAAGCCGAGGTCACGACCACCGAGGAGGACAGCACATCACGGGCTCTTATTACTTTTCTCTTCCTCTCAGTCGGCGCCTACTATTGTTCTACGCGCACAATAATGCAAGAGCAAAAGAAGACAATGGATCCATGGCCAGGATCTGGACTGCAGGATGCTGCTTCAGAGGCTTGAGATCAATACTATGCTATTACGCCGAGGGGGAAGTAATTGATTCAGGGACCAGGGTCTCAATTCCACCATGCATGTGAAGAGGAATCACTCTTTCGGAAACACCGGGAAGCACATGTCGGGTACACCGTTTCTCTGGTATTGTCGTCTCTAGCAACGATTGTGTTGCATGTACAGGAGGCTACTCAGGAGTCTGAGGCCTGAAGTTTGAAGCCCGAATCACAGTACGGCTGTCGAAAGTAAGAAGCAAATTCTCACTCAAAGTCTGTGCACTCTCAATCTATATAGTTTATACTCTTCATTCTTCGGATACCGCATGTCCACTTTTCCTTCATCCAAGCATACTGCTGGCGTTCTCCATGCAGTATATTGCGTTTCGAATGTTTCCAGCTTTGGTGTCACTCTTCGTGTGGCCTCTCACAACCTCACAAGGCAAGAATCCAGCACCAGTGTGCGTGCGAATATACCAGTATGGTTCTAAACTCAATCCCAAGACCTTCAAACCCGTGAACCTTGTGAAGAGAACTCTGCTTGTCTTCCCATCGTCCTCATCCAGAGACCCCTGAAATGCTAGGACAGGCACGGCCAAGAACCGCAAGTTGTTGGAAACATGTTCCTTTTTCCATCTGTCGAATAACTCGAACACTATCCGTGCTCCCCAATTCATTCTCCGTGCAGAGCAAGAGTAAAAATGTCGAGGAAAAGGGTATCCCTTTCGAAGTCGATCAGAGTGGCTGTTGATTCTGGTGTTTGGGACACGATAACCAAACGACTCGTAGCCGTTGTCAGATCCGCTGGCCACAAGCTGAGCTTACAACAGTACTCTGAATACTTCCGCCATGCACTCGGTTCTTCGCTTTCCATCTTCAAGTAATGATCATGACTCGCCGCAAAGGCGTCTCGGCAGGTCTCAGAAAGTCTGAGATGTGGAGGCCGTGAATATTCAGCAAAAAGTCTGTCGACTGAGATTTGAAGCAGTGGCTCACGCTCTATTCCATTGGGCTCCAAGTAACGGTAGAATGGTGCAACAGACTTCCCCTCGTGGATATGTCGAAAGGCGTTGACTCGGATGTGTCGACCAGGAGTGTCCTCGTTTGCGAAGGCTAAATTCCATATCTGTCGTCGAAGCTTGAGTGGGAGGGGAAACTTGTGAAATTCGGTCAAGGGATGAGCTTCAGATTGTCGGGCATTATTGTGTTGCTCATACTTGTGGCTAAGAATAAATTCTCAAAATTAAATCGTAGGCAGAAAATGTTGATTGTACTAGATATCTCTCTGGGCTAGCTAGGACAGCGGCCCCAGAGTTTGTTGATGAGCAAGCAGAGCATACTAAACAAGAAAATTAACAGGAAACAAAACCTTCATTACTTCCGGAGTATATTGAGCGGTCCTCAGTACCTTCAAGCACTGATGAGGTCTTCATAGGTAGTGGTGTTCTCAGTCACGGAAGCCCCTGCCCGTTTTATCAGTGCCGGCATGAAAAAGCCAACCTCCGCATTTTTTTCATTGGCAGCAGATGCCGATCCATCCCCAGTTTTCACGACTCTGTCTCCAATCACAACGTGCGTGGCTGAGCCTGGCCAGGATGCGGTGCGGGCCTCAGGTTGTGCAAACCGGCACAACCGCAAAGCAGAGCAAAGCATCTTCGAAGAAGCTCGGTACTCGAGGAATAGCCTTCCATGTCCTCCTCTGCCTCTGCCTTCTTCGATCTGTCGTGGCCACTCCTCACATCAACCTGTCTCGAGCCTCCGTCGGACTCGAGATAGTCGGACACGCCATCCGCCAATTACGCCGCATGAACGCTTTCACGTTCTATAGGGAGCTGATCGACTGGTTATTGAGCAATGTCACCGAGGAGAATATGTTCTTGATACAGTCGGTTGCGACTTGCTGCTCCCTTGGTTGGTGCGTGTGCTCCTGTGTCGTGTGCGCGGATGGGGCCGATACTGACGCTGTGACAAAGGCTCCTCTGGCGAGCATGGCATACCCTTTGGAAACCCGTTCCCGAGCTCATCAGCATTCTCGGTGTTGAAGTCCCAGATGCTCCTGAGGTGTCCCTCGCAGGCATTCGATCCGACGCGATCACACTTCACTGGTCCCCGCCTGGAGCAAGCAAGCCTGTCATCAGATACGGAATCCAGGTTAATGGAGTCAACGGTAAGGGCAAAATCACGTCTGCGATAGGGATGGATACTGATATTTTACAGTCGGTGAGTCAACGCGGTCGGAAACTGCAATCACTGTTACAGGGCTACGTCCGGGACACTTCTACAACGTCCGAGTTATCGCAATTGGGTCGAACAATTTCCAGGCGCAGAGTGAGGTTCTACGGCTGAGAACATATGGCCGAGATGGGCGCCCTATCCTTACAAACGGCCGAGTACCTTCGAATCTATTGTTGGAGGACCATAAGAATGACAACGATGACAACCTTGCCGCAGGACCAAGCGCAGTTGTTGGAATCGAAGCTGTACCGTTTGCAGAGGGTTCTCAGGCAATGGTACGGGAGCCAAGTGCTAGCCATACTAGCCAGAGGCGGAATACTGGCGGAAGGAAACATTCTCCATCGATTGCCGCTGCCGATCAACCCCCTCTTCCCACAGCGGATTCTAACCAATCTGTGGAGACGATGCATGAATTGACTGAGAAGTTCGAGACCATTCGTGTGGAAACTGAAGAAATAATGGCTCAGCAGTTAAGGGATAAGGAGGAGTTTGAAGTGCACATGAAAGATTTGACCAAGGAGCGGGACGAGAAGAAGAACCTTTTGAAAGAGAAGGAGAGAGCAAGCGAGAGGCTCAAGAGGGAGGTGCACCAGTCAGAGCAGACGAGCCGACAAGCGCAGGCTAGGAGGGCACAAAAAGAGAAGGTTTTACGAGACAAGAGAGCTGAAATAACGAAGGTACATGAGGATATGATCAGATGGAAGAAAGAAATTGAAGACATGAAAACGCAACAAGAAGCATGGGATAAAGAGCAGGTCAAAATTCAGGAGGAAAAGGAGACCGAGGTCCAGAAACTCCAAGAGACCATCGAGGGGCGCCAGACTGCTCTACTCGCACTTGAAGAAGACATCAGAATCAAAGGATTGCATATCAAAGACCTGGAGGAAGAGCGTCAAAAACTCTTAGGAACTGAAGACGATGATGTCTCGAAGGAGCAGGATGAGAAGGATAAGCAAGAAGATCTCGAGTGGGAATCGACCGAGAGAAACTGGGTCCTTACGCTCAACAACCACAGCCATCAACTCCGACACATCGAGACGGTGATCCACCAACAACAGAGCAACCTGGCCGCTCTAACTGCACAACAAGCCGCTAACCCAATCATGTATCATGCGAATTCATCTGGTGTTGATTTTGATCATACTGGCGGCCAAGGGAAGGCGAAGTCACGAAGGCCTCGAAATCGCAAGAGTCGGACCAGCACAATTTCATCTCCTGTTGCCGCTCATCCTATTGGGGACTCGCCATACCCGAGTGCGAGTGCTTACAACAACCTTAACAATACTGGCTCGCCTTTATGGGCTCCGGGGCCATATATAGATATGAACAATGACAACGGCTTTGTACCAATTTCGGAGCAGGTGGGCATGAGCGATGAAGAGGTCAGGCAGCTTACCGCTGGGGCACCTCTAAGCCCCACAGCACACGCATTACTCCCATCCAACATATTTGACACTGAAGACGATCCGCTTAGCCCTCGTCCAGGGTCGACAAGAGGATCCTTTGGCCCATCCTTTTTTGGAGCAGGCTACGAGAACGATCTACCATCTCCTGACTCTTCTAGTCGCTCAGCGAGTCTTATGTCCAGTCCTCAAAATTCGGCTCATAACCTAGCGATTTATGGAGTTTCTGGTCGCGACTCCCGGTCAGAGAACGACAGGAGATCTCTCAATTCACCTAGGGCAGATTTTGGTGCAATAGGATCTCCTCCACCTGCATCCGAGCAACCAACATCATCCAGACTAGGGAATCTCTTGAACTTCTCAAGGTCACGAGGAAAGACAATGCAAGACGACGGGCCTGCTCTGGGATCACTAAAACAAGGCCAAAGCCAATCGTTCCCTCGCTCTACAGACGAGCCGGATGTTGCGGCTATTAGATCCCGTCGAATCAGCTTTTCTTCACCCGGCTGGGGTATGCCCTTCCTTCGTGGGTCTGCTACAGGAGAGCCATCAACGGCCGGTAATGCTCCTGCTCCTGCCAGAAACCTAGGTGCCAGATCACGACGCGGGTTCAACATGTTTAGTTCAAGTACAGACGATACGGGGGCCTATTCGGAAAGGGATCCTAGTAGCCCTAGGCCACTATCCATCGCTTCCTCAGACCTTCCGCGTCCTTCGACCGATAGTGCACCCTTCGGCTGGGGGCCCGCACATGACAATGTCATCAACAGAAACAGCCCTCTGGCTACCAATTGGTCACATACCCCTGCTCCAACTTGGTCTAGAAATCCGTCAAGGAGACCAAGTCTGCAGCATGGCTCTACAACTGCCTTGACAGCTCTTGGTAAGGATGATGGGTCGTTCCCGGACAATCAAACAAGTCCGCCTCCGGGGGTTGGTGTGATTGGCACACGGCCTTCTTCATCCCATGTTACTCCCAAACTGAATCCCGCCGCGCCAGCTTTCAAAGGTTTTAGCTTCCTAGGATCGAAATCTGGCAAAGACAAGGGTAAGGGGAAGGAAAAGGCAGTAGACACACCTACCGCTATGGACGAAGTTATTCAGAATGCCGACAGCTCATCACCAGCAGAACCAAGGCCGTCTCGAGACACTCCTTCCATCCACACCCAGAACAGCATGGCCGAGTCATATGAGAGCTTGGAAAGAACGTCAAGCAACACGCCTTCTGAGATGACCAACCCGTCAGCTGCCAGCACCAAGGAGAAGGAATCGACCTTCAAGCAACTCCTTCGGAAAGGTAGCGCGAGTAAATTCAGCACGTCTTTCCGGAACAAAGATTTTGGCTTGTTCAGCGGAAAGAAAGGGGGGAGTAGTGCGGCCAATTCTGACCGGAACGCTTCGGTTGAACGGGATGGCAGCTTGGATGAGTACGGTGAGGATGCGGGACTAGGAAGGAGCGCGGACAGCGTTACTAGTAGCCCGATGGTTGGCAGCACAGGGTCAGGGGAATGGGGGAAGCAAGCAGGGACGCCCAAGGAGGGCCGGAAAAGTATGAATTGGGGCCGGTTCGGGATGAAGAAGAAGGGCAGGGAGAGCTTGGAGGTGGACCGCAGTGAGGCGGAGACCACAGGCACAGAGGACGAGACATGATGTGCATACAGTAGTTTTGATTGGAGTTTTGCAGTCGTTAAGAAACTTCAGCGTTGCATGCACTCCGTCCCGAAGCCGTCCCTGTTGATGAATCATGCGCTCGGCTCATAATCTGGAAGTCTGATCCTGTCCAGTCGGCTTGTTGGAGATGTTTATGCTGGTGCAATTAAGGTTGAGACACACTTCACTGTTTGAAGAGCGTCATTGTCTTGCATATTGATAACCTGCCGATTAGTCCTGCACACTTGCCCAAGCAGCACTTGATGTGAAACCGGCAATTAATAGCGTAACTTGACTGCAGTGTCAGCGTCAGTACCAGTAACCATCACTCTCAACTGCCTGTCATAGCCTGCCTCTGCCGCAAGCAACCGCCCCCACTGTTGCACTGCCCCCACTGGCATTATTCGGTCCTCGGCGACCATCCCCCAACATCCATCCCAAGATGCTCAGCACACGACACCTCACGTGGTCGCTAGGCGCAACCTACAGGCCTCAAGTGGGGAGGCCGGCGCCTCTTCTGCAACGCGCAGACGCCCTGCAGCGTCCCACCCTCACAGCACAGCTCCCGGACCTTTTGGCTTTTACCTCACCTTAGCTGCTGCTAAATTAAGATACTTGAGACGATGTCCCGACGGGACTCCCGATGAGTGAGAGCGGCGCAGTACCCGCTTATCGATGAGGCACGACAAGACATCTGTAGAACCCGAACCACCCCCAGAGCCTGAGGCGGATCCAGAACCCAGAACCTGGAGCCTCCAGAATAGATCCTCAGATCCTCAGCTCCTGCTGGTCCCGATCGATGAGGGAAGCGGCGACATCTAGGGCTACGAGCACGGCCAGGTGCTTGGATTGGCGATCAATCGCGAGTTGAAGTGAAGTGTACCTGCCGTTGGGCTCCAATGACAGATCCGGATAAGAGGCGGCAGGATCCTACGCGTGTGCGGTATCCGAAAGTCAAGACTGGGTGAGTCACGAGAATCTGCTGTTCCCGCCTCCGTGGTGCTGGTCCTTTCGTCTCGTGCGCGTTGCGGACATCCGGTCGGTCAAAGTCACGGTCATGGCCAAATCTAATTAATCCTTCGCAGGTGCATCACGTGTAGGAACCGCCGCGTCAAGTGCGACGAGACGAGGCCGAGCTGTCTACGCTGTCGCAAGTACGGCACTGAGTGCGGTGGTTATCTGCCCGGTCGACGAAGACCGCCTTCTTCGGCCTACGGATCATTCGCAACGCAGGCAAGGGCGTTGGTCCCTAAAGACCAGTCGAGTGCCCAGGTTATTCTCCAGCCTGCTATGAGCCTGTTCGAGACGGATCTCGAGCACCGCTATTTCAGATTATTCTCTGACCACATCGCTACGGAAATATGTCCGTACTTCAACCCGGAGAGCTGGAGCCGGATGATTCTGCAGGCGTGTGCTACAGAGGCCTCGATTCGGCACGCGGCGGTAGCTATCGGGGCTTTGGGCAAGACGTATGAGATTGCCCAAGCCGGATTGTGTTCTGTCACGGGGCAGAAGTTCCCCAGTACGCTGGGCCAACTACCCGCTCCGAGAGTGAGCATTGAGAATCGGAGTGTAGAGGAGATTGTTGCAAGTGCAAATCTAGTTGCTGAGGCTCATGAGCATCATCGGGCGGCTCTGGAGCAGTATGATAAAGCTATTAAGCGTATGCGGAATGATATTTCGTGTGGGGGAGACACGCTGAGGACGACGTTGCTTATTTGTATTGTTATTATTTGTTTTGAGGCTATCCAGTAAGGCTCCGTTGTTTTCTTCTTCAAGACCCGAAAGCTAGCTGTTCCAAAGTCTGTCATGACCGTTTTGTCCTCGTGACTCTGGAGACAGCTTCGGAGCTCTTAACTCTCTCAAGCTCTTCTCTAGCACAGTACTAATTCGCTGTAGTGGGAACCATATATCGGCAGCTGCCCAGCTACAAAGTGGCCTGGCGCTCCTTCAGGAGTGGATGTCAAAGCAGCCAGACGCTCGTCACCATCCACAAGGCTTCTCATCTCCAGCCCCAGATGATGTAGAAGACTATCTCGTCCAAACATTCGGCCGAATGGAAATCCAGTCCATGTCAGTCTTCGACCCACGTCCCGTCGAAACGCACCAAGCCCTCAAAGGAGAGGGCAAACAAGAAGTTCAACAAATGCCCACGCCATTCGCCTCAGTTGAGCAAGCTAGAGTATATCTCGACCTTATCACTCGTCGCTTAATGCACTACAACCACTCCATCCACCCTCGAGGAGGGCAAAGAAAACTTCCACCCCAACAAATTCCCATGCCCTGGGCCAATCAATCAGTCCCCCAACCAATGCCCTGGATCGACGGCAAGATCCCGCTCCCAAATACAACCTCTACCCTCTCCTCCGCCGACATCCACGCCGAGCAAGCCTCGCTAACCCAAGAACTCACAACCTGGACCGAAGCCTTCGCCCCCTTGCTCTCCCTCTCCCGAACTCTCGGCGGCCAAGATGCCATCTCCGCTCTTACATTATTAGTCTCCGCAATAACAAGCCAGATCTCCCTGGGGGCCGCATTCTTCATTAACGAATCCGCGTACGATGTATTCCTCCCGGCATTCAAAACTATAGTCCAGTCCTCCTCCCTGCTCCTCTCGCTCCTCGAACAACAACAACTCTCTAAACCGCCCCCTTCCTTCGCGCCCACTGCCTCTTCCCCCTCTAGCTCCCACTCCCCACAAAAGGAAGCCTCAGAACGCACCGAGCGCGGCCTAGCCTTACGCTTCTCATTCGATATCGCGGTCGTTCCATCACTTTATACGGTGGTGATTAAATGCAGAGATCCGCATATCCGCCGCGCGGCACTGAAGTTATTAGATCGGTACCCGAGAAGGGAAGGGGTTTGGGATAGTGTTGCCGTTGCTGGACTCGGGAGGTGGGTCATGGCGCTGGAGGAGGAAGGGGCACTGAGATGGCAAAGTGCGAGCCCGCCTGATACTACCACTACTTCAACTTCTCCTCACCCAATACCTGAATCAACCTCCAATCCAAATCCGAAGCAAAAATCCAATCCAACCCACCCTGCCCCAGGATCTGGATCTGGATTTAGACACGCCTCGCCCGCCTCCACACCCCTCTCACGTCACGAAACCCCTCCAGGAACCAGCACTTCCAGAGAAGGCAGTTACAGCGACGGTACGCGCGTCTCCGAAAAACCGCCCCGCGAATACCCAATCATCCCCGAAGAAATGCGTGTTAGGAAAGCAGCTATGCGGTTCGATTTGCTCGCAAGAAGAGCGAACATGAGTTGTATGCAGATGGACTTCAAGAGCGGGGATTTTGTTGAGAAGACGGAGGTTTTCCGCTGGTAAAAAAAAATGAGTTATATATACCTGTAACGATGACGACAAACCACTTCCTTTTCTATCTATCTATCTATCTATCTATCTATCTATCTATCTATCTATCTATCTATCTATCTATCTATCTATCTATCTATCTATCTATCTATCTATCTATCTATCTATCTATCTCTCTATCTAGATTTGGGCTTTTTATTTCACGGGAGGGGTATAAGGTTAGAAGGGTTGATTGGCGAAAGGATAGGGGAAGGGCGGGGAGTTCTTAACGATTAAGCGAGCATTTTCTTGGTGGTGGGATGGGGATGGTGTATGGACAGCACAGCACGCGCCCGCCTGATGCATTTCTGGACATTTACAAGACACGAATAATGGGGCTTCTATTGAACTCGAAATACTTGTGTTTGTATACCAGATCAAGCAAGCAAGCAAACCCCTCAAACCTGCTTTCTCTCTCTCTATGATTCGGCTGCTTGCTTCGTCTTCGAGGTTTTTGATGCCTGAACTTACAGTACGGTCTCCTTTCTCGGCTCCGCTGTCCATCCTATCCTATCCCATCACATCCCCCTTTCATCCGCACTCCAACCAGCGCAAGTCGCGCATCTGATTCATCGCCTCGCACCTCACAGAACTCCGTACTCCTCTCTCAGCGTCCCATTCAGCCACAGTTTCGCGTTCGCTTTCCAAATCGTGTATGGAGTGTCGAGTTTTACGTCAAGCTTTCTGTAAGGCTGACTGACACACGGAGTTACGAGGTGATACGAGGTGCTTGTGAAACACTAGACCTTGTTGCTGTCATAGCTCAGCAGAATCTTCTTTATGGAATGGATGTTCACTCGCTACCACGATTGTGAGTAAGCTGATTGATACCTGATACTCCACTCGGCTCGGCGAGCGGAAGTGGTGGATGGAGGAGTTGTGCGAGCTGGATTAGGAGTATAGCGAGAGAGGTTAGTTGTCTCTGAGCTAAGAAAGGATTAATACCATACTTAATTATAGTTAGTAATAGATGTTTGCTGGTTGCATGTCACGTGGAGAAAGTGGGAAGTTGGATGTTTGTTTGATTTCCTATGCAACAGTTTCCTTGGACAATCCAATGATGTCCGACTACTCTCTACCAGCAATCCAAAGCCAGTGGTATACTCCAACAACGTGTGATCTTTGCACAGCAACATTATGTACAGATTCTCGAGCAGACTTCCTTCTCGGCGGAAGGTGACCTCTCGAAGAGCAGACTGCTCAGCCCCAGCGAGAAAGTCTCAAAATCCACAGAAACCAGTGGCCACCAGTATTTATTCCTACAGTGAGCACAGTGATCACCCTTGAAGGGCAGTATGTCGATAAGATCCAGCAGTCCATACGGGAGCCCTCAAATACCAGCCGCCGTCCATAGCTTCCTAATCATCACTTATGTCTCCGACTTCGACGAATTGCTGCCGGTGTAAGGAACGTCTTTGCCTTCTTTCCAGGAGTTCTTCCCTTAGTAGGAGTCATTGGAGGAGGACTGGTAGGCGATGAGTCAGTCATCTCGCTGTCTCCAGTCTCCTGTCGCTTTTTAGGAAGAGTCGCGACGCTGTCTTGTTCTTCGATAGAGCCCAGCTGCTTCGAGATGCTTTGTTCGTCGAGTCCTGCCTCGTCGGAGCCTCTCTTGGTGCCTCTTGTAACATCTGCGATGCTTGATTCGGCAGATTGAGCTGTAGCTAGCGCAACTGACTGAGTAGAAGCAGCATCTGCTAGGCTCGCGTCGACGTTGCTCGATAGTGTTGTCTGTGTTCTCGTGTTAATGCGCTTCGTAGACCGCTCAACGTCCGTTAGCTCTTCCAGAATTGCTTGCAAGGCTGGTATTGGCTTGACTAGTTCGCTATATTCTGGTGGCAAGTAGGATGAGAGAACCTCATCTGCTTCTTCCTCCGAGAGGAATCGTACAATCTCAAAATCCTCATCACCAGCCATCTCTTGAAGCGGCGAAGGTGGAGGAGGAGCTTGTGGGGATATTGTGGCCTCGACCTCGGGTCCTTGAGGAGAGCTGGGGCAACTTGCAAATGCACGCGCCATCTTCTCGTCGTCCTCGGTCTCCGCTTCCTGAACGACGATGGTCGGAATCTCCTTGGCATCCACCGGCATGGGATCTTCATCGTTGCTGCTCATTCGTTCCTTGATCCGATCGAGGCCTTGTTGTAACTCGCCTTTGTGCTTGACCAATGCCTGCTCCCAATGTGAACCTTCGCCTCCATGTCTCTTCCATTGCTCCTCGATGATCATTTCATCAATATCCAAAATTGAAGACGTAAGGAAGATACATGACATCCCGTCGGTGGTTCTCTCGAACTCGTCGTCTAGTGGCACTTCTGGCTGCGTCATGTTGGAACCTGACGGAGGTGCAGGATTCGAGGGAACGTGGGATTCCATTGATACTTCCTGGTATGGTCAGTATCATTGTCACGGCAAATTTGAAATTGAACAGAGGTAATACCATAGTCAGAGGATTCAGTCGCGTCTAGAAGCGCGTAGGAAACTTGTGTACTCTGCTTCTCGAGATTAAAGGTGAACGTACCGACGAGCGGCGCACCGTCAATCGAAAGTCGATCCTGCGATGTTCGAAGATGTTCGGCGAGGTACGTTCTAGTCAACTGCCTCGAGAAGACCGATAGATGCAGAAGTCTTCAGTGTGAAGATGCGCTGACTTCGGAACACAGGTGGTATGTTTGTGTTCGCGTGACGTGAAGTCGAAGGTCGAAGTTGACGCGGGAACTCGACGAGCGTACGCGATTTGAAGTAGAAAGAATCAAGAGATGCGAAAATTCAAGACTTGACAACAGTTCAATATTCGAGATAAAGTTTGGGGGTTTGCGTACTGAGCGGGGAGGTTGTTGTTGGGAAGTGATGGGGTGAAGGTACGTCGCCGCTGAAATAAAGTCGTTCCTGCCAAAAGGGGAAGAAGCGTTCAATTGTGAATCAAGAGCGACATAAATCTTGATACAAGTGGGTAGTCTACCCAGGAGATAATGTGTGTTATGTTCTTTTGCATTGGTATATCCTTTTTCCTCTATTATATGTTATTCGCGAAGAAGAAGAAACCCCCGGGTTCAAGGGCAGCCTTGATCTAAGGGTATTGTAAGCTGCCGTCTTCCCTTTGACGTCTCAATACCGAGCTTGGAAAGTATAAAGTCTTCGCTACGGCTAACTGAGAGCACTCAAGCGAGGCTCAAAAATTTCTCCTCCTTGAGCCAAAACAGCAAAACTCTGGTACCAAGCACGCAGGGCTCCGGCGCAGATTGGCGCAGTGAAGTGACACAAGAACACCACCTATCTACCCTATTGCTTATACAGTTGCATTACATATGGCAAGCCTTATTATTGTATACAGATGCACATACAATTCGATGATTAGTAGAATATTGCCGGGTAGTGTCTTACACCTCTGTGAAGTGGGGAATGAAGGGGCTAGAGGATGGAGTATCAACGAACAAATCAAGGTATACCTAGGAGTAACTATTTTCTTATCATTAACAGCCTCAAGCAAGTTGGAAGTCCGTAAAGCACAGTCCTACTTTCGACCCCTCGTTTCCGCGAAGTTTCAGGCAGTAGACGAGAAGTCATCGGCAGCGGAATTCCCCAACTCAGGTACGATCAAAGGGGACACTTTGAAGCAAGCTTCCCTTTCAAGAGACTCGCCTATCAATTCATATTCACATCTCATAGAATCGAGAAGTCTATGTTCGGGAAAACTCGTCTTGATGATTCAGCTCTACGTCACTTCTTTCAGCTAAAGCCTGCAGGCTGTGTTCATGCCGCTGAATCGGGTTCGGGTTCCAGAGTTCCTTTCTTACATTCCTTCAATAAAATGCGAGTATAATTCGCATCTTGCCTTTCTGAATAAGTGGATAGGAAATTGTAGGAGGGTTGTGGTCAGGCGACCAAAAGTATCGGGGAGGTGTGGTTGGACTATCCAGCCGCGACCTGGTATCACGGGAATTTTCGGAGACTTCGGAGGCTGACATGCAGGGGATGTAACCCTTAATAAGCTGCTTTTCTCTTCTCATTTATTTACTCTGCTGTATATACTTGTACCACTTCCAAGTCCTTCGTCTCTTCCATTCGTCCATACATCTCCACTCAAATCACATTGATCAATTCTTGGCAATGCCTGACGCTGGCCAATCAAAACCTAGCACCTCCTTGAAAGGGGCTTCGGTTAGCTGACCCTTGTAAACCCCTGATTGTTTGTTTACATTTGACTCAGAATCTTCGATAGGACTTCACCGTCGACTTCTTGGGTATGAATCGTCCTCGGGGAGGGCAGTGAAGAAAATCTCTTGCTAACAACCATAGTCGGAGGGGTTTCGGCTGCAATCTCCAAAACGGGCGCGGCCCCAATCGAGCGTGTTAAGATGCTGATCCAGACTCAGGTATGCTCTTTTGACAGTCTTAATACTTCGGCGGCGCCGAGGCGTAAATGTTTGATCGGAAAGTCATGGGTTGTTCTGCGCATCTAAATTGGCTGACTTCAATCTTAGGATGAGATGATCAAATCAGGTCGACTTGACCGCAGGTACGATGGCATCATCGATTGCTTCAAACGCGTGGTCAAACAAGAAGGCGAGGTTTTCCAACTGCCCGCCATACACCAACTAACAGATTCTCCGAGTTTTCAGGAGTCCTCGCATTGTGGCGCAGCAACGGCGCAAACGTTGTCCGCTACTTCCCCACACAAGCTCTTAACTTCGCCTTCAAAGACAAGTTCAAAGCCATGTTCAATTTCAAAAAGGAGAGGGATGGCTTCGGCAAGTGGCTCGCTGGTAACATTGCTTCTGGTTCGGTAAATCTTACTTTCTCATTACTATTTTCATGAGGTGCTCACCATCTCATCAGGCAGCCGGAGCCACATCCATGCTATTCGTTTACTCCTTAGACTTCACTCGCACCCGCCTCGCAAGCGACGCAAAAGACATGGCCAAAGGAGGACAGCGCCAATTTACTGGCATGATTGATGTGTACCGCAAAACACTGGCATCTGACGGCGTTCTGGGGCTGTATCGCGGCTTCGGTCCGTCTGTTGCTGGCATTGCCGTGTATCGCGGGATCTATTTTGGGTTCTATGATTCTTTGAAGCCATACGTGCTCGTTGGGGTACTTAAAGACAATTTCTTGGCATCGTTCATGCTTGGTTGGGGGGTCACGACTGTTGCGGGGTTGGCTGCGTATCCCCTGGATACGGTGAGGAGGCGGATGATGATGACTTCGGGAGAGGCAAGTTGAAAGGTCCCTTGAAACTCGGGAGACTTTGCTGATGAATCGATAGGCTGTGAAGTATAAGTCATCCTTTGATGCTGGGAGGCAAATCATTAAGGCCAATGGGGCTAAGGCACTGTTTAATGGTGCCGGCGCGAATATCCTTAGAGGGGTGGCAAGTGCCGGCGTATTGTCTATTTATGATCTGGTACAGCGCATGTTTGGTTCTTCGCTCAAGTGAGTGGGCTTCCGTAAGTTGACGATTCATGTCACTTGGCACTTCCTTTTGTTTTAGACGGTACTGCGTCCTCACTATTTCCCGGAAGAAAGACATAAAGTCTGGTAACGGATATCCTATTTCGAGGCTCTTCTTCTCCATATTTGCCTATGGTAAGATCTTACTGGGTGTGCATCTGCGGTTCCTGTAAGCATCGGGTTTTCTCACCCCCGGCAGAGACTCTGTACATAGTCATGGCCCAAGTCCGTCTATCATTGCATTTTCGCAGCAAAGCCTTGCTAGTAAGTAGCTTTGTGTTGCCAGGCATCCTACTCTCGCGAACTCCTGCGTAAAGTAAGAATGTAGGCTGGAGCGTAGGATTCGTCCCTCTTGCCGAGCTATGCCGCCGCCATAATCGTCTTCGAATGTCCCTCAGTTCTTCAATAGCCTCGTCTTGCTTCCTGTCGTTGGCCTCGAGTAATTCTGATAAAGAATCGATCGGACTCAGTACCAGAGTCTGAGTCTTCTTGCTAGAGTCCAGGTGAAGGGGTGAGTACGAGCCAGAGTCAGTCCCCGAGTCTGCGTCTTCTTTATTCAAGTCTCGCTGAAACGGTGAGGAAGGTTCAGAGTCAGTGGCGGAGTCTGCGTCTGCATTGTTCGTGTCTAGACGATACTACCAAGGTGTCAAGTCGTTATCTACATTTCGCGGCGAAGCAGAGAGATTTGCAGGTTCATTGATTAAGTCCAACTGAAGCTGTCGAGCCGCTAACTCATTCGCCATCTCACTGATATCGTCATCCAACTCCCTCAAAGTTCGCCGCTCCTCCCTATTCAGCCTTGGGCCACGAATTGCGTCTGCTCGACGTCGAACTTGGGTGAGTCGGCGTTGGAGGGCGCTGATATCGTCCTGCAGCTGTCTGCTCCTCAAATAACTCATAAGATCCTCGGTTACAAGACCGACTTGTCGAGATCTACGGTCAAGTTCTAGCTCTCGAAGCTCCTCGCGTTGGCGATCCTCTTCGATTTCTTGTACACGTCTGCGTCGACGGCTCTCTTCAAGTTGTTCATGTCTTTGGTCGACCTCCCCTCCAAAAGGATGATCTCTTCCAACTAAAGACTCAAAATCGCCAAAATCTTCCTACTCACCGTCGGCCTCAAGCAGATCATCTTGTATTAAAGGTTCGAAGTCGTCGATATCCTCCCACTCACCACCTGGCTCTAGCTGATTCCTTCTTCCGAACCCATTTTCCACGAGATAGCGCTCCAACTCATCGTCGAGATTAGGATCACCCAGATCAAGCAGTACTGCTTGCTCATTTGGATTTTCAACCATGTCATCAGGGAACAAAGGACATTGACATTCCCGAGGTTGCCACTGCGCTCCACACTGGTAGCAAAATTGCCTCCCGCATGTACACCTATTCAATTAGTAATAATACACCTCTCAGGCGGAATGTGCAACTCACACCATGTGATTACATCCATACGTTCTCTCTATCCCATTTCCGCAGCCTTCACACCTCCTCCAGCGATTCCGTTCAAGCAACGTCAGTGCTCTCTGGAGCTCCCCGTCATTGCCGCAGGGTGTATTCATATCATGAGCTGCTCTCTTGCATTCCGCGCACGTTCTTGTTCTGCATCTGGTGCACCTTGCATCTTTTCCCCGAATATTTTCAGGGCGAATAAAGGAGCCGCATTTTCTGTTGCAGCAATACGTCCTGTTTTGTGTATCCCACTCCAACTTCTTCTCCAAGAAGTCCCTCAAAATTTGGGCATTAATTAAGGGTCGGCTCTGCTCGAGTACTATCGGTTGATTTGCGCAGCATCGAGGCGGATATCGGGACTCATCTGCTGTCGCTCCTCTGTATAGCTCATTCAGACATTCGCGGCAGCAGTGATGGCGGCAATTGAGCGTCACAATTTCAGCCAATATGTAGTCATCCCTACATATATGGCACATCATCTGCGGTGATGGCTCGTCTTGTCGGCGTGATGGCCGCACCCCTGGTGGTCGCTGAGTTGCAGTAGGCGTTTGTGGAGGCAGTGGAGGTGAAGGCCATGCCCCAGGAATCTGATGCATTGAAGTGGAAGACCCTCCGCTAGTGAGTGTCTCATTTGTTCTTTCTTGCTGAGGTTGTGTATTGACTGGCTCCGGCGCTGGCCGAGTTGATTCAAAGCTGGCCTGCCCTCCAGTTGCGACCGCAGTCCGACCTCTCCTCCTAAACTGCCGCTGCAACTCATCTCTCACCCGCTCTAAGCGACTTCTTGCTTCCGAGTTAGTTCCTTGTTGATTAGTGACTTGATCGCTTTCCAGTAGTTGGCTTAGCTCCTCGAGTGCTAGCTGGATGATGGTAACTGCTGTCTCATTATCTAGCTCCTCTAAGATCCTGAGATTTTGGGTGACTTCCATGGTGGTGTCTGAGAGGCAAATATCATTTAATGGATAGAATATTGCTGAAAATGATCTTCAAGATATGCGTTTCTAATCGGCAGAGTGACCGCTTGTGAATCACTTGAAGTTGAAACCCGACTGGCTTGGGAGACAACACTACTTTCCTTGCGCCTCCAGCGGAACGTACACTGCATTCAAGAGGGACTTGACTCATAGAGCTACGTAAAACTTTGATTGATATTAGATTCGGCGTTCAGCCGCCGGTGGGTTTCTAGGCTCTCCCTTATCAAGCCTTCCGCCCTTTAGAATCTCTATTTAAAATGTCATTACTCTCACCGACTCTGGATTACATCGATCGGCCGTTAGTATTTTGCCGTCCTGGACGTAAAAAAAGCGGATCCGAATCATCTGGGTTTTGGTATGGTCTGTTCATGAAGTCGGCAAAGATCTGTCTCCTCAGATTTCCTCCACCCGCTCCTCCTTGTCCCTATCTTCGTCTTTGGTGACGACCGTCCAAGTCTCGCCTAGCCTGATTGTCTCTCCTGACTTCTTTACGTTCTCGTGCGAGACTCTGCCTTCGGAGTTGCTCAATCACGACTTGAGATGTGACTCATAAACCAATTGCAGTGAAGGGAGTTCATAATGTCCATTTGGCAGCTGCCTCAAGCACCATCTAAGTACATGAAGAAGCCTTTCGTCATCCGGGCAGAAAATTGAAGCTTGCCAAAGGTTCGTCTCCTCGTCATGAACTCCCGAAACACAAACAAATCTAGATGAGTTTTCAAAGTGAGCTCTAAATGAGTAAGGGAACACCGTATTCAACAATTCCGTAGTCAAAAGTTCCAGGTGCTCTGTTGAACTAGGCGTAGCCATGAGAGGAGACGCAATGACAAGAGCACCGTCGCCAGACATCTGGTACAAATCCTAGCACCGTCTAACTACGCAGGTTTCCGAGAAGAGAAAACACAGTCGCTAGCAAAACAGCGATATTAGCTTGTACCAAGGGATGTAGAACAACCTTGTCTTACCAAGGTTCTCCTCATTCCTATTTACCGCAGTTCTTTCATAGTCTATTTCGTCTGCAGCTTCGGCAAACTTGCAAATGGCATTGCTGGCAATCATAGACCCACTTAGGCATGCGCTCGTGGCACATCTGGCATTCATGGTTTCCGCGAAGACTTCTGAAGCGGGTGTGTTGGCAATTATGACGTCCGGCCAGCTGTTCTGCCATTTCAAGAACAGCATGCAAAACTGGAGGTTGTGCAGCCCGAGCGCCTCCGTTCTGTGCATTGACGGCTTCGGCTGCACGACCCATGAGGCGGTTTTCATCCCATTGAGGGCATTGGCAGGTCTTCCAGGGTGTAGCTTGGCAGAGATAGCAAAAATGGACTCGGCAAAAACACCTGCAGGGTTGGCAAAAGAAAAGACTAAGGGGAAAGGGTTACTGACATCATGTGATAGCAACCTAACGTCAGCTCAACCATTCTGTGGCAACCTGGGCAGCTCTGCCAGCCTTCTTGTGCGGCCAATTCCTTCAACAACCTGCTATTCTCGTCATCTGGGCATTCTGCCTCATGAGCCGCGGTCTTGCAAATTGTGCATGTCCGGGTTTCACACAGGTTGCACGTAGCCACACCATCTTGAATGTTGGTTGGAGGAAGAAAGGTGGAACAATCAGGGTCCGAGCAGTAAGTACGGTTCGTCGACTCGAACTCGAACTTCTTCGCCTGGTATGTCTGCTCAATCTCCGGTGTCAATGCAGTTTGGACACTCCCAAGGAGGATTGGTTGCATGCAGCATCGTGGAGGAAACAGCTCCTCATCGATGAAGGATCGGTTGAACAGGTCCTGAAGACATTCTTGGCAGTAGTCGTGACCGCATGGAGTTGTGGCAATAAATCTAGCATCGACCATTTCCATGCAACTAGTACAATAGCTTCTCTCAATCTCAGGCTCGGGCTCAGGCTCATCTTCTTCGTTGGGGGGGCTTTCGGCGGCTGGGGTATTCTCGTTAGCAGCGCGTTCAACATTTTTTCGAGCCTTGACGAGTTTGAGAAGTTAGAGAGTCTACTAACCAGGGTTAAGATCCAAGACATTGGTAGGTCCAAGAATCTGAGCTGCTTGAGGATTTTGTGGGGTAGGATACTCCGGACGTGGAGGCATGAGATCCAAAGCTATAGCTGTCTCCCTGCCATGAGGATCCAAGGTAGAGGCAAACTGATGGTCTCGGACGAGGGTAGCAGTGTTTTCTAGCTCGGTTTTATAGAGCCTGAGCGCAATCTCGGCATCGGGGAGCCGTCCTGAGGGTCCCTTGCCTTTCGAAGTTGCCGCAAGTCGTTCACTGTCCTCGAGTTGTAGCTGAAAGATGAGAGATGCCGTTGCATCGTCCATATCCTCAAGGAGACCGAGACGAGGAACGGTAGCCATGCTGGTAGATCAGCATCCGATTTATCAATGTTTTGAGAGAAAAAGGGAGAAAGAAGTGCGGGGTTCAAGTCAACTCTAGGTCAAGTTATACTCGAGCTTGGGGACCGTGCGAGTCCATAAACAGCGCAAACAGAGCAAACAAAGTAGGAAAGCGAAGCGAGCATGTTTGGTGAAAAGGTGACCCCATTACAGTGACTTCAAGGTATCATATGATGGACTCTCATTGAAGAGGCTGATTCGAGGGAGGTCGACCTTTGCACCGACTGACTTTGACAAATGGCTTGCTCAGAAAGATGCGAAACTGTGTTTCATGCAAACCATCGTAGCATTATATATTCAACTTTGAATCCTCTACCCAGGCACCTGAATGCAAAACATTTCCCAAAACAATAACAGAGGAAATATCACGTGTCACTATACCACGTGATAATATCTACCTTAAATCAAAAGGCAACAGGCGAAAATGCTAGGTCCTTTTGTCCCATAACTCAGGGGAACCAAGACAAGGCCGTCAAGCCCAGTTCATCTCCAAGTATCGGGTAAACCTTATAAAGGGTTGCCCGTCAACTTTCCAAACAACCTCATCCCTGCCCCACTTCATCCCATCACATCTCATGTCCACTCAGAGAGTCCACGCCTATATCTGGGATATTCCCGCCCAGACACCACGCATACGAACTCAATCTCGTCTCAAGTACAACAACAAAACAAAGCACCTACCTCCACTCAGCCTCATCATCAACTTCGCCACCAGAACGCCTCATCCGAACCCCTTTCCTTCCAGCTCCTTCCTCGCTCATCTCTGCATGAACCGCTTACCCATCTCATCTCTCCCATCATGTCTTGCCGCTTGAACACTCACCTCGCCGTCCCTAATATCCAACCCCACTTCTATAAGGCCGTAGCCTCCACTACTTCCCCTTTCCGCCCACAGCCTCGGCCCTCTCGCCACCACACACCCACGTCTCCCACGTCCTCATCCGCCTACCCAACCCCCCCCTTAGCCGGTCCACGATTTATAAATGGCACGTCGTCGTCGCCGCCACGCCTCCCATCCCCAAAGCAGACACTCTAGCGTCCAGAATCTCTCCTCCCATGCCCCTCCTTCCATGTCCCTCGGCCATTTCCGACCCGGCACTTGACACACTAGAAGCCCCTAGCCTTTCCCAAGAACATTCCAAGGCAGCTAAAAGTCATGTCCCTTTAACTTCATGCTGAACTTGGAACCGACAATTAGCATGAGCTGGTGGGGGCTAACAGCGAGGCAGGGGAGGACGAAGGCAGGTTTGTATGACAGCAGGAATCGGAAGAGGCCGTTTCCTTCATAATCCTTTCTCTTCCTTTCAGTTGCCCCTCCACTCGCCCTTCCAAAAGCAATGATAGATCTCAGGTGGGATATCAGATCTGTATTAATGCTTTTGATTTAGATCTGCGTGATTTTCTCCAGCAAAAAGAAAACATACGTCCAAGAGATGGCTGAAATGCAAGTGGAGTCGCCACAGGGCAGTTACGCCTTCCCGTCATTGGTCCTTCCTGCTGCAGGGACCTGCGCCACATCTTCATCTCGGCTGCCACTAATTCTGAAGCTCTTGGCTGCCAAACATCGATGCCGCTCACATCAAACTACATCTCAGCTTGGCTTGCTTTCTAGACCGACATCAACCAAAACACCGTTCCGCTGGTTCGGCATCCTATTCCTAACGGCAGTTGGCGGTCCAACTTCCTAATACTGTAAAGCGGCTTTCGCGGCTGCGCGTCACGGCTCCAAGACGTCGGAACTTGGGTTCGGAAGCTCACTCGGAATTTCGGCTGCCCCTCCACTCCGAGACTCGAACATGCAGCCCTGTTCGCAGACGCAGGCCTCCAAAACCGGATCCCGGACCCATCAATCAGGAACACTCAAACTCAGTCCAGGATATCGTTTCAAAATTAAGAACATTCAACCTTCCTCCTCCGTTCCATCACTAACCCGCTCAAAGTGGGGGGGAGCTTAGCCGACCGTTGTTGGATACACTTGCATATGACTCGTTCCCTTCCGCCGCGCTCAAGCACCAATCCCTCAGCACTTTAGATCCCCATGGCCGCCTTTGCCCTGTCCCGAACCTCATCCGTTTACCAATCCATCCATCCGTCCAGCCAGCCATCCCCATGCTCACATCACATGCACATGCACATGCACAACCCGAAACTCCAAACCCAACCTGGCAAATCCCGTATTACCCCGATCTTCAAATGTTGAGAACCTGAAAATCGAGATGATGAAGATCCGATCGCCAGGGGCTTGCAGAAGGTAGAGAGATGGACCTGGACGGGAGTTCCCAAAAGGTAGGTGGCACCAAGCCTGACGCGGTTGTGGATACGAGTCAGTTCCTTGCATATGGTCTCGCCTCGCTTCGACAAGTGGCATCTGCGAACATGTTGAGGCAAGTTTCGGGGATTATTGGGGGTGCTGCTTCAAACTGACAATCTCTCGATTCACATGTTATGTACTTTCTTGATATGTGTGAGAAGAATAGGGGGAGAGGATAGATCAAACATAGACTGCATTCGTCCATCTATTAGACGCCACACACGTGGAATAAAGTCCACAACAAGATTTCTCTCCTTCACTCACTCTTCCTGCCTTTCCACTGCCCCTATTCTGGCGAGCAATGTACTGCAGACCCCCCCTTGGGCTCATCTTGCCCTGTGTCCAAAGCAAGCTTAACAAAATGCACGCATCTCATACAGGGTACAAAAGATAATCCGCGCTGGAAGAGACGATCTATAAACACCACCTCCCGTTCAATCGCCCAATTAACTCCTCCCCTCCAAAGCAAAATGAACATGAAAAGTAATGAGAAACCAAGGAAACTTTTGATCTGATCTTTTGAACGAACAAAGAGCGAATACCGTCGGCGAAACAAATATGTGACCAGAAGGGTAGAACGTTCATCTTTCTCGTGAACTGAACCAGGGGCTTGGATTCGATGCCCTCGAGCTATTGCCGATGTCGTGTACTGCCAGTGATTCGAAGGGCGTCGTCCAATTTTTCTTGCCCAAGAAGATACGTTTGTAAAAGCACAAAAACTCTATCCCGTCCCAAAAGGTCTCTTCTTTCGCCCAATTCAATCTATCCGGGGGTATAGTCTTAGCTCGTGATGATGAATTAACTCCGCCCAATGCAAGTGATTTTCGTTGAGAAATGTACGCCGTTTTATGTGAAAGACCTCAGGATGAAGAATGCTGGGGAGCCGTGAACTCGTCGATTTTGTTGTGGGGTGGAATGGTAATCTGCTTTCACATCATACCTTCCTCGCCGATGCCGGGTAATCCAGCATTGACTCCTAATCCTAAGCCAACAGCAGCCATGTGACTGTTCAGCTTCAGATCAGGGTTGCAAGGAGGTGAATGTTGTCGATGCTTGGAAGTGTCAGCCGAGGTTCCGCGGCAATCTAGAAAGCAACTTACATATTTCAATCCGTTCAAATTCTTGTATCTCTTGCCACAGATATCGCATTTGTAAGGCTTCTCCTTTTCCATGCCAAGAGTTCCTGGGTAGGGAGTGGAGGTTTCTGGGTTCACAATCGAGAACGTACCATCGGCGTTGTCATGTAATTGTTGGGTTTGATGACCGTGAGTCTTGTGATATCTGGGTCCAGTTAGCACTTTTCTGTCAATTTTAGGATTTGAAATGCTTACTTGAGACCGTTTTGGTTCTTGTAAGCCTTCTCGCATCCAATAACTGGACACTTAAATGGCTTATGCTCCTCTCCAATCATCATTGCTGCTGCTGCTTGTGGATTGCCCATTGCACCCATAGACATTAACTGTTGTTGTCGGTATGCCAGCATCAAATCACTATTATTGTTGAATTGGCCTTGTCCCAAACCAAATTGTGCGAATTGTTGCTGCAATCTTTGGTTGTTGTACCCATTCGGGCTGTACAATCGCTTCGCTGGTTCGTCAATGCAAAGATCCAAAGATAAACTGTCAGAGCCCATCCCAAACGGGAAGTTCATATTTGCCATATTCATGTTCTGTCCCATCCCCATGTTCATCGGCATGTTTGAGAAGTCATCTTCCATCTCGCCAGCCGGGGTCCCTGGAACCGAGGTATCAGGCGAAAGGTATTGTGCCTGTTGCTGTTGTATTGGTTGGGCGCTGAGGGTAGGGGTGTTTACAGATGAAACTGTAGGATTGTTCTGGAAGCCAAAACCTGCAGTTGCCGGAGTGGTCGGTTGCGATGTTCGGAGGCCGGAATGTTGTAAGCCGGCAATATTCGAGTTGAGATTCAGATTTGGTCGTTGTTGCTGGCCAAACATTGATTGCTGAACAGGTTGGACTGGTTGTTGATGGGTTTGTACTGGTGTCTCTGGTGCTTGATCCAAAGGTCCTATTGCGTCGTCCATCTCCATATCCTCTACACTATCCATATCCTCAGAAACTGGTTGAACATGCTTTGGAACTGGAGTCGATGGCTGTGATTGCTGTTGCTGTCGCATAAGTTGTATTCCCCCAACCGGTGCGCCTCCTTGTGGCATCTGTAAGCCTTGTGGCCGTGATGCTTGTGATTGCTGGTTCTGCTGTTGCTGAGCTTGCTGCTGAACTGCCGTAGCCGCTTGAGCCGCGATAGCTGCTTTGCTATTTGGGGTGGAATTTTCTCTCGCCCGAGCTGCTGCAGAAGCAGTCCGCAGTGACTGGGGCGTCTGCTGTGCATGTGCCTCTTCATAGTGTTGTAACAGATCGTGGAGGGTTGGTAACGTCTCGCCGCAGCAGGCAAAATCTCTCATGAAATTCGCCTCAAGCTTCGGTAGATATGAGGATGAGTGATATGAGGGTGATTGATATGGGAATGGTGATGTACCGGCCATGATAATGCTAGAGTGAGGTCAGCTCGCCTCTGACAGAAAGAGCGGTGGCGCGAGGCAAGAGCTCGACAACAGTGTCGAGACTCGAGATATTGTCAAGGCACAATTCACTATCGTAAAATACAGTGGAAGACTTACTCGTCTCGAATCCAACTTCCAACAGAAACGCCTCCCCAGCTCATGCCTTGAACAAGGCTTCCAGCTAGACTCTCTCGCCGCGGCCGACCATCATTGTGTCTATTAGGATTATTCATGGAAATGGGCTTGGCCCCTCCAAAGGAATCCTGTCTGCCTCTCCCCATGCTCGAGTCGAAGGCGGTGCCGCTCATCATGGCGGAGCTGCGCGAGTCGATGTCGTGATAGACGGGCTTCTTGCCTTGGGACGACGGTGACGAAGATGCGTTTCGTGTAGGCGTGGCGATGTCGATAGGTGAGGTCATCGGCATCGTAACACTCGCGTGGTCGATATCGTTATCGTCGGGAGTGGGAGGCTGGTTGGAGAAGGGAGAGGATGTGTTGGAGGAGCCGTCGTTGATAAAAGCGACCTCGTCCTCGTAGGCGGAGTGACTTGCTGCACCACTTGGCGAGTCTGAAGCCGACGCTGCTTTTGAGGGCCTCGCGAACCAATCACTAGCCCAGGGCATTCTGCCTGCACGCTAAAGCGTCTTCCCAGCACGCGCAGGGCAGTGAATAACAACGGGGGGTGCGAATAGTGGGAGAGAGATCGAAGTAATTATTCGGGCGATTTTGCACGACTATATATATTTGGGAGCACGATGGGTCGCGAGGGTGGTGTGTGTCTGTCTATGTCGGCGTTTGAGGACAGCTCCCGGAGCAGCGGCGGCGGCAATGCTGGACAGACGGTGAGTGATGTAAGGAGGATCGAGGACGCCTTGTCAACAGCGGTGAACCGGCCTATTATAAGAAGGCAGTCATGGTTCGACTGACGATCCAGTATCCTCGTTGTGTGGTCGAGATGCCCCGAAGCCCTGAAGCCCTGAAGCCCTGGGTTCAGGATCTCTTGGTTCCTGCGGGTGGACCTTTCTTCTTCAAGAATAAACAGCCGGCCAACTCAATCCGAATTACTTCATCGGCCGAGGGACCATGCTGTACCAGGGACCACCTAGGGCACGCTCCACGCTCCACCCTCGAGTCTGTTACTTTGTTGTCTGAACTGCAATGTTGCTCTACCAACATCTTTGTCTTGTCTCTGCGTCGCCGTTCCGCCTCCATGCAAAGAGGCAGGTCGAGTCATAGCAGGACCCTTGCCTTCCCAGTCACATCTCCAGCCTTTTGTTCCGGCCGGCCCAAGCCCCGTATGCACCGTGTCTTACTTTGCGCCTGTTCGATGTGTTTGGTTATTGCAGTGACGAATGGGCTGGTGGTATCGAGGTGCTTCTGATTATTCACGTTTGGGGCGGGGGTCTAGTCGACGAAACCTGGAGGACCGGACATGGGTATCACGTGCATACGGGTTCATGTCATGGATGCATGGCTTTCGAGATCTGGATGTGAGATCTGGGCTTGTATCAGATGTCATTTCTGATAAGGGAAGATAAGAAATTAATTGTCCGGCAGTTTGCGAATGTCTTCAAAACCAGAAGTAAGGTCATGATGAGTTTCATAGGTTCTTGTACTGTAAGAGTCCGATTTCATCCTTCGAGGGCAAGAAAATAATACGGTCGAGCGACTGACAACACCGAGCAAGTAGACAATTGGTTAGTAATCGGTGAAGACTCGGGATGAAGTGGGCGGATTTCTCGGCATGTGCGTGGTTATATTGATCCGGCTCGTGGAAATACTGCTTAATGCCACCAATGTGAGGCATCCTACTTTCCTTCAGAAGGCAGCAAGGTATTTTAGACATTTTCAGAGTGCGTCTAGACATTCATATTCCCGTCGTGGTCGTTGGTCGGGATTGGGTGTGGTCGTCACACCACACTGTTGATGTCATGCGAGCAGCAGCTCTTCATGCGCTTAGCTGACAAAATTTCCCATCGATACTTCTCCGGGGACCACCAGTTCACGGAGATCAAGAAATCTTCCTCAAGCTGCAGAAAACAATATATTCTCCTCTCGTCCACGATTTCTGACGATCGCACACTTCAATCGCACACGACACCCTCAAACAGCCACGAGAAAGCTTACTGCAGTCAATTTCGCCGAGTATATCAGCATTTCCACAACAACCCCTGACGGCATCACAACGCCATTACCAAAAGAAGGACACGAACCCCTCAATCGATCGAACGCAAGTAAGGCATTCGAATCCAGCTGCATACTTGATCCTTGACCAGCAGCAAGCCAACAAAACGATTACCCCTCTCCAAAGCCACAAAATCTAAGCTCGTCACCACCTTCCCCACACATCAACCATGAAGATCCTCACGAAAGAAGAGGAAGAGGCACACTACAATGCCACTCTGAAAGGCGGTATCAAAGGCGGGCTTATCGGTCTAGCCTTGGTACGTACTTTTGCCCCAGCCCAAGCAAAAGTCAATTTTCCCAAGAGACAGCAACTAACACTTACCAGGGTGGAGCAGCAACCTACGGCGCACACCTCCGCTTCTCCACCTTCCGCGCCCTCACCCTCCCCATGAAAGCCTTCCTCGTCAGCTCCACCGGCACATTCATCTCCATCATCGCCGCCGACCGGGCCTCGCGGAACTACGAAAGCGCGCGGGATCCCCAGCGACAATACCGAGACCGGGCTACTTTGGACCAAGAGAGCATCCGCGCCTCAGAAACCTACTTCCAGCGGGCCAAGGACTGGGGAAGAGAGAACCGATACCCTATCGTTACAGCGTCATGGGTGGCGTCCATGGGAATTGCGTTGGGACTGGTAGGACGGAATCCGTATCTGAGCAGAGCGCAGAAGTTGGTGCAGGCTAGGGTTTACGCCCAGGGGTTGACGCTTGCGGTACTGGTGGCGACGGCGGCGTTCGAGGTCGGCGATGCGAGTAAGGGGAAGGGCAGGTGGGAGACGGTCATGGTGCTCGATCCAAATGATCCGGAGCATAAGCATTTGATTGAGAAGAAGATCCATCATGAGGCCTATGAGGGGGAGGATTTGTGGAGGGGTATGTTCTTCCTTTTACCTTTTGCTTGATATCAGGCGGGGATTAACTGCGATGCAGATATGGTAGCAGCTGAAGAGCGAAAGATTGCAGCTCGCAAGTCTGCGGTTAAGAAACAAGAAGCTGCGGACACCAAGAAGGCACCAGCTCCTGAGGAGAAGTAAATTTAAGAGCCGGAAACGCAGAGCACGAGGATGGAAGAGCATAATAGCGCTTGGGGAGATCAAGATTGAAGTTTGATGAAAAGGATGGGAGTGATGTATGCATAAAAAAAACTGTGGGTATTGGGGGCTGCATTGCATTTGGCGCGTTGTTTTTAGGGCTGGCCTTTTTCGTTTCTTGCCTGTATTTGGAGAGAGGTAGAAGACATTCGCCACTCAACATTGTATCGATAAAAGTAGTCAAATCACTAATAGAATACAAAAAACTGCAATAACACGCTTCAACGCCATACGAGTACATCCCTCATGAAATCATAAATCATAAACGTAACAAAAGGAAAGAAACTCCCGTTCTTCCCGCCCAGTCACCATGTATGAACAAACATAAATCTCCTATAAATTTCAGAAAATCAAACATCGATGCTGAAATGGCTGATCTGCGAATAATAAGCATGAACAGCCAATTCCAGCACCTGCACATCGCCAAAAACTTCCACTCCGTCAAACCCTCCTACTACGATGAGTCGACTATCATGCAACACCGTCCCATGATAGCCCCTTGCTTTCGGCGGCATCCCATAAATCTTCCTCTTGTCCCAAACCATAGTAACGAGATTAAGTAACAGAACCTCATTGCTATATTCAACCCCATCATGACCTCCAATAACGAAAAGATAGCTGCCCACGATCGTAGCCGTATGGCTGAGCCTCGGATACGAAACCGGGATGTTAACGGGTGAAAAGGTTAAAGTCTCTAGATCGAAGACCCATACGTCTCTAAAACATTCTCCGCCGTCTGATCCACCAAAAATGATGAGCTTCGAGCCGACCACGTTCGCGGTGTGATAGCCTCTTGCTTTGGGCTTCGTTTTGTCGTCTGAGGAGGCGGAGGAGGGTGGTGAGATCAGCTTCCAGGACATTTTGTTTGTGTCTGCTACGTCTAGGCGCCAGACGTCGTTTAGCGCCCTTACACCATCTCCACCTCCGAAGACGTATATCCCGTTTCGCCATACACAGGCAGTATGTGCTCGCCTCTTGCTCGGTTGTCTGTCTCCTGCTATTTTCGGTTTGCTCCACCGGAAATTGACCGTGTCGAGGACGTACACGTCGTTATAATATGCTGGCCCGTCTCCACCACCAAATACTATGAGTTTCTTGCCAACTGCTGTACAGGTCATAGCTCGTAATGGTACTGGTATCTCCCCGCATACATAGGGACACGAGAAGTAGAACGCATCTGCGTCCAAGACGTATAATTCGTTGAAGCAAGACCTTGAGTCACAACCCCCGAAGACATATATATTGGATCCGACGAGGGTTGTGATATGTGCGCGGAGTGAGGTGTGTGATGCTCCCGAGACCGGCGCACGAGACCAGTACATGCCACTTGCTGGCGCGGGTTGGACATCTGGGGCTGTCTTTGGATCTGGTAAGGGGGGAAACGGTATATGTGGTCCTCGTGCAGCTCGCTGGGCTGACGGGGTGCTTTTTGGAGGAGCGGAGGAGGAGCTCCCTGCTGTGCTGGGCTTGGAAGCGATTGCGGACGTGGAACGGAGGTTCAACGGGCGTGGGGTGGTCGCACTAGAGACTGATAGAGAGGCAGACGGCGGCGCCGAGTGATTCGAAACAGGAGGAGAGAGGGGATTGTCGGGTCTTGACGCGCTGCTGCCATTGCTGTGTGATGATGAGGGTGGTTTCGGCGATTTCGAGGCAGAGGATGACGAGGATTCTTTCTGAGACACTGATTGAGAGCGTTGACGCAGTGCCAACTCAGATGCCTTCTTCCGCCGGTCTTGACTCTTCGTGGATAAGTGTCCTGGCGTGTGGCTTCTGGTGGGAGCTGATTCTCGTGGTGGTTCCGTGTCTTCGGGAATATCTGGTGGCCTTGTGTCGGAAGGTGACAGCTGTATTATCTTCTGAGAGCGCATGAGCTTGCTGGTTTTAATGGCTGGCCGGTTTGCCTTGTCTGCGGACTTCTGGGATTCAGCCATTGTGTATTCGCCGGAGGTCTTTGGAGCTGTAGTCTCTTGTTCTCATTGTCTGCTGAGGGGTGTTGAGGCTGGGAAAAGGGGACGGGTGGCTGATTCGGAGGATGAAGTGTCGCAGGAACGTCCTTTCCCCCTGCAAAACTGTATCTGCATGCTGATTTCCAGCTTCAAGTCAATTGGAGAAGTTCGACTTTATCTCATCAGCCAGCCATGATGCAATTGAAGATATACTAGCTTACCAGATTCCCTCTCATTGTGATATATGATGTGTAAGATGTGGGAAGTGTTTGTCGAAGCTTTCAGGGGTGGAAAGGATCCAGGCACCAAAAGAAAAGGAGGTCAGCGGGTTGGAATCAGCCACAGGCACAAACAGTGGCTGAGACGCGCTAAGATAAGCCGATAAAAAAAATTGAGGGGGTCAAGCTTAATCAATCAACAGCACACATTTACTTGGGCATTGCACTTACCAGCCGAAATGTCTGGGCATGTCCAAAACTCAGCCGAACCCGAGCAATCGCTCAAGAGACCAATTGATCACTTTTCAGAAGAGCAGGCACGCCCATCACAGCCAATCCTTCCGGAAGATTCGGTGACGAAGGCCGAGAAGATTGAAAGGAACGGAGTGAATGGGAAGGCAGAAGATCTAGACGAACAGGAGCCAGCAGCAAAGCGAATCAAAATGGAGGACTCAATAGAAACAGTTGCAGGGAATGGTCCGGAGGAGAAGAAGGTTGACTCAAGAGATAAGGTGAAAGGAATTGCCCTTGTGAAAACCGAGTTGGTCTCCTAATTTCCATGTACGAATATTACTGATGTCGTGTAGGTACCTCATCGACACATACAAGAGGGCAGTTACCACTTCGACCCTGGACGATGATGCTGCAGAAGGACGAGGTCACGCAGATGATCGGGACAATAATGGAGACAACCGAAAAGGCGGCCGTGGGGACAAGAAGAAGAAGAGGAAAGAAAAAGGTCAGAACAAGAATCGAGAGTTTGGATCCTGGTACGATATGATCAGACTTTGCAACAGTCGAGCCAACACACCAGAATTCTCTCCGAAGGAATGTAGCTTTGGTGACACATGCAAGTGTTGCCACGATTTGCGAAAATATCTTAAGGAAGGAAAACGGGAGGATCTGGATACTTTTGACAAGAGGTGCCCCGTCTGGGAGGTTCACGGAACGTGTTATGCAGGATGGAAGTGCCGCTTTGTTTCAAGTCATTCGAAGGAAATCGAACGAGAAGATGGTAGGAAGGAATTGGTCTTGATCGACAAGGACGACGCCAAGCCTCTTGAAGACGATGATGAGAACCGGAAAGGGGTTTATAACGTCGTCAGTACGGCTGACAAGCTAGACCTAGCAAGGCGAAGAGCGAAGACCGAAAAGTCAGACAAATACATTGAATGGCTAGAAAATGACCAAAAGGAAATGGACAAGATCTACCATCAGAAGAAAGAAGAGACCGCTGAGAAGCGTGAGGAGAATCGAGCCACTTTCACTGACCCACCCCTCCTTCCCTCTGAGAAGAGAAGAATATATTTCGGTCCAGAAACACCAGTCCTCGCTCCCCTCACAACACAAGGAAACCTTCCGTTCAGGAGAATGTGCGTAGAGTTCGGGGCACAGCTTACGTATTCCGAAATGGCTATGTCGATTCCTCTGATACAAGGTCAGAAGTCGGAATGGGCTCTGATGAAAGCTCACGAGAGTGAGATATCGGCACCTCGATACACGCCAACATCTGTTGTCCAAGAGTATACCAACTCGAAAGATTTGAAGTTCGGTGCTCAGATTTCTGCCAGCAAGCCCTGGCAAGCCCTCAAAGCTGCAGAAGTCATGCCAAGACTGTTACCTCATCTCAGAGTTATTGATATCAATTGCGGCTGTCCTATTGAACTTGTTTACCAGCAAGGTGCTGGTTCAGCATTGCTTGATGCTCCTTCGAAGCTGGAAAAGATGATTAGAGGCATGAATGTTGTCTCTGGAGAGGTTCCAATTACAGCTAAGATTAGAATGGGCACGAGAGATGGGAAACCTACAGCTCAGAAGACCATTGAACGTTTAGCTTTTGGTGGGTACGAAGCACGACAGCGACTTGGAGCTCCAGGGTGTGCTGCGATTACTCTTCACGGTCGAAGCAGGCAACAAAGATACACCAAGAATGCGGATTGGTCGTACATAGCCGAGTGTGCAACTTTGGTCAAGTCATACAATCAGAAGAAAGACGATTTGACAGACACCATTAACGAACCTGATGCCCGAACTCAAGCAAACACTTTAGATGGAAGAATGTATTTCGTTGGTAACGGCGATTGCTATTCTCACGTTGACTATCTGGACCATATCCAGAACGCTGGAGTTGACTCTGTCATGGTCGCTCGAGGAGCACTCATCAAGCCGTGGATATTTGAAGAGATTGAGAAGGGCCAATATATTGACAAATCTGCCTCAGAACGCCTCGGCTATATTGAGAAGTTCGTCCGTTATGGGCTTGAGGCTTGGGGATCTGATGAAGTGGGCGTAGGACAAACGAGAAGATTCCTTCTGGAATGGTTGAGCTTTGCTCATAGATATGTCCCCGTCGGCATTCTGGCTCACTTGCCACCGAGTTTGCAGGATCGGCCACCTGCGTACCGAGGGAGAAGCGATCTAGAGACATTGTTGGCTAGTGACAATTACTTGGATTGGATCAAGATCAGGTATGTTTCCGGGTTGACCAGGCACCGTTCTTGCTAACAAAATTTCCAGTGAAATGTATCTTGGTCCTGCTCATAAAGACTTCAGATTCCAACCCAAACACAAGTCAAATAGCTACGAAATTGAGGCAGAGGGATGAGGGAAGCTCTGATAATCTTGGTGAAGGAAATAAACCCTCACAACAGTAGACCTATTGGCAGCAGACGCACTGGTTCTGCTGCTTTTGTGAAATGGCCGGTGGTAGATTCGACATCAGTGGAGATGTTTACAACACTATCAAGTAACCATGAATATAATCGAGTAGCAAAACGACATTCATTCAATGAAAATTTCGTGCATCACTAACTGCCCTTGGTCAGTTTATGAATTCCCGGATAAAATTCACGTGAATGGGGACTTTTGTTATCACGTGCTTCAAACAAAACCAGGAACCCTGCAAAGGATGACGTTGAAGCTAGGAAGCTTCAACCAACCGCGCGCAAGACTTCCAGGCAAACTTTACAAAACACCACCACCAACCCACTTTCTCAAACTTCTGGCTGGAGCTGTGAACAACATTCTACAGCTTCTTCGACTCTCGTGAGTGCACTCTGTACTATCCTGGCAGTGAAACATTGGTTCTTTGATTGAATGTGCCGAGGATTCGAAAACAGCAGCCTGCCAACATCAACTGACATCTTCGAACAGGACACGATTCCATACGACACCTTTCCCCGTAACCCGAACCCAATCAATCCGCCAAGATGACGCTCTACTACAGTCTCGTAAGTCGACCACATAATCTCTCGCAATGCTGCTACATTCTCGCACTCACCCCTTGTCCTCGAACTTAACACTGCCGTACCACGCTGCTAACACGTTGGCACGTAGGTCTTCCTCTTGCTCGTAGCAGAGATGGCACTATTCATCCTCCTAATCATCCCCCTCCCGTTCACGATCCGTCGAAAGATGTTTACCTTCATGTACGTGCGCCTGCTCTGACTTCCATAATCTACCTAACAATTTCAAAGAAGCGAGAGTCCATTGGTGGCAAAACTCCAATATGGGATGAAGATTACATTCATCTTTATCCTGATCCTCTTCGTTGATAGCTTAAACCGCGTTTACCGTGTACAAATCGAGCTTGCCGAGTCAAACAAGCAGCAAGGGCAGGTTTTCCTTTGTGTCTCCATCCACAACACACTAACATAGTTATAGTGCCGCTGTCCTCGGCCACGAACGCATGGAAGTCCAAGCCCGGAAGTTCTACTCCCAGCGTAACATGTACCTCTGCGGCTTCACGCTCTTCCTCTCCCTGATCCTCAATCGCACCTACACCATGATCCTCGACGTGCTCCGCCTCGAAGAGAAGGTCAAGAAGTACGAAGGAGACCCAAAGGCTAGCGGAAAGCAGGCCGATAAGTTGGCAAATGCGGGCAATGCTGGGGAGATTGGCAAGCTGAAGAACCAATTGGCCGAGAAGGATAGGGATATTGAGACCCTGAAGAAGCAGGCAGCCGGGTTGAGCCGCGAGTATAATGATCTAAGTGATAAGTACGGCGCGACGAACCCGGATAGCACCCCCAAGAAGGATAGGTAGATGCTTGTTTCATCCATCCCTCAATAATTGGAGAGGCTCTAGGGTGTAGATCAGGGTGCTAGGAGAGTTGCTAGAGGAGGGGTGGAATGAGGGATTTGGAGGTGTGGAGATGAGGCTGGGGATGAAGTCATACGATATTGGGTCGGAGGTTGAGAAGGGAAAACTGTGTTCATGAGGCGTCTATGATGTTTTTGGTTTTGAGTTGTAGTTATAGCACACGAAATGATCGTCGATTCTCTTGAAGGCAGTTGCCACCTTTCGCTGTCGCCCAAGTGGCATGCAAATATGTAAGTAAAGTTTCATTCTGCTAAAATACAAAGTTGCGCTTCTCGCAAATTATTTCCCCCATTATGTTCCTGATATGCAGCTTTCCAGGTTCCCCGGTTCGTCATGTCCATATTATCTCCATCCATGTTGCTGCTGCTCATTAATTCATATTTGCAGTTCCTCCCCTCGAAACATTGAGAAAGGAATCAAAGAAATCCACGACCACGCCTATCCATGCAATCCATACGCCTTCACCACCCTCCCTGCAGGCACCAGGCATGCCCATCTTAAATCCCATTCACGGCTTCAGCATACCTCTCACTCAATCGACAAACAAACCTGCCTGCTGACGGCCTGGTGCTGGTGCTGGAATGCCATCCTCATCATCACTATCATCCTCAATGACCACAACTTCCGCCTTTCCGTTATTTCCCTTGCTTCGCTTGCTTGCATGTCCACTCCTACCAGCCAAGCCCCTGCTCTCCACGATCTCTTGCTTGATCTTCTTGGCGTTGCTAACGTTCTCACTCGCAAGTTGCCGGACCAGACTCTGAATTTGTGCGTGCTGGGCAGCTGTCAGGCCGTCGATGAGTTCTTCTTCTGGCTCAGGGGTTGGTTCTCGAGATGGGGATGGAGTGCGAGGGATGACGAGAAGTTGCTTCAATGCTTCTGTCGTTTGCCTTGCGTCAGTATATGTACTCAAGTGAGAGACTGAGAAAATGGAGAGGGAGAGGAAACTCGTGTACCTTGGCTGCGGTAGATGAATTTGAAGATAGCGAGCGGATAGTCATCGCCGTCCTTCTTCTTACAGCGAAAGACAGCTCCTCTCTTTGCTCTACGTGCCTCGCTAAGACTAATATTTCTCGGCGTCAGCATTTCTTCTCAATTTGCCCAAATAACGGTTGTACATTTGAAAAGCTTGGAATAGTGGCATACCTGGTACCGTGGCTTTTAGCCTGTCCTTTGAGGGCCTTCTCCGAAACGTTTATTCTGCCTTGCTTGAAGAAGCCTTCAGATGTGCCAGGTGTATCACCACCCTTTTTGCCGTAGTCACCGTTATAAACTCTGATCTCGATGGTACCTTTTTTCTGCAAGCGCTGGGCTTGACGTTTGATGGCGTCCATAGGTGAGTTGTCCGAGTCTATCATTTTGTCTTGTCAGTTCATCCAGAGTTGGAGGTATTGAGGAGGGAGAAAGAGGAATATGGAGAGGAGGAAGTACTTGTCTCAATCTTGGCAAACAGGAAATTCTTCAATGTGCACTTGCTTCCTTTGCCGTTTGTCACTCCCTTCACCGTGTACTCCCAAGTAACTCCTCCATTCTTGAAGAACGGACGGTCACAGAAGGCTTCGCCGGCTCGGATACCGTCAGCCCAAACGTCAAAGATGAGCTTTGTGTACACCATATTTGCATGACCGAGGGGTCCGGTGACCTCCAACTTGACGCCGAATTGTTCGCCTGTTTTGGCTTCGATGTAGACGCTCTTGGTGCGAGATGCTTGGTGCTCCGCAACGTGCGGATCTTCATGATCGACTTCTATTTCATCAGTGTCGTCATGCTCAGGTGCTGGCTCGCCACTGATCATGATGACTGCTGCGAGTCCAGGAAGGAGTGGGAATTTGGCCATCTTGAGGCGGGTTGTGGATTGTGGATGGGATGGTGAGGGGGTGTCGAATAGATGGGGATGTGAGGGAATGCGATGGAGTTGATGAATGGAGGTACTAACGCTTAAAATCAAGGTAGAGCGATGGTGAAATGGAGATTGTGCGCCTGCGAGATGATCGTTGTCGAGGTTGAGTGTCAAAGAGGTCGTGAGGTGGGGGTTGACGCAAGCTCGCCAAGGTTTTGAGGTTTTTTGAATCGAAGGTCAAGATGACGTTCGTGAGGCTGAAGGTGAGCTCAATGGCGGTCTCCGAGGATGAACGATTCGTTAACCTACTTGCTTCTGGGATTGGATCAGAGGTGAAGCTATCACGATGCCTAGGACACTGGCAGATTCGGAATTGCTGAGACGAAACTACTTTGTATGTTGTATCCCAAAAGTGAAGAGTCGATGAAGAAGGGGAGTGTTTTTCAATAGATGAAATTTGGGTTGCTTGAACTTTGCTCTTCGCACTGGACGTCAAATTTGGATGAAGTTGGTGAAGATGATCGTAAGTTATTGGGTCTTCGTTAGTGTTTGGGAAAGACCAAGCCCTGGACCTTGCTTGCTGATCGATGTTTGATATTGGAGGAAGTTCGGCGAGCAGCCGGTTGAAATACTGTCAAGTGAGGTTGTTCTGAAGCAGGAAGTCTAAATCTATTGGTGGCTTCTTCAGCGTCATTGACGGCGCGGCGGGGTCAGGGCTTAAACAATTCCCAAGATCTCATCATTGCTGCAACGTCTTCGAAAACGTATGCGTCAATCTGTACTGAGAAGAAGAAATTCATCGGGACATCAAGGAGGCGATCTAATAAAATGGGTAGTTGCACTCAGTCATATTTTAGTTTCTCACCCAGGTTCCCGAAAGCCTTCCTCATATATACTAGCAGCATGTGCATTACTATTATCCCCCCATCGCCCAAGTGCGGTAATGCCCAGATATTGCATGCCCAGCCATGATTTGTCCACTTACCCTCCACTCCACGATCCCGAGATTCATCGAGTAACGTTCTCGTCAATATGTCCATGCCCTCTCCTTAATAGTTAGGAAGATGCATAATAAGCAAGAAGCTGCCCAAGAGGTGCATCCAAAATCTCAATGCTCATGGCTGGTAGATCAATCAGATCCTCTTCCTCGATGGTGGGATCGACCAACTCTCCCTGGGGCATTCTTCGCCGCTTTCGCTGGTTGGTCATCGTCAGTGGGGTCGATCACCTCATTACTAACGCCTGTGTTCCTGTCTCGCTTGAAAAGTTTGACCCCCTTTTGGTCAACATCTTCTTTCTTTGTAACTCTATTTCCGTCACGAGATTCCCTCTATGTAAAAGTCGGAAGAACAGCTTTTTGGTTGCCTGGTATTGCCTTGAAACATTTATTCAAACAATCGAAAAATTCGCGCAATTGTGCAAGGTATAATCGTGACGCCTAGGGATTCTTACCTTCAACATACTCTTAGCAATAGCATCAAGTTTCCTCCTCTGTTCGTCTGTCAATGGAGAGCATGGAGTGCGGGGAGCGGGTTCGGGCTCGGGAGTTCGTGGGATGAACATCAATGCTTTCAACGCCTGTGTTAAGGCGAATTATCAGTCTTATTTGCATCTCAATTGTTTCAACACAAGGAGAACAGCCCCTCGCAGTTAGCGGGCACTTTGGAGCTGGTCTTACCATTGCTTCGGTACGTGAATTTGAAGATTGCAAGAGGATAATCTTCACCATCCATGTATCCAGTATCAGATCAATATAGCAGAAGAGGGGCAGTTCGAGCTTTCCCAAAACTTTGGGGATGACCAGCGAATGCTCTTAAAAAAATTACACATTGCTCCGAAGGCTGTGGTCTTCAGTGTTACTTACGCAGTTCCTTGTGACTTAGCATCTCCTTTCAATACCTTCTCAGGGACCTTAGAGGCAGACTCAATTCCGGGTTGCTTATCATTGTATGTGCGCTGGATTTGGACTCCATGTTCTTGCTGATGAATTGTGATGACAATCTCTCCCACACTCGAGAGACGGGCAATGTCCTTCTTGACCTGCGCAACGGGACATTCTCGGGGGCTGGAGATGTTAGTAGATCTCGGAGAGAAAAGATTAGCAAGGAGTATCAACTCGCTGGTATGGATCTTGATTAACGTCATAGGCCTGAACATGGCCCTGCTGGTAGTTCTGACCTCTGGACCCCAAACCACGAACTCCAAGCCATGGGCCGGATAATAGTCGTTCTGTTTCCAGACCATAGAATAAACATGTCGGCCATCAACGCTCACCTTGAAAAATAGTCTGGGGCATTCCATAATGTACGGATTTTTTAATCTCAGCTTGATAGTGAGCTCCGTGTTGGTTTGAGACTCGACATAATTGGTCACCGTCTAGATAGAATAACGAAGTCTGACGGCATGATCGTTGTATTTGACTTCCTCATTCTCTGTATGGCATTTTGAATAGGCTGCCCATCGATAAAAATGGATGCTTCGATGCCTGAGAGGTCTTCGGGAACTCCCATGTTGCGTCGAGTGGTTGTAGTTTCCTATATGTGGGAAGTGGTTTGAGTCGATGTACTTGGCTGAGGAAGAATTTAGATGCTCCCAAAAAGAGTAGACGCCCAATTAAATTTCTTAATAGAGAGGGGCAGAACTCTGGAATATGAGCTCGGTTATTATCCAAGACCAAGTGCTCATGTAAGTCAGAGGCGAAGGGGAAGAGTTGCGTGTTGATGGAGGGGAGACGGAATCACTTACAGGCCTGAATATTCGTGAAGAAGTATCCAGATGAGGTTCGAAACTCAATAGCATATCCTCGGAGGCCCGGATCATTTCATAGAACGAAGATAGATTGTTGAAGTCTTGGTGTGTTGATGGGATCCGCTCACCCAAAAAATTAAGCGAACCCCCTTGGAAACATTCATTCGACTGTTCAATATCAACCATATAGTATTCCTATTATATACTGCTTTAGAAACACGTAAAAATAGTGAATTATTCTTGCCATGAAGCCCTATACAATTATCTCTTGAAATGGTAGATCCGCTCGCCGGAAGGTTGGAATCCGCTCACCCAAAATATTAACCGATCCGCCTTGAGAACCTTCCTCTATCTCCCTACACTCAACAACAAGATATTTCGTCCATACCACAGCGTGAAAACATGGCCAAAGAGCGTGTAATTGCGATTGCAAAGCCCCGGTTTAATATCTTTCGAAATAGGAGATCCGCCCACCAAGTACATTTTATCCGCTCACCAAAATGCTTAAGCGATCGCTTATCCGCTCACCAAAAAAATTAAGCGAAAGCCCAGGGGGACTTTGTTTACCTCCTCAATCCCAACCATACGGAATATCACCCTCGCTCTAGCCTTGGTAAGAAAGTCCTGACTCCTAAACTCGTTACAGATAGCAGTGGTTATTAGAAGCAAGAAATGGGAGATCCGCTCACCAAGTACATTTTATCCGCTCACCAAAATGCTTAAGCGATCGCTTATCCGTTCACCAAAATACTTAAGCGAATCGCTTATCCGCTTACACAAAATGTTAGAGAAATATTGTCTCCTGATTTGGAAAGTCAGCATTACGAGATATCGACCAATTTACTAATTCAGAACTTGTTTATAGTATAGAAGTATCGTGCCTATTAATACTAGCCTTAATATATTAAATCTTCTGGATCCGCTGCGGTTGCTCTGGGCAGCGGTTTTGGAGGGGAGAAAGGTCGGTCACTTCCGCTCCAAAGGTAAACAAGGTCGAAACCAAGAAGGGAAACTTCGAGGCCGAGAAAAGCGAAGGCAAGAATAAAGGATCACATTCACAACGGAAATCGACGCTGTTCGTATGTCTTCGTTCTCGCCGATAGATACGTCTCATGTACCAGGCCCAAAAGTTACCAAAAAGAAAAGTCCAAGTTTCTTCTTGAGAAGAATCTTTGCAAAAGAACCTCCCAGAATCCTTCCTTCCCTCAGAGAAATCTCAGCTACAAATCAAAATGAGTATTCTTCACATCCTGTAGATAGAAGCTTCCAGCAGCAAGGACTGTCAGCAAAGCAACACTCTCGCGTCTCCAAGTCCAGCGATCGCAACCTCCAACTATTCTGCGAATGCAAAGCTTCCTCAATGAAAGAAACAATCTAGTCATCTAGGGCAATCGAATTATCGTTCTCTTCATCATCGTCCTCCGTGAGATCGATGGTCGTCTTGTACTTTGGCTTCTTGTTGACTTTTCTGCCTTGACCTTCGTCTGTATTCTCACGCTTGGCCCGAGCGGTCTGGGTTTGGCTGGAATCTTCAGCCTTCAATTTCGAAGCGCCCTTTGCCTCCTGTAGAAGAAGAAGTAAGTATAATGCTTGCAAAAAATATAAAAGTTCCTACCAAAAGACTCTTCTTGAACTCCTCGACCTTTCTTCTCATGTCCGCGTCTAGGTCATCATCATTGACAGCAGGAGTTGGGCCCGGCGTGTTTGCTCCAGCTTGTTCTTGTTCTGGCTCAGGAGAACGCTCAATGATGAGCAAGCTCTTAAGTGCTTCTATAAGAAGATGTGGTCAGCGGGAAGCTACAATGCCAGCCGGAATTTGACTGACCTCTTGACCGATACTTGAATCGAAAGATACCGACGGGATAATCCTTGCCATCAAGAAAGTCAGTTTTCCAATAATCAACTGGCGTAGTTGGCTGTGCTGTTCCTAGACTAAGGAATGAATTAGTTACACGGGGGCTATAGAGGGGACAATCTGAACTGACGATGTTCCGTGAGACTTTGATTGTCCCTTCAAAGCCTTCTCATGAATTTCGCCCTCCAAGCTGGATTCAAAAGAATAGTTGTTGATCTGGCCTGACCTGCCTGACCTGCGGCCCTTCGACTGTCGAAATACCCAGACGGAGATTTCGCCAATTCCATTGATACGAATTGCATCATCTTTGACTGTAGAGAGTTTTGAGTTGATTTCGGCTAGGAATTGTTAGGAGAATGCGTCCACGCCTGTGGAATATTGACGTACTCGTCTTTATCTCAGCGAACTGAAAGTGTTGGATAAAACATCGCTTGTAAAAGCCACCAAGATTGTGCTCCAAGCCATTTACAACCATCTCGAAGCCAGAAGCGGATTTGTACACAGTCTTCTGTAATAACCTGCCGCCGACTACCATGCCATCGACCTTGCAATAGAAACTAAGAGTTGGACAATCCATCTTGTACGGAGATTTGACTGTCACTTTGAAGGCGAACTCCTTGCCCGTAGCTGCTTCGATGTATTTCGAAACCGTCTTGGATGCCTGGTATGCACCAACCGCTCCTGCTTGAACCTCAACCTCACCGTCGTTGTATTCATGAAGAGCTTGGCCGTCAACGCAAATGGTGACTTCGATTCCCTCGAGGCCGTTAAGTACCGCCATTTTAATTCCTGTAGCAAAGTTCTAAAGAGAGATGGAACAATCAGTAAATATTCATTGACCTGCTCGAGAGACTGAAAGGGGGTCGGAGGAATCTGAGGCAGGACTGAACGTTGTAGAAAGGTGAGCCAAAGGAGGTGAAAGGATCACCGTAGCTTGAAGATTTGAAAAGTGGTATCTTGAAGAGAAATGAAATATGAGGAATACTGGTTCACTTACAAGTCTTCGCTGATTGACACACAAATGCTCAGTTGGGTAGAGGAGAGGGTTGTGAGGTTGTTGTTGGTTAGGTGGATGAGGAAGTTGAAGGAAGAGGAACGAAGACAATACCAAATCAAAGTTGTTGTGTGCGTTAGCCAATTCACTCGCAGTGAGTTTCGAGCTCATATTTTAAAGGTGAGCATAAATTTCTGTGGGACTCTGGGAGTAAGTAGAAGAACTAAATCATGAGTGATCATTTCTTTTCGCAGACAAAGCGCGCGGGAATGAGATTCTCGAATTTTTCTGCTCTGAAACTACCGTTACATATCGATGCACACCATAAAGTGCATGCGTAGTGGTAGAAGTTGCTAGACGTAGCTCTAGTAGAAACATAATAAACCCCACCTCAGTCCTTACTCAAACACAATAAGAAATCCCGAACGCCAAGGTATTTACCTTCCATATCAACAACAAAGTGTCAAGATACACCCCATTGAAGCACTAATTTGCCCTGTAACACCCACTCATCCACGGTCAGGTATCGCCTAGTCTAGAGTGAGATCAATGGATACTCGTGCGTTCTGCTTTCTAGACTTCTTCCGGGAACGAATAGCTTCAATCGGATCTTCTTCGCGCTCTCGCTTGACAAAGACTCTGTCTGCATGATTCTTCTGCTTGCCTTCTGGAATTCGAGGTGCTGCACCGGACTTGAGAGATACATCATCAGGACTAGGCCGGAACTTGAGACAGGAGAAAATACCTTAAGCATTTGAAAGAAGTCCTGAATTTGACGTCTCTCGCTTGGGCTCAGACTTGCAATGTTGAGCGCGTTTTGCTGAGCTGGCTCCGGAGAAGCAGTTCTGGAGCCTGGCGCTTGCTCGGGCTCTGGAGAACGGATGACAAGAAGTGACTTCAGAGCTTCTGCACATGCATTAGCAAGAGCAAAAGGCAGATGACTGAGTCATTCTTACCTCTGCTACGGTACTTGAACCTAAAAATGGCAATGGGGTGATCTTCGCCGTCCATGAATTCGGACTCAAGTCTCCTAGAAAAGACGGAGGCACGTCCATCTCCAAGCCTAAGTCTCAAGTCAGCAATTTGTTTCTTCCTGGAAAATCTTATTCTGTACTCACTTGGTGCCATGTGACTTTGCCTCACCCTTCAGAGCCTTTTCGTGAACTGTCGAAGGGTGGCCATCGAGAAGACTGTCTTGCTCTATCTTCAGCCCAACGGCTTGCGCCTCGGTACGCCGAAGGACCTTGATAACAATCTCACCGACCGCACCCATAACTTGAATATCACTGTGCAATGAGTCAAGTCTCTCGTCGTCGGTGGCTGAGCAGTTAGCTCAGAGCCTCGGACAGCAAGCAAGAAGGTGAGGGTAACTCTCACATGTTTGGATTTCAGAGAACTTGAAGGGGCGAAGAATACAGTCTGGTTGCTGGCCTCCAGTCGAATACTTGATTCCATGGAACAAGGATTCCCAATGTCCACCACCCTGGCTGAGGACTGCTTTACGCAGGAGGGGTTCTCGGGTTTTGATACCATCGACGTAGATCTGGAAGCCTAGAGTCGGGCAATTCATGGTGTAAGGAGGCTTAATTGCAAGCCGGACCGCAAACTCTTTCAATACGTCAGACTGGATATATTTCGAAACCATACTGGATCCTGGTTCAGTAGGGTAGTCGTTATCATCGTACTCAGCAAGAGCCTGCTCATCAACACAGACCACAACTGAGATGCCGAGGATACTGTCAATGACCGCCATTGCTCTTATGCTTGATGTCTAGATTAGAGTTGCTGGATTAGTCTATGCTTCAAGCACGCACGCAGAAAGAGGAGAGGCCGACAGCCGAAGGTTGAGCCTCGGAGAAAGGTCAGCCCGAGGTGTAACGGCTCGAACTTTCGAGTCTCCTTGAGAATTACGCTCGCAATGATCGAGAGAAGTTGCATAACTTACAGATCTTTGTGGTTCGAGAATCCGGTGATGGTATTGTCGAGAGTTTCGAGGTTCGAGGTTGTGCGGAACGGTGGAGAGGGGAAGGAAAAGAGGTCGAGGGAAGCAAGCGATGACGAGCTTATATCTTGCCGATGATGGGCAGAGTCGAAGACGGAGGTGGCGCCTTGCCTGGAATTCACTTATTCCTATGACTGCAATTTATAAAGGCGAGTCGGAGAAGGGTCTGCCCCGGTCTCTAGCCCTCTTCCTCATCAAATTATACGGAGCTCGTCATTGCTCCCTATCCTTCTACTCTACTTTAATCTCCCTTTGAGAAATTTGTCTATTGACTTGTTAGAGTAACTCAGAATAGCTGGGATAGAGCCAGCCTGTATGCTCTGGCACCTTATCTGTTTTAAAGAGAAGCTTTAAATGGCTGTTGGAAGGCCTCGGTTGACGATCGAAAACCACCTGAAGAATGCGACTCTCTAGTGTCGAGGTTTATACTCCGAGAGTATATGCTTTCTCGGCGCACTTAGGAGCAGACGGTGTTTTTAACACACGCGTTGGCAGAGAGTGATGTGGGTGGTGACCTGAATATTCTGTTGAAATAAAGGGACCACAGTGAGTATGCTGGGTCTGCTGAAACCATGATTTAATTGAGCTAAACATACGAATGGCACCTTGGGGTATATCCTCGCAACATCCTTAGCAATGCAAACAAAGATGACTCCAAGCTCCTCTCAGCGCCAGTACAGAAGCTCGTCGTAAAACGCTAGATAATTCCTGTGACAAAAAGACAAGCGTGATACGTGGAGGAATGGAGCAACTGAACCTAGAAGGTCACCTATCTCCGTTGATCGCATCGCTAGTGACGCAATTAATAGGGGAGGAAGTTGAATATTAAAGCGCCGTCTGAACCCACTCCAGTATTCAGTGCAAAGGGACAAGATATTAGTCATCAGTCAGATCAATGGTCACTGGTGGCCCAGATTTTCTCTTCTTTCGGGAGCCTTCGCCGCCTCGATTCTCCTCACCATGCTCTCTCTTAATCGTTCTGTTTGGAGAGTTTCTGCCTGCACCACCGTCGTTCTTGGATAGTATATGTTAGCAATGTACTTCACGAGGTTGATCTTCGAGAGTACATACGACGAGTTCCCGTAAGAACTGCTCCAGCCGTGTTTTCTGAGCTGGGTTGAGATTGTCAAGACTTAATGCTGGTTCAGGAACAGGTGCCTCTGCTGGCTCGGGTGAGGGGGTTCTCTCAATAATGAGGAGACTCTTCAAGGCATCTAATGGTCAAACAGGAATTGTCAGTCTTGTCACTAAATTAGGAGTGAGTGGGTTACCTCGAGACCTGTACTTAAACTTGAAAATAGCAATTGGATAATCCACTCCATCTACCTTCTGGCATGCGACGTAACTCTTCTTGACGAGCTCAGTTGCTGGCCCAAGCCTACGAATTTTGTGAATAACTTCCTGTTATGCAGAGTCGGGGAGGGCTTACGATGCGCTGTGCGATTTTGGGTCTCCCTTGAGTGCTTTCTCGTGGACTTTGTCCCCAACGCTGTGCAGATCGATATTATTTGTGGTGGAGCTTCTGGTAGTATCCTTGATTTCTCCTCCTTTATAGACCTTTACGATGATCTCTCCAACCTCTTGTATGCGCTTCATGTCCTCTTGGACAGTGGCTAACTTGTCATCATCCATAGCTGGGAACATTAGTAATTTACTATTGTCACAGTGTGTGAGAAGCAACTTACTAGTGTCAATCTTTGAGAATTTGAATTTCTGAAGAAACTCCTGCTCCTCGATTCCCGGTGCCACAGCTCTGACACCTTGTGCATTTATGGTCACCCTGGATAGAACACGAGATCCTTGTACGCTCTGGGGAAATCTCGACTTCGCCAAAACCGGCTCCCAGCAGGGTTTCCCATCAATGTTGATCGGGAATATAAGAGAGGCGCAGTCCATCACAAACGAGGTTTCTAAGTTGAGGCGAATAGAGAATTCCTTGTCCGAGACAGACTCCACGAATTTACTGACAGTTCTCGCTGCTTGGTATTCAGCGACTTGTGTATGTTCAACCTCGCCTTCGCCATCGTCATCATCATCATATTCTGCAAGCGGCTTGTCGTCAACGCAGACAAAGACCTCGAGGCCTGGGATGCTATCGAGAATCGCCATTGCGGAATGGTATTATCGAGAATAAGTCGAGATTATAGTTGGTGGGGGTTGTGCTCCTGCATCGTAAACTCGTTAGGACAATGCAGACAACGAGATATGGATTGGCAGAGCAAAGCATGAAAAGACGCAGCCATGTCTCGAGGCAATTAATTGGCTCGCGGAGGCCAGGAAAAGCGGCACTGATTGTCCCAATTCAAGTTAGATCATTTTAGGTATCCTCTCACTGAATGTGCCCTTGAGCACTGGTACATTCAAAGGCGACCCCTTTCAAAACTCTTGGTGTCTTGGGAATCTTCAAATGCTTAGTCCCCAAGTCCCTGTTCCAACGTCCAGCTGAATGTTCAGCTTAGACTTGGGACATTGAAAATGAGTACTGCTTTTTCTATTCACCGCGAGATAGGGTGGGTATATAATGCAGCCGAGTCTGCAGATGCTGGGAAGTGGATTTGATCTAGCAGGTCGAAATGCTTGACACAACTCACCCGCGTCAACGACTAGAAACACCAGGATCTCGAAGAGAACGGAAGGAACTGAATTCCTACACAGTAATGAGGGGCGAATGCGTGCCAACGGAGGTGACGGTCGATGAGTTCAGGATGATTCCTTGAAGAAAGGTGGTGGTGGAGGTGGAGTGGGAAGAAAAGACAGGGGAAGTCAGGCTTCATTGTCGCGACGCGCTAAGGTAATCTGACGCCCCATCACGTGACAAAATTTACCTTCCACCCCCTTCAGCCCTCCCCCTTTATCCCTTGTCCTACATCGTGACAGGAGCATGGCTCAGAATCAAAATCTTCAAATTGAACCAATCAATAACGTTAAGATTTTTAAAACTTTTTACGTACGTATATGCATTGAAGAATTAGCTTGGAAGAGTGATAACAATTCCCTGGCTCGACAAGCTTTGCCTCAGAACAAATGTTCAATAGACTGGTTCGAGTTAGCAAAGGTAACATTCCACCGCAGGGAAGGCACAGCTCACCAAAGGAAGAATCCTCGAGCTAGCACCAACGAGGAACTTGACACTTCCTTGAGGAAGCCTCCATTTCTGCAGCACAACATCCCAGACCATGACATCTTTCCGACGAATGCTAACGCCAAGATTGGCATATCCCTTGACTGGCGATACTTCTCACTTACGGGAAAGAAGCTTCTCCTACAGATCCTGGAGCCATATCCTTCAGCTTCGTGAAGCCGCGGAGAGCCTTTGGCGGTTGATCTTCGATGGCGGGGAACTCGACGTACTTGAAAGCAATATAAGCTAAAAGTGTTATATGAAGAGATGGAATTTAGGCTTACAAGCTGCGCAACTTCCGAAGCGGCCCAGTCACCGGTATTCTTCACCCGGGCAGAAACAGTGACGAGGATGTCGTAGATGGACTCTCCAGCTGTTTGGTTGACGAAGGTCTCTTTCGTTTCTTGGATGGCGAGTGCATCTGCACTCGGTGTGTTGGCCAGACTGATATTGCAGTATTCAAACGTGGAATATGTCAAGCCAAAGCCGAATTCTACAAACTATGAGCGCTGGTCGTCGTTGCTGGGGATATTGGACTCACCGAAACGAGGGGTAATGTTGTAGGTGTCAAACCACCTGTAGTCAATCTTGAGCTTCTCGGTGAAGTTAGATTGAGGGCTAATGCTGTGGTCGTATGAGATGGTGTTTGGAGGGTAGTCGGACTCGCTCTTGCCAACTGCGGCATGTCAGCTTCCACCTTCTGATCTCGGATAGAACACAAACTGGTGAAGGGCAATTTGCCGCTCGGAGATACATGTCCCCACAAGACATCCACTAATCCAGGACCAGTCTGCTCACCAGGGAAGAGCGGAGCAACCACAGCTGTGATATTGGGGTGATCGATCCACGCCTCCATAATGACGGGTCCCCCTACATGCAAAACAACAATCGTGTTATTGCAACTCGCAGCCGTCTGAAGAATAATGTCTTCCGAGTGTGTCCAGTTCGCGATATTTAGACCCAAGTCATTCCTATCCATATTTTCTCTCATGTATCTCTCCGCAAATACAAGACACACATCAGGCTGTCCGATAGGAAGAGCAGATCCAGTGATGGTCTCGGCAATAACGCTCGTAGCTGTGTTCTGAAGTACGAACTGGACGAGAGAGCGAGAGTCCAGGGCTTTGGTTTGGATTGCTTCCAATGGAGTGATGAGGTTCTGTGGCCATGCGTACCCTGATCCACCGCCCATTGAAAGTGTGCCGTTGTTGTTGAGAATTCCGCAATCTCGAAAGAGCTTGCCGCAACCCTGGAGACCAAGGATGTTGGGGCCTGCATCTTGACCTATGACGGCAATATTCTGCGGGGCTTTCAATGGAAGACCACCAGTATTCTTAAGGAGTATCGTTCCATCGGCGGATATTTTCCTGATCAATTCGACTGTACTCTCTTGCTGAACATTTCGGTAAGTGACGGGCACCGGCCAGTTGGCAATCCCCACCGAATTGATGACGGTAGACGGGAGGGGGTTGTCTAGTTGGCCAGTTGAGATGAGTGGAGTGACGACACACACCACCATGTCATCGAGGCGAGTCTCAGAGATGGTGCCATTTTCAACCATCTTCAACAGCTCTTGATCATAGAAAGGCCCCAAGATATTTCCATAGCCTAGACCGGGCATGTTGACGTCGAGACCTCCCATCACGAAACCTTCCGTTCCCCAAGTTCCTACCAATGTGAGCATGACCCCGAGAGAAACGGCTGAGTATCTTACCTCCCCAATCACTGATGAGAGCGCCCTGGAAGTTGAGCTCGCCCTTGAGTGCTCCATTGTTGGATTCTGAATTTGCACAAGCATGCGTTCCATTGATAGAATTGTAAGCACACATCACATGGGTTTTACCGGCCCTCACAGCCTCGGCAAATGACCAGAGGTAGATTTCATGGTTGGTTTTGTCGTCTACATTGCTTGAGATGGGGAGTTGCTGCGAGGCATTGTAGATGCTGTAGGGTTCCGTGAAGTTCAATGGATTTCTGGACGAATATCAGCATTGGTCTTGGACCCGGAGAGACTGAACACACCGATAGGTCTCTTGCTCGTAGACAGTATAGTGCTTCGAGCAGCTCTGAACACCGGAGTCCATCATGCCTTTGACTCCACACCAGCTTGCGGTTCCGGTGCCATAAGGGTCTGCATACCTGATTTTTGTCAGAGAAGTTTCATTTATTGATAGATGTGCGTTGACCAGCTCTCCCAGTCATATCATAGAACTCTTTGCCCATAGCATAAGAGCGGTTGTACATAAGTTCAACATCCCAGGTTGCTGCAGTAGTAAGACTGGAAGGGAATTGGGTATGTCCAAGTGCAGGTCGAACACCAGCTGGACCGTCCTGGAAGCACATCTTGGGTATTCCAAGACGAGTGATGTTTCCAGAATTGCCTGCACATGGGCCAGCCTGACCAGTGACCATACTGACCTATGGAGACTCATTAACCTTTCAATCATACAATTCAGCAAAAAGATACTTACCTTCTCACTCAGAGTCATTTCAACAACCAATTTTTCAGCTCTTGCAAACGCATCCACCCATGCTTTACCGCCATTAGATGATGGGGGAGGGACAACATAAGAAAGGCCCGTGGCTGCCGGGGCCAAGGCAGCATTGATTATGGGTGAAAAAGCACCGATGACTATTGAAATGCTCAGGCTCTTCATGTTGGAGCTTGACATGGTGTGACAGTTGCACGCCAAGAAAGAACCTCACTTGAGTGCACAAGTGATGCGGAATAATCCCAGATATATGGCTGCATGCAAGGCCCAACTGAAATGCACCTCCACTCTTGGGGGGGAAAGGAAAAGGGAAACCAGAAATTGAGAATGGTTCACTGCAATCAACTCCACTTTTGCTCCCCACTTTGGAGATTAGGTGGTCTCTGAATCGGAATATTGACTTAATTTGTTTCTTGATGAAGGACGCGTGACACTTTGAGCTTAAAGGGCGTCGTCCGGATCCTTAACCAGGATCTTGAATGCCAAGCCGGTCACTTCCCCGTTAGTCTCTGGGCCCCGTTTGAGTGGGGCAAACCATCCGTGGCAAGTCCCGACAGAAGCTGCAGGCATCTATCGTTGCTATCTCGTCCTGTTGTTCCACCCTTGATGAGAGGAAGGGAAAGGTGGAGAACGTTCCTGTCACGCCGTCGTGGTCCCTTTTCACCTCGAATGGTTGGAGATTCACCAGATCAGAACAACTCAAATCAAGCAAGAAATCCCGGCCTAATCCGGATTCAAGGTTACCTTCTACGGGAGTGCTGGGAACGAGCTGGGTCGTCTTCCCAACGGGGTCCTCTGTGGCATGGTGGCCCTCCTCGCAACTCAACTCAGAAGTCTTATCAGGGCTTGCTGTGTTCCACCACCAGTAACCGATCGAGAGGAGAAAGTAGTCTCGGCAAAAACAAATCGCAAGCCAACGGCATCACCGGCACTCGAGGATTTGCTCATGCTAAAGAGAGCTGCTGCATGTGATGTTTCGTTCTGCGTCGGATGCCACTGTAACAGCGCCTTGTATCGCAACTCACCAAGAAGACTTCCGAAGCCGTTGAAGCTGGTATTTCTCAAATTCCAGAATGGAAGGTCAGTGAGAACGAGTCGGGGAGTTTGATGAAGTGAGAGAAGGCGATGGAATGAGTTTTAGCGACCTTAGCGTGTTCAAGTCCCCGAAGGAATGCTATTTACAGAGTACGATAGAGGCAAGTCAGGAATAGCCTTATCTATTCAGAAGGCATTGCTATCACGCAAAAGTTCAACTCAAGTAATACGTTTGTTTGATTCAATCTATTTTTCAATTCCTCCCACCCTATTCCTCGGCTCTCAATCGCAGGCACCGTAGGGCCAGTCATCTCCGCCAGTTTCCAATATCTCATCAGCATGTCTGCGACAATATCCCTTCATGAGTTCTGATGTGAAGGTATAGTACTTGCATCTCGTTGTGAAGTGGTAGTGAAGCTCACAGGGTATCCTGTAAACGTCAGCTGTGCAGCGGCAGCCCGCATATCTAGCGATGTGGTAGTTGCACATATTTCTATTGCTTGTAATTTCCGGAATTTTGATGATGTTGTGATTTGGATTTTGATAGTTTCTTCAAGTGTCTGGTCTTTCGTGGCCTTTTATGTTGCAGGAATTGGACACTGCTTTATGTACGGATTTGTGAATGATCTGGTGAACAATAGCTAGATTCATTGTCCTGATTGTGTTGTTGGTACTCATTGAGATTTTCTGCACAAAGGATGTTAATAACATTGTCTCCAACGAATCAAGAAGGAAGGAACTCACCTCTTAGAAATCCTTTCAAGCTCCTCATTTCGCTTGAGCCATTCAAAGACCTTCTTTCGGCTTTCTTCTTCGTAATCAATGTCCTCAGGCACGGCGTCGTCTTCTTCCTCGCTCTGCTCTTGCTCGCTTTCCTGCTCCATGATGGTATCTTCGTTTTCAGTACTGCTCTCGCCCACACTCTCCTCCACCCCACCAAGGGTATCCAAATCACCACCATACTGCCAATCATCTCCGCCTATTTCTAGTTTGAGCTTGAGATGCTTCTTGCAAATGGTTCTTTGGCAATGGTGGGTGAGAAACTTAAAATTAGGACAGTCCTTGTACCTGATTCGATGTAACTCGCATGGGCGGGTTTTTTGCATTTGCCTCAGGACGGGTTTGCACCATGATATACCTTTGCAGTGGAAGCATCCGCATTCTGTATATCTGCAAAAGTATTCGTAGCACATCTTGAAGTGTGGAAGGTGTCGAAATTGATCGAAATGGAAAGTTGAAGTGATTTGAGGACGGCGACTTGGGCTTTATGGTTGTATCAGATGTCAAACTTGTTCAGAGAAAAGTCTGATATGAGCATAACGTGAGTATTTAAGGTTCGAAGTTCTTCCTCAGTTCGAATGGAAATGAAGCCGTGAATAGGGTTTCGTGGGACCGAACAGCGGGCTTCTCACGTGACACAATCCCTCAAACCTCGAAAGCCAAATGGTGATGAATAATGTTATGAGAATGATTCAAAAAACTTACCAGATTTCTTTGAACTCATGAAGTTAATTAATTAGAGTACTCAACGCGTTTCTTTGCTTCTCCTTTTATCTCTGAAAGACGGCGTCTTGTTCGCGAAGCGGAGTCCTCATTTCTCGACAATTGATATTTGCCCTCCCTTCTACCATGCCATACCAAAACTGGCTCCTTGCACACCTATCTCTTAACTATGAAGGAACTCAATGTTCAAACTGATTTCTTCTCGTTGTAGAATAATCTTTTGGATTGTATCCGTGCTCAGATTTCAGCCCCTTTCACATCACTCGCTTAATTTACGAGAGAAAATCCACGAAGTGGCAGGGCACATTTTGATTTTAAGAACATTCGAACATGCTTCCCCGACTAGGCTTCTTGATTTATCGTTATCTTTTTGTTATGGCGCATCCTGTTCGATGAGTTCACAGCCGATATGCCTAAAGAGCAATCTCGCAGCACTCAGCATGACCCTCACCCATGCGTCCAATGACGGCAATCTATCCAGCCCGAAGCCAGGGCCAAAGATCCCCTTTCAATTCCCATATAGCATCTTCTTATCCCTCTTCATCCATCTCCATCCCTAAGCAGCCAGTCCAATAACCCTCTCCCCATGCTCCTCATCCCCACCCTCTCCATCACCATAATCCGAACCACTTCCCTGTCCCCCTTCCTTGCCCTCATCCCCATCTTCAAACGGCGCATCAACCGCACCACTCATCTTCTCAGCCATCCCATCAACCATTACCAAACTCTCTCCCTCCCCATCCGTCATCTCCTCACTAGCCCTCTTCTTCTGCCTCGCATTCATCTTCTCCTCCCTCTTCAGCAACACAAAGTGTTCGTTGCACGCCTTCGCACCCGTCATCGTCACCTGCTCCGTCGTCTTGTAGCGCTCGCAGCACAGGCTGAACCCGGTTTGCGCGATGTTGCGCGCGTGGAAGCAGGTGTAGCGGCCGATGCGCGCGATGCAGCCGCAGTGCGGGTAGATGTAGGTGATTTCGACACACATGGTGGACGTCTTGAGTGAGGATTGCTTGCTTGTGTGTGTGTATGTGTGTGGCTGAAGGTGAGATGGGATGGGATAAACGTGTTTTGTCTGAATTGGTCTTGATTGAGGCTGGTTTGACCGCGTTTGACCTCGAACGCCTTCAAGATCGAGTCTCTGTGACCTGGTGATCCCTGACAAAAGAGATGATCTGCTTGTATCGAGACTTGATTGAAAGAGCCAGAAGATTGTTCCAAGATGACGAAGGAGTGTTGACGAAGTTGACACTAAGTTGTCGAAATATTATTACTTGACAAGAGGTTGACGGTTACCGTTGATGTCTTGTCTTGTGTCGATTAGAAGAGTGAATTCGTCTCGGCGAATTCGCTTCAGTTTTCACAATACTCTGGCAATACTCCGGACCCTCTCTTGCCCAGACTCTCGTCCAGAATGAGACCTCCTTCTTCAAAGTATGCCCTCAAAGTACAAAGCTTCGAACTTCTCCTGTAAGTTTTCCCCAAATATGTGTAGATGTCTCTGCGGAGCAAAGATACAAGATCTCTATTTGTCCATTAGTTTGGTTTGTGCTCGAGGAAGAAAGTTATCCAAAACAAGTCTTATTTTAGAACAATATTGGTCCAAAGAGAAAGAGTAAGTGTATCAAAGGTGTATTGAACTATCATGTCCTCCCAACAATATATCAACCGACTTTGCCTGCGCCTCAGTGATGATGAACGCCTGACTGACTTCCTGCCCTGGGGTATCTAAAACAAATTTCCAGTATCCACTAAACCTGATAAACAAACGAATGTATGCTCCTAAATGCACCAATCTTTTGACGGAACGCCACAGATGCATCCCTTTCCCCCAATGAATGGAAATTGTTCCCCCAAACGTAAACTTGCAGTTGAGTCTCCTACCACGTGATTCAATATCACGTGGAACGCTAACAGTCTCAATTTATTCGATTCTTTCCACCCATGCTCAAAGTTTTCCGCCATTGAATTTGAAAGAAATTAGATTAGACAATAATGGTTGTGGTTTTTCGCGTCTCCGCTTCCTCGGCTGGGAAGCCGAAAACCAGTTTGAAGAGGTCTTTTAGGAAGGTGTATTGCCCACTTTTCATCATCCAGCCCACACTCTTCGCCACGTCGACTGCGGTTGCTTTCCTGCCGACCGGGGGAAGAGAATTGGCGCTTCTGAACGTCGGATCGCTCAGTACCAAGTTTCGATATGATGCTAGGAGGGTGGCGTGCGCGGGTAATGAACCGAACGAGCCTGTCGGGAGTGATTTCACAAAGATTTGTAAAGCTGGTGGATCTGCCTTGTTTGGTGTTGCTGTGGTAGGTGTGGAGCGAGAAAACCCGACGTTCATCGCCGCTTTCAGGATGAGAATTTTTAGTCGGGTGAGATTAACGTCTTCCGGTGATGTCGTTGAAGTAATCGTGCTTGTCGATTTCTGGCTGCGCTCAGAGCCCTGCGAGTAGGAACTCAACGTCGATGTCGTGCTTGACCATCGTGCAGTCGCAGCACGATTGCCTTCCGTGCCGAGAACGAGGATGTTGGGTATGTTCGGAGAATTATCTTCTGGCGAGATCGGGGTATCTTCGAATTCTGTCGTTGGTGTCTCTGGAAGATAGCGGGTACGAGCATGGTCGGGGTGCTCGGGGTTCTCTGGAAGGCTTGCGAGATTGCCTTTATTGACAGCCGAGCGACTGATTTGTTCTGATATTTGTGTGAATGTGGTTTGAGATGGCCTGGGGGTGCCGCGTTCAGGTCGGACTTGGGTCCACCCCTCTCGGAAAAGATCACATAGCTCCCAACAAGCCTGTACTGCAGATCCGAGGAGCTCTTCGTCTGCTGCTTTGCCTTCTCTTTTGTTCTGGCGCAGGCTGAAAAGCATCTCGGCTAAGCCCCAACACGCACGGAGGAGTGCGTCTGTCTCTTCGGCTAACTCGTTTCGTTGTTTCATTAACCGGTGGCAGAGAGTAATATAGAAGTCTAAAGTCCGTTCTCGAAATGCCTCGGGAAGACTTCTATCGTGGGTATTGAAGAGGTGATTATTGAGCTCAAAGCTTACCCGGAGAACACTGTCCGCAATCTCATCTTTTTTCTGTCGAACATCAAATAATGCTTGACAGAAATCTCGGCACAAGTCAAGTGTGGGCCTGACATGGGATTCGTGATCCTCGTCTCTGCTATCGTAGAGTTTCTGACACAGCTTCCAGCAGCATTTCCAGGCCTTCTCATGTGGAGCTCCAGTCCCCGAATAACTGAATATCCTCTCTCGATGAATAGAGCTGAGGGAGGCAAGTGTATTGCATAAAGTCCAGCATTCGTTCAGAGCTGTCTTTAAAGCGCTAGTTTCCAGGGCGGAATTGCTCAACAAGGTGATCTCGGATTCGTCTACGTCAGTCTCGCTTTGGTCTTCGGGGATTCCTGCAATTCGTGAGAAAAGTGGCAAGTCTCTGAGCTGAGCTGACGAACCTTGTAGACTTGCCCTACTGACCGACCGTGACATAGGGTCACCTTTACCCGCGAAGGCGTCCACCTCTTGCCGTGTTTTAGCTCGAGGCGTTGCATTTTCCAAGCCATAGGCGACGGGTTTGATATCGGTTGTTATCGGCGGAGGGGAGATGGGACTTGTTTGCGTAACCTGAGAATGATTAGCACAGGCGTGGTGGATTATTAAAGGGAAGCGCTACGTTATCATTAGGGACTGTTAAATCTACTTTGAACGAGACGGGGGCTGATGATGTTGCGAGAGGTTCTTTTTGCTCATATGGTTGAGGGGTCGACCTGTCAGTGTTTCGTTGGGATTGTAAAGACGTTCCGGTATGATTTGAGAGATCCTAAGAGGTGTCAGTACCTAGCTACCGAACGAAACACTATCCAACTCACGAATGATCCAAAGCCTTCGGGTGCATGGATGACGGAAGTGACATCGTCTTCATCTCTGTCGGTTCGAAAGTAGTCAGGTATGTGGGTAGTGAGCCTCCTCAACTGGGGGACGAATCAGCATGTGGCAAGTTATAGAGAGCTGGCCGCAAGTACCGTGGCCTGCGTTTCCGCAGACGTCGACAACCTTTCTGTCGGAGGCGTAAATCTATTGGCGAGCACCTCTGGGGCAACCTCATCCTCGATCTCAGTTGTCTCCGTGCCATTCGACGTGACCGGCGATGGCCCGACCATATCTAATGGGCTGTTCATATTTGTGGTGTTGAGCTTGGTAGAGCCGTCCCTTGAACTTGGTCTTAGGTTGGATGAACCTGCCGAGCTGTGCGCAGACCTGCAAGAAAAAGTGTTAGAACACTGGGCGGACCTCAAGAACCAGTGTTGTACATACAACGATGAAAATCGCGGGGAATTGGTGTGAGGAGAGTCTGGCCTGGGAGACATAGAGAAGTCGGTGCTTGTATAAGGAGAGAAGGCCGACAGGATATTTCTAGGTGAAGGGACCAGGGGACTCTCCAATGCCATTGTTAGAGCAAGGCTGGATCTGCGTGAATCCTGAAAGGGCCGCTCAACGATCTTACGCGTTGGTTATGAGGGACAAAAGCTGGCAGCGCACTCCTAGCAAAGGCACAGGCAAGCAGGCAGGCAGGCAGGCCCAAAGATGTTGGTGTGGGTCAAGGCTGAATGGGAGGGAGCTATCGGGCCCAGGAGCTGGACGGAGCTGGACGGGGCTGGGAGTTGGCTCTGAATGAGTCGTAGTGTAGCTGAAGGAGCCAGTTGGAGGAAGGCAACAACAGTAGCAGCTTTGTCGACGAGGGGGGAGCAGTGGCCGACGTGCAGCAATCCGGCGTGGGTTCCGCAATGAGGGCGAGTCTAAAGCTGCGTAAATTCGACAGAGGTACCACAGGTACGTTGTCTGAGGTGCGTATCGCGGGCGTTGGAAGTGGTGGTGAGGAGCAGAATCGCGCTGTGCCGTGCGCGCACCCTCGCACTCGTCCCAGTTGATAGAGTCAACGTTCGCTTGGCTGGGGTAATCCTTGCCGTGCGCTGGTGCTTTTCTGCCCGGCGTCAGCAGCGATGAGGGAGAATTGCAAGAGGGCCAGGAAAGTGTAAAGTGCAGCTCTGGCTGCCGCGTGCGGCTTGGTAACTTGGTTGCTTGCTTGCTTGCTTGCTCGTGCTCGGCGTGGGTGCGCCTGCTCTGCTCTGCTCTGCTCTCCTTGCTCTCCTTGCTCTCCCTGCGCTCCCTGCTCTCCCTTGAAGCGAAGCCCGCCATCGAATGGCAGCGCGCCGCCTGCACTTTGGCCTCACGGTGGCATACCACTAGAGAAGGCAGTTACAGTTGCGTGCAGCGAGATTTAGAGCCGGCGAATCAGGCCTGCAGCTGCGCGTCTCTTGATCGCGGGCTGCATGAGCTCGCAGGCATGCAGGCGCTTAGAAGCTCTGTTTCTTCGAATCTCCAGTTTCCGGCCTCAACCTCACTCAGGTCCCTCCACCACCTTTATCCCGGCACACGGTTGGAACATCCACGGTGCTCCAGAGTCCAGACCATGGAGGATAGGTGTGATAGCTCGCTGGTACGACCCGAGTTCAGCCAATTGCACTGCTCCCGCACACAGACAATCCATCTCCCAGCGGTCTCACAGTTATCGGCGGGAACAGCCGTTCGTGGGTAACAAACCAGCGAGAGAGGCCCCCAAAGGTACTTCTAGCAAGAATGCTTTTAGAACTAGCCGACCCGATGCGCCGCGGCCCAACTCTTCGGGTTGGGCGGGTCCTTTGGATCGGCCACCACACATGAGATCTTCGTCCCCTTGAGCCCCAGCCCCTGTTGGTGGTCGAGAAGTGGTGACCTCCAATCCCTGGTGGTCAGCGTGCCATGGTGCTTTTTCCATGTGCAGCCACTGCCTGAGATGTCCTCGTCGACCAGACGGTGAGAGACGCTCTCATTACTTTGCATATTATTATCTTGTCCACCGTCAGCCCCCAACTTCTCCGTTATTCGAGCGTGCGGGATCTGAGAACCATTGGTGGCAGCTACGAGGAGCTCCAGCCAAAGAGCGTCCTACACGGCTCGCATTCCGGCCATCGAATAACTTTACTCGACGGTATCGATTAGAGCCTCTTCGCTGTTCAATCATGATTCATGAAGTTGGATGACTGGATCCGAGTCCTCATGCAACACGAACGTCTGCGCCGCTACTAGCCTTGCGGTCACGCAGCATGCGCTTGCGTAGCCGCCATACAACCCTATCGCAGATAAGCAGCTAACATGTCCTCGCTGATGTGGGCGTGTTGGAAATGTTAGTCCCAGTATTAAGAGCAGACACCAACAATCCCAACAAGAAGTTTAAATTCGTGGCGGATGCTAAAAGGCGGAGGGCAATCCTCAATCCAACACGCCTCGTTCCCCTGGGCAGAATCTGGGGCATAGGGTCGGAAAAATACCCCTTTCTGGGACAGATGTGAGATAAGATGGCGTGTTCCATTGTCACCGGCCGCTTGGTGCCGGAAGTCTGCCTCGTTGGAGCGGAAATGTTGGTAAAAAGCGGTCTTGAATTTTGGGATCTGATCCTTTTGTCTTTGGGACCAAGCCCACGAACCTCCAACTCCTTCCCCAATACGCCATTTATGCAATCGCTCATACTTCCATTCCAGATAACCAACGCCTGTGCCACGTAGTGTACCCATCTAATTCATCGCCGCCTTCTTTGCGTCTCGTTCTGCGGGATTGTATCTAAGAAGATGGTTAGAGACCAGAACCGTTATTGAAGCAGTTGGGTTGGCATAAATGGGCGCGGTCTGCAGGAAGAAGACATACTTGAGGAGCTTCTCAATCAGGTCCACATGTGTCATGATCATTCGGCGGCAGCAGTACCGTTTGCATTTCAGCTCGTCCATCGCATCACTGTTGTTAAAGTAAGCACGGCTTGGACGCCTCCGAGAGCTGAAGTCTTGTCCTACCCATCCGGCATTCCTTCGTCGATGAGCTTCAGGTATCGTTCCCATAGATCTCCGATGACCTGCGGGCAGATCAGTAAAGGCAGGGGCAACAGAACTGGGGAAGAGCGGGGTGCGGTTTGAGGAGATTTACCTTCCCGCAGGAAAAGCAGCGCACTGGAATAATCATCCCGAGGTATTCTGGCTGGGTTTGGAGGCCACGAATAGTTGGCAGGAGCAGAGCGGTTGAAGTTGTAGAGCTTTGATGTTGTCGCCGCGAGAGAGGTTGGAGAATCCAAGAATATCGCGCTAGTTCAAAAATAATTTTTTTGTGAGCCTCATTCACCGATAGGCAAAAAATGTTTCTTTGAACTCCACCAAACCACACAAGGACTCTGACAACACCATGGCTTCTGCATTGAAGCGCAAGAGAGGTCCCGTGGAGGTTTTGGATACTCCAAAACGATCTAAATCTGTGAAAAACCAGTCCGGGAACCCTTTACGACCAGTCAGCGATAAGGCAGGCTGGGAAGCTGCCTTCAATCCGCCCCAGGAATTGGTAGCACCCACAAATGGGGTCAATGGCAATCATTCGCACGGAACTCCGGAATCGCCAGAAGCTGTGGACTATGAAGCTTATGTGCAAGATGAAAAATACAAAGACGCCATACATCAGCGGGAGAAGCTATCCCAAAACGTCCTTTATGACAACAGCAACAAAACATCCGTGTATTCCGAGCCCAAGAAGACGAATGACTTGTGGAAACTATCCGAGCCGATTGGAGGTCGAATGATAAACGCCGATCCAGTTTTCACAGCCGATGAGAAGTATGTGGGTTGGATTACTATCTACGGAATGCCGCTAACTTCATGATGCAGATTTCTCATTGTTGCTAATCGGAGAACTATTAACGTCTACTCAACCTTGAATTCCCTTCTTACTCGGTCCGTAAAGCCTATTCTCAAGGATGACGCTCCTCGCACCACTCGAATCGTAACATATTGCTTGTCCCCGACTCACCCGAATATCATATGGGTAGCTTTCTCAGATGGATCTGTTTTCAGGATCGACTGGACGACAGGTAGAGGTGGAAACGACCACTGGACGATATCTTCGACCGGTTGCATCCATATGACTGTGGCTTCCATGGAGTCTTCTGGACGAAGACGAGATGTAGTTTTCACAACCGAGACCAAGAAGGATGGCGGCTTTCGGATCACAGCGCATGGAATGTCCCAAGAAACTCCGAGTGACACCCCTACGAGAACCATATACACAACACCGAACCGGATACAGTTCTTGAAAACAGCAAAGGAGGGTTCAGTCATTGTTGCCGCTTCTGGCAACAGAGTTCTCCTCGGTCGTCTCCGCTCAACTGAGTACAACACTGTTGAAAATATCAGATATGAATTCCGCATTTTCGAGTCCACAGAAGTTATCAAGTCTTTGGATGTTCGAGTCTCCGAAAGGAAAGAAACTGATGGCCTGAAGAAAAGTTTGAAAAAGTCGCCAGTTGTGGACGTCGTGGTTGGAAATATTCGAGGTGTCTTATTTGTGCATAACGATCTTCTCGCAAAGTTATTTTCGCAGCAGGCGGACGGGAAGCTCCCACCAGGAATCAGCATGGTACCACGCAAGTTGCATTGGCATCGACAAGTAGTACATACCGTCAAGTGGTCACTAGATGGTAAGTGAGCCTAATTAGGTATCACAGCTCATGCTGATAATGATCTAGGCAATTATATCATTTCTGGTGGCACCGAGACGGTGCTTGTACTTTGGCAACTCGACACCGGAAAACAGCAATTTCTCCCTCACATGTCTGCAACTATTCAGAATGTAGTTGTTGCACCATCCGGAACTTCATATGCAATCCAGCTTGCGGATAACTCGGCCATGATCTTGTCCACCGCGGAGCTGGAGCCCACAGCAAACATTGCTGGTATTCAGGCTTCAGTCCTTGAGTCTGAAGAGCCGCTGGAAGCGCAAGTTGAGAAAGTTGAGGAGCTCTCCTGGCGACCACCTCTTGTGCAGAGTACTCCGGCCATCATAAATCCTGCGAATCCCTCCAAGCTTCTTCTTGGTGTAGGACAAACGCAGGAGATCAGTGCTACCAAACCTCAGGTCATGAGTAATCCGTTTCTGCAAACATTCGACCTCGGATCAGCGCATAATTTGTCCAGACAAGCTTTGACCAGGACCAACATAACAAATGTCAATGCAGCCCCTAGCACACATCCCTTGTCAGAACCCAGAGTTACACATATGAAGATCTCTCATGATGGAAAGTGGCTTGCAACAGTGGACGAATGGACGCCTCCAGCGAGAGAATATGACTTCTTAAAGCACAGGGGCAAAGACCTCTCCGTTGAGGTGCAGCAAAGACGAGAGGTGTTCCTCAAATTTTGGCAGTGGAGCAAGGAGTCGGAGTTGTGGGAGCTCGTATCGCGTATTGATTCACCTCATTCGCTCGGCCCAGATTCAGGCGATGCCGGGAGGATTTTTGCCCTTGCCGCCGACCCTAGCTCCTCACGCTTTTCAACAATAGGAGAGGACAGTATAGTTAGAACTTGGGGGACAAAGACACGAAAACGAGACGGAGTCGTTGTTCGTGCGAAAGACGGTAATGCTTTCAGAAATTGGCATTGCCAGCATGCCATTTGTCTTGGCAAGCCGGAACTTTTGGAGGGATCAGGGCATTCCGAAAAGTATCCTACAAGTGGATCGGTTACCTTTTCTGAGGATGGGTCAGTATTGGCCGCAGCATGCGATAGTGATGATGGCCTTTTGCATATTGTGGACCCGGATTCTGGAATTATTCGACTCTCCCATACTGGATTGTTCGAAGGCACCATTATTGGCATGGAGTTCTTGGATCAGGATCTGATCGTACTTTCCAACAAGTTGTTCGTCTTTGACGTTGTCTCTGAAACTTTCAGATTCGCCATCAAGCTAGCATCTAGTCCTGCATCTTTGACTCCCAGACAAAAGCAGGAAATGATGCACTTGGCTGTTGATCGTCGAAGTCGGACCTTCGCAGTTGCACTTCCAACCTTCAGCGTTCAGTCGGGCAAGCCATCCCTTTGGTCAGCGAGCTGCGAATTGACCGTATTCCACCAAGATAGTCGCGAGCCTCAACTCACCGAAGAATTCCCTACTATCATCACGGCTCTACTTCCCGCTGTCAGCTCCGAAGGCTATATCGTCCTCGACACCGCGGCCGAGATCCGTACTGTAATGAAGAAGGGCAGTCAAGCAGTCACTGCTCTTGCACAATCCACCTCAGCACTTGAGCTCGACACTGTGCCGGAAGAGCCGACTAGCGAAATGCTACAAGAGGAAGATGTCGAAGGAGTTGATGATTATCTCCTAACTCCCGCAGCAACACAAGACGGGGAGGGCGACGACGATAATGAGCACCCTGTCGTCACTCAACAACAGTTGTCAGAAATCTTCGATATTGGACCATCATTTGCCTTGCCACCGATGGAGGAAATGTTCTACCAGGTTGCTGGCCTATTTTCAAGCAAACCGCTTGCTCAGAGTGTATCATGATTTCAGTTTCACAGTGTATGACTTGCATAGCGGTCGGGTTTCTCAGCATTTCAGCGATAGGGAGCTTTGTACAGGGTGTACAAAGCCAAAAGTAGGGATTGAATTACATGACATTGTCAACAGCTTCAATGTTAAGTGAGACCCCTTCAATTTCTTGGCAAGTGATCTCGTATCCAATTTCCAGAAGAAAGAATACAAGCAGGAGCATTAACGGAACCCGTTGGTCACGTGCAGAGAAGTGTCTTTAAAAGTGGGGTGCGAGCCATTTGGCCGATGGCGCAAGAGCAAGTGGATCAACCAACCTTCACAAAAAGGCATGTCGTACGAGCTCAAGTATATCTCCCCTTCCTTCTCTCTTTTCAAGTCCAGTTCCCTCCCATTTCGTTCTCAGTTCCGTATACACAGTTCACAATGTCATTTGACACCATCCCCATCCTTGACCTATCCCAGGCCAAAGACCCATCTACTAAGCCACAGTTCCTGGATGAGCTCCGACACGCTCTCTTAGAAGTTGGCTTCCTGTACCTGAAGAATGTAGGAATCCCAGAAGAGCTCACACAAAAGGTTATAGAAGAAGGCGTGGCCTTTTTTGACCTGCCTATGGAAGAGAAGTATATTGTACTCTCCCGTCTCCATCCAGCTCCTAACCCGTTACGTACAGACTCAAAATTGAAATGAAAAACGCCCCCTCCTTCCTAGGTTACTCCCGCCTCGACGCTGAAATAACAGCACACACCATTGACCACAGAGAACAAATCGACCTCTCAACCGACCACGCCGTCAGGACACCAGATCAGCCACTCTACCGAAACCTCTTTGCACCCACACAATGGCCGCCCCCTGCTTACCTCCCGGATTTCAAGCCCGTGTACTCGCAATACATAACCCTGATGGGCGAAATCTCCATCTTCTTCACGTCTTTGATCGCAGAAGCCATCGGATTACCAGCCACCGCATTCAACAAGTACTTCGACGCCGACCAACAACATAAACTCAAAATCGTAAAATACCCCGATTTGAAAGAGCTAGGGCTATGGAAGGAGGGAGATGAGGTGAAGGAGGGGCAGGGCGTTGGACCGCATAAGGATAGCATGTTTACGAGCTATTTGCTGCAGGTTACGAAGCATAAGGGTCTCCAGGTGCAGAATCTGAGGGGCGAGTGGATTGATTGTCCGCCTATTGATGGTACGCTTGTGGTTGCCATTGGGCAGGGGATGGAGGCTCTTACGCAAGGTGTTTGTATGTCCACGACCCATCGCGTGCTCTCTCCAGCTCCTGGGAGCGGGGCGAGATTTTCGGTTCCTTTTTTTCAAGGAGTTAGTCTTGATGCTGAGTTCGACGAGCTGAATGATTTGGATGGTGGAGGCGGCGTGGGCAGGGTTCCGGAGGAGGTGAGGGAGATGAGGAGGAGGGTTGTGGAGAGGAATGGAGGGAGGCTGGATGATGTGGAGTTTACGTTCAGGAGTGGAGGAAGTGCGAGGACGTTGGGCGAGGCGACGCTGAGGAATAGGATTAAGAGCCATCCGGATGTGGGGGAGAGGTGGTATCCCGAGATTCTGGCAGAAATTAGAGCGCAGCAGGAGGAGAGGGAGGAGGGTGACAGGAAGAAAGCTGCTTTTGAACCACAGCAGAATGGCGCTCCTCTGACCGGAGGGTTGGGCCAAGTTGTAGAAGCACACTGATGGAGAAGGATCAGGCTGATCGTGTACCGTAGACACATTATGCATAGCCTTTTGTCCATGCTAACTCCCAATGCGCCTATCGCTCCAGTAAATCCATCTAACATCTCGCATCCCTTATTCATTCATATCGCCTCCCTTCATCTCGCCAGTAAAAGGTAAAAGTTGCTCCACCTCCACTGCAAAGCAGGTTCAGTCCTCCATCATCGCACCTCCCCTCCCTCCCCTTTAACACCACCTATTTCGCAGGCTGCACCACAAAATTCGGGAAGCAGTCCTCGATTGTCTTGCTATGCTTATTCGTAGCGTGTTCCGTAAGTCTGTAACCCAAAGTATCACCATCAGCACCCCTCCAGTCTTCAGATTCCGGTGAGGCACTTACGCAGGCGCGCGAGTCGTCTTCAGGAACGTCGATTTGCAGATGTCGCACTGGATGTCCTTGGCCTGCTCATTGACCTTCAGTTGCGACTTGGCCACTCCCTTGTCATCTTTGTCCTTGCGCGCACGCTTTGAGGCGGCTTTTGCTCCCTGTTTGAGGTCTGTCAGCCTAGAGGAGTGGAGGTGGGAGGAGGGGGAGGAGTGGGGGACTGACGTTTCCGCCACCCATTTTTGCTTGAACTTCTGGTATTGAGGAGGGTGTCTGTTGGGTGCGTGGTAGAGGTAGAGGGTAGTGTTGTCTCGAGAGTTTGTGTCGTCGTACTCAGCGATATTTTTGGAGGAGGGGTTCTTCCGGGCTTATCGAAGAAAAAATACCTACACAGCCAATCCGGTTTAGATTGGTGCCACAGGCCGACAGGGGTCCGTTTCCAGGGCGCTTCTAAGACCCCTGTCATTATTGATTTATGAGACGCGATTTCTGTCGCGAGTCAACCCTCTCAATTTCCTCACGTCATAAAATTCGACAACAAATCTATCTTCCCCTCAAAAACACCTAGAATTGCAAAGGGCAGTCTTCTTAATGCTTCGAGGAATCTTCGGAAGGAAAGAGAGCAATACGGTTCCCGAAATGGCGGAGACTATCGACGCTAAGTCCTTCAAGGACGCCCTCGATCGTTATCCTGCTCTGATTAAGAGTCTCTCAAAGCCTCGTATGTAGCTCTTCATTTCTGATCGTTTTCTTTGGGAGATTTGAAGGCCGTTGTTAACGCGTTTGATAGCAAAGGAGGGTCAACTCAGTCTTGAGGAGCTCGACGCTTTCAGATATAATGGGGCTCCGATGGCTTATTCTTCGAAGACCGGTCGCACTATGGAGAGCAAGGACCTCCAGAAGCTGTTCGAGTGGAAGATGTAAGTTCCTTTGCAAATTGAGGCACTTTCCTTGGGATTTCATTTATTTGTGATTTTGAGCGAGTCCTGTATGAGTTGTTTTTCAGCGTCAACTTAAAAACGCATAGTTTTACTCGGTTACGTACTAATTTGGTTCAGGCGCCATGGCGTTTTCCGTCCAGGTCTTTCCGGCAAAGTTGCAAGCAACTCCAATGAGACAATCGCTGCTGCTTTCAAGGACGGTTTCGTCTACTATGCGGAGAAGCCGTCAGACATCGCCGGCGTTCTCGAGAAGTTGTCAAAGCCCCTCAAAGGTGTTGGACCAGCCACAGCCTCTCTCCTCCTCGCAGTCCATGATCCCTCAAACGTTGTATTCTTCAGCGACGAGCTCTACAGATGGCTTCTTCATGATGGCAAGAAGGTCTCCCCGAAGTACACGGCCAAGGAGTTCGAGGAGCTCTTCAACAAGGCGAAATCATTCATGTCGAGAATCAAATGCACTCCGATTGAGCTCGAGAAAGCCGCATTCGTCATCATCAAAGAGAATGAGCCGGTCCCTGAGCCGAAGCCGAAGAAGGTTTCAAGCGGACTTCCAAGAGGCCGCCCTAAGAAGCCTGACAGCGAGAAGAAGGTCAAGGTTCCTTCTGGCCGTGGTCGGGGACGCCCCCCCAAGGTAATCACTGCTGAAGAAAAGGCTGCAATGGCCGCAAAGGCCGCCTCTGGAGAAACCAAGAAGCGAGGAAGAAAGCCGAAGGCCAAGGAGGAAGAAGTTAAGGGTGAAGCTGATGTCGAGGCAGGGGAGGTAGAGGAGACGGCAGCTACACCAGCATCGAAGAAGAGAAAGACTTCAGAAGGCCCTGCTAGCAGTGCGAAGCGCAGTGGAAAGAAGGCAATGGCTTGAGCAGTTTTATTTGGTTTGGGAGGGCGAAAACTTGGAGCTGTGCATAGAATTTTTAGGCTTGGAAATGATATCCACAGGAGAGCCGCCACTGAGATTATCATACAATGTATGATGCCACGGTAGTCGAACGCATGATTTTTAACTGGAAAAGCTCTTGATGTTATGTTGGCTGGAGTGGGAACAACATGCTTTGGCAGCGAAGCTAGGCTCGTTACAGCGCATAGAAGCCTATACTTACAGCGCCCCGACCACTATAAATTGGCCTAACAAAAGTCCTGATGTGCAACAAAACTCGTCACTAGAGGGTTGTCACGAGCTTCTTGCGAACCGCAATAGTGAATATCGGGCCACAGAGATATAAGGTAATTGAGAATGTTTTGAAGTGAAGCTAGGATAGGGGTTCGAGCAAGGTTTCTGTCAACCCCACAGGTTCGCGCATCCTGCCGCTTCGGGTCGGCGCGTCTTGTGCGTGATCAGGGAACCCATCCTAACCTCAACATACCTTCTTTTAGACAACAGTCAAGCTTCTATGTAGCCATTCAACGATATCTCTTTGCTTCTATCTCAACTATGATGCTTCATGCTCCCATGCAACTCTGAGACAATCAGAATGCTCTCAACCCTCCGCCGTCTCGCAGGCGGGGTAAAGCTACCCCTCCTTCAGACCCGCACCCCCGCAACCGTAACAGCAACCGCCACACAAAGCAAACATGCTCCAAAGAAAGAAGGCGACATCTCCTCCGTCTTCGCTTCTCTCTCAGGCGGTGAAGCTGTCCCCCTTCCCACACGCTTCGCAGAGCTCAAATCCTCCCTGATCCACGGCCATGAAGCCTCACTCATCGCCTCCTGGTCCCGCCTCCTCACCACCCTCCGCTCAGAAATAGAACTCATCTCCACCGCCGGCTCCTCAATCACCCCCAGCATCCCATTCTCGGAAATCAGAAACCATTCCCGGGCCCTACCTTTCTCTCGCGCCATACGCAAACGCGGAGCCGCGGTAATCAAAAATGTGGTCCCTGAAGAGGAGGCCCTGGGCTGGAAAGAGGAGATTAAGGCGTATATCGCTAGGAATCCGGGGACGAAGGCATTCCCGAAGGGTAATCCGGCGGTTTATGAGTTGTATTGGAGTCCTGGGCAGGTGAAGGCGAGGGCTCATCCTAGTGTCCTCGAGACGCAGAGGTTTTTGATGAGTTTTTGGAATAATGGAAATAAAGAAGCCTTGATTAGTACAGAAATTCCGGTTTCGTATGCAGATCGATTGAGGATTCGACAACCTGGAGATAGTGGTTTTGCTCTTGGTCCGCATGTTGATGGCGGGAGTGTAGAGAGATGGGAAATGGAAGGATACGGGAAGGGAGGCGTCTACGATGCAGTGTTCGAAGGACGATGGGAGGATTTCAACCCCTGGGAATCTAGCTGCAGGTTGAAAGTGGAAAGTGATTTATATAACGGCGCTGGAGCCTGCTCGATGTTTAGAATGTTCCAGGGTTGGCTGAGCATGAGTTCCACTGGACCCGGGGAGGGGACATTGCTCGTTAATCCATTGTTCAAGCTTGCGACGGTATACTATGTGTTGAGGCCATTCTTTGAGCCTAGAAATGGGAATAAAGAGGCGAGCGGGTACTTGGATGAGAGAAATTGGATATTGAGTGAGAACCAGAGCTCCGTGCTACAAGGTGCGACCATGGGGTGTACTCAAGAACTGAACGAGACGTTGCATCCGCATCTTGAACTCGAGAAGACGATGGTTCATATTCCCGATGTTGGACCGGGGGACTATGTTGCGTGGCATTGCGATTCTATTCATGCTGTGGATAAGTTGCACGCTGGGAGGGGCGATTCAAGTGTGATGTACATTCCGGCTTGTCCATTGACGGAGGTAAATTCGAGGTATCTGGTTAGGCAGAGGGAGGCGTTTTTGAATGGGACACCGGGACCGGATTTCCCTGGTGGGAAGGGGGAGAGTGAACATGTTGGGAGGATGGGAAGGGCAGATATTGAGGATGCTGGTGGAGAAGATGGACTGCGAGCTATGGGTTTGGCGAGCTGGGAGGCTCAGTTCGAAAGCGAAAGGCAGATTGTGAGGGTCGCGAATTCGATCGTGACTTGAATGTCTTCAACCCACGCCATCAAATGAGGGACATTGTTTCGAAGTGAAATGATCTATCGATTCGCGAGTCATGTAAAAAAGAATTCCTAGTTCCTCTTTTGTCTCAGTCTCAAAGTGGTCTGGAACATTCTCGCTCGCAGGGGATTGTCAACAACACCACTCCTCTGTCATCGCCACTGGTTTCTGAGCTCCCTTTAGGTCTGTAGCGGACTCTAGATCTGCTTTGCAGAGATTTATTCTATTATTTCATTATTTATGAACAAGTGGCCGGGATTCTTCAAGAGGGAGTCTCAATCCACATTCCTAATATTACCAGGTCAGCTTCCTTAGACAAGTTCTCATTGATGAGACAATTCGGATTGGCGACAATCTTCATGAGCAATGCATACCTATCCTCTATCTAAGAAAGGCCATTCTGTGATCTCTTTCCGATTTTTGCAATTTCAATTCGTGATGGCAACTCTTTTCCTCGTTCTTGGGCTCGTACAGCTGATTGCTGCGCTGGCCACAGCATATGGTAAGATATTATACCAATTGTGAACGGAAAATTACCTAACTCTGAGTAGGGAAGTGTGGTGGGAACGGATATACAGGACCGACGAGTTGTATTGCTGGCTACACTTGCGTCGTCTCGAGTTCAACCTATTCACAATGCCTGCCAGCGCCGATCCCACCTGGTCATCAATCACCATGGGGTCCGTGGATCATCTCTTCATAGAACAGCAAGCAGATACTGACTTTTATCAAGGACAGTGTGGAGGTCAAGGCTACAGTGGACTCACTCAGTGTTCTCCGGGGTATTTCTGTTGTGTAAAGTCAATTTACTACTCGCAATGTATCCCGACACCTCCACCCGTTTCTAGCAGTTTCACAACTTCAGTGGCGAGTTATTCGAGGTCAACATTAAGTAGATCATCTTCGAGCATTAAGTTTTCAAGTTCTCAAGTTCGTCCACCTGATGAGAACATTGATTTATCCTTTCAAGATACAGCAAATCATAAAGACAAAGCAGCTGCATTGACGTCCACTTTGTCGAGATTGGCAGTATCGTCGTCATCAAGCACAAAGGATAAATTTTCATCGACATCTTCAATACGCAGTAAGAAATTTACCCGCTCGCCCTCAAGTCAAGGAAATCCGCTTATCAAAGACAGCATCTTCGTCATCCGCTTCGGTGAAGTCATCGCCATCTTCTTCAACTTCGGTCACTCCAAAACTTACAACAAGCAGTAAGAAATCAACCACCGCATTTGCAAGTACCACCAACTCCAAGAAGTTATCATCTACACCTATGTTCCCAGTGGGCTCTGCAACCAGCACGGTCTCAAGTCAGCAAGCCCAACAGACCCCATGGGGTGAGTTCAAATATTCAAAACTTCCTTCTTCGATCATGACTGAAACTGTTGCAGGCCAGTGCGGAGGAACTGGATGGACTGGGCCGAGTCTATGCCAGAGTGGTTGGACTTGTGTTTCACAAGCCGGAAACCCTTGGTATTCGCAATGCTTGCCTAACGCTGCAACGTCCTCGATTGGTGGAGGACAAGTCACAACACCATCTCTATCTTCAACCACCGTGATTAGCGTTACACAGTCCCCACCTAGCCAGTCTGGATCGCCCCCTCCACCCAACACAGGATCGCCTCCAAGTTGCGCTTCATCCAATGCACCAGCTCCAGGTTCTGGAAAGGTGTCGGTGGCGGGAATCAGTGAGTTTGGTGATATCAAGTCTAAACTGTTGAGTCTTGGATCTCTGACAGACGTCTAGATATTGCTGGCTGTGAATTCGGGACTGATAGCAACGTGAGCAATATTCCTGATTGCAGTGATAAACATCTAACAGAACCTCAGGGAAACCAACAGCCATCAGCGGCGTACTGTCCCCTCGGTCCAATGTATAACAAACCAGACGGACCCGGCCAGATGTCTCATTTTGCATCGCAGGACAAGTTCAACGTCTTCCGGCTTCCAGTTGGCTGGCAATATCTCACAAATAATGCCAATGTAGCAACTGGAACTCTGGATCCGACGAATTCAGGGGCATATGACTTGTGAGAGGGTTCACTTTTTCGGTGGGATGCTGGCTGACTTGCTCTGCAGTTTGGTTCAACAGTGCTTAGTGACAGGAGCGTACTGTCTGATTGATATCCACAACTATGCCAGATTCAGTATGCACTCTTCGAAAGTATGCGAGAACTAACTAACAGGAAAATTTAGATAACGCCATAATCGGCCAAGGAGGACCAACCAATGAAGTCTTTGCTGCTCTCTGGGCCTCCATCGCTACCACATACAAGAGCCAAAGCAAAGTCATATTCGGACTCATGAACGAGCCACACGAGAGTGAGAAGAACCCTTGCCCTTCCCAATGAGACCGAGACTGACATCTCCCAGTACTCAACATATCAACTTGGAGAGACACCGTCCAAGCAGCCGTCACCGCAATCGTGAGTCCAAGCTTCCTTCCCGTTTCTTGATCTCCTAACATAAAGCAGCGTAATGCAGAAGCAACCTCCCAAATCATCCTTCTTCCCGGTAACGGTTGGACGAGTGCCCTATCATTCCTCTCCGACGGTTCCGGACCTGCACTTGCAACGGTTACAAATCCAGACCACTCAACCACGAAGCTCGTATTCGACATCCACAAATATCTTGACTCGGATAGTAGTGGAACTAGCCCTGAGTGTGCGGATAATTATATCAGCAAGGCTTTTGAGCCGTTGGCGCAGTGGTTGAGGTGTAATGGACGGATGGCACTTTTGGTAGGTTATGGGTTTATGTGATGGGAAGGTTTGAGGCGAAATTGACATTTGCTAATGGGAATAGAGCGAGACGGGAGGCGGCAGTACGAGTAGTTGCCAGACATATCTTTGTCAGACTGTTGCATTTTTGAATGCGAATTCTGATGGTAAGCTTGGTGTCTCTTAAGCTAGGAGGGGGGACTAACTGGTGACAGTGTATCTTGGTTACATTGGGTGGGCTGCTGGTGCTTTTGACCGTAAGTGACTCCTTCCCACCACCCTCCGATTTGGCAAGAGGCTGACAGCATGCAGTGAGCTACCAACTTGCAGAAACGCCGACGAATAGTAAAGGAGTGTGGAAGGATACGCAGATTGTGACCCAGTGCTTGGTTCCTAAATGAGATTTCTTAGGATGAGATGAGGGAGGAGATGAGTGCATAGAGCATAGCGAGATGAAAACAATAACAGCATGGATTGACACCTAATCCTTAGCATTATTAACCGCAGTCAAGTTAGGAACAACCAACCCGGGCTGAAATTACTCGATGCTCCATACTCCCATGAACAAGCAGAAAATTCTCAACTCCTATACCACGACCATCCTTCGGCGCCTCATCAGTCTTTCCAGACTCAGCCATTCCCCCCACCTCTCGAACCATGTCCCGTTGAAAGACACCCGCTATGTCCCTTTATACCCATGTACAATATCATGCAGCAGCTCGTGATGCCATACACTCTGATTCTTATTACAATCAATCATCACTGCGGCGATAATTGCGCCGGTCAGGGAGACGAACGAGAAGTACTCGTCGCCTGCTGCATAGGCGGATGAGGAGCTTGGGAGGCTGTATTCTTGTTGGTGGAGCGATCAGGCGCCGAAGAGCGTGGTGAACGTTATGTTGAGATGAAAGCGTAGGTTATTATTTGAGCGGCGGTTTGGGAAGATGGCTATATCTGGGAGATGTTTAGGGAGGCATGTTTTTGTGGGAATTGTAAGGACAATTACACAAGTCTACAGCGAAGATGTTCGGTTGATCTAGGAGCTTGTGTCTATGAGCAGAAGGGGTTTCAGTCCTATTGCCACTGCGGATTCGAATTCTGGGCCGTGCAGTCTGGAGCTGGTGCTGCTGTGGAAATTAAAATATATTGCCTGAAGCAGTGGGCGCATTGTATGGACTCCAATGGAACAATATTTTCTGAGTTGAGCGGGCGTCTTTCTGATTCGAGAAGGCATTTTCAAGAACGCTGACATAGTGATATATCCTTGGCCTAGTTCGGAATAGAGAGAATTGATGCTTCCGACGCCATCTGGGGTCGGGGAAGAAGTGGGCTCCGGGTGCTCCAATTTTGGCGTGAATGTAACGGCACCGCTTTTGAGAGGAAGAGGGATAAGTCTACATTTGTTATTGGCATGCTTCGGTGGCTCGGTGAATCCATAGCGGGTGGCGGGTTGCCTGATTATTCCGTTGTTACCCGGCGAAGGGGGCTGGCATTGTCCCATCCCAGCCCTGAACATTTCTTGTATTCAATTTCATCGGTAGATGATTTCAACATCGCCCTTGGGAATTTTCCGCAGCTGGTCCATAATCTTAGAATCACCGATGTTCTTCTCTGCAGTTATCTGGTCGAAGCAATGGCATCCATCTGTGTAGCTCTGCAGCAAATCTCCTCCTTCGATCTTGATGCTTTGTCTAGTGACTAAGGAAGCCAGGTATTGTGAAGAAACAGCATATTTGTGAACCCTATAAATTAGGCCCTTGATGACGCCGAATTGAATGAATCGTCGGACATCGACATAATTCAGAACAGGGAAGCCTTGGTCAAGATGCATCTTCAGCCATTCCTTGACTGTTCGAGAGGTGCAGAGTGAGGTGAAAAGACGGCAAAGATAGAATTTCGGGAGGCGTGGGCCATTAATGTAGACGTAGTTTGAGCATTCATCTTGCATACCGTCTTTGTCGATTATGAAGTCGTTCATCTCGGGAGCTGGAGCATAGATATTGCCAAAGAGGAAGATATCCAGCATCAGGATTGAATCGTGGTAAAGCAAGTGTTGGAGGGCAATCTTCGTCAAGTCAAGAGCTACATCTGCATCATGAGCGATGCGCCGGACGTCTTTGATGCCGTCGATTTGGGCGATGAGCTTCTTCATTGTAAGGTCCCAGGTGTCATCCATGATCTCGGTGAACTTCATCTTGGAAATTGGGACGTGCCAAGACTTCACTGGCGGAGGATGCCTGTGAATAGGGAAAAGCTTCATATTTATTGTGTTTGCATCGTCTGCAAAAGGGTCAATATATAAATCTCAGAGATGATGCAAGAACTTACCAACTGGGATCATGCACTCATTGTAATTGTTCAAGTCTTCCTTGATGATCTCAATGAGAGCAGCAATCGAGCGGCGATCCTTCGAAGTTGAGAGGTCTTCTTGACTTAGAAATTGATTCTGAATCTCCATCTCCGTGAAGGTGCTGGCCAGTCGTCGAACCACGGCTTCATATGGATGCATATCGACCTCAACGCCAATGACGATACAGAAATTGAACATGAATTCATTTCGCACATACTTTTCATCTTTGATACAAACTGGGTGACCAAGAATTCGATACTTGTCTTCGGGATCGCAGATCGTGACATATCGGTTGCAGAAGCCTTGCCTAGGTATGATGTACTCGCCCATTGTTTCGAAGTCGAAGAAGCGGTGCTTGTCAACTCCAGGCTCGGATACGATGCATCCTGGCGGGCTTTGATGGACAACCTTGGTCCCTTTGCCATTGTTAGTCTCACTGAGAGTAAGAGCGGAGGGGATTGTAGTGATGTATGCCAGGCCCAGGGATGATGCCGAGGAGAAAGAAGGAAAGATATTGTATAGCATACCCTGCTGAGGAAGGAAGCGCGCAAAGAATATGCCTTGAATCATTACGAATCGTGAAAAGTTCTCTTCGCTTGAGGAGTCGATACATTCATATATCTGTTTTGATGGAGAGAAAGGATGAGAGCAATAAGTGGGGAAGATGCGGTGCTGTCGACGCTAGCGCGGACCATTGCATCAGATGTGATTGGCTCGCTTGTTGAATGGAATGATTCCTTCTCCGACTTTCCCAACGACATGTTAATTTCCAAGTCTTGTTATTCAGCTATCAATAACCTTTAGAAGTATTTAAGCTCATGTATTTGAGGATATTCTCGGATGGTGAGGTCTTGAAGTCCACAGAGGGGCTAGGAGAGCTCTGCGCGTTTCCCAGCAAGCTCAACGGGCCAACCCACGTGACCTGCTCACACTCACTGCTTTTGGGGATCAATCTGGGTCTTGAAGAGCCATAATCTACTACTTGGATAATTGTGGTATCCAGTGGTGAATCAGGTATGTTAGGAATGCCTCCGAATTGTAAGATATTGGTTGACATTGAGGTTTCCAAGCTTCCGAAGGCCTTCAATCATGGATCTTCCCAGTCTCCGCAAAAAACCAACCTACGCCGTTCTTCTGAGTGCTCTACAAGCTCTAGAAGTTAAACCAAACTCATGGAATAAATCCACTGCTGCTGAATCATCCTTGGTCAGCGACGAGGCTGTCGTCCAGCGATTCTTGATGTCCATCATTGCAAGCGATTTGGAATGGATTCCTGAATCGACTGATATTGGCGGAGAATTTTTGACAGCGTTGGAGCAAAAAGAACTACTGGTTGATCTGGCAAGCAGGCGAGTTGCTGAACGTTGCGGACGATCTGGTACGTGTCCCATTTAGCACGCAGTGTTCTCAGTGCAGGGGTGCATTCGGAAGTTGAGTATGTGCTTGAGGACAACACCTCCTGAGAACACTATGAGAAATTTTGTGATAATTTGTTTTCATGTACTGTACTTGCCTTCAGGACGCTAACACAGACTCTCTGCAGCAATGCCTGAGATGACCAGGACTTGGGTTATACCGGCATCCTCCAATTTACCTGAAATCAAATTTGATATCCGGGAACCACCTCTCACAGGAGATAATCTTGGTCTCAAAACGTGGGGAACATCATATGTCATCGCTAAGAAACTCGAGAACTTCGGCATACAGTACCTCGACCATTTTTTTACCAAGTCGATCGTGTCGAGATCCGGTACTAGCAAGAGATCACTGCAATCCGGCGCCAAAGTTTTGGAGTTAGGAGCTGGTACCGGACTTGTTGGAATTGCAGCGGGAGCTGTTTGGGGCGCAGAGGTATTCTTGACAGATCTCCTGGACATTGCGGACAACCTACTGTTTAATGTTGAAAAGAATGCCCCAACAGTGGGCGAGTTCGGTGGACATATATCCTGCGGTGTTCTGGACTGGAGGGAACCTAATCAAGCTCTAGAGATTGTGCCTGTCAAGAAGTTTAGTGTAAGTTAGTTTGAGAAACTCCATGGAATCCTGACTGACAACTGGTAGATTCTTCTGGCTGCTGATCCACTTTACGACGACGACCATCCTGCACTCCTCGCGAACGTTGTAGAGAAGTTCCTTCAAGATGATGAGGGATCTAGAGCCCTCATAGCAATTCCTATCCGGGACAATGCTACGAGAGCCCTATCTGAGAAACTTTCAAATCTCATGGCTGAGAATGGCTTCTTGGTAGATTGTTCAGGAGAGGAAATATGCCAGGACGATTGGGAGGCTTCTAATGGACCCGAAGTCAAATTGCTGTGGACGTTCTGGAAACGAACTATCATCTCGAAGTCAACTACCGAAAACTGAAACACTGACCACCCTCCTATTCCTCGCTTGCCAATTCCATGATTCTCAGGGTGGAAATTCGCAGTTTCCCACCCGTCCCTGATGCAGAACATGTCAGTCCAACACCTCGAACCCACAATTTTGCATGTTGTCGGTTCAATGTACAAGTTCATTGCCGTACATTCACCGCAGCGCTCTCAGACGCCACCTGGTTAAGTCCGTTCTGCATGTGCTCGTAAACCATTTCCCTTGACCACCACCTCAAAATGTTCTTGAGCACCTAGAACGCCGCGATGTACTCCTTCGGAGCGTAACATTTCGCACAGCAGTTCGCCGTACGTCTCAATGTTTTTTGCATCACTCTCAGCCTTGCAGTAGCACACTATTTTGGTGCCGTTCTCTCTCCGTTCCCTCACAGTCACCAGCCCCTTCGCTCCAGCTCAGTATTTTCATGATCGCTCACAAGAATCGTGACCTTCCAGTCATCTTCGACACAATACTTCGTGAATAAAGAAGTTCCACCTTCTGAAGACAGTGGTGAATCAGCACTCTCGAGTATAAAGTTTGGATATTTTGCGACTCGGGCTCCACACTCTTCGACCAACACCTCGCTCACGCCAAAACTCTCAAGGTTACACAATCATGCTAGAATCATAGACATCATCAGCACATTCGCAAGCACACTCTCGAGACCTATTCATGATCATACCTTTCACCTTCAACCACCTCAACCAATATTCCAGGCACCTAGCCATCAAGTCCCAGGCCTTAATTCAAAGCTAAGGAACTCACCAAAGCCACGAGGCGAGATTGTCTGTTTGGTACTTTGGTAGTGCTAACACATATCGGAAGGCCGACCAACCAAACATCTCGTTGGCGAATACCAAACCCCCTCGGCCCTTTACTCGACATCATGGTGGGTGTTAAGACTTGGGAAGACGAACAGATAAATTTGATTTTGACCTGCAAGGAGCAAGGCAAGACAGTTTCCCAGATCATCGACCTGCTCAAGGCACGGTGGCCCAGAAAAGTAGTCAAAGAGAGCGGGGTCAGATATGTTATGACCAACTACAAAGAAGGCCCACGGTAAGACAAGTGCAGGAAAAGGTGATTATATATTCTGACGCTGGTGTTCAGGGCTCAAACTATGGCAGGTGGTTCGAAGCCTCGAAGTCCCCAGAATGGCGCAGGTCGCGCTTCCCAAAAGCGGCCACACCCAAAGTCTAAGCAACCAAAGTTGACTTCAAACTGGGCCGCACCACAAGCTGCAGCAAATTTTCGCTCACGCATATCTCGATCTCGATCTCCGTCCCCGCCGCCATCTCCACTCTTCGACCCCATGGATGAGTTCGCACTCGCAGCTCACATGCGAGAAATTTCCGGAGGACCCATTACTGCATCTTTAGACACTCCCCAACCTCTCAACGTACTGAACACCGGAGTACACTCGAGGACGAAACTGCTTGCTCACGCACAACAAGCTAAACACGCTCGAGAACGAGGCCAAGAAATTCCAGCTTCTTCACCCGGAGCTAAATCCATCATGGTATCTCCATCGCCTCAGCCACCTGCAACTGTCCCTCAAGCACACGCTACGATTCAAGGAGAATTCCAGCCGCAGGACATGCACCGCACAATGAGCATGCCGCAGAACTTTCAGTATAACCCACAAGGACACATGGGACCACAGAATATGCCAATGGACGGTCAGCATTATCACCATATCGGCCCAATAGCCAACGGACTGCCAGCCACAGCAGGTTTAGGAGGCCGCAATGCACAATTTCGATCCAGCCCTCAGCATATGGCTTCCTACCACGGACAATTTGGAGGAGTTGGCCCAAATGGAGGCGCAGGCATGGGTTTCAACACAATTCCCGGCATGAATTTTGGGCCACCGTTTGGATACACCCCTCAAGCTGGAATGCCACCGCCTTCAATGCCGCAACAAATGTACCACCAAGGTGGTCCGCTCAATTATGCCCCCACTGGAGGGTTCGCGCCGATGATGCCACCGAACATGCCTTTCCATCCGCAGATGAATGCAGGACAAGTCACCAATCCCGTTAGTAATAGTCAGTATCGCCACGGCCCCTCTCGGACGCAGCGCCCAGTTAGTCGAATGACCAACATCGATCCGCAACTTTTCGATGCAACCACTTTTGTGGACATGCAGCCAATTGATCAGCAAGCGGCCATGGCCTTTAATTTCTCGAGACCTCCAACTCGCAATGGAGCCATTGCCACACCTCAAACTAACCATGTCCAACAGTTCATGGCTCAGCAGGCTCGAAATGGAGCGCATTTCGCCCCCGGAGTCAATCTTCCTAGCAATTTAGCGACTCAAGGAAATGGAAATTGGCCAATCCCCGCTGCAACTCAACCAAACCCTACCCGTCAGTCAATGGCTCAGCAAGGTCAAGTTAGACCTACTTCCACTCCTCAAGTTAGTCATTCTGGTAATTTGATGGCCCAAGAGACTCAAAATGGACCGACCGCTACATCTCAACCGAACAATATTCTGCAATCGATTGCCCGGAACGGAGCGGCTGCCACATCTCGAGTCAACCATCCCGCCAATTCAGAGATACAAGGCGCTCGAATTGGAACATCTTTGCAAACAAATCCTTCTGGTAGCCCGGCTGCTCATGAGGCACATAAAAAGGTCATCGTCACCTTCACGGAACCCGTTTTCGACAAGCCTTTTACGTTCCCCACTTCGTCTGAAGGCTGGAATACAGTGATCACGGAGGATATGATGAGGGAGCTGCAGAAAAAAGGAAAAAATAGCCCGTCTCCAGCTGATCTCGGTTTCAGAGTTTTAAATGGAAAATTCGAGCTCCATTTTGTAAGACCTGTTTTTCGCCAAGGATGGAATTTCTGGAAGGGAAACCCACAAGCCTCTGGCATACCAAACAATGAGGCGAGGTTCTCTCCACCAGCTGCGCAGATGGACCTGGACCCTCCTGCTTCTTCCGAACAGAGTGGGGTAATAGAATCTTCCCAAAATCCAAGTTCCTCGGGACCGACAAGACAGGCGACGCAACCAGCAACTGAGAGACAGGCGCCAGTTACTGGACCAACGCAAGGAAAACCAAACCAGAACCCCAAGACTCCTCCAATGAAAGGTCCTGATTCTTTGGCTAATCATGTGACTCCTTCCATATCACCTCTGACTCTAGCGTCTTCACCAGATGCCAGCATTTCTGTTCAACGGCCGGTACTCGGAGCAGGAAGAACCACGGGTCTCGCCACTCAAAAGACGCCAAACCTCTCCAAGCAACCATTAGAGAGCCACAGCCAAACTTCTCATAATCGGCCGACTGGAAAGAGGGCTGCACCAACAGCCAAGCAAGAAGTGTCGCCTTCTAAGCGTCGCAAACCTTCAGCTGAAAGTTCATCAATTGCCAGTGGACCTGCGGGGGAATTCCCCACGATCACTAAAGGAGGGTTTGACGGTCGGCTAGAATTTGCGTCTCCATCATATCCATCTGCTGTGCCGGAGGAGTTTGCTGAGAAAGTAGCGGGGCTCCCAACTCCACAACCAACCCAGAACCCCCCTTCAGGTCACTATAAATCCCGCCGCGAGTCCCAATTTTCTGCTCCATCTCAATCATTCGACCCGAGACCTTCTCAAGCAATTAAGGACTCCGAGCTTTTCAATTCTCCGCAGCGGCAATACTCTTCACGGGTGCGAGAGTCAATGAAACAACAGCTCGCAAACGTGCAAGACAGTGGGCTGGCTAAACCTACGAATGAGGGACGTTCAACTGTTGGAACTTGCTCAGATGTGCCGACACTCCCTCAGATACACCATAATCATTTACCTGATGGCCTTCCTGCTCCAGAGCAAACACAGCAGCAAGAGCAGTCTCAACGCAGTGCAAATGCTGAAAATAGTCAGCAGCAGCAGGAGTATCGCCACCCGAGCGACCTTCTCGATGGAGGTGTTGCAGACACCGAACTTCAGCAGCAGGAAGACTATGGCTTCGACTCCTTCGTAAATGATAACTCGGACCTGACTGGTATTTTAGCCATGGACAACGACCCGAGTTTCGATCCAGTACCGACTGCCCCACACATCGACGACGACTCCCCGGAGCAAGACCCAAACACAGGCTCCAGTTCTGATTCTAACCCCGCCCCGTCCCCACATACTCCTGCTCAGGCAGCAGTCGACGCTCAAGCAGAATCCGAACGTCTCGCCTACGAGCAAGACCCAACCGACCTCGGTCCCTATGGAGATGATAATTGGGGCGACAATCAGTATGACGGTCCGTGGGAGCAAGCAACTAATGCTGTCTTGGACGATGATCCTTTCTCGCTGGAGAATATCTTCGCAACGGGAGGAGATTACTCGGATATCGTGGATGTCGGGGGTGGTAACGATCCGGCAAAGCCGCAGGGACTCATGGCCGAGTTTGGCAAATTCATACACTAGATAGGCTTGTGAGATGAAGAGGGAGGTGGGAGGTTCCGCTATTTGGCTAGACGGCGTAGGCATATGTGAATGTGATTGGGTTTAGTTCTTGTCGTTTGGCAAGAGAGAGCAGGCGCAACGGGATGGGAATGGAGTCGCGGCGTGAGTACTTCGAGAGCATCGGCTCCTTGGCTGGATACCATATGCACATGGGAAATGGAAATGGAAATGGAAATGGAAATTGGATTGGAAGGTGTCACAGCTTTTCCAGCAAGGAGTTCAGGCGAGGCTGCGTGACGCATGGAAAGATCCGAATGGGGCCTGGATATAGGGCATACACTCTTTGAATACGTGAATTATTGAGCCTGCAAGCAATTCATTCGTTCAAGGAAAGTGAACTAAAAACTAAAAACTCTTCCACCTCTTCCTGTGAATCATCCTAAACCGCACCTCTGAGTCCATCTCCACATCACTACTTCCAATCTGTGAATGAGAATGAGGAAGAAAATTGCCGATATCGTTATCGGAAAGAAGAGAGTGAGAATGAGTGTCTTCCTGCGTAGGCGTCTTATCCAGATCCCTGAATTGCGTTCTTGTTGAGGTCCGATCCGCAGTTTTCGAAGCAAGCCATTGTGAAGAAAAAGGAAAAGCGAGCATGGGGAAAATGTTGCTTGACCGAGTGCTGGGTCGGTGAGTTCGAATTTGAAAACGTTGCTGGAATGAGAACGGGAATGGGAAGAGACAGGCGAGGCGCGGGTTGTCAGATCTCGAGTTTCTCGAGGTCGACGGAGGAGCCGCGGCTAGAGTGTGTGGCTTTCGGCGTGAGTGGGGCAAGATCCTCGGTTTTTGTGAGAATGTAGCAGGATGCATACATGTTGACTCTGTTTTGTGATTAGTTTTGGACTTTTAATAGGGGGAGGGAAAGAACGAACCGATCAATGCAGCCCCCCGCAATCCTGGCACCGACTCTCCTTCCCTGGAAACCCATTGACTCGAAGGTAGCAATGTACCAAGGTGTCAACGCAGCTGAGCGAAGCAAGACACGGCCACCAAGTTTCAAGGCTCGGTTCAACTTCTCGATTTGCGTTGCTGCTGCTTCGGCGCCGGGGTCGAACCAATCCATGCTGTCCATCACGACAGCCACGGTGAGTGTACCTGGAGTGAGGCGGGAGACAACTTCATTGATCTCATCGGTGTGAATGCGGAGACCGTCGAAGGCGTTACCACGGGAGAGCTTCTGGTGGGACTTTGGCTTAAGGTAGTCCGGGTGGCAGCGTTGGCTGTAGGAGCTTTGAAGACAGACGAGGTAGTATGGATTGTCTTCACCGATCAAGGAGGACTCGATGACGGGGTCGAGAGTTTGGACCATGTATTCCCAGACCGCTGCACCGCGAGTGGAGTTGAGCTCTTTGGGGGTGTGCTCCAGAGGGGAAGGCGAGGTGTGCGTCTCGGCTGCAATGTGGTCTGCTTCAAGCATGGCGAGCTGGTTGTGTGGAACTCCAAGGGCGGCCCAGAGGAACTTCTCTTGGGAGACAATGAGGTAGGAGAGCAGGCGGGACATGATGATGGGCCGGATCTTCTTAGTCCAGATCTCGCGCTGCTCGTTCAGGGTCTTGGATTCGACGAGGGATTTGATTTGAGAGCTGAATCCGAGACCGTGGGAAAGAAGACGCAGGATTCGAATAGCGTGGCGAGAACCGCCGGTTTCGTAGAGGCCTTTTGAGCGTTTCGACGAGAACACGTCGGCATTGCTGAGCCAGTATTGGAATGCACGTGACGACAAGTGTGGTGAGAGTCGGGAGACAAGCAGGTCCCGGAAATTTGGGTGCTTGCCCACGCCGAAGAGTTTCCAGAAATCACTATAGGGCAGGGCAGTGAAAGATGCAACTTTGAGCTCCAGGAGATGGTTCTGGTTGGGATTGAGATCCACGGCATGGATGCGGGCTGGAGACGAGAGTGCGTATGAAAGAATGTTGTCGCCGGCTGAAGTGATGGCCAAAACGACGTCGTCCGAGGTGAGCTTGAGAAGGCGTTGGTCGACTCGGGAATCTTCCCAGGTAAAAGCATAGATGTACTCGTTCTTGAACTGGGTGTGCTTCTTCAGCTGGTCGTCGTAATGAATTCTCCAGTGGTGATTCTGGTAAAAGAAGGAAGGGAGTGGCAAGTTTGCTGAAAGATTAACAATGGCCGCATTGAAGGCTTTTGAGCGAAGCTCAGGAGGAGTGGAATTGTCGACAGCGCGAGAAAGGGCGTTTGTGTGATTGATTGGAGACAAGTAAGGAGATTCCGTGGCAGCTGCATCCAGCCGATGAACAATTTCGTGGGGAAAATTTGGAGTGTTGAGTGAAGAAGCCGGCTTCTTCTGGCAACCAATCCAGACATAGTAGGGGATTGAGCCCAAGAGAGTGTTGCGAGAGTTGGTGCTCAGAACTGTCCCAAATCGGTATTCGAGGTAGTCTCTACGACCAGCCTCGAGACCAACTCGGTCCACATCAAACCATGCTCTCCAGAAAAGTCGTCCAAACCAGTTCACGTGACGATTTACAACGCCTCCGGTGTAATTTCTGCAGGTCAAATCCACGTTCGACTGAACGTAGAAGTCAACTGCTCCAATTGTACCAGTGGGCGAAAGGAGAGAAACGAGTGAGTCGATGACAGAATAGAAGTCAGGCTGTTCCGAGTCAGAATGAAATTCATAGCAGGTGACAGAGACTTACAATCATTGACAAGCTGTAAGAGAGTGTGATGAGATCCGCACCGCCAACATTCCCATTATCTTCCGAATAATAGGATGAAGGAGACCGGGAGACAACAGCGCCAGGAATGTCACTCTCGTAATCCTCGAGGCGGAATGTCCTCGCATCCTGGCACACAACCTTCACATTCTTCCAGCCAAGACGCTTGAATCGCTTTTGAGCTACCTCGCAGAGGGAGGGAGAAAAGTCGACAAGGTAAACGCTGGAGAAGAATTCGGGGACATCGACGTATTCGGACATTGCTTCGATATTCCAGCCGGTGCCACCACCGATCTGCGAGCAAAGATTTGTTAGTGAACGGTTGTTAATGAACGGCTCTCAGTGAAGTGTGTAACCGATGCTCACATCAACCCAAATACGTTTGGGATCATGGGTGCGTTCACTTGCAGCCTTCCGCACAAGTTGAGCAGCCACCAATCCAAGCATGTCCTCTCGACCGCGCAACAGCCTCTTCCGAGTTGCATCATAGACACCAGCTTGCGCCTTGTAGAAGCTCTCGAGAGCGGCCTGCTGGCCTTCGCCGAGACCATCTCCATTGTGGGGCTTCAAGAACGAGGCATAGAAAAATCGCAGGAAGGAGGTGAAGGCGCTCGGATTCTCTTCATCTCTTTTCTTCGTCGAGTGGAAAGTGACGGCGAATACAACACCAATAAGGAGAACTAAAGTTGCTCCTGCAAAAATGATTTGGGTGTGGGGATCCTTGGGTAGGATGCTAGGGGTAAGAGAAGCCATGATACTCTCTCATTGCTGGCCAAATGAGTAATTGAGGTCTTGAAGTAGTTGATACTCGCGAATACAATTGAGAGTGTGACTGAAGGAGAAAAGAGAGAGAAGATGAAGATGAGATGGCGAGGGATATATCTTACTCGTGCCTTTTCGGAAAGCACTTGCCCCACCTACTCGAGTGCAACCTTCCCCATTGCCCCTCCATTAAGCAGCTCAACATGTGTCAAGAGTGACGAAAAAAGCACCGTTTCGACCTATCAAGACGACAACGTGGGCTGCACCCAATTCAGGGTCCTGCATGAAACCGCATTAGTGGGGAGACAGCCCAGAGCGCTAGACGCGTCTTTGCGGGCAGCTTGGGATCATCGTTCGTTGTGCGTGCCGGCTAAAATCTTGCATCCAGAGCGTATTGCAGTTGAGTGCTGGCGAAGGCGTCTTCTTCCTCCAGCCATTGTCAGGCACAGCCAGAGGTGCGTATCTTCAAGTTGACAGACATGTGCTCGTCCGTCTTCGGATGCATCTTCTTTACCCAGCACAGAAGATGATCACCTGAACACTGGAGGACTTGAATTGGGTACCTCATTGGTGGGGATGAGGGCGTTCTGACATGTGGGACAAAGCACTGGGAATGAAGGGTTGTGATGCAGAAGAGATATGAGTAATGAGAGACGGAGTGCGGTTGTGCAAAGAAGGTTTTAGACTCTCGCTTAATCCGGGCCAATTGCAGAGCAGCCCGAAGGGGGCGTGCTTGAGATGTTGGCTTACAGCCTCGCTCTCAGCGATGTCGGGAAGTTCTGATCGAATCGTTTTGATTGAATTCAGCCTTGTTCCGGATTTTCCCTGGGTAGAAGCGGATGTCCATGTTGAGCCTTCCATTGGATGTGTGTTTGGTCACCTGAGTCTATATCACGTGCTTGGAATCCTTGCTTCTCTCTTTCTCTCCATAACAAAGAGCTGCGGGTTTTAAGTTGCAACATCGCCATAAGGATCCCTCGGTCCCGTCAATCTGAAATCCCATCATCAGTGGCCCACTTCCACTTCACATCCTCAGCTGCTTTCACCCCATGACTCTTCACAATACCTCCTAAAATCTCGCCAATAACTTCCCGCCCAACATACCTCTCGCCCTCCTCACTCATCGCAATCTCCACTTCATCTTCTTTCCAACTCCAAACTTCAAACCCCGTCCTCCCATTAATATCCATGACCTTGCCCTCTTCCACACCACCATCCAGCCTGTATGGCTCCCACGGCTCTTCTCCAACTGAAAACTTAATCCACCTTTTCCCATACTCCTCACTAATACCCCTTGACTTTTGACTCGGATGCCGTTACCTCAGCGTCTGAAACAAGAAAAGCAAGTCGATGAATTGGTGGTGAAATAGAACTCTAGTCCACAATATGATGGGTTGAAAGTGTGAGAGAAAGAGAGGCACAAGAGCCCGAAGGTAGGTTTAAGATGTAACGAAGAACGTTTGTTCAAGTGATATGTGAGCATCAATCAGTAGATCCTTGAGTCGGCCGGATATTGCACGTTATTATCAGTGCAACTTTTGTAATATGAAGAAGTGGTCTGTTGGAGTGATGATTAATAATTTGCAACAGGGTGTGGGATTGTCTTTTAAGCCCGGCATAATGAACAGGGGCAGAACTGGCCATACTTAGCAAGTTCGATCACAAATGGAAGACAGTGGTGTGCATCCTTTTTGGAAGTGATTCATATAAGGCCAATACAGATTCCTGCCGTTGCAGTTTTGGGACGCCAAACTCCGCCAAAACCAATTCGTAAGCATTCCAGGCATGAGAATACTACTCTTCATCTCCGAATCTAGCCTCGGAGTCATCGTCTTCATCGACATCCTCCATATCTTCATCACTTCCCTCCACAGCTTTCTCCTTTTCTCGATCGAGCCTTCTCTTCCGATCTTCTTCTCGTCTGCCTTCCTCCATAAGTCTCGCCTTCTCCTCTCTTTGCTTTCTCTGCCCGACGACAAACGCACCAAGAGGTGTCTTCTCCCATTCGAATCCCTTCAGGAACCCTTCAACACCGGCTCTGTCATTTGGTGCGAAGTCGACTTTTGATCTCCGCTCTTCGATCCACTTGCCATTGGCCTCCAGTTTCTGTATTACTAATAATATTCCGGAGTTGATCTTACTGTTTTTGTTTCCTGAGCCCTTGTTGTTCACCTCCTTAAGCCATCGCTTCAGCATGACAATCACAGGTAAAGCCAGCTCAGGGAAAGCGATGCTGGTTGACCACAGCACGAAGAATTCTGACAGAAGCTCAGCGACTTGTTCACCCACTCCATCTTGGTAAACCCGTGTTCGCAGGTATGATTTTTGGGCTTTGTAATTTGAGGCAAAATCGAGGCTCTTCAGAGTGCTAGGCTTCGGTGGTTTCTTCATCTCAGCAGAGTTTAGAACCTCGAGTAATGCCGATGCCAAGGGGATGTAGGTACCAGTTGCTCGGGATATCCTGAGAAGTGATCGTATCATATGAAATCGGAGGGGGAAGTATGTGGCTGTGGGAATAAGTCGCATAGCACCTAGTGTGACTTGAACAGTAGGGTAGATCAGATCTCGTAATGGCGACTCTTTGCCAATCTCCGCTTCCTTGACAGGACTGCAATGCTCTGATAACACGCAAGACCAGAAGTTTAAAGAGTGCACATATTGCCAATTGTAGACAGTCTTGTACGACTCTTTCTGGTTGTTTGTGATGCTAGATCGGAGATGAATGGCCAATTGGCGTATGAATGTGAAGCCGGTGGTATATCCAACGGCCTGGTCAATCCCCCACAGTTCTGCCGCTGAATTCATCACTAAATTTATTCCCTGGGTGGTGTGTATTGTGGTATTCCGACTGCCTTTGACCAAGCCCTGATACACAGTCTTCAAGACGGCTTCCCGCAAACCAGGATCTCCGATCACAGTCAACCTCCGAAGAACCAAGAACGCGGTAATTCGAGTGGCTTCCGTACTTGACGAATCTGACCAGATATCGACAACACTCTTGACTATGTTCTTGAGGACTTTCTTAAAAGATAAGAGGTATGGCAAAAGAGGTGTGATGGAAGAGAGTGTGAGCTTGAGTGTCGATTCATCGGAGAGGGTCGTGAGGAGGTGGTGAACGGATGAGGAGTGTGATTTAAGAAGAGCCGTCAAAGTCTTAAATTTCTTTGAATCCGTCGAAACTCGAACCTTTCCAGCAGCGCTTTCCTTGACGGGTAAATGGTAATTGAGGACCTCGGGAATATTCTTGAGAGCTGTGACGAGCAATTCATGGTAGACGTGGGGGCTCGATATCGTATACTTATATTCCTTCCCCTCATCTTCATTGACATGAGCAGCAGACCTAAAAGCAAGTGCCACTTGTCGCATTGCACGCAATGAATGTTGTTCTTTCATAGCTTTCGTCCATTTTGCAACCATGGCTTTTGTCACTTCCGCCAGGTCCTCGGTTTCGTCCTCTTCAGTCTCCTCCTCTTCTTCCTCAATGGGCATTTTCTTAGCCTTCTTTTGCTTCTTCTTTTTGGGCGGCGCTTCGGTTTCGCTGTCACTCAGCCCGTCAACCTCTGCCAAATCTGCATCTTCGTCGAAATCGAGAGCTTCGGGATCGTGCTCCTTCAGATATTTGTAGAATTCGGGATCCTTCTCAGCTAAAGCGTCCATCGCACCCTTACTCATGCCAGTCTCGTCTTCTTCGCCACTCCCGTCCTCGCTGTCGCTCAGTACTGGCGCCTCTTCGAAAGAAGCCTCTGAAGAATCATCCTCGTCTTCTTCCGGTTCCGTCCTCTTCCTCTTTCCTAACTTCTCGTGGACTGCTTTCTTCGATGTCTTCGATTTCTTCGCAGACATTTCAGGAATTTCAAATCCGCCTTGGAAAAACTCGTCCACACTCATCTTTCCGAAAGGGTCTTCCTTGACAGTCTTTGTCTTCTGAGGCTCTTCCTCTCCATCTTTTGCACCCAAGAATTCTGCATCTTTCGCATTTCGAGCCTGTTTCTTGGCTTTGACTTGCTGTCGTTGTTTGATCTTTGCACCAGCTTTTCGCTTCTCGAGAGTATCCCTAAGGTGATTCTTCTCGAATTTCCGAGTCGATTTCTTCGTGCTTTTAGCCATTATGAGGTTGGCAGCTTCGTGATTGCAGTTGATGCATTTTCCTATCGGCTCAGAAACTTTTTGGCAGTGATTTGAGAGGCTAAGCCAGTTTGGGCAAGCTTAAGGCGGTGTGTGCTACTAGCGTGGCAGAACGGCCTTCAGTAACCCCACCAGACGGGGTCAAAAAAAGCTCCTGATCAATTGTCAAACGTGACATTTAAAATGTATCAAACTCGGCAGGCGTATGCGCCTACACCCCACAGTTATGTGCCAAATACCGCTTTCTCAGCCACGATAAATCTTGACGAGGTAAGGTTCTTCTCCAGCTCCACAACTGACTCTAATTTGAACATCCAGGAGGTGAAACTTGCAGAAACGAGAGCCGAACGAGATCTTCAGGACTCTCTTGCCGAAGTATTCAGCATCATAATCACCTTAGACGAACTCGAGAAAGCCTATCTGAAAGATGCCATACCCGAGGCTGACTATACCGAAATATGCGATCGATTGCTGAAGCAATACAAAGCGATATTGACAGACGAGGCTGTGTCGAGGGAATTCGTGGACCTCGAAACCTTTAAGAATGAGTGGGATGTATGATGTACCCACGTCAAAGCGAGGAAAAGCTGTATCTGACATTTACAGATGGAAGTTCCGCGAGCAACGGAGAGAATCAGAATTGGCCTTCCCAGCACAGTAACCGCGCCGTCCATCAACACGGCAGCGACGAGCAATAATGGGACGAATGGTACCCTCATTCTTGAAGCAACACAGGACTTCATTACCTTCCTCGATGCACTCAAGCTAGGGCTTTTGGAGAAACACCAATTACACCCCTTACTTTCGGATGTCATTCAGAGTGTGAACAAGGTTACAGATAGAGACTTCGATGGGAGGGGAAAGATCGTACAGTGGTTAATTGCGTTGAACCAGATGAAAGCGACGGAGGAGATCAGCGAGGATCAGGCACGGGAGTTGGAACTAGACATGAATTCGGCTTACCAAGGATTCAAGGCTACCTTGAAGTGATGACTGATGTAACTACCGGTAATGGTCAAATATTGGAGGCATAGCGTGGGCGTTGGGGTTTATGGAAGTCGGCATTGAGATTTTAACCGGGATGGGAGGCCCTTCTTTCTCATGAGACGTGCAAACATTTCCAAAGCATATTGTTTTTTTCAGACCAAGAAAGTCCAGAAACTGGGATACACAAACTCATCCTCGAAGATTCGTCTAACTTGCTCTAGCACGAACTTTTCCACCTTGCCCACATTTTTGAGAACCTGTTTCCCATTCTCTCTTTGACCAATCTCGCTCTCGACTTTGATCTCATGTAAAAGACCACCCATTTTCATGCCACTGGAATGGCTCTCTTCTGTCCCTTCTGCCCCAATGGCAGCATATGCGTCTTCCGGTGACAGGAAACAAAAGTGTGCCCTCTTCCTGATATAGGCCAGGACGGCAACTCCATCGAAGGACAGCCCAGTGATATTCAACTTGACAGGTATGCCTACGAAACTCGGCATTGGATAATCTAGAAGGATTTCGGCTGTGAGAGACAGCTTCACGTCACCAGAATATCTCACTCGGAAGACTGTTTGTAAATCTTCGACTCGAGGTTCACGGAACCGTCGTGGAGGCGACGCTGATTCTTCCTCGACTGTCTCTTCCAGTAAACCATCTCGGGTTTGCGGTCTGGTAGTGGTAGCTGACGTAGCTAATGTTGAGACACTCTCTCGTTCACGCAAAGCTGGATGCTTGGAAGAGTCTGCGGTTGGAGGTGGGGACAGTGAGCTTCCGCTAGCGGTGTGACGGTGTCCCCTTTCCTTTGAAGATGGTAAGTTCGAGTAGTCTGGCCAGCCGTGGGGAAGGTGTGCACCTGCGACCGCGGCTAGAGGAGTCTGTGTGCCAGACAAGCCCGTTGCAAGTTGAGAATGGAAGTAGTTGAGATTCGAGGTCCCGCCAGGAATTCCTGGTGTACTGACGCCAAGGAATGGGCTGCCTATATCGCCGGGACTTTGCATCGACCTCATGCCAGGTAGCCGCGTATCGATATATGGGGGGAGATGGGTGACTTGGGACGGCCCATTCGTCCTCTCAACTCTTTCCATCCTTCGTCGCTCTCTCAAACTTTCTTGCTGCGCCGTTTTGGGCTTCCAGCTGTCGGCGCCATTCTCCTCATCTCCATCTTCGCCATAGTCATCCTCGATCTCTTCATAGAAGTCGGGTAGAGGGTCACAAATGTCCTTGATCTCAACTTCGGGTGCGATGGAGCCAAACTCGAAGGCGTGGACCCTGACACCCTTGATGAATCGAGGTAGCGTCACCGTTTGGAATTTCTCGTGCACAAAGTCTCGTATCTTTTCCGCCAGCGCGATGCCATCGGGGCCAGTGGTCAGAGTTTCCCAGTTGAGGTCGATGGACATCTGAGCTCTTGGCGGGAATCACGAGACGCCCCAGAGTCCTAACATGGGATATTCATGAAAGATCAACAATTCGGGGGCTTGTCTGAGATGCCGATAGCAGCAGGATCCATTCAGAAGATACTGCAATCTTCAAATGCCGCCGGGGTAGTCGTTGAGAGTTCTCGGATCAACGTCTCGAGTGATGTTCTAGCGAAAGCTCGCCAGGCTAAAGCGGCGCTAAGTACCACCTTAAAGCGGCATTGTTTGCCAAACGACTTTCCTCCTCCTCTATTTTCTTTAATCAACCACCGTCTACGCAAGAACTCACAACGATCAGAAGTACTTCCACCGCATAGAGCAATATCGGAACCTGTGGCAGGACTAGTTGTGTTCTGTCTTTTTCTACGGGCAGAATTTCTGAGTTCTGGTCCGCAGCCAGTCGGGTCAAAATCCAGCAAGTCTGTTGGCTGCGAGAACCTTGACTGTATCCCCCGAGTTCAACGCGACGAGCACACCGAGTACCGTCAGGCAAGAGCTGGCTGCCAGGGTCTACTCACACAGAGAGTCCTCACCTCTGTCAAAGCTCACAAGCCCTGCATTATCCTTATTTGTCATGTCAATTGGCGGACGTCGAGATCTCGATTTAAGAGCCTGCTTTTGCTTTTTTGAGTGGATGACAGGGCATCTAGGCGCTTCGGCGCCTCTGCCGCTCTGGTGGCAGGGGTCTGCTGCAGCCAAACCGTTGTATCACTGTCTGCACGACACAGATTTCAGCATATTGGAAAATCGAAGTATTTCTCACAGCTTACTGGCGCTATCAACGGGAGGGACCTGCACTTTCTCCGCTGTCACAGCTGCAGCAGCACATCATCCGCAGTTGGATCGTGCACAGATGGCGTCTAAATCCCTCAAGCAAGTTTAACTGCAAGGTCCGCATTCAACCAAACCGGCGCTTGAAATTACTTACGAATCTACACGCCAGGGTCATCCACTACCTCTTTCGATCTTCCCGGGCAATCAGCAGGTTCATTGCCTAACCTAATGGATTCTCCCTTTGCGCCAAGCCGGTGGCAATTTGTCGGAGGGGCATGAGCCGTCTTTCCCACAAGGCCCCAACACCATCTCATCCTCCCATTGCCACCCTTTTGCCGACGGAGGGTGGGGAGGGTGGCTGCGACTCGAGTAGAATGATCTAAATTTCACGGCATGTGATGGTCGAATGCTTCAGTCTTTAACCATGGCCCTTGTCAGTCTGCAGACAAAGATGAAATGGGCAAGATCTCCTTTCAAATACCAACACCGAAGCCCCATATATGCAGCCTCATCACATGATTCAACGTGTATGCATGCAGTGACAAGGGTCTCGACGCCTGAGATACGACCGCATTGACATTTCTGGCGTGTTGTCTTCTTCCTTGAAACGCATACCAAATTGCCAACATTGTGGCTTCGTTGGTATAGAAATTGTTTCCACATTATGGATGACTACCAGGATGCCTTCGTGATCTGCGGGCCTGCAGAGCGGGCAGACCCGTCCTGATGCTGCATCCGTACGGCACCGAAACAGTCGAAGGGGGGCCACATCTGTGGCCCGTCTGTAAGCCGCTACTCCAGATCAGCTTTTCCACAGGCAGTCATCCTGGACTTCTTCAGCAATCCTTGTCAACTTCTGGGAAAGATGTCGGTGCGGGTGTGTTGTCTAAGAATGTTGGATGTTGGTGCCCAATGGTGCAGATGAGCTCAACTAGCCTTCAGCAGGCAGAAACCATTGCTCAGAATACGAAGAAAGTTTCTAAGCTGCGAATCTTCGGGGTTGCAATCACAAGAGTAAGCCCAGATTGTGCCGAAACGCCATGTTGACCTCGCTGATATTCTGACTGAGTTTAGGACGAATGCTAGGTCAAAGCAATATGCCCACCCCCTCAGCGACTGCTCTGTCAACTGCCAAACCCTGGAACTCCAAAACATGCTGTATGCCTGCAGCAATACTATGGCGATCTTCTCACCGCAGCGAGCCCTGACGTATGTGGATCCCCAATTTTTACCAACCGTAACTCCTGCAAATGCTCAATCAACACCATCTCCAGGATCGTCCATGAAGAACGAGTGAAATCCCCTTCCTGGAATACACTTGTTGAAGCTTGGTGTTAATGGGCATCTGGAACCCAGTTAACTTCCCGCACCACAGATTTGCAGATGAAACTTACTGCTTGCCGGTGTTACACACATTGATCACAAGGATAATCTTGCCTTTCGTGCTTGTCTATGACGGGACAGCTTCGCCCCGGATTTGCCCTCTTTCTGGCGCAGTGAACAACAGAATATGGGACGACATGGCCACAAGAAAAATAATAAATCCATCGATTACACATGTTGTCGTTGGCGGCAACAAAGAGGTTGATTTTGGAAGAATTTGGAAGGTCCGAGCTTTGGGATTTGGACGACCGGCCGAGCTGTGATTGATAATAGTTACTAACTGGACAGATAAAAGGGAAAGGAGCAACCGGGACTCTGCTGATATAGAGCCGGTATATGTGAAGTTCGACATACTCGGAAGTAGTTCACCTAGGTATGTGTGAAACCTGTGTTCGTGGAGGCAGGTCCCGGAATTCTTGTAGTTGAAGTGTCGAAGCTGCAGCGAGAGGCACAAGATTCAAGATGAGTGTTCGAACGTTCAGTTTTCATCGGCGTCGGCAGGTTGCTTTATAGCCCGTCACACCATCCCGAGTATACGGTTCGGTCTGGTCAGTTAAATTGGGATGTTGTTGTTTGCCATTCCCCGTGGGATGTAGCAGCACTGCGGCGACCTTCCAAAGCACAGCTGCCTGCCTGCGCGCGGCCTTGTTGGTGGTTTGTTATCTCACGAGAGATGTGATGAGTTGAGGAGAGTTGGATATTACTTGCAGCCATAGAAGTATCATACCGGGCTGGCCCCAGACTACCAACAAAGATGCCTCATTCGGGGGCCGAACGGTTGGCTGAAAAGGATCATTGAGGATCACATAACGGTAGGGCAGGCAAGGAACATCGTCAATGCTGGCAAGGTTTGCAGCGGGCTATGATTCCAAAGCTCACATGGACACCCAGCAGAGATTGGCGTGCAAAAAGAGAAGAGGAGTGAGTGGCCCACCGGTAGCGGCGCACCCAAGGTTGCAAGGAGGCAAGGCCTAAAGTCGAAGCTCCAAAGAGGCAAGGCCACGCTATGGGCCAGCCCCAGGAGCAGCCCCCAGCAGCCCCCAGCAGCCCCACTGTTGCGCGTAGCAGAGAGTTCGACCTTGTCGTCTCGATATTAGCTTCGAGGGCTGTGACAGGGGGAGCAGCGCAAAATGTGCGACGGATGTCGGGTGGAGGCCAATCACCAGCGGGCATCCGATTCGAGGTCGCGGCTCACAGCATGGCTTGCTACGGGGGTGCCATGTGCCCAGCCCGGGCGTGATCTCGACATGAAGACGCTTTTCAGGCCCGTTGCAGGATCTGCCCAGGCCGCTGCGCGCGGTGGAGCTTCTCGAAGGCGCACTGGCTGCTGCGCTGGACTTTCGCCGCCGTGGTTGGAGGGGGAGCGAGAGGAGAGGGGAGGAGACTCAGGAAACTCAGGAGACTCAGGAGACTCAGGAGAGGGGAGGAGAGGAGAGGGGAGCGCAGGAGGGGGAGGCAGCCGCAGGACCCTGGGCTTCTGCTCGGCAGACAGCTCCCCTAGCTCTCCTTTTGCGTCAGCCGGAGGCGTCTGGTCTGCCGTGGCGCTACGACCGACTTACGCCCCCAACCTTCAGTCCAACGTTAGGCAACGTCGACTGCCGTGTTAAATCCCCAATGGAGACAATACGAGCCTATCACCAACTGTTGCTTTTGCTCGCGGTCCTGCGTCTGTACCACTCCGTCTGCACTTCACCACAGGAGCAGTCGGCCATGCGCGGCGGGCCGGACATTAACTGCGTGATCTTGGACAGCGCGCATTAATTGGAACACCTGGGCTCCCTGCAATGCGCTTCCGCGCCACTGCGCCAACAGCGCAGCACTTGGATGTTTCGATATCTTGCAGCTGGGTAGCTCCAAGTTGGGCAACGAGCCGGGCCTTATCGGCGGACGTGGATCTCCACAGTAAAGACAGATTTCACCCCATGCAACTTGGCCTGCCTGCTGGGCCACGGATTAACCCATCCCCCCCAAGCCCCAGAAACGGCCGTTTTCGAGAGCAATAATGGCCGCGAATGCAGCCCTTCTGTCACCCGCATGAACTACGCTGAAGTGTGACCAGATGAACCGATCGACGACGACAGCCGCCCCGTTGCCCGAAACAGCTCCTCCTCACCCGGTCCACGTCGAAATACTGGTGAGTCAAGCCTTCATTTTACGAGGATGCCGGGACCTCATATGAAGCGGCGAAGTCATCCAAAAAGGACTCGAGTGCTGGCCCGCATTCCCGCTCTCCCCTCCCCCACCCTCACTCAGACATCCCTCACCATGGTGCCGTCAAGGGTTTGTAACGACTTCGTCTCGAGCCTTGAACCTCCGTGGTTTGTGACAGAAATTTGAACAATCTATAGAAATTTCCGTGGGGAGGCACAAGGCCTCTCATCCTGCAGGACCCCGACGTCAACCTATTTCTGGCAGCGGATGGCTGCAAAAGGTGTTGTCAGCTGCAGCATCTGAGATTTGAGCCATCCAAACAAATTTACCCCAGAGGCAAATATTGCAAAATCAAATGCCAATCAATACGCAATTCTACGCAGCTGGACTTTTCCCGAGGGGGGCGATCCTTCAATCACCATCCATTATCGATAAGAAGAGTGTGATGGGGAAGGCGTGTCAGCCACTGGTGCCAGTAGCCAGCTAGCGAATTGCAGTAGCACAATAAGCGCCATTCAGATCCTGACATGCAACCTCTTTCGCCTCTCGCCTCTCCCTGTTGCGCACCTTGCAAAGACGCGTCAAAATCGGGCTTGGACGACAGTGGGTGAGTGGGGAGAAGATTACTTGACAGATCGCGGACAGCACAAGCCTGTAATGTGACGTATTGCATGTCATATAGGCTCTCATATGCCATCTCAAACTCGAGGTCTGCCCTTGATCCTGGTCAGCAAGCCCGGTTGCGATCCGGACTCCGAAGACATTGACATCAAGAAGGAATGAGTTTCCGCAGGACAGCTCTTGGACCGCTGAACATAATTTCAAAGCCCAGACCCTCATCGAGGAGTGAGCGCCCCCGAATGATCGAGGACGCCTCTGCACGGATCTCAACGGCAGGATGAAGAGAAAGGAAGTGTTCCTGGCGCGTAAGACGAGCTGCATACCCGGATCAGAGCTGCGGCCGGCTTAACACGATGCAACCAAGTGTATCGATACCTCTTTTAGCGCACAGCCTTAGCTCAGCTCTGCGTATCTACACTCTTGAGAATCTCAAAAGGGTGACGGCCCTGCCAGGAAGATTCTGCTTCGTTAGCTTCATCAAGTCATCGGACCGACATTTCATGCAGATGCAAAGGCATCCCGTGCATGAAACCGCTATGATATGTACGGTATTTATAGCGGCTGCCCTCTACACAACCAACACTTCTCAAAACGCAATGTCGCTGAAGCCACCGCAAGCAGCCCTGGAGAGGTCCGGGTCAATTCAGGTCACGTGAATTGCAACTAACGGATCAAATCCAACAAGAAGCTCGACCGCCACACCAACTTTTTGACGTAAAAGTCTCTGATGAAGCCTAGCAGCAATCTCTCCTGGTAGCACACAAATCTATCTACCGGCAAGTCACAGTCATCTGGCATGACTTTGTGGAATGCGATCCTGGCACGGGTCCCTCTGCGAGAGGACAAAAACTCAATCATACGACTTGGTTCTTTCCACTGGTTAATCTGTCCAACACCGTCCCTCCAGGATGGACAGAATTGCTCCGGCTCGAATCTGGTTGACCACTGGGTCCTACCGACTTGAAGCAACATCTTACCTCGGTAGTGTTGACGCCTGGCTCAGCGATGCGGAGATCTAGCCCCTTACTCCTCGATTACCCCGGATTTGCGGGAAACCAGGTTTCGTGACGACATCATTTCGGAATAATGCAGAAGGATTCTGGCATCTGGGTGGACTGACTGACGAAAAGCAATTTCTCGGCATGCCCCGAGAATATGGCCACACGAGCTCTTTCCACAACAGGACAGCGCCAGGAGCCGCCTGACTTGAGAACAGCAATCATGAATTGATCAGGCGAACAGCTGATAAAATTCAAAACGACCTGCGTGGCTTTGCTTGGGGTCAAATAGCAAGCTGTGCTGATTTGTCTGGTTGCTCAGCCATTGCGGCTAGAGGTGGCCACTCTCGGGAATCTCGTCGCATGGTCAGACGAGGGGCAGTTGGCGTGGGAGTTCGCCCTGAAGAGAGCGAGCTTCCGACTTATATTCTTGTGTCGAGGTGTTCCCACCAATAGCAGCAGTGCAGATGGTTGTGCCGGCCACAAGCGTCGGCCACAAGCGACGGCTCGACAGACTCTCAATTATCGTGCTTGTGAACTTCCATTACCCCATCGGGAATGTAGCTTCAACCTCCTCATTCTCCTCGTTCCCCTTCTTGTTATATTGGCCTGATTTCTCTTTCTTTGTTGTTTGTTCGCGACAAACTTTTCATTCTCGATCAAAGAGTTTCCATTACGATTACGAATCCTTTGCTTTTTCATCCATCAGCCGACCCTATCCCTCTCACACGTGCTTAGTGCTGCATATCTGGGCGCTCACCCACCAATTCTACGCCTTACGCCGAAAATCCCCCCACGACACCATCAATTTCTTACGAGAGCACCTTGAGAAATCAAGGATAAAAAGGCTGCCCCCGAAGTTTCCTTTCATCATATTTCCACTTTACGACCAAAGTTTTCCATTCCTGCGAGCCTCTTCTGCGACCCAAATCCTTTGTCCGGTCATCCTTCAAAGACCTACATACAATCTATCTTTGCGCCCAACACTTCCTTGAGCTCACTCATCCTACGAGGCAGCAATGTCGAGCCCACCAACTCCCGAGGAACTTCTCTCCATGGCCTTCTTGGGCCAGGAAAACTTCACCCCTGCCGCTGAGGAACGGCAGCAACCCCGGTTCCTCTCCCTCGCCCCAACAACCAGCGCTTCCTACCCCTCGACCCCCTCTGTCAAGTCCCCTGCACCTCAATCTCCTCTTCAGGCTGCTATAGAAACTCCCAACAACACCATGGCTAAATCAACTCCGGCCAGGACTGTCAATGCCACTCCCGTTACGCCGAGCGCCGCAGTTATTGACGAGTCCTTGAAGTCGAGGCGGAGCTCGAGCTTGAGCAGCGATGGGAGCAACCAGAAGAAGCGATTCCTGAAGTTGGGACCCGTCCACTTTGGTGACGGCGGCAAAAATGATTGGAGCGAGGACGTTGTCGAGGAGTAAATGAATCTGCTATTCTGGGACTTGGATGGATTTGCGGATCTTGAAATAGAAGGCGTTGGAATATGACTGAAGTTGTCGCAGGAACGGACTTCTTGGGCTTGGGGTAATGTTGGCGTTATCGACTGAAGGCTTATGAGTTATGACCGGTGTTAAGCATTAAACTTGGGAATAGATCAAATCGCTAGGTAGCGAATTCACGAGATTGCATTCAAGTCTCTACATTGGAGAGCCAGCAGTGAGTTCAACTGGATCTCTATAGCTATTGACTATTCAAAGCTTATGGACGCTGTGCTCCCACACACATGGTGCTTCATTCGCTCAAATGCACCGCTCAACCGATTCTCCTTCCTATCTCAACTAACATCAACACATGCCACTTCACGTCCCCAACACACCATTTTCCACATGCAAAAAACCCCCTTCTCGTATCCATGACGCTCCATCTCTCCGCCACACGTCACCGTAATCAACATCTCTCATCATCGCGGCCGATCACGTGATAACCGAGACCCCCGAGCATCTGCATGATCACTAGCATGCAGAGTTTTCCCTCTGACTCGGCATACACGGCAGACTGGCCTCTATCCAGCTCCTCGATATCTGCCTTCTTTGCCATCTCATTTGTGCACGAGAATGCACTTACTCCTGCACCTGCAGCCGAGTGAGGATGGCTCTGCAGCCCTGCTTCTGAGAGGACATCGGCAGGACCAATGGGAAAGCACGCCGGCGTGAAAGGGATCTCTGGCTGTGTGACAGAGATGAGATCGAGGGTGTGATATGAGGAAGGCCTAACCTGGCTATTTTTGGGTGTGAAGCCATCGTGGCGAACTTGACTTGATGGTCTGAGTGATGTGAAGATACTCTATCTGAACACCGCGCTTGCGTTGGGCCGTCGGCGCGAGGGGGTGACATATCGTTACGCGAAGATAGAGATACCAGTGCATATGCAAGGTTCTGGGTTAAACCCTCAGAGACGAATCGACGTACCACGAGTTGAGATCCGTGGCAGTGGAAGTGCCCACGTCGTTCAATCCTGAGATCACCAGAACATCGAATGCGGTACCTTGATTGACTCACCCTCTCGATTGATGTCGAGGTCAAGATTCTCGTCTCTCGTATACCCACGCTTCCATTCTGCATCGGCTTCCGCCATCCCCTCGTTCCCTTTTCGGCTCTCGTTATCATTACTGAGACCTTCCACTCATCTCAGAACTTCATTCGCAACGAGGATGTCTTTGGGTTGAAAGCAGCAAAGTACTTGCCTATAGCAGATGCATGAGGAATCACTGGACATGAAGATGCACATCGCGCCTGCTCAGCTTGCTGCCTGCAACATTGCAAGTTCCGAACTCCGCCGTGAATGTTCCACCGCTTGTGGGACAACCAGCAAAAAGTAACAACAAACCTTTGGACTTAATCGTGGGGGTGTTAACACTTGATCGATGTCTATACATTTCTAGATCTAGATGTGTGCTTGAAGACATGACGAATCTGTCGTCTCTAGATCATTTCCCAACCCGCTTCCTGTTTCTCACCACTCATAACATGCATGACCATATACGCTTTGTAGTGCTGATTCTCAACACTTCCTCCCAAGTCGCTCTGTCCAGCAGAGGCGACAGGTTTCTCGGAACCAGAGTGTCTGAGACTCAGGCGTCTTGAGCTGGGTATCGATATTCGAAAGTAAAACCGAATGACGTGAGTAGTCTTTGATCATTCGCTAGTATGGAGCCGTAACGCTTCGGATAGCCACTTCATCTTATTTGGTATTCATCCGGCCAGCGGAGTTGTGTAGTTGCCGAGTTTTCGAGTTCGGGTTTCGTGCTTCCATAGCACCTGCCAGCACCATAACCACTCCTCCCAGATGCCATACAACACATCACCTATACAGACTTCCAGACTTCCGCGGTACCTGCCCGTATGACGAAGTGTGTTTGCCCATCGAAATCTATTTTGGAACGGCTCAGAAAGACACTGAACGGGTTGGCCAAGACGAAGTACTTTCGAAAATGTGTGGTGTAGAAGTTAAGCCCTGATGGCCAGTCTATGTTACAATCCGACTGACGAGCAATGGCCGAGAAGGGAGTCGGAACCAGATGTCGTCTTGCAAGGCTGTGCGTCAAGTCAGTCATCGCGTGTGCCGTGCCTGCGGATAATTGCAATGCGCTCGCCGCTGCCACCACTGATAGCCCGAACGGTAGCTCGCTCAGGCTCCTACAGCAATGAGACAAAGATTTAGGGGTGCATGAATAATGATGTTTTTGTTCTGAAATCTTTAGCCCTGCGGGGTGGATGCACAGCTACCTACTTAGCAGTAAAAGTTGGGAAAATAACTTGACAGATAAATAACCATGATGCTCCTCAGCCACTCAGCCGGGTCCTCCGAAGTAATGTCAAGCAGAATTGGAAGAAGTACGGAGAATTTTCGGACATCTGAATGTTTTGATTGGATATATGGGTATATATACGACGGCGGAAGGTAGAAGACTACATCGAGAATGCCTCTGTCTCAGTGCCTCCGGTACAATGCTAGGGCCTCGAAAGGTCTTCCGTGTTGCACCTCGTGCTGTCCAGAAGACAGCAGCGGCACAGTATTCGGATTGAAATGACCCTCTCCCAATTCATGCAGGAAGGTAAGTCCGAGAAGGAGGTATTCAGCTCAGAACTCCTCCTCTTTCAACATCGGCACTAGCTCTCATCCTAAACCCGGTCTGCTTCTCTCTGGCAGCCGTGGCGGATGTGGGCCTACCAGACAGCGAGAGTCGCTCCCTTATCCAATCGGTTTCGACGCTCTTTCTCGCACTTCGAGCGATACTCAAGGCATGTTCAAAGCGCAACATATCCAATGTAGTTTCACCAGGGCCTTCATCGAAAGGTTTTTCCCGTAACGATTTACGTCGGTTGATCCATCTCCGCAGATGTCTGAACATATTGCCGATATCATCCAGGCTCAAGGCAATTGCAACTAGAGGGATGGACACAGCTAATCCAATTCCAAACATGTATTTGCTCACATATGCCAGCGGAATGCTGGAGTTCCCATCGAGCCGTGGGAATTCGCGAATATTGATAGCGAAAAATGCAGCAATGAAGCTCAAGGGCAAGAACACAATCGTCACAATGGTAAACACCATTATAGTTTGGCTTTGCCTGGCAGTTCCTGCCGCTTGGTCTCTCGCAAAGCGGGCTTCGAAGGCATTTGCGTGTTTTTGCTTCAAGTCCAGCATATCGGTAATTGAGTTGTAGATCCGTTCAGCCTGCCTATCCATACGATTCAAATCATTTATATGCACCTCGATGGCCTTCATCTGATCCCTAAACCGCTTTTTGACCTCTTGCTGAGATGATCGCTCATCCTTGTAAATGTCGCATATGGCTTCTTGTAGGTCGGGGAGAACGTGGAGTTGATCCTCCAGAACCTTGGCTATCATATTCAGTTCATCTCGGATGTCTTTCGTCTCTGCTAAGAGGTCTGTTTCCTCGCCAATGTCCAAGAGTTTGTCGACGAAAAGAGGGCCACGCATAAATTCTTCATATTTGAACTTCTCCTCCCGCTCTTCTCTTTCCTTGTCCTTTGCGTTCTGCCTGTCCTTGGGGTCCATGGCGTCGTGTTCGATGTACCTGGAAAATCGACTAGGACGCCGATGATGCTGTAGCCACGCAGAGGCTTGCGCTGATGCCGCATTGAATTCTCTGAATAAAACTGTTTCCCTATCCGTCACATTGCCAATGGAAGATTCAAACATATCGAGAAACTGGTAGTCTTCGTCCCCCATCCGATGTCGATCAAACACTCCACTACAGCGGTTTGATATGGTCATTGCGAGGTCGTACACACTTTTGACGGGTTCCCGAGTTTTGCTGTTGATATCTTCTATGACAGTATCAAGGACATTAAGAGGGTCGTTCTTTGGCTGCTGCCAACGTTGCGGAAATGCCGTGACAATTAGACCTTTACCCAATACCCACTAAGTAACGGGGGAGTCAGCAATTGCTTAATTGGGATTGTTTCGGGAGAGGACATTGTCTTAGGAAAATCTCATGAAACAGTCACAAATAGGAAAGGGTTTCTCCCCCAACACCTACCATCCAAAGTTGATCCACCATCACGATCTTAGGATCAACTTCTGGATCATCGTGGCTTTTGCCTTTCAATTGATATCGATACACAACTTGGTCGTGATCGCGGCTCTCGGTATCAATGTTGTGATAGAATGATTGATCTAGCGTCCGCCGTACATGAAGAGAAACGGTCGAGGTTGCAAGGTGGGCTCGGATTAGCATTTCGTCGTATGTACTAGCTTTGCTAAGGTTACGGCAGAGTGGAGATCGAAGTGTCTCTGCACGCTTAATGGCTTCCTGCATCTCCTGGCGACGGCGGCTGCTTTCAAAGTGAAGATACGGCATGAAGGTGAAGACATTGTTCTTTGGCTGGACGGGCTCTTTCCGGGCAGGAGAGCTGGGGGAAATGGGGCGTCGATTTTCGAGAGGCTGGCTTGGTTTGCGTTGCTGATCCTTGATGGGTGTTTCTGTACCTTTTGGCGATTTATTGCCTTTAGCACTCGTCTTCTTTCCCTTCTCCTTTTGGGCCCCTTTTGCTTGGTCTTTTCCACCTTGATTTGAGGGAAATTTGAAAAGATCAGAGCTTTCTTCGCGGAAAGTGGAGCTTCTCGAAGGGGTTTTTGGGATGCCAGTAGATTCTGATCCTCCATTAATGACAATGGTTGGAGGGCCTTGCTCTTTGGTGGGTTCTGCTGGGGTTTCTTCTGCCACCTTAACTGATCTGACTGTGCTTTGACAAAGGGGCCTCATGAAATGCGAGTGGCTCTTCTGTCCTCGGTGTTGATTACTGAAAGATCTTTCCAATGCTTTGAACCCTTCGACATCGTTCGCACCCTCTTCGATAAACGCCTTCGTGAGAAGAGCTTCAACCCATGCCATATTATTAGCCGGGAGGTCTACGTAACGGGGGAGTTAGCAATTGCTCGATTAAGGTTGTTCCGGGAGAACCGGGAAATTGTCCCGGGAGGCTATCGCGAGACAGTCAAAGATAGGAAAAGGGTTCTCCCCCAACACCTACGGATCCACCTGAAGTTTGTTGCTTTGTCATTTGGCAGCACTGTAAGTTTTGGTTTTCGGGGGTTGACTGGGTCACGGCCATAGAGCAGCTCTGCGGAACTCCGTCAGTTACCGAAACATATGAATTGGGAGGACGAATCAATCATACCATATACAGTCCATCTTTTGACTCGATTTTCGTTGCGGAAATTTCCAAAATCCACAATGGTGGTGTGGAAGCCATTTGAAGCTCCAAGTGCGTCTTCTGAAATAGTTTCCAAATGATTGAATGGAGCAAGGAGATTGACAATATCTTTACGTTTGTTCTGAGCTGCTCGTAAAAATGGAGTACTTCCAAAAGTGTCTCTTGCAGTCCGCTTGATGTCCTTCCGCTCCAAAAGGAGCCTAACGACCTCGATATGGCCCCCTTGAGCGGCAAGATGAAGTGGGGTCATCCCGTTAAGCAGTTTTGCATTGACATCTGAACCCACCCTAATCAAGATGCGTACTATGGTTTCCGACCCAACTTCGCAAGCATTATGTAGAGGCGTCCATCCTCCATCGGACTGCTTGTTGCAATCTGCTCCATATTTCAGGAGCAGCTCCACCAAGTCATCGCGGTCGTGGCTGGCTGCGAGATGTAGACTCGTTTTCTCTCGAATTTCGAGTGCGTCGATATGTGCTTTCGGTCCCTTTGGTCTCGTGAGAAGAAGCCCCGCCAGATGCAATTTCCCAGTCGCGCAAGCCCAATGCAATGGTGTCCGTCCGAGATTGTCCTGCCCTTCTGGACCATCGATTTGGATGTTTTCTACCAAGAGACGCTCAATGACAGAATCGCCCCAGTCGCATTTCTTGTCTGCGCCCAGGTTGTGTAACACATTCCGGCCTCGATTGTCCTTTGCGTTGATGTTGGCCCCCTTGACGATCAGAGAGTTCAGAATATGCCAGTGGTTCTGCCATGCTGCAGTCATCAGGGCAGTCCTTCCCTTCTTGTCTGCCGTCTCTGTGTTTGCGCCATGCTCGAGGAGTAGCTGGACAATAGCAATATGGTTCTTTTCCACAGCTCGTAGCAGTGGCGGCAGTCTGTTTCCTGCGGCCCCATCCGGTTGCGCACCTTGTGCCAAAAGATATTGTGTTGTTCCAACTTTTCCCTTCTCCGAGCTTCGCATCAATCCGATCCGCAGGAAGTTCTCGCTCAACTGATTCTTGCTTCGCGCCGATTCGATAATCTTGCTGAGCAAGTCGACCTCGTCGCTCTCAGCTGCACGTAGGAGTTGCGGTTCGAGGCGCTCATTGTGGCTACCGTCAGAGGACCTCGACCCTGTTCGTTTCCGTGTCAATCTTTCCCCCTCGTTTGCCATCCTCGGTGCAGCATCACTCGTGTGGAAGTTCGAGCTTGGTCGTACGTCGGTTCAGGAGCTGTGTTTGTACTTGGAGGATCGGTTGGCTCCCGTGTTGTCCATTGTACAAACTCCAGTGGTCGGATAGGGGAGTAGATAGGAGGAAACTCTCTGGAGTGGCAATCCAGAAGGTTGTGAGATCGCCATCGCGGTTGGCTGCAGCAAAGAGCTGCAGGAGCTCCAGGGAAAAATATACGGTGACCAGGAATCTTCCCTTGCGCCGTTCTCCCCCATTTTCTCCTTCTCCATGCTTCAATATCACTACGTTTTTGACGTATACAGGAACGACAGACCAGCTGTATAGACTGCGGCTCAAATTAGGGGGGACTGAGTGTTGAAGTCGTTTTATTGTGTTTGAAGACGAACACAGTAGCGAGATGCAAGGAGATCAGTCACGTGAATCAGGAATGTTCTTCTTTCTTTGCACAATGGATTATTTCTTATTTATACAGTATTCGAAAGCGGTTTCTGAGAAATTGGAGGAGTTCTCTCACAACGGTTGTGAAGTTTTCTTTCGTATTATCAGCTAGAAACACCATTGGAGAGTTTTGCTGGGTCAAATATCCCTTGGAAGGCTTGGATTTCTTTGCCCCCTTGTCTTTCTTGTCATCATTACATTCTTCGTCTTCTTTGTCCTTCTCAATACCATCCCCATGGCCGTCATATTTTCCATTATCTTTTCCTTTTTTGGGGGGAATCCCTGCGCTCCACATGAACTAGCACAGCACCATTTCCACGTCCAGGAAGTGCGATACCATTAAAAGTCCCTTGAGAAGAGATCTCGCGGGGTGGAAGAGCATTTCTAAAAGCTCGAGGTAGCATATGGGTCGAATTATAGAAACAACGCCAGAGAGTGAGCACTTACTGGGAGAGCTTCGATGAGGAGAGTAGCAGTTCCCACGACTGCCAAGGAGAGACCAATCTTGTGGACGCGCATTTCGTGTTCTTCGAGTAGGAGAAGTTTTTCATATCTTGGAGAGTGAAGCTGCTGTGTAGAATCATAGAGTGGCGGCCGAGGACGTGATTATATATACATCTTTCCTCGAGATCCAGACCGCTCGATTTACACCGTCAGCCTTAAAATTTTTACTCCCAAGTATGTAGCCATCATAAGAAAGATATAAATGCTTAGAAAATTATTCCTCCAACGAGGTTCAAGATCATCCAGGATATTCTGGCATGAATTTCGCGAATTAAGAGCTCAACTTGAGTGGTGAAATAACACGTCAACTTTCATTGGGAATTTGGGACGGCCAAATCACAAAAGCCTTTGTGGAGATTGAAAAGGGGATATTCAATCACTTTGGACAACGCCGCTATCCTAACTGAATTCTCTAATCTCCCGACAGGTGGTTACGTCCTCTGATCCTCGGAATCCAACCATCGACAGCACATCTGAAGCATCCTTTCTCTGGCCTGTGCCGCCAGTGTGGCCTTTCGCTCGGTGAATTCGAGTCGGTTAGATATCGATCCAGCCAGTGGCGTGGGCCACCCACGACCCAGGTTGCTCGGGTGTAGATCACGTGATCGAAGCGAGCCCCTGAAAGAGGATTTGACCCCCTCGTGCCACAACGAAAGGCTTCGAATGAACATGAGACTAGAGACAAAGATGGAGAATCAAGAATAACGAAGGTGGAACAATCTCGTTGTGTTTCGGCAATTATCTCCGTGTTTAACAAAGGATTCGTAGAACAATGAAGAAGGAATCAAAGGCTCAGGAACAGATGTTTCCAGATACAATAAACAAAACATAAATCAGAACTTCCTGGCATCTCAAAAAGTGTTGCATTGATTCTTAAGCTTATCAACTGAGCACGTTTACAGAGCACCCGCCGATATTTTCATAAGATATCGCTCTTCAACAAATCAATGCTTGTCCTTGGACTCTTGAATCCCTTCACCAACATATCCACCAATCCCCTCTCTCTTCAAGACATGGGAGGCCAAAAGACTCCGCTTGAGGCGAACTCCATCAAGCTAGCAATAACCATCACTCTAGACGACGGGTTTTCCTGCGGCCTCATTCCGAAGTATGCATTTCTCCTCCTAAAGGAAGTAGGCTACATCAAGAACGAATACTCCAGACCAGAACACTACTCGTCTTCTGCGCCCACAATCCACATCCCTGGCGTGCGACGCGATCTCTGGCTCTCCCTCCAGAACACCATCGCCATGAACCGTGGCGTTTTAGTACCGGAGGCTCACCCAACCGAGTACAAGGGTAGAGCAGACATGACCGGGGTAGGAAAGAACGACATCCGGATCTGCGCCTGGGATTGCGGCATCCACTATCTTCTCGAGCTTATGATCGTCGGCGAGAATCTGCAGGCACCGGGCTTTCAGAACCAAGTCATGGACAAGCTGCTTTTGACTTATCGGAAGTTCTATCAAGAGAATGAAGGCAGAGTCCCGTTGGGGAACGTCGAGTATGTCTTTGAGAACTCGCAGAATGAGCGTTTGAGGGATTTCGTCAGGGATGTGTTGATCTTTGCTATGAGTGACCGGACGACGACACAGGCTTTTGTGGAGAGACACATCAGTGAGGAGCTTAGGGACGATTTGAAGAAGAGGTGGGACAACACGCAGAGGAGAGTTAGGGATGCGCCGTGGGATCACCCTGGTGATTACCAGGTTCCTCGAGTGGATCCTATCAGCATCCAGTGCTGAAGTTGCGAGAGCCAATGTCCAGCTAACCCAATATCAATAAAATTTCCGTAGTTACAACTCCCGTCCTTCTGCTTTTAACGCAATGCTCGTGCGCCGCTGTGAAATGTTAACCATGATTGACCTGATAACATAATTGTAATTGGAATGAGAAATTGTCTTGCCAGTTTTGCGCTTGATCAACTTGGCAGTCGTTGGGACTGAACACCCGAGTGGCCCCGGTGACCAGGGATCGATACCTCGCCGGCTTGAATTCACCACGTGAGGGGTCACGCTGTTGCCAAATATGATGAAGAATCGACAGTTGGAAACCAACCACCAGAGGACGGAAGTTCAGGCTGTATTCGACCTGAGTCTGCACAGTTCGAAGACCATGCATTGGCTGGGATCCGTTTTCTAGAAGGGAAGGGGCATCTTCCCAATGTGGAAGTACCTTCATAATATTGATACAGCTAATCACGTGGCACCAGTCTGGGATACACTCTTTCATTCATCTACTTTTATCTACGTCGCCCGAATACTAAAATCCCTTATTACGAAGGAGAGAAAACTTCTCGTGGCATGCACTATATGTATCCTGAAATAGGGGCAACCTCCACCATTCCTACTCCAAGCTACCTGCCGCTTTGTACAAGCTGCCATGAATAATCCCCACCCACTTCTGCGCAATGCCATAATCCTTTGCATCAATCGCCTCTACGAGCCCAGGAAACACGGCCCCGGAATAGCCCGTCCACAGACCAGGCGCAAAGACAATATGCTTGAACCAAGGGCGGCTATCTAATCCTTTCGAATACAGGAATTGTCGCTCGAGATACTTGTATTTGCTATTGGCTCTGCGGATGTTGTAGTAGAGCTTTATCTTGGAGTACCACTTCCACCAGGGAATGTCTTGTCCTGCCTCCTCAGCTAATTCTATGGCCCACGCATCGTGGGCTTTAGCTGCTTTCTTGAGCTTTTTGGCGGCTTTGTGGAGTCTCTTGAAGGACACCTTCAGATCTTCTAGGTCGCCCTTGTGCCCAGTCGGAGTTGGGCGTGCTCGAACTTCGATATCGTCTTCCTCTGCCGTGCCGGAAAGTTTAGATTCCACTTTCGAGATGTATTCGTCAAGGGCGATAGCGTAGTCGGTAGCATTAAGTGGTATAACAGGAGATTCTGCCAATCTTGCAGTAAACAGACCGAATAACTTGGCCGTGGCTATGTGGTAATGGAATCCTGGGTCCCCATATGTGTTCATCCAATAATAGGAATCGTAGTTCGAGTGATAATGGTAAACGGCATTATTCGTATCTTCTTCATTAGGCCCGAAGCCAAAGTCGATGGACGGAACGCCAGCATGGTCTTGGAAAGCAGTGAAATCTGATCCACTGCCCATGGTACTGATATGGCCATTCCAGAGATCGCCAAGCGTCTGGCCCGGCACGGTTTGGTTGGGCGATGGGATCAATGCTGTGACTTCGTACAATAATTTGTTGAGAAGCGGGGAAGCTGAAGCATGGAAGATAGGTCCGACAGTTGCGACGTCTAGATTGACGTATGCAACGTTGGCATGCGAGAGCCACGGGAGGTATTCTTCTACCCATTCTGTTGACCCAACCAATCCGTACTCTTCACCGTCCCAGCTTGCGATGACAATAGTACGTAAAGGTTTCCAGCCTTGGGAAAGTGCAACACCGAACGAGCGAACGACTTCATTGAGCGCTGCCGAACCACTGTTTGGGTCTCCTGCTCCACCAGCAATCCAGGCATCACGGTGATTGCCGATAACGATCACTTCGTCGGGAAGAGTGCCATTGATGACACCAATGACATTCCAGAGAGGTGTTGTCACGTACTCCTGTTCGTTAACGAGATTGAGGACCAAATCATCCGGGGAGGGTCCAACATTATAATCAACACCTTTGTACTTCAGTCCTTGATTTCGTTCCCAATGTTTGTTCAAGTCCTTTGAGGATGGACCATGTCCATTGAGAGCTTTGAGAATCGGAATAGCATCGACATATGAAATTGGGATCGAGGGAATCGAGGGGATTCCTCCTTCGACTGGTTGGCGTGGAACTCCAGGCTTCGAAGGATAACCAGGGGTTGTTCTACATAAGGTTAGAAAATTCGAAGAGCGGTTCGAGCAACTTACGGATCCCCAGGAGCGACGCTTAGGAATTGGGCACTGCCTCGTTGTACGCTACTCGGGTTTCTCGCAGGACCTTTGGGGTATGTTGTTACGTTGTTCTCGTCGCTTGCAGCTCCATCATCTCCAGGGTCCGAGAAGAGGATTGTGCCAACCATTCCCAACTCCTGAGCACGCTTCACCTTGAGACCTCTGAAGATTCCCCCATACTTTGCAACCGCAATCTTTCCTTCCAAGCTAATGTTCGCATTTATCAAATCCTCATAGTCCTGGTATGTTCCGTAGTTAACATAGACGTAGGGTGCTGTGACGTTTCCGCTTGCAGAATAGCCATGAAACGTGGGAATGCTGTCTTCCAGTCCAGTGGTTGGATCTTCATCTAGGACATCTTCCACAAGGCTCGCTTCGAATTTGACTTTCCACGAATCCACATCATCTTTGCCCTTCTTCTTGTTCTCGTATAAAGCGAGTCGATGGCCGAGGGGGTAATTGATGTAGACATCATATGCCACAATACCAGACTTGATTCCCCACTCCTCCCATCTCTCCTGTGTCCAGACAGCCTGGCTATAGTTCTTTCCTGCCAAATGTGGTCCAGATGTGTAGTACTTGCTCCATTCTTGTGCCTTCTCCTCCCTTGGCGTCTCTAGCAATATTGCTTGAAGCTCCTCGAAAGCAATTGATTGCGGCTGAGGGCGATAGTGGGGGAATTTTCGATGGTGATGATCCGGGAGGAGGGCGACTGGGAGGAGGAATAGGACAGTGAGAGCGATCAAAGAGGATCCGAGAGCAATTGTGCAGAATCGACGGACTACGCTATGGCTGTATCGTTGTCTCGCGGGTGCAACCCGTACAGTGGCAATCAATGGCGTGGTCTCGTTGCTCTCCATCTTCTCATCGATCAGGCTGCCCATGGTGCATTAGCAGGTAGAAGGTATTCTTATGCCTTAATCATTCGCATGTGAGAGAAACAGCGATGCGAGGTGACTTGAAGGCAATTGAAATAGAGTCGAGGTCCTGAGGTCCTGAGGTCCTTCGCTATGTGAAAGGGGAGAAACTTACTTCCATGTAGTGAGGTGAGGTGAGGTTATCTGGTTACCTGGCCCTGGTCACCACAAGCTTTGACCAACGTTTGGCAAGAACGTCGTAGGGGCACGACATCAACCTTCCCAGATAGGTTAAGATTGTGTCCTCAAAGGTGGGGACATCCAGAGCTCGCTGCAATGCTGCACGCCTCTCTTTGGCCGCAGGACGACGTCAGGGTAAAGCGGCCAACGGACTCGAGTTTGTCAGCACACGTGAGTGGGACCGATTGCGGCTTCTGCGCCCCGCATTTTCGTTATCGTCGACCAATCACATCCCTCAGCCCCCGGCAGCGGGGTAGAGGCTGCCAGACACAGCTCCTTAAACGACTTTTTCGGGGGAACTTTTCTACATAATCCTTGCTGTAGTGGCACCTAGATGCACTCGGATGCACCCTCTTTGCATCCCCGCTGTGGGCGGTGTTGGTTTATCGGGCGAGGACAAGGCGGATGACTACTTGATCTCTGCCTCTCCTTCTTCTGACTCGAATCCAACGTCTCTCCCCAACATTGCTCTCTTCGTCACCAAAAGCTGTTCAACCAGCCCGCAGCGTCCTCCTTCGACACATATATCCACATTCTCGTGGCCTCATGCTGGGTCCGAAGATCAGACAGCGGTACGATCGACAACTCTTAGAGGTTGACAAGGCTCTGCTTCCACCATCACCATGGTGAAGAAACGGTCACGTGGGCCTCCAAAGCTGCCTTCTAAGCAGTTGGCAATCCTTGGTGAGTTTCGAATCTGATTTCAGTTCGACTCACACTCCAGGCGGTCGAGTTGGTGGGGTTGAAATTCTTTCACATGTGGTGGCAAGGCTTTGGGAAAGCTGGGTGAGGCTATCGGGCGGGCTGTGAGGGGTGATCAGGCAGCATGTTGAGATCCGAAGTTTTGGAAATATTCATTGATGGCACTTGCAAGAAATCTACATTTTCAGATGGTTCTTCAAGTCGTGAACGCCTCTCTGCTTGACACTGGCCCTGCCGAATATCCGAATCCGCTCTTCACCCTGATACCGATCTACATGTTTGGTACTCCACAGCCTCAAATCACCGTGTTTTGCATCCTGTGATGATTCCTCCTTGCAAAGCATCCACTAATTACCCCAAAGCAATATGTAGATTCGCAGAGCCTGTCGCCATGACTTCGGTCTTCCCATACCTCGTCAGTTACCACCCCCACCTGCCGTATGCAACTTGCTGACCATTCCACAGCCCGAAATGATCGAGAGTTTCGGTATAGATAAGAAAAATGTCGCAAAGTGGGCTGGAATCACTTCATCTGTCTTCTCCCTCTCACAATGTCTCACAGCTGTGCTTTGGGGAAGGGCGTCGGACAAGTTTGGTCGAAAACCTGCAATCTTGATTGGCCTCACTTGCACCATGCTTTCAACTTTGATGTGGGGAATGTCAACTAGTCTTCCTATGGCAATAACTGCGAGAGCTCTTGCAGGTGGCTGTAATGGCAATGGTAAGCCCCTCCTTCAGCCTCAAGGATGTTGTTGACCCCTGTCAGTGGGTATTATCCGTACCATGGTGGCCGAAATGGTTCCTGAGAGGGAACTTCAACCAAGAGCATTCTCGATTATGCCACTCGTATGGAGTCTGGGGTCTATCTTCGGTCCTTCCTTTGGAGGTTTCTTCGCCAAGCCTGCAGAGCACATGCCTGGGTTGTTTGGGAACAACAAATTCATGCTCAAGTTTCCATTTGCACTTCCAAACTTCGTGGCTAGTGCGTTATTTATGGTCGGCATCAGTACTGGGTTTTTATTTCTGAGGGTAAGTCGTTATCACTCTCTCTTCTTCGCCCTGCTAACAGCGACCAGGAAACTCTCGAAACTAGACGTCACCGTACCGATGCAGGCCTCTTTCTCGGGAAGCAACTATCTGCCTTTGTTAAGACAATCTTCCGTATGGGCAATCTACATCCTAAACGAAAGCCATTCCGACGACCTTCCGAGAGCTACGATGAATCTTCAGCATCCCTCCTTCGCCGATCATCCATATCCGCTTCCGATACTTCCAAATACGACGACTTCCCCAAGAACACCAAGCCACCTCTTCCTCGCCCGACTCTCGTCGAAGTCTTCACCCGCCAATCAGTTATAAATCTAATAGCCTACACCTTATTGGCCCTCCACTCCGTAGCCTACGACCAACTCCTGCCCATCTTCCTGCACCACCCACCCCAAATCCCCACCAAAGAGAACACCCACCTCCCCTTCAAATTCAGCGGCGGTTTCGGCCTTAACAGCAGCAGTATCGGCACCATGTTCACTATGTATGGCGTCCTCGGCTGCGTCGTCCAATTCCTGATCTTCCCTCCAACAGCCCGCAAATTTGGCGTCCTAAACTGCTTCAAAGTCTGCGCCTTGTCCTTTCCAATCATCTGTTTCGCTACGCCTTACACAGCGCTCATCCAAGACCCGATGTTGCAACAAGCTACGATGTTCGGGATCATGGTCGTCAAGTGCTTTGCGGTCATCTTCGCGTTCCCGTGCTCCATTATCCTGTTGACGAATTCGGCAGTCAGTTTGAGGATCCTCGGGACGCTGAATGGCTTCGCTGTCTCGATTTCAGCGGTAGGAAGAGCGGCCGGTCCTGCTTTGGGCGGTGCGGCGTTCACCTGGGGATTGGAGAAGGGGTATGTTATCACGCCTTGGTGGCTACTTGGCATTATTTCAGCAGCTAGCGCGGTACCAATCTGGTATCTGAAGGAAATGGAAGGCTTCAGCAAGTCTGATTCTAGCGATGAAGAAGACGAAGAATCAGAGGAAGAAGGTCTTCCAACATTAGATGAATACATCGACGGCGAGATCCTGGAGGGCGACGAAATCCTTCCTTATGACCAGGACGAGGAAGCGCTTGATACTGTGGATGGACCGAGCCTGAATGAACCTCATCATCAATCGAGGAAATCGCTTGATGGGGCGAATGAGGATTATATGCATGTCAGGAGAGCTTCGAAGGGTGGAAGTAATAGGAGAAGTAGTTTTAATCTGGAGAGGAGGATGAGTTCTCCGATTGGGGTGAGAGGGGGAAGCGTTGGGCCTGGTGGAGGGAGGAGGTTAAGTAATGGGCTTGCCGCGAGTAATATGGGGCAAGGGACGGGCGGGACGAGCTTTGCTTGATTGCTGGGGCTGCTGAGATGGTATACAGACCCCAAATTGCATGTATAGAGAGGATGGAAGCATATAGATGAACGGATCGCTGGTATAAATTCACTCAATGTGCTAAGGCAGGTTGTGTGAGATTTGATGTGAAGAAACGTTGTGTGAAAGCCTGATAGAGGGAAGTGTCCTCTTGAAATTCTTCTTCCTCTATCCAATCTGTCTGTTGTAGTTTTGACTGAGTTAATATGTGATGGAAATATATTCAAATGCTTGAGAGATTCACAAGTGTTCAAAATCCAATAGAGGGAATCCAACTAGGGTCTACTCGTAGTTCTTCTCCCTTCGTCCTATCCCGTCGAGATGAAGATGTGGGGTTTCGGGGTTGTAAGATATGCGCAGCGTCGGCTCTTCAAACCATTGATGGATCAGAGCATGTTTGGATAGAGCGAAAAATAAGGCAGGAAGTAAGATCGCTGAGATGTGTTATTTTGTCGCAGCCGTTTTAGTAACCTTACCCAGATTATGTGAGATGTGATATGGATGCATTCAACGGCGCAAGGAGGAGCGATCTTCAAGTGCCCTTTCGGTGCTCTCCTCCCTCCACCCTACCCATTGGAGATCAGGATGTTTGTTAGATGGTTCATACGGTGTTCGTATCCTCGGTTTCTCGTCGTATCCCTGTCTACCATCAGCGATTGACAAGCAAATTGGAAGGGAGGCGAGGTGGGCGTACTGGAGGCTTCTCGCGCTTCAAGTGTGACTCGAGACATTCTTTCAAACCAAGTATGTCTTGCGAAAAATCATGAGCAGCTCCCACAAAATAGTCAACGTCGATGAGGCGCACGTCCTCCAATCCACGCAAACTGACTAATTCATTAAAGCCAATTGCATCCGCAACCGCGGAGCAGAAATCGCTTGGCGATGGTCTGCTCCACTCGAGGAAATGTGCTCGTTGGGATTCGGGGAGGGGAAGAGATTCCGTTATTCTGATCGTGAGATGCGTGAGCGCTGGAAGAGTCTGCAGTTTGGCAATAGCGTCTTGAGGGGCGGGTGGATATCCGGAAGTCTCTCCGCGCCAGTGAAAATAGAGGCTTGTGAGCTCTTGTTGAATCGGATACAGTTTTGGCCTTTTTAAAAATGATAGAAGGTGACAGGCGCAGTAGAAGTGGAGTGTGAACTCTTTTTTAACCAGTGTTTGTTGGAGTTCGTGCATGAGTTGCCGGTTGACCAAGAGTAGAGTGAATGAATGCTTTCTTGCTGTCCAGTAAACAAGCTCATCCTTACGACATGCCCCACAGCGTTTTCTGTCAAAAACAGATCTTGAGTAGCCCGGGGTTGAAACTTGGTCTTCTATGTGATGCTCGTAGATAGCGTCCCGTAGCTCACGAGGAAGCTGGAAGAAGAGCGGGAGAGCAGGGAGTGTCTCCTGTTTGTCTTGGATTGCGGCGAACATACAAAATGAGTCGTAAGTCTTCATCTTGAGTTCCTTACTCCAGAGACGGCCTTTGGCAATGATATGTAGCGCAATTTTCCCGTAAACTATTCTTCGATGAAGTAGGGTGACTCATCAAACGTCTCGAGGCCAACTAGTGAAGGAGCAATGTGTGCTGAGTGCTGTGGTAACGCCGTGAAAGAAATTAAGACTTGAGAGTTATGAAGAGTGAATTGAAATTAGAGAGAGAAAAAGCTTCTAGCTTTCCAAGTCAACCGTGCCATCTTCCCGCCCGGAGAGAAGACCTTAACCTGAATTTCCACTTGATGGTAGCGAGCTCTAGGGGTTCTGGGAAATGACAATTTTGGCTTCATTAATGGAACGCCATTATAATCCGCAGGTGGTCGTCGACAGAGCGACATTTTAGGAGTCGTTCAAAATGTTATTTGATGATGGTAAGAATGGGATGAAGCAATCTCACCAGCCGAAGAAAAAAAGGAGGGGCTGCACAGTTGTCGCATCTCGGTCACTGCACATCAATCACCCCTGCCAAGACTCGCTTGATTTCAACCTCACTTGATTCACACTTCACACTTCAGATCACATTCTCACTCATCACACCCTCTTTTGTAACAGCTCCTTCAAATCTCATTGATGCCGGGAGTACTTCTCGAAGCAGGCAACATCCTTGACGTTCTCAACGATTGTACAGAGGGATGATGCCATCTTCCAGATACTCCTTGACCTCGACCACAGCTCCATCTCATTCTTCTGACGCGATACTAGATTCAAATGTCAACAGGACGAGAAATTAGATACTTCAAGGACACCGGCGGGCCCAAGGACATCGCCAAGATGGACCTCGAGCAGCGAGTTAAGTGGTCCCTCCTTTCAGCGGGCCCCTGCATCCAGATGATGCAGGAAGCCCCCAGAGTCAAATTATCTTCATGAGCTATCTCATTGGCACCTTTATTCTCATACCACATGAAATTCTCTCTCTGTACATTTTGATATGTCACAATGTTCCTCAACAACTGGGGACATCGTCGACCTTGTCGGCATTCTCTACAATATTTAGATGTTCCGAGAAACGACAGAACAATATCGACCTTGTCGGCGTCATTTGAGGCGTTGTTTGAGAAAATTCAATGTTCTGAAAAGACATGGAACAATTTCGGCTTTGTCGGCATTCTCTAGAAATATTTAGATGTTCCGACAGAACAAGGTCAATTTCCATCACCTTCGAGGCTGTGGCACGTGATGGCGCCAAGCGAGCGAATTCCGCCAGCTGCCTCTCCATCACCCGTCCTCTGTACACACGGTAACCCTCCTTCTGAACGCGTTCCCATTTTCCTTGGATCTTTTGGTCCAACCAAATTGAATGATGGACACCAAGGGTAACCTGTTCAAGGCGGTGTACAACCATCTTGTCTTGCCTCCACGTCTACCTGAACGACAAGATGCGAAGCTGGCGCAAATTGGGCACGAAATTCTTGACAGATTGGCCAGTGCGACACGATTTCTTACATTCCTTCAAGACAATCCCTTCTCTCGAGAACACAAAATCCTTTTTCAGAGCCTCCGGAGCTGCAGGATCGTGAACGAAGGCGGGAAACTCGACACAACCTCACTGTTGGCAGCATTTCGAACTCTGGAGTGCAATCATGTCCTGATCCTACATATCACGGAGCAGAACACTGGCCTGCTTATCCGACGAGAACATAGGTAAGTCTCTCGCTCTTCCGTCTACCAATTAATTCTCTTCTCTTCACCATCCCCAAGAATCATGCATTTGCTGACACGGTCTCATTTCTAGTACCAACGGTGATCGCGTTATCTTTGAAGCGTTTGAAGCTTCACCCCTCTCGGAGCATGTCCTTTCTGCAACGACTTTAGAATGGGACTTCCCTGGCTGCGCCGTTTCTGTTCCGTGCGAAGCCTTCAACAGCGAAACCTTCCAGATCGAGCTCTCAAGTTTCCTCGAGCGCGCGAGCATCGAGCCCGTTCGAAGGTTTACTCCTCAGGCGTATAAAGAACGAGCTTCAATCTCCGAAAGTCGTGACACGGTCGATCCTGGACTCACAACCCAGATTTTGATGCCTATTCTGGAAGTTAATGGCACGCGAATTTTCCACGCCATTCTCAAAAAACGCGTACGAGATGATGTCTGCTGGTCCGAAGGGGCTCACAAGCCTTGGAGACGTTGCCCTTTTTGGCTTGTACTACGAGTCGCGGTACAACGGCACCTCTCGACATTACTTGATGGCGAGCTTGGGAGATTGCAATACAAGTTCTTGATCTGTTTGGTTTTATCCCAACTTCTCAAGGATTCAATTCCATCCCGCGAGAACTCAGTTCCATCTCTCGATCTGGAACTATTAGTGTTCCTCAAGGTGAAGCTCTGTCGCCGTATAGCCAAGCTTGAGGCTGAGAAAGACAGGGCTCCTCTACAAATTCGCCAAGCTTACGAGACAATGTTCCAGCTGCTTGAGGTAGAATTCCTTCAGCAAACCAAGCGCGCAACCGAGTTTGTAGCAAAGCGCTGGACACACTTTAAGAGTGCCGTTAGCAGACGCATCCCAAAGCTCCCATATCATCTAGCTCGCACAAGTGGCTACGTGGAGGGGCAGCAGCCTTTTCTGATCTTGAACCTCCCCAACAGCATGAAATATCTGGACAGAGTGCTCAAAGGGGCCCAGCAAAACACTGTTCAACAAGGCTCTGGAACATCCAGATTACCTAGCGATTTCGATCCGTCGCTTGCCGTTCCACAAGCAATGTCGAAATATGTAAAGAAGTATCAAGACCTGGGCGAAAGAGAATGCGACATCGAGAGTGATATTCAATATGTTCCGACGTCGACGCTCAACTGTGAGGCACTATGTTCCGAACTTGCTCGTTCGATGAAAACCTACATTAAGCAGGTAGCAGACGCTTACGATAAAAATCCCGAACAGAAAAGCATCATGCTTCTGACGTTAATGGAAATGTGGATGTCAATGGACAAATGTGCGATCAAAAATTTCCCCCTGTTGCAGGACTACGACCCGGGATTTCCACTTGAAATTTTAGACACTCTACAGCTGTCCTACTTGAGCGATATGAAGCGCTTACAGACTGTGCGGCTCTATCTTCGACACAGACATGCGGAATCTAAAGGCTCACGTATGACGATCTTCTACGAGCCTTCTAAGGGATGCTTTGCAGAGCGATATTACGACGAGTCTCCAAACGCTTCAAACCTAAAAGAACTCCACGATCGCATCGAAAAGGACGCCCAACATAATCGGGCAAAGAAGACGAAAGAATGGAAGAAAATGACAGAAAAATACAACGAACTGCGAAAGAAGCACTCTGAAAGCGAATGTGTTTACTACACGGATGAATTTCTCGTCAGAAGCCACAGCCCGCATTGTAGTAAATGCTATCTAGAGCGATCGGCGGCGGAAATGAGGATCAAGATCTACGAGCACCCGTTGCCATCCAATCTCGTCCAGGCCAAGAGTGTTGTGTTTGAGTTGAACTGCCCCGAAGCTTTTCTTGATTATCGGGAAGCGACCTGGACATTGCTCGGGTCGTTCGGGGCACCAGACCTATTGCCTAGCCAAGCACTGGCCCACCGGCTCTCAGCATATTCGGAACTCTCTGCCTACTTGAAACCGGGCCAGGGCAAAGAGTACGGCATTTGTCTCGCGTCAACCAAAAAGTCGCATCTCGGCACTCATTACTTGGAGCGAAGTTTCCCTGTGAGCGAAAATGACCTGTTTCGATCGAACGGGATGGAGTTTTGTTACTTCGATGACAAGCTCAAAGTGTGGCCCTCACGACTGTTCTTCAAACCAAGCTTCGCCCATCATTGCGAGCTACCCCTGACGCGAAGTTCCCCACTATTCTCCTTCATTGCTTCTATGAAGCTGAGTATCAATTCGAATGGCCCTTCCTCGTACCAAGTAGTCGCCAACCAGACGCACTGCCCAACTGGGCTCAATGCACATGAGTTCTTGGGATATTTGTATTTGTTTTCAGGCAAAGAGCGACGATGGCTACAGATTCTTAACGAACTTGGTTCTTCCAATTTGAATTTTAGCTCAGAGACTACCACGTTGCTAGTATCAAGTCTGGCTCTCCAAGTCGGGCCGTCATCTTCGGAGGAGGACCACCACCTTGGCACTGTTCACAACCCACTCCGCGATGGAGCCTTCTGTACCAGGCTCATAGACCAGCTCCGCTGGCGCCTTGAAGATATTTCGTCCAATTGGCGGGAGATGAATTGCATGGAGACGATAATTACTTTGCTGCTCCAATTGCATCATTTAGGAAATGTTCGTCATCAGCAAGCTTCCGAGTTGCTCCAGAAAGTTCGGGACGTCACCATGTCCTGGATAGGAGCTCTGCGACAGGAGGCCCAAACAGTAAGAGATACAGGAACGTCTGACAGATGCTCCAAATACGCTCTCTGGGCTGCGCTCCTTTGCAGAAGAACATTTGCTTTGCATGTTGACGGCAACTCCAATAGTCTTGACCCGCTCGCACTCCGGACATTCCTCGATTGTTCGGTAGCTCTGCAAGACAATTTGGTCAGTGACCCTGTTGGGCTGAAGGGGGCTCTGGAACGCGCTGTCATCAGGGATGCGAAGATGGCCTCCCGGTTGAGATACATCCTTCGTCAAACTGTCGAAGACTACCCTGACGCCTTGATAGCCTTCATCTTTACCATATGGCCTAATATTCGAGACGACCCTACGGCGAAGCTGAATCCACCCAGGTTTCTCCCGGGAGTAGAGAATTGCTGGGTCGAAATCAAAATTCAATTTCCCGCTGTCCATGCAGTACAAATCATTCACGTCCATCTCCTCGAAGGCCACTTCCTTGTTATGGGCCAACCTCTAGGAAGCTTGTCAGCAGTTTACCGGGAATCCGTCACCGTCCAGGCACTATTTGGGAGTCAAAGCCTGTTGACGTATCCATCGTATTTGACAGACATGTCACATGTCTTGAAGCTCAGCCCCAACGGCCATCAAATACACCTTGGACTTCGCAATGGCAAAGTTCTTGTTCGTGCGATGTTTCGGGGTAAATTGCTTGAACTTATCCCGGCCAAAGTCTTCTACAGTACCAGAAGTTTCGATCTTCCATCCTCTTTGATCAACGATTGCGTGCATTGGCTGGATTTGAAGAGTGGGATTCTTGAAATTCGACATCAATCAAATATCTGGTATGAGAAACTATCAAACTGGAAACTCAATGTGAAGACGAAAACGGCCCTGCGTCGGACGGTCAGACTGGTCAACCCTCAATCGAGCATCTTCCAAGCCATTGCGAACATCTTCCAAGGATTCGAAGGCCCTCAGCACCTCACTGTTTTCCAACCAGAATTTCGACCTCTATCTGTAGAACTCAAGCGCCTGGGTCTCTCTTTCACCGTTAATGGAAGAGGCTGGCTTGAATCGCCTCAACTTAAAGCTGAGATCAACAATAACCGTAAGTAATTTTTCTTTCGTTCTTTTGCTTGCCTGACGCTCCACGCGGGAGTACTGCATGTCACCATATGCCCATAGAACATTGGTTGTGCGTGAGCACAAACGTTATCCTCGGCACTTACAGTCTCGGCATTTCTCGCACACAGGCTAACTTTAACCGCCTCGCAGAGGACGCTGGAACTTGGTACGGACTTTCCTCGAAAATTGTTCTTACTGAAGTACTTCGAGATGCGCAGGCAAAGCAGCACATTGTTCCTCCAAATCCTCGTCGAAGTATTGTCGTGCCGATGGGAACAATGCTCTACGAGCGACATGGACCTCACGTGGAAGTCAAGGTCGACAATGATGGCGCTTATGGCATTTTCACGATCAACAATATTCTTCAGCGGGTTGACTGTCAAGCTGAGCCACGACTGCTCTACTTGAAAGCTCAATATCATGCTTTCACCTCTTTTGTGATTCCTGATCCTCTTACAGGCCGAACAGGAACTGAAGAAGCCTTACACCTCCTACGCTCGGGTATCTGTCAACCATGGTCGCCCCTTACTGAGGGCCAAAATCGAGGATTGATCTGGATATCGAAACTCACACCCCGCCGAGAATATTATCCGACACATTTGAAAGTCATGCAGAAGACTTTCTGGGATCCTCATTTGACTACGAATATCCAGCATGACTGCTTCCGAGCCTTTGTTGATGCTATTCATAAGCGATCGGAGGAACTCGCGATATTCAGTTCCCAGAGCTTTCAAATTCCTCAGCTAGGCCCGACTGGTGAGCGCCATTTGACTGAACGCAGCCAACTTCGTCGCCAAGTTTATCAACGACCGAATTCTGGGTTCTTAAAACAGACTCTGGCTGAAAAAAACCTCCCATATCCTGCAAGACATTTTCAGAAGGCTACTCCGGTTCGAGAGAACGTCCTGGAAATAACTCGACTGGTTCGAAGCTGGTCATCAAGATTCCCGACCACAGAAGACTTGGCCGGCTTACTTCATGGCCAATCAGTTATTGGAGGGTTCAAGCAAGAATACAATTCTATGCTTCTCAGCGACCTCCTTGATCTGGATCTGTCAATCCACTGGGGTTCTTTGGTCAATTTTTGTTGCAGCCGTGGATACGAAGATCGATATGAAATGATGTTCGTTTTTGCGGTTATGACATTCAGTCATACCAGCCAGGAAGAATTGGCCCTCATTAGAGCACTGCTGGCATTCGCGGTCTTTACTGAGCTGAAGAAGGTTGAACAACCAATTTGGCCATCATACAGCAACTTTCAATTCTCGGAAATTCCCATGCTTGGGCGCCTATTCCCTTTGATCCATCCATTTCTGGTTCCGTATCCAGGAGACGACAGGTCCATTTTAGAAGGCACCGAATTCAATATGGGGGTGAGGCAATGGAGGCAACTCGAGAACCAGGAGCGTGTATATATGCAGCAACAAGAGAACGATGGGAAGAGATTCATCAGATTCCTCTTGGAACAATGGCCGTGCCAAGAACCCAAACTTGACGACCTTCCAGATTCGCTGTTGATTGATAGTTCGCGAGCCCTCGATGCAGTTCTTCCAGAGTGGTTCCGCTTGTACCGAAATTCCCAACTTTCCGTTTTCCTCACCGCCGCTCAGAAGGTCCTGGACGCCCATAGTTGCGAACCTCAAATTCCATTGGCCTTTGAAGTTAGAGAACAGGAGGTATTGCCGACCCGTGTTCGAGGTGGGGATTTTCCGCAACTCTCGGATCTACTCCGAAAAACCTGCAGAGGCAGAGACGAGAATTCAAGCATGCCCAAGCCTCGAATGTCCCCAACGAATGTGGACGTCGGCAAAATGGAGACCATAGCTGCAATCGCTGTTGAACAAGTCAACGGAATGTCCCAGAAAAATGAGGACAATAGCACACCTGAGGAAGCGACCGCCGTTGTCCCGACTGAAGCCCTCGAACTCACACAAATTCAAGGTATAGTTGGGCGGCTTATGAAATCGAAGCAATCAGTACGCCGGCAGTATGGCCAAGATCTCGGCCATAGTCTAGTCGCATTTCGAAGACTGAAAGGTGCTTCGCCAACGCCGAAACTCGAGGTGCACGAAGCAGCACGCCTCGTTTCACAAATCCCTCAAGCTCAATTGTGTGTTGGTCAGCATCTCAGTTGCCTCCAAGGCAGTTTTGAAGGATCGGAAACTCCAGAATCGGTTACAAAATGGCTAAAGTACGGTGATCTTTGGCCATGTGTCACTCCAGTGACCCTTCTCGAAACTTTACGTTCTACGACGAGCATTAATTTCGGTAAAGGCATGAAGGAGAGTCTCACAGGCTACGCACTATCTATCACATCATTGCAGCGCCTGTTGAGGATGGATTCCGCTTACCAGAAACGGAACCTGCAGCGATTCATGGAAGAGTTTGAGAATGTTGGTCATTCTAACTGGCAACCGTTGGTTCAGACTGATTGGCTTCTCCTCGAAATTGACGCAAATCTGTTAATTCGCCCTGGTCAAATCGAAGTTGCAGTGGCGACCATATCCCCGGCTTCTCAATCCAATTCGGTTTTACAGATGGTAGGTATCATCCATTCTATTTTGATCACTTTTCAAAGGAACCTGCTCAAGCTTCTGACTGTTTTGAATTCAACGAATCTTATGACCTTGAATTTCCTCTACTTGGTTTACTGCGTACTGAAATATGACATTGCTAACTTGCTGACCTTTTAGAACATGGGACAAGGTACGTTTGCGTTTGGAGGCGCCCGAGATGTTGACGGCGGAATTACTAATAGTATCACCAGGCAAAACCTCGTGCATCATGCCTATGGCTGCGGCTGTTTTGGCAAACGGAAAAAACTTACTAAGGGTTATCGTCCCCAAGCCCCTCCTGCTCCAGACAGCCCAACTAATGCACTCACGCCTTGGTGGACTACTTGGGCGCAAGATTATCCACATCCCTTTCTCTCGAAAGACTCGCACTGATATGGACGTTTTGGGTAAGTTCGATGCGATTCACTCAAACATGAGAAAGTCCTCAGGGGTTGTGCTTGCACTGCCAGAGCACATTTTATCGTTCAAGCTCAGTGGGCAACAACAGCTCTTGGATGGCCGTGTCCAGGAGGCCAAGAGGATGATCCAAATACAACATTGGATGTCGCAGGTCTCTCGCGATGTTATCGACGAAGCAGACTCTATTCTTGCCATCAGAACACAGCTTATATACCCGTCTGGCACCCAAAAGACTGTGGACGGCCATCCGCAGCGATGGTTGGTAGCGGAAGCATTGCTGAGGCAAGTTCGTGGACATCTAGATAGTCTGCACCACGAGTTTCCCCATAGCATTGAGGTTGTGCGGAGACCAGATGGTGGCCTGCCATTTGTGTTCTTCCTCCGTAAAGATGTCGAGGATAGAATGCTCTCGCTGTTAGTCGACGATATCTATTGGGGACGAACTTCCATACTGCCGGCAGAGATTCCCAAATCTGACCGTGTTCTCATCAAAGCATTTATCTCGGAACCACGAGTGTCCTCAACACTGGCAAAATCGATTGAATATATGTTTCCAGATAAGCCTGCTCTAAAGCAGGTCACATATCTGCTGCGCGGCCTGATCGTACATCGAATACTTCTGATGGCTTTGAAGAAGCGCTGGAATGTCCAGTATGGTCTGCACTCTGCGAGAGACCCCATGGCAGTTCCCTTTACTGCAAAGGGGCAACCATCGGAACAAGCTGAGTGGGGTCATCCTGATGTTGCAATCCTGTTCACATGTCTCGCGTTTTATTACCAAGGTCTAAGCAGTGAGCAATTGCGACAAACCTTGGAACACGTCTCCAAATCAGACGATCCATCACGGACATACGAGCGTTTTTCACAAGATTCAGATCTTCCAGGTTCGCTCCGAATGTGGAATGCAATCAACGTAGATGATGATATCCAGCTTCAAGAACTTTGGAGAAAACTTCATGCTAGGGTGGTTGTGATCGACTACTTCTTGAACAATCATGTCTTTCCGCGATATGCTCGGCAATTCCACATGAAGCTTCAGGCTTCAGGCTGGGACATCCCGCTATTCTCTGCACAAATTAAAAGCGAATCTACTCTCGGAGTTCGATTATCAGCCGAATCAACGGCACTCACAACCGGGTTCAGCGGTACAAATGACTGGAAGAGAATTTTGCCTTTGACCATTTCACAGAATGATCTACCAGGACTTTCTCATACCAACGCCGAAGTCTTGTCATATCTCCTGGAGCCCCGAAATCGTGGTTATATACTTGCTGCCGACAACCGTGGAAGGCATTTATCTGAGGTCGGCCTACTGAATTCAATGAAGATGTGGAAAATTCGAGTCCTTATCGATGCTGGGGCACAAATATTGGAAATGAATAATCGTGATCTGGTCAAGGCATGGCTGGATATCGACACAGAGGCTCCTGCGGCCGTTTACTTTGGTGACGACAACAGAACTCTTGTGTACTATCGACAAGGGTACTCGATACCTCTTTTGGCGTCAACTTTCGCAGACGATTTGAGCGAGTGTTTAGTGTACCTAGATGAGGCCCACACTCGCGGCACCGACCTGAAGTTGCCTCCCAGAGCCATTGGAGCACTTACTCTAGGACTTGGTCAGACGAAGGACCACACTGTACAAGGTTGGTTCTCCATCATAGTGTGGTCTTCCCAAACTCAAGTGCCTGACTATTCATAGCTGCTATGCGACTACGACAGCTAGGCACAACCCAATCCGTTTTGTTCTTCGCACCTCCAGAAGTCCATCAAAGTATTCTTGATCTGGTTAAGAAGACTGAGCACGATACAATTACTTCGCACGAAGTTATTTGCTGGCTTCTTGATCAAACCTGTAATGGCATTGAACAACTCTTGCCGCTGTACTATTCACAAGGCATGGACTTTTGTCGCCGAACCCAGGCCGGGTTAGACAATTCCGACTTTCTTGTTAATACCGAGCAACGCGACGCATACCTTGGTTCGCTGAGGCAAATCGAGCAGCAATCTCTGGCGCAGCTCTACGGAGTAAGTGCTAAGAAGAAGCCCCCTAGAGCTCTAACTTCGACATCGCCACAAATTCTACCTTTCATGAACGAACTCGATTCCCGACGGAAGGCTTTTCAAGACTCTGGGGCGGCTGTACATGCTTCTGCATTACAGGAGGTGGAACAGGAAAGAGAGGTCGCTTATGAGGTAAGGCCCAACACGAAGAAACTTCAATACCTCTTGTAGCAATGCCCAACAGCTCTCGGGACATTATACTCCTAAAACTACCTGAAAGAAGTACACTGACTTCGATTTCTTGGGAATAGGTTGAAGCCGTTCGCGAAGTCCAGAAGCCAGTGCACTATACCGCACTCGGATTCCCGCCTATACACAGAGATATTCTGACTTTTGCAACTACCGGAAGACTTACAGCTGATTCGGCGGGGTATGAGCTGGCTTTTGATGCGATGAGCCGAACCTTACTCGGACGCAAATATAATGTCAGCAGCAATGGAACCTCAGGCAAGCTGTTCATATCCACGGAATTCACACGAACCGTCAAATTTCCCGGTCGGCCGTACGATAATTTCCAGGCAAATACTCCCTTTATTCAATTCTTTTTAGTCTTAAGCTAATGTTCAATAGCGCTCAGTTAACTGGATTCTCTGGAGCACGGTTTCCGAAGCGGCTTTGGTCATCATCCCCGAAGAAGTAGAAATTCTTCTTCCAATCGTTAGGATTACAACAGATTCGCCGACATACCTCCTAGCATACGCGGCTCCAGTTACTCGAAGAATGCTGCACTTCGGTGACCTGAAATTCTACTCGGTCCCCACCTTACCTCAGGACTGGCAGGCTCCGATGTGGCTGAAGCTTGAGGTAGGAATTTACGCCGGTCGTTTGTACTTCGACTTCACCGAATACCATTCAACTCTAGACTTCCTAGGCATCCGCCATAATGAAGGCAACCTTGAGATATCTGAAGACACGGACGACGAGGACCTTGATAGTTCCATGGGATCAACAAATGTAGAGAAGTCAAAAGTCTTCACCCGCAGACCTTTGACCTTCCTGCAGGAATGGCTCGCAATCCGTCGCAAGGGGCAGAATTTCGATCAGACGCCGATGGGATTTATTTGCCAAGGAAAGGTGCTTCTGCAATCTTACCATTTCTTCTCTGAGATGGAGAGCACGATGGCTGTGAAGAAGGAAGGTGTGGAAAGCAGTCTAGCAACTCCCGGCGGACTACAGGAGGTGGAAGAAGTGGAAGAGGAATTTGAGGATGAAGACCAGGGGGAGATAATTCGTCCAGAGGACTTGAAGGAGGACTTCGATGTCAGAAATTTGAACACAGCTGATCAGGTCCTGGATTACGACAAGGATGAGGATGACTAGACGGAGACGAAGTGTGTAAGCAAATGTGGAACGTCCAGAGACGATGTATGAGTAGATATGAGATCATGACTCTTTACGTATCGAGGCTCTGATGAGTCTTGCTCTTAAGTAAATTGCCGAAATGGAGAAAGCTACTTGCCGAAAGATTTGGGCCCTAGCTGCAGAATTTCAGATGGTTAATGGCTCCCTTGATCTAGGCGCAACAGAAGTGACCCGAGGCAAAGCCATGTGAGAACGAGAAAGTGGTCGTGTCGATCATAATTCTTTCGAGGATCGGGAGACAAATCTGGATAACTTCCTTGCTACCTTTGCAAGTTAAAGAGTTGTCCCTTGTCCATAAACCTATTCGAGCAATCAATTACACTTGTGCAATGTGGATATCACACGCAAAAGCCCTCACTTGCCATAATTCATATTTCGTGCTTGAGAAAGTTACCTCTCCATTTCCCGACTGACTCTAAAGCCCTCTCATCAATGAAATCCCACCCACCCACTAAGGGCACCCACAAGAGGTCTGATACCTCTCATCTCATATCGAGTCCAAACCGAGACCTTGGTACCAAAATGATCAACGACCCAAGAAATCCACTCCCCCAGAACGCTCAACTGAATAACGGCGGTGAGGTGGTCTCTTCCGATGATGGCGATGCGTACTAGAGGAAGATGGAGTCTCATCGTTCATACCGGGCGTTAGACTTTGTGCTAATAGTTCTCCGTTCGTACCTTCATCATTTTCCCCATTCGTCTTCCTCTCCTGTTGACCATTCACCACCCCACGCTGCCATTCCAGCACCTCTCCTTCACCACTCAAGTTCCCCAAAACAGGCGGCAGATACCCCATCACTATGCCCGGCACATACACGCCTCCCTCAGGCGCTAAGCCTCGGAACCGATTTCTCGGGTCCCGGACTGGCGTTTGCGGAAGAAGAACACGGGGCGTGGAAAGGAAGATGATGTCGGCTGGACGAGGGAGAGTTAGGTCCCGGATGATTGTTGTGGTTGAGTTGCGGTTGGGGTGGAGGTCGACGTCACTTAGGAAAGGGAAAGGTTCGGTGACTGGGGTGGGTTAGCCCATATTCATGTGTGGTGTTGGCGAGGGGAGAGGGGAGAGGGACGCACAAAAATGCTCCCACATGAAGAGATCGATGTGCCATGCTTTATCTGCTTCCGTATAGCCGTTGTACAGAGCGCTGTTGACGACGAGAAGAACACTGTGGAGATGGTTGTTAAAGTCCTGTGGTCGGGCGCCGCAGTTGATCGCTTTGCGCTTTATGTTGGCAAGGATTGAGATGTATGTGCGAGGGTCTAAGGAGGGGGAGACAGGCGAGGAAGTGGAAGATGACATGGCCGATGGCTACGGGGGTTGGTGTTACGCTGTGTGACGATTTGGAAGGCCAATGCTTCTATGAAATAGGAACATGGAACGAGGGACGACCACTGGGCCTTTTAAAAAGCAAAATATACCATCCGATCGCGTTTATAAATCTCACAATAGCATGCAACGAGAGGAGTATTTGAAGGGAACGAAATTTACGGCTCATTCACCGAGGAGACAAGAGCATGGATGACTAAAAGCAGATCGATCAACCGCATGAATTCATCGCGAGCATCTATCCATAGACTCATCAAGCTTGCCAGAAAGCAATCCGCAAGTCCCATCAACTCCAAGAATGACCCGGCATGCCCATTTTTAGTCGCGAAAGCAACCGCCCAATCCTCCTGCGAAGGACATCTACGCATAAAGCTTCTTCTCGTAACTCTCCATGTTGACCCCACCCTCGAGTTGTGCACTAGCAGTTCTCAACTCGAATCTAGTGGTACCGTTTGCAACACTCTCGTGCAGCTCAGTCAAACTCTTACATCCACAATCTTGCAGTGAATGCTTCAATCCAGCAGCCAAGTAAGGGACAAACTTCGTAACAGAGCCTCTGTGGGCAACTGCACCAGACACACCCTGGGCAACCAGAACACTGTCACCCTCTGAGAAGTAGCGAGCTGTTCCGGCATTGCTCTTTTGGCTGTCCTTGGCTCCTGCACCGGCCTTCTTATCCTGCATAGCGTCAATGCTGCCCATGCCGCGGTAGGCTTTGACAAGCTTTCCCTCGCGAGAGACGAAGGATGTACCCGGAGACTCGGTGGTACCAGCCAAAAGACCGCCCATCATGATGGTAGTAGCACCGAGAGCAAGACCCTTGACGATGTGGCCAACATTTTGGATGCCACCATCAGCCATGCAGGGGACACCGAACTTAGCCGCAAAGGAGGCGACGTTGTAGACCGCTGCAGCTTGGGGTCGGCCAACAGCCATGACTTCCTGTGTGATGCATGCACTTCCGCTTCCCATACCGATTCGAAGACCATCAACACCAGCAGCAATCAAATTTGCGGCTTGTTCGCGGGTAACGACGTTTCCGCCAATAACGTCCAAGCCAGGGTATTTATCCTTGATGTACTTGACCATCTCGATTTGGTACATACTGTTACCTTGGCTGCTATCCAAGATGACGATGTCCAATCCAGCATCAACGAGCTTCTGCAGACGAATCTTGTCCTCTGGTCGTGTACCGATGGCAGCAGCACAGATCAGTTGCTTGGAATCTGGGAGCTTCGAAGCCAATGGGAAATGGAGGTTCTTTGTCAAATCGGATCGTGAGATCATGGAGACAAGGTTGCCCTTCGAGTCAACAATTGGGAGCTTTCCCTTCTTAGACTTGGCGAGGATGGCATTGGCCTCGAGCAGAGTTGTTCCAGCTGCAGCAGTGATGAGGTCGGTGACCATGACGGCAGAAATCGGCAGGCTGAGGTCATCCTCGAATTGGATATCTCGATTTGTAACGATGCCGACGAGGTTAGATCCGAGCTTGCCAGTCTCTGTTTGTGGTCAGCGAATGAAGACTTGCATGATTCGAAAGCATAGATGAAGTAGCCACTTTTGTCATAAAGAGCATAGATTTATTCCCCACGACCTTGCGGTCAATACGGATGAACGAAAGTTATATGAGTTTGTACTAATCATAAAGTGCAAGTGGAAAGAGGGACTGTGGAATGCTCACCAGTAACTGGAAAGCCACCGAAACCCCACTTCTCCTTCAGTGCCTTCGTTTCTCCAACAGTGGTATCGCGGCTGAGAACAACCGGGTCGAGAATGAAGCCGTTCTCGTATCTCTTGACCTTCTGAACCATCTCTGCTTGTTCTTCCGCCGAACAATTGTGATGAATAACACCCAGACCTCCTTGCAACGCAATGTGGATAGCCATTTCGTGCTCGGTAACGGTGTCCATAGGGGAGGACACGAAAGGGGTCTTGAGGGCGATGCGCTTCGTGACGGGCGAGTCGAGGACAACATCGGAAGCAGCAAAGCCAATATAACCTGGAAGGACAAGGAAATCGTTGTAAGTCAAACCTCCATGTCTCTTTGAGTCGAGCAAGGCCTTGATATCGAGACCATCGCGCTCTTCGAACTCCTTGAGGACCTCGAGGGCCTTGGAATGGTGGAGAAGGGAGGGGGTCTTCGCGTCGCCGTTTGGGTGAGGCATCTTGACAGAGAGAAAAGTGAGATCAGAGGAGTAGTCCAGTGGAAAATAGAAGATAGTCGACGCGGTTTGTACGAGTTTGAAATGTACCGTCGACGGGTTGAAGTTTCCTTCTCCCAAGTAAGAAGGGAAGAGAAGTCCAAAAAATTTGTGGAATTCAATTTTTGGGTGGAGGCATGCGCTAATGACGCCACTAGGCGGTAAGTTTTTCCGAACCGCTGGAGAATCTTCATATCACGTGAAACCGCGCCCTCAGAGGAATGAATCAAAACTAACACGAATTCTTTTTTTTTTCAAAGTCCAACTGTACTAGGGGCTGTATCATTTATCTTTTCCGAGCGTTCTATATTGCAGCCTTGCCTCGTACTTTTCGTTGGGTGGAAGGGCAGGTGATTGAGGGGTCGCCAGCCGATTGGCCGAACAAGGGCAGAAAGTAAACAAAGAAGCCGTGCTTCCCTGTCAACAATCCAACCCCCGCAAATCAAGACCAACCTCACCATTATTGCGGCTCCCTGCGCATAATAATATCCGTGGCTGAATTTGAGCATTCTTCACTCTGCTATCACTCGTCATTATCTGCTTCAGCTTTTGCTTTCTGCGCTGTGCGCCCAATATTCGAGGGATCTCAGACATCAGGGGCGTCGCGACATCTTCTCCGCGTCTGCAAATCTCGAACGAAGACTTTGCGACCCGTCCAATCTGCGCGGCCTGGAAGGCGACCTTCGACCACATGTGTGCGACATAGATCCTGTCTCCAACTTGCGATCCGGCGAAGACTTTGTCAAAGATACAGCCTCGCACGAACGTCGTGATGTCGTACCGCCATCCCCTTCGACAAACCCAAACAGCCGACTACTCTTCGAACAAAAGGCAGCCCTCCAACGCATCTACAGTATCCACGGCATACTCGAATTCGTCTGGCGCATTCGAACTCAGCCGCACGAGCACACTCTCTTCAACAAACTCCAGCGCATACGTTGGCCACAAACGAGGGCTCAGTGAAGCAACAGGGATGTCTCCTTCTGCCTCTGAGAACAGGAGTTCGCGTGGAAGCCCCCAACCCAGCCCAGAAAGCCCTTACAAGAGTGTACGGCAATCTCTACGGCCTCTTCCACAGCCGCCAAACCCTTCACCACCAAGCTACGAGAGAATTGGTCAGCATGCAAGAACTCAGAGTATGGATGTTGCCAAAACCACATACGGAGAATACGCTCCCACTGCAACCCCACGAACATCTTCGATTCGACCCAATTCCATGGTTCTCAGTCGATCCGATTCTGTCAATCGTGGCCACAGCACACTTCGAAATCATCCCATGCAACATCAGCACAGCCCTTTGACCGCAGCTGATCTGCCACAACTGCAAAAGTCTTCTACCAGCCAGTTGCGCACGCTATCAAGATTTGCTGAGAGCGCGTCTGCGGAAGAGTTTAATATTACAACACCGGGGCAAGAGGTAGTTGGTCTCCACGGACGCCGCAGGTTACAACGCAGCGACACAGTGCGGCCTGGCAAAAACACCGTTGCGTCGAACAAGGGCAGTGGATACAGTTGGGAAGGTCGAAATTGGATGGACAAGCAAAGACAATTCCTCCAGGCCTACGAATACCTCTGTCACATTGGTGAAGCCAAAGAATGGATTGAGGACATCCTGCAACGAGAAATCCCTCCGATTATTCAGCTCGAGGAAGCATTACGAGATGGCGTTACCCTGGCTGAGATTGTTGACGCCTTATATCCTGAGCGGAGAATACGTATCTTTCGTCATCCGAAGCTTCAATACCGTCATTCGGATAACATTGCGGCCTTCTTCCGATTCCTCGCTGAAGTCGAACTCCCGGACCTCTTTCGATTCGAGCTCATTGATCTGTATGAGAAGAAGAACATTCCTAAAGTCATTTATTGCATCCATGCCCTCAGTTGGCTATTGTTCAGGAAAGGTATCGTTGACTTCCGAATCGGAAACCTGGTCGGACAATTGGAATTTGAACATCACGAGTTGGAGGAAATGCAGAAGGGCTTGGACAGAGCAGGAGTCAGTATGCCAAGCTTTGGGAACATGGGCGCAGATTTTGGAGTAGAGCCTACCCCCGAACCAGAACCAGTCGAGAGTGAAGAGGACAGAATCCAAAGAGAACTGGGTGAGAATGAACTCGCCATTATTGACCTGCAAGCCCAGATTCGTGGCGCGGCTGTTCGTATGCGTCTCGGGGACACGATGCAGCGGTTATGGGACTCGGAACAAATGATTGTTGAGCTCCAGTCGAGGATCAGAGGAGATTTTTCACGCCAAATTGCGGAATACCGGCTCAACATGCGAAGGTTTGCAGTCGATCTCCAAAGTGGCATCCGAGGATTCTTGGTACGGCAGCGCCAAGCAAATAGGGAATCATTCTGGAAGAGCAGAGAAGGAGACGTTTTAAAACTACAGAACCTGATCAGGGCAAAGAGAGCCCGAGACGAGGTACGCATGACGAGATCTCAGTTGCGGCGTGGAGAGCAAGAGGTGGTAGAAGTACAGGCACAGATTCGAGGTTTTCTTTCTCGAAAATCACTGGAAGAACAAAAACGGGAGACCAAGACTTCTGCTGGGCCAGTCAAGGAGTTGCAAGCCGCGATCAGAGGAATGCTCCTCAGAAAGCTTGTCACTGATGACCACGAAGATCTTGGGCGCGAAGAGAATTCGATCAGGGCGATACAGGCTTTCTCAAGAGCCTTGCTGACCAGAAACCAGGTTTCTCGGCAAAGAGAAGCACTTCAAGCAGCATCACCGATCTGGAGGGCGCTGCAAGCTGTGGCAAGGGGCCAGCTACTTCGAAATTCAATCCATTACAACAAGCAAGAACTCAGAAGCCATAATCCACAGTTTGCAACCCTACAAGCGTGCATCCGAGCTGCTGCTGTTCGTCAGGAGGTCGAGGCTACTTTATCCGCGTTACAGAGGGAAGAGTCGTCTGTTTTAGAAATCCAAAATCAGATTCGGGGAATGCTACTTCGAAGAAAGGTAGCCGCCGATTACGAAGCACTTGCGGCGCAAACCACGAAGATCACCAAACTACAAGCACTTGGAAGAGGAAGTCTTCAGCGTCAAAGAACTGGCGCGCTTCTGGACGAACTTCAATCACACAGTGCCGAGATTATCCAACTCCAGGCTCTTTCTCGTGCGGTTCTTCTTCGAAACGACATTGGAATGGTTTTAGCTGAACTCGATGCCGAGGAAGAATCGATAATTGCCATTCAGGCTGCTGCCAAAGCATGTTTGGTTCGTGCCAAATTTGCAGAAAAGCAGCGCTTCTTCAAGCAGAACATGGAAAAGGTTGTGAAGATTCAAAGTTTCGTCCGAGGGCGGCTTCAAGGGGAGGCTTACAAGAGTCTGACAACCGGCAAAAATCCCCCAGTCAACACAGTCAAGAACTTCGTTCACCTGCTGAATGATAGTGACTTTGACTTCAACGAAGAAATCGAGTTCGAACGAATGCGCAAAACAGTTGTTCAACAGGTTCGCCAAAATGAGATGGCTGAGCAATACATTGATCAACTCGATATCAAAATCGCACTGCTAGTCAAGAACAAGATCACCCTTGACGAGGTTGTTAAGCATCAGAAGAACTTTGGTGGACACTCAGGAAACCTTCTTGTCAACACTACAATGGTTTCTGGCAATCAGTTCGACCTGAAAGCTTTGAACAAGAATTCGAGAAAGAAGCTTGAGTCTTACCAGCAACTCTTCTTCACCCTACAGACTCAACCTCAGTACTTGGCACGGCTTTTCAAACGAATTCGAGAGCAAGGTACAGCTGAGAGGGACTGCAAGCGTATAGAGACATTGATGATGGGGCTGTTTGGTTATGCACAAAAACGAAGAGAGGAGTACTATCTTCTTAAACTGATTGCTCGATCGGCAAAGGAAGAGGTTGATGGCTCAAAATCCATTCAGGAGTACCTGCGAGGAAATTTCTTCTGGAGCAAGCTTCTGGCCAATTACACCCGATCTCCCAGGGACAGAAAATATTTGCGCGAGCTTCTGGGTCCTATGATCCACACCAATATCGTCGAAGATCCGGCACTTGATCTCGAGAGCGATCCGATGCAAATATACCGTTCAGCAATCAACAACGAAGAGTTGCGGACAGGACGACCTAGTCAGCGACCACTTGATATCCCTCGGGAGGTTGCAATCAAGGATCCAGAGACCCGAGACATGTTCATCGATCATTTGCGAGATCTTCGCGAGATCTCAGATCAATTTCTTCTCGCCTTAGAAGCTCTCCTGCACAGAATGCCATATGGAGTTCGCTATATTTGCCAGCAAATATTTGAAGCTCTTTGCCAGCACTTCCCCCGCGAACCACAACAGAATCTGCTGCAAATTGCTGGCAATTGGTTGTGGAAATTCTATCTTCAGCCAGCAATGACAGCTCCCGAATCAATGGGCGTGATTGAGAAACAGTTAACGCCGCTCCAAAAGCGCAATCTGGGTGAAGTCGCCAAAGTCCTCAGCCAGGTCGCCTTGGGCAGACTATTCGGGGGCGAGAATATCTATCTGCAACCACTCAACGCTTACATCGGAGATGCTATTGAGAGAATTAGCATTACCTTCTCCAACATCATCTCTGTACCAGATGCTGAAAGCACTTTCGATATTGACGAATTCAACGATCTTTATGCCAGAACGAAGCCGACTCTGTACATTAAAATGGCCGATGTCTTCTCAATACATAGCATGATCGCTGCTGACCTACCTCACATATGTCCCAACCGAGATGATATGCTTCGAGAAATCGTCCAAGAACTCGGCAGCGCTAAGAACAACGAGACAGAAATGCTGGGAGTCACTTCGACGGAAATCCAAATGACCTTGCATCCAAAACTTCACGACATCGAGGACCCCGAAGCCGAAATCAAGGCCCTCTTCATGGAAACCAAGCGCTGTATATTATATATTATTCGGGTTCAATCAGGACCAAACCTGATGGACATCCTCGTTCGGCCCATTTCCAGGGAAGATGATAGGAAGTGGCACGCATTGCTCCAAGAAGAATTTGCAGAAGGCAGCAGGACCCGTGGAGCGTACTCGGATGCAAACACATTGGTTGATATCAAGTCAATGTCTTATAAGGAGCTGAAGAGGACAGCTCTGGAAAATATCATGAGACTGGAGCAATGGGGTCGGATTTCGCGGCACAATTTCTACCAAGATATCCTGAATGCAATCGCCTTGGACATTCGGACAAAGAGTCGACGACGAGTGCAGAGACAACGAGAACTTGAAGGTGTTCGATTGACGCTGGCGAATTTGAATGAGAAGGCAGAATGGCTAGAGTCTCAGCGAAAGAGTTACGACAACTACATTGAGCAAGCTATGATGACTTTGCAGAAGAAAGGGTAAGAACACATATTCTATCAGATAAATCTGACGCTAACAACCATACTAGCAAAAAACGATTTCTGATGCCCTTCTCCAAGCAATACAACCACGAACGGGAGCTTGAAAGATCAGGTAGAAAACCAAAGTTCGGATCCTTCAAATACTCAGTACGGACTTTGTCGGACAAAGGAGTACTCGTTTCGTGGAAAGGCTACACCGATCGCGAATGGGATAAGATCAATCTTACCATTTCTTGCGATGAGGTCGGTGTATTCTTCATCGAAGGAAGCAAAGGAAGCATTCAAATCCCTGGTGCTAGTGCTCAAGTTCCCATGGACTCGCTGCTGGCGGCACAGTTTGCCAATCACCAGTACATGGATTTGTTTGAGGGGTGCATGCGGCTGAATGTTAATTTATTCTTGCATTTGTTGTACAAGAAGTTCTATCGCACGGATGGATGAACAAGACGATCGACAAGAGATGATAGACGAGATGAGGTGTTTGGGTCTTTCACTGGACATGCTTTCTGCATTATGGCATGGTTATGGCGTCTCGAGTGGATAAGATGGCGAAGACAGGGGAGTATTAGGGGCTATAGTGTTTGTAGTACATACTTTTCGATTCAGAATGGGTGCCCTATTGATTGGGAGGTCGATATTACTAGGAATATCACGATGAGTCGAACGCCTTTACTCTCAGCTCTGGACTTGATTTGCTTCCTTCTCTTTGGTAGGTGGTGTTCGTACTTTCTCTAGACTATATTTTGATGAACCTTTCTGTTGACAACCAGCGAAATGGAAAGCACGAGACGACCTCTACGCCTTCCTTCTTAATCACTTCTTCTCATCTCTTGAGGATGTCAATCGAAAGACTCTTCTCCCTCACACACTTCAATCGCATTTCCAAGCATCGGATCAGAACATCATCCAGACATCGCAACGAACAGATTTCTCGCATCAGGATCAATTCATCTCCGATCAGGCATTGGAAATGATACCTTCTCAACAACCTCTCCTACTACTACTCTACTTCGCCAAACCATCCATCGCAACCGCAAACATCATCCAAGCAAACGCACTCAATTTCAATTTCCATCCGACGAACCCTCCACCGAACATCACAATGCATCCCACACTCAAACTCCGAGCCCCAACCTTCCCCGAAACAACAACAATGCCTCCTCCTCCCGCTCAGCTGCTGCAACAAAACTCCGCTTGCAACGTTGTAGGACAAGCGATTGCGATCTGCAACACCCTGACTCCAGGCTTCAACACGCTGCAACCGACTGCACAAGCACACTGTCTCTGCTACTCCAGCACGTCTTGGAGGCCGTCCATCTTCGACAACGCGGTAAAGACATGTGCAGACTACGCCTTCACAGCCGCGCCTGGGGCATACAACCCACTCGCAAACCTCGAAGGATTCTGCCAAGGCATCGGCGACGTGAACCAGGAGGACGCTCCTGCTCCGGTCTTCAGTCTAACGACTGTGTACCAGAGCATACAAAGCTCAGGAATGAGTATGAGCACCAGTATGTCCGCCTTCTCAGGCCAACCCTGCAACGCCGTCAACGCAATGCTAAACGACTGCTCCTCCTCCTCCAACGGCTTCTGGAGTCTTCAGCCTAGCGATCGAGCCAAGTGTCTCTGCTACGTTAGCGCAAGCTCGTGGTGCCCTACTGCCTTCGACAATGCGGTGCAGACGTGTGAGGCGTTTGCGATAACTGCGGCGCCGAGCGTGTATGCTGCTGTTAGTAGCTTGGGAGGATTCTGTGCTGGTGTGGGTGATGTGCTGGCTACTCCTATTCCGCCTGCTTCATATTCTGTGGCGACGACGTTGAGTGCCGTTGCTTCTCCGACGCCAAGTCTTGGTCCGAAGTCGACGAAGGGATCGAGTTCTGGAAATGGAGGGGTAACGAGCACGACGGATATCGAGACAACAATCACGATTGGAGGAACTCGAGGTACTCAGACGGCAAACAGTGGTGGAGTGAAATTGGAGAGAATGAGTGAGGGGCAGGTGGTGGCATTCAGCTTTCTTTGTGCTTTGCTGGTGCTTTTTTTATGAGTGTGGCTCTGCTGAGCGGAGCCATCTTTAGACGTTTCATTAGGAGAAGGGGGAAGAGCTGATCCTTATGAAAGATCATAGGGGCCATGAGGGGTGGAGGTAGAAGATATATTTGTAAAGCAGAAAGCTGTCTTGGAATAGAAAATTCTTCAGCGAGAGGTCCTAGCACCATCGTACAAAACTCTCTTTACGCATTTTCAAGTCAAAATCAGTATCAGATAGGTTCATCTTTGGCTGCATTCTGGCGAGAAACCATCATTTTTGGATATGGGCTGCTACTAGCCCTCAAAACGCCAAAACGGGCCCCCTAGAACACGCCCTTTCCAGCGCACAGAAGCCCTGTATTTACAGGGCTTTGTCCGCTATAAAATCACCAATGCGGCGTGCAACAAAAATTCCATTCTTTGATTCTTATTGGTCACTAGAGGAGCGGGCGAGCCACAGGAGTGAATAATCTGGCTAAATAAGAAGAAGAAAAAGGGAGTAGGAAGATGTTTGAAGTGAAGATTTCAGCTCACTTGGTGAGGAATTTAGCTGGCTGGGTGTGCCTCGCAGGATTGGGGACCTCTGTCAATCCGGAGCACAATACCTTTTTCATTTGCGACCTAGTCTGCAGTATAGGGTTTCCTGCTAGGTGAGGTGATGAGCGTCTACTTCAAGCTAGCCTTCCCTTCTGCTGTTAAATGAAACATAAGATTTTCGAGCGCTGGTGAAAAGGAGAAGAGAAACTTTCCAAGCTCCGCTTTCGGAAACAGCAGAATGCCTACCCGACGGAAAACACGTATGTTTAGTATCTCGAGCGATAAGGATATAGATGCAGAATGGAAGGCGGTGAATATATCGAGACAATGTGAGCGCCGAGGACTCCTATTGCAAGTCTGCATCCAACACCTCCTGGTGCCTCTAATCGAGATGCCTGAATGTCAATATTTTCACGTGACCATCGAGACTTTGCGAAGCTGTAACCCAATAATTGTGTGGATTGCAAACTTCTAGACATAGAGAATCCAGAACTTTGTGAAGGAAAGAGTCAACGTCATCCTTTCAGATTTGGATGTTGGCCATCTGGGATAGTCGTCATTGAGGGAATTTTCGGCGGTATCTCGTAGGATTTTTCCATAATGAGAAGTTGACAGGTGGGCTTTCCTTTCATGACAACCAGAATTAGGATTGAGCGTAAAAACTGATATATGCTCATGATTTTAAGAAGGACCGACGCTCAGGAATGGTGGTACATGCAGATCCACGGAAGTAATGATCTGCTCTCTAGAGAAAGCACTGCAGCTCTGAGTTTTGCATCTTAAAACAGGTCATCACAACTGTACCAATGCTTGAGAAAGATCCGCAGGTCTGTTTACAAAATACCCAGGCTTCTTGCTAACGATAAGCATGAATCCGTACTGGAATGTGAAAGGGAGGCTTAGGTAATCACGTGACCGACGGTGCATTTCGAAGCCATGAGAGCTCTCCAAACATGACATTATAGGACTGACACACTTCAGCCACGCTCTACTGAAGCTCACAACGTCCTCACTCCTTCCAAGACTTGGATTAGGCACTCGCTGCCAATAGAAAAGAGAGTAAATCCTCCTCCAAAACCCTCCTGAACTTGAGGGGGCCCATAAATCCATAAGTAGCGAATCTCTCCGTCACTTATCGTCAGTGATTGGGTCATGAATCCGACCACCAGCATTAGCCGTGCGCGGGAACTTCCTTGGCTCAGCTGACGAGATCTCATATTTAAGTCCGCTGGCTGTTAGTAACGGATTCCGGGCACAGAGAGAGGGGGCGGGGGGGCTGGACTTTAAGCAGACAAATCGGGTACAAATGAGAGAGGTCTTATGTGCCGTGTAAATACTCGATGAAGGTATTCAAATCTCACTAAGCTCGCTGTATTCTTGGCAGAGAGTAAGTGCTGACTATTTGGGTCATCGGGTCTGAAAGTTTGAATAGTGGCTGTGTTTTGAAGGAGTTGGCACCAAAGCGGAGCTCACTCGAGCCGACGAGTTGCAGCTCAAGGTCATTTGAAGATTTGATATTTGATGATGAAATGCGAGAATAGGCTATTCGCACAGCATCGGTTTACTGTTTAAGATGCTGACGATGACTCCGACGAACCCGAAAGAGGCTGACTGACACCTGCAGACATGCAGCAGCGAAAGCTTGGCCAAGTAGCGAACCACGGCACCGGAATTGATGAAGAGAAACTGGAAGGAATTGCAGTACGAATTGACGCAGCTTGGCTCGGTGCTAGGAAATGAATTGAATGTGAGATGACCGGTACATGCGCAGCCACTCGGTCGCATCAAAGAGCAGAGTGGGTCTGAAAGTCAATTTATTGATGTTCATTCAGATCTGAGATTATTCTCGCTTCCCCGACCCGAAGAAGTGGGAAGTGGGGAAGACAAGCTTTTTTCGAGGAGGCGGAGCATGTCGGCCGGCTTCCAGGGTTCAGACCGACTGATGGTGCGCTGCCTTCATCTTGAGTCGTCACTCCTTCGTCCTCTGCAATCGGCTATTGGGACGCTGACCCAGCGGCACGGCATGCCGAAATGTCTGTCGCAAGTATTCCGAAGCTTTGCTACAAAGGCGTTGCCTGGCGATCAGTACGAAGCAACCACGACGCTTCACCGGACGGCTGAAGCCTATTTCACACGGCTTTATGAATGTGAACCCCAACTGGCGGGCTCGCAGGCACGCGCCTCCGCTTAGTCGTAATACAGTGAAACTTCGCTACAAGGATACTCAATATAAGGATATCCTCGATATAAGGATACATCTGCTGGCCCCGCAGGGATTAATTTTGCTGTGTGCCACACCTCGTTATAAGGATACCTCGGTATATCCTTAGTTTTTGGGGACAATTTCGGTATCCTTATATCGAGGTTTCACTGTACACACCCGCCAAAGTTTGTTAGCGAATCCAGCCTGAAAATCAAACCACCGATTAATTTCTTTAATAGCCAGCACGCTTAGGTTCACTTGAAAAAAACCAACATTAATTAATGCGCAGTCTATAGGAGTACCCTCTATAAAAGTGTAAAAATTTAATTGCCATTGTTATGGGAGTTAATATAGAAAAACGTTGATTTTCGGCCCGGATTTCGGTGTATCAACGACTAACCGGAGGGGCGTGTGGCAGGTTAAAGTCATGTTGATGAGGGGGTGCCGAAATCGGGCTCACAGGCTTCGCGTTCGCACGTCCAGAGTCAGGTACCAATATCAGATCAAGTCGTCATCCCATGAATCCTGGTGCAGGCAGGAAGATTATGTATCAACAAGCCACCCCTACAGCCGCTTCACCCGGTTGGAAGTTGGAAGTTGGAATTGAGAGTCGGGGAACCTATCATCCATCCTCCGGTAAGATTGTAAGATGAAATCATAAATGCAAATGCGAATGCAGGCGTTGAATCATGTCCAAGCCACAAGTCAAAGTGGAGGGCGTCGGGCTGCTGTTCCGCTGAGCTAAATATTATTAAGCAGGTAAAGGGGCTCGAACGCCAATAGTGCCTGAGTCACCTCTAGCACCTCGCCTATGGGGGACGACTTGTCATCTGGAAGGCGTCGCTCATGGCACATCCACAGGCTGAGGCACAGCCCGCCTAGGTACTGTATTCATTCTATTGCGAACTATCGTTTCATCATCGGATCCAATGCTTCAACCACGCCACCTCGTAACCATGAATCTATTATTCATAAACACGTTACGAGGAAAAGGATTCTCCACGCTGTTGAAACTGCTAATTTTGGTGAGATGTTGGTGAGGCGAGAGATGTTCGCTAAGAGCAGGACTTCACGGCGCTCTGGCCGTGTACGTTAAGTATTGACGGTGTTGACAAAGAGATACGTGGTGTCGGGGTCGAATTTTCTTGACGAGTGGGTCGTCGTGTCAGAGGTTCTCCTTACGAGGAAAGGCTGGGGCTCAATATGGGGCTACGGGTCTCTCTTTCGTGTCGGGTATGGGGGGGGGGGGAGGTTTATTCAGGTGTTTCTTCACGAGCCTCTGCTTGAGGCGTGTGCCAGACGATTGGCTGCGTGAGGCGTCGGAATGGTGCAGCGGAGCTCGGAGTTGGTTTGCCCCTGTGTCACCCGGGAGAAGAGTTTTCCCGTAACCTAGAGAATGAGGTTGTGACTGCATAATTGCGAAGTAGAGTTGCTGGAGGTAGTACAGATTGGGTGAAGGGTGTCATGTTGGTGGATGCAATTTGCTGCCGTTCTGCAGTGTGACTTTCTGCAGCCCAGAGCGCGGGAGGGGATTCAGGGAAATCTCTGCTTAGAAATCAAGGTCGGTGAGGCAGTGAGGCAGTGAGGCACTGAGGCACTGACGTGTGACGGAGAAGGCTGCACCGAGTGAAGTGATTCAAGTGAAGCGTCGCGCTGACAGGCTAACCGATCCCACGTGAGAGAAGGGCGTGTGTGTCGGTCTGGCCAATTAAAGAGCATCAGCTCGCGAGGTGGGGATCCTAGGAGCCCAAGACTCCTGGGAGTCTTGGAGCGTCTTGGCACAGCGGTGGGCGGCCCATGCGCGCATGCGCGCATGCAGTCGACAAGGCGCGCAGTAAACTCTGGCCGTTCGTCGGACGATGATCCACCATCCATGGAAAGTAAGAATCAAGTGAGTCAGGCCGCAACTATTTCCCATCAAAAATATGCTCGTCTACCAGTAGCCTCACAGGCACCAAGATATAAAGGCAATCAACTCCCTGTTGTTGCTTGAATCTGGAAAACGTACCTCGAAGAAACGCTTGATATCAATTCCGTGGTACAACATACCCGTGGTTCGTCCCCCGCATCAAGTCTGCAGCCTCTATCCTTGGCATCCTTGCCCAGCACCCAGAACACCCATCATATAGTGACGATCTCTCACGAGACTATTTACCCCTCCTCCCTCCTTTCTCCGCGCAACATCTTCAGGATGGACGCAGCTTCAGTCGCTCAGTCGACGACCAGCACGTTTGCGACCTATGCCAAAAAGATGGGCCGTAATGGTCGACCAGATATGGACATCGTCCTCGATAACCATGACGAGGGAAAGATCTATACCACATTCGATGCTCTGTCCGGCAGAGTAGAGATCACCGCGCCACAAATTGCACGATTCGACGAGATTCAAATCACATTAGAAGGGGCCGTAAAGACGTTTGTCGAGAACTTATCACCACACACGACCCGGGCGAGAACGACAGCGCTGCACAACTTCCTGAAGTTGACGATGCCGTTGAGAGATACAGACTATCCTCAGCCACGGATAGCAGAAGCCGGGCAGACATACAAATTCCCTTTCAACTTTGTCGTTCCAAATCAACTCCTTCCCCGAGCATGCTCGCATAAATGCAACACAGAGCATGTCCACCACGCGCATCTGCAACTTCCACCGAGCATGGGCTGTCGAGAGGTGTCGGGACAAGACGATTTGGCTCCTGAGATGGCGAAGGTGCAATACTCGATCAAAGTCAAAGTCCTACGAAACGGAGAAGATGGCAAGGATGTGGTGCTTGCGGAGAAGTTGAGGAAGCTTCATATTGTCCCAGCTCAAGCGGAACTCCCTCCCATGAACATTCTTACTGGCAACTCAGAATCAGACTACGTCCTTTCAAAGACCAAGGCCTTGAGGAAAGGCGTGTTTTCTGGTAAGCTCGGAAAGATCACTGTTTCAGCAATCCAACCAAGTGCGATCATTCTTCCTTCGCCGTCTTCGGATGCCACAGTACCGGCAACGGCAATGGCCACTCTCAACCTTCGCTTCGATCCTCATGACAAGTCATCCCAACCTCCACGACTCGGTGGGTTGACGACCAAGATCAAGGCTTCGACTTTCTACGCTGCCCGACCTGCCGAATACCTTCCATCGCATTACACATTGACCGCACACTTCGAGACAATTCGGGGAGTATACGATACTTCCGTTGCTCTATCTTCCCGATGCGTCGAGGCTGTATCATGGACAAAGCACAAGGCAGCTCCCGCATACACGAGACGCAACTCAGCATCATCGTCCTCAGATTCATCAGATTGCTCGGATCATACTTCCGAAGCCAAGCCAGGCAGCGAATACTACTCAGCCACGGTCTTGGTGCCAATCACTCTTCCGTCATCCAAGACTTGGATCCCGACTTTCCATTCTTGCATCGTATCTCGAACCTACACGATCGATCTCAACCTGAGTATCCACACGCCGGGGAACGGGGTACCTGCATCGACTGTTTCACTGCATCTACCCATTCAGATCGCAGCTGATGGAAACCGGAATGAGCGAACGCCTATGACCGCTGCTGAGGCAGCGGCTGAATTGGCAGGCGCAGAAGAATTCTTAAGGCCGAGAGTGATAGAAGTTCCCAGGCCTGAGCACGTTGGGAACAGTGTCTTGGTGCGACAAGCTTCAGACTTGCCACCGAGCTACGAGGACTTTTCAGCTTCGCAACCCCAGGTGGTTGATCCTGGAAGGTGTTGATTTTCTTTCAAACCAAACTGATTGAGCGGTATTGGAAAGCTATTTGAATTGCAAGGCGTTCTGGTTGGATTGGATATGGGCCTCGGCAGGTCTTGATTTCGGGCGTTTTCGGGTTTCTTTTCTCTGGATTCAATAATCCATGATGAGCAACAAAATGGATACCCTATAGAATTTATTTTAACATACTTTAATTCTAATATTACCTTCATATCTGTACAAAATCTAGCATCTGCGTAATTGCCATCTACTCTCACAACGCTCCAGGATTTAACCTCCAGCCACATTTCCTTCTCCCCCTGCTGGTACCTGCAGACCCACTTTGGTCTCCCCGACGGGGCCTCCCGCTTCCTAAACTCCCAATACGAGCATAAGCCTCATATTGCTTCTGCTCACGATAACAATTCCTCCAAAATAAATCGCTCAAGGAACAAGTCGCATTCTGGGATGTTATTAACCACTCACACGCACCTTTACCGCCGGCACATGCCCCCGAACCCTTGGCTTCGCGCGTGTCGACGTTTCACCGCTTCGAGACCCCCTTCGGAGGGAACCGCTTATTTCAGGATGCCAGCGCAGCTAGCAGTTGCCTCTGCGCAAAAGCAAGTCCAACGAACGACACGATGATCAAAATCTGAAAGCAGGTCATCTTGCCCTCTGGCAGCCATCGACCGGATATGCAAGTCAATCAGCGTTATCTGCTGAAGAAACGCTGCTGCTGAAGATGGCGCAAAATGTCGATGCGAAAAAGTACTATGGATACCTGTTCGAGGCCGACAAGAAGCCGACCCAGGTGCTCGATGCACTGCTGCGCGGCATCGCAATCTACATTGTGAGTTGTGATCAAATGGCAGACTATGCGCCATGCCATCATCGAGAGACATCGAAGCTGACTGTCGCATCGCAGAGCACGTCAATAGGAAACACCGAGCAGAAGAAGCTCACGCCCGACAAACTAGCCACTTTCTATAAGGCTGTAGGAGGCAACTACGACTGTTTGTGCCCATCAAACACTTCGCAGCGCAGCTTGCTAACGATCCCGTGCCACAGCCCTCTTCGTCGAAGTCCCTCACCCATCCATCTCCTGGATCTACGCATCAATAGGGTGTCAGCAGACGCTGCAACCGACCGCCGACGACTTCGCACCTCCCTCCATCCCCGCTCTCACAAAGAAAGGCTTCGTGCGCTGGCAGTCCATCGAGATATTGCTAGGGCCAGACGAACACGTCCCCTTCATCCAAACCGCCGTCCGCACCTTCAACATCAAGAACCCCGACACAGGCGAGCCCTTCCCCCTCGACCTACCCACCAGCGCCTTCCCCCTCGTCGCCGACAAGGAAATCGAGAAATGGCATAACGCATGCGCCGAGAAACTGCGGCAGCGCGCGACACCTACAGACGAGGACATCCGTCCCCATCTCCCTCCAAGACCTCGAGTCCAGTCTGGCTACACACACGTCCGTCCGCCGCGACGCGCGGAAACAGATAATCCCTACTTCGACAACCACAACACGAAATCGCGGTCATCTCGCCCTATTTCATATCAACACGTCACGGGCCCGCCCGTGAGACCTAAGCTCAGCCGCTCGCCCTCACACACAGCAAGACAGTTCCTAGCACCAGAAGACAGCCACTCTCCCCGCCTCGCGCGCTCCCGCCGTCGTTCGGTCCCCGAGAACTTGGGCTCGAATCCGACGAGTCCTTCAAGTCAGCTAGGAGCAGATCTCAGACCCCCGCAGGAACAGCATGCGAGGAGACATAGCCATCCTCGGCATGCGAGACGTGGGAGCTTCTCAAGTGATGCGTCGAGTTCGGGTGAGGGCGAGAGCCCACCGAGTCCGACTTCGAGGCCTAGACGACGGAGTCGTGCTGATGGGGCGCCGTCTGTGCGCTACTCTACCGTCCCTCCGTCCCCCAGTGTGAATGCTGTACCGCCACTCCTGGATCCGAGATTGAGACCCAGGGATCGGGATCTAAATAGTAGAGAAGAAGAACTTAAGAGACAAAGTCTTCCTATTCCGATCGATTTAAGTGGGAAATTGAGCGCACCCTTTCTTCTTGGGAAGAGAAGTGCGCCGAGAGAATCAAGCAGGAATGGGAATGTGCGGTGGAAGGACCTAGATGGTGCGGAACTGTTTAGGAGGAGCGAAGATGATGGCAGGCCTGAGGTGAGGAGGAGAGGAAGCGGCGAGGGGAGAAGTGATAGAGAGGGGTGTAAGAGGAGGGAAAGGGAGAGGGATAGAGATGGCGTTGCTTATAGAGGGGAGAGGCCGAGACTACATGCTAGGCGGAGTAGTCACGAGGATTTGAGGAGGGAGAGGGATAGAGATCGTGATCGGGAGGAGAGGGGTACTGGGAGTGGTGATGGGAGAGGCTTTAGGGAACGAGAGAGGGGTCGGGAGAGGAGCTTTGCTGGTGGAGATGTTAGAGGTGTGGATGGGAGGCGGTATCCGCCTCACTGAGAAATTCGGCTCATTATTTGGGGGATAATGATTAATGAGGTTCAACCATCGATGGTGGTGGGAGGGGAGGACATGATTTACGACTGTGGGAGGGCAACATGTTTATTAAAGACTCGGCTCCGCAAGGTCTGGTGGCACAACATTTGTTGTACTTAATCACTGCGATGATTTAGCAACGCGACTCTTTTGGCTGCATCACCTATTCCCCCTGATATGCAGTGCTTGCCGAAGAAGGAGGATGTTGAGAGGAGAGGTAGAATTGCCTTTCGCTCCTACTCTTTGTGAGTTTTGCATCCTCTTCGTTGCATTGACCTGCTGCCGGCTGATTGCTCTTATATGCAATCACCATCAATGCTCTCCCTAATCCTCTCCGTTCCCATTCAACGACATTTTCTTTTGACATACCTGACCGTACCATCCTGGTCTCTCACCAATTCCCATCCCTTCTTCTCTGCTATGTCTTCAGGTCTAAGCCCCTCGACGTCTCTGACCTCGACATCCGCATCCCTCTCCATCAACTCCATCAGAACGTCATGCCGCAACCCTCTCACTTCATCTCCCACTACACCTTTCAAAAGGGGCGTCCATCCAGAGCGGTTTCTTGCTTTAATATCCTCTCCCCTATTAATCAATAGATTCCCAATATCCAGATCGCTCATGATGACGACTAAAGCAATGACACATCTCCCCATTCCGCGGTCAAATTGTTCTTTCACCATTACCCGGCACTGTTCAACCCCCATACTTCACTCACCAGCCCTGGCATTCTCAACGCTCGTGAAGTAGTACCAAGGTGCCCATTACCTATCCATTAGATACCCCTTAGCCTCATTATCTCAGCGTTTCTTTCCTCGGCATGCATACTGTTCAACAAACCGAGTTGGGGCACGTCTGCTCTCAATACGCTCTAATCATAGTTCGTCCGGGACGCCGAGATTGGGATTGCGATTGGGATCGCATCTGCTCCTGGGCAAGTAGATTGGTTGACAACAAAGTACGTTGTTTTTTTTTCTCTGGTGAGAAAGGAGGCGTTGGAGAGTTTTAGGGGAGAAGATGGTCATGAGAATTGCGATTTCTTGGCGGTGCGAAGAAGAGAGAGGATTTTTAGAGGCTTTGTGGGGTGGGTGTTTTTTTAATATTTTTTTTGTTACAGGTTGATTGATGCAGAAGGGGAGGAGTTTCTATTTTTGATCTGATTGGAGCGAGGTCCGTTCTTGTTGGGCACCCGAATCATTAGTGAAGTCACTGGAGATTGTTGAAAGAGGCTTTGTGGCTTCGGGCTAAGGGTAGAGGACAAGGGAATGTGTGCGTGTTGCCCCCTCCTCGGCCCCTATTTTGCTTAAGCGAGGAGCTGCACGTGATAGCTGCTGTGCCCCTTCGGACCAGCTTATGTCATCCTAGAAGGCATGAAACACAATCAGAACTGTTGTCATCCTGGTCTTTCAGCGGCAGAACCTACCAGCGGTAGTAGCATCTTTAACTTAGACGTCATATCGCGTGGTCCTGAGACCCGAGAGAGTAAACATGACTCAAGTGCCAGCCGGGAAGCATGAGCCGGGAAGCCAAAAAGGCTTTGAGGGTGAGGAGGAGCAAGATGGGGAAGAAAAAGAATGGGACGAGGATGAGAATAAATGGACACCATTACAAACCGCCTCGGGAGAAGGCGATCTCCAAACTGTCTCAGACCTCCTCCACCGAGGCGTTGACCCAAACGGACTTCCCAAGGGCTGGTACGGCAAGACAGCTCTTCAAGCTGCATCCGTCAACGGACATCTCCCCGTTGTTGAGAGACTTCTCAAAGCAGGAGCAAGAGTCGACGCACCAGGCGGCAACAACGGCGGTCGAACAGCCCTGACACTAGCTTCCGGAGCCGGGCACGAGGACATCGTCAATGCACTGCTTGCCTCTGGAGCCGACGTGACCATTCCAGCACATCGGTACATGGGACGAACAGCGCTCCAAGCTGCTGCCGAGGGAGGACATCTGGATATCGTGAAGAGACTTCTGAGGGAAGGTGCGCATATCAATGCGGACCCTGCTCACAACTCAGGCAGGACGGCCGTGCAAGCTGCCGCTTTGAACGGGCATCTTGAGGTCATAAATTTCTTACTCGATCAAGGGGCACTGATCAATACGCCGCTGATGCGGTATAAGGGCTCGACGCCACTTCAAGGCGCGGCGTTGGGAGGTCACGTGGAGGTGCTTGAGCGACTATTGGATGCGGGAGCTCACGTTGATGCGGAGGGCAGTTATTACAATGGATACACAGCCTTATGTGCCGCTGCCGAATCGGGACATTTGGAGATCGTGAAGAGGCTATTGGAGGCGGGTGCTGATATCCACAAGACGTATGGAAACAAGCATCTGATGCCGATTCAAGCTGCCAATTGGAGAGGACATGAAGATATTGTACTGGTGCTGAGGAATGCGGGTGCCATATGGAATTAAGTAATTGACCCCCTTTCACGGGCTCGAATCCTCAGGAGTTTACAAATTGAATCTCTTCAGGCATGTCCTCGGGAGAAGAGTCTCCGTTTCGGGATCCGGTTGACCCCATCGAGCCGTCAATTGACTAGTTGAATCATGAGATGCACTTGGCATGTCCACATCTGGTCTTGTCGTCTCATCTGATAAGATCTTTTCGATGCTGTTCAGATGGTTTCAGACTTCGGACGCAGATAGATCAATCTACCCGCAAAAGCTTGGCAATAGGTAGTGCCGAGTTTCATGAATCCGAACCCTCCCTAGCTCATCGGATCTCAGCATCTTGCCTAGATCTCGTCAGTTTCGCGAATCGAAGGTTTTGAATCGTGTCATGAGGTTGCTGGTGACGAAGTGTGTGTTCCGTCTCATGTTTTGCATGGCCTTGGCAGAAAGGGGTCCTCGCTTACACTTCGACAACACCAAGTCAATGCCAAGTCTAAGCCTTCACGATGCCTTGAAGGGTTTCCACGTCTTAGGGAGCTTTCCATGTCATAAAAATTCATTCTTCGTAATGGGTTGTGTTCATATAAACTGGTATGGTATCCTGCCAAACTGTCTTTCTACCCTTCCTCTCTACCGCACACTCTTTACTTCACTTCTTTACCGCCGGTCGGATATACTTTTACTTTCTCTCAGGTCCAACTACGATTCAATCTTCTATCCTTTATTCTTTCTTTCCGTCACAATCTCAACATGAAATTCTCCGTCCTCACCGCCCTCTTCACCCTGGTAGCTCTCGCATCCGCCATCGCCATCGAAGAACCCGGCGCGTCAGTGGTCCGCCGCGAAGTCCTCCTCGAACGCCAGGGCGCCAACGCAAACCGGCCTGTTCCAACTGGAGCTTGCTGCGTAGCAGCAACCAGTTTGAAGGAAGACGTCTGCTTCAACAATGGCCAGTCTGGCCGTTGTGTTCCAGATTCGGTAAACAACTGTAAGTCAAAGCCCGAGAAATTGTAGGTTGTTATTGATGCTGACGATGGATATAGGCGGGGCGACCTTGACATGTATCGAGGATAGCAGACTTACGTGTAATGCGGCTGTTTTGGAAAGAGGCAGGCCGACGTGTAGACGTACGCCTGGTGCATAAATGCCAGCTTCAAAGGATGGGTTTGGAAGATGAGCAAAATGGCAAACGATTAATTAAACGCAAAACGTTTTAATATATGTCTCATTTTCAGGAAAAATGGAAGCATCTATTCCTCAAAGATCAAAGACTTCTTCTTCGTGATGATCAAAAACCCCAACGATCATGTGAAGAGTACCTCAGCACTTCAATGTCGCGTCCTGTTTCACAACAAGAGCGTATTCCCTTCGCAATAACCATGGCAGCCCCGCCCCATCTTTCCCACACACAGCCTCCACACAAGAGGAAACCGTATGGATATACCTAACCTTGCCCCCGTCCACGCTGAAGAAGTGACTATCCGACATCGACGACTGCCCCTGACTCCTATCCAGCCCCGGAAAGCCCAAAAACATATCCACCGCACCCATAACCTCACCAACCACATGCCTCCGATTCGTAACCTTGATCGTGAAAGGCAATCCCAGATCACACGTTTCTTCCGTTAGATTATTAGCTCCTGTGCAAGCTCCGCCTTCAGGACGAGCACAAGGCGTTCTCCAGGGAACAGTGACGTTAATGTTGCCAAAACTGTTGAAGTAGGCGTCGCCTACTGCTTGGGTGACTGCGCTGCTGTCTTGCTTTGCTGCTGGAATGGGCTCCCAGTTCTCTAGAGAGCTCGAGATATCCTGTTGCGTTGAACGCCCAATCTCCGGGATGAGTAGCGGCCGACTCGATGGCTGTGATTTGATTCCCTGTAAACATCACTCTGGTGCCAATAACATATGGTTATGTTGGGTTGGTGACGATTAGTTCGGTGAAGGTTGCACAATTTGTGGTATCGTGAATGCTGATACCCTAATGTGATCGATCTTCATTGGCTGGGACAAGACACCGGTCTTGATGCTCACGGGGTTCTCGCTCTCGATGTGTGATGCATTACTGGCAAGGGCGGTGATTAGAGCGGGATTTCCGTTTCTTTGGGCCGCGATATATTGAGCGGTTGCGTTTTGGAGGAGGGCTCGGGTGAAGTGGGCGGAGACGATGGCGACGAAAAGTGCGCCGGTCCAGAGAATTGAGTGAAAAACGCCTATTTTGAATTTCTCTCTTTAAACTGGATACTAAGAGGAAGATCAAATTTTGCCCTTCTTACCTGAAGATTGCTGATCTGGGCCCATTTTATATCCCCTTCAAAGCTGAGGGATCAGAAATGCCGATATAACGAATAACATTCGATACTGGCAGTTGAAGTCTCCATCCAATTGGTCCCGTTAGGGCCATATCTCCCATCTCCATATACAACTTGTACAACGTAATCGTCCAAAGTATATGAAATTGCGTAGTTCCTGGCAGTTGCGGGGAATTTTCCCCTGAAAATGTGGGGGCATCAGGTGATGAACCCCCCACCGTCTACCGGACTACGGCACTTTTTCAACCATTCAGGAACGAAAATCTGGAATGAAGGGACTTAAAGTATACTCATGGATCGCCATATCGGATTCCTAAATTTGTGGTTTCGAAATGTCGAATAAACGTTACTTAACACTCAGCCCCCCCCGTATCAAAATCATTACTTGTGACCTTCCCACGCGGCGAATATCCGTCGAAATCTACGAATAAGCACTAATTGAATTTGTAAACGCAGCCTGCAGTTCTTCCTGCGCAACCGACAAAGTATCAAGCTCGTTCTCGTTGACTGAATTCTCAAGCGCGGTGAACAAATTGAGCGTTGCCACATTTCCCGTATTCAAATACCCCAAAACCAGCGACTTCTGCCCCGCAGCGGCTATGGCATTCTCCTGTCACTTCATCAGCATTCCAACATTCCCGCTTCTATGAATGTCTGATAGTCTTACATCGCTTATGAGCGCGATAAGGAATGTCAGAGCATCCTGTGCAAAAGTTGCAGCCGCATTAGCCACCGACTGCGAATCCATGGTGTTGAACGACCCGACGGCAACGGTATCACTCGTGGTGACGGCGAGATGATCATTTAGATCTGAGAAATGTGAAGAGAAGGTCTTGATTCCGATCGAGGGGGATTTGACGAAGGATGCGAGGTTCCCAGAGAGATGTTGGACGTTGCGCGTGATGATGCTGAAGTCACCTAGGACTTTGGCGGTGTTGTCGACGCGTTTGGCAATCGGGGTGGAGAATACGAGGGTTGAAGAGAGGAAGAGGGGGAAAAGAGAAGTGAAGATCTGCATCTTGAAAGTCCTGTTTGAGGAATGCTGCGAATTGAGAATTATAGCCGAAATCAGCCTGAAGAACAAGTAGATGTGTGAATAAATGTAAGAGGAAAACAGTTCTTTAAAGGAACAAAGGCTAGAAAATCTTCCAGAAATAACAAGAGGCTGAGCTCGTGCATGCAGGCATGGAAATCACGCGCCAAAGTTAAATGCCCGGAGGAGATTGATTCCCAATCGGGAAGGAACCCTCGGCTGTGCTGAACATGACCTGTGAAGTCGGACCTAATTTTACTTATTATTCAATGTCAGCGAGCAAACAAAGAGTTTAGCGGACCACCTTTGGTGTCACTTGGCAGGGAATACACAGGATCATCCCCCAACTGTGCTGCATTTCGTATATAGAGTTTAACCGTTTCAATAGGTTGAGTGCATAAAATAATCGCTAGCTGAGTCGTGAGCCGCAGGTCTAGTCCCGAAGGACTATCATGAGGGGTTTAGTATTCTGAGTAATCCTAAGGTTCCTCATCTTTATTCAATTGTAAACGTACAGTTCTTCTAATCTTTTGTGTACGACATCGTAAACTCTCTTTGATTAATACCCGTTGGAGTTGCTGACGTGAGACTGATGAAGACAATACGATGCTTCCACCAACTTTGATGGATCGCACGTTCACGACTTGAAGGAAAACCACTCTGACTGTGCTGGATCTAATGGCGTTTACTATTGCAGTTGGCCGCAACTCAGCATGGAAGGAGTCAGGTGGGTGAGTGATTACCGAATCACGTGATACCCCTTTTATGTTACTGTTTTTGCCACTTGGAGCCTTTTCGGCCCAGTTGCGGCCCAACGCTGGCTTCTCTTCCTTGTTAGTTGTTCTCATACATCACAAAACTCTGAATTAACGACAAGACTTACTTATATTTTTGGCATCCTCTTCAAAATCGTTTTCTTGAAGTTGTGACGTCGAAATCAAGTGCTTCAACCTCAACTTGGTGCGATATCACACTCGAGCTCGCGTGCCAGCATGCGCCACGGTTCATGCTTGCAACCCAACCATTTTAGAGAAATTATCCCAAGGCTGGAAGTTCTTCGAGTCATAACTCTTCTGTCTCCCATGACCAAGAGGTTCTCTGTCGTGGCGCGATGTGATTGGCTAAACGCGTGAAAGGGGCTGAACAAGAACCCGACTCTGACGTTGCACAACAAGGCACAAACAATTCTCAATCCCAACCACGGTAACTGTACCAGGAACCATCGGGTCGGGCAGTCACAGAAAATGACATGTGCCCAACCTGAAGTTCAAGTGGCCGGGGAGTGAACCCGGACGAACGCCTCGTGCGAGGCTGCTCACAATGCGGCTATAGATAGCAGCCACCGAGTATGGCCAGTATGCCACAGTCATAGCCACGTCAAAGTCTGGCCTTGTCACTTCCTAGTATATATACCATCTGCAAAAGTTGGCTTCCTCGATTTTGAATTTCTCTTCATACACCGTCAGCGATTCACCACTGTACCATTACCTTCGATAGATCTAATATTATTCCTTATTCTCTGCGTGTATATTTGAAGTGAATTATGTCTTTTTTCCCATCTCCTCAGCTCGAGGAGCTTCGAGCTCGGCTGTCGCAGGTCGCAGATGCCATTTTCGACCGATCAGCGCGACTTCATGGCTCACCTTTCGGACGGCCAGGAGCAACAACAGGTTCGGATAGTCGATTATTATCGTTATGCGGAGGCCCAGGGAGAGCAGACTGGGTTTTGCAACATCTTGGGCAACACTGGGCGAGTCTTGCCGAAGACAAACAGACGATGTTTCGAGACGACTGGGAGAGCGGGCTGAGAGCGATGCAACGGGAGCTGACGACACCATGTACCAGCTGTCCAGCGGGTGTGGCTGAATGCAATCGGTGTCGATACATGGTGCCGAGCATATCGGAGAAACTTGAGAGATTGGCAGAAGAAGTTGTTGGGAAGTTGGAGACTGAGCGTGCTCGGGTGGCCGACGAGGAGGAAAGGAAGGAGGCCGCGATGGCAGAGCCAAAACAGGAACCCAAGGAAGAACCGGAGAGGCCGCCAACAGCAGATCCAGCACTCAAAGAAGAACTGGAGAAAGCATCTGGAGAAGCCGCAAGTTTGAAGGAACAGCTGGAGAAAGCAACTGGTGATCTTACCGGCCTGACCACGAAGAATGAAGAACTTACAAAGGAGCTCGACACTGTGAAAGAGGAGCGAAAGAGCGCTCGGGAAGCACTAGGAGAGGCACTTCATCAACTTGACAAAGCAGCCACGAACATCGAGTGGTACGCCAAAGACTTGGAAGCAGGAAAGCGATGGAAGATGGCAGCCGAGGTCTACAACGACCTTCGCCAAATGAGAGAAGCGAAACTGAGTCGCCAAGATGGCGGAGCGCTGTCCGATGACGAAAAGCCAAAAGTCAAGAAAGAAGCTGTTTTGTTCAGATATAAGCAAGTATCTGCACTCATGAATTTTGGGACTTATCCGGATCCAGATCTTCTGGGCATCGCGGAGGAATTATGGGAAGACATCGGTGCCAAGGGATGGATGGGACAGGAAGGGAAATTGCTATTTGAGCCAACATCAAGGGAACTCCGGAAGATCCACGAAGATTACTGCAGCATCCTTCGCGGCAACAAGAGGTACGACGATGCAGAGCGAGAATGTATGTTTGTCTGGTATCTGCCATCGTGGTGGGTTGACAAAGATCAGAAAGACGACTGGAGATACGATACGGCGTACCGGATTGCCGGGATCATGAATGAGAAGAAGAATTACGAAGAAGCGGTGGTCTGGCACAAGAAAGTCGTGCAGTGGGCATTGGAAGTGAGTCCACGAAGGATGAAGCGAGCGGCAAGAAGCGGAACCAAATTGATCTCCCTCTTGGAAAGTTTGAAACGCGAGAACTGTCTCATTGACATTCTCACGCCTATCTGGGCTGCAAAAGAGCCCGATGATAATGAGATTGATATCTTGACCTGTGGGTACGAGCTTGGTAGCCGTCTCCTGCCAAATCGGCCGGAGAGAGCAGCTCCAGTACTAAGAGGTGTCTGGGAAGGCATGAAGGCAACGAAGCATAAACAGGCGATGGACGTGGCAGAGCTTCTGGCCAAAGCATACGGTAGTCTGGAGAAGGACAAGGAACTCGAGCAACTATATCCCTGGATTATCGACAACCTCACAGACGACAAAAAGCTCGAGAGAAACAAATACCGATACGCTCTTGGATACGTCCAGTTCACTCGCGAGAATGAAGAAGCAGAAGGTACCTTGAGAAAAGCATGGCACGAGCTTGAGCAAGATCCCCGATATGGAAGGGACCATCGCGATACGCTTCAGAGTGGTCTCCTTCTTGGACAAGTACTTGTGAAGAAGGGAGCTCTTGATGAAGCACAGGTATTCTTGAAGGCTGCATGGGAGGGAGGACACAAATATCCCAATACCACACTCCTCGTCAGAGCAGGAGAATTCTATAGCGATGTTTTGGTTCTGACTGGAAATCCTCAAGCCCTGGATGCTGCGGAGAGAGTCCTCGACGAAGTGTGGAAGATAGCTTCGAGGATGTCGCTGAATAACTACGTCCGCGACAGAAACTCAGTGCTCTGGCCAGCATTGTTGAGTGCCGGGGACTGCTATGGCAGGTTGCTGCTGGATCGTCAAAAATGGGCGGACGCCGAGAAGCTGTTGATGAAAGTTGTGAAATTGAAGAAGGACTTGGGCCATGGTCAGGAGGACCTTGAAGAGACTCAGCACTTGCTGGAAGAGGCGAAGAGAATGCAGCTGCCGCCGCCAGAGATTGTCAATATTGGACCAAGAGATATAGGACTGCCAAATCTAGAGCTTCCGCAACCGGCAAGGCCGCGGTCACGATCTCGACGGAGGCAGCCTCGCAAACGGCCAGGATTCCTTTCCGATGTTGCATGGTGGATGATGACGACCTAAAGTCGTGTGAGCGTGGGGATTTTGTAGTACATGAAGGTCCACGATGTTGTAGGATTGAGGATGTACACTTGGGGCGTTATGGACGTTCTTTTAGGGTAAATGGTTTCCTTTGTCAATAAATGTTAGATAGTTTAGAAGAATAGAATGGCGTTATTTGCATGATGGTCTACCTTCACATTACGAATCTCAGCTTCGTTGACGCACTTGACATGTCATACATCGGAACGAAATGCGTTTATAAGAAAAGAACTCCCCGTCTCGTGTGTCATTTTTATCTATTTATCTATTTTCAACTTTTTAGTCAGTAGCTAGCTACTCCAGCTTCGAAGGAGTCACCGTTTTGGCGTTATTCTTATAATCTTCGGATTGAGAAAGAAAAGAGAGGAAGATAGGTAAAAGAGGGTTCTCTTACATGATTGTGCAACAACATCCCTCTCTAGTGTCAGCTGACCAAGTACTTCTCTCATCCCCACGTCCACCAGAGCCACCTCGCATTCCGACTATGGAATTGATTTTAGCCTCCGTTGGGGATGCTGCGGTGTCGTTTGGCACAGCCAAGGGGGTGGGCCGCGGTGCTCGAAGCTCTTCTTCGACTGGGCTTTCGCGGGTTGACGGCGGTATGCCTTCTAGAGTCTTGGAGATGATTGTGGAGATTTGGTTGGTGATTTGGTTGGTAAACATATTGGGATGTTTTCCTTGAGGCAGTGATTTGTGGAATTCCAAATGGTATCTATCTCGTCTGTGTCTGTAGATGTTTCTTGCTCGTGAGTGCGGATGATAATAACACCGAAGAGAGTGCGGAAGTTGTGGCTTTTATCTCCGTTTATTGATCCTATCCTCAGATTGTTCTGCATCTCGAGGATCTGTCTGCCATGTTCTTTGAAAGTCTCTGACCAACCCCATTTTTTAGGTAAGCGACTTGATTCCGTAATAAAGGTTCTGAACGGTCTTGGAAGTGTTGAGAAATGGCCTTTGATGAAAGAAATATGTTTCAAAGAGATGATGAATGAGCTTGAAAGGATACATTGTTGGCTGGGGACAAAGCCAAGCCATCAGTGGTGAACAATGGATGAATTTGTCCGTAGCGAGCCAGTTCTAGAGCATGAGAAATTGCAACATGTGAACAACTGTGAGACAAATCTTGAATACCTTCTAATCGATCGTATCGAATTAGCTCAATACGTTATTCCCACAATCAGTATATTCAACTTACCGATGCTCCATGTGAATGTTGGGTTTCGGACGAAGAGCCTATCCACCATGTCAACAAGTGAACAATGACCAACCACATCTCAGCCCAACATATAAGGGGCATAAAAAACTCCCCATCCAAACTTTTCTTGAACAAACGTAAACCGCATAACATTAAGCAAAATGTCAGAACCCCAGGAACCGGACAGCTTCAACCCCTATCAACAAATAAGCAACGCAGACCCCCACAAGAACTCACGGCCCGGTTCTATAGATTCCTGGGAACGACCCCGCTCCCCATCTTTAGTCACCAAATGCTCCATCTCACCTACCTCCCAGTATTCGCAGCATTCCCACCACCATGTTCCTTCCAGCCCCACACTCACAACACACTCTGTACCCGAACCGGGCGTCGGCAATCAACCATATCCCCCAAGCGCCGGCGCAGCCATAGCTGAACGTGTCTGGCCTTCGCACCAAGAACCCGGTGGTCATCGAACCGAGCCCACACTAGCACGAGGCATCTGGTCGTCCGCTGGTAGCGGGTCATCACAGTGGCTTCTCGCTATCCAAGTCATTCTGCAATACGAGTTCACCAACCCTGATCTACTGGAAGAGGCACTTGAGAGTCCGGGGTCAGGAGTGAACTGTGTTGGGAAGAGCCATCGCCATTTTTTGGATGGGAATCGAGGGCTAGCTAATGTGGGAGAGATGTTGATGAAACTGGTATTGGCAGACCAGTGTTATCTCTTCAAGATACCTGAGGGTAAAGCTCTCTGTCCCTGGAGGACAACGGGAAGGTGCTGATCACTAATGGTTTATTAGGTGACGCGGGCAATATTCTCGACAGACTGATTGGAAGAAAAAATCTCGCCTACATCTGTTGGAAATCTCAGATGGAGAAGTTTGTGAGACGGAAGAAGCCATTGAGACCGACGAAGCGGAAGAATATATTTTCGGTGGTGAAAGATGACGCCTCGAGGGAGGATCCTTCGAGGACAGCAGCTAGAGCGATACGAGCTATCATCGGAGCGATCTATTATGATGGTGGATTACAGGCGGCAAGGAGGGTTATGGCAGAGCTGGGGCTGATCATTAAGCCTGGTGAGTAGAAAGGAAACAGACGTGATAAGTTGACAGGAAGGTTGGCTGGAGCGGAACGGGACGGAACTACGTAATACATAGTTGCCTGACCTTTTGGGTGTGAGAACAATGAAGAGAGTATTGTATTTACCTTATGTTCAGAGTGCAAGGCTCGGGAGTTGAGTGAGATACTTGCCGAGGATGGGCAGCACGTGATTGACCACCCACCCATGCCAGCCAGCAGCTGTGTGAGGACAACGCTAAAAGGTTCGAGAGTCACTGCAACTCAAATAGGGAAGAGAACCAGAGCTCCATAAACTATACACGACGGACTCTGAGTTGCACGGATGCGATTCGAACGGAGAGGTTTGGGTTGTGGACAGCGATCTACGATAAGGGTAGGCGCTGGCCTTGCACCGAGGCGAGGGATCTCCACGATAAAGCAAGGATTAACTTGGTATGAAGACCATTCAAGACTTGGTTCCTGATTCATCAGCAATGGTGCATGCTTCAGACGACCTGCCATAGGGGCTTGGGCAATGTGAATCATCATCCTGAGCCTCGAAGAAGACGATGGAGTGCCTTAAGGGGTACTAGAGATATACGGCATGCATACCTCGAGACTTCGGGAGCAATTAAGTCTATCAGGAAGTAACAACTCGATCGATGCAAGCTTACTGCTCCATCTTGCGGAGCGTATGCCCATTTGGCCGAGACAGCTCAATATCAAAAGTCCTGGATGTGTGCACGGACCATGCCAGACTCCCCCGGAAGTTCGTGAATGGAATCGTGAAGTGAGTGATTGAGTGATATTTCCATCTCAGGAGGTCTCTGGGGGCTTGCCTCATTTGCGTGAAGGAGTGATGACATGTCGCTTAGGCCCAATCGAGGGGGTGCCTCCCACGCTGCAGAAAATTCACGCGCTCTGATTGGCCAGCACCTAGGACTCCGCACTTAAAAGGCTCGACACCCCCCCAACCACACCAACTTTCTTACACACTCTTCTTCCTGCGTGCAATCCATCAGAACCGAACCCCCCGTTATCAACAAACTCTTTCCGATTTGTTTGAGGCTCTTCGGACTCTTGTGAGGGCTTCCTCACCTGACTGATATCCGGTACCCTCGATTCTCTCTTATCGCTTGATTGTTCGAAGGGCACTCGCCCAAGGCACCACCCCTTCACCGAGAGTCATCAACATCTCACCGCCAGTGAGTGTTTCATCAATTCCACCCATCAATTCCACCCATTTCATCAACTTTCTCATCAGTATCAACTCAGACACTCGCTCAACCGCCGTCGACGATATTTTCAGCTCGCCAACATCGCAGCCCCACGCTTATGGAAGGCATGCCTGCCAGCCAACATCCCCACCCCGCAACACAGCAACTTGGTACCCAAGCGACGGCCGGATCCTATCCACAACAACCACCACCACAGGAAGCAACAAGAAAGCAGTCAGCTGACTTGCTTCTCCCAAAGGTTCCTGCAAGACCAACTTCCGCCTTTTTGAAGAAACACAAATCCAACAAAAAGGTCCGCTGGGACCACTCCGTCGTAGATAACGAGAAGACGCCAAAGGTTCCATCGGTGAGGCCACCAACCCCGCCGCTCCAAAAGAAAGTCGCTGGTCCTCCGAAAAGCTCGGCCCTGCCTCACCCGTCACAGACAACATCGACTTCGATTGGGCCTGTAGCAAACACCTCCGCAAAAATGTACTCACAGTCTGAACGACCGCCGCAAACTGTTCGTCCAAGTGGGCAGAGTACATACTCGGGTCCGGATCCGTGGTACCAACCTAATCCTATGAACCAGCCCGCCCCAGCTGTGGCATCGGGAAGACCAACGTATGTCCCAGCAACTCAGCGACCAGGCCAGCGTCTAGCGGCAAACTCTGCTTCGAAAAGAAAGGCCAATTCAGCCGGCAAAGTCGTCGAGATATTCTTATCAACTTCCAAAGGTCATCAAACGAAGACCCAAAAACCAGCAGGAACGACTTCTCGTGTCCCTCCAGCAGTTCCAGATGCACCACAACCCAGAACCCAAGGCCCTCCTCCGACTCCAAGAATCACAAGACTGCCAACCCCAGACTTGGCAGAGGTCAGTGGGACGACATTCTGTACCTGTGATGCTAAAAACTGCAACAAACCCGTCCATTTGTATACGGATGCCCAAGAAAGTAAAAACGTCTGTACTTGCGACGGCACGAACTGCAACAAGCTCTTCCACGTCAAGATGAACGTCCAAAGTAAGAAACCTTCTGGGCCATCGACACAATGACACCGCTAATCAACTCAGTGGAAGAGGCTAAGGCATACATGAAGGGTGTGAATGTAGGGAGGCATGGCCGAGCCCACCGGGTGAGGAGATAGTGAGGGATTGTACTGAAGCCCGCGCAGTGGGAGGCTGTCAGCTGATGGGGGGACCTGGCGTTTAGCTGGACCCGTTGGCCATTTTGACTTTGTCCTTAAAAACGTAGCTTTCCTTGGAACCCCAGGATATCTTTGATGATCATGAATATAACCATATCTCCAACCTGTCTCTCATGTATTTCGTGTGCAGTCGCTGTGATCGAGCTTGACTTGTCGAAGGCTGAGATATTCGTGTGCACGGCTCGTTCCAGGCAGGCTCTCCCCTAGTTTTGCTGTGAAGTATGGAATGCTCTGCGACCGGTGACTTCCAGGGCTTACACACACGCCGCGACCGCCCTTAATTCGTCCAGAAAGGCTCCTCTATGCAACAGCTGGCCCGCAGGTGTCATGGTGGTCGCTATGTGGTGTTGGAGAAGTTAACATGTCGTCTGGATTTCCTCGTTAAAAAGGGTGGACACGCACGGCGGAACTTCGGTGTTTCGAGTCATGAGTCCTTCCCCGCGCGCCAACCCCCCACCTTCTTCTACCCCTTACTATAAAAGTCAGAAGAAGTACCGAAAACCTCAAAACTCACAAAACTTCTCGAATTCAACTACCACATTTCCACATCTATCTTGCAGAATCAGAACACAATGGCAGACTTCAAGCCCGTCTTCACCAAAGATGCTGCTTTCCGTAAGCTCTAACCCGTTTCCTCCCTCCGCAAACAGGCACTAACACCTCCAACAGCAGCAGGACCTTACGTACGCTCCTCATTCCCTCCCAATTCCCCTCTCTAACACCACCCAGTCTCAAGCAGTAGCCACCTCCTCAACCATCTACTGCTCAGGCCAAATCCCCTGCACACCGACCGGCCAAATCCTGACCCTTGAATCCTCCACCATCTCCGCCATGACCGAGCTCTGCATCAACAACCTCTCCGCGGTTCTCAAAGCAGCTGGCTCCTCAATCGAGAAGGTTGTGAAAGTCAACGTGTTTTTGACTACGATGGATAATTTCGCAGAGATGAATGCGGCTTATGAGAAATTTTTCAAGCATAAGCCGGCTAGGAGCTGTGTAGCGGTTTATCAGTTGCCGAAGGGGGTGCCGATTGAGATTGAGTGTATTGCTTTGGCATAAGGTGGTGATGGGTGATTTGTAGAGTCGTGACATGGAAGGGGGGAAATGCGAAGATGATTGGTGATGAAGGGTTGATAGAGCTTAAAAATTAGATTTCGTTGGGAAGGAATTATCTTTCTGAAAAATTGTGAGATTTTTGTTGCGGCATAGTTGCACGCATGCAACACATTTGGAATATCACCATGACGAAGAAAGCACGCGCCTCCGGTTAGTCGTGATACACCGAAATCCGGGCCGAAAATCAATGTTTTTTATATTAACTTCCACAGCAGTGACAATCAAGTTTTTACAATTTTATCGAGGGTAATCCTATGGACTGCGCATTAACTGATGTTATTTTTTTTAAGGGAACCTAAGTGTGCTGGCTGTTGAAGAAAGTAATGGGGGGGTTGATTTTCGGCCCAGATTTCGGTGTATCACGACTAACCGGAGGCACTTGGAAAGGTATCCATTTGTCCGGTGAGACATGTCCGAGGTACGTACCGCTTAGCTGTGATGCCTGGCGCTGGACATGTCTCACCGGACGAAGGGATACTTGGTTTTAGGTAAGCCAGCTTCTCTTTCTTGCACAAGTTCCCTTGAAAGCAAAAGTCATATTCCCCGCAAACAAGAAGGTATTCTTTGTCAAGATTTACTGCATTAAATGAGTGCTAGCAGTTTTCAACCACAAGGTGTCTGAACAAATAGTGCCAAAGCCTCCTTTCCCGGAGCCCATCTCTTTCCAATGCAAATTCCATGACTAACAAGCATTGATCCAAAAAGAATGTCCAAGTCCCCTCATTATTGAACTCTCACCAGCATTTTGTCCCAACTCAGCTACTTAGCTCCAGCACGACTGCCACCACCTCCACCACCTGGCTTTCCATCTCCAATACCAGCATTGCCAAATCCGGAAGAGGTGTTGGTGGTGCCAAAGTTGACATTCGAATTTCGATCACCAGCAGATTGAGCACGTGCTGAGAAGCCGTTAGAGGACATGTCGCCCCCGGCCTTGGCCTTTGAAGCGAGCTGGTCAGTCCAATATACAGATTCCATAAAAGGAGCAGAAATTTTTACCCGGCCAGCCTGGATGCGAGAAGCATCACCCTTTGTCATCTGGTTGGGAGGCATCGTGTCGGTGAGGTTTCGGGCAGCTTGCTGAAGGAGCACTGGGGCAGCAGAATTTGTGGTGAGGTTTACGTTCGAGAAATTGTTTGTGTGTGTTGGAAGTATGGATTGAGGCTGATGGAGGATGTTTGAAAAGAAGTCGGAAGTTGATACATCTCATTCTCAATTGGCTTTCCATGGATGCAGCAAACCCGTGAACATCTCATCCCCCTTCAACGGCAATCCACTGCTGCTGCCTGATATCAGATTCAAAGTCGTATGTGTGGGAATGCAGCGCTCTGGATCGAGGCAGAATTGATCCAGGGGTTTCCTTGAGATGACGAGTTGGGCAGGAAAGAATCTGGATTTCTTTTTCCCCAACCCGTTATTAGGCGCCGGATTTGGTTCTTTGCTTGAGAATCTGCTGTGTGGGAGAACTTCTGTCATCATTTCACCACCCGGTATGGACTATTGCATGAGAGTCGCTTCGAGAGAAGATCTCGTGCCAGTCGACAAACGGAATTGAGGAATTCGAGAGGTTGGCAGAGGAATATCTACGAAAATTCCCGCTTTGCTCTCAATGGTTTCGGACATTGCTAAAGTCTGACTCAACTTTCAAGGGCGAGTTCTACCAGGATCTGGAAAGTGCAATCGAAGTGTCTGATGCTGCCTTTGGCTTTGAAGCAGAGGCTTTGAAGCAGCGGTCTAGGCTCAATTCAGTTTTGAGTTCCGACCTGGAAGCTCCCTGAAAGCTCTGTAAATCAAACCCTTGTTGATATCTTGGTTGTCTTTCAACCGACAGGGGATGGCCACAAGTGATGAGATCACCAGATATGACACGTGACTAGACATCGATCTGACATTCCAGTTGCTCAGGAACATGAGGAGATCAAGAATCGAAGTTCCGCAAAATCTATCAGGTTTATCTCTTTTTCTGGAATTTCTCCCTAAATATAGTTCAACATTCTATTCCCAAGATTTGAGGAAAGTTGAGAAAAGGTCACGTGAATACTGCAAAATATATCCCCCCCATCCGAAAGAAAAGTAACATTCTTCTCTACGCTATCCAGGATCTAAAATTATGAGATCTTTCAAATGCAATCCGCTGGTTTGGTAAATGAATAGAATGCAATTCCGTCCTAGAAAGGTCCACCGGGATACTCCGGTAGTTTCCGACATTCGTCAAGCCTCGTTTCCAATTCTTGTCCCTGCTCTCCTTCTGGCAACTCATGGATTACCTGAAGATGTGCTCTCATCTCACGCCGGAGATTGAATATACCCTTCCCATCAATTCTGCATTCGTCGTCCGAACAGATGTATACTGTGCAGCATGCAAAGCGCTCCCAACGATCAGGGTCGTCTCTGATACGTTGCCGACGCTGTTTCACGAGTTGAGTCGCCAATTCCCGTAGTTGCTCTTGAACTTGGAGCTTCCCGAGCTCAATATCAGTGCAGCGAGTTATGTATTCGAAAGTTGAGCACTTTCCTCCCATTCCATCATCCCTGTTCGTTTTACACTCGTCAAATGGAACATTCCCGAGATCTCCCTCCACGTTGAAACGAAAGTACTGGAAGCTTTTTGGGCCATCGGCAAGACGCCTAGCCCTTTCTTGAACTAACAGGTGTATCTCCTCACAATCCAGCGCTGCTATACTGTCCGGTTTTAGAAGTCTGAATACTTCACGCTGCATAATCAGCGAGGGCAGCCCCCGTCCCTTCCCGAAAAGAAACACTGGCAAGGGGGGCTTTCCAGCGCCAAAACTGGCTGACATTATTGGGGAGTTCTTATGTAACCGGAATATTTCTTCCAAGGCTTCAAATGTAGGGTTCACTCCAGCGCCACCATCAAAAGAAAAATCGCCTTCGCTTATTGCAGCTTCGAAAAACGTAGGGTCGACTATGGTAGTAAACCAAACACCCCGTATGGTATGATTTATATCCCATCCGTAATTTCGAAGAGGATTATCAGGATCGAATTCTTCTATCTTGTAGGACCTGAATAAGTATAGGCACTCAAATTCTCGTTGATTTGGTGTTGTTTCATCTGGTTGACTGGTTATCCTCTCTTTACGGACTGCGAGGACAATTCTGCAAGCGGAATTTAGTCTGGATTCAAGGTGGGGGGGGGGGGGGCATTTTCGGCCGTTCTACTCACGTTCGGCATAAATCAGGTGGAGATAGGAACCTCTTGAATTTGACTGCTTGCACAGATTGACTATGACTCGGTGTCCTTTCTGAAATAATGGTGTCAATGGCAGAGGGGAGGATGGATTTATTATACTTCGGCCGTGGAAATCCAAAAACATTAATCCTTCTCTCAAATAGCTCTGAAGATATCCTCTTAAAATTTTCCAGGCATTCTTGAACGGACATACGCAAACGCGAGAGCATTATGGCGGCAATACTAGGAAAAGATCAGAAAGTTCTATCAAGTAGTAGCAAAATCATACCCTCCGGTACCTGCACCCACGATGTAATCTATAGAAGCTCAGTTTCATAAAATCCCGGCAGCATTAAGAAGTATTTACCAAAATAGTGGCATGGAAGGAAGACAACGAGGGAGGACTCATCTAGACTCATTTTATTGGCGGAACCTGGTCGCCCAAATGGATGGAAGCTGGTCATATGTGCGTCGTTATATTCCAGTTCTATTCGTCTTATTGCGGTCATAAGAGCCCTTAACATTAGAAGACTGGCGTAACTTCGTACGCCCCCCCTCTCTACAAACAATCAGTAATTTGCCATAGAACGGTAAATGGGATGGGTCAGGGCCACGGGCGCTCACCAAGCGTGAAAGCCGACTTTTGTTCCCAACTTTCATGGACTATGTGGCTCCGAGCCTCATGGCTTGAATTTGTAGAAATCCCTTCGGTCCGATATTCTTGATCGAATGTAATATGGGGACTTGGAGTGCGTTCCGGTGAAAATGTGCGCTTTTTCTCCGATAGGTGGACGTTAACATTCTCCAATCGCCAATCCTGCACCAAATTTTCGTCCTTAGAGAATGTCTCTACCGTAGCTCGGAGAAAGTTTTGTACGTCATGGTCCGCAAAAACATCTTCCTGGCTGTTCAATTCCAATTGAGCAATGGTTGCACCAATCTCTGTTATACATTCCAGCTTCACTTCCCTTTCAGCCTCTTCTACACAAGAAAGTGCAGTGCCCAACGGGCTGGCAAGTGCCAAAGTGCACCCATCTTTTAGTAGAATCCTCCTGTTGACTTTGTTCATCCTCAGGGCTGTAACAGCGGCCAAACGTGGAGGAAGGTCCTCCGTTTTGAGAACGGTTGTAAACATGGCTTTTGCTTCGCCGTATTTACCCTGGCCTATGAGAGAATCCCCGATGGCTACAGTCAAATAGGCTAAGTCAGTTCGCATCTTTAAGTCATTACCCTTCATCGTTAACAATGTTAAGGCACGCTTTCCAGTGGATTCTCCCTTTTCATCCTCTTGCAGAGCATTGAAACATTTGACAAGCTCTGCTGAGAGATAACCGAACTCAATCAGTCTGAAAGCGCCCCTGGACTTCAGAAGTGCGTCTTTTAACAATGAAGTGGCAAGGTCAAACTTCCTTCTTCTAGCCAAACCGCACCCCAAACTTGCTCTGATAACGGGTAAGTTGTCAAGCCTATGGATGAAATGCTCTGGGACCGCTTTTCGTGACAAGGCGATGTGTAGTACTGCCTTCAAAGGAGAAATACTGCCTTGTGCTTGTTCTGTCCAGCCATCGATAAGGTCGAGAAGCTTCCTTTGGTCAGGAAACCGGGGTCCGAAGTTGAGAAAAGCATCCAAATCAAGACCAACCATAATTGAGGCAGATGACTTGTTTGCCTCCATACCGTTTAAAATACCCTCTAATTTTAACTCCGCATCTGACAGGTATCGCATGGTCTCCTCGTGAAACAGTAGCATCTTTCCCTCTTCACTGTTTCTTGCTTTGGGCTCCAAGATTTGAGAGAGTTTGCAATCTTCGGTATAAACCCCGTGATAGATTGAATGAAGTCCAAGCCGGTGGAGATCTTTTGCAGAGCTGCCTCGACAGAGTCAGTTTGTGTTGTTCGGAGCCAAGAGTTGGGAAGGACTTCAAGAAATGACTTGCAGGTTATCCAAACTCAACCCAACACTTTCTTTGCTATAAATAACATTGAAAAATGGGAGTACCGTCGTACGTATAAGGTCTCGGCAATGCAGTGAAAGAAGTTCCCACAGTGGCTCAGAGTAGGGGTCAGGTAATGACCATACCACCAATTTGATAAGGTCCGAGGTAGCTTGGAGAAGATGGGCAGCTTGACACTCAGCTATCATTTTGTGTTTCAAGCGCTCATCCAAAGATAAGTAAAGCAAGTTATCCCGGAAATTTTTGGTAAGACATCCATTTTTCAGAAGAGATTGTAGGTCTTCGTTGAAGCACCAAATCGGACAAGGAACGAGGGGTAAGGCGTAAGGCATGCTCTCTCTTAAAAGACCAGCACTGATCTCGGTAGGTGGTCCGAAACATCCTATGGCAGAACTGGGGAATTGAGGAATATCTGGTATCTTCGTACTTGCAATTGATTTCTGCAGCAAGGCCTTGAACTCCGATTGTCCGTCGCTGGGAAGGATAAGATTGAGATCACCGGAAGAGTCCCATCGTTTTTGAGAGAAACCGGACCGAAAAAATATGAAGGCTGGAACCTCGCTTGTTCGACTAGATGCTAGAAGCAGACACATTCGGCGAGTAAGGTCCGAGATCTTATGTATATCGAGGCAAGAGCTTGGAAGATATTGACAGATTAGCCGTCGGAAGTGAAAGTTGCTTCAATACGGTTCGACATATGCATACCTCATATTTTCCTCCGTTGTCTGCAGAGCACTGCAGCCTTATTGTTGACAAGTAATCGAACAGACATTGGCAAGGGAGTGAGTGCTATTTGCCCGTATTCAAGAATCAGATCGATGCAAGCATTTGAAACAGTGAGACTAACTAGTAATCAACCCTCTGTAGAGCCTCTGGGATTGTGATCCATGATGCGTGCCTTCGGAATGGATTTTGGATTCGTTTGAGGGTTGCAGGATATTTGAGGTGGATATTGATATTCATTGGTGATAATTCGCCCCTGCCATTCCCGCCCAAACTTCATCTCTACCTAATTTTACTGGTTGGCACGTGAAGCTGTGCAGGTTTTTGCTTTTTTGTGAACAAGACAATGCTCTTGCGCCGAAATGAGGCTTGCTATCTAACTGGCCAAAATGGTCAGCTGAGCTTGGCTGTGTAACGTGAGTTGCTTTTGATTGGGCTCGATTTAGATATTTCTGCATCTTCTCTGCGCCTTTGTATGCATTATTTGATTTCCTTCCAATCCCTCTGTCAAGAAATATAGAGACAGAGTTCGTGGTTATCAGAATCAACAAGAACCTCCTTCACATATACCGCACCTTCCCCAAGACTAGGGATACAGAAGAGCGATGGCAACTAAGAGCGCGAAGAGCATCCGGATTCGGGGGTTATCTCCTGAAACCACTGAGCGCAACCTCGAGGATATAGCCTCGAGCCTGCTGAAGTGCGGGGCAATTTCTCTGAACAGCGTGAGAATTAACCCACGGGTAGATGAAAGTGGCTGACAGCATGCTAGCGTCAGGTTGACTTCTCACTTGAATTACAAGGGAGCACAAAGACAGCTTCGATCACTTTTCAAAAGCCGGACGAGAAAAAGAAGGCAAAAAAACGAAAAGAAAAGATCCCGAAGCCAGCGGAAATTGATGACAAGTTCCTCAACCTCACGGTTCTGCACTGTCCAAGTGACCATGATCTTGAGTATATCCATTTCGCCTCAAGTACCATTCTGATCATCTGCTGACGAGCTCAGCATATGCGCAGTCCATGGTCTCAACGGGAACGCTTTCGATACTTGGATGGCAGAGAATGGAAGGATGTGGCTTCGTGACTTTTTACCGAAAGACTCACCCTTTGATCGAAGTCGAATTATGACCTTTGGGTATACTTCCACGCTAGTCGACAAACGCAAGCTTACCGACCGTTTCGAGGACTATTCAGACCAACTGATCAGCCAAATCATTCGACTGAGGGGCTCGAGCTCAGAACGGAAACGCCCTCTCATATTCATTTGCCATTCGATGGGCGGTCTTGTGGCAAGGCTGGCAATGACTCGAATGCATACTATGCCGAACAAGTTCAAGGGACTCTCTCTCGAAGAATGCGGTATACTTTTCTTGAGCACTCCACACCTCGGGTCTCTGCAGGCAGATCGAAGCCCATTCCTTATCGCACTCGGTGAAGGACTCGTCGGTCTGCGTACAGGAGTGATCAAGGAGCTTCAGTCCTTCAATGCTTCATCAGTAGATAATACTGATATCTTCCAAGCTATGGAAATTAAGCCAGTGCTTCAGTGTTTTTGCGAATCAGAGCCCACCCAGGTTCTCGGGAAAGGGCGTCTGGTAAGAACGTTCACACCATCAAGGGGACCTCACTTATGTTCTTTTAGGTTGTTACTCAGGTCTCAGCTGGGTTCTTGAACCAGAGCGCGGAGAAAATCTGGGAGACAGATCATCATACAGTTTGTAAATTCAAGCATACACTTGACGGCTACCAGGCTGTTTTGGATGGTCTCAAAAAGATCAAAAGCGATCTGGCAATGAGATTGGCGACTGGCCAAGCAGGGCCCCCAAATGTATAGCTTACCTGAGACCATTGGTATTGCAAGAATTAGCAATTATTCGCTTTCTGACACCAGCTAGTTTAGCGTACCAGGCCGCCCAAACGTGACTGCGCACAGTTTCCCCTCTCACGAAAAGCACTTCTTGGGCGTTGAGAAATATGGGCGACGGCAGTTCGTTGGACAAACCAAGTTACTTGAAGACATTGACGCCCACCTCAAAAACCAGAACCAGCCCACTGCAGTTGTGGGTATTGGGGGAATCGGGTACAGTAACACATTGTCCTCAAATACGCATTAGTCAAACTAAACCATAGCACAGGAAGACTGAAATACTTCTCAAGATAGCTTCCCAACGTCGTGGTCAACAAAACATCTTTTTCCTTCCAGCCTCAGACTTTGATTCATTCCAAAAAGCCTTCAACGAAATGGCACAGGTAATTGGACACGATATCTTGAAAGACCGCCACTCTTACCCGGAATTGCATCAACTTTGGACCAACCTCGGAGAGTCTGGGCAGGCCAGGGAATTCAAAAAATGGCTGAGTTCTCCACAAAACAATGACAACATCATAATCATAGACGATCTAGATGGTCTCCGAGATGACAAAATCATTTTAGAATGTTTGCCTGAGGGAGACAAGTCAATCATATACTCCGCCAGGGATCCCACCATTGCCACATCTCGTTTATTCCAATGCGAGCGGGTAACGGTCCCACCCATGGCCTCCACCGACATAAGGGAACTCTTGGAAACAGAGTCAAGGAAAATCGGGCTTGCGTTATCTCCACAAGAGCTCGAAGGGGTTGTTGATATTGTGGATGGGCATCCCCTTGCTGCCTCACGTGCACTTTCATACATGGAACAAATGGCTTTCGAAAGGAGTGGTTTGGGCCCAGCCCTATCAGCACGCGCCTTCATTGACATTTTTGCAAGTTCGGACTGGGAGTCGAGAAATGAGTTTCTGAAACACAAAATTCACTTCGGCCCTTCGATTCACGAGATCTTTGAAGTATCGATACAGCGATTGGATGAGGCAAAGAAAGATCCTATTTTGCAGCTGATCAACGCCCTTGGGTTTATTTGCGGATCGAAACCGAAGGCCTTGGACTGCTACGACTTTCTCTCCATTGAACGGCCCTGGGTCAAGGATTTTCAAGCAACGGCCCCAAACTACGAACTATTCAACACTGGATTAAAAGGCAAAAGCGGACTTTTTCAGGAACTTGTGAAGGTCTCGCTGGTCTTTAAACCCTTTCCAGACCGTGCGCTGCTGCGATTCCACCCTATCTGGCTAGAATGCATCCGTCAACGATGTGGTGCTGGAGGTAGACTTCTCTGGCTCAAACAGATTATTTTCATCTGCTGCGAAACAAAAAAACATACTGCTGAGAAGTCCGACATCATGGATCTCTACGCGGAGAATTGTCTGAACATTGCTCGGGGTTTCGATATCGACGCTGATGTACTTGCCACATCTGAAGAGTCAAGGCGATGGATAGCAAAGAAAAGTAAACAGAAAGCAAGGTGAAATTGAAAACAAAGAAACACCCCACATCGTCGCACTGACAAGCACCCAAATTTCAGCGCATGAATGTCATGGCTTCCAGGAAGCAAAGGTGCAATTGATATTCGTAAGATCGTACTTGACAGCGATTCAGTGCTTCTCGTTATCGATTCGCGAGCAATGCGCTTGGAAATCTCGGCTTCTCTTCTTCACCGGCGTGAGGGAATAGCTCGGCCACATAATTTGACCAGTAGAAGATGGACTCGTCCTGAATTTGGTGTGTGTGGAATTGAATGTTGTACGGAATGCAGCTATTGTGAAAGAGACCCACGCCCAAGGCTCTGATTCACCAGATCATCTCATTGTAAGTACAACTTGGACATTCCTGGTGGTGAGGAAACATGCCAAGTCGCACACTTTAGCATCTAAATCATGCCTTATCGCTTAAAATTTCCTGACGCAGATGTCCATCGATTTGAGTAGTGGTCGAAAGCAAATGTGGCCTGCGGATCTGGGGCTGAGAAATCGACAACACTTCGATGACTCCACGAGCATCACGCCACGACCATGCGAGTTTTAATTCCTCACTTACCGAGTCCTTCGTTTAATTCCTAATCTACACCAAGTTGATTGGGATTTTCCCTCCCAGTAGCCTGAGCTGGATTCCTTCTCCATCTTTCAAGGCATTATTCTTGCTAAGTTTGGTCCGGCGGCTCATCTGAAGCTTGAGTTTTGTGGGTTTTGACAGCAGATGTTTGGATGGCCTATCATGACGCATGCTAGCGATAGAAGGGAGGAGCCTGGAGTTTTTCGATTGTCTTCTCAGAAGCCTGGTCGGTGGCCAAACGTCGGTGCATCTACGTTCAGGGCTTTTCCAATACTCGTCAAAGCAGGTGTGCGAGGACTTCAATTCGTGATGCAGATTCGAACATGCAGATGAATCAGGTCACACAAATATGATGAACCCTAATTTGGCCAGCAAGTCTGAAAACGAATCCGAAAACGATGTTTCCCAATCGGCGAAGCCGTTTTGTCTCGCTGACCACATTGGTGAGGGTGTCAATCTGCTTGGCTAGAGAAGGAAGTCTCGATTGTAGCCTCCGAGAGATGTCCGATTTTCTGCATGCCGTATTCACTATCCAAAAAAAGTGAGAGCCCCATTTTAGGCGCGATAGCGACGGGGGTTGGGAAGACATTGTTGTTCCAGCCAAGAACATGAGTTTAGGGACCACAGTTGTCATCACCACATAGTGGAGCGATATCAACAAGCCGGCATTTCGACGATCGCAACGGAGGCCCGCCTCAGGAGGTTCGAAAAAGTCTCGCATATCCTCAACAAACTCGAAGTCTACGACAACGTGCGCTGGGAAGCACTCCAGCCGTGCCAAAACATCAAACAAAGGCCGCCAGCGCTTATTTGCATCACACCAACGATCATTTACATCCCGCCAACTCCGTACCACCAAGCCCTCTTATCCACCCAACAGGACAACATTCATTAACGCCAGCACCGAAACTCCGAAAGGAAACAAGAGAACATCGTATAATCTTGTCGAAAAGCAGTACGCACACAACCCAACGGCCTCTTTGCGATCCTTCTTTCTGCAATCCTAAGGTTATAGCGGTTGATGTAAATGGGTACACTGCGGGAGATGGAAGTCCGGGGAAGGTGGTTAGTAAGGGAGCACTGTTGGCTTTGGGAAAGGAGATATATTGAGGCATTGGAGAAGAGGGAGAAAAGTCTCGAGGGTAAAAAAGAGATATTGATAGAGAAGATACAGCGGTTGGAGAGAGTGTTGGCGAGGTTGGGGTTGACATTATATAGTAAGTAGCATTGAGCGGATGCGCTTGCGTTTCTAAGAGGGATATAGAGGGTCTGAGACAGAGTCTGACCTTGGCACCTCGAAGACCAGTCTGCTCATCTTACTCAAATGAGTATATCCATTCGTCTTTCATCTCATTTTCTGGTTTCCGCCCATAAAATATACTTGCACTCCCTCTTTGCTCCAGCCCAATCCTCTACACAACGGTCCAAAACTCATAGCATTGAGTCTGTCCAAAACCGCTATTCCCCGGACGAAATCGGCAAAGTGTAGTGTCCGGATAAAGACAATAAGTTGCTCCAAAATCGTTGAGACCAGGGCTTTTTGGTCTTTAATCTTTCACGTATACGCAAATGCTCTAAGGTTATTTCCTGAACACTTGTTTTACACCTTGTGGGCGATCGTTAGCTTAGTTTTATTTTCTTGAAGGGTAAGCTGCTTTTACATTTTTGAAGCTCCTGAGCACTAAGCGAAGAAAAGAGAACTTTGAACACTGTATTTGATTTTTTGTTGTTATTAAATATAGTAATTTTGAATCGTAATTGTTGATTGAGGAAGAGAGATATGTCATAATACCAAAATCGATATCCATGATAGTTGTGTATTACCAAAACATGAGAAATCTTTAGGTCTTCGTTGAGATATCTATCACATGTAGCTTCTTACCCTGGTCCATCCTCTTTTTCAGGCATACTGAGAGACACAGTCCGCCTCCTACTGGTTTCATAATCCTATCCAAGCAGAGCTGTTGTCCCCTCTCGGATTTGCTTTCGAAGAAAGATGACACAATATCTTCAAGTAACCGATCTCCTTTCGGGATTAAGATGTTCACTCCAGCCTGCGCAAGGCCATCAACTTCAAATAGGACCACAAATCTGATAGCGCCGCCGTTCGTAAACATGAGCGCTCCAAGCGTATGAAGGATTGAAAACCTGAGCGTTACTTTCAATCCACCGTCAATGGTTTCCCAGAGATCCTTTCCCGAGAAGGACATATGTTCTTTGATATGGCGTTGCGAAATGGAGAAGCCGTTCTCAAGCAGCGAGCTGCATTTAATCAAGAACACAAATTCTTTTTGGTTTTGGACTTCTGGGGGTTTCCGGTTATCCTCGTCCTGCCTGACATGGAGGAGTTGAGTTGTTGTTCGCTCCATGTCCCAAACCCACGGAATCAAGTCACGAACCCCCCTCTGGAAGCTGTTCCCACCGATTTTCTTCAGGTAAAGCGCGAGGCAATTGGTGCTCCCCTTTTCTTTGCAGTTCAGTGGGGCCAAGAACGCGTCAGTAACATCCTTGGGGTGTGGGGCGGATCCCTTAGGGAATTTGACATCCTTCAGAGGAATGAGCCGTAATTCAATGCGCACGCCTTTGTTGGTCATTGAAAAAGACGGTCTCTCTTTTGCTTGAGTGAGCTTTTGGACGTCTCCCGAATACCGGAACGCAGTAGGAGAGTGGGCAAGCAAGCCTCCCATGCCAGATCGCTCTACTATCCACGGCCACACTCCACCTCGCTCCTCCTTCCAGGTAAATAGTGACTCGTCATCCATTCTGTTCAGAATTTCGAGCTGAAGCCGCCTGAAGGCATTTTCCCCTTCACCATAAAGAGGCGGCATGTTCACACCGAAGAGACCCATCAGACAGTATGCCATATCTTCTAGCCTGGTTGTTTCTCTTCTTGAGGCCCAAGACATTTTCTGAGCTACGCATGCCTCCTCGAAATTAGCCAGGAGTTTAATGCCAGTTATAGACACTATTGTGTCATAGAGACTTGACTTGGTGCCTATCTCGACCCAGTTGCAATCGAAGAATACTACTGTCGAGGGTGCCAGTAGTTCTTGAAGAGTCCAGCCCCTAGTGAACCACTTGCTCCTTCGAAAGAACGAATCTGGCAAGCGGGGGTCTTCGGTACTTTCTGGCACGTCTACTAAGTAGGCGTAGCATACTTCCGCATTTTTGTACCATCGAAACATGGAATTGATTGCTTCTGAAAGCTCTGCGCTGCTAGATTTATCAATGCAGCAAGAGTCAATCCACACGTATTGCCAGCCGTCAGAGGCAGCTTGAGCGCAACAGCCCTTGAACTTGGAAAAGCCGGCCAGGTCGGGGCCTTTCCCATCTCGCAAGTCAGGAAAAGACACTTCTTTGCCGCTCCATCTATGCGAAAGTATTGCATAGTCCGGAATGTCATTACTTTGAAAGTCGTGAAGCTCGAACGTGGAGGCGTCAAGAAGATACATTGCGTCCCTTCTGTCATTTCCAGTCGTTGGTTTCAGGAATGCGCGATGGACCGTCTCACAGTGGGGGTGGTACTCCCATTTCTAGAGACTTGGTGACAGGTGTGCAAAACTGGTCATCATTCCAGCTCACAGTTCAACGGAAGCCTGAGCAGAACGGCATACAAGCATCGTGCACAAGCAAAGTCGCAGGTTTCCCTGAGTTTTGATTGTTTTCGAACCTCTGCGTCGAGGAGCTGGAAAGCCAAGCTAACCTTAGAAGGGATCGCCCACAAACCGCTTTAACCTCTTCCCGCCCTCGCCTACCCCACCAAAATCTTCTCGAATTTTCAAAGTCTTTGGAAAATTGTAAAAAAAAATCCAGATTATAGAGAATACTCGAAACACTGCGATTATCGTATTAAATTTTTGAATTTGTGGCGTTAAGGTCTCCAAAATCCAAGTTGAGCGGGAAGGGGTTGTGGGCCGTTGGTGGGTGATGCCTTCTATTCGGTCAAGCGTAGGCTTAACCGCTTATCATGGCGGTTCAACTGATGTGTCAAGTCCATTTCCATATTGCCCTAGGAGCACGAGTCGACATCGTCTCCAATTGCTGTGACCTTTTCGCAGAGCGATAATTGGAATCTTCGGAAAAATACCGTTTGCTGCCTGCTGCCTGCTGCCATGTCCCAACCAACCCAAAAGATCTATCGCAGGTATGTACCGTGCAGCCAGCCACTAGAGCGATTAGAAATCATTGAAAAGAGATGCCAACAATACTGCTTCTTGTCTTTAATTAGTCTGGGTCTGAAATGTTTTCTATTCTTGTCACTCTGAACAGATAACTCAGGACTGATTCAAGCCGAACGTTTTGCACTGCCCAACGCTGATCTGTCTCCTAGAAAGCTAGTCATCATTGGAGACGGCTTTATTGGTAAAACAAGTCTACTTGAAGTCTTTACGAAGGGTTACTTCCCAACAGTAAGCTAACGACTATCTCCAGTGATGATAATTATATGAAAACACTGACTAACTCTCGAATCAGCATTACGTTCGTTGACCCTAGATAAGATAACCACATTATCATCATCTAAAAGTTTAACGAATTGGCTTAGATCCCCACAGTCTTCGAAAACTATGTCACAGATTGTCGTGTAGACGGCAGGTCTGTACAGTTGTCATTGTGGGACACAGCAGGCCAGGAAGATTACGACAGACTGCGGCCACTGGCATACTCAAAGGCAAATGTCATTATCATCGGCTTTGCTGTTAATTCAAGTGATTCATTTGAAAATGCAACACAAAAAGTAGGAAATATAAGAACGTATTGCTGCCCGGGCTGACTTGCTTATTAGTGGGCTGATGAGGTACTTGAGAAGTGCACGAATGTACCCGTAATTTTAGTGGGACTAAAGAAGGATCTCCGAGAAGACCCAATTGCCCTCGAAGAATTACGGAGCAAATCACAAGATTTTGTTAACAACAGTGAAGCGTCGGAGAGGGCACGCAGCATGAGGGCAAGACAGTACCTCGAGTGTTCGTCCTTGACAGGGGAGGGAGTAGACGACGTGTTCGAAGCCGCAACTAGGGCTTCGCTACTCACAGATAATGAGGAAGACCCTAGCGGATGTTGTGTTTTATTATGAAAATACTAGATAATCTATTAATTGGAGGGGACTACAAGCTTAGATGTGATCTTCGAGAAGGTGTCTTCAGATTTCAGGATCAAAAAAGCTGAACTCATTCTCCGTACCATGCCTGAGCATAACCGGGACTTGTCGATTTGAAGCACATACACTGATTCGTGAGTAATCGCCAGTGGTCGAGTGGGTTGAGCTGCCTGGCACCCCAAACTGACTTTGGGAAGCCTTGACGGTTATAAAAATCTGAAGACTTTTGAGGGGTTTAGTTGTGCCCTACTATCATATTATTAAAGCTAGTATATACAGTGTGGTTTTTGGTGAGGAAAGTTGATCCCTATTATGGAAAATACAAGGGTATTTCGCTTATTAATAATAGTGATCAGTTTAAGTGATAGCAGGGCTCAGCCACTGGCTCGAAAATACAGAAGCTTGAGGTGAAGAAGATAACAAGTTTAATGGCCAACTGGGGTTTCTTTGGAGACCAATGGCACACTACTTATTTCTCTTCCTGTCTATTTCAAACTAGTAGGTCTCATCACGTGGCTGAAATGCTTCCTTCAGCCACTCAGGGACTACGCAATGTCACAACGCACTTGTTCGTCAGAGGGTTTTGTACTCCCTGGGGCACGCAACATGTGAATATCTTCGCACTTCCATGTCCTATTTGCAGCCAAGGGACTTCCCAAATTGTACCACAGCTCGCAGAACAAACTCGGCACAATCAAAATTCCAAACTCCTCGTAATCCGCTTGCTCTTCGCCCCCTAAACAAGTAACTAGAACAAGCTTACCCACCAAGTGCCTTCGCACGTTCCGCGCACTCCGAAGCCAAGCCTTCGGCATGGGCACGTTGCGTGCGTCAAAAAGTCCCGCACAGCCACAGCCTATTCTTAATCCACGCCGCTTCTCCCCTGGTGTGGCGTCACATCCCCGCTCTGCGATTGGTCCTTCACCTCTCCAAGCATCGGGACTCGTGTCGCGGCTGGCTGACAGACACACTTCTCTGCCCGGCAGCTTGGTATTCGTGTTTGTGGAGAACGGGTTTTCTTCGTTCTTTGTTCAGTCATCGTTTGCCTTGGCACTCTCTCCCATGCTTGTCGTGGCTCAGTGAGGCGTGCAGTGGCTCACATGCACCTCCATTACATACCACTGCTCCCCAAGATATAAGCCACAATCATGCACCCACCTGCCTCACCTTCCCATCTCGGACAACTGATTGATGAAGAAAGACATTCGCTACGTTTGAAGATAATCAATTTTTATTTTTCCAGCGGCGTGAAGCGTTTCGAAATCCATTCCATCCATCTTAGCCGCCTCGCGGAAGGACTCGAAACCGGGGTGACATTCTCTCGAACCAGGCTCAAACGAGTGAGCACAGCGAAAGGCACTGAGCTACAGAACTTCGGACTCCCTCTGGGGTGATCCCTTCTCCAAAATTCAAGTTCAGTTCGAGTTCATTCGAGTTCATCCCATCTTTCAACTTCGGAGTACTTTGGGAGGAAGTCAGCATGCAGCCCATGTCGAGTTTCCTCGTTGTAGCGATGGTGGTTTTCAGCACATTTTCGATTGTCACTGCTACACCTGTTCCTTGTACAGACGTATGTCACACTCTTTCATAGCAATGTGGATGGCCGTCTAACTATCAAACAGAGAATACGAGACCAAGTCCTCATGGGGGAATTGAAACCCGAAGCCTGTTGTAGCTACGGCATCTGCAAAGGGGACGTGAATGTCCAAGGAGCGTGACGATATGCTGGCGTATCAATACTTGCATTGCATTGCATTATGGAGTCTGGATAGCAATATCTATCGGTGCATTTGTTGGCGTTTTGGGGGTTTGAGTTCGAGTGAGGGTTCATACAGCGGGGGCATTGTTGCATGGTTGCCATAGGGATGAAGTGGAGCAGTACATACGAGAACAGCAACAAGTACGATATGCATATGGATAGGGAAAGTCGGGTATGATGCTCACGAGTCGCACATAAGAGAGGCAAGAAAGAAAAACGAGTACAAATTGATGGTTATTCATCGTTGAAGCACCTCGTATTCCAGTGCTTACCCCACTTTAGCGGCGAGTAGACTCGCACTATTAGTGATAAACCCATACGAAGTCTATTGACATTAGCGTAGCCCCTTCACATAAAATTTGGGAGAGGAAACTCACAGCAACGTTATAAAATGTGATCTCTTTTCCGCCCTCTGTAGTCGTGCCGCAGCAGTCGTCCACCATCACACAGTTAAACCCGGCATTATATCCGTCCACGAATGTGCCAAGGACACACTGGTCCGTATTAACGCCTGTAAACAGTATTGTATTCTTCTCCTCGGCTTTTAGTGTCTTCCAGAGTGGTTGTTCTGGAGACCAGAGCCCGGACATGCGATTTTTGGCACAGCGGACGTCGGAGGGGTGGGCGTGTACTTTGAGAGGAGGGTAGATGTCTGCATTCCATGTGCCGGCAAAGAGACAACGTCCTTTGCCTTCTCCTAGGTCGGTCCCAAGGCCAATCCATGGCCTTCGAGCATTCGTGGTAGCTTGCAGAGTATCACTCATAAAGCCCCGTGCAACTGCTGCCGGGAGGGTGGTCATGTCTTCATCTGTTAAACCCCAATTGAGCCAAATTATCTGGAGAGTATCAGTGCAGTTCTAGGCATACCAGCAGAGCACGTACCTGTATCCCTTCCTCTCTGCATTTCTCAATGACCTTGATTGTAGGTTCCACAGCACTCAAGCCGTGGGGATGATCCATTGACTCCGAATCGAGGAAAAAATTCTGCATGTCAACTATCACGAGGGCCGTTGCTTCGGGCGCAATTGTGATTAATGTCTCCTTTGGGCCCTCAGTTGTTGCGATTGTCAACCTCTTCCCAACCCCTCCAGACAGGTCGTAAGTCCTTGTTGATGGAGAGTAATGCCATTGTTGGTCTGCCGGACCGAACGTGATGCCTGAACTCATGGCGGATGAATGCCAGATACTTCTACTCGAAATCGAGGTGCGGGGGATGGATATTTAAACATGTCTGTCACTGCTGTCATCGTGTTGGTAATGGTTGGGGTGGAGTGGGACTGTGTCTCTTATCAGTTCTGGGGGTATTGAATGCTTAGTCATAAGTTACTTGAATCAACGTCTCCCTCGGAGATTATCCCATCTTCTTCATCAATTGATAAATATTGGGCACAAATTGTTGCAGGACCACAGTCTGGGGAGGTGTAGGGGCTGGGCGGCAGGGAAGTGCTTGAATCCAGAGCGTACAGCTCGGTGAAGCCTGTCCTCCTCGCAGTCGGACTCTCCGATGGCGTCCCCCAGTGCCAATCTCGTGTTGCTCTTCCCAAAGAGACGAAAATGAGGAACGGGAAATGGGATGTCGGACTCATATCAAAAATCGTGAGTTCGTAGGAATTCTGAAGCTGGAATCGACGTTTTTAGTGAACGGCATTGGTGGTCTCAATTCTCCCAAAATCCAGAAGAAGTTTGCTTTCGTGGTTTTGCATGACCTGTGCCTTTTCTGCTGTGTTCCGAGTTGCTAAGTTCGGATTCACTGTTATTGTTGTTGTGATAGATGGAAGAGCAAAGCGTCCCTTCCCGCTTGTCAAGCACTCGCAAGATTCTCCTTCCCGACCTCGCCCTCCGAAAAACACGCCTTTTCTTCCATCAGCCATCCAGGCGTCTACGGTCACTCCATACTATCGACTGATATATCAATTTCTTCGTCGGTCACTACGATCACTATTGGCAGTGCGCAGAGAAAAGTTTCCTTCCGAGCTTCGTCACCAGAATCCGGCCCAAGTCAATCTCGTCAACAAACAAATACTCGCTTTCGCAAAGATAAACTGCCTTACTTCCACCAACATTCCCGTTTTCTGCAGGGATTCCGTGCTATTAGACTGGTATATCTGATTCTAACCACTGCCGAGTCTCGTCCAACATGGCACGTGAATACTATGCAATCTCCCATACTCCAGAGTATCCTTCGCAGTATATCGCCATTCCTAGCCTTCTCCTTGTCACTGCAGTCGGATTGATTAGCTGCGGTATAGCCGCACTTCGCCAGCCGGAAAAGTCTTCCGACCTGCCTCGCTACAACGGACTTCCTCTGGTAATCATGCATCCATCCGAGACCATTTACACTCCCGGATCAAATGACCATCGCTGATATTTTTAGGGCATCGTGCTACTTGTATTCCAGATCTACCATCTCGTAGCCGAGAACCATGAAATTTTGTACAATTACTACGCTATAGTGATTCCTGATGGAGTCATATGTGGGTGGTTGCTTGTCTCCATACTTGTCAGCACCGTTTGGGGCGTGTGTGGGAAGCCACCAAAGGACGGGGAGGCACCAAAGGCCGGGAACCCATCAGATGACAAAGGCTTTGACATCGCTGTACTGGTTCTAGTTACTGTCGGATGGTCTGTCTAGATCCGAGTCCGAACGTTGCTGACAACCCGCTGATGTTCATCCAGGATAATCTCCGTTGTCGCTGTTTCACGTTTCGCTCTCGCCGCCATGGGACACAGGTATGGCGGTGGCACGAGCAGGCATCACAGATACAGATCTGAAGCTCCTAGAGCAATTGAAAGTGATATTGAAAATGTAGCTGGAAGCTCAGAAGATGTCAATATGGACCAGTTACATGGAGATAGAAGCCCCTACGACGACACCAACATGAACGCAACGAACGGAAATAGGGATTCCTTCGACAACGTCAACATCTCCCAGGATCGAGCGTCGGTACATTACGTCCCTGGGCATCCATACCACCCCCTTCGAATGAATCCAGTAGACTCGATAGGTACAATCAGATCAGTTGCGCCGGATGTGAAAGAAAGTGAGAAGGTCACTATCGACGACGCAGAGCAAGTTCCGAAAAGCCCCAAATTGGCGACTCCTCTTGTCTCCGTACCATTGCCGTCACAAACAACAAAATCCCCCATCGAAAATGCAGAGCAACCTTCGAGTAGACCCGAGTCAGTTCCCCCTCTTGTCTCTAAGTCGCTGTCACCAGATGACACACAAAGTGGAACAGAAACCACTAGAAACGCAGATCAAGTTCCGAGTACCCACAGGCCAACTCCTCCTCCAGCCTCGAAGTCGCTGCCGCCCACTGGTTGCAATTGTGAACAGTTGCAATGATTCAATTCAATAACCTTGGAAGATTCGTTAAGTCGTTAGGGGGAAAGTGTTCTAGGACTCAAAGAAGGATACCAAAAATTTGAACACGTAAGCTAGACGAAGGACTAGAACTTCAAAGGTCCTGTGGATCCCTTCTCTTAATATCTTAGACGCACCGCGCTTTAGAGATTGACTAGCAGCATATTTGCCTCTCTTTGCAGCCCCTTCCACATGACAATGACTTGCCATCCAGAAAGACATTGCTGAATTGCCTAGCAAGCTACCCGATTCCCTTCTGCATTACTGATCTATTTACCTGTTTCTCTACCCTTTTCTCTTTGCCTACGATCATCCAACAGCAAAGCTGCTGCCACTTGCTGAAGTCCTCATCAAAACCATGTAGCTTGTATTCAATTCAAAAGCAAGATTATTTCTGATAGGCTTCGCTTTCACATCCGAACTCGTGTAGGCAGGTACATGCGAACATCATAAAATCGCTTCTCTATCTGACTTCCTCCAGTCGAGCATTATCTTATGCTGCACTCTGTTGACGAATCTTCAGTCAATTTCCCATAGCAATTAATGCTTTAGATCAATCCGTGCTGGTGTTCTGCCAGGCTCAATCTCCATCTCACAGCCTCCACCGTCTGCATTTGCCATGTCCAGCCCCTGACGCCGCACCAATTTCCCCTCACTCCTCGCCCGCATTGGGGAACCTCTGCTCATATTGCGAGAACCCTGATTTCGCCAAAGCTATGGTCACCTGCATTTATGATTCCGACATCGTGGATACCAGCTTCACCTATGAGCACCCTCTCTGCCCGGACGATCTTTTCAAGTCGGAAAACTCAGGCTGTGGCATCTGCCAGCTCTTCCGATATTCCTCGGAGATTTCCCCTTAAGATTTTCATGACAGGATCAAGGCTGGAGGGAGAATTACCATTAAGCGTGCAGGGCTGCATCTTGCTGATGTTGGAAGTGGACTCTATACTGAAGGAGAGTGCCCCTGTCTAGACAATAATTGCCAATATGGCTTTCAATTAACAAATGGCAGCAGAAACGGAAGAGAATATTTCCATGCTTTGAAGATAATTTTCATATTATTAACCTCCTTCAAACCTGTACAAATTCATCGGGTCCTACGGACCTTGAAGTATTACCAAGGCGGAGGATCACCTGCCTACTATTGTTGGCATCACAGAACGGGTCGGTGCCTTAACCGGACTTTCATACGCGACTGAGCTATGGGGAGAAGACATCATCTCAGGTCTCTATTGGAAGTCTCCGAATGAAACTTGGGCTTCTTCGAAGTATGTTGAACCAACTTGGAGCTGTGTGTCGATAACATATCTACCTGGCGAGATGAAAACAATCTGAACCATCCCCAAAGAGGTGGGTGGCTCCGACATTCGATCGCTGCGAAAGATACAAAGATCAAGAATATCGACATCAAACTTGCAACAGCTGACCCATTTTCCCGAGCGCAAGAAAGATCTTCTGTACGAATTCAGGGACTGTGTTTTAATAGCAATTACACCATTGAAGAGCTGATAGCAAAGGTTGCCGCTCGGGATAGGACTATTCCACGAGTAACAAACCGCAGTTCAGCTTCCTTATCGGTGCCTTGGACAGCTGGGAAAGTCCGGTTGATCGTGAACTGCTGTTTCGGCATCTTGCTCGGAACACGTCCGCTGGAAATACCCGGGAAGTTAGCCTTCTTTTTCTTGAGAATTCCCCGAGAGATGGCGAGAAGTATGCTCGTGCTGGGTTTGCTACTGTAGAAGAGGGGGTGTGGAGTTAAGTGGACCTTGAGCTCTGGAGCGTGCGGACTGCTACGATGATCTGACGGACTTTCTCGACGCTCAAAGGGATCGAAGACTGCACGCTTTTCCTCGTTATTCGGGTCAAGGCGGTCGGCCACCAAGTACTCCACGAACCCGGACAAGCAACGGTAGGTTTCCATATCGAGGACCGAAGATTCGTTCTGGACGAGTACAACAGTAGAGGGGAAAGAATGGCGTGAGGTGATGAGACGAGAGCCCGTGGTTGGAGACGGAAAGGTCCAACAATGCGCGGAGACCACATGTCTTCAGCAACGATCAAATCGTTCGAGGAAGGGAAGTGAACCGAGCTCCGGGACGTCTAAACTCGAGAACCCCCAGAGACACCACTCTGCGATGCCACCCATAGCACCGATCGCGACCCAAAGACCTCGACTGAAATCGCTGTTCCTCTATGAAACGTTGTCACCATTAGCCCTCCAAACTCAGACGCTCGCTCTACGAGTATGTTTTGAAGGAAGGATATTAGGGGTGGGAGGAGATGCTGGAGTGGGAGGAGATGCTGGAGTGGGAGGAGATGCTGGAGTGGGAGGAGATGCTGGAGTGGGAGGAGATGCTGGAGTGGGAGGAGATGCTGGAAATGGGGAGGTGCTGGATCAGTGTATTTTCATATACTAGAGGGTTGGTAACTTCGCATAACTTCGAAATTGGATCATGCTAGCAAGGACTCAGGGAGGTTTATGATATTCCTTTGAATTCATGCCGCAGCGCCGCAGGCTTCCTGGTTGTCATATGTTCAATCAGATCGAGCCAATTCAAAAGCTATTTCAAGGGAAGTAAGAGGCACTAGTAGTTGAGGTACAATTCAAGAGGAGAGATCATGGAGAATGGCACTTTGGTTTTATTATTTATGTTTCATTTCATTTCGTTTCATGATGCAAAGCATTCTGGGTCTTCTATTTACAAATGACCAATCATTCGATCATGCAAAAGCTGTCTTCATTGTCGTGTCCAATATAGGACTTTCTGGCTCTCTTTCCCAAATAAAACCCGCCCTTGGGAGAAAGACAGCAACTGGAATGACAATCACCCGACCATTTAGGAGCTGTCTTCATCTTCAAATCCAATATAGGACTTTCTGGCTCTCTTTCCCAAATCAAAGCCTCCCTTGGGAGACGACAATGCTTGAAATCGATCATACTCGCTCTGGGGCATGCCTTCTTCCTCGGAATCATCAGCACCATCAAGGCCCATGGCCCGACTAGTCGGCTTTCGGACTCGTGTGCTCGAACGTGCAGGAGGAGCCATTGCCGGAGCGACTCCAGTATTCTCCATAGTTCCACTTCCACTTCCGCCTCCACCTCCACCTCTACCCGTAACTGGTGCAGTGATATCTCCTCCTTGAAAAGCCTGCCATTGACCTATAACAGGTGCAGGTGCAGCAGGTGCTCCTCCCATATCCATATCAACATCTGCAGGTCCAGCAACGCCAGCAGGAGCAATGCCACCCTCAATCGCCTGCTTGGCAGCCAACTTCGCAGCCTTCTTCGCAGCATTGGTCGCCTTGCGCTTCTCCATCGGTCCCTTCATCAAACCACTGGCCCATCGTGCCTTCGTAGCATCAGCAAGCTTCTTGCTCTTTCGCTTCTTCTTCTTCAGGAGCTCGGCCTCAGCTGGGTCCATGCCAGCGTAATCCTCACTGTCTTCGAAGTCACCACTTGACTCCGTCTTCGCCGCCTTGCCCTTGACTGTGCGAGTCTTGCGCTTCTTAGCCGGAGGTGCAGATTCTGCGTCACCCATGTCGTCGTGGCCATCCAACTCGAAACCAGCATTCTCGTCGCCATTGTGGACATCGACCCCCTCGTTCATGATAGATCCAGGCTCAAAGATATCTCCCAATGCGGCACCTTTGCCCTTACTAATCGCTGGTAACTTGCGCTTCTTTGACACAACATTCTCTCCGACGATCTCAACATCCTTAGCAGCCTGTTTGCCTCCTGAAACATTGCGCTTCTTGGGTGCAGGTGCAGAACCTTCACCGATCTCTCCCTCAATGCTGCCGCCTTGGACAGCCATTGGGTTAGCTCCTTCGGCGATGATCAATGTATTTGTGCGTGACTTGCGGGTCTTGGGGGGTTGTGGGACTTGGCTGTCACCACTTGAATCCTCGTCAACCATCTCTTGCTTGATGGCTCTTCTCTTCGTAACAGCACGAGCAGCTCGCTTCCTCGATGGAGGTACGGAACTGTCGCCTTCAATTCCAGTATCAATGTCAGTCGTCTGCTCACGCTTGAAGGACTTGCCCTTTCTGCCTCCTCGTGCGTTGCGTCTCTTGGGTGGTGGTGGGGTTTCACCGTCGTCATCAGAGAGGAACTCGCCGAGTTGGTCGGGGTCGATAGATGATTCAGGAAGAGCAGCGGTTCTCTTGCGTTTTGGTCTTCCGGTAGTATTGTTTGAAGCCTCGCCAGTGCGCTCTGGGGTGACTTCTTGAGGTGCGATATGTTGAAGGGCGGATTGTGTATTAGCCTTGCCTTTCTTGGCACGGACAGCCTTTCGAATGGGCTTCTTTGGTGGTGTAACTTCCTCGAGGAGACCGGGACGATAAGTGTCGACGACGATGTTCTCTCCGTCGCTGTCGCCGCTCTGAGCCGCCGATTCAAAGGGTTCTGCGGGTTGGGTGTCCTCTCCAGTAACAGTGCGCTTGCTACGCTTTCCTCTGCCGTTTGTTGAGACAGATGGACCTGGGGCATTAAGCTCATCTTCAAGGTTAACGGATGCGCTTTGAGCCTGAGACTTTCCGCGCGTGGCAGTACGACGAGGTTGATGTCCGTCAAATGTAGCGTCGGTCCCACCAGAAGATGATGTAGTCGGTCTTGATGTAGACGTCGATGGAAACAATGATTCATTGTCATGCTCCGTAGATTGGATAACTTCCTCCTCCTCGCCGGCTTGAACAGTAGGTTGTTCATCAGCAGGTTGCTTCTTGGCACGACCCCCACGAGCTTTGGCTCCACCTGCAGGAACCGGATGCTTTCGAGGACGTCCGCCTTTATTCTTAGGCTTTGGTGCGATTGGGATCTCTTCGGCTGGAGCACTTGATGGGCCAGTGAGGGATTCTTCAACTGCGATATTCTTCTTTGGTCTACCTCCAGCATGCTTTTTCTTGACTGGTCCTCCTGCAGCGGCATTTGCCTCTACTACAGTTTGAGCGACGAGAGAAGATGCTGCAGCTTGGAGCTGTTCTTCTTGTGCTGGTTCAAGTTCCTGAGCATGGGATTCAACTTGGCTGTTCTGTGCTTCACCATCATCTGCCTCGAATTCGGACGGCTCGGCAACTTGGACGGTGTTGAGTTTCGACTGACCTTTGCCACCTGGGTTCTTAGTCTTCGAACCTGGTGGGCGGCCAACTCTCTTACCAGAAGCAAACAGTCTGGCAGGTGTGCCGTCGCGAGATGCGAAAAAGGTTTGAGGACGACCGGGGGATGCGATGCCATCATCCAAGACTCTCCTGGTGCGCGCACGCTTGGCCGGGAGGTTTTCGGGTTCGGTATCGGGAGCTGTGTCGCTCTGTTCTGTATCATAAAATGCGCGCTTGGCGGTGCTTCTCTTGGGTCGGCCGTTCTCGTTGAATACGTCTTCTCCAAAGCCTACGGCATTTCGATCCAAGAGTTTCTGATTGCCAGTCATCTTCGAATTATAGGGTTGTTGGTAAATATCCGACTGCTTCTTCTCGTCAAATACAACACGATCTTGGAGGATCTTGCGTCTTTTGAAATGAGGCTCGTGGTCGGCCTTCTTCAACGGAGGCAAGTCTCCATTGACGAGCTTCTCCTTCACTGGTTTTGCTGCCTCCTTTTTGGATGCGCGCTGTCTCTTTGCCAGAGCAGTGGAAAAGAGCGGCTCATGAAGCTTCTTGAGACGCTCGACATCTTGTGGTTCGCCACCATTCTGTTCATACTCGACCAAGAATGCGAGCCATCGGCTGCCTCTAAGCTTCAACTTTTCTTGATACTTCCAGTACAGATCCGTCAACAAGCTGTCTTCCGTGAGAATAGATTCTTTGTTATCGATCTTCTTCTGGTCCTCGTCCGCCTTCTTCTTTTCATCGGCAACTTCCTTCAGGAAGGCTTTTCTCTGCTCGTAATTGTAGAGCTGTTTATTGACATCATCAAACTCATCTTGATATGCCATCAAGACGTCGGAAACAACAGCGGTACGGTGATACAACTCCTTGTATGACATCTCATCGACACCTTTGAAGAAGTCTTGGAAAACGGAGACTGGTGTAAATTTGTTGTACTTGATCACAACTCTCTCAACCTTTTCTTCGATGTCACCCGTAATTTGGGAAGACACTTCAGAATCAACTTGCTTGTCGGAACTGGCAGTAACTTGCGATGGTACAGGAAGATCTGCGCTGTCGATTGCGGATGGTGGAATATCTGCGCCACCGGCGTTGGAATCGGCGGGAACTTCCAATTTGCTGACATCAGATGCTGTTTCTAGGAGAGCGGTGCTCAAGGCCTCAGAGGCTTTGATAGCTTCAACTCCATTGACGATGGATTCACCAATGGCTTCAGCAGCTGACATGGGTGTGGGAGTCTCAGCGCGGGGAGTATCTGCGTCATAGATGTCGTCTTCAGGGACTTGGGGAGTGGAAGGGTCAGCGTGTGGAGTATCAGCACCGTAGATGTCGTCTTCGATAACTTGAGGTGTTGTAGACTCAGCAAGAGGAGTATCGGCGCCATAAAGGTCCTCTTCAATAACTTGGGTAGTGTCGATTTCATTGTTGGGCGTGACGGGATCCTCCAAGTTGTCTTGCTCATCAGTAGCTTTCAATCCATCAGAAACTTTGGGATCTTCAAGATCGTTCTCATCGTCTTTCAGATCGGCTTCCGGTTCGTCTTTCTTTTCGTCTTCCTTGACTGCCTCATACTCATAATGATCAAATGAGCCAGTGATGTAGGGGGCGATGGTAATCATTGCAAAGTTGTCTTTATCGTCCTCTTGAATAGGATTTTGAGAGACAACGGTTTGATTGAAGTTTTCGTCGCCTTGGTTTTGGTTGGAACTATCGTTGTTAGTGATTTGCTGGACTTGAGTGGAGGTGGCATCGTCTTGCTCTTGGACGGGCTGATTAACGGGCCGATCCTGGCCATGACCGTGTGAATTATCAGCGACACCACCCAAGTCAACGATAGATCGAGAAGCGCCCTCAACGCCTCGATTTTGGGCAGCGATGGCGTTTGCTGGACCAATACTTGGAGATTCGGGAGGAGGAGATAGAGTGCTCTCAGAACTGACGCTGCCGGCGGTGCTTGGTCTTGTGCATGAAGCCACGTGATTGTTGAAGTCCTGTATTAAGTCAGAATTGTAAAAAACGCGATGGAAAACTCAATCTCGAGGGAAACAAACCGTAGTAGACATGTCAGTGAAGACAGAACCGCAGTTCGGGCAAGTGGATGAATTTGCGACGGAGGAGAAGGATCCTGAGGGGGTCTCCATGGCTTCCGACGCCTGCGCAGCTTCAACAGGTTTTGGCGGCGCGCGAGTGTTGAGGACAGGAGATTTGGTTCGACCCATGATGAGAGTCGGTGACGTAGAGTTTTGTAGAAGTTGTTGTATCGTAAGAACGATCAGTTGCGTGGTCTTGTAATCCTCCAGAGGAGTGTAAGAACACTTTTCTGACGATGTCTCACGACAAAATTTGATGTGGAAGAGTTTTGCAGAAGAGAAAGTGCGAAGAAGGAGAGATCGAGAATGGCATCTGGGTGAAAGGAAGGAGGAACAATTGAAGGATTGAATTCGCGAGCAACAATAGCTACGTTGGGTGTGGTCGGTGGTCGTTTGATATTGTGAATGGGTTACTATTCTCTCCGATTTTTGGTTCAGGTGTGGCTAAGGCGGGCAGGGCGTCAGCCAATCAGAGCCCGCGCTAAATTTAATGCAGAGACGAATTGGCCTGCCTGGGACAGGGCCAACGACAGCGTATTGGATATGCCAGTTCTCCGTTATTACTTCTCTGGATAGCTTCACACTTATTGCCTTCGTTCTATGACACAAATTGAAGCCCAAGATGGCCACCAAGAAGTCCAAGGCTGCCCCTACCGACGATGAATTGAACAAACTGCTCGAGGGAATCGAGGACGAAGCTCAAACGCCTGTCAAGGGAGCTCCCAAGTCCACAAAGGCGCCCTCGTCCCAATCAGAGCAGGACTTATTGGCCGAGTTAGAGAATCTGGGAGCGCAACAACCTCCCAGTAGACCACATACCCCCCGTATACAATCAGTAAAGCGGTCGACTGCGACGCCTCCTCCAGCTTCTTCGCGAAACAGCGAGGAGAAAGCAAGTGGCCCCAGAAAGTCAGCAGAGAGCACTCGGTCATACCACACAAGCTTCACCCCCTCAGCTACAAGCAGTGATCTACAAGAAGCAGAGAGGAAAGCCCAGGTTACCCAACCAGCTGAACCAGCTGAGCCAGCAGCCTCAACGCCCACTGGAGGTGGCTGGTGGGGTGGCATCTTCGCAACAGCAAGTGCTGCAGTCAAAACTGCTGAGGCAGCCGTCAAAGAGATCCAACACAATGAGGAAGCCAAGCGATGGGCTGAACAAGTCAAAGGCAACATTGGAGTACTACAAGGATTCGGTAAGATAGATGTTGCAATCCCAATTATCTAGCTAATAATTCAAGGTGGTGAACTACGATCAAGAGCCCTCCCAACCTTTACCAACATACTTCACACCCTCGCACCTCCCATTTCATCCCACGAACGCCTTCAAATACACATCACCCATGACTTCATTGGCTACCCCTCCCTTGATCCCCTCATCTACTCTACATTCTCCCGCGTAATGGCACAAGTTGAAGGTGGGGATCTCATGGTTATCCAGCGCGGGCACGAGTCCACCGCACGTCGTAACTCTGAAGCCGGCTACACAGGAGGCAGCGCAGGCTGGAGCGACGGGCCCTGGTGGCGTCAAGCAAATGAACATCGCGATTTAGGTGCAGTCAAAGGTCTTATCGAAGGCACGAAGCTTGTTCGAGTCGGTGCTGAGGCTTATGCAAACGAATATTTCTCCTCACACGGAGGGCTCGAAGCAGCTGCTCAGCGAGCAACTGAGAACCTCAGCGAGAGCAATCCCGTCCGAAGCAGCGATATCTTTCTCGCTGTCCAAGCTATCTCCCACGAAGCACCAGAAGACCTCTTCCAAGGTCCTGCAAAGGAGAAGGAACAAGGAGGCGTGGTAGAAGAGAAAGAGAAGCCAGACGAGCTGATATCTTTTGCCATCTATCTCCACGATCCAGTCCACACTATCACATTCTACACAGTTACTCAATCGGTACCAGCGAAGTGGATTCGATGGCTCGATGCTCCATCTCCGCTTACGCCTGCTTCGCCTACTTCTCCGACGCAGCAGAACAGTGGCTTCTTTGGGAGAGAGGATCAGGGTTACCAGAATCCGTATTTACCAGAGGAGATTGCGGAGATTATTGAGAGTGGTGGTGTTGATCCCAGGGAGTGGGTTGCGGAGTGGGTTGAGGAGGTTCTTACGCTGGGCACGGGGGTGGTGGCACAGAGATATGTAGCGAGGAGGATGGGTGTTGGCGAGGGTGGGATTGGACGGGGCAAAGCACGTATGGAAGAAATTCTGAATGATGGTGGTGGAGAGGCTGCGAGAGCGGGCTTGATTTGATTTGGTTTCGCATGGGTCTTTGAGCGAGAGTTGGGATGATAGGAATGGGTGTTGTAGGATGGCGTTTTGTTACAGTACTCCTCATTTTGCATCGTTTCCTTTTCCTCCGAAAGAACTAGTAATCGTTGATGGGGAATAGCACATCTCGTTTTAGTCACTTGCGGTTTTGGGCATTCCACGAGGATAGGAGAGCACATTTCATCCCTCTCATCCTCTGCATCTGAACTTCTTCCATCTCCTCTGAATCCCATCAAGATAATTCAAGATAATCGAGCGCTCTGGTTGGCGGAGAAAAATCCAACCTCCTCATTTTTTTAACACGGAGCGCTGGTGATTGGCCGAAAAAAAGACCAACCTCCTCAATTTCGTGATTTCTTCTCCTATTTTTGAACTATTAAATTCACTCTTCACGTTCATCGAGTTCACGAAATCCCTGCGAGGTTGAAGCAGCTTTTGCAACTGGTCAAGTTCCTAGCAGGGCTTGAGCCTCCTGGAATAAGATTTCATTCCAGCTGCAATGGTTTATTTACCAGTCTCTGCATGGCACTCTACTCATCTCCCGTGAGTCAGCCCGGCCGCCTTCCTCAAAGACTTGACTCAAGGCCGTAGTCCAGCCTTCATCAGAAAACGACGTCCCTTCAGTCCCCCTTTTTCTCAGACTTCATAACTCTTCGATCCCGGAGGCATTTCAAACCAAATTCAAGCCCTATGTGCTTCAACGGTGGTACCAGTACTCCGGAACACCACGTCTACTGGCGATGGGGTATCGGGTAAGAAATGTCAGTGTCACTGTCACCATCTCTGGGACCGAAACTCCATCGAAGCCGAATACGGCCAGTCCGAATCCGAGCTCGGGGTTGCCGGGGCTTGTTTCTTCGGTACCAACTCTTTTCTCGGGAACAGGAATGATTCCACGATATGTTTGGAACCCATTCATCACAATTAACACTAAGTTGATTTCAAGAGAAAAGGGCTGTGCCAGAAAAGGAGGTTAGAGATCTATCACGTGATTCATGCATCATTTATGGATGGACAGCAGATCATTCCCCCTTTGATGCCAAATCAGATCCAAGCGCAGCGGAATGACGCAGTGACGCATGAGGAGGCTGATTATATCGTGGGATTATCTCAATGGATCGTTTGTAATTTTGAAGGTCTGGTGATCCTTGTTCTGTGACGGGTCTGACGTAGGGAACGATCCTCTCGGAGCGTTGAAGGGGTGTTTGGGATAGTGTGGATTTACAGGCGGGAGGTACAAGTACAGTATGTTGGCGCGTGCGTGGTGCCTTCTATACAGTATGATGCTGTTGTGGGGTTGAAGGGATAAGGTTTGGGAGGTAACAGGTACTTGTGGAGGAGGACCTCCGTCCCCGTAGGCACATTTCCTTGGTCAAGAGGCTAAGACTTGAGGCTTGAGTGACGATGGTGGTGCAGATCTCGTAGTATTTGGGTAGTTATCTGAAACGTAGCTTGGAGCTCACTGTGTCTATCAATCACTGTTCTCCCAACCTATCACCTCCCGCATCTAAATTACTTTGTACCTGTCTTTGATCTCCGTTTTTGGATTTTCTGCCCAACATCATGAACACGGCAAATTTTACACACATGTGGATGTGGATGACTCGGGACATGTGGGAACTAACATATGTAGTTAGAGAGCATTGCATTAGAACTAGTTAGAGGAAGGCGAACAAATCGCCGAAGCATCCGCGTTCCATTCATCAACACAAATACTCCTCTTTCAACAAAGACTCCAATATTGAGATGTCAGCGAAATCGAACTTTCTGTGCTTTTCCAATACCACGATTACTTAATTTATTTTACCAGCATTTTTGGTGGCCGTCTCGGCTGAGATCGAACGACTACGCGACTCGTCCATTCCTCCCCTTCGTCATCCCTTGCACGACGAAGCAAGGCTCTGATCTCCCCGTTTTTGGAAATCATTGGAGAATCAGATAAGCAGCAAGAAGCAGACCTACCAGAAACCTGCACATCCTTGGCTGAGTGGCAGCCCTCCGAGGCCAAAATGTTCTCCGTGAGTACAGGCCTTTTCTCGAAATATTCCTAGCAAGTCACCACTGCATCTGCGTTTGAGAGTTATCAGACGGCTGCACAGCAGCCGCCAGTCTAGATTTTGTACTGCAGGATGCAGCGTTGCTGTAGTCATCACTGTGCATTTTATCTTTCTATCAAGCGATAGGGCAGCCAGACAATGCAGCAGCATCCGGAGCAACAAAGCAGAAATGCCAGTGGGACTTTCTTCCGGCTGTTAGGCATTCCAACAATACTCTGGCTGGGCTCGGATTCGGACAACAGCTCCTGGGCGCACATCTCGAGCCTTGATCTTGATCTTGATCTGGGGCTCATACAAGTCGGTTGCTGCAACTTTGCTGGAATGACGAGGGGTCTTCGCTTGTGCGCTAGCAGCGATGACGTTGAATGTGCAGCCACTTGCAGCACCCCGGAAGAGCGCCCACTACCCACGCTTGCTTTCTAATGCTGGAATCCAAAATGCTCTCCCGGCGCTGAACCAAGGACTGCTGCCGTCCGTGGCTTGACTTTGCTTTCCGAATACACCTTCTCTTTATCATCCACTCAACAGGCCGTCAAGAAGTGCGCAGGAAGATCTTCTCCGTTCTCGTTGTCAAGCACGTCGAGGACTATCAATCCATCAATCCCTTTCTATTGCACTTGCACTTGCACTTACACTTATCCAAAACCCCTGCTCGCTTATTACGTCGTTGTTGCCGATTCCCACTTCATCCTCGTCGCTCCTGCACGTTTCCATTCGTTTCAACGGCTCCATTCCTTACGCACCTGCCCGGACCTCTTTCTTTGGAGGAACACAGATTTCTAATATCATGTCTCTGTCACAGTCCATCAAGAACCTCATCCGCCACGGTTCGTGATTCCTTTTGCTTACCCCGCTGCCGAAGTGAATAATGTCTTTGCTGACGATCTTCGCAGGGAAGCAAGGGCGGACGGCAAACCAACCCCAAGACGACCCAACTACGCATGTCTCGCCCGTCAACGTACACCATCAACACCAAAACCGCAACTACGACTATGCAGCTCCACCGAACAACTACGCCAACACCGACCCGAACATGATGGCTCACCAAGCACATCAAGTACAAGGCGGCGACGCATACTCGGCGGCAGATATAGATCAGAGAAATCGGGGAGCGCAGGCCCACAATGCGGCAGCACATCAGGCTGAGAAGCAGCAGAAGAAAGGCAAGAAGGTCGACCAGGAGGAGCTGAAGCGGATAGTTGCGGAAGAGAACGAGAGTAAGGGCAAACTGCCAAGATATCCGGGATTGGAGAGATGGCAGCTGGTAGAAAAGATGGGCGACGGCGCCTTCAGCAACGTCTACCGAGCGCGCAATCTGGATGGGGAAATAGGAGAGGTGGCCATCAAAGTCGTCCGCAAGTTTGAAATGAACCAAAGTCAGGTAAGTATTTTGACACGACAGAGTCAACATTTCTTTAGCATTCGTTATTCATCAGCTCTCTTTCTCTTTTGAAAGACCTTTGCCAACATCCGTGGGTGACGTAGGGAGATGCTCACCTTCATCCGGACTTCAAAAAGCAACCAAAGGTCGTGGAGGTGCGGATTACTCTTTCTTACTTTCAACTTGACAGATTTTATTGGGAAAATGCTAGGCCTGCCTTGGACCAATTGCTGACTTATGGTCGTAGAGAGCAAATATCTTGAAGGAGGTTCAGATCATGCGGCAATTGGACCATCCCAATATCGTGAAGCTCGTCGATTTCTCCGAGTCGAGACAGTACTATTATATTATATTAGAGTTGGCACCAGGAGGAGAGTTGTTCCATCAGATCGTTCGTCTCACATACTTCAGCGAGGATCTTTCTAGACACGTCATTACTCAGGTTGCAGAGGCATTAGAGTATCTGCACGAGGAGAAGGGTGTTGTTCACCGGTTTGTCTACTTGAAGATATTCGTGGCCTTCACTGACGTCATCACAGAGATATCAAGCCTGAAAACTTATTATTCTCTCCAATTCCCTTTGTTCCGACCAAGAACCCAAAACCGAGAGGACCAGAAGATGAAGATAAGGTTGATGAAGGAGAGTTCATCAAGGGGGTTGGAGCTGGCGGTATTGGAAAGATCAAGATTGCCGATTTCGGTTTAAGTAAGGTTGTTTGGGACAACCAGACGATGACGCCTTGCGGAACAGTTGGTTACACGGCACCGGAGATTGTGAAGGATGAACGATATTCGAAGAGCGTCGACATGTGGGCAATGGGCTGTGTTCTTTACACATTACTTTGCGGCTTCCCTCCATTCTACGACGAGAGTATTCAGGTTCTCACCGAGAAGGTCGCAAAGGGACAGTACACCTTCCTTTCGCCATGGTGGGATGACATCTCCAAGCCAGCTCAAGACCTTGTATCTCATCTCCTTACCGTCGACCCCAACAGAAGATACACTATCAAACAGTTCCTCGACCACCCATGGATCAAAGGCCACGACGAACCAACTTACCCCGCCTTCGACGCTCCACCTCTCGCTACCCCAGCCGTGGAACGCAACAAGCAACTGCGCGCCTTCGACCCCGCGGCGCTTGAATCGCCTGGCTCCAAACGCATGGATTTCCGATCTCCCGGTGCTGTCAACCTTCGTGAGGTGTTCGATGTCGGCTATGCCGTTCACAGACAAGAAGAGGAAGGGAAGCGCCGCAAGAACTTCAAGCAAGGCTACCGCGGTGCAGCAGCGATGAACGGCCTCAATGCAGAGGATGACTTCCTCGAAGAAGATGAAGACTACGAAGACGACAACGCCATCCCAGCTAAAGTTCCTAAGCCGGCTGCTACAGCAGCAGATGTTCACGCTGTTGAACAGGGTTTGAGAGACACGAACCTGGGCTCGACGGCCAAGGCGCCGGTGCAGAAGGGATATGGACAGCACAGCGCGGCGGTGACGGCGGCTGCCAAGCAGCAGGTTCGGAATCGCAAGGGCGCGTTTGAATTGAACCTCGAGGGGGCCACATTGCTCGGTAGACGCGGGAAGGGACCAAGTGGATTGAGGGAGACTACTGTTGCGAATTAACAGGTTGGTTGCCTGGAAGGTTGTGTGGGGACTTGTTTGGCGTTGGAAGGCGGGTTTCTTACTTTCGTTTGGGACTCGATAGGGGTTTGTTTCTCTACGGGCATAATGGCATTACTGCGTTGCGTTGCGTTACTTGCATACATGAGAGAATGGGGGAGATTGAGATGAGTGGCACGAGACATGGGGACCGGGGGACGGATCATAAGAGAGACGGATAAATAGGAATAGGAATAGGCGCTGGGCTACCAAGTAATGAATATATGGTGTCTGTGAGTGCATGTTTACACACAGTAGAGAGACCAAGCGCGGTACTGCTTGGTTGTTGCCGCGTACATGTGCTCTGTGAGGAGTGAGCTGTGGTCTTCCACCACGGAAACCCATCCGGACCACCCAACCCCGCATTTTCCCCTGCCATCCGGTGTCCCTCTCCCCACGCATCTCTTTGTATTGAAGTCTTGGCCCCGTCCTTCATTCAGATGAGAAAGGAAGACCGGATGATGGATAAATTGGGCTTGGGACTTGCTGGCTTAGGGTGGAAAGTGGAGAGAGGGTGAGTGTGAGTGGGTTTGCAGGCAGGCGGTGAAAGGGGCGAGGGAGGCAGGGAGTTTTTCGAGGTCGCCTAATGCGGGCCAGGAGATATTCCGCTTGCCTGGCTTTCTCATTTGCACATGGACTCTCGTAAATGAATTGAACGTTAAATCGTTTATTTTACATTGTTTTACGGGCGTCGTCGCTGGTGCTGTTGCGCTGAGTGGTTATGTGATATCGGGATGCTCGCTTAGCAAGTTCGCTCCTTCCTCGCGCCCCCTATCCCAACCCCTATCTCGCGCCAAACTCCGGGTTTCCATTTCCATTTCCATTTCCATTTCCACACCCGTCCATCAAACACTCCATTGATACCACGCCTCCAATTCCCCAACACATATCCCACTGATTCGTTCACTCCTTCACCTCTCTTTAGTTTGTCTCGAGACACACCCCGCGTGTCCATGTCCTTTTATTCTACGAAGGACGAGGTCAGGCATTATGGATAATCCGACGGCAAAGGTGAAGCCCCCCTCGGGAAATACTGCCAGGTAAGTGATGTCTCAGTACCCGCTAGACTAATACACTTTGCCGAGATCTCCTAGAGATGGATGAGTGTCTCTAGTTATTCTGGCACCACACCCAGAAGCATGGGATACGCCTAAGCCGTCTCCGTAGTGTCCTTGACACCAGCAGCATGGCTAGCCTATCCTGTCTTTGGGGTGTGATACCAGAAAGACTGCAGACACTTGTAGCCCTTTGGGATTTCTCGCAGTCTATATCGATCTGTTTTTTTTTTTGCCTACCGTTTATAGCTTCACGAAACCTGTTTTGGAACTTGCTAACCGTGGTGCAGCGTTACAAAGAAGAAATCCAAGAGATTAACCAACATTAAAGCGAAAATGAAGAGTGATGAGCGACTTGTGATGCCTATCATGCTCGGCGAAGTACGAAAGTTAACCGCGGCGAGTGATTCGGAGGAGCTGAAAGACATTGAGGATAAACTCTCGAGGGAGGTCATCAGAAAGAATCTCCCGAAGGGTGACATCGAAACACCTACTGAGATCCCGACAATAAACCAGACTATCGAGTGGATAAAGCTAGCATTTCCCCAGAGTGTCATTAATGAATTTCATGTGCGCATGGCATATAGCGAGGCAAGGAATCAGATCTCTATGGTCCTTGCAATTAGTTCAATCTAGTAACGCAGATACAATATCAAGCTAACAATTCTAGCAGATGCACAAGAAACCCTAATTCATTGCTCCCAACGAAAAGGCTGCCAGGTCGGTGCCAGGACCGGACGAGGCTTCAGTGGATACAGATGTGGAGATGTTCCCGGAGATCAAGGAGGCCAAGGTATTTCTTGATAGCCTGATGCATAGTGTACAAGCTAACACCTCGCAGGAAGGAAGTGGTGTAGCAGCAGCAGCTACCACCGCCACCGGACGGACAGACAGAGAGCGGAAGCTCGGCTCTCTTCTCTGCTTGCTAGATAGATAGTTCGTTCCACAAGATATTGGTAAAAGGAGGGACTGGCCACTGGGAACGAGAGGGGAAGCAGAGGCTGGCTGGCTTCCCGAGACACGATGTATCATATCATATCACCCAGGTCGAAGGACTAGATCCAGATACCTCCTCCCATACACATATACATATATATATTACAGGACAGCCGGGTTCGAACGCCTGCCAAAATCTCGTCTTTCAAATTATCCAAGAATTTCTATCTCGTCCTATCAAGCAATTCATATACTGCGCCGCCTGACTGATTGACACCTCACCCCGAAACCCCCTTCGGGCTGCTCTAATTCCTAACTCCCCTCTCTAGAGACACCGGGAAACCGTACTACATGCATCCAGCCAATGAACCCAAAATCAAACACTATAAACCCGTTCGCTATGCAGCACACACAAGTGATCTTATAAAACAACAAAGACAGCAAAATAGTAAATTTTTCCTTCCAGACACCGAGTAAATGCAGATCCACCCTATCCTTCCTTATCCAACTTCTGATCCAAGTTTCCAAGCCCAAGGTGTAGGATTTCTCCTCGAGATTAAATTGTGGTTGTTTGGTGGTATGAAGGCCGTATTACAAGGCTTGGTGGGTTGTGATGTTGCGTGAAGATCGAGGGAACACGGAAAATGCTGTGGATGGTGAAAGGACATAGGGGAAGTGTGTGGTGTCTTCGCTCGTCGAGGTGGTGTTCGGTGTCTGGGCAAGATCGAAGTTGGTTACAGACCCAGCTCCTCGAGTCCTCTACCTCGTCCTTTTGCGAACTGACTGACACCTGTCGGTTGGTAGGTATGCCGTGATCACCGGAAACGATCACGGAGCAACCGCCGCAGCCTCTTTCACAGCCTCATCCCGCTTCTCATCGGCTTTGATAACCTTCTCCTCCGCAGCTTTCTGCGCAGTCGGAGGATCAGGATCTGGCTTCGCGGGCTGCTTCGAAACCGGCGGTTCATCTCTTACGCTCCGCGTACTCGGTTTTTGGCCCTGAGGCGCTGCGTTCGCTGTCTCGCCCTTCTGAGGAGGTGGAGATGGCGGCACTAAGTCGGATTTCTTCTGTTCATCGGCTTTCAGGGCGTCTTGAGCTTTCTTCTTGACCTCTTCGACTTTGTTCTTGTGTTCCTGCTCCTTCTTTTTCTTCTCTTCCTCCTTCTTCTGCCTCGCCTCTTCGGCCTTCTTCTTTTCGGCGTCGCCTTTGGGGTCGATTTTCTTGGGTACGGGGATCCATTCGAGTTTGTTTTCGTCGAAGTGATGTCTGTAGAAGTTAGTAAAGAGTCTCTGTAGAAGAGAGAGGCCAGCTTACCCCTCGAAATCGGTCAAGGTCAATGCCTTCTCCTTGTACTCGGCCTCCAAAAGCTCTTTGTATGCAAACGGGATCTTCGCAGGTGCTCCCTCGAAAAAGGTATCTCGTAGCGGGAAAATATATGTGTCCTGATATGGTCAGCAATGCTCCTCCAAACTCCCATGCATGCATACCCGATATTCATGACCATCCTTGCAGCTCAACATGCCCTCTCCCGCTGGGTGGGTATAATTGTATCTCGCAGTCGTGATATCGATAAACAGCCCGCTCGTAGTATCCACCCATCTGGCATCAATAACATTCAACTTGTCGCTCTGCTCCCGGTTGACATAATGGGGATTGACTTCCAACATGTAGTCCCTGCCCTCCGGTATCCGCGGCGTCTTGTAATAGAATACAGACATGTTGTAATACGAAGCAAGGTAATGCATCGAAGCCTCCGAAACCTGGACATCGGAATCGGAATCCCATGGCAGGATCTGCCTCAATTAGCCACGCCCATCCTCCACGCCGTGTTTATTCTTATTCGTACCTTCCGATTCCACCACCAGCCCAGCAGCGTGCCATGCATAAGCCATGTCTCCACCCCGATATCTGCGAATGTCGCCAGGAAGGTCTGGATAAGGTTCGACAGCGCCTGCTTTCGTTCTCGGTACCCTAATTGTTTGTCTGCGAATCTTTGGGACCGAAGGATCAGCGGTGGCTCAGGTATCCAAGGGAAAGGATCAACGTACCTGCCATCATAATGCGGATGGAAGCTTGATCAAAATAAAAGTCAGCATGTCTATTGAATTCTCTCTCTCTCTGTAATCACATCTCGGAGGGTTGAATGGCAACATACATGCTCTCATCTATCAGATGTCATCCGTCAGCACGATATTCTTAGCGGCGACCATTTATGTCCGTCTGTCGAGCACCCGACACTCGCAGCGAGGGAGACTCACGAAAATATTTGCCCTTGGGATCCCCACGCTTCCCGCTCATGTCCTTGTGCATGCTCGTGCGCACGCTGAAGAAGTCCGCATCGCGGCGCTCGATGGCCAGGGCGAAGGAGGTGACGGACAGCACTGCGGCGGGCAGCGAGAGCAGCCAGCAGAGCCGCATCGTGTGTTGTCTTGTGTTGCGTTGGGTTGCTTTCGTGTGGATTGATCCGGGATGCAACCGAAGCGACGATAAGCCTGACGGTGGGCTGGGCACTGTAATCCAGATGAAATGAATGAAGTGCAGCAATGTAGTCAGTCGTAGGTAGAGGTATCAAATATCGAGAGGAAGAGAGATGTTCGGAAGCAGAAGTCGAGCACACGATACGAACAAACGGCTGCTTGGTCGATCGTAGCTAAGGGAGATGATGCATTGGTGCCAAGGAAAGAGAGGGAGGGATGCGTGGGATCCCCGGAAGTTAAGAGGAGGGAGCGCAGCCCAGCAGCGCTAGCTGGGTGTTGGAGGTGAGGGCTGTTGGTGCTGCATGCGAAGGCAGCCCAACGTTTATGCGCACGTTCGGGGGGCTTTATTGGCCGTATTGGCCGGAACAGGATACGGAAGCTTGTTTCTGGGAAAGGAGAGAGGAAGTGTGGAGCCGACTGTGTGGTCTTCGCGATATTCAGGACCTCAGGTCCAGATCTAGCCCCCTGTTTTTTTTATGTGCAGGGACGGCGAGTGGATGGAATCGGGCAATGGAGCATCAGACCAGATAGATGATGCGAGCACGCGAGCAGTGAACCTCTACAAAAAGACGACGTTCAAGTCTTCAGATCGAGTGGTTCAGATATTTCTTACGTTTACGTGAGAGGAGAGGTTTCCGTTCTCCTGCTGATAAGGAAACGAACGGTTGGTTACAAGGCGAATAGGAATTCTTGGTGTCAAGATCTGCGCCAAGCCAATGGACGTTCATCGGGAATGCGGTGGGGGAAACTTGAGAAGTTGGAACAAATGCTCCTTGCAGGGCGCGAGTGGCATGCAAATCCGCGTGGCTGCTGTTTCTCTCCCGTTGCGCCATCAGGTTTGGGAGCTGTGCATTTGAAGAGGCTCTTCTCTGCCGTGCCCTCGTGCTCCATGCTCCGTGCTGCGTGCTCAGTGCTCAGTGTTCACGGAGAATAAGGATACAGTAGGTATTCTTGGTGGACGGTAATCTGCGTTCTGGTTGCACGAAGCACTGCAGTATTGGGCTCGTCCTCAAGATATCTTCGGATTGAGAGAGGGCCGGCACCCCAAATTGATGAAACCGACGATGATGGACTTGACGCGTCTTCTCTTTCCTCGCTGTCTCCCCCTTTCCAGCCTCACCTCTTTCACCCCTTCGTATCTCCGCCCCAAACTTCTCTCCCTCGTCAGTCGTGTACGGAAAACTCCTTCGTCCCTTTCTTCTTTTCCCTTTCTTCTCTTCCCCTTCTTCTTTTCCCTTTCTTCTCTTCCCCTTCTTCTTTTCCCTCTCATCCACCGCCGAATGCCTGCCGTCAGTCGCGTGCTTGAGCGGGCTGCAAATTAGCGGGAGTAGGGGATGTTGGCTGACGCGGCCACGCGGGCCCGAGTGCGACCCTAACACAAGCTTTTTGGCGAGACCTTGGCAAAGCTTAGCTGCGCCAAATCTCGCAATCAGACGGGATCTGATAGGGGAGGATGATGCGAGGTGTTCTGTCTTGACGCCGTGTGTGCAAGGTCCGGCGCCGCTATTGGAAGTGCCAGCGAACTGTAGATTCCAAGAGACAGAGGCTGGCGAGGACGAGAATCGGCATTCGGTGGTTGTGAAGGAACGGCATATCTCGGACACAAAAAAAAAGGAATGGGCGCTCCTAACCAGGGGGTAATAAGAGGCGCTTCTGCCACCAAGTCGGAGAGGCTAAGAGCCATTTAAATAGTTCGATGCACTCATCCTTTTATTTGTTGACTTCCGGACGAGTAGCATTGAGGCGAAGGCAGAATATTGATTCGTTTTCGGTGTTATTCTGAGTTTTAGCCCTGTTCGGAATTCGGATGTGGATTCTGCGATGCTGAGGCGTGAGCTGAACGCATCGCTTGGCGTTATTAGGCCTAGGTCCTCTCGGGAAGGAGATTTGGGGCGTTTGCGGTAGCTGTCTTCTGTACAGTAGAAGGCGAATTGAGCGTCGCTGGTTTTTTAGTTAATTATTTTTAGCGGGGTCCATTTCCAGACATTTGCCCCTGCCCGGCTGTACTTCAAAGGTACCGCAGAGCGGAGCCGAGGGAGCAGAGGCAGAATTGGCGGATTACCCTACCATCCTGCCCCCCTTCTGATCACAACTAAAGTGTTACCTCAATCTCGATTTCTTCTGCCCAGAAAACACGAATGCATCTATTTCCTAGCCTCTTCACTCCTATCTCAACAAGATAGACCTACAGATCCATCCAAATGCACTTCAGCAAAAGTTGGGCAACACCTTCCCTTCTGCCACCACCTGGTCTAACCACTTCACAGATCTACAAGCCGCCATAAACCGAAAAATACCAAGCAAGAAAGATTCCAAGGAAAGCAAAAAAGTCCCAAAGGTGTTCTAATTCTCAAGCGAATACCTAAACAGATATCTCCACCCACTGTCCTCCACACTCAACCAAACTCAATATCCCTCTTCTACTACAGCGACAGTTGAAACCCCAGACTCGCAGTCTACACATTCATACTATGCGTGCGATTCAGGAGGGCGTGTGTCACGAGAGACATTGCTAGGAGGAGTGGGTGCATGGGCGGATGTTGATACCTCGGGATCAGGATATAGGCTTATGGGAGCAGCTCAAAATGATGTCGGCACTGAACATCAGATTGCTTAGTATGTATAATAGCGTGTACGATATGAATTGCTTAGGTTCAATCTGTTCTCATATCTAAAGAGACAGGAGTATGGGAGTTACGTGTTATAAATAAGAGCGGTAACTCGAGACTCAACAGAATATCAATCATAATTCCTTGCAGGCCCAATAGAACATTGTATCCCTCAAAGTATTCGTTCCTATGCCAATCCCAATTCCAGTGACCCGAGTGCCCATTCCAAATGTCCATTGTACGCTGCCCTCAAGGATTCTGCCATGGACCCTCGGAAAGACAAAGTGGACAAACTCATCGCCCTCGGCTAGTAAAGAAATTTCTTTGAAAAGTGGTACAATGGAAACTATACGGTTAAGGATCCTGTCTATTTATCTATCTAGGCTAAGGAACAATTTCTTCTCGCCGTGTGGCTGTATAACCAAGGTATCTAGATATACATCTATCCCATCATTCGTTCATTCTTCCGTATTTCATCACTACGCCATAATTCCACCAATTTCCTTGCAAATCCTACCCAACGCCTCGCTCATCCGTCATATCCAGACCTCCTATAATCCTCAATGACCAGATCACAGCAATCACAGGCCACGCCAAACAAAAAACAAGTCAAGGTCTGCGACGATTCAGCACTTCTACGCAGTGCAGGCTGGAAACCAAGGGCTTCTCATGCTCTTGAGCTAAAACTGAATCAACGAATGGTGTTTTGACGCGCTGAGAGCGTGTCCAACGCGTCAATCAACACCCCTCAGGACAGTACATCGTTGACTCGCCCTCAAGATCCAAATACAACTGCACAAGCACGAAGCAATCAAATCTACAAGCGTGGTTAGGCTCTGGACAGGAACTAGAGCTTACGGACACGAGTAGAAGCGATTACAGAAGCAGTAGGCCTTACCTACGTGGATAAAACGCGTCCACAAACGAGTCGACGAACACACACACCGATTTGAGACTAGAGGACCTTCTCTCTAGATACGCTCACGAATTCATTCCCTCTCGATACGCGCGAGCCGTACATCGCATTAGGTCGAGAATGTAACCCGCGAACGGTCCTTTATTACAAGGCAAATCAAAATACAATGTTCAAGTCAAGAGAATTATCAGACAGGGGCTTTGGAACCTCCGGCGATAGCGACAGAGTAACAAGGAGGGGCCTGGGTAGCACAAACAGGAGTATAGGGAGGAAAGGGTTTTTACAACCGAAGTCTGGCGTATTTCTTGGGTAACTACAGGTGTAATTGACACACGTAGGGCAAGGGGGCCCTAATTACAACTGCGTATAAAGCAATGGATCCTTGGGACGGCTGGTTGGTCCCCAGTCACGAACTTGGTAAAGGACACCCTCTCTTGCCCCCTCGGGAGGCGTAATGAAGGTGTGTGGAATACGTTAAACAGACAAAGGAATTGGGAGGCCTGGACTGAGCTATGCTGGAGGATGGTGTCCGCAGACGTGCGTGGAAGAGATTGAATTTAAGGAGTACGGCTAGTCACATTTGAGCTGGTCTGCCAGCTGTAATTCCCTCACAGAGCATCCATGTTGAATGAAGCAGAACAGGGGGGACAAGCACTGAGCTTTCACTGTGTGTGGGAGCCCTCTCTCAAGGGCTGTACTCTGAGGAGTAAGACTTTCTTGAAGGAAGCCTGTATATAGTACGTCTACATAGCGCTTCTGGCAGCTAAATGACTATGGAACACAAAAAAAAAGGCCACGCCAAACCATACCATATCCAGAACCCTATCCAACGCCTCGCTCATCCGCCATATCCAGACCTCGTGTAGTTTTCAATGGCCTGGATCACAACGATCGCAGGCCACGCCAATCCATGTCCAGTCCTACGCATTCAAGAAGGGACACCGCAGCCCCGCAACTTGCAGCTTGAGGCACAAACTGAGATATCGTGCTTCAGCGGCCATAGGCGACATGATGGGCAGTTTCTGGCCAGAGGTACGCGAAATCCAGTACCTATCTATCATTGGATTCGCCGCTATTGCGATGCTTGGGGACATCTCTTTAATTGTAGTCCCGTTCCCCATCTCATGGTCATAGCACACAGTCTCGTCGAAGTTGACTTCGTGAGTTGGTAACCCGAGATCCATGTCAGGGAAGTAGTGGTCTGGAACAGCATCTTGGCCCTCATTTGCGCCTGAGCCACGCAGGTTCACAGTCCAGGAGATGGACTCGTGGGTGGTTTTTCCTGTCGTATTGAACCTATTCGGAACGCGAGGTTCGCGGCCCATGGTCTTCATTACACCCTTATGTGTTCTCTTTGCGTTGCGGGTAATGAAGTCTAGGCTGGAGCTTCTTATTACCTGGCCAAAGCGATGATTGATGGCGGTTTTGTTGGTGGAAATACCCAGTTGTTCGATCTTGGCGAGTACCCATGCCGCAGGACTGTCGTTGAGGGCACCAGCGCCATGATGGTGATCGGTGCCCAGGTCCGCATGGCTGCCTGGGAACCAGGTCTGGTTGAGCTCCTGTTGAGGTTTGTTGGTGGGATCAGTGAATAGGAGGGAGTTAACGAAAGGCGGGCGTTCTTCGTGGAGCGCCATTGCGTGGTAAGCGTGGCGCACATCTGAAGAACCGAATCAGTCTTTGCCGGACGGAGACGGTGGCGGGATCGGGAAGACTTACTGTTTGGCAAACGCATCAAGATGGTGTCTTGCTTGGAGTGCCATCTTGGGAAGTACTTGAGGAGCCCCGTTCGTGGAAGACCGACAGTACTCACGAGATCAAAAAGTGCTAAGGCTTCGATCTCGACCTCAACACCTTGCGTTTCGTCAGTTGTTGTGGACAGTAGTTGATCGTCTGCCGGGGAAATAAACTCACAGCCATATTTTCCTTTGAGCACTGAAGCATCTGTATTCCCATCGTCATTGTTGGGGAGTTTGAGGTATTCAAGGAAGAGGACTTCGAGGGTTTTATTTGGTGTGCCACGTGGCGGGAGGCCAACAGCATCGAGGAAAGAGGCCACTTTGTATGCCACAAGACCGCCTGTGTGAAGATTTAGATTAGGCTCGAGTCTGAAGAAGATGGAGATTGCATACCACGGCTATACCCGGTAAGTATGATCCTACTATCGTATTGGTAGTTGTCGATAATTGGCCCTAAGAATGAGCCTGGTAAGCAATGAGGGGGTTGAGAGTTAAGACTTGGCTTACGAATGCCCTCCAGAGTCTTCTGATTGATGCCCAGGCCCAGAGCTCCTGAAGTTGATGAGCATTGCATTTCACAAGGTGATAGAATTGATGAAGCTTACCTCCAATGATCTTGTCAAAGAAGTTCCACGGAGATCCAACACCGGGAATATACTTCACGATGGAATTGTCGGTGTCAAGGAAGTCGGCGGTCTTTGCGACGATGGTATTCTTGGCTGAGTAACTCTTGTCGCAGCCAGTACCTGTTCAAATGGAAACGCCATCAGTAAGGATGCATCTGGTGAAGTGCATTGGCAACACAGGAGCGGATCAACTTACCGTCAATCGCAACGACGATAGTCTTAGGGTTGGGTGAATATTCAAAGGAGGAGACGACAGAGAGGAGAGAGAGGAGGGGGAGGACGATGGCGATAAGAATAGATTTCATGGTGCCTTATAGCCTGTAAAGGGCAGAATTTGAGTGATTTAAAGAAAGTCGCGACAGTTAGAAAAAAAGTTCCGCCAGGCAGCGGCCTTATATTACGCGGGAGCATATCTCGGCCCAGATGACAGGGATCGCAAGAATCCAGCGGGATCAGATGTCAATCCTTGGAGCTTACCCGAATATCCCGACGAGTCTCATAGTCAAGGAAGACGCCGTTCTGATTGTCGTGATTTTGCTTTCATCTGAACTTCAGAAGCTCTGTCTGACACTGGCTCACAGATCAAGATGAAGTCTCAATTACGGTATGAATGGCTACTCAATTGTACATAGTGATAGTTCTTGGGATTGAGCTGAAATATGCTGCCTTAAATGTCGCCTTATTAGTCGTTCAGCTGCGCACCTACCACCCAAAACCACCGACGGTGAAAGCAGTGGCGGGCCCGTGCACGCGCCTTGCCCGAGGCGGGGGGTCGCGGTTTCCGGTGCGGGCTTGCTGTCTAGTCATTTACTCTTTTAATATATCTTAAATTAGTTATTTTTTTATTTAAAGAACTAGTATAAAAACTAATTAATTAATTAATTGGAATAAAGAGCAAGAGGGGCAAATTCTGCTGGGCCCCTCACTACCTAGACCCACTATTATTGATAATTATTGATTATCGACTAATTAGTGCGATTATCTATTAATTGGTTATTGAACCTACAGGGAAACCTGGTTATAAGGGTACGGCCGGTTCCGGAATAATTACCCTTATAAAGGGGTTACCCTTATAACCAGACTAATTTTGGTAGGAAAAAAAAATTTGGTTCCCGATTTACTACCCTTATACAGAGGTTACCCTTATAACCAGTACCCTTATAACCAAGTTTCCCTGTATCGGAGCCCACACTGCCTTTTGGTCGAGCTTGGAGATCTTCAGAAGAATTAAGAAATAGCGATGGGAATACTACCTTAGGATGTTGGTATGTTCTCTCTCACAAACCGGGATGGATGTCAGGCCGATGAGAATTGCTCTCAATCCTGGACCTCAGTAATCTTCAAGGTGGTTCAGAACACATGAGGCTTCCCACGGATTCGAAAGGTCTCCCGGCACCGATAGGAGGACAATGACAGCAGCAACAGCAGCGGTGAATAAACTTTCGAATGCAGAAGTTCCTCAGCATCATTAAGCACGATATGCTTGCATTAGGTGCAGTCTGGAAAGAAGTGGGTCCTCGCCGCTCAAACTCCACGTGATCTTTGACACGGTGTTCATTTCCGAAACCTCCGCGTCGAGTTCCCCTGAGCCCGCAAATGAACAAGGTCTTCAATCTTAATGCTTGAACGTCAAGAGCCATTCGAAAAGAAAGAAAAATTGCTCGTTCGCGCAGGAATGGACTCAAAATCCTCATCCAACGCCGTCTTGCGGCCAGTGGGACTTATGTGAGGGTTCTAAAATAATTATGACTCCGCCTGGGGCTCTTGCGCTGATTAAGAGAGCCAGGGAGCAATTTTCCACCGTCAGACATGATCTTGGGCTCTACCGATGTGTTCAGAATATTGCAAAATATTCGACAGATCACAGTCCGGATGATATGATCATCGCGCTCGAAACTGCCCTCGCCAAGGTCATTTTGCGGCACCCTCCTCTGTGCTGTGGCATCATCAATGAGGACAAGGATGACCCCGCTTTCGTCCGACTCGAATCCATCGACATGTCAAAGTGCCTCGATTATAGGATTCTAGACTCGTCGACCCCAGAAGAGCATGAGCAAAGCTTGATAGAGATCGTCCAGCATCAACATCGCCTACTATGGCCGGATATGCATTGTCGCCCAGTTTGGAAACTGATTGTCGTCCAACGCAAAGCACAGCCTTCAGAAAGAACTGATTTTGATGCAATATTTGCTTGGCATCACGGCATTGCTGATGGTGTGAGCGGAATGGTATTTCATCGATCGATGCAGGAAGCATTAAACGACTCGGCCACTGTTGCAATTGTCGACCATACGATCAAGATACCGGACTCCATCAGTTTATTTCCACCTCAGGAGGATATGATTAAGTTCAAAATATCATGGTGGTTCTTTTTGGCAGCTGTATGGCGTTTTTTGAGACCCAAATGGCTCTTGCCCGATTCTTCTCCGCCATGGACTGGCCCACACGTTCCGCCCAGCGCCGAAAATTTCGATCCACGCGTTCAATTGATCTCAGTGTCCTCGGAGGATGTCACCAGTATTCTGTCTGCATGTAGAGAACAGAAGACTACCCTCACCGGCCTTTTTGAAGCTCTTGTTGTTTTGTCCCTGGCATTTCGCGTCCCAAACGCTACCAGTTTTATATCAAATACTTCCATCTCGCCCCGATCTCTCAGCGGTATATCTTCAACCGGCGATATCGCAGTTCAGGTCTGTTCACATTCATCGGCATACAATTCAGATGTTGTCTCAGCAATTCGAGCCGCCCGAAATCCCGCTCAAGTCACGGACCAGGTCTGGAGGATTGCGAGGGATTTCCGTACATCACTAGCAACTGCAATGGCACGCATGCCAAAAGATAACGCGGCGGGGCTATTGCCTTACGCTGGCAATATTCACGATTTTTTTCGTTCCAAACTGGGAAAGCCTCGAGAGGAAACATTTCAGATTTCGAATGTGGGGACATTTAAGAACCGGGTTGGCGAAGGGCAGTGGAGGATTGAGCGAATATTCTTCACGCAATGTGGTGTGGTTGGCTCGGCATTCTCGCTCAATGCTGCGAGCGTTGTGGGTGGGCCACTTTCAATCACTTTCACGCGGCAAGGCGATATTGACAACGAATTCATGGGAAATCTCATTGCAGATGTCCAATATGGTCTGAAGTGTATTGCAGACGGGAGGGAACTCTCTCTGGATCACTCGGGCTAAGAGCGGGCCAAGTGGCTGCCATATCCTTTCGATGGAGCGCAAGAGGAAGTTGTATTTCCCCCCAATATAATTTATAATTACTCATCCCACAATACTGCACTTAACCCGTTGTCGCTTTCTGCTTGTCCAACAGTACCAATTCTCATACTCGCTACTTGTGGGCCCAACAAGCCGGTTGTGATGTCTCTCTTTACCACTACCACATTGGCGGTAGTTTGGTCCCCAATAGCCACCAGATCCCCTGCTTTATTGATCTGGAATGTACGCGGATAGGTTCCGCCGGAAGAGGTAACGCCTGTCAGGGTCATAGCCCCCGTCGATGCGTCCAAGGAGAACGTGGCCAATGAATCATTTGGCGAGAAAGAAAGATCTCTTCTATTGGAAACGATCAAGAAGTTGTCATGCACATGAACCTCTCCAACCTTTGTTCCTGATGGTGCAGACTTGCCGCCGGCCATAGTGTTTAAGCTTTGCTCTTTCGTCAGGGTCATGCAACCGCCTGAGTATGCAACCGAAAATCTGTGGACTGTGTTCGCCAATTCGTTGGCAACAAAGAGCGTCTTGTCGCCCCAGAATGCTGCGTGACGAGGTCCGGTTCCACCAGCTTCCACGAAGTTTCCGCAAGAAGTGAGCGTTCCTGAGCTGCTATTTATGCTATATATCCGGATCAAGTCGGCGCCTAGATCTGGTACCAAAAGGAAGTTTCCGGAAGGATCCACTACTGTCTGATGTGGATGCGGAACATCCTGCCTTGAATTTGGTCCTTTTGCACTCTGGGTAAGCTTCATGTTCTGCAGAGTTTGCGTTGATGAAGATAACGGCAGCTTGTAGGTAGTGAGGAGGGAAGATCCACTATGGGTGTTATGTCAGTGTCATTCCCAAGCTCAGGTTACAGCGATTACTCACTAATTCACACTCGCAACATATCTCTTATTTCCATAGAGGACGTTGGCAACAGCACCCCCTGGAGCTGAGCATTATCCGAGCTGTTTCAATCCACCATCTGCTTCCGCTGCGACCGAGGTCAACGACCCAGTGTTTCCCTCATCCGAAACATATAATACCCGGCTCGCGGAGTCAAATGTCAACCAGCTTGGTTGGCCACCGATTATCACTGTGCCATTCGTTGTCAATGTGTATCCTCCTCCGCTCGTTGGTGTCACAGTCAGCGATTGGAGCGTGCCTTGGTAGTGGGAGACGAAAATGTTTATGGCGCAGATAACATCCAGGAGAGCTGGGAGCAGCCCCAAGGAACTAATGAGAAGACGCATGATCACAACGATTGGCAAGATCAATCTTCTTCCACTTGCTTTCAGGCTCGTGCGAGACGCAAACTACCAAATTTCCTTGGCAGCTGGAGCACACAGAGTATTTAACTCTGCTCAAAACCACTTCGTTTCGAGCACATGGCCTCTATAGGATCTACATGATACGGGTATATCTATTTGCTGCCCCGAAGCAATTAAGCCAAGGACAGATCTTGGGTGTTCCCCAAACGTTCACGACCCCTGAGCCACTTCCCCGCAATCGAGATCAATCTGTGTCAAGTTGAGTGATCTCTTCCCCTGAGCCGAGGCCCCACACCTCAATTCATGACGTCTCAATTTTTTCTTCCCGGGCTGACACGTAAGGCTGGATGGTTGTACCTATAAAGCAACACATTTTGCTAATACAACGTCTCTAGGGAAAATAATGTAGCGAGACAGTGATGTTCCGCGCTGGCACGCACCAGAAAGCAAACGATACAAACTTTTAATTGGCATTCACCCCTTGTCTGTGGCTCTCTCGCTACATTATTTTCCCTAGAGACATTGTATTCGGAACTACTATACCGCTTCAGGCGGAATATGTTTCTATCGGCAAGTGGGTGAGGTACTTTGGGCTTTTTATTCGCGAGCCCTGTAGCCAGCTAGTGCTCGGCTGATCTCAGTGGGCAAGCGAGATTTGGCCCTACCAGCCTCACTTTGTTTGGATAAAGTTGTCCCAAAACGGTGCGGATGACTTGATGAGATGATGGCCAAGATATAAACCTCGAGAGTTCTGCTAAGCAATATCTTATCATCCACAAGGATCTACCAGCGTTGATGGTATCGTTCGCGTCAGCTCCATAATAGTTCTGTCTAAGTTCGTACTTTCATGAACCGCTTCTCCCATGTTCTCCCACAGTGCATAACGGATGAAATTTTGGGTCTCTATCTTGTAGATTTATGTGGCTTTCTCAGCCAGGAACTGGTTAAACAATACGGAACATGGCTGCCAAATGATTGACTGTCCCAAAGTGTGAGCCCTCTGCCAAGCCCAATCAACCGGAATCCGATAACCGTTTGGCATGTTTTCACCTCCACACCGTGGGGAGGCTTAGCTATAGACCATTTCTCTTTGTGGGATGTTTCTCGTATTATGAGTACTGTACATAATATCAGGCAGCAACCCCGTTCTCTTGTCTTTCGTCGTTTGTTTCATTTCTGAGCAGCTCATCGCAGCTATCCTTCAGCTTCTGGACCCTGCCATGATGATCGCCCTTACTGCCTTTTCGCTCCTGCTTGCAGCAGTACCGAGCCATGCTACAGTTATCGGCCTTCAAAAGAGATCGTCCCTAACTAACTACTTGACATCTGCAAGTGTTCCACAAAGCGCACCGGGGTCAGCGGATTTCAAGCAAGCTATCAAGCCCTTCAATCTCTGAATCCCATTTACACCTATTGCAGTAGCGGTCCCTACGACCGTTGCTCTAGTGCAAGCTGGTACCCAGATCTCACGACTTTCCTATACTGGTACCGTGCCGAGAACGTGTCCATGCCAGACCAGGGTTTTGTCGAGCCACTTGAGGCTTACTGGGTTGCTGGGTTCCCAACGATATCAACAATAAGACGGCAATCCGGGCTCATGCTCGGATCTTGTACTACGGTCCGGTTCAGAACTGAACGTTAGAAAATATACACTTAGAGCATTTTTTTGAGACATCCATCGAATGATAATATCAGGGGGTTCTGCTTTGCGGAAGAAAATGTTTGGACTTCAGATTACAGAGCCAGTCGTTCGAGGTCCAACACGTCACTTGGCACACCGCGGAAATTTCAATCACACCGATATTTCCTATGTAATAGCTGAAGACGAACATACTCATACAACATTAATCATTCCATTCCACTCGGAATGAAGAGATTTGAATAATGGTGGGGGTAGAGACTTTGAGCTACGCCAGCTAAGATCAAAAATATTCAATGAGTGAAGAATCCACAAGGGGGTGAGATGACGACAATCGCAACCCTCCATTTGGTTCAAGAAAATATTGAGAACTGCATATCAATCAAAAATCGTACTCAGATAAGAAAACAATTTGGTTGCAGTACCCCCAGAGCTACTGGGAGGACCGGCGATGGTGGTCATTCTCTCACCCGTGCAAGCAAGGAATTAAGAGCAGGACACGGAAGACCAAGAGGCACAAGGTATGCAGGGAATGATTGCTATTAATAAATATGCTGTCATCAATCAATATCCCTCGCTCAAATCCGCCTAGCTAACGCCATAGCCATCCCATGCATCAATTCGCTCAAAATATGCCACGATGTGACCCCACAAACGCCTGCCCATGCTTGTCCCCAATCAAATCTCGATACTCTACAACGCAAATGGCAAAGATGCCATCACATGAGACCAGAAAGACTCTGCTGCTCAATGATGCTCTTCTGGTCCGCATTTCTGCTGACCCGAAAGTAGTGGTCACCAAACTCATTGCACTTCATCTCCCGCAAGAACTCCTCGTCGTGAGTGATGATGATCATTTGGAAGTTCGATTGGTGACGTCGGTTCTTGATGATCTTGTTCAAAGACTGAGCGAGTGCTCTAATGTTGTCTTGATCCAGGTTAGTGGTAGGTTCGTCGAGAGCAATGACCTGGAAATCGTTAGCATCAAATCTTTCGCAAAAGCAGTGGAAGTTCTTACACCGCAATTAAGACCAAAGCACTCAGCAAGAGCAAGACGGATGATGATACAAGCCAAAACCTTCTGGCCAGCACTGCATCGACCACGCATATCCATCTCAGCATCTTGCTTCACCATGACTACCCGATAGTTGTAAGATCGCTTGGTCGTGGTATTGGCAGTGTCGTTCTCTGAGCGGATCATGATAGTGTCAACATCTGTACCTTGGTATGTGCTTCGCCACAGTTCGCCAGCGATCGCATTGATCTCTTGCATCTTGAGACTGTGGAACTTCATGATCGCGCTGTCGAGTGCATTGGAATACTTATTCAGGTCTTCGACTGCGGCCTTCGTAGTCTCGACCTTGATGTGCATCTCCTTATACTGCTCGGCAGCATCTTTATATTCTCGTTCATACTCATCCAGCGAGTCCTGCAATTGGCTATCCTTGGCTGTGATCTTTCCAACCAGAGGGCCTTTTTCTGACTGGAGTGTTTGCCAGTTTCTATCGGCAGCGGCTGCTTCACGAACAAGCTGCTCATAGTCATCCGTGACATTGCGATCCTCCAGTTCAGCAATGTCGTTCTTAACTCCTTCCAGTTCTCGAAGATGCTTCCGATATCTAATGTTCTCTTGGAAAGTTCTCTTATTGTGCTCGCTGTCGTCAATCATCTTCTTCAAGGAATTGGCAGCTGTCGTGAGCTGATCTGTGTCGGCCTGAATCTGCTTCGCCTCTTGTTCGAGAGTCTTGATTGCTCGTCGGCAAGCGGCAAGCTTTGCTGGACCTCCGTTTTCGAGATAGGAATCGATGCTTTCCTGAATCAACTTGAATTTGTGCACAGTCTCACCGAGTTTGGTCTTCTCAGCTTGGACATCCTTTGCCTTCGCTTGGCCACGTCGTTGAGCATCCTCATGGAGAGCCTTTGCCTTCGCAATTTGCGGGCCGAGAGAAGTGAGTGCCTCGTCGGCTTCTTTGATTACCTGACGCTGGTGGTTGGTCTGTTCACGAAGTTCGTCAATTTCCTTCGTAAGACGTTGCTTGTTCTCGAACTCGACTTTAGCCATGTCGACCTTATTGGAGGCAGTCCCAGACTCGATTTCCAGCTTGTTGATCTCAGCCTTGGCTTGATCCCGACTGTTCACAAATCGGGTATGCGTCTTTTTGACAGCGCGAATGCGCTCATCACAAGAAGAAGATTGCTCCTGGATCTCGTCGGCGGACAGAGAGCTGCCAGACAATTTCTGCTGCGAGGAAAGTCGTGCAATATCAGTCTCGTGGTTCGAGATCTCGGTGCAATATTTGGCAATGTTGTTGACCGTTGGCGACAAAACCTCCACATCTCTCTTCGCAGATTCTTCCTCGTTGACCACGTTGTCACACTGTTCGAGACGTTGCACTAAAACTCTCTTCTTGCTTTCCATTCTCTCTAGATCCCTCTCCAGAGCTGGTACCTCAGTGTCGTGCAGCTTCTTGCAGAGTTCGTATTGAGAACGTGCTGCGTTGGCTGTCTTGAAGTCTGCCTCGAGAGCCTTGAGATCATCTTCAAGATCCCTTTTGACTAGCTTAGCGAGTGCCTTCTCAATCTTGTCCACCGCGGCTGACTTTTCTGCAAAGTCTGCAAAAGAACGGTCGCAAAGTCTGCAACAATTCCTCGACTTGATGATGTCCTGAGCTTGGCGGTAGTAATCAGACACGTAAGTCATGCCATCAAGATCCTGTCTGAGATCGTTGCGTTCCTTTTCTAAAGCCTCGAGCTCTGGCAGATAATCGTCGACGTTGCTGAGCGGCTTTCCTGCTGCGGTCGTAATGGAGTTCAATACGACAGTCCGAGATTTCTGCATTTCTCCCTTCTTCTGCGAAAGATTGGATCGAGCATTCTGAAGCTTGATTTCTTGTTCGCGAAGGTCTTGATGTGCACCCTCTTGCTGTTTCTTTGCGTCGACAAGAGTTCGGGAACGCTGGCCGAGAACAGCTTGGAAGAGGCTCTCGAGAGTGTCAGGACGCCAGTCTGAACCAACAATCGCATTCAGCTGTTCAGTGTATGTCGAAAGCATGGTGTTCAAAGAGGTTTGCTTTTGCTTCGCCAACCCTTTTTGATGGATAAGCGCAGCATTGTCCTGGGCAAGTTCATTGCTCTTGAACAATTCATCTCGCAATCTATTTGACTCCGATTCCAGTTCTGCAAGACGATTCTCCTCGGCCGTGATAGTACTGTTCCAGGCAGCAACTTCAAACGAGGAGGTAGCCTGTTGAAGGCGTTTCTTGATATCATTGAGACGCAGATTCAAGGCAGCCATTTCGCCTTCTTCCATTCGGATCGAGCTCACCTCCTTCAGCTTGATATCCACCCTCTTGTTGTTGGCGGTGATTGCTTGCTGGGCGGCGAGTCTCTTTTCTGTTCGGGTCGTCTTTTGGTCGTTAAGAGCGGAGAGGGTCTCTTGAGTCTTTCGTAATTCGTCGTTCGACTCCTTATTGAGGGTTTCCAACTCAAGATCGCGGTCTCGACCCGACTTTTGGACTCTGGCAACAAATTCCTTGACCTGTTCCTCATCGATGTCGCCTTCGTATCCGCGAATCGAATGAGTACGAGCTGCCTCCTTCACAAGCTGCAGACGTGATTCCAGATTTCTCTCATAATTCTCCTTCTCCGCCTGATGCTGGCCTTGTTCTGCTTGTTTTGCGGACAATTGTTGGCGTGAATCATTTGCGGAAGCCTGCAGCTCTTGCCACTGGACTTTTTGCTCCTTCGATTGACGGGCGTACTCGGCCATTCTCTCCTCATATTGTTCGAGAGTGGACTGAAGCCACTCATCAGATTCAGTGCGCTCTTCAAAGTTTTCTCTCAAATCAGCGACGGTAGATTCGAGGTATTCTGCTTGTTTTGTCTTCGTCCTGAGTTCGTCCACGATGCCGAAAGCTTTAACTTTACGCTTGTGCTTCTCGTCCCGGTCGTTTTCAGCCTCCACAATCTTGCGGTCGACGGTAGCAATCTTGTCGCGAATTTCTTCGACTTCATTCGACAGGGCGGTAATCTGTCTCTCGGCTCGTTCGGCTCTGTCTTTTTGACTCTTGTTGTTCGCCTCGTGGATGACGAGGTTACCCAATTTAGTCTTATGAACTTTTGCGAGCGACTTGATCGTGTCGACGGCTTTGGAGTATTTCTGAGCCTCGAAAATCTCATCGAATTTAACCTTGAGCTTCGAAGGCTCGCTCATGGGCCACAAAGAGTCGTCTTGGTGGCAGAAGATGACATTTTCTAGAATAGCCGGCGGTACACCCAGGTGCATGGGAATAACCTTATTCATCTGGGCCACCTTTGTGGACATTGTGACCCGTTCCCCGTGATGCTCCATCAACAGCTCACAGTCGAGTGTCTTAAATGTTGTCTTCGACTTTTTGACGGCAAGGGACATGCTTCGGGTGACGACGAGCTTGCTGTTCGCGGCATTGCGGAACTGAAGCTTGACTTGCCCCAGAACCTCCGATTCTGCACATAACTAGAAGATGTTAGGACGAATTAAGACGGGTTGCGGAGATCACACCTTGGGATCATGGATGAAGGCACCACCCGTGCTGTTGGGTGGGAGTTGGCCGGCCGTAGCATACTTAAGGCATTCGATGATGGTCTAGAGACGTAAGCATGTGTGCAAAAGGGGGCCAAGATATACCCACCGTCTTTCCGGAACCGTTGAACCCGACGATCAGGTTGAGAGGTGTCTGGAACTTGATCGTTTGCCCGGTGCGATTATCGAAGGAGCGGATCCTGGGTTGCACAAGTTAGCGTCAGAGATATTGAAAGCGATGACACTGTAGCTTACCCTTGGACGGCCAACTTCTCGATTGAAGCTGTGGAAGAGCGGTCAGCAGGTTGATCATGAGTGCCACTCCGTTCGTCAAAGAGGTAACTTACACCTGCGAACCTGGGGTTAGCCTGGATGAATTCAGTTTGAAAAGGAGAGGACACTTACATCTTGATGTCTCGGACTCCTGTGCCTTCTGCCAAGGCAGGAACATCAGCGTGGGGTTGTTGGTGGTGCTGATCAGAAGTGGTTGCAGTTGTGTTGACGAGGAAGGTCGGGGAGGACGCGGGCTGATTAAATAAAGGTCCGGGAGCGACGCGCCTGGTCACGTGCAAACGATTAAATTTACCGCTAAATTCGCTAAATTTCCCCGCTAAATCTCAACGCTAGTATCGGAGCTCATTGGCCCCAATCGCAGTCCACGAAAGTGGATGGGACATTTACGCCCTGTCATGATCGTGAGCGCTTCTAAATTTCTTCACAAGGCAGTTTGGCCTTGACCGTATTCGAATGGTGTCTTGCTATAGACCAGTTCAGTATGTCTCAGGGACCAATGAATCCGAACAGTCTGGGGATGGATCCGTCCATGTATTATCAGGGCATGGCGGGGATGGACGGCATGCCAGGAGGCTTGTCAGCCTCGCAGGTACGATGCTCCCCTCTCTCCTGATCGATCGACAGAGTGTGCTGATTGCGTGTAGGCTCCTCCTAGTGCGAATGACACCTCGATGAGCGGCATACTGGAAGACAGCATGCTCGAAGACTTTGACAATACTCTCGATGTCAACAATCTCGAGAGCGGCAGCCAGAGACCTTATGGACTGCCGAGCTCTGCAATGCCACGAAATGAGAGCGAGCAAATGGACGAGCGGGGAGCTCTTGTGCTCAATTCAATGGATAATACAATGAGCGGCGCCGGCGCAGGACCATTGCCTACTGGATTCGGTACACAATCTGGGGTTAGTGGTGGTAGCACACTCACAGACTTCACGAAGAGGAGGAACTGGCCACAACGAGTGGTTGAAGAGCTGAAGGATTTTCTCCACATTCTAACCCCCGATGGGAGAATAGTCTATATGTCCCCCAGTGGCGAAGCATTGACGGGGTATACTCGAGAGGAGCTTGTGGGCAAATTTATCGTGGATTTCATACACACTGACGATTCCGGAATATTTGTGCGAGAGTTCAACGAATCTATCGCTAGTGGCCATCCTCTCAGATTTTTCTATCGATTTAAGAAGAAGGATGGGACGTACACGATTTTCGAATCTCACGGGCACCCTCATCTTACCTCGGAAGCCGCACAATTTGGACCGAACAATGGATCAAGCTTCTGCAAAGGATTTTTCATGATGGCGCGTCCATACCCGACCAAGAACGCTGCACTGCTCGACTCTTTCCTCGAACACAAGATCGAAAATGAACGACTTACGAGGAGAATCGCTGATCTCAAGCGGGAGGAAGCTGAGGAGGTAGATGAGTCGCACAAGACATGGTTGAAAAAGCAAGAAGGGCGACCAGAGATTCAATCCGAGGAGAACGAGACGCTGGGATCCACGACAGCATCAATGCCTAGCCATATGGCGAACCCAGATGCATTAGCAATGCCACCACCAGCAAAGCCGTCGTCTATGAATGCTGCTTTGACTCGACAGAACTTGGAGGATGCGAACGCCGGAAGCAGACCGGATTCTATAAATGACAAGATGGCACGTTACGAAGGTGCTACTCATATTGAGACGATTGAGATGCTGACAGGATTACGATACCAAGATGGAGAACGAAGTCACGGAATCAGCACTGGAGACCAGAGTCCAGCATTGATCAGAGGCGATGCCGGAATAGCGATCCCTGTTGATAAGGAAGCCAGGGGAGGCGACAAGAAGAAGAAGATAAAGCTTCCAGATGAATATGTTTGCACAGATTGTGGTATGTATATCAATGCGTGAGGTCGCTGCGTGTATTGACATTGATCAAGGTACTCTCGATTCCCCGGAATGGCGGAAGGGCCCCAGCGGACCAAAGACGCTCTGCAACGCTTGCGGTCTCCGATGGGCCAAAAAAGAGAAGAAAAGAGCAGGTCCATCCCAACCGGCGGCTTTGCAACTGGGGCAGAGCACTGGAAGCAGTTAGGATTCACAAGTGTCACATGGCGTACCCGGTAATTTGGCATTTAGGCAAGGTGCAAGTTGGGTCCCTTTTCAACGGTGTTCAAGAGGGGCACGGACAATGATACCTGTCTCTCGGACTGGCTTGGCTGGCGTTGGACTCGGAACGGATTAAATTGCTTACAAGTATCAGCTAATGAAAGAAAAGAAAGCAGGATTTCTTGATCGTCTCAAAGAAAGTTCTCACAGTCAAGCGCCGTCAAGCTATGTATGGCAAACGCTCAACACCTCACAAGCAAAAAACCTCCCCGCTTCAATATAATCCATCCCCTGCACCACCGGAAAGCTATCGGACAACATCCCCAACCCACCCACCATCATGACGCCCACAACCGCAGCGCCTAACCCCGCAACCACCTTGCCTCTATCACCCAGTCCCTTCTTCTCCGTCTTACCCCTAACCCAACACCTCAATCCCGTCCTCTCCCCCGCAGGATTCGGCTCCAATCTACCATGCATATCCCGCCTATTCCACCCATAATAGCACACCACCGCGCCCCTCGCCAACTGCAAAACGCGAAACCCATCCTTCTCCCTCAAAAGCCTACTACATTCACCCATCTCATCATCCTCATCTTGCCCCGGCTTATACCTCGTCACCACCGGCCAAACACCAATCTTGCACATAGCTCTATAATCTCTATCTACAGGGGTGGGTACTTTCGTCTCATGTGCAGCAAGCGCTGCATCTGCCTTGATTCCTGCGCGCGTCTCTCGTTTCCCGGCATTTATAAAGGTATCGAGGGCGGCGTTCAAGTGGGCGCGGCGATCGAGGAAGATTTCAAGCCGGAGGCGATGGTCGGTGAGCACGGCTTCTTGGCTGTCTAAGTACAGGCGGTTTTCAAGACTGTAGTGGTCTGTTTCGTCGTAGAAGGTGCCCGGAGAGACGTCGTTGAAGGTGAAGATTGTGGGGGAGAACTTGATGCAGAGGGACAAATAGGCGGCTGTTGAAACCAGGTTGTGGAGAGCTTGGTACTGGTCTTCGATTTTAGGCAAAGGGATTCCGAAACGCGGTTGCATGCCGTAGAGGTAGTCGGTTAGTGGCTTGAGAAGGAGTGAGATTTGAGCGGTGAGTGTGGCGACGGAGGAGTAGAAGTTCTCTGTTACTGCGTTGCGGCCGATGATTGTTCTTACTGTTTCCGCTCTTAAGGCTTGACGGCCGAATCCTTCTTGCCGTCAGTAATCTTAACTGTGAAGTGTCAAGTGATAAAGAAAGGGAAAGTTGCCGTACCCTCACGCCCGACAAACGCTCTCGAAAGTCCATGCAGCAGCTCCGCCTGCTCCTTCTCCGCCCCAAACAAATCCACATCAAAGATCTTCACCCGAACAATCTTCATCAAGATCCCCATAACCAGCCACTTCCTCTGCACCGTGTCCCTGAGTAGATCATCCCAGCTTCCCGTCCCCAAGTTCGGATCTGATTCGGCTACTTGCTCTGCCCAGGTGATAAACTCGTCCGTCATGCCCGCTGCCCACGGCTCGAAGAACTCGCCTGCGTCCAGATCGTGCACGCCGAAGTAGTGGGTTGCGAATTTATCCGTTTGGCGGAACAGGCGCCGGAGCATCTCGGTGTACCAGGCGTCTGAACGGTCTTCGAGCGGATGAGGTTTGTAGCTTATTCGTAGGGGCTGGGGAGCAAGTTCTGCGAGGTCGATTTTGCGTTCTACTTGGACGACGTGGTTTAGTGGGAGTGGTTTTATTGGTTTCACGATGGCCCGTCTAGCTGCTGCGGTAGTCGACCGAGTTGCACGGCGTTTGTTGGAGGTGGGTGTTTTGTTTTCTTTGTATTCGCCGTCGCTATCGTCTTCCCGAGATCGTTTCTTGCCTTTCTTGGAGAGACTGCCTGTTGATGTTTGAGCTGTGTTGGGTGTCGCAGGTGCCATGGCACCGCGAGATTCTGGTGTATATCTCGCTGCTCGAAGTAGAGTCTCCAGGTTTTGGGATAGAAGTTCTGTGTTGCCTGGTGCCCACACTGGTCTCGCCCCGTCTGGCGTGAGAGGCTGCAGAGAATCAATCTCTTTCTCCACGGCTATACTACTTTGCCTCCTTCGAGATGGCGACTGACTGTACTGTTCAGGACTCATGGCAGTGCTAGCTGTATTTCTAGGATTCAGTGACGTCGAATTCCTAGCGTTGGGTGTGCTCTTCATATTTCCAAGTATGGAGCTCAACACCGCCGCGTCCTCTTTTTCTAATTGATTGAAGCTGACTTTCTTCTTTGGTGAGTTGGGGCGGCTTCTGGGGTCCCTGACAGCAGAGCTTTCAGGCAGCTGATATTCCGACATGGTAACGGGTATCTGTTTGAGATAATGCGAATCCAGAAAATTTCGGATTTGGTCGTGATAAAAGTGTCAGGTTGCACGGGTAAGAGGTTGGGGGTAGGGTGGGTCAACAGAGAAGGGGTTGGTTATCGCATTCCTTCGGTATCCGAAGGAATGGAGTTGAATGTAAAACAACAACGCACATGAGACATGGCTAATGGTGTCTGCATGCAAATAATCCAATAGGAACTTATTGAATTAAGACTTTTGAGAAAGTGCGTTGAAAAGAACGGGTATCGAGAGAAACTCTGAATGGAGAGGGTTCCAGCGGATTCTCGGAAGAGAGGGGGGACTCGGCTATCACTTGTCACGAAAACTGAAACTTGGTCTTTCACACGCTGGACAGAAAGCCTTTTTATTTCAGAACCTTTCGGGACTTTCGAGTTCCTCGAGATTCTTGCTTCGGCAGATTTCCTTCACCAATCCTTCAACAACCGATTCTCGGGTTCCTGCTTCACAACTTCGCCGTTCCGCTTGTTCCTGACCTTGTCACGTCAGCCTGCCTCCACCCAATCCTTTCACTCTGCCCACCAAAATTGAGAAGAAAATACTTACTTACAAATGAGCCGTCAACTCTATCTCAACATCCGTACCAAGCGGCAACTGATGCACAGCAACACAAGTCCTGCACGGTTTCGGCTCCTTTGAGAAAAAGGTATCGTAGACCTTATTCATGGAGGCAAAATTCTCCATATCCGTCAGGAAAATGTTGACTTTGACGACATTCTCGATGCCGCTCCCGGCTGCTTTGAGGACTTCGGAGAGGTTGGTTAGGGCTTGTTTCTGCGTTTGCGTCAGCACTCCATCACCAAAATCTCCTGTGGTTTTATTCTGTCGATGACCGATGGTAGGTAATCGTTGGGTGAGTAAGATGCATGGATTCTTGAGGCAGGGTGAATCGGTCCATCCCCTTGGGGAGCGAGGGATGGATGGTGAGAGGAGGCCGGGAGTCATGAGAGATGAGAGAAGGGCAACAAACCGTCCTATCCGCAACACCTCCCTCAACCAACTTCATGCTCGTCGGTTCCATACCGATAGAGCCCGAGCAATACACCATTCCGTTGCACTTGATAGCTTGAGAGAAGAAGGGCATAGGCGCTGGCGCCTTGGTGGTGAGGACGGATTCCTTGAGCGTCATGGCTTCGGATTTGCTTGGCTAGGATTTGAATTGGGAGTGTACAGCAGTTTGATCGTGAGAGATTAGATAATATATTGAGTAAAGTGAATGGTTTAGAAGTGAGATACTGAGTAGAGAAGGGAGGTGAATGATGACGGGTAAAATCCGAGATCAGGATTCTGAGGTCAGATTAGGAAGGTGGGATGCAGAAGTGGGGCATGCGGGCCGCATTATTCCCACCCATCCATGTAGATGTAAGGGCGCAAAAGGTCCAAAGCTTGTTCAACGGGGTTTGTGAGCAGACATTTCTCACTCCTCGGTCATTGAATTGCCTGGTATTTGCCACTAGTGCCCATGTTCGTCATTATACGTCGTCCTCTTGACTACAGTAGAACCAGGCCGCCTATCCTCATCTCTATCCTCTTCTTGAGGGAAAAAGTAAAACGACCCCCCCTCCCCCTCCCTCTCCCCCCAGGTGCCGATTAGGGGCTATATGTTGCATAGCAACGGCAGGCTTGCCACGTGACATGACTTCACGTGACCATATTCACTGTATTTAAGTAGAGTTCGAAATCGGCTTCAGTTCAGAAAATTCAATGAGTTTATTTTTCGACTTACATTTTATGCGCACTAACCCTAACCTAGCTGTTGTCACAGACGTGCTCAATCGTCCCAAAAGCCCTTCCCGTAATCGCCCAAAATCTCCCCAATCAGAGCCTTCCCACCCTTTTCCACCTCAACGCTATCATACTGGCTAGATGCCCCTGTCGCAGTACCTCTCCAGTTACTACTATACATATTACCAGTTTGAGCTTGACCTCTAACCACAATCTTCAAGAATTTGTGACCAGGAAGCACTTCTTGTGCAGCTGTTCGAAGCAGGCTGTGCACGCCCTTAGCTACGTTCTCGATTACTTGAAGAAACTTTTTGTCGCCGATTTCTGCCGCTTCTTGTCGGACAAGCGTGACTTGGGCTTGAGGTGCAGGGAAAAGATTTTCGAGGTTGTTGATAAGTACGACCACGCTGCCAATAAGTTGTTGAAATTCCGTCCTGTGGTAGAGGGCCCAGCTAGTAAGCTTTAAGAACCGGCTCCCCTTTTGACGCTTGATTGCAATCTGTTTTATCGTGTTCTCTAGTGCCATATGTAAGGGATCCATATTAGTCGCTGTAAATAGTGTGAGGTCCTCGCCTGCCTTTGCCTTTAGCTTGTACTCCTTCGAAATCTCTTCTGTGTCGGCGAAAAGCGCAAGGATTTGTAGTATTGTGTCCTTTGCCATCCGGATCTCTGTTGCAGTAGTATCGGGTCTGCCGAGTCTCGGATCATTGTAGATATTAACAGACTCCCTCTAGCGTGCAAGACGGAGTCTCGCGCAACCAAGAGCCAGCTGATCGGTTTGGAAATCTCGCCCGAAGTGGCGGCCAAATTGGATGTACCCGAAGCAATCCACGCAAGCAGTGAATGATGTAGCAATTCCAATGGCACCCGAAGAAATTCCGAAAGGGTCCGCCATTGTCAAGCTAATGAATTGTACGAGGGATGTGATGAAGGTGTTGTGCTGGGGAAGAGAGTAAACTCCAGCTCCATATTCGAACCTTTAGCTGGAGCCTGGGTGACAGACAGCACATCGTGCACGGTCCAGGAGCGATGCATTCACCCCGCCAAATTCAGCACCACCGATCGTTCTAACGCTGCGCGAAAATAACTTCAGCTTCTTGCTCCGTATCCACAATTGACAGCGACTCTAATCTGTGCATGATTCAAGCGCCGTTAATACGCGCGGTTGATGGCCTTCGCATGTCAAATTACGAGCAGCCAGGGGAACGTATCCTCTACTAGCCATCATTAGGAGCACGTGTACATCGGCCCAGGCGGAAGAGCTCTGGTGGGGAACGAATACAACATCAGTTAGTTCCTTGCAGATGCTAAAGAGGAGTACCACGAAAGACTAACAGGCTATAGGTCGAGAAGACCCGCTTAAACTTCTACCATTCGCAACAAATGCGCTATTCAATTCGTATGACCGCCAGCACGAACCCATCTGCCTTCCCAACACCCGTGTCGACCTTCTACAAGAGATATATAACTGGTCTGATGGACACGATGTGCGGTGCATCTTCTGGCTAAATGGCTTAGCCGGCACAGGGAAATCGACGATTGCGCGCACTATTGCTCGCAGATACTCTGAGCGAGGGCATCTTGGGGCCAGCTTCTTCTTCTCGAGGGGCGTCCAAGATGTGAGCCATGCCGGCAGGTTCTTCACAAGTCTTGCCGTGCAACTTTCAAATCAGGTGCCATCTCTCCAACATCATATCTCTGATGCTATTTCCAAGAACAAAGACATTGCGAACCAGTCCCTCAGCGATCAGTGGCGCCAGCTTATCTTCCACCCCCTATCGAAGCTAAACAGCAATGACAGCCAACGCTGCTATATTCTCATAATCGATGCTCTTGATGAATGTGACAACGAAGGCCACATTCGCACAATTCTGCAGCTTCTAGCTGAGGCTCGATCGTTGACGACAGTACGACTTCGAGTCTTTTTGACGAGTAGACCTGAAATTCCAATTCGACACGGGATATTCGCCATCCCGCAAGCTGAACACCAGGACTTCGTACTCCACGGCATAGATCGAACAATTGTCAACCATGATATCTTTCTCTTCTTAGAATATAATCTGGGGACAATCGGGCAGGAGTGGACTCTTGGAGCTAACTGGCCCGGCGAGGAAGTTCTGACACAGCTAGTCCTATATGCTTGTGGCCTCTTTATTTGGGCAGAAACAGCTTGTCGCTTTATTCGTGAGGGGAGGCGATTTGCACGCAAGAGACTGGACACAATTCTCAAGGGTAGTAGCAGCGCTATTACTGTACCAGAGAAGCACCTCAGTGAGATCTACCTTGCTGTCCTCAAGCACTCAATATCCCCGGACTATTCGGAGGAAGAGAAAGAAGATTTATATAGTATGCTAAAAAAACACGCTCGGAAGTGTGGTAGTCTTACTTTCACCCCTTTCAACTTATTCATTAAGTAGGCTATTGCATCTCCCAAAGGAAGTTGTCTATCAGACATTTGAGGATCTTTATGCAATCCTAGATATTCCCGAGGACCAAACTCGCCCGCTCCGTCTACATCATCCTTCATTTCGCGACTTCCTCCTTAACGAAGATCGATGTGAAGACTCGAGGTTCTGGGTGGCTGAGAAGCAGGCGCACCAGACTTTAGCTGCCGGCTATATACAACTTATGTCCACATCTCTTAAGCAGAATGTCTGTGGTATGGAAACCCCCGGAGTACTTGTAACCGATATAGAGAGCAGTCAAGTGAAGAAATACCTTCCCGCAGAAGTTCAATACGCATGCCTGTACTAGGTCCAGCATCTGCAAAGAAGTGGTGCTCAACTCTATAACCAAGTTTATCAAGTTCATCTCCTTCACTGGCTCGAGGCCCTTAGCTGGATCGGGAAGATTTCAGAAGGTCGAATTCTAGTAAGCCTTCTTTATAGTATCGCTAAGGAATCCTGATTAATCTATGCCTAGGCCGATAAAAGTCCCAATCTACAAGCGTTCGTTCATGATGCTAAGCGATTCACCTTATACAATCAATCAGTAATTAAGCAGACACCCCTCCAACTCTATTGTTCGGCTCTTGTCTTTGCCCCAGGGAATAGTATTGTTAGAAGACAATTTGAGGAATATATCCCACCTTGGATCCAAATAAAATCGAACGTGCAAGTGAATTGGGATGCCGCGCTGCAGACGCTCGAGCCCAATTTGCACTCAGTCACATCAGTGGCCTTCTCACCAGACGGCAAGCTAGCCGTGTCAGGGTCGAAAGACCTAACGGTCAGGCTCTGGGACGCTACGACAGGAGCGCTACAGCAGATGCTGGAGGGCCATTTGCTCCCGGTCACATCAGTAGCCTTCTCACTAGACGGCAAGCTAGCCGTGTCAGGGTCGAAAGACCTAACGGTCAGGCTCTGGGACGCTATGACAGGAGCCGCACTACAAATACTCGAGGGCCATTCGGCCTGGGTCATCTCAGTCGCCTTCTCACCAAACGGCAAGCTAGTCATATCAGTCTCAGACGATAGGACGGTCAGGCTTTCGGACCCTGTGACAAGAGCAGCACTGCAGACATTTAGAGGCCATTCGGACTGGGCCAGCTCAATCGCCTTCTCGCCAAACGGTCAAGTGGTGCATACTCCATTTGTGTCAGATAATTGGGTAGTAGGGCGAGGAAATATTCTTTGGCTTCCTCCTGACTATCGAGCGACTTCTGTAGCTATTTGGAACGGAACTATGTTATTAGGAACTCATCAGGGGGAATTTCTAGTCTCCAATTTAAGTAGGGTCAGCCACCTGCAGCCTGAGGCTTGACACTTAAAAACAGCAAATACTACGGAAAGCCGTAAGGATCAGAAGACCAAGCGATTTTCGAATCTGGTTTTCGACCTTCAATGTCTGATTTGTGGCACGTGCGTACCCTACCAAAAATCGCCTACATATTATGCCCTCTCTTCCTGTACCTCTACTTATTATTACTACTTAAAATATTACTCTCTTTTTAATTCTTATTTATATATATATACGAGAGAGGGGTGAGAGAGGGGTAGATGGGGGTGGGGGTGGGGGGGGAGGGGGAGGAGATAGAGGGCGAGTGAAAAGTGAAAAGCGAAAAGCGAGCTTCAAGGCATGCGACTCGCGAGGAAAAGGAAGCCCTATAATTATAGGCTACTTATCGCTAAATTTTAGGGCCACAGTCACTAAATTATAGGCTATAGGTACTAAAAATTTAGTGCTTTGTAACGTAAATTTTTAGTAAGGTCCCCTTGCCCTGCCCTCCCCCCCTCCCCCACTTCTCCCCTCTCTTACCCTTATACTTATAAAAAGAGCGAGAAGAATCAAAGAGAGGAAATATTTGAAGTAATAATAGAGGCACAGGGAGAGGGGGCATAATATATAGGCGTGGTGTATAGGTATTTGTGATTTTTGGTGGGGTGTGCACGTGCCACAAATCAGACATTGAAGGTCGAAAACCAGATTCGAAAATCGCTTGGTCTTCTGATCCTTATGGCTTTCCGTAAAATACAACCGAGCAGCATATCGTGGATTCTCTAAGTTAGTGATCCTAGAGATTGACTTTTCGGAGCTGGCGCGTATTGGGTCAATTCCACGGCTGGGAAAATCTGTTCGTTAATGTATTAATTATGACGGGTTTGAGTTCCACAACGTTCTATGGCGAGCAAAGACCCGCCGGACTTTTGACATTGAAGCAAAACACACAAAAATAGCTCTGTAGGATGCAAGCCGCTCTTAACCAGTCACGGAATTCAGGCCTCAAGCGGTCGGGCAAACGGCGCATGGTTCGGACCGCCCAGAGCCAATTGACGCATTGCAAGTCGGACGGCTCTTTCACACAACCCGGAAGGGGCTTACACTTGTTTCATGACAAACACTTTGGCTACTCAATGAACACATGAATCTCTAAATTAACCTATGAACCAGCTAGCTGGATGAATGTTGGAAAGAATGACTGCCTCCTGCTTTATCGTCAATCCGGCGGTGTTGCTTCATTCGCTTTGCTTCACCAGCCGTGTTTCGCCATTGCAGGTCATGCATTGGGGCATAACATTCGCGTCTCGATAAGTAATATATATATACGCGTTCCGCGAGCTTAGTGAGACTCCTAAACTAATCGCCAGAGTATTTTTCAAAATTCAAAACACTTCCAAACTTCCGATTTCAATGAGGACGACTGAGCGCTTTGTGACGTGTCAAAGACGCAACGTGACGTCCGTCAGGTCTGACATAATCTACAGCAGTCCAATTAGCAGCTCCGTCGCTTATGTAGTTTGACGGACGCCTAACTTCCATCGATCTTCTCCCTTTCCTGATCGGACCACCGATTCTTATACGTTGCGCTTCCTCCTTCAGACTCTTCCCAGAAATACAATGGCGCCTACTCTGAGCCTTCAGAAATGGGTGCAGGAGAAGTACCAGACCGTTGGGGTTGACAAGGAAGGTAATTTCATCGGGGAAGATCGCTTTAGAGATAAATTGATCAGCCTTTATGGGAGTACTGAAAACGCTCAAGCTCTTGATCAAAAGTCTTGGAAGAAAATCCTAGCTGAGATCCGACAACTTGTTAATGTGTACGTCTTCTAATCCGTCATGATAAACTAGTTTACTCACGTATAATTCTATCAGGAAGGCATATCTCCCTACAGCCACTTCAACCCCGTCACCCGATTCAAAAACTCAACCTGATCGCACAGAAGCCAAACCACGGCCAACTTCAAAAGCAACAAGTAGTAGCGCAACGGCCAAGACCTCACTCCAACCATCGCATCCAGAGGTCAATGCTAGTACTTCAACAGCCGGCAACTTAGCTACTAAACTTAGAACCCAACTACCAAATCCGAAGGCGAATGCTAGCACTTCAACTGCCGGCAATTCGACTACTAAACTTGGAGCCCAGCCGCCAAATCCAAAGGCCAATGCTAGTAATCATAATCAAGCGCCTTTGAACACCAAAATGCTAGGTATGTTAAGGTCATCTAGGTATTAGATAGAATATGCTAACCGAGTAAAGAACTCATCGACGATACCAGAAGGCCAATAGGTGTCAATGGTCTTTCCGAAAGTGATCGTAACCCGAGGATACCAAGTCTAGAGCATCAGCTTTGCCTGCTAGATCTGTCTAGCTACGGTGAGAGCTCATACCTACCTGGGCTGGATGATAGCGACATTAGGAATGCTGTCATCTTTTCAACGGAAGCACTAAGGCGTTATGACTCGAGGCTATTGCCACAGTTCGGGCTCTTAGGGAGCATCTGCAGTACGGAAGAGTCGCTTGTAACCGCAAACAAGGATCCTAGGCTCTTCCTCAATACAAATGTGCCATTTTCGGCATTTATCTGTGGCCTCCAAGGTAGTGGGAAGTCGCACACAATATCTTGTCTCCTCGGTAAATACACAAGCATATCCATTTATAGAGTCTTGCTAATCAGGATTTAGAAAGCAGCCTTATTAAAGCCCCTATCCTAGGGGTACTTCAACAGCCCCTAAGTGTCTTGGTCCTACATTTTTGTCAGTATACGTCACGGTCAAGCTTCCAACCTTGCGAAGCGGCTTTCCTCGCATATCATCATCCAAGTTTCCGTGAATACACTGGGGTATCATCTATCCACATAATGGTTTCTCCATCGAACTACCACGACCTGAATACCTCCTATTCGTATATCCCTGGGGTAGATATTCGACCGTTCAAGTTAAAAACCAAGCACTTGAATGTCAGCTCAATGTTAACTCTGATGTCCGTGGATCAGACCGAGGCCCCCCCGCTATACATAGGTCAAATCACCAGGATACTACGAGAGATTGCAACAACATCTCCAGGAGAATTCAGTTACCCGAAATTTAAAGAAGCTATAGAGGCCTGTGATCTCACTCCCGCCCAGAAAGGTCCGCTCCAACAAAGACTCGACCTGCTGGAATCATTCCTCGACTTAGATGATTCGGCTGTGGACTATAGCTTCGAAGCCGGAAGTATCACAATCGTCGACTTGTCCTGTCCTTTCGTCGATACGAACACAGCATGTGTTTTGTTCAATATTTGCATCGGTATATACTTAGAATCAAATCCTACTGTTGGGAAGCTTATTGCCGTAGACGAGGCCCACAAGGTACCTTGCATCGATAAACCGAATCTCATAAATAGCTGCTCATACATATATAGTATATGACGAACACACCAGCTGCTAAAGCCCTAACAGAGAGACTCCTGACTGTGATACGGCTACAACGCCACTACGGAGCACGAGTCATAATATCAACACAAGAACCTACCATATCTCCACGCCTTATAGACCTCTGCTCTATTATTATCATCCATCGTTTCTCGAGCCCAGAGTGGTTTGACGTTGTTCGAAAGCACGTCTCGATTGCAGAGACGGACAAGGCTGGACTAGAAAATCTCTTCGAACGGATTGTCACCCTTCGCCCCGGTGAAGCGTTGCTCTTTGCGCCATCCACCATTTTAACTAAGCGGGAAGGGAATGTTGATGTATTTGTTCAGCTAAGTTCGAATCTCTTGAAGGTGAAAATCAGGAAGCGGTTGACGTGGGATGGCGGGAAATCTGTCTTTGTCTGCAAACCCGAAGTAGACAGCTAAAATTTCGAAGAAATTAACGTGACTTGCCGCAGTGATTCAGCAAAAGTAAACGATTGTTATGAATGAAATGAGTTCACCCGTTTTGAGCACTACAACTCGAAAAGGGGCTAGCCACGTGCCAACATAAGACATCATCGTCAAGCCTCTGGATGCACACAACTTGCAACGCCGGAGACGGTCGAAAGCCTTTTCATGATGTACCGTATAACGAACGACCCAATCTACCAGGTATAGGGCTGGAAGATATTCAAGGCATTTCAAAAGTACGGGATCCTCGAGGATGGACAGGGCTATACGTCTCTTAATACCGTAAATGCGCCGTCGCAGAGAGGAAATATGGAGAGTTTTTGGCTAGTAAGGGATGCTTACCAGATCGGTTCCACGCGCACAATATCGGCCTCGTGACCTCGTCGGCCTCGTTAGCCCCGTTAATATCACATTCCCATATTTGCATACAAAATTTAATGAAAAAAGAAATAAAAGATGCTAGTAGAGTCCTTTGTAATATTAATGGAGAGATCTAGAACGAATGGGCATTGTGTATCAAACTACGTACATTTACTAGAGGACATATTAAATATTACTTTAGCCAGCCGCCACCTCATGCTCCATGTCCTCGCTCCTGCTTCCCGCTAAGTGGGCTGAGGCTGATATCAAATTTTTAACATCACACGAGAAATGTTAGTTAAAAGCTTTCATTTCATCCAGTCCTGCTCAATTTCCATGCCTCATTCGATTACTCCCTCACATAAATCCATTTCTTTATTAATACAGGATACCGAAAGCATAATAAGAGATCGAAAAACTTGCTTCCCCCTTCTTTCCTTCTTTCAACATTTAGTCTAGTTTTTCAAGAGAGTAAACCCTCTTTAGCCAGCTTTACCTATAAACCAAAATCTTTTCCTTTCTCCTAATGCTCACATTCTCCTCGTGCGTAAACATATAATAAATCTTCAGTGGCCATCGAAGGAACCACAGATTCCTAAACCTGTTGAGGATAAACCAAAACATAGGTATCCTGGGGGATCATTAGTTCACTTCCGTGATCCAATTGTAATCAATTGGGCGGTTTGGTAGCAATAACTTACATCTGTGTAAAAATAAACCAGATTATTAGCCCTGTTCTAAATCTGGAGAACTGAGTTACAGCTTCCCTGGCAAGAGGGGTAAGATTGTTGTAGTTCGGTCCCAATGGTTGCAACTGTTCGTTTTCGTGGTCTATGAGATAGATTTCATAGACCACGAGCGCGAGGAATATGACACCGAAGGCGATTTGGAGGAGAACTGTGCTGTACGATTCTGGGTACCCGGCACGATGGTTGACGTAATGGACGACTCCGAGTCGCATTATCCTGTTCCAATATGGAACCGTGAGTGTCTAAATCGGGGTGATTAGTCGATGCAAGGTGGTGTTGTTGGAAAATAACTGACCAGAAGTACAACCCCGACTAACTTTCCAGTTTCAGTCCCACTCCATTGAGAAGCTGGATCACGAGCCGCAAGGGCACTTGTAATGACCATTGGAACAAGAAAAATGAACCAGGTCATGCAGGAAGTCACCAGCCAGATGGGTACAGCGATCATTTCATCATAAGGAGTAACTTGTACGCTCAAATTCCACCTTCCCCGCCATGGATCCCCCATCTCGTCCATTCGCTCACTAACAAGGCCATCCCATATTCGGTTTGCGAGACGCTGTTTGGGCTGTGCCCAAATATGGAACTGTATACGCCAGTAATAGCGCAGAGGCCAATGAGAGATGGACCTTAGAGCATCCCATTTCGAATTGAATTGTTTCACTTGGAGATGACGGAGGTAGTTGGTCATCTCTACCCTCTTGTCGTCGTTTGCAATATGGAGGTCCATAATGATAAACTGTCGAACGGCAACGTTGACCAGAAAGTCATAGTCAGGGTCGAATTTGCCAGATTCTATAAGCATCTTGAATAACTCCAGATCTGCAAGTCGAACCGCCTGCGGCAAGCCGCTGGAGTACCACGGGTATAGATCCTGCTTCCAAAGAGTGGCAAACGGATACCATTGGAAATCGGCCTTATCGTAGTACCTGAGGAGGATATCTAGAATAATCCGCGAAGTCTGCGAGAATGGATAATCCAGACAACCAAATTGATGAAGACTAGCTCCCAGCTTAGACTGTTCGTCTCCGGGTCTAAGATCATCTCCAGGTCTAGGAGTCAGGAATGAAGAAACTCCAGGGTTAAGAAGAAACATGATCGCCGAGCAATAGGTGACATATATCAGGGCGCTAAACCTCCAGCTTTTTTGATCTAGAGTGGCTACAAGGCCCTTCTTTGCATTGTGGTGTGCTTGAGCTAAGACTCTCACACCAGTAATGGATCTGGACGCTATGGCAGCCCCCAAAGGAGTGTATAATGTCGACTTCGGAGTGAGGTCGGAGCCATTGCTGAGAAGAAACCTGATCAAATTTCTCTGGCCAGCCCAGGCAGCTTCATGCAATGGAGTAAATTTATCAAACCCGTGTATAGCATGAACGGAGGAAGGGTCTTTGCCAACTATGAGTTCTGCCAAAGGAACGGCACTTTCCCAAGGTGCGTATGCACAGATGTGCAAGGCATGTCGAACTGGTCCCTTGGATGACCTATCCAATTGGCATTTAGCTGGATCTGCTCCTGCATCTAGCAGCAGCTTCACAGTATGAACATTCCCTTCCTTGATCGACACATCTAGCGGAGTTCGTCCGAGCCTAGTCCCAGCAAAGTACTTTCCGCGAAAGTTCGAATATGAATTCATGAGCCGTTTCTGCGGGTCACCCTCCCGGAGGTCGGCCTCCAGGACAACCTTGAAAATATCGACATCGTCGACCGAGGCCAACACGTGGAGGCAGTTGAAAAAGTTCTCCTTGTGAATTTCCATATTTGAGCCGACTTCGAGGAGCATTTTGATTGCCTCGATCTCGAGATTGCGGGCGGTTCGAGAGGGTGCATGAACAGCACCTGGCACAAAACGAAGGATTCGTTCAAACAAGTTCGGCCGGACTGAGTAATAGAAAGCTGAGAATCCTCTGGTGTCGAATCTGTTGATAGCTTCTGCGTTCAAGGTAGGACAAAGAGCCCTGATCGTTTCGTGGCTGTAATAACGAGCTGCGCATGCAAGAACGTCTCCGGATGCATTAACCCCATCGAACCTCACAGTTGGTGAGGCATTTAGCGCATTGGTCCTTGCCACGAGATATTGAACCAACTCAACATTGTCGTTCTCTGTAGCCCAATCTAGTGCCGTCGAGCCGGCTGCAATTTCCGATAGAAAGTAATCCGCGCCAGCAACCTGAGTGTTTGCAGTTGTGGCTTGATATGGGTCAAGACCAGCATTTAACAGCATGTCCACAATATCCTCAGTTTCGGAGAATGGAAACAAACTGAGCCAGTGAAGTGGTGTAGCACCGGTAGTATCTCTCTGCGAGACGCCCAACTCCTCCATTTGCGAAACAAGAAGCCGAGCCAGCTCAAAGTCGCCAACTTTAACGGCAACCAGTAGTGGAGTATCTCCCTCCTCATTGAGCGTTGTCACAATTTTGACGTAGGAAGCACAAGCTTCCGCGTTGTTGTGCAGCCGAATCATGAAATTTGAAAATTCTCGAGGTGCAAGCTCAGATAACAGAAGAGAAACGGAGCTGGTCGACCCAAGGTCTTTCTGATATCTCGAGGGAGATGAATCAATTAGTCCTGGATATCGCAAGAGCCATTCCCTCAAAATTGGCTCTAGATGCTGTCTACTCAAGCGTATCTTCTCAGCCCTTAATTCTTTAGCTTCCTGGGGAAACATAATTGTAAAATCCCTTTCAGCAACCCGAGATCCCTGTCGAGCACACTGATGAAGCCAGGGAAGAATCTCTTCGCGACTAGCAGTGTTATATCCGAAAGCCGCGGGGAAACGGGCGGAAAGCTCCATTGCGTTCTTGGAACCGCCCTTAGCTGCGAGGTTCAAGTGTTCGACCGCAAGGGCAGGATTCTTCTCCGTTCCCCAACCTGTGCTGTAACAAAAGGCCAACTGTAAAGCTGCAGCGGACTGTATTTGAGGGTTATCAGGCATCGAATTCAACTTGGCTAGCGATTCAAGTTTATCGAACACCCTGGGAGGGATTGTTTTGAATTTCATCATATCATAGTAGTGCTTAGTGAGCTATCTTATGTTATGTTCGATTCTTAGTCTTGGAGCCTCTAATGACTTACATCAAAGAATGGTAGATCGTCGAGTTCCTTCACTAATTTACCGCCAGCATTTTCGGGTGGAATTGCTCTACTGTGGAAGACAATCTTAGTCAATGAAACTGAGAATGAAGTATTTGGGTCATAACGAAGTTTCAGTAGGGAATATACCTTCCTAGACTTTGAGAGTCTAACTTCCTGAAAATTTCGTTCGCAGATGGCCTTCGAGTTGGATCATTTTCGAGAACAGATTGTAAAATGCCCAATATTAAGGAGCCCAACTGGTGGCTATCATTCTCGTTATGGTAGGATTGCCGTAACACCGCGGCGATACTTGATACTGCTCTTTGATTCAGATTCCCGTTTTGACGCAGTTCGTCCATTTTGACATAATCGATTTGATGAAGAACGTGATCCTGATCGTGATAATAGTAAAACTCTTCAAAACCGTTAAGCATTACTTCCCACACAAGCATACCCCAACACCAAATGTCTGCGCTCCTGACTTGATCTTTCGGAAGGCGACGAGGCCCCGAGCTAAGCTCAGGAGGGCGATAATAAGGCGTTCCTCTGAACTCTTCGTTCGAACGGCCATCGGGTGTACTTTTGTTCAGATGAAGAATTGATGACCCGAAATCGGAAAGCTTTGCTGTCCAGTTCTGAGCAGTTGAGGTATTGTTCTCGAAAACTAGTGTGTTTTCCGTCTTGATATCCCCGTGAGCTATCCCGCAGGAGTGAAGCGCCTGGAGTGTGGTCAGTCAGTCATTTAATTTGAGAAAAATAAACGGAGACAGCTTACGGCGAGACCACAGAGAACGTCGAGACATAAACTCCACTTGACTTTAAGGGAAACCTGTGAGGAAGTGTACGTCTTCGAAGTCAAGAAGTTGTGTAGAGACCCGCCGGGTGCTCTTTCGGTAACAATTGTCGGCCATTCTAAGGGGTAGTTCTCTGCATGTGGCTCATCTTCTATGGTACTTAAATCCTCGTCTCTCAGCCACGCCATGCCGAGAAGCCGAACAATGTTCGGGTGGTTGTGGAGTGGAGCATGACACACGACTTGAAGGTCCACTAGAGTATCTTTCAATCGTTGGCGAGAGAACTGGCCACCAACTCTTGCTTCGTCTACAGCAGTTGCTTTGTAGGCAACCTGGGTAGGTACAGACCACTTGGTACCCGTGTGGTCTGTAAACTCGGTGTTCTTCGTAGGATCGGGAACATTGAGCTGTCTAAAGCCAACAAGAGTGGTGGAGGGAAGAGGTAAGACTGCCTCTTCAACCACAAAGGATGCGCCCTGACCCAAAAGCCGTCTAGTGTGGAACATGGGGCTTACACCGACCCCCAGGCTTTGTACTTTCCAGAACTGAAGAATTCGTAGTATTGAGAGCAGGGGTGTCCATGGACCATCATGACCTCTGAAACCTGATAGTGGTTGCTCGGCACTACGTTGATGCCTTCCGGTCCTCACGGAAGATATAGCCGTTCCCTGTGACCAGTGACGTCCATGGTCGACCGTTGTGACAGAAGGGTAACTGCGGTCAATTCTGGATGGGACAGACGGCTTCATTGGCTGTAGTGGAAAGTTCTCGATGTCTCTTAATGAGTTTTGGCTGCCTGCAGATGTTGCCATTGTAAGGCTGGGCTGAGTTTGGTTTCTCAAGCGAGGTTTGCTTCGTCAACGAGGAACTGAAATTCCTCGGAGGCTGGTTAACCTGGTACGTAGGTAGCTACGTACTGGTATAGATCAGAATCAGTCCAGAAATGTTGTTTTCTGGCGGACCGGATGGAGCTGACAATTGCCTTCTTCAAAAGATTGTGGTCTTTTTAGATGAGGTGCCTTGTCTTATCTCGAATCATTAGAAGTGCGGCTGAGCAGCCTGAGCAGAGGGATTGCAGCGGCTAGCAACTGCAGCCGGGCGTACGAACGTGGTGCTACTCACATGGATCATGCACGAAACCGGGAAAACGTAAAACGACCCCCCCCCCGGGCGTCGATTAGACATATCAATGGATTTTAGAGTTTTAATAATGCCTAATTAGTTGCTTGTATTTACTTAAGTCCTTTTCTCGAACCAGATTTCCTAATATAGGTATAAGGAAGTTGGTATATAACAGCTCTAATTTGGGGCATGGAACAGGCAGGGCAATAATTGTGCACGAGGCAAATTAGTTCCAGGCGCTTGATCGCTAAATTTTCAGGCTCTCATAGTGCCTTAAAAATTCCGACTTTCCTTACCTTCTTTAAATTTTCTTAAATCTACTGATTATTATATAATAAGAACTTTAAATCTTATTAGCTTATAAACTGGCTTTCTATAATATAAAAAAATAAAATTATAATAATTTTTTATATAGTAAATTAAACTTAAAGGAAAGCTAGATTTTTTGGTGTTCCTCGCTACTTTAGGTTAGTCCGGCCCCCAATCGACCCCCCCCCCCGGGGAGGAGGGGGTCGTGTTACATTTTCCCTCTACTTTAGGTCAATCTGGCCCCCAATCGACACCCCCAATCAACACCCTGGGGGTGTCGTGTTACATTTTTCCACGAAACCCTGTACGAGTCCTCTCAATGCAATTATCCCGCATGACTTGTTGGAAATATTGATTTTGCTTGATTATTACTCGCTGGAAAAGAAGGGCTGAACACATCTATGTTTAGAAATAATGAAGACCAGTACTGTCGCTCAAAACTCAAACAAAGTACTAGGGCTGTCTAGGGCAAAATATCAATTAACCAAGTCACGCTATTGGTGCCCCGCCACTCAAAAACACCACGAGAACGGTTGCATAACTAGGGTCGTCTCCGTCAGTAGACCTTCCCACACTAGGCCACTGGTAAGAAAATCAACATACGTCGCAGCAGCAATAAAGATCTCAGCAGTTCTGGCATCGCTCAAGCACGAGATACCAGCGAGCAGGAAAAGCATGGCAAGGAAAGTACACAACACACGAAGTAGGTTGCTCGAGATAGTGTGCATGATAAAAATCGGCACCGGGAGGATGGCGACCAGAATCAAAGCGATCAAGGTACGTGTGGCCAAGTGCAACATGGATTCTGAAAATATATAGACGTGTTCATCACGAGAGATGCCAGTTCGAGCGGGCTAGCTTTAGTCAGTAGACAACAAAAATTTGGCAAAAGAGATATCAGAGATTGAAATACTTTTCCGAATAGATCAGAGAAGCGCACGACAATACCATGGATCCAAGGTTTTAGAAGGGATGTTGCTCCATCAGCGTATTTCACTGTAGTGAAAAGGTCGTGGCCATAATCAAGAAACTCGGTTTCTTCATGAGCAATACTACCATTGCCCTCGACCCAGTTACGCAGACTCGTCACAATATGTGCTGGGGCAGATGGCATCTCCCCAACTTGAAAGTTTCTCATCACGAAATTATCTAAAAGTAAGCCAGTAAGTATTAAGTACCGAGTAGGACAAAGCTTCTCGTATAGCCCTACCAAGGTCTTTCAAAGCGGCGTCCAATTCGGTCAAAATACCTAGCCTTGTCGAATTCGTATCGCGGCGGCTGGAACCAAGAAAGAGAAGCCTTGTTTCGTTCGCGTCTGTATCCATCAGGCTCTTCTCAAGGCGAGTCACTTTATCTTGTTTTAGCAACAGTAATCTGGCACGAACGGTGGAGAATCTGCGGCAGACGTTGAAGGCGGGATGGGATCCTATTAGACTTGCAAAGCGTGGAATTCCTGCAGGATAGTCTTCCACTGTAGTGCTGTTAGAAGTTTGAAGAAGACATTATGCAAGCAAAAAGCACCTTGAGTCCTGAAAGCCCCCATTTGAACATGACCTTGTGCTGCAGCCTGGGGCGTAGCTCTCGTTCTGGATCCATCGGTCTGAAGCGGATTCAGTGAGAAGGACATCGGGAGTCACTTGCAAAATTCTTTATATTTCAAGTTTGAATTCAGAAAGTGATGGAAAGGTGATAACTTCTTTCTGCTCCTTTTTGTTCTGAACTTTGAAGTTTTTGTTTTTGGGGGCGAGGTCGCTTATACGGAGCTGCTTCCGAGCGACCAATGACCCTCGAGGATATCTTGCCACGTCATCATTCCGGCCCTTCAGATGTCGAAGCTGTGAATAAAAGTTACCCCGCAGAAGGCATAGTCTGGTCTTTCTCTCGGAATGTGCCCACGACCGTGTTTGCTGTCAACTCAAATGCGAATACTCATAGCTTGTTCTAAGAAGTCTCGCCAATCATGACGGGTAACCAAAAAGGCGAGGATCCCAGGGAAGCGATGATCTGTTCAGCTTGGATCATGTGGGAGATTCTCTAATGAGGTTACAGCAATCCCCCAGCAGGCAAAGAGAACATCGCAGACTGCGAAAGTGGCCGCCCAACCATAGCCACCTATTCAAACGTGCATGGGACCATTCTTTACCGAACGAGAGCACTGCTAATGCCGCAGAAGAAACCTAAATTCCGCATTAATGAGTGGGTGTACGTGTCTTCGCCTGGACAACGAGGCCTCCGTGGTCCTTACCTCGTTGCGCAAGCCCTCACCAATTACCAGCCACCTAAGTACATGCTGTGTCATGAGGACGGTTCAACTGCGAATGAGGGAGTAGAGGTAGATGAATCGGCTCTCGCGAATTGAAGGAGAAGGCTTTCACATACAGCACACGAAATTGGAGTCAATACTAGTGTTAGCCCAGATGTTTGCCACATTCAATCTTTTGCAAAACCGATGTATCAAAGGCCTTCGAGAGCCTCGAATGAGCTGAGTCGTCGACATCAATACCGAACAATCCACGCAAGCATATCGATGCCGCAGATTGGTAATTGGTCCCCATCCAGTAAGCCAATCTCGTGTCGCAATGCCTTATGAGCTCCTTTTTCATATCCTCTGCCGTGATATCTATCCTATCCTCGAACATCTTGAGTGCAGGCTGCCAGAGGCCGATTTCCAAGAGCAGAACCCCAAAGGAATACAAATCATGGACTCTTTGATATTGAACGTTGGGAGCCCCTTGCCGATCAGGATGTTGGCACACATCGCGCGCCATATCCTCAGACCGTGCGTATGATTTCTCGGCCGAAGGTCGTGAGTACTCAAATCCGCAGAGATAAGGTCTTGCATAGTCAATGCTCTCACAATCGGAGAAGAAGAAAATGTTGCGGCTGGAAATCCCTTGGTGGACCCAGCCGGCAAGATGCCACTTCCGTACAGCTTGGCCGATCCTCCAAGCTATGTCGAATCTTTGCTCCAAAGTTGGCCGAAACCTGGTCCTTGTTTTCTTAGGGTCCATGACATCTTGCAGCGTGATAATCGTGGATTGTGTGGAGTTTGAGACCGCTGGGGTCTTAAACACCAGCCCAAACCTGCAATGCTCTGGCTCGTGGAACCACTGAAGACAATGAAGTGTCTGAAAATCCTTCGACTTCGGTTCCCCGAGGACTTTGGCGAGCTTGTTGACCCTGTCAGAAGCCATTCTTCGAGCAGCGTCGCTGTTCTCTGATGGGTTGTAATACTTGTACTCCACAAAGACACGTCCCAGTTGATCCAAATCTCTCTGAACAAATTGTGGGTATTTATCTGCAGAACTGTCATGGAATCCTAACTCTTGTGACTCCACCTTCATTGTCTTCCCTGTCACAATGGGATCAAGCAATATGTCCTTCATTCGGAGAGTGTCATCGATTCCCAACCCCTGAACTTTTCCGTCGTTCATCGCGTGTGTAAGGGACTCTCTTTCGTCACAATTGGCCACAATATTGCGTTCCAAAGACTTCCTCAGTGCTTCCACCTTACTACCTAACTCATTGAAGAACTTGCGAACCATATCTTCGTAATCCCTGGAAGTGTCCGGAGTAAAAGTCGAGGGTAATCGGGAGAGAGCGGCGCCACCCTCTAAAACGACATCTAACTCTTGGCAGAGATCTAATGCTTCCTGTCTCGCATTTTCAGGCAGTTGTTGGAACATTGGGCGTGGTATATTTTCGGTCGGCTCTTCCTGAACAAACTCTCGTAGTTTCTCCCTGGTATGGTAAACATTTTCTACAGCAAGCTCTGAAATGACACGTGGGCAAAGCTTGTCCATCCAGTCAATTATATCCCGAAAGACGTCTTCGTCGAGCGGCTTGCGAGTCAAAACTCGAAAGGTTAACGAGGACGCTGGAGGCGTCGGAGATGGCTGTCGAGTGCCTAACCTTTCGAGCCTTATATTTCTCCCACTTCCACGTTGAAGCTCGAACAATACTGCTGTGTCGAAAAGCCCAGATTGCTGTTTGGCCAGGTGGCAGTGTAGCTCGGAGATGACAATGGCTCCGCGTACTGACAGTAATGACTTCAACTCTCGAATCATGATTGACGTGAAGGAATAGGGACCCGGAGGAGGTGTTTGACATTTCATTGGCGCAGCAGCGAGTAGTTCGACCCTATTTTTGGCTTTTGTACGCTCTCTCGCGGCAGATGCAGCGTAGCAGCAGTCAAAAATCAGCAAGACATTAGCATCGGCCTCGGTCAAAAGACGAGGTTGGATTTTGTGCCAAGCAACTGTTGGTCCATCGGCTGTGGAGCTTCATAGAAGGAGGATCGTTAGAGGATTTCCTAGGTATGAATTGTATATCATAACGTTGGAGAGACTTACTTTCCCCAGACAGCAAGCCTAGGCCTTTTAATATTGGTACCGTCATCGCTATCTGCATCGCCGTGACCTCCGTAATGGATGATGAGCAAAGAATTTTGGCTCTTGCCTAACATGAAATTATATATTGTAGCCTCGAGAGCAATCTGGCTTTGCTTTAGTGGTATTTCGAACCGGGTAATGTGGTCTCGTGGATAGTTAAAGTCTGCCTCGAACAATTCCTGTAGAGCGTCCGCTTCTTCTTTAAACCCGGAAAAACTAACGTCCTGCCAGTAGAGCAAGAGTACGTAGACTTCAGCATAGTCATTTTCCGGTCGAAAGACGCCTTTAAATTTGCTGTTAAAGCGTTCCATGAAATCAACATCCATCGTGGGAAATGCGGCCCATTATGCGGGTGGCGTTACTGATACCAAAGGATTGAAGGTACTAGATATATCGAATGATCGAGCTCAGAACATACAAAAATGGAGGAAGAGCTTCTGACATGAGGGCGCTTTGAGAAAGGTCGAATATGTGGATGGCAAGGCTGGACGTCGGAGGTTGAAAGCTGAGTAAGCGGATGAATCCTCGGCGGAACGAACCTCCGAAGGGAGGGGAGAATATGAGATCACATGACTTCACGTGTAAACTCTCCTCTTTATTCGTGATCAGAAGCGGCCTGGGCTGTGCACGTATGTGACCTCACCTGCGTTTCAAAATATCCGCCCCCTCCTAAAGATCAAAGAAGGAAATCAATCAGCCGGAAGAAGAGATCACACGAACTCAATCTCGGGCTCCGTGTTTGCAAACACCTACTTGCGCCTTGGAGGACTTCGGAAGCCGATAAGTGAGGTCTAATTGCTTCCCCCTTCTCGATAATCTTTTAGGGTTAATGTCTGGCCTATGTTCTTTAGGGCCGTAAACTTTGTCCTATATCTAATGTAAAAGTCTAATTCCATCCACATACCTTCATAACTTCGACTTCCCCTTCAAACTCTCAATCATCTCCGGAGCCTTGACGTTAAGAGGTTCCCACCAAGGCCACACACTCGGCGCATCTCTTTCCATCGTCCCCTTAAAATCCGGCTTCCTCTTCTCCAAGAAAGAATCAATCCCCTCCTTCTTGTCCTTCCCCTGGAACAACTCAAACAGCACCTTACTATCCAACAAATGTGTCCCCTCCGCCGTCCCTGGGCCTCTCCACATCAAGTCCTTCATCAGTGAAGTAGATACTGCACTTGTGTTCTCGCTCACCAATCTCGCAACCTCTAACGCCCTCTCAAGCACCCTCTCCTCTGGCACGACTTCACTAAACAGTTCCCTCAATAGCACATGTCCAGCAAGTAACACCTCGCCGGTTGTAACCAAATGCATAGCCCTGGAGTAGCCAATAAGTCTCGGCAGGAAATACGAAGAAGCAGCCTCCATCACGATCCCTCTTCTCGCGAAGACGAACCCAATCTTTGCTTTCTCGCTCACAATCCGGATACTCATCGGTAGAGTCATCGTAATACCTACTCCTACCGCACTGCCATTTATCGCCGCAATGACAGGCTTCGTACATCTGTGTATCGCCATTGTAACTTGCCCCCCTCCATCTCTATGCGTCCTGCTCGTATCGTTATTGTACTGAAGCCCATTGCCCCCCTCAAGATCAGCGCCGGCACAGAAAAAGTTCCCATGTCCCGTCACAACAATTGCTTTTATTCGTGGATCGAGAGAGAGTATATCGAAGATTTTAACGAGGGACGAGGCCATGCTGTCTGTGAAGGCGTTTCGGTGCTGTGGCCGATGGAGCGTTATTATAATTACTGGTGTTGGCGTCGGAGAGGTCGGCGGAGCGTGGGAGAGGAAAATATCGGGTAGTTTGAGGGATGCGTAAGATTGGGGGAAGGAGGAGGCCATTCTTCAAGTTGGAGTTGAAGATAGGGAGATGAGGCCAGGGTCCGCAGGGGGAGGGCGCCGTATCTTTTGGGACCCAATGGTACAATAAAAGGTGATAAAGAGGTAATACGGTACTCAAGCAATAGCTTGAAGCATAAAAGCAAAGGAGAAGAGACTTACATGAGTTTGGTAGCTTGAAATCCGGGGTAAGCGTCAACCGAGGCCAGCAATGGCGGGGTCGCTGCACGCGTTCCCGGGGGCTTAATTTACCGAGGCTCATAAAGGGGTATGTCAGGGGTCAAGCGAGGGAAACAACGACAAAATCGGGCAAGGATATCTCGTCTGGTCTATATATTAGAAGGAAAGCCTTTTGCGCATCCATATTTCCTTGAGCTATTCCAACACACAGTGGCTGATCCTCCCTCTTCAGCTACCAAAACATGTCAGCAAGAAGCTTGTCCACAGTCCGATTACAAATGTGCGTTCACAAATGCGTGTCGTTGCTTGAGACATTACTACCGCAACCATGCTTCAATACTTCGCCTTCGTCAGCAAGGAAGGCAGGATTTGAATTGAAGCGGGGATCAAGCCAAATCACACGCTCATCATTCGTCTTCATCATCTGACGAACACTGAGAGCTTTCTTGTGGCCACCAATATACCAAGTTATGCTTCGTATGGCACCCATTATCGAGACTGCAGCATAAAGCTGCTTGTAGAAAGGATACGTCAGACACGCCCAGAACCTGGGTTGCAAATCGGGCCGCTTCCGGGCGCTGAGGTATTTGAACGCCATCAGAGGCAGCATGGAGACCAGCATCAACAGCAAAGCCTGCCGCCAGTAGTCGGGATTGCTTCCCATAGTAACGAGAACAGGGATTCGAATCCAATCAACCACAATGGAAGCAATGGCGTAGAGATGGATGGCCTTTTGAGTGAAGATGCCGTATATGGTATTCTGGCCATTGAGAGAGAGGAAAAGTCTCCCAGCAAAACCCAGAAGTCGGCCATGGCGTCCCATTTCCCAAGAGTTCTTGCGTTGGTGCCACCAATTCAAGCCAGGTCCGAAGATTGTGGTGGGAACCTCTGTTTCGAGAACTATTCCCGCATCGAACGCGATGCGCTTTTTCATCTTTTGCATCGACAGGCCAGTGTTCACATCTTCCGCGATAAAATCGAGTGAGTGGTAATTGCTGATTAAGTCAATCAATGTCTCTCGTTCGCAGAACCAGCCAGCACCATGTGGGTATAGAACGCCGCATAGAGACGATTCAGCAAGTTTGCTGAGGCCCGACATCTTGTACTCACAATCCTGCCATGCAACCATGAAAAGAGGCGTCTGACTATTGGAATTCATTGCCCGTAATGGGAAAGCCACACCTTTGGTCAAGTGGTCTATTTTGTCGATGGGAGGCCGAAAATTGGGAGGGATCGAGACGTCATCGTCCACCGTCATGATGAACGAGTACTGCTTCGCCGCAAGCGCACCAACAAGCTGGGCAGCGTTTTTGCTACCTATGGGTGACCACATATACACAATGTCTGGGTGCTGCTCTCGAATAAATTGCCGGAAATCATCCGGTGGATATTTCGTTCGCCCATTATCCACGATGAAGATGTCTTGAGGTCGGAAGTGCGGGTAAGCCGATTCGAGGACTTTTGTCATGGCCATCCTATCGCTATTGTGGCATGGAATGACCAATGCGGTCCGATGGTCAGTCGTCTTTTCAGAACCATATATATTCGCCTCGATATCTGGCAATGTAGTTTGTGCCGGTGCATCCCCCGGCTTTTGGGGAGGAACCCGAGCCACAAGAAGAATGATTGAGATCATGATGGGCTCCAGTCCGATGACAACAACAAGAACAGGAATCATGTTCCGTCGAGTAATGGCCATGGATGTCTCTATCCAGTGGAAGTAGTGCTCCGAAACAACGATCCCAGCTATTGCCATTCCTACAAGGGCAAGTACAGTGTATTTCCAAATCCCGAATGGATAGACCAGTTCACGAAAGTCTATCATTTCCACGATTGTCTTCGCATCGATGTGACTGGAGAATGCCTGTTTCGTCAATTGGAATAATCGTTGGAGTTGAGATCCTGAGGGACGGCCAAGTGGACCAGGGTCCCTCAATGCGTCGGTGCTTTCATATGGTGAGGTATGAGACGCAAATCTCAGACTCTGGCCACTGTGTGATACCGAGGCCTTTTCGTTGAAGCCGAACGTTGACAGTGACGATGTTCGTGTGACATATGTAGGATACCTTGCCCGTGGCGCACTTTTGCTACTGACAGTTCGAACACTGTCTACGGAAATAGACGGCGTTGATATTGTATATGGGTTATTATCCACGGCATTGGATTCGACGATCTGACTGGGAAAGGAGAATTCTTCGAGTTCGTTGCGTGAAGGGTGTAGTCGCGCTCTTGCTGGCAGTGTGGGTTCGTTCGGTTGTTCAAGGGTCGACTCAATCTTCGCTCTTTCCACCATGACCTCCTCGTCGACTGAGAAGAAAGGATTGTTGGCGGTGAGATTATTCGGACGACTAAGACTCATACTAAAGTTTATTACTAGCGTATCTTAGCATCTATCTCATTTCTAATTAAGTTCGCAATAGACTTACTGATAATCGAGGAAATAAAGCTTGGAGAAATTTTCAAAGTCAAGGTGAACGAGAGTGTGACAGGAATAAAGTCACCGAAAACCGGGCTGAAAAAGGTAACAAGAGATTCTTATGGCCTGACCTTCTGAATAAGCTGTAAAAGAAGGAAAGCTTGCGAAAGGACATGAGGGATTGGCACGCATGGCCTAGACCCGGCCTGAGAAAAACCGAATAATCCACTTGGACCAACATATTGCCAATATAGCCTCCAAAAGTATGCTCTCCAAACTTCCTACCACATGAGAGGAACAGGCAGGCATCACTCACGCCATCTTCATCAACTCTAGTCTTGGTCGTTCCACGAGACCCTCGGAAGAGATTCGTCATGTCTCTCCAATTATTCCTATGTGCAAAAGGCTTTTTTGGGGTATTGGCATCCTATGTCGATCTCCCCATCATCGCCAACTCTGGCCATGTTCAGAGAAATCGAAAATAGCCCAAAAGCCTCTTTGGTAGACTCGGATCTCATGAACTTCTCCACCCGGGGAAGTTCTTTCTGTCAACCAGGGTTTCCAAGGCCGACCAGGTGCCCGAGTACGGCCCAGAATCCGGGTTCATGGCATGATGCGTCCAAAAGAGGACTTGCAGGCCAGGTGCCAGCGCTTCAGGCCGTGAATTCGGTTCCACATACTCTGGTAGCATCCATTCGATAGAATTATCCCAGATGAAGATGTTGGGTACCTTGCAGGCCGGGCTGAAAGTCGCAAGCATGCCTGATCTGGTCGAATATGGTGACTACACCAGTGGCTTCCAAGATCTCTTCCTCGGCATGGTTGGCAGGCCGGGCAGCTGGTCCACTCGGGGGGGCTGCGCATGGTTCTTCGGGTGATCGCCACTGATCGAACGATGGTTGAAGACCGGGGGTTTCAGCTTGGAATCTCCCTAAGTTTCGAGGGCGTTGTTTGGTTGTCGGAAGTACGAAGGCGTTCCTGGACCTCATTGTTCAACTTTATTTCCAGCACAAGGGTGCTGCTGATGGATGCGGTCTAGTGTATCCTAAATGAGCCTAGTTCCTTACCCCTTTTCATGTTTGGTGCAACCTCCCGAGAGCTTTTGTTTTCCTCTTTGCAGTGTATTCATCGATCGAATTGATTGATGGAACTGATCGATCGATTCCACCAATTTGTTCGTCATACGTGACATGGTCTTGCACCCTGATCCGTAATTGCAATTCGGCTCGGTTCGAAAACAAAAATTATGTTCTTGGGGTGGTTCGGGTGGCACCGCCCCCTGGTCATTGACAGCAATTTGGCGTTGGTTAAGTCAAGGATACGTCTGGCGCCGCATAATTCAATTTTCACTTCACTTACGGAGTATTGTCAGGTGATTTTACTTTTTGTATTGTTTTGCATATCAACTGAGCTGGACCAAGCGGTGGGTTTACCCTGATTTGGGCTGGACACGGCCACCTCGGAAGCGGAATCTGAGCCGTAAAAAGGAAAGTTTCACTTCTCGAAGCAGTATATTCGGAAAGTTCGAATTATACTTGTATGATTTACAGTCAAGCATTTGGAGTTTATGGTTGAAAGATCGTCATGGTCGGAAGGCAGTGAATTTTAACCATGCTTGAGCTGGATCGATCGTAGTATTGGATACTAAACGAAGGAAATGGCTAATATATAGGCAGCGCTAGACGAGCTTTTAAAAGAGAGTAATTGCGTAGTCCCTCCCTCTCGATAACTTCTTTGATCGTGAACTAGAATTAGAAGAGCACTTTCCATCTTTTTGCTTCACATCCTTTTGCTATCATTTGTCTAAATCACCACAACACAGCAATGTCAAGTTCTCCTAGCTCTCGGGCTTCGAGCCCAGAATCATCGTCCCCAAGTTCGTCCATCCTAACAACCGCCACTGAGGGATTCTCTTTGTTCGATGATCTGGTGATCACCTCGTTCGCTGGGTCATCTGAGAGCGATGAATATATTCTAGTGGTTGGGGGTCTAGGGTATATTGGAAGTCACACATCATGGGAGCTTTTGAAAGATGGGCACAACGTCATTATCATCGACAACCTGAGCAATTCTTTCAGATCTGTTCTCGATAGATTACTTTCCCTGAAGAAGGCGTACTTCAAGTCGACTTCTCAAGAGCCATCTCTTCAATTTTACGAGGCTGACTATCGAGATCAACCAACAATGAATCTTGTTCTCAATAAATACTCTTTCTCTGAGAGAACAAATTTATACAAAGACGGCATAACGGTGGAGGCAGAGCAATCTCGTCGATCCAGAATTTCGGGAGTCATACACTTTGCTGCATACAAGGCGGTTGCGGAAAGTATACGACAGCCCCTCAAATACTACTCGAACAACGTCGGCGGTCTCATAAGCTTCTGCTCTCTCCTCAGCGACTTCGGCATCAAGACTTTTGTATTCTCATCGTCTGCTACGGTCTACGGCGAGCAAGCTAACGGCACCGGCCGCATCTCTGAAGAATATTGCACTCACGAAACGACCTCCTTCATAGACGCCCACGGTCAAGCAAGAACCACGCAAAGCGGGTGCACGGGTCTCACCAATCCCTACGGGCGCACCAAGTGGATGTGTGAGGCTATACTCCACGATCTCGCATCCGCAGACCCCGAATGGAGCATCTTCGCCCTACGCTACTTCAACCCAGTTGGGTGCGATCCCTCCGGCATGCTCGGTGAAGACCCACGTTCTCTGGCAAGCAATCTCATGCCCGCAGTGGTGAAGACGATGACTGGCGAGTCTCCAGTTCTGCAGATCTACGGAACCGATTGGGATACGAGGGACGGCACGGCGGTCCGGGACTTCATCCATGTAACAGATCTTGCTCGCGGCCATTTGGCAGCTTTGGCCACTGCTCCGAAATTCAAGGGCAGGCTTCCAGGCCTTTAATCTTGGATCCGGAATGGGATATTCGGTCCTCGATGTTGTGGCTGCTATGGAAGCTGTCTCTGGTAGGCGGCTTCCAGTGCAACTGTTGGGAAGGAGGGAGGGAGATGTCGCTGTATGCATTGCTGAGCCGACGAAAGCGGCTGTAGAGTTAGGTTGGAGGACCGAGAAGTCTTTGGAGGACCGAGAAGTCTTTGGAGGATAGTTGTACGGATATTTGTCGTTTCTTGGGTGTGAGTCCTGCCATCGACACGGTTATGATTTGAACATAGCTTCAACTTCGCCTGAATGTTGTATGAAGGTCATCAAAAGTGTGAATCTCTTAATTTATAGAAATACGCAAACAGACGTATCAGCAATCTTAGTTTTAAGGCGTGGTATTTTCTCGAGCTCAACTCTTCCACCTTGCTCGTCGTTTATTTGAATCGAGACCCGCTCGAGACACTTCAAAGAATCAACATCCCCTGCATATATAAGTTTTTGGGATTAGCCAAGTTCTATCATTTATCACGTTCTAGTTCTGCATATTTAACTCTTCTCGAAATCTTAAGAAGCTCATGCCGCGACCTTTCGAAGTGTTGTGATAGCAAAAATTGAAATAAGCGAAAAGGGAGCGGGCACACCACGGACAGTCAGCATTGCACTCTCTGCTCAAGAAGCTAATATTTCTTGGGGCTTCAAACTATTTGCACACCCTGAGTAACCTAGCCTAAACAAGCTCTAAGCAAGTATTTGCCACTCGCCCATACTTTTGATGTCCGGGGGGATCACGTCTTCCGCTCCATGGGGCTATTGTCTTGAAAGCTGGGACAATTACCCCTAGCAATCTCAAACAAAGAATCATCTCTACGGAAGAACTCTCGTGCTTCCGACAGGTTCTTGTGGTGGCGAATACGGGTTCCTACGGTAAGTGCATAAACTCCGGGCTTGCCACTGAAGCAATGAATGGATTCGTATGCAGCAACCAGGGCCATCTGCGTGGAACTGGGAGTGCGAGCAGAAGGTTCCAGGCCGCCGGGAGAAGGGAATTCTCTTTAGCTGGGGTTGGGACGCTTTGATCAGCTGGGAATAGGATGTTTGGCCTTTGGCAGCAGAGCTCAGCAGTCCCGTTCTGGAGTCTCGACAGCTCCAAGCACTGCCTTGTCTCAACCTCGCAGGCGTGAAGGTGTGGACGTGGGGATCCTCATCCAAGGCCATCTAAAGAGCCAAGCTGCTGCTTTGAGCATGAGAAGGCCGGCGATCCCCGTCTCCATCCCGTTCCAAGGCCATATCCCCTGCGATGGGTGCTTCCCAATCAAGAGATAGTTGTAACCCATTCGTAACCCATGGGACGGGACAGAAATCTTCAACATGAGTCGAGCACAAACAGACCCTTCCGCAGGCACACCGAAGACCAATGCCGTGGTGACTGGCTATCACCCATGTGAGGGGTACGCCAAGTCTCGCGTGATGGGAGTCGTCGTGGCGACCATCCCATTTCGAGACAACCATCACACCACGAAACCAAAACTAGGAAGTTACACACATATGCTATTCTGGGTCGAGACGTGAAGAAAATTTCCTCTCAGGTCGACCAGCTCAGCCGAACTATATGATTGGCTGTCACGACGGTTTCGATTGATTGTGTGCTACGCGAAAAACAGGGAGCACTTGTTCCGGGGCAGCTCACCAATTCCCGCATCAGCCAACTATCACGACGTATTGACATATGCCATAGTGGATATCTTATGGCTAAATGATCGACAAGACCAAGGTTCAAGTCTACAATTGCTCGATTTGGAACAAATAATGAATTTATTGGCCAATATGACATGTCATTGGACAGTTACATAACCAGTAATTCAACGGAGCAGAACCCTGAAACGTTAAATATAGATGCGGCTGATGAAAGAAAGAAAGAAAGGAAGGAAAAAGAAAAACAGATCAGAACACCACACTCGCCCGGTGTAACGGTGGGCGCAAGACATGTGGCGTTTGCCCCTCGCACGGCAAGTTGTCACTGAATCGAGTGTCAGGAGATGACAATGCCATTCTTTCGCCCTCACCTTTTTTATGCTGTGGGTTTGTGAATTAACTTACCTCCACCGGTCTTTTCCTAAGTCCATTTAGCTGGAGATGGCGTATTTTACAAAAATATGTGCTTTCATGGTGCTTTGTGTTACAATCGTGTTGGGTGACGGTTGCACAATCTTTTCAACCAACGGATCCACGGCGAGTTATTTTGAATACCACCGCTTTTATGACTTCCGCAATATCCAAACTTCCAGGACGGCGCAGAGCACTTACTCTGATGCTTCTCTTTTCCCCGCAAGCAAAATAGTAAATAACGCATCATGGACAGACGATTGGAGTATCAGAGTCCAGTCCAAAGGTGCAGCTAACGACCACGCGTTACCGATGCAATATACTTCCTCGAACGTCAATATTCGTACTCTCACCTCTCCCAACATAACTTCCTGAACTGACAAGCTGACCAGTCTCCAGACAACAGCACCGATGCCTCCCGAGACCCCACGACCTACCTGACCCTGTCAACAAACCGGCAGCAATCCTCCCAACAGGCCGGCGAACTCGACTACAAGCTCACGAACCTCTCCCACGCCTCAGTCCGGGTTCTGGGGCGCGTAAGAGGCGCCCCTGGCGCGGCAGCAGGAATCTTCACCTACTGGAACGACACCACGGAATCCGACATCGAGATCCTGAGCCGCGACCCAGCGACCTCCATACATTATTCGAATCAACCCACAACGACGGATTCAGGAGCGACGGTGCCGGGCTCCACATGGAATGTATCCGTGCCATCTGGCGCAGCCTGGACGAGCTGGAACGTGCATCGACTAGACTGGATCCCGAGGCAGAGCGCGTGGTACGTGAATGGGCTGCAGATGGCGAGCACGGTAGTCAACGTGCCCCGGAGCCCGAGTATGCTTATTCTGAATATGTGGAGTAATGGCGACGCATGGTCGGGGGTTATGGCTGTCGGTGCTGCGGCTGAGTTGCAGATCCAGTGGATTGAGGTGGTGTTTAATGCTTCCTCGGAAGCTTTCACTCCTTCTCCGTCTCCCTCAAAGCCGGTGGTTTGTTCCGTTGATAAAGTTGTTGGAATTCCTGTAGTGTCTGAAGGCGTGGTGTCCGCCTGGGATCACGGAACCCTCATGATGTGGCTGTCTTTATCCTTGACCACCTTTTGGTCGCTTGTCTGACTTACGAAAGGCGGTTCTGTACGAAAAAAATACGATACTTTCATATCAATACTTGGAAGAGGTGGAAGCATAAAGAGGGAGAATCTGATCACGCAACAAAGATGCATATGGGCAATTGCATTATGTTTGGAAGAGTGCAATTGCAGAAATGTTGCTGAGGTGTTTTGAGATCCGAAGCGTCGAGCTAACTAAGCTCCTTGGTTTAGTCAGGGGACCGCCGGAAGATTCGGAAGCTGCTATAGTCAGGGGGGCAAGCGGGGGCCTCAAAGATTGGATATGTTGGGGAGCTTCATTCTGTACTCGAAAAATCGCAGACGCTCAAATGCTCGCTACAGAATTTTGATACGATAAGATTGCATTCAATGCCCTCCTATCCAGGAGCAGACGTGGAGGGACTGTAACTCCTCAAACTCCATCCAACTCTCAAAACGCCGACCTTCCGGGTATGAGAAAGAGAGCCAGCTAGCAGCCTTGATTGTGCCACACTGGCCGAGACATATGATCAAGAGAGAGCTAAAGCCAGAGATCCAAAGAAAAAGTCGTAGTGGTCGTGAGTTTTACTATACAAGTGACATGCCAATCTTGCTGTCCAAATCTTCTCAAGTGCTCCGATATCCATCCTTCCTTTCGCTAGACTCTTAATCGATGGTCATACGGCTCGAGACGGGGCCGTGCTTCATGTCTGGCAGCTCGGTCATATTATCCGTCTTCTCCACATCGCTGTTGACCCTCCTCTTCATGATGTGCGGCTTCAATCCCATCCCGAAATTCGCTGTGCATACGCAGGCGTTGATGATTGTCAGGATGATCAGGACAATCGTGATAGCGGCGAAACTCGTCAAACTCTTTCGGACGGGGATGTAGTTTATTTCATGGCTGGGCTGGTACATTCTGGCCAGCTTGAAGATGAAGTATGCCAGCCCGCAGAAGAAGAGGAAGATGGTGACGACCATTCCGAACTTGTTCTCGCGGCGGGTCCAGAAAGCGGCCATGAAGAGAATGAGCACTGTTACGGGGATGGCGGCGATTGTTAGACCAAATTCTGCTCCTGCTAATCCGGTCACGACTACCAGGAATTGGACTGTGAAGCCGAGGAAAAAGAAGAAATCAAACTTCAGCAGAGCGATGTAAATCTTCATAACTGTCAGCATGCGGGAATGGAATCCGAGATTGTAATACATACCTGGAAAGTCAAATAACGACGCTTCATTCGGAGATCTGCGCTGATGTGCTTGTAAATTGTCCATGCGAACTCGTCGTACAATTTCCAGGCAATAACGGACAGGGCAACGGTGAACAGTGCAATTATACAAGGGCCTGCCACCAGGAACGGCTGGATATCCGTCCAGACACGCGTATCAGGCTTGACGTAGCCGTTTTCCTCCAACTTCTGAATGGCCTTGTTTACCTGATCATATTCAATAGAGGCGTAGATTAACATGCCACAATTGTAACAGCAAAGCCCGAGGACCTGAATTGTGTTCTTGAGTCGCAGGGAGTCGTAGACGAGGACTAATTGGTAAAGGAAACCGAATATGAAGAGAGTGAGGTATACTGGAATTGTCTTCGAAAGGGCAGTGGCTGGTTTATGGGATTCGAGACTCCCTTGGAATTTTGCAAAGATATATCTACAATTAATTGTTAGCAGCATCACCTTGGGACAACCTCTTCAGATACGCACGATTCGCTGGCTAGAACAATCACGGCTTGTAACAGTGCCGCGATCAGGAACGCCCACGTCCATGGCGTATTTGGTCTAGAAATGTTAGATGCCATCTTGACCAACATCTGCGGGTAATAATTACTTGTACATCGTCCTTCCTCGAGGCCCGGCGCCTATGATCGGTGGTGTCAGTCCTTCGCGCGAGTGATATCCTCCAGCGTAGTTTTGATATGGATCTGAATCGCCTCTAATCAACGATGATCTTGATTCATGCCTGTAAGACATCCGTTGGCAGAGATCTGCGCCCCGGATCAGGAGCTGGCGGGAGTTCGTTAGGAGAAGAGGAAGTAAGAGTTGGTGTACGCAACAGTTGGGACCAATACGTTGGGATGATGCCAGTCAAATTGATGAAAAGACTGAGAAGTGTGGTCTTGGGTCGGTGGCCTTGTAGGTTAAACGATCAATGGGGTTGAGTCTGCAACGAGCGTGAAACACCGACCGCCTCCGTGGCGAAGGGTTTGGGGTGTGAGCTGGTGCAAGGCACAGCGAGGAGCGAGATAGGAGAGGAACTTCGAGAAGTCGTCGTAGGTGATGTCGGTGGGGAGGAGATCGAGAAGGAGATGGCGAGAGAAGGTTGAGGAGGAAAGAATGAAGAAGAGGTTGGAATCGGAGTCGAGTGGAGGTCGTGATGGGTTTTTCCACCGCCAGCAGATTATGGGGTCTCACAACACGCCAACGAATGATCGGCCTCTCGCTAAAGCTGAAAATAGCAGACGCTTGGGGTAGGCTGATCTTAGGAATCCAACAACGCAGGAAAGTAAGAATCGTTCGCTTTCAATTGGGGCTGGTTGGTTTATGTGGTCAGACGAGGTCTGGAGGAGGACTGTCCCGTGGGAATGGGCGCCCTTGGGATTACTAAGGTTGAGGTTTATCCAGCATGTGCAGGACTGGAGTGGAGAGCGCCAACGCAGGCGCAGCGCGGAAAGCCTTGAGGCTGAGTCTACGATGTATGCTCGAGACCATTCCGAGATCTCCGCCCAAGAAACTTCTCGCTGCGGGAGAAGGACTGGTTGGACAGTCCTGGAGATGTTTCGAGGTCCTATTTGACGGCAACAATTGTAGTTTCTTGACAGCATCATGGCTCCTCGTATTCTGAAGCTTGCCAAGTCTTGTGAGGCTTCGGTAGCGTTCAGCCCGGTGTGGGCTTTCAGCTCTCGCTCACGTGAACGACGATCATAACAAGAGCAGCCATCCATCGAGATGCGATTCACGTGAAATTGTATCTGTGGATCTGTTTTTTAATAAAAAAATTATACTGTACATTTGACCCGAAATTCTCCTCTCTGCCTCTGCATCTTTCCAAATCGTGCAGATGGGAATATCCCGAGCTTCCCTTGAGTCCTTGACGCGTTGCGATACAGGGGATCAATCACATCGCAGGCAAGGTGTCGGAAATGCGGCTCGAAGCTTGCCATTTTTGACACGGTATGGTACCATCATTTCCACCTCCTTGGCTTCATGCAGTTCTTCGGGATTGTTCCACCAAATCTGTCGGTTCATCTCTTCTCATTATGGAAGGCAAAAGACCAGAAACCAGAATACATGATTATTCGTAGCTTGAGCTACGAGGCATACAGTCTTCAGAACCTCAAAGGGGCAACATTTCCAGCCGTTTCACTTGACGAAGAGCTGCTGTTTGTTCAATTAGGTGCTGGTATTTCGAATCTCTTCTTCATGGCACTGCGCAAGGCAATGCTCACAATGAAAAGTAGGTTCCCAAAGGGAGTGCAATCAAAAATTCCGCCGATGAGGACCCCGAAGGATACTCAACGATTCTCGTCGCCCCGATGTGCAATGGAGGACTTGTATCGCCATTGAGAGCCAAACTTGAGCGGCCCAATGTCAACAAGGCTGAGAAAATGTTAGTAGAGATCATACAAATCTTGGGGTGGAGGGGGCAAAACTTACTAAGTATGAGGAGGAAAAAAGGGTGCGGGAGAAGCCTTGACTTCATAGAAAATTCGGCGGCCCTCGTTTAGCCTGACATTGAATCAAACCGAGCAAACATGTTTGCTTACGTGTTTGCTCGGTTTGCAAAAAAAAAAAAACTCCACGTGATCATGGCCTTGCAGGAAGGCTGAGGTGACCAATGGGAATTCTCGAAAGGCCGACCTCCCCCCTTCATCACAACAATCGATCATCGACTCCCTTTCACTTCTAAATCACTCTTGACTCTCTCTCCAGTCTTCAAGTTGCACTTTCTCTTCAAGTCTACAAGGCATAGATACTGCCTCAACGACCTCCCTTCGAAACTCCGCCATTCCACAGATTGAGTAACAGAGCAGATATTCAAAGCCAATAACACCGATAACATGAAGTATTTCACATCGTGTTGACTATAGTCTACGGAATACTCAGTCCGAAGTCTGCCTGATATTCGCAGTTCAGTGTCACCAAGGCTGGATACTCATTCCCTCATAAATCGCCGCCGCCTTCCCATCCAACAGCTCCTTCGCATACGTGTCAAACGACAAAAGCACCAAGTCAGGATACATTTCGCGAGCATCGAGATATCCCAAGTACTTTGCGTACTCAAGATCATTGTCGCTGTGCATGTACATGCTGTAGCGATATTGCAAGCCCACGATGACCATGGCTTGATTCAGATTGGAGAGGTCGTATCCAAACGACGCTTTGGTGATATGGCAGAGGGCGAGGAGTTGGTCAGGCGCTATTTGGATGGCGAGGAAAAGTCAGTCTTTCGTCATTCATCGTTTGGCCAAGGAGTGGAGGACACGAAAAGGACGTACGTATTTTCTCTCGACCTTCTCTCCCAAAAGTTCTTCCATTTTCCCAAGGAGCTCTTTCTGTGAGAGTAGTTCTCCGTAACAAAAGACGTATCCCTTCACCGTTAAGTTATCGGTTACAGTCTTGGCAACATACGGACCTATGTCACGCAGAGCTGTAAGTGCAGTCTTTATGTTCCCATCCCCCAAGATCGTCGTATTAGGAAGCAGCAGGCCGGCGTATCCACACGCCCAAACAGAGGTGTTGGGAAAGAAGCCTGATACCAATATCCTACGTCAATGATTGTGTATGGGAGTCCGAGTCTGCGGATATGTTGGTGAATTTCTTCTTTCTATTATGTATGGCCGATGAGTATCGGGACACTGTATATCAGAATGAAGTACATACTTGATTACGAATCCGCATGGAACCGCCAGTAGGGCAAACAGTTATCCTAGCACAAGGCACGAATCGTTTGACGCCTGCTTTCTTGGCTGCATCAAGAGCGGGATCTGCACGCGGTGCACTCAAGAAACGCTGGAGGAAATTTCCGCTTGGGAAGAATGGGCACATGCTGAGTCTCACCGACGGTAATCCCTCTCCTTTTTGGGGGGGGGGCTGTTCACACATCCTGTGATCAGAGACGGAGCTAACAAGATCGAATAAACAACAACACAGCAGTAATCCTCGTGCTCATCATCCACATTTTCAACATCGAGTATGAACCCGGCCTTCCATAATGCGGGGGTCTAGCCGATCTCTCGCTTCCGTGCAGCAGGATTTCATGGCAAGCCTCGGACGGAGCGTCGTGAGAAAGGGAGTATAGGAAGCAGTACGGACATGGATGGAGGAGAGTCCCGACGTATAGGGATCTGTTGTCCGAGTTCAAGGACCAGAGCGAGCGGCTGAAAGATCTGAGGGAGTGGTTTGTGGGGATGGGTGATTTGGGGAGCTTGATTACGATGGCGGTGGCGACGTTGTGAATTACTCTCTATGCTTCGATCGAGGGACCTCTGCTATTCAAGAGTTCTTGGTGCTCGGGCCACTAGCTGCATACATTTCCCCGTAGGTGAAGTGATATGTTAGCGAGTCATTCTACATGGAGCAATATTATGCCCATGACTGAGCCTTCTGTCTTGATCCTGTGTGGTTAGGAGTGCGAGGACTTGAAGGGCTGATGAGGATCTTGACTGAATAGTAACGCGGTTATCAGCTGAACCGTTATGTCCATACTTGGCAAGGCTGGCTAGATTTGGCCGCCAGAGCTGCCGAGTAAAAACCGTGTATTTATGTATTGTGTTTGATATGTCTGGTTCGTGGTTGTCCAATGCTGCATGGATCCACACCCCGCTTCCTCGAACGTGGACCCCTGCTCCTTCCACCAGCCCATCGCGTCAACCTCATAGCCGAAATCTAATCGCGACTTGCATCTCCAAAATCTTCCATCTTGTCGCAACCACCAAAATGGATCTCGACACAGATGATGATGTGCTCAGAGCACTTGCAGATGGCAAGCCTATGGACTAGTAGGCTCCGCTTCTCCTCGCGAAATGCAATAGCTAACAGGCTCAGTGAACAATGGCCAAGTCTGCTCACACGACTGATACCCCGATTGGAGAAGGTATATCATTTACTCCTCCACATATCTACTCGGTTGACAGTCTCCAGATCGTACAAAATGACTTCTCCTTCCCAATACCACCAGTTCTCCCCTCACAACCCATCTCCTCCTCACCACCAACGCAAGAAACGACCACCACTGCCTCATCCCAAGATTCAACCAACAAAGAGAACGCCGCCCCTCCCCTCCTCACCCGCTATCCACCACAAATCCAAACGCTCATGACCTCAATAACCTCAACCTTAAATACTCTCTTCACCAAACACCCACCACACACAATCCAGCGCCTCGCCGAGCTCGTCCTCACCCCAAAACAACACTACAAAACCTTGCCCTCCTACCTGCACGCCCTGGACCGCGTAGTCCACGTCACATCAGGCGCACACACCTTCCCCCTTCCTCCCGCAATACCAGATCCCTCTTCTCTAACCATCCTCTCAAACGGTACCTCGTTCACCGCATCGGGAAAAGACCCCCTCTCCATATCATGGGGAAATCCGGCCTCCAACCCCTCTGCCCAATCTTTGGGCTCAGATGAGAGTCTAGGCGGCGCATTACTAACACCAATTACATGGCTGCAAAAGAAGGGCGGGAGCGCAAGCCCGCTCGAAGGCGAAGTGCGCACCGAGTCTACGGAAACAATAGACGGACCCAACGGGCCTGGCGGCGTGGAAACCGTGTCCGTCTCCGTGAATGGAATTTCGTCTACAACATCACCTACGAATACGAGCCCGACTTCGAGTTTGAATGAGTCGGGAGACTTGGCGGCGGCGTTGAGAGCAGAAGGCGGCATTACGCAGGGGGAGTTGCTGAGGCAGGAGCAGAAGGCAGGTGTGGTGCCCGCGGCACAGTTGGCTGGGAAGGGCGATGAGAGCGGGATGGGAGAGGAGGATGAGGTGCCGCATGCGAGGGGCCCGGAGGAGATTGGTATGGAGGATGTGGGCATGCAGGGGGCGAGTGGGAGTGAGAGGATGAGTGGGGTGGGGGCCGGGATGCAGGGGATTGATGTAGAGGCTGCTGTTGGACGACGAATTGAACCCAAGCCAGACTCTTCTTCTGCTTCCTCTGAGCAGAAAGAAGATGGTAAGGTTGAGGAGGAGGAGAAAACAGAGGCACCGACGACCCCGAAGAGGGAAGCTGATGAAGAGCTAGTTAGTGAAGGGAAGAAAGCCAAAGTTGATTCTACAACAGAGGTAGAATCGGAACCTGCTGCGGAAAGCATGGACGTCGATGTCGTGGATGCGGATGGGAAGGCAGAGGATGCAGCCAAGGTCGGGGAAGCAGGAGAGAACAAGGGCGGTGACGCCGTGGATATGAGCTCTGTATGATTCCATATTTGCTGCTACGATATTTGGAAGGAGTCTGGCGCAAGAAGAATGGAGAACTTGATCATGACTACCTAGGGGGGCAATTCAGAGATGAATACATTGAATGTGCATGGCAAATCTAGTCCCTCGTTGATCTTGTGAGCGTCATTGCTGCAATCGCTCTGGTTACGGTGAAGGGATTTGAATACGTGCAGTTTCTCCTGGATATTCATCAATTGGTAGAACACGCTCCACCCCTCCTTCTCCTCCCCGCCTTACATTCTCCAGTCGCAGTTCATTTTGCTCCGTACTGCACTCCATTCCCCTCAAACCCCACTCCTCAGAAAGCTATATCATCGTCGGAATATCTGCCTAAAGTCCCTTCCATTGTACGACATCTGCAGTCTGACTCCAGGTTCGTCTCACTTCTCACATCACGTGATCACTGGCTCCGCGCAGGGAATGCAAACCTGACAGTCAAATCCCTCACTCTCGGCACCGGCTTGGCCCGGCCAAAAAGAGCCAAATCTTTGTTGCATCTCTGCATATTTCTTGGCAGGCATTCATAGCTGGTTCCATTCTTTCTGGTATCAAGGAAGAGGACGCGTGGAGAACCCCTGTCACGTAGACCACGAGGCTTGCCTGAGAAGGATCTATTAGGAGAGGTTTTCGGAGTGGAAGGTACGGGGGATGAGGACAGTGGAGGGCTTGGCGTGGTTCTAGCGTTCAATTATGTGTTCAGTATCGTTTAGTCGATATTCAGCTTGTAAAACCAGCCGTGTTAATATTGCAGTGCCAGAAGCAGGGAACTGATGGCTTGGTTTTCTACCAATAGAGCAAAGGAGGATGAGTCGTGTATTCAATCCGTTTGCGGAAGTACTCGCATCTCTGTATCGTTGAGAAAAAAAACCCATGGAAACCAAGCCCTATCCATATCCGTAGCTCCAGCCCTGCCAAAGCCAAAACAACGCCAGCCATGCAATCTGCCCATTCTGTCCCTTTCCATATCCCTTTACTCCCATCAAAAACCAACGCAAAGCATCCTATCCGTATCCACAGTCTCAAAATCTACGCAGTCAATAGGTACATAACTCTACAAGACCACCTCCCTAGCATCCTTCATCAAACTCTCACTCGGACAATACGGACACTTGAACCTGCCCCCTTTACTCAGTCTCCCGAGGCTCTCCCGCGCAACCACATGTCCGCACGGCATCATCATCGGCGGGTTCGCTTCCGTGGTTTGCTCTTTGCTGACTGGACACACGAAAATGGCGTGGAATATGAAACTCCTCGGTAGGGCGATTTCGACTGGTAACTCGTTCTGGGTTGTCCATTCTGTGCGTTTTTCTTTTTGGATGGTGGCTAGTTTTAGGAGCGTGGGGAGCGCGATTGCTCCGGCTGTGGTGGCGAGGTAGAGGGGACTAGAGGGTGAGAGGCCGAGGAGAGAGCAGAATTCGCGAGTGAAGGAGGTGGCGATTTCGTCCCAAGCTGTTTCTGTGTTGAAAAGTCTATGGTAAGGGGAGTCCTTTAGATTACTGCGGTAGAGAATTGCTGTTGTGAGTTGTTGGCAATCTTTTAGATATCTGACATGTTTATGCCGTGGGAAATTGTTGCGGGCGTATCTTAGGGCGCCAAAGAAACCGTTGTTTTCGTCATCTGGGAGACCGTTTACTGAGGATCCTAAGAAGAGCCATATGTATTGGAGCTTTGAGAGTTCGAACTCGAGATTTGAACCCCGGTTTTCCAGCTCGGTGCTGTTTTGCCGTGCCCATTCGATGGCTGGGTGTAGATTTCGGGATTTCAGTTCGTAGAGGATTTGGTACATGTTTGAAAATTTCTCTTGCAGCTCTTGGGATTTGAGGGTGCTGAGGGAGGTGCTGTCATTATTGGGATTCGGGTTGGGTGTCCCGGGTGTGGGTGAAGGACTTGGTGGGTTGGAGAGAGCTTCGGTGAGGAAGGTTGAGGCGACGGAAAATTGGCCTTCTCGTAATAGGTGCATTGCTATGGCTCGGTTTATGAGTGATGGATGGGAGGCCAGGGCATCGTAGTCGGTGGGGAGAGCTTTGACGGGAAAGTTCTGCTGCCATTAGTATAGATTGAACGAAAGGGTGGTCTCCATACCTTGTCCAGAGCTTTGCTGTATGCATTATGCCCTCTGTGCACCTTCTTGAGATCGTCGTTGACTTTGTCGAAGCCATGCTTCAGCGGATTTTGGAGTTTCGCAAGAGTAAAAGAGGCAGAGTTTGGATCTGGCAGAACTTAGCAATTGTCAAGATAAGACAAACTCCACTCCCCGCCGTCTCGGATTCGCAGGAAATAGGCCACTTACCAGCAACTATGGTCTCTCTCGCTTTCTCAAGCTGCTCAATGATCTTGTCTACATCTTCGATGCTCTGTTTCAAATTCCCATCCTTCTGCAGCTTCGCCAACTCCAGCAGAAGGGGGTCCATGGCTAATTAGCCACCCCGCTCCGGGGGAAGGGCGTTGTTCGATGAGGCGATGCCGGCTTCGCTATCTGCCACTTCGTAAGGGGGAATACATCTAGGGCTGGTCCTTTGTCGAGTCGATCCGGAGATGTATTTCTTTCGTGAATAGTGAGCTGATTCTTGGATGATGTCGTTGTCGGTGAATGTTCGCGTGCTCTTAAAGTGGATCACCGAACATTTGTCTCGGCCCAGCACCAGCACCAGCACCAGCACCAGCACCAGCACACCCCGGAATTGCGGCTTGCGGCTGCGGCCCAATGAAATGACTGTTTCAGTGCTCCGCGCCTTCTGGACCGGGTTGTTCCTTTAACAATCGCTTGGACGTGGAGTATTGGCGTGTCTTCTGCTGAATATCCAGTCGGATCCCAAGCACACTTCTGGCATGTGGCACTCGTCTGGTCCTTGAGCTGTTGCAGAAGATGTGTTTTCACCGCAGATTAGCCACGCCGACGTCACTTCGAAACACCCCGGTCGCCGACCAGCAAGAGGACCCAAGGGCCCAGTGATAGCAGGAACGGTGAACCATGCCCAGTTTTAACTTCCCCGTTGCATATGATCCACAAATGCACAGAGAGGAGGGCCTGACCCTCTCGCGAACCACCTCTCTGCAGAATGCAAGCACCAAGGTCAACGGGAACGCTTCGAAGCCCTCGCTGGCTCCAGCTCCTGCCATGATCTCGAATCCGCAGCAAGCAAAGGACTCCCCGCCGGCACCGCAACGCAGGCACTATGTCTTTGCAGACCCTGTGGCTTTTAGGTGGGTCAGTGCATGGTGTTTTGCATAGCTTCAACTGACTTCTCAGGTATCTCGAGGAGGACTCTGCCACCGTGGTGATCGAACGACGAGGGAAGTTGCAGGGCTACGAGTTATATCTTGTTGAACAATGGGCGTGCTCGAGAGTCCATCCCACCTTTGTTATCACAACCTATACGGGCGATGCGAATCATAATGTTATTGTAGGAGTACTGGGAGTTCCTACAGATGAGGAACAATGGTCGCCGAGGCTACGGGTTTACTTCAAGGCTATTTCCCAATACCATGCCAGACCCAAGGACACACCTCTGGGCATGATCATGGTTACGAATCTCAGCAGCTTCCCCTCTGCCCTAACTGTTATACCGGTGCCAGATGGAGATGTCAGGAAACATCGGGAGGACTTCATTGTCAACGAGGATCTAAAGAGACTTGGTTGTTCGGGGAGATCTGGGATGAGCTTGTCCACACCGGCTGGAGCTACGCAGGCCAAGTTCTTCCAACTATATAAAACCAGTGATCGAATACCTCTATACGGAGCTGTCCTCGAACTTGTCAAACTGTGTCAGGTGGCATTAATGATATTTGGGAAGCTGGAACAGGAGTACGCTGATGGGTGTCTATGCGATGTCACCGAGAAGGCTATAAATGACTGGTGGACAGAAATCGGGTCTGAATACTATAACGTTGAACCTACGGACGGGATACTGGGACCTACCACAGTTGCAGCATTGCTTGGCATGTTGATGGGAGCTCGGAATCGCCTGAATTATTATGGAGCCCCGGTTGCCAAAGATGCTTTCGACGTGTACAGTCTGAAGCGTGGAATTGCCTATTTTCAGAAGTCACAGAAAATACAACGAACTAGAAGGTTGGATAGATACACCTTAGATCGATTACACCGAGTTACTGCAAAAGCTGCAGCAGGTGAGGGATGGGCTGTGCCAAAGGCTGTCAAGTCAACTGTGGCTGAGCTGAGTGGAAAAGGAGGGGAGATGGTAATGGGTATGGTTGGGAGGGACAAAGCTGGGATTGGTGATATTGAGACTCTTGACATTGATCGATTCGTCAGTTTAGTCCACGGCGAAAGGGCGAAATGGCTGTGGTATGGGAAACCGAGGAGAAGTGGAGAGCCATCTGGTAAATCGGATCCCGATTCAGGAAACCTATCTTTTACCAAGGACGAGCAAGGAGGGTATATATGGTCGCATAGCAGGGTTGATTCGAATCCCCCAGACGATGATGTCGAAGTCCGCCGGAAAGAGAAGGAGGTCCACAGTTCAGACGCTGTTTATTCTCAGCGACCCCCTGGATCGGCAACCAGCATGCTAGAAAGCCCAGGCGAAAAGGATCCTCATCTTCGGAAAACGGTGTTCAAAAGTGTGACTGGCAAAATGAGTGATGCGAGGTCAGGATTTGGTCGCATTAAAGACCGCGCTGTTGGTCGTCGTGGTCATGCAAGTAAGCATTCAAAAGATGAAGGCGATGGAGGCTACTTCAGTCCAACCAGTGCAACCAGCGCAATGGTACTTTCTGCTATAGGTCCTGCCAGTCCAACTATTGGTAGAGCCTTCACCTGGAAGAACACCCCCGAAGACTACCAGAACGGCATATTGAAGGGAAAAGAAACGCCCAAGAATTCCAATGCAACGACCTTCCAAGGACCTGAATCATCTCTGGACATGCCTTCGCCAACGATAGAGGAACCTCCGAAAGAGGATGGAGCTGAGACCAAATGGCTGGAGCAAGTAAAGGATATTCGGGAGAGTATCATCATCAACGACCCATCAATAGCTGGATCAGTATATGGGGATGGAGATCTCGATGGTCCCTTACTGGAAGCAGTGCGGGAACCAAACAACTTCCAAATCCTCCTCCACCGACGGCACAGCATCTCAGGAGCCTCCCCAACAACAGAACACCACCGCAACGACGCTTGGTGGCCGCGCCAAATGTCCTTCACAGATGCCGAAGACGCCGTGCTGGGCTGGGAACCCATCGACGCCGTCTCCGACGATGGCTCCGAAAACGACATGTGGGTAGCCCTGCAAAAGCAGAAATGCATCGCCGAAGACTTTCGGCGATTATACGAGAAGATCATTGACCTGCAAGACGAGATCGCGCCATGGGTGTCCAAGAAAGTCGATGACGTGGACGCCCTGGACGAGCAAGCAGCTCGCGACATCGAGACTTTCCAGACACGGTATTACCAACAAACTGAATCGTATCAGGCCGTCAAGCAGAATTCCCAGGATATTCTAGGGGATGAGAGGAGCCATGTTATGGAAGCTATCAAGGATATCGAGGTCCTGGGCGCGAAGTTGGAGTATGAGATTAATGCATTGGTGTCTAAAGTGCAGGATGTCGAGGACGGCACGGCACAGTTTGAGAGGATGGTCGAGGAGCTGGAAGGCCGCGCGGATGAGCTGGAGGTTCAACTTAGTACGGAGAGTTGGATGCATTGGTTGGTTAGGAGCGTTACGGGAATTGGGACGGGGCCGAATATTACAAGACGGGGCAGGGCGATGGAGGAGAGGAGGGGATCGTTGGGAATGGAGGGGTGAGTGGGAGTGGTAAAATTGTTTGAAGCAAGCATTGATTGAGCGGGCGTTTGGGATACCCCTTTAGGCATTTACAGGTTGCATAATAGGAACAGCGTTCGAAGTTTTCAAGTTTTGAAGTGGATAATGAATATTTTTGGCACCGTTCACTTGTCGCGAATCCTTCTTAAGGGTGGTTGTGGCTGACCTTAGTGAGACGTACGAGTGTCCATGCTTTGCACTTTTCTGCGAACCTAAACCATCCACGAGCGAGCCCCGAAAGAATCACATTATTGACTGGCGCCTCAACCCATTCTCGTTACTCATCCATCTCCTCAAATGCCCTAATCTTCGCATCTCTGATCCCGAAAATCTCGCCTCATCAACCTAGGCGTTGTCTTGTTCATTTTTACCCAACAAGCAACACTATGGTCCGCATATCCATCATTCTTGCCAAGGTACAACTATATCAACGGCACCCCAGCATCATCGAGCAAATCAGCCCAAAACCTCGAACCAGACATCGTCATCTTGAAACCCTCTCTCTTGAATACCCTATTGACGACGATATGCACGGAATCTCTCCCACGCCATCCATCCCAATGGCAGATGCCTCACATCTGTATATGCACCTGTTGTTGCCCATCTCGAAGGCCGCCGTGTATTTCTTCCCTGGGATGGGCTCAGTGGCATTTGGAGGAGGAGAAAGATTTTCAATCTGACTGAATCCGTCTTTAAGCTTGAACTCGCCGACATCGTCACGGACTCACGCCTGAGGATGACGGAGTGTGGGGTGGAAAGGTGGTCTTTGTCGTCTGACTCGGAACTGCCGTCTGGATGATCTGGATGATCTGGATCGGCCTGGCTTTGGCTCATCTGGTGGGCTCGGTTCTGTGATGCCCGTCACCTGGGTGGTCTTGTCCGTTAGGAGATAGAAACGGGTCTCCTGCGTAGCACTCGGTTTGAGGTACAGTGCCGTTTGATGTGCTGGACTCATTGCTTGTCGTGGGTGTCTGACGAGGTACCCATGGGATCTTGTCCAGCATTGGAAAGTTTATGAGATCAGTCATGCTGAATGTTCCCAGGCAACTCAACTCTGGTGCTGGGAGACGGAGATCAGTTCGTAGTGATATAAACATTGAGAGTCAAAGGCATAGGTGCATTCTTCTCAAAGACGCCAGATCATGCATGCGATTCATCCCTCTTTGAGAACAGTGACTTTTTATTCTATAGAGCAGGTAGCTAATGTCCTGCGTCAATTGATATGTTCGTCCTTTAATTCCTCGGATTCTTTTAGCACCAATCAATCCAAGTCCGTCATCACCCCAAAGAGAGAAATTTGAACGATACATGCCTTTTAGACATTCATTGAGAATGCAAGAGAAGACCCGTTATTAGATCTGCTCCGAATACTTGTGATACGACTTTTCAAACATAAAAAGAGCTGCGGAAACAGGAAGAAAGCAATCGCGAATACAGCAAATAAAATATAACACAATAATGGAGGCCTCTTCCCTCAACCTCAACAACTTCTTCCTTTCTAAGCAGCTCACATTTCTCAGTTCTTGGGAAAGGGGAAGGGAGAGGTTGTAAACATAATTAATGCAACATCCCATTCACCTCTCAACTCAGCTAAGAAAAATAAGGGAATGATTTTCCACAACAGAAATCAGAATCACACTTGTGACTCTCTCAAAGAGAAAGTCTCGTAGGTACTTTTCTTGAAATAGATGGAGGACTTCTCCCGCTTTCGAACACTTCACCAGGGCCAACTCCTCCCTCGAAGTCCTCACCTTAGCAGCATGCCAGTTCGAGTCATTCAACGACAGACATTTACCTAACCCACCTGCGTATATCACTGGTAGCATTTCAACAATAAAAGTTTCTTGGAGTGGATAACGAACGCCTTTTGTCCCTTATACCCAGTAGTAGTACACAGCCCTGATCGACCCAGGTCCGAGATCCATCATCCGAACACTCATGATCTTGATGTATGCTCTCATACCCATCCGAGAACAGCCAGATCTCCACCAATATACCAGCTCTTCCTCTCAACCAAATACTTAACACATGTGTAGAAGCTCTCCCCATCACTTCCCTCCAACCATTCATCACCCTCCTCACATCCCCCCAAATCCCATCCCACCACCTGCGCCTTTAGCCTGCGCCTCCTGCTGCAACAGTTCCGAGACCTTCATTTGCACGTCGAAGAACTTGGCTGCGCACCGGTCGATGCAGACACCTTCACCCTTGTTGAGCTCGCCTTCACGGTATTCGCGGGGAATGCACTTCTTCATGCATGCTTGTTGGAGTCTACCAATACAAACAGTCAGCAAATGTCTAAAATACAGCTTTGAAGAGGGAGGAAGAGGCCGTACTTGTTGAACATATCGGTCACAAGATCCATCTCTGCTTCTGCGGCTGCGATCTTCTCTGCCGATGAAGGCTGAGGCCGGCCGAATCCTCCAAACATTGACATATTTGCGGTATTTTCTGTAGGATTCGTTTGGGATGGTTGGGGTATCGTATTGGGAGATGAAGTTCAAAAGCTTGATGTTGATGATGTCTTGCTCAAAAATCCAGGAGCTCAAATCGGCTCGGAATTTCGGAGCGGCCGCTAGCGGCGTCCTGGAATTATTTCTTCACCCGAAACACGGACCGACCTCTCTTCCACAGCTTGAGGCTCTTGCTTCAAGTCCAATTGTGTCAGTAAGTGTAGCCCCTTTTTATTTTTCGGTGGAAGGGATAAAATGATGATTTCATTATAACATTAGAACCGTTGCGACTGACAGCTAATCGCTGGCTGATCTCACATCGATCCGTTGTCTGATATTTCCCATTGCATCCTCTGTGTAGTTTGATTTCATGGGAGGTGAACTTGCTAACGGAGACAAGGCCAGGATGAATTCAACAGCAGGCCTTCGATTCCTGCGGCCTTGCCTTCACAATGATCTCTCCCCCGCTCGCAAAGCAGCCTACCTCCGCTTCTTCAGCACCTCGCGCTCCGTCTTAGATCCTAAACCGCACGTCTCGCGCCACAGGATCAAAAACCTCAATGCATTCAGGCATCCTCTCTCTAAGGCACTTGAATTCCGCGGTGAAGTGCAAGAGCGGATAGAGGAATTGCAAACTGCGAGGGCGTTGGAATGGCCAAGGATAAAGAGTGATAAACACGCGATGAGAATTGAGGAGTTTCTGGCCAAATATCACGACTTGCAACGTGGTGAAATGCGGGCGGAAGACTTTGTGATGCTGAGGGGAAGGGTGCGAAGTTTCAGGATCGCTGGCAAGGAACTCGTATTTCTGGATCTCGTGCAGGGTTCCAGGACCGCGCAGGTTGTGCTCAATAGGGCCAGATTAGAGAACTTTGGTGGCGTGGACAGAAGGCGTTTTAGAGAATTTTATCATCTGATTAGGCGGGGTGATATCATCTGTAAGTGATGTATCAGATGTTGTTGCTCTTGTGCTGACGAGTGTAGCGATTTATGGGAGTCCTTATTCCACCAACGCAGGAGAGCTATCCATCAATGCTGCCGAGCTTCCGGAGATTCTTTCGCCATCGCTAGCTAGTCTACCGAAAACACTGGACGATAGAGAGACGAGGATTCGAAATCGTCACGTCGACTTACTTGTTAATTATTCAGTCAAGGACACCATTCGAGCACGGTCTCTCATAATCCAACACCTGAGAGATTTCCTTCTCAAAGATAACTTCCTCGAAGTCCAGACCCCAGTGATTGCCGACAAAGCCGGGGGAGCCATAGCAAAGCCTTTTACAACCGTCGCTACAGAGTTCTCCGAGAAAACCTTGGCACTCAGAATTGCCCCCGAGATCTGGCTCAAGAGACTTATAATAGGGGGTTTGGACCGTGTCTTCGAAATCGGACCAGCATTCCGAAACGAGGGTCTGGATGCGACACATAACCCAGAATTCACAACTTGCGAATTCTACAAGGCCTTCGCCGACCTCGAGGATCTTATCTCCATGACTGAGTCCCTGTTTACTGGTATCGCGGAGCTGCTCACTGAGCTACGTCAGCACACCTTGAAAAGGCTTCCGTTCGTCAACGTAGACCAATTCAAGGCCCCCTTCAAACGAATTGAGTTTATTCCTGCCGTTGAAGCAGGACTTGGGCAGAAACTGCCCGACCTCTCCGCTGAGGACGTCGAAGAGCAATTGATAAATCTTTTCAAAGAGAAGGAATTGCCGCTCCCGTCATCGCCAACTCTCCCTCGACTTCTGGATAAACTCTCCTCGATATATATTGAATCTGACTGCATCGCCCCAACGTTCATAATCCACCACCCTTCCTGCATGGCGCCTCTCTCGAAATCCTTCCTCTGTCACAAAACCAAGCAACTTGTGTCCGCACGGGCAGAACTCTTCGTCGAAAAACGAGAGCTAGCGAATATGTACGAGGAGGAGAACTCACCTTTCTCCCAACGAGAGAAGTTCCTTCAACAAGCAAAATGGAGAGATGATGAAAATAGAGCTGTGGTAGACGAGAGTTATCTCGAAGCTTTAGAATGGGGGCTGCCTCCGACTGGGGGTTGGGGGTGTGGTATTGATAGATTGGTGATGGCGTTTACTGGAGCGAAGAGGATTAGTGACGTGCTCGTTTTTGGCAGCTTGAGGAACGTGGTTAATCTTGGAAGGGAGGGGGCTATTCCTGTTGAGGCCAAACCTGAGTCTGGACCCAACTCACCAACATCCAAGGAGGCGGAGAAGAAGGTTGATGTAGTGGAACGAGAAGAGATCGAAATGTATGCATTTTGATGGAGAACCGCCACTCCCTCTTAAGGAGGCTAGCGTGGATATCGCTGACTAAGGTACAATGGTCCGGTATCTACCTTCCTACAACAGTTGAGGTGTAAGATATGTAGATATATGTTCAAATACCGTACAATATACAGGCCCCCCAGCCTTGGAGTTCTTTGCTCGTTCCTTTACAAGATCGCCAAAGCATTAGGCGGACTGGCAACCCCACCATGGACATTCAGCGGTGCGCTGGTCAGGAAAAAGCTGTATTTGTTCTCCTTCTTGCATACTTCTGCCAACTGCTCTAGATTCCAGAGCTCACCAATAGGAGTGCCCCACATAGCGAGGAAGTGATCATGGAGACCTGCAATCGTCAGCTCCTCTCCGAACCCAAAACACGAACCGGAAATAAAGGGGGGGAACCCACAATAAGGAGCCTTCGGCGGCCACGCCTCAAATGCAATAGCATCCCCGGCAACAGCCGCAAAATGATGATCCCAAAGCCACTCCACACTCTCCCTATTACCCGCCAAACCCACAAACTCATGTCCATCTCTGGCCCCCTTCATTCTCTCCTCATCAGTGGCCTCGTTATACCACTTCACCCACCCGCTCCTGATGATCAGGATATCCGCGGGCTTGAAAACTACGTTCTGTTCTTTGGCGATCGTTTCAATGTCGGAGATACTGATTTCGTGCCGAGTTGTCACGGAGTAGGTGATGTTGTGCTTTTGGGCCCAGGAGGCGTAGTCAATTAGCACAGCGCGTCCGACGATGCCGCCGCGTTTGGTCCACTGGGGAAGTTAGGGTCCAGAGTGGGAATTGTGTATATGGAGGGAGTGTGGGGAGTGTGGAGGTAGGGCCTACGTTGTGGATTCCATTCTTCTCGGCGTGCGCTGGGTCTTCGATTTGTTCGTGCTGGAGGCCATTGTAATAGAGTCCGGTATCTTGGTGGCCCCAGTGTCCTATGGTTTCTCATCAGAAACCCTGACTCGACAAAGGGGGAGGAAAATGGAAGGAGAAGGAAAGGGAAGTGGACATACGGAAACCATCCCATTGAGATCCGGACTGTGTATTGATATGGATCAAATCATCATATGCAACAAATCCTAACGGCTTCAGGTTCTTGAATGCATGGACTGGCTTCTCTCGACCAAACCCTGGTTCATAGACACATTCGAGATTCCAACTGTGCAGTGAGAAATCAGGAAATGTCATTGTCAAGTGTCAAGAAAGGGAATAAGATTAAGCTGCTTACTTCAACGCCACACCCGTTCCCGACTTAATCTCTTTCTGGGCTTCAAGAGTGTTTTCAGGGGTAAGGAGGTTCAGGGAACCACAGTTGTCCCGTTCCCCATTCTGGTCGTAGAGCCCCCATGCTGTGCCGTGGGGCATGCCTTGCACGGCGGCCATGTCTTTATAGGATGGAAGATCTTGTGCACGCATTTTGAACAACTATTCAATTGATATCAAAAGGTGATGGAAAAGTGTGAAAAATGTAAAAGAAACGTGCAGTCCTAAGCAACAACTGCCGCGGGGGACAGATATATTTCAAATCCCACTCAAGAGCAACCCCGCATTGCGGGGTTGACGAACAGTGCCTACCCTTTAGTTCTTGTTCTATTGGATAATTGGTGGTTATTGGCATGCACTTTGGAACTGTAGTTTAGAAACGGTGCCGTCAATAGCTTGATGGATACCTTACTAGTGGCTAGCTCATCATGTTCCTGGGCAGCTCTACAACTTCTGCCGAGGCAGTGGCATTCTTCCTCTTCTCCGGCCAGATTATTGTATTAAATAATTTAATTAATTATAATTATCGGCCGGTAATTGAATTAAATTAAGTCGAAGTATAATTAATTAATTGGCCATATGGTGATGCTGGCGCAGGAGCTAAGGTAAAGTATGGCGTAAAAATAAAGTTTAATCTAGCCTAATTTAGACGCAGCTTTGCTATAATAGGCTTAATAGCTAGTAACCCGCCTCTACTCACTTTACGTATCCTTTTACATAAGTACGGTGGCAGAGGGTTCGGTTCCTCTGATCACGTGATCTAACCGTGTGACGCCGGGGCAGACAGTCCGCATATGTATTACCTCGCTCTCCTTTTCTCTTCTTAGGAAACCAACTAACCTCTACTCTCTTCACGCTTTATTCGTACGTTATTTAAAAAAAATGACAATTTGTTATTTATATAACTTTCATGTGACTTTCACGTGATTTTTTTTGGAAATAGTTAAAAATATATCTATTTACAATTAGTCTAATAATTGATTTTTAATTGATCCAATTAAATATAATTGATTGCCTTATTTTTAGGAGGGGGGGATACTGGGTCATGATGCCTGGACTCTTGTCGAATTTGTATGCCTGGAACCCCAACACGAGTTTGACGTCTTAAGTCACGCATCGGACCTGAAGATGAAGATACAAATACTTCGGCCGATTTTTAGAATCTCCAACATAACTCTGCTGATGAGCAACTTTGCACGACCGTAGAATCCTTCAATTGTACTCTTGTTTGTGGTGATGTCGTGAGTCCTGAAGAAGATTCTCTCAAATGACGACCCCTTTTTCTGCCAGCCCACCTCGCTTCACCGCCCACACCTTCATTCAACGTCATGGACCTTCTCTACTCGAGGGTAACGATGTGGACTTATCCACCGAAACAATTTCATCACAGCATGTAGCTGAAATGGGCTTTAAGCTTAAGTCCGACTAATGACACCAATGACGTGCACGACACCTGGATGAACCTGCAGGAAGCATATCAGAACTCCCCACTCTCGTTACCTTTCCATCCCTTGTCTAAAGTATATAAATGCTGCATGCTGTTTCTTTGAGAAACCATTTCACAAGATCGTTTAGAACGTCAGCCATCATGCCTCGTGTTTTCTTCATCACAGGAACATCAACCGGCTTTGGCAACCACCTCGTCCAAGAAGTCCTGGACAGAGGTGACATTGCCGTTGCCACAGCCCGAAAGCCAGAGAGTCTTTCATTCAAGAACACTACGGACAAGGCAGGCCATCATTCTGACCCTTTCCGCAACCAATTGCTTATCGGTTGCAGAACTTCCTCGCTGTAAAGCTCGACGTCACCAAAAAAGCAGACATCGATTCCGCATTTAAAGCAGCAGTCGACAAATTCAAGCGCGTCGATGTCGTCGTCAACAACGCCGGCTACGGTCTCTCCGGCGTCTTCGAGGAGCTCACGGAGCAGCAATACCGAACGCAAATGGAAGTAAACTTCTTCGGGCTAATCGAGGTGACCAAGAAAGCTCTGGACGTCATGCGCGAGCAGAAGCCTTCTGGAGGTGTGATTCAACAAGTAACCAGCATCGGTGGTCAGCGCGGTGTCCCGACCTTCAGCATCTACTGTGCGAGCAAGTGGGCCGTGGAGGGCTTCACTGAGGCTCTCAGCCATGAGCTTAAGCCGGAGTGGAACATCAAGCTCACCTGTATTGAGCCGGGTGGATTCCGGACTGATTGGGCAGGACGATCGATGGCATTCCCCGAGAAGAGGCACCCCGCGTACGGTCACATTGATGCGAAGAAGAACATGACAACGAGACATGGAACGCAGGCTGGTGATCCTCCGAAGGGTGCCAAGGCGATGTACGAGTTTGCGATCATGAAGGATCCGCCGTTGAGAGCGGTGATTGGCACAGATGCGTATAAGGCGATTATGGGGAAGATCAAGGATTACGGGGAGCTGTACCCTAAGTATGAGAAGCTTTCGAATAGCACAGATGTTGATGGGTACAAGGCTCCAAGGTAGAGAAGAAAACCAGAATAGACTTACGTCGAACCCAAAGACATACTTCCTCGAAGCCGCGGCACTCATTCTCTGTGAAACCTCCAGAATAAGGAGCCGGCAAAGTTGGCCACGGGTTTTGTGGATATTTGCTGCTGGATGTGGCCCCGGGTGCGTATCTTGCGTCCTGCTTTGCATTGACGAACTTGATCACTGATATTGATTTCTGCTTGTCGATTTGGTCCTTAATATTTGCCTTGCTTTCTGCTTTGCATCGGCGAGTTCATCACTGATTTGGTCTTGTTGGCTTCAGCAGCTCGATATGGTCCTTGTCCTTGGTGGTCATCTTGCTTTCGGCTCTACATCACTTCGCAAAATAATATCTTTGCTTGCCTCAAACTGATCATTTGTCGCGGTGCCCCTTCAGCCTGCTGCCAGCTCAATATCCTCGCATCAACTCTCCATATCAAGCATCGCCAAATAGATAAGGCTGTCGGCGCATCGGGAAGTCTTCGGAATCCTTCCGCCAGTTCCGAATTACTTCGAATCTGATATACCAAAATAAGCGATTTTCCTGTCACCTAGCGACCGTGCCAAGTGGTACCCGTTAGAAGTCTCCCGAGTCAACTTTACTTGTCAATTTCCTAACGTCAATCTCGCATGTTCCTGTATATACAAAAAACTCAGTTCGTCTGGCTTTTCCCAGGGCTTCTAGCTAGTGGCTAGAGGACTATGGTTTTAGTGTTTTGTTTCTTGCTCGCTTTTGCGTCTTTTTAGGCGACAGCATTTCGCCAACGTTCGCTCTACCTTTTTTTTTTGTGTGGGAAAATGAGGCCATTCGTGGTGAATTAGGGGTTAAGCGAGAGTCTAACATCCAAGGCAAATTCTCGCAGTCTCTACTCGACCACCTCAAGTAAGAAGTAAAGAAGCACAACTTTAATGCGCTTCTAAGTGTGTGTTGATAATCAATCTATCGTTTCGAAAGGGCCCAACATTGAAATTGCGCTTTGGGGTTTGGCAAGATTTCCGCATTCGAAGCATTCAATCAAGGCAGTCAGCCGTGGATCATTGTTCCATATCTATTTGGGCATTTGGTGGTTGTTTCGGGTAGAAATGGCACATTGCCCATGATTGCCCATGATAAATTCTCTCTCTCCTGCGAGCTACTCCCTGCCCTCCCCTTTCACTCAAGTATCTCTCTCCTCGCCATCATCCCAGGCTGGAACGAAATCACCATCTTCAGCTGGCATGTTCAACTCTTCTTCCTCCTTCAACCCCTTCGCCCCAAATTACTCCAATAATCCCAGGATAACACGTGACTTCTTCTGTTGTCGAGGGCGGGTGGGACGAGAGGCTGGGCGGTCTTGGGTTTGGCGACCTTAGAAACAAAGATTAGCGAATTTGAAGTTGTACCAAACAAGCTGGGACATTGACCCTCTAACATGGACTTACGAGGTGGGATGGGAGCTTGATCCGTGGATGCTTTCCGGCTAAAACTTGCTCTGAGAATTCGATAATCCCCTGATACTCGGCGATCTCTCTCATCTCTGCCTCCGTCAAAGCACGATTCTCGTCCGATGCCATTGCTGAGGTTGCCGGTTTCGTCTCGAGGTCGTTGATATGGTGGCAGTTGCCAGAGAAGGAAATAACTATTGGGAAGAAGCTGTGGGATACATATTTCCGTTTGTATCCTAACCGAGGCAAACCCTATTCACTTAGAACAGCAAAGGTGAACTCAAGCAGGACTTCAAGAGATTTCAGACAAATATCAGAATCGCACTTTCATTCGATCTTCATAATCTTACCTAGTCATGGTCTAGTATGTTTCACTCTAGAATTTTTGATGGTCTAGCCTTGTTGCAAACGCCGGGAACTACACTTTTCTTTCCTTTTCATTCTAGGCTTTTTGGTCTCTACTTATTCTCCTAAATATTCAGGATTCATCTCTACTTAATCTGGCGACTCCGCGAGGCTAGATTTACAGGCAGCTCGACTGAATCCCCTTCTCAATGATTCGCCAGTGCGTGACTTGACACTACTGCAGGCTGCTTATACTGCCGCTTTAGCCACCCCTGGAGCCCATTTTACGTTGAATTACTTCACCAATATCCTGTGGCTATGCAGGGAGCACAAAACAGCGTCCAGGGCGGTGGGGGGAAAGGGGTTATGATGATGAAACAATTGACGAGAATTTCCACGACGACCTCTATATCAAACTCTTCTTCCCCGGCCTTTTCCCTCTCTAGAGTGGACATTAAATACACTCATTCCGAAACATCTTTCACCATGGCTTCACCGGAATTGCTAGAATCTCTGAAGAGATCTCTTGAGAACTCAAAAGCCGAATATGTCCGTCTCGGTAAAAGTGGTCTCAAGATTTCTGTCCCCTTCATGGGAGCCATGAGTTTAGGGCCCAAACACTGGGCACCGTGGCTCATCGAGGAAGAAGAAGTAAGTCGTGTATCAACACGATCGACTGTAACTGACACGTGACAGGCACTTCCCCTCCTGAAAGCTGCTTACGATCAAGGAATCAACACTTGGGACCCTGCAAATGTGTATTCAAGCGGCGAATCAGAGAGAATGATAGCCAAAGCGATCAAGAAATATGACCTTCCTCGCCATAAGCTGGTCATTATGACAAAGTGTAGTGTGTATGTGCCGGAGAAGACCACTTGGCGCCACATGTTCTATGGGAAAGAGATGCCCGTGTCCAAGGACCATGTCAATCAAGGAGGTCAGATTCCTTCATTGTTCCCATTGGAGTGAAAACAATGACTCAACATTCTCAAGCCTTTCCCGCCAGGCAATTTTAAACACCATCAACGCTTCCCTTGACCGCTTGGAAACCACCTACATCGACCTCCTCCAAATCCACCAATTCGATGACGAAACACCTGTTGAAGAGACCGTGGAAGCACTGCATAACCTCGTCAAAGCTGGCAAAGTACGATATACCGGCGCCTCAAGCATGTGGGCCACACAATTACCTCAGCTGCAGTTCTGTGCTGAGAAACATGGTTGGGCGAAATTCATCAGTATGCAGAATTATTACAATACGTTGTATAGGGAGGAAGAGAGGGAAATGAACAGGTTTTGTAATGAGACTGGGGTGGGCATTGTCCTGGTATGTTTTGGTATATTGATCGGATGGCTGAATGCTGACAAAGTGTTCGTAGTGGGCTCCACTTCAGCGGGGATACGTTTGCCGTCCTCCGGAGATGAATGGAACGACGACGAGGGTATACTGAAGAGAAAAGCTGGAGAAAAGCGGATGAATTTGTAGAGCCAGCTATTAGCATTGTTCGACGAGTGCAAGAGGTTGCGGAGATAAAAGGATGGAAGATGAGCCAAGTGGCTCTGGCATGGATTAATACGACGGTCAGCAGTTCCTCATTGGTTTTACGAAAGCTCTTGGAGTAAGAGGGAAGACTCTTACAAAGGAGGAAGAGAAAAATCTCGAAGATTTGTATCAGCCACGGTTCGTGACCTTGTTTTAACTCGTCCCCCCTGGCCAGTTTGTAAGCGTTTCCTGAAGCAAGAGTCATAAAGGTTGCAATTTTCGGGAGAAAGAAAACGAAAGCGAGCCGGTTGCTCTATTTGCTTCTGCTTAATGATCCTCTCCATGATCTTGATTCGCCGACCGTCGTATGAATCATATTTCCTGAACTACCTCCTAGAGAAGACTGGACCGCCACTTGGGCAACTGCTCACTGAGTGATGCATTGTACCATATCTAATCTGTACATTGATCAGAAGCTCTTGTCCTCCTCGAAATGCTCTTGATGCTATCGTAAGAGCAACCCAGCCGCCGCCTTTCTCCAAACTTGCGTAGAGATCCGATTCCTTCAACCAGAATATCGAAAGGGAAAGTGGCAGCACAAAAACAGAAGCTGAAGAGGAGACAATGAGACAACAAGGAGAGCGGATCTTCCACGCTCAAGATAGACATTGCAACTATAGAGTGAATTCAGATAAATCCACAGCGTTGCTGTAATTGTGATTGTGCTCTTCTTTAGGAGGTGATTCAGGGGGAGAAGTTCGTCAGTTGAGGCTAGCCTCGGCTTGTCTATTTTTAGGGGTCCACTCGCTACAGTAAGAAAAATGCCAGGAACGCGGCAACACGAACACCGACCTGTACGTACCTCACATCTCGCCCCTATTTCAAGAAGAGCTTTATAACAGCTCTTCTCCACGTTCCTTAGGTCCCGAAGAATACATCACGATCTGCGAACTTCCCAATCCAACTGTACCTCCCTAGCCCCTGCGCAACGCCGACTAGATGTCCACGCGATGAGTATCTTCTCCTATATCAGGAGCATCTACGCTCTCGATACAATCGATACACGATTTACGAATTCCTCTGGGACCCCATACAGGACGGTGATTGACACCAGGACTGAAAATGCAGCTGCGAATGCCAAAAGAGATGACTCGATTCCAGGGGCAGGTGTGAGGACAGATCATAGTGGCAGACCAATTGCCCAACCTTCGAACTGGAAGACGCCGGAGTTCTACTTCTACTATTTTGTCTTCATTACTATTGTGCCGTATATGTTCTGGGTGGCCTACGATGTTTCTAGACGTTAGTATACCGTACATTTCTTGTGCTTGCCCCTTGTCTTAACTCTTTTCCAGCGTCAGATCCAAATTACCACAAGTACGAAGACCTGCTTTCTCCTGGGTGGATACCCGGCCGCAAAATTGTACGTTGAAGTCCTAGGGTCCTCGCAGATAGCACAAAACTAATGGCAGGCAGGACGTCTCTGATGCTCAATACCACTCTTTCCGAACCAACGTGCCATACCTGGCCCTCCTTTTAACTTTCCACCCAATTCTCCGACGATTATACGATGCTTTTCGACCAGTGCCCAGTCGAAGCAACTCCCCAAAACCCAACGGCAGCTCATACATTTCTGCCGCTGATGGAGATGCTCGGTTGGAGCAGCGAGCGTCCTTCGATTTTGGCTTTGCATTCATATTTCTGACGGCATTACATGGGTTCTCGGCGATAAAAATTGTGATAATATTGTATATCAACCATTGTATTGCTACACAACTTCCTCGAAAGTATATCCCGGCAGCGACCTGGATATTCAATATATGCACCCTGTTTGCAAATGAGCTGTCTGAGGGATATAAGTTTGAGAAAATGGCACACTTCATCTCGCCGCTGGATGGCGTGGGGCTGGACTCATCAAGTGCCCTGCACAGTTGGGGGGCATGGCTTGACAGCTATGGTGGAATCATGTCGAGATGGGAAATCCAGTTCAACCTCACAGTTTTGAGGTTGATCAGTTTCAATCTAGACTATTATTGGAGCCTTGATAGACGCGGTGGAAGTGCAATTGAGGTCAGTCATCACGTTTGGCACAGACTAGAATCACCGCTAATGCTCACAAGAAGAAACAACTGGACCCTTCAAATCTTTCCGAAAGGGATCGTATCTCGACACCACCAAGTGCAAAAGACTTTTCTTTCCGAAATTACTTTGCCTATGCAACCTACGCCCCCTTGTTTCTCGCAGGCCCAATTATAACCTTCAACGACTACATATCCCAGACGAAATATCCCCCAGCAAGCATCGAAAAATCCCGCACAATCAAGTATGGGATCCGCTTCCTGCTCTGTCTTCTGGCCATTGAATTCCTCCTCCACTTCGACTACTGCGTTGCAATCTCCAAAGGCAACCCCAACTGGTCGGACTATACCCCCGCGCAGCTCTCACTCCTCTCCTATTTCAACCTCCACGTCCTCTGGCTGAAGCTTCTTCTCCCCTGGCGATTTTTTCGCCTGTGGTCTCTAGTAGACGGCATCGACCCTCCCGAAAACATGATTCGCTGCCTCTCCAACAACCCGTCCACAATAGCCTTCTGGCGCGGCTGGCATAGAAGTTACAACAAGTTCCTCGTCCGCTACATCTACATTCCCCTTGGAGGAGCAAGCTCCCGCACCTGGGTGGAAACTGTCCGGACTATTTTCAACTACGTTGTGGTCTTCACGTTTGTGGCTTTGTGGCATGACATCAAGCTCAATTTGCTGATTTGGGGATGGCTGATTGTGCTGTTCATGATGCCAGAAATCATTGCAGGAATTCTATTTCCGAGGAAGAAGTGGGAGAATAACCTTACAGCATATAGAGTGCTGTGCGGTTTTGGAGTCGTGGGAAATCTAATGATGATGATGATGGCTAATCTAGTCGGGTTCGCTGTTGGGGTAGATGGATTGAAGAGCATTATTCATGGTATTTTCAGGGATTACTCTGGTAAGTCGTTGGGACCCTTTGGCAGTCACAACGCTAATTTGATTGCAGGTCTCGTGTTCTTGGTCACTGCATCATGTGTGCTGTTCGTCGGCATACAAGTCATGTTCGAGGTACGAGAAGCGGAGATGAGGAAAGGCATATTCTTGAGGTGCTAAATATCGTATTCGCGAAATAACTACCAGACATTGAATCAAGAACTTTTCATTCTTCCCCCGCTGCTGACATCAAGACGGTTGAAGTGTCCATATTTGTCAGCAGTGTCAAACTCGTTGAGAAGCCGCTCCATGGAGAGTACCGATCGAACCAAGGAAATACAAGGGAGACAAGGAAATATACGCCGCCCACCATTGTTTTCACAATGTTGAGGTTTCTGTTTTCTAGCACCGAGGGCTCGCTGAGGAGCTACAGCCATTCCACTAACAACCATATAAAGAGTTCAAAGAAATCCAGCACAGAAGTAACCGGCAGAAGAAAGCAAGTACCATAAAAATCGAACCCGAGCACCGAAACAAAAGAGGAAAATGCCATGCCAATCAGGAAGAGCGAGTGTATCGATGAATCGCAGCTGGAGAACGTTCAATGAGCGACAGAGATGGAGAAAGGGTGAGGAGCAGAACATCCGGGCCTGGCCTCCTTGACTGGCCAAGGGGCTTGGTCCAGCATCGACGAGGTCTCAGGCTTGAAAGTCCATCCCCTGCGGCCCATGTGCATTGCCAAGCTGCAATTCGCTGCCTTCGGGTGTCTGGACTAGTGCAGAAAATACCCCAGCTTCTTCAACTCGAGCACGGAACTCAGGATCAAGGTTCCATTTCCAGATTCTGTTGGTGCCATTCCAATCAACGATCTTCTCTTGCCCCATCAGGTATGGCCTGAACATTTGTGCAATCTCGATCGCATGTTCGCGGCGTTCCTCGGTCGTGTGCTTATCCACATGTTGGGCAATTAAAAGTGGAATCGCGTACTCTTGACTCTTGCAGATCGGGCATGTGGCGACACCCCAACCTTCCCAAACGTCCAAGGCTGCACAGATAACCTCGTATCCTTTGGAACGTTCGAGAAGCTCATGTCCACGCAGATGAGATCTCGTCGACCACGGAAGGAGGTGTCTGGATGTGTCAGATTTGAATCCACATCCATTTATCCACAATGGGCATGCCCTCAAATCACCTATGATGGGTGACGCCTCACTGGGAAAAGAAAGCCTCAAGTTCAAGGAACTAAGGGCGTCATCCAACTGTGGTTCGACTTGCTTTATTGTTCTAATCAAGTGATGATCTTTGAGATGTCCGACCAGTTCCTCGCGAGTCAAAGGACCTTGGCGACATGTTTCCAAGACACATAAGAATCTCTCCGGACCTTTGTGATGCTTTCTGAAATGCTCGTTGAATTTATCGATCCTATGGAACGGTTGGGATACTCGGCTGCAACCATAAACTGAACAAAGTATGCTGACCTTCCTGTCATGGATTGTGCTTTTATGGCGGTTCAGCTCATACTTGCGAGGGAATGTCAAATTGCAATCTGGGCATTGAAGTCGTGGTCGTGGGTTGACTTTCTTTGATCGTCTTTCGACGCCTTGGTTTGAACGAGTGCTTTGTGGGTAGCTGTCATGACCTGAACGCGGTTGATTGTTCATTGCTTCATCGTTATGGAAAGGACTCCCGAGGGATGTCGGGCCACTTCCGAAGCCATGCCAGGAGGGAATTGGTTGTCCGAGGGTATCCCCGGAGCTCGAACCAATTCGTCTTTGATTTTGGACATCACCGCATGGCGTAGACATTTGCTCAGACCATTCGTCGCAAGTCCCATATTGGCCTACGGTGTTCAAAACCGCCAGTCTGGACTCTCCAATAAAACCACTAGGCGTGAAGATCGACGCTTCGGTTGTTGGGGACACAGGTTGACATTGTGGGTTGTGAGAGGATCCTTCGGTTCCGGCAACGAATTCATTCATCCATGAAGGCTCGTTCGTTCGAGTGAGATCGAGATCAAGTCTCTCGTTGACGTCGCCCAATCCAGAACCACAGGTCAACGGAGACAGTTCGGAACTGTGTCGCCCTGAATTAGCGTGTTCTTTTTTTTAAGCCACTCACCCAAAGCTCCAATCATCCTCCAACAATGACCAGTCGATGTCAATGTCGACAGGTGGCAGCTGCATCTGAAAGTCGCCCTGATCCATCATAGGCTGGTGCCTTGAGGGCGACGTTCGGTTGCTGAAAGTGAGGCGAGCAAGCGAGAATTAGAGGCTTGGACGCGGTGAAGTATCGCCGATCGAGGGGTTTTGGGGGGAGTTTGGTGCGGAAAGCTCTGCAAATTGCTCTGGGGGAAAGGTTCTGTCTTTATCTTCCTGGGTGGGAAGTTGAGTGAGCATGTACGAGGGCGACAAGTTGGGCCACGTCATCGGGTCAAACCTTCCTCGCTGGCCAGTCGCCCCCTTCCTTCGCACGCTCCAGTGATTTGCACATGTTCCAGTGGCTTTGAATCTCTACCTTAGTAGTTCAGCTTCAGTATAGCCCTAAATTTTCAACATGAGGTTGGTTTTTGTATGTGTTAAGGAAATAAATGAAGAGATGTTGAGACGATAAAAAAAACAAAGCCCGCCAAGCAATATCACATTGTCGCGAACAATAAACTAGATTCGCCTGTCATGAACCAGATTTCAATTTGAAGTACTATTCAAGCTCCATAACTTTCCTGCCTATAATATCCACTTCTACCTGGAAGAAACGGTCGGGAAGGCTCTGATCTTGCCGCTTGCCGGGCCGGAGCCTCATGACCGCCCGAGACCTCTCGCGTTATTAAATTGGATGTGGACCATTCCCCTTGCCTTTTAGTCATGGTCACATCTTTCGACAGATATATATCGCTGTCGTAGCTGAGGGAGTTGGTATACGGAGTGCCGCGGAAGCCCATGTCCCTCAAAAGAAGACCATCAGTTTTGCGTCCTCTGCCCGCAGCCTCTGCTGTTTCTTTTTTCTTCTTCACTATCCCGGCTCTCTTATCTGAGATAAATGTCAGCAGCCATTATTCTGTGCTCAAAGTGAGGGCAAAATGTTCACCAATGAATTCTTCAAAGGCAGTGAGGAAAGGCAAAGCGATGAATATCATAGCCACCAACTGGCCAAACATCCAAGCATTCTCATCAAAATCCATAGTCGTAATCAAGCCAGAGTACGGCTTGATCAGCCAACTCTTCGGAAAGCTATAAAACCCAATAACAAGGTCAGCAACGCACAAGACCCAGCCAAGCACAGCTCCAACTCTCGTCCCATATTTTCAAAGAAGCTCGTGACCGCATTCATCCTTAGAGATTGCAATTATCGCCAGATATAGCCCTCGAAATAAGCATGCGATGATTGTTATTAGTGCCGTGATCTGAAACATTGAGTCAGTACGACTAAGCACGAGGCCTGTGGTGAATGAAAATACCATGAATGCGAGGACGACAACTATACCGGCAATATCGACGTTTGGGCGTAGATCACCGCATGCTTTATATACGAAACTGAAGTTGGACCATTGATATTGTGTCCATTTGGAGCACTGGGTAGCAAGGCTCCAGTCCGTTTCTTCGATATCAAGAGTTGCATTTCGGACCATCACCCCGCCGACCAAGTAAACTATTTTGTTGTAATTGTCGAGGTTGGCAGCACTACGGCCGCTTCTAGTGTAATCACGACTCATGATAGTTTACGTATTGATAGTTCCATTGCGTAGAAGAAAAATAACGGGAGCATTAAGGCGTGGATGACGTTGAGGATTCTCTAAAAAAACACCGTCGAATACTTATTACTATATACAAAGCATTGATCTCAAATGCAAGGCGGGCTGTTTGGTGCTGCTCAAGTTAGAATGCAAAGATATCTTCGCAGATGCCAATCTAGGAAAGATATTCTTTTCATGGCGAGGCTACCACCAAACTGCACGAGGGTATATACAAACACGTTCGGCACTGATTCGATTGATCGAGCTAGATCTAGTGATCTGATCAATCTAATTGTTCTTCTTGGCTCCGATCTACCAAACAAAAGTCTTTGGATGAAATATTTCTTTGCATGGGTCGCTCTTCGAGGCTAGCACTCGGTTAAGAGAAAGGGGGTCGAGATGCCCATGGCGATTCAGCCTATAATAATATTCGCAACTCAGCTCGTCGCGATACTAAGGACTGCAACGGTTTTCTCTTTTTTCTATTCATTGGATCCCCTTGACTTTGCACTTTTAGTCTCATGCATCCTGAATTTTTGGCCTTATAAACTCCCTCAGAACATTCGCCGTCACTCTAGCCACGTTGTTCTCATAATTGTTCCACGCCATCGTCCATATCCAATTGATGCTTCCAACACTAAACACCCTCCCCCCACCTGCAGTCTCAAAAATCAACATGTCGCTGCGAACCTTGGCACAAGTCGGTCCCATCGTATCCAGCATCGGGAACATGATCTCCTCATTGAATGCCCCAAAAAGATCTGAGTGTGTCTCGCTGGTTGCGAGCACAACAGCATCTTCTGGTGAGCCCAACGCAACATCATACCGATCAATCTCGTCGCCGGAAGCTCCACCCCCAAATGCACCTATCAACTCATCCTTCTCGGTACCCTCAAAGATCCAGGAAACGGCGGAGTCAAAACTTGCTTCGCTTCTTTTGAATCCCACGCCAGCGCCGAGACCACATGCCGCAGAGCCAATTCCAAATGTGAAATTGGGCGCACGGCCGCGAGCTCTCCAGAGGCCACCCTGTTCACCAGTCATGGAATGGACAAATTCCCCACCGGGAAGCTCGAAGGCTCGGCAGCCTTGAACGCCTCTGCGAACTTCAATCCGGTGGCTTCGAGTCGGGTCATGGGAGGTGACCCAGTAGAAACCGTTGCCACCAAGGTACATCATATCCCCTCCTTTGGCAGAAAAGGCGTCGTATAACTGCAAATTGCGCAGTGTGGTGTATTCGGGGTGGCAGTTAAAGACCAATGTCTCGACTCCCTCGAGAGCTTGCATCCCAAATTCGTTGAGGTCGTGGTCCGTCAAGACATCATACTCAATACCTTCTTTCTCCAGAAAGTTGATAAAGAACAGATCAGCACTGAACTCTCGAGGACGGTCGAAGCCCCAGTGTACAAATGCAGGTCGTACATTCATGATGGGTCTCTTGGTTGAGGAAAAGACAGCTCCATATCCGTCGCGATGGAGGTCGTACATAGCCAGGCCAACATCTTTCCTTGCCACAAGTCGTTTGAAGTCCTCGGTTTCTTTTAGAGCAACTCTTTTCCAGAGTGGATCAGACGTATTGTTGAACATATGCTCGTTCGCATAAGCGGTATAAGTGAAGGTGCCCAGCAGAAAGGCAACCTTCGCTTTGGGTTTATCATGACGAGGCCGTACAAAAAATGTAACCATATCGTGCATGCCGCCTGGGGTTGCACAATCAACTGCGTAGGCTCCAGACCTCGCAGTCTCCGGAATGGTGAGAACAAAGTCGTTCTCCCATTGCGCATCATCAAGGTCATCCTCGTGGAAGTGTATTGCGGAGTATCCAAATGTCGCCTTGGTCCAGTCACATTCTGAGCCGTCCCAATCAAATCCCTTCACTGCCCGGGTCGGAGCATTCACCAATTCTCCCCTGAGACTCGGACTTGACACATCCACGATGTGGTCTGAAGTCATCTCCCTCGAAAAGTCAAATTTTGCAAGAACTTTTGAGCCCGAGGAGAGGATAGGAGAATCAATACGGCCATTGAAACAATTTCCCACTGTCGAACCATTGAAAAGTCTGCTTGCAATAACCAGAGGTTCACCATTGGAAGGAGCAAACTTCTCAGACATTCTGTGAGAAGTAGTGCATCCCTTCGCGGCCTTTGCCGTTCCATAGTTCTTCTTTGGAGAGATGGTGACGGCAACATTTTCAGACCAAATCTTGAATTGGATATGCATCCATGTTTTGGTGATACTTTTGAAGCCCGTCTTTACGATTTCCGTTGACTGGAAGGTGCCGACAATCAACTCGAACTCATCGTCTTCAGAAATAAAGAGGCCGAAACCAGTGAGCCCTTTCTCGTCCAGACCTGAGATGATAAATTGCCTATGACCAGGTTCGGAAAGCGTAGGAAATGCCCATAAATCGACAGCTAGCCCTTCATTCTCATTGATTCCAACATCCTTCCACTGATCAATCTTCGCGTAAGATCCAATATGACACTGCTGATACCTCCCCGGATGTTCTTCTTCTGGCACAAGCTCATCAAAGTATTCATACTTTGGCAGGCAATAAGCAGGGTCCTCGTGCCCCGAGATCAATCGACAAAGTCGGGTTTTGTAAGAAGAAGCTGTGGTAGAGACTTTGATTCCAACCCGTTCTCCCGGAGATACAATCCACTTGTCCGTGTAACCAAGGATTTCATGTTGATGTTTCCCCCACAATTCTCGGTCAACTTCAGACCCTGCGTCCATTTTTCTACTTAATGATAATGATAAAATACCTGGGTTTCTTCTTCAATTCGATCTACTCGAACTTCGCCGCGCCGGCGACGGGTTCTCGGTGGATCGTTCCGTACGAGTAGATAGATAGCTATCTCGTCCGCCAAGACCAGTTTCCCATTCCTGCCTGTTTGGGGTAATTTCTATTTATTTTCTATCGTTGATTCTTTATCTTGTATGAAGTGCTGGGTTGAGCTCAAATCGTGACCACATAAGTGGGAAGTGGCAAGGATCGACAAAGCTTGCCTCTCGTTTCGGTGCGACATTGCCAGAGCCAGCGGCCGCATAAATGCGGATGGCTTGATTGGAGGAGACTGGTATTCTGACTGAACAGGAGATATTCGCGTGCGGCCGCTAGTGTGGCAATGTCTCACCGGAGTCCGGTGACCGGATGAGGGAATAGAGTTGGAAAAGTGGACCCTGATTAGGGTATGTAAAAAAACCGTGTTTTATAAAAAAGACGGTTTTAATGCATGTTTTATATGTTTTTACGAGCCATAAAACACGGTTTTAAAACACAGATCACATGATATTCACGTGAAAGCTAGCCTAATTAGGCTAGCTCCATAAATTTTGCAGCGAGATTTCTCAAGCTTCAGCTGAACCACCCTCCTAATTATCACTATCATCAATCCAATTATCCAACCACGCATTAATTATGGTTCGAACGATCGGCGAAAAGCGCAAGGAGTATGAAGCAGAGTTTACTCTCTTTTTCTCCGATAAATATAAGAAGCGGAGGGCCCTCTGCAAGCACTGCAATATCGATATGGCTGAATCTCCCCGGCAAGCAACCCATTTAGTTAACTGTACTCCCTACCAAGATTCCATGATTATACGCCAAAAAGAGACTCTTTTCACAGCCCAAAGGAAGACGCTAAATAAGGATCAAACTCGATTAAAGATCCCTACATTGACGGAGCACCAAAAGCATTAATTCGATCTCAAAGCTACCATGGCCATTATTATGGGAGCTCGACCTTTCAGAACCTTCGCAGACCCCTATATGCACGATTTTATTACTACTATTTCCGCAAACACATACGAACCTCCTTCTGAACGAGCAATTGGTAATAAGCTCTTGGACGAATGCTACGATTCCTGCAAATTGAAGGTTACTGCGATTTTAGCCAAGCAACCCAAATATCACTTCATCTTGGACGAGTCCTCCGATATCAACGATAATCGAATAATTAACCTCTCTGTTGTCGTCAAGCCCTTTGGCTCCTTTTTCCTCCATAATTACAATGCAGGCAAAGCGACTCTGAATGCCGCCTTCTTCGTCACATGGTTCTTTACAATGGTAGAAGCTTTTATTAGAGGGGATTGGACAAAAGTTGCTGGTGTAGCTACAGATACATGCTCTGTAATAAGGCTTATATGGAGTAATTTGGAAACTGATCTACGGTTAAAGTCATGCTTTATGATTCCGTGCGATTCTCATGGTTTATAATTGCTAATCAAAGATATATTGGGTATTCCCTTCTTTGAATCAATATACCTGAAAGCCCAGAAAATCGCGAAATCCTTCCGCAAGGCTAAAAAAGAGCTCAATCGACTTCGCGAATATCAACTTCAGATTTATGGGGAGAAGCGGTCTATACTCTTGTCAGTTATTACTCGTTGGGGATCGACCTTAGCCCTTATTAAATCACTGATTAACTCCAAAGAAGCTCTCAAACGATGGCTTGGCGATCTATCTGCAAAGATGAAGGCAAAGGGTATAAAAGCTTGGATTGGGGATCGTGGTTTTTGGACATAACTTGAGGATCTTCAATTAATACTCGCCCCAATTTCAGAGGCACAGAAGATGAGCGAATCTTTTAAATCAACCCTCTCGCACGTCATTCCTCGATGGAAGAAAGTATAAGCTGAACTAGTTGCTCTCACAGCTTCAATTCCTGAGCTTAAGGAGGTTACATAACCTGGTGGCCTTCTCCAATAGCGAATGAACCTACAATTAACGATACTCCACCATGCCGTATTCTGGCTTGATCCTGCGAACAGGAATTGCGAATTCAAAGATCCTGAAAAGACGAAAATCATGCGATTCTTCCTCCACTATCTAAGTTCGACTGAATATCCGGCATTTGAGATATCATTTTGGAGGTTTCGGCTGGCTAAGGACGAGTTTAGCTCCTGTCACATCAGTTGGTCTATGAAAGATTATCCAATTACATATTAGGAATCACATTACGACGAGCATCCGATAATATCGAAGCTAGCTCAAAGGATCTTTGAGCTAGTATACAATTCAGTCCCTTCAGAGAAGTCTTTTTCTATTATGAACCTTGTATATACCCCAATTCGTAGTGCCTTAGACTCCAATAAGGTTACCAAGCTCTGCTATGTTTACATGAATCAACGGTCGATTGATAATCTTGCTAATAAGATCTTTATTAAAGGGTTAGATGATTAATCAGAGGCTAGAAAAATAGAGCTTGAGGATCTTGCAATGGAAGGGGAGCTTGATGGAGAGGGTAGTGATATTGGGGAGGAGATTGACGAAGAAGAGGATGAAGATTAGGCTGGTTTTCCACTATATAGCTGTCATGTGATCCTTTGTTTTAAAACACCAGAAATTATAAAATACGGTTTTTTATACGTTACAAAACATACGAAACAAAACCGTTTTTTATGAGCGACATACCCTAACCCTGATTGAACCCCGAATCCACTAAACTAAATTTATCGTGTCCTGCACCCAGGGGTGCGTCACTTAATCAGTCACAACACGACGAAAATTCGGGACCACGACTTAAACTCGTTTAGAGAGAGGTTTGGTGATTGGAGCGATGGAAGATTTGTTTTCAAACTTATCCCGTTTGAGTATTACCAACATCGTTTGAAGGCTAGTCTTTTGAAGTGTTCTGAAAAAATTAAGCGAGTCCTCGCTACGAAAAGGGGCTTGCCTCTTGTACTCGGACTAATCATTTGTGCTGTTAGAGCAGTCACATACGAAAGGGACCTTGATCTAAAAATTCGTAAGAGCTTTCTACATCGACAGTGGTTTGAATTAATCAATTGTCTCCTTAAATAACTTTCTGAACGTCCGTTCAAGCGCTTCAAGCTGCTTCTTCCTTCTCGGTCGGGAAGCAGCAGATACATCTGATCTCCTCTGCCAAGTATTTAAAAGTCATATATTTAGTTTTCTGTAATGCCATCGATCACAGAGGGCATTCCATGCCCATTATTGGCATACTTGCCCAAGAATCCTACAGGCACAATTTCAACCATCTGCTTCATCATCTCATCTGTTATGAGATCCACAAACTCCAAAGAAACGATTCCGATATGAATATCCAGCTAGATCAGTTTCCTTTATTCTGCAAGCTTGATGGAAATCTGCCTTCAACTATGCACCTGTCATTGGTTTTATGCTGGCTGCTCTCTGGGAGGATGGTGTGTGGATCGCTTCCGACCACGGAAGAACATTTTGGAGCTACGGTTTTGTCGCTGGGAACTCTGCTGTTTGAAATTCTTGGGGAAGGCGCGGCCTGCGATCTTTGTCGGAGATCTTCCCACTGGTCTCCTTACTGGTAGCTTTCCCGTCCTCGGTCCGGCGTACATCTCCAAGATCCTCCCCGTGTGCTTCCGTGGGATAGGATTGTCGTGTAACAACGTCGTCCAAGTGCTGGACTCGCTGATTGGAATTGGGATTTTGCGCGGAACTAAAAATCGCACCGACAGATGAGCATACAAAGCTCCGTTCATCACCGAATACGCCTCCCCGTGCTCTTCATCGTTGGAGCATTCTTGGCTCCTGAGACACCTTGTTTCTGGTGAAGGAGTGCCGGTATGGAGAAGCTGCGAAATCGCTCAGTGAACTAGGTATTCTGGGGGTCTTGGCAATACCTTGGCTCATATGAAGGAACTAGCTTGCTAGAAGAGGAGCTCTCGGGTGGTACGACTTACCTCGATAGCTTCGGGGGGGAGCAAACCTCCGACGGAAGTTGACCTGTGCCATGGCCTATAGTAGCCAATTTCTGTGCGGAATCAATCTTGCATCTTCGTATTGCACGCATTTATTCGAGCTCGCAGGGCTCTCAATAGATCAAGTATTTGATCTCTCTTCGGACTGGGTGTTAGAAACATCCTTTTGTAGCCCCTGATGACAACCTGGGGTAGAAGAGGAGGCTACATCTCAACTTGCTATGTGACCCCGCTCCTTATGTTCATCATCGGATATCTGGACCTCGCACCAGACTCCAACAATGGCGCCATGTAAGCCAAGTCAATCATGCTACCTCGTTTCGACTTTGCCAACAGCATTGGACTCTGTCCCACCGTCTACGTCCTCACCGCTAAGCCTCCAAACATCAGGATCCGAGGCAAGATGTTGTGTATTGACTACTTTGTTCTCCACATCTTCTCGATCCCCATCACAGCGGGTCTCCCTTATCCAGTGGGTACCACCGAAGCAAATTGGAACGCCAAAACGGCATTTTTGTTGGCCGGGCTGAGTATTATTGCGTTTATTTGGGCTTTTTTTTTTTTTTTTGGCTTGCCAGAGAGCAAACGCACAACGTTTGAGAAACTAGATATTCTTTTTGAGAGTGAGATCTCAGCTAGGAAATTTGCAAGTAGTGACAACTTCCAAGCACTGATTTGACAGATTTTGATCGGGGTGTTATCGTCCATGGAGAAGTATAGAGGGGTAATAGGCATTATGTGACGGAATTTGGGGACTTTGCTTCGTATTAGATACTTTTGTGATCTGCTTGGAAATTTCTGATTGCGTCAAGCTTATGGATTGATTTTGTGCCAATTATGCTCCATCTACGACTATGAATACAATTTTCTCCAATCCCGAACGCTTTCATCAATCACGCTCAAGCTAAGCTGCGTTCCAAATTAGTATAGTAATTCTCGTCTTGGCGAATGAACACAGTCTTCTCTGCCGGTTGTCCTGTCAAGGTGTCCGCCATCCCTAGCAACTTATAGCAAGACGTGCGTGAATACTCTTCCGGCGACCGCCATTGCTTAACCAACTTCAGACCAAGCAGCTCATCCTGTCCTCTCCTAGCGCAGTACAAAAAGGCCGTGTAAACCTTTGACTCTTGATCTTCTGAACCGCCCTTCCTGCAAGCATGCATCCGCTCCGTTCGAGTCCTTTTTGGAGCAGATAGCGACAAGTTGATCTGTAGGCCTTTGTTTGTCATTGAGTAAGGTGCGCCTCGGAAATTGGGGCAAAAATCAATGTCCCATGAATCTTTGAACGCTGCAGGAGATCGGGCTAACAAGCCGCTCGTGCCATTGGAGAGAGTTTCGTCGACCCAGGCAAATATTGATTCGTCATCTGAGATCTTCATGATTTCGGTCTGTAGTCGAAGGAAGGCTTTCTCCCCTTCGCCGTATAGCGGTGGCATGTTGACTCCGAATAGTCCAAGCAGGCAATATGCTATGTCTTCTTCCTTCAATGTCTCTCGTCTTGAAGCCCAAGACATCTTCTGTGCAACTGAAGATGTTTCCCATCCATACAAATGTTCAATCCTAGTGATGGCCGATACCAGAGTCTCCAGGCTCTTCTTGGTGCCAATTTCAACCCAGCCGCTGTTGTAGAATACCACGCTCTTTGGAGCGAGAAGCTCCTGGAGCGTCCAACCTCTTGTAAACCATTTGCTTTCTCGGAATGCGGAACCAATTGCGTAAACGTCTGTTTCTCTTTCGGGAACGTCTGATAGGTAGGCATAGCAGACTTGTGATCGCTGGTACCAGCGGAACATCGAGTTGATGGCCTCAGACAGTTCGGCGGTGCTGCTTTTGTCTATGCAGCAGGTATCGATCCACTGAGAATATGTTAGCTCTTGATGGAAGAATCATCGCTAAATATTTTGAGGGAAATCAAAGGTTTGAGGAAGTTGGAATAAACATACTGCCCAGTTCCAGCCCTCTTTCCGAGCCTGAGCACAACATCCGACAATCTTCCTCCATCCCTCCTTCATGGGACCCTTCCCATTTAACAAATCTTGGAAAGTCACTTCAGATTTCCCATGCAGATGGGAGGCGATGGCGTATGGCGGTATATTGGTTCCAAAGAATTCTTCGAGCTCGAATGTGGTTGTGTTGAGAAGTCGCATTCTGTACGACGCCAGAAGGCACTAACCAGCCTTGTGTGCAGCTTTCGCGTTGGAAACTTGAATTCAAATTGAATTGGATTGAGTTTCGGAGAGGAATTAATTGTTAGAGTAATGCAAAGTTTTGAACAGAGGAATCCTATGTAGTATATAAGTGCTGGAGGCGACGCTTTTGAAGTGAAGTGTATCGTTCACTCGAGGCTGAGCAAAGCTTGGTGGCCTGACTCGACGGATACTACCAACCAATCAAACATCGCATTGTCCGCCTAAAGTCGATTTCTCTTACCTCATTTAAGGTTGGGTCGAGACCTGACCTCTCAGCTTCATGAATTATTGGTGGCTTCGTGGCGCAGCTCAATATCAAGTTTGTTTCACTGTTCCACATTCCAGCCGGAAAAGCTCACCGAGGCTCAGCCTTGTGGTGACTTCATCTTGGCGAGAACAAACAAATCCAGCCTTGAGATATATGAGATTTGGTGACGTCAGGAATGAGTTTTGCACTCTTGAAATAACGGTTACCTGAAGGTGGCTGTTGCTTCTCCAAGGCGGTTGTTGTTCGTGGAGTCGTTTAGGGGATTTCCAGCGTATTTTGATTCCCCTTCAGCCCCACCAGCAGGGGTCACTGCGGGGCTCTAGTGGGGTAAACGGGGAATCTCCAGCGCCTGAAACACTATGATCTTGAAACCCAGGAAAGATGAAGATGCAGATTCGTATTTCTTGGAAGCCAGTGCTCATCCAGTCTCCCGTTTCCAAGCGTCCCAACCTAGTCTCACTCCTTTTTCGTTGTATGTCGTCGCTCGCAAAAACGTGTAAAATCACGTGTTTCATCCTTTGCTGAGCTCCGAATATGCCTTCATACCCAAACATATTTGTTCGAACTTAACGAGAGATTTCGTAGAATCTTAACTGGTTCATCTACTTGCTTCAAGATATAAGTCCGGAAGTGATCTGAAAAAATTCAAGTGTTTTGAATGAGTTCCGAAAATAGACGAAAAGCGTCTACCTGAGTTGCTCAATCAAAAGTTCAAGGAGCGCTGAAGACTTCGTGCCAAGGTCTCATCTTTACCCTTTCTACTGTCTGGCCAATAAGATCCCTAGATGTTAATCTACGCAGTAGACGTTTTCTGAAGGATTCCCGCGCTGCATTGTGGCGTATTTTAGCGTGTTGTACAGCCCTGCAAGGGGCGCTCGCTTTTGAAAACCCGCACCGAAAGTTCCTCCGTCTTAGGATCGTCGCAGTTACACTGACCCTATTAATACAGGCGTACCTGAGCCACTCGCATCAAATCAGGCAATTTGCCACTTTCGAAGACCTATCACCAGCATGCTACCATGTGCAGTCGAAGCATGGGCCTGTTCGACAGAGCCGGCTCCCTTGATCTTAAACGGGTTTACCCCAAGATTAACTTCTCGTTTTCTGTCGAATTTCTGCCATTGAGGTTGCTTTTAGGATCACCACTATGAATAGCCAAAAGCCAGATGAAGATAGTTACCATCAATATGCTACACCAACTTCGACCCTGAGCTCCGGATATGGAAACTACTATGGGGGCTTTCGACATGAAGACGACCTCCCTGAGGTCAGGGCGGACAATTCGCCCCAAGTCCTCTCAAATCCCGAAGTAGAATTCAAAGGGAAGTATTTCGAAGAGCAAGAACCCAAATATCCCGTTATATACGACGATACACCCAAAACCATTGTTCTTGCCGAGGAGCCCCCCCCCATCGGCTTTGCCAGCCACAACGGCAGTGGAGCGGGCGCCTGAGGCGGGAAGACCTCCGGTGGAAGAGAAGAAAATATGGGGATTGAAGCGCAGAATGTTCTTCATCATTCTCGCGGTGATTCTGGTCGTCGTTGCAATCGCAGTTGGAGGCGGTGTTGGGGGGGCCATGGCATCTAAGTCAAAATCAAAATCAAAGAGTGCGGCAGACTCAGCTCCAGCTGTCTCGACAAGTTCAGGAGCATTGAGCGGGTGAGTAGCCAAACATTGCTTCGCTGTTGATTCTGACGGATAACTAACCATCTCACTAGAACTCAAACCCAAGCACCAGCAACGGTCTCCCCGTCATCCACAGCTGCCACAAACAGCGGCGTTAGCGGTAGCACCACCACCACAAGCTCATCCCCTTCCTCATCGACATCACCCTTAACCTTTCTCAACAACGAAACTACACCAAGCGCCAGCTTCGCCTTCCAAGGCTTCGCTGCAGCCAACTACCTCGGGGACGCAACCTCCATCATTCACTCCGAGGGCGGCACAAACTTTTCCTTTCAACTCAATAGCTATGTCTGGCTACCAAATGCGACATCTTGTGTGTGTCTTTTTGTTTGAATGCTACGAATGCTGGGCAGGTGGGTTGGTGGTGCGATGAACGGTATCGACCGAGTGCGTCAGGGTCTTTTGGCAGGATATTTGTGTGGTGTGGAAAAACGCAGGATGACGCGAATGCTGTTTGTATGTGAATAATGTTCTGTGAAAACAGTTGGTGGGCGGAGTGGGATTCGACATCTTGGAGAAGGGCTGGCTTGCGGTGAGTGGCAAGTTATTCTTTGGGGGTGGGATGGCTAGACAGTACGGCTTTGAGAAATCCTCAGGAGTAAGTCGGTACGGGGATCCTCTCCGCCCACATTATCCAAATCTTGGAAGTATTGGATAGTACTTAATTTCATAAATATGAACGTCGCACCAGGGTTCGCTTACCCGGCAACCCCCTAAATTCCTCACCTCACCCGGTTCTCCCCTCCTTACCACAAGCCCTCTTCCCCGCACAAGAGCAATACCGAACTATCCGTCCCAAAGATCTAAACCTCAGGCTTCCCGCCTCGGCAAATCTGAAATCCAGGGGCTCCCTTTGAAGTGACGCACGCAACACTTTCCGGAGCTTCCCCACCACACATGTCCGGATACGTACTGTACAAATTAATCGAAACATCTCCTGAATCACAAACATCCCAAAATAGCCACTCCCCACTCACTACCTTCTTCCAAATTCTATAAGAGTCGTCGTCCATTATGGAGCTCAGGTGCCTTCTTTCCCAGATCCAGTTCTACCGTTCGAGAGAAAGAGTTGTGTTTGAAAAAAAAAATTGTACCTGAGTTTTCATCATGAAATTCTTTCCAACAAATTTCCTTCTCTCGAGTGCAGCACTCGCAACGGCACAAACCATCACCGCTCCACCTGCCTTACCAAAAGGAGCTAAGAGCTGTACTTCTGGGCGAATTGCTGTTCCCACTTCCGGTCTAAGTCCCCCTTCCCCTTCCCATTCCGTATTTCTCTGCCCACCCAACCCCTCCTTCACCCAAATCCACATCTCGCTTCAAGCTAACGTTCGAAAAGTTATCATGTCTCGCCTCAGCCGCTTCAGAATCGGTTGTGGCGTTGCAAACGCAACGTGTATCTGTGCCCAGGCCCCAGCTGTTGCGGCGAGGGCTCAAGATTGTGTTGTCAGTGCGTGTGGGATTGCCACTGCGCTGGTGTTTTCGAATGCTAGTCAAGCAGTTTGTGCGAACTGTGCTTGAGTGTGGAGGAGAAAAGGGGAGATAGTAGGGAGAGGTGGATGGAGCAAATTGTTGGGAAAAGGCTAGGGGAACCGAAAAGGTTTCAAGTGAGAAAAGAAAAGGTTTAGTTTGGCTGTGTGAATAGAAATCGGATTCTTGAGCTGCCAGTGTTATTTAAACCGATCTTAATTGTGCCTTGTACTTCATTCCATCCAAGCTCTCCATTGCGGTCGGCAGTGGATCTCGAGCTCTGGCCTGAAATAAGCGAGTTGGAAAAGGGGTAGTGCAATAAGTTTTCAATTAAGCAAGCAACTTATACAATCGTCTTGTAACCGGGAATTATACTTGGCAAGTCAATACAAGTATTTCTCAGTTAGCCAACCGTCCTATCCTGTTCTTTACGCTGCCAAAGCCAAAGCAGACATCCGTCCTATCCTGATCGTCTCTCGCCGCAGCGAAAGCAAAATGACCTCCCACATTCAAACCCGTTTTCTCCACATCTGCGCAGCGTCCCACCCGGAGTCTTAATAATCACGGTCACCTGCTCTCCTTTCAAGGGATCTCCGGGCCAGCGTTTCCTCCGAACTGGGGTGAGAAGTCCGATTAAAGGTGAGCTGGTTCCTGCCGCTTCCCTCTGTGCTCGAGTTCGGTTGCGGGGATGAGTGGGCGATGAGCCCTGGTCGGGAGGAGATGACCCCGCCGCTGAGTCGAGGATCTCTCGGCCGTCATTCGGATAGCTGAGCTTACTTTGAGAAGGTGTAAGGTCGAGCAAGGGAGTGCTTGTGGTAGCCGCTGGATTGTTGCTCTTCGGCCGAGCTTGAGTTTTCGATTGCGGCGATGAGGCTTCGGCCTGTATATCACTTACTCTCATCGTGCCGACTTTGAGTTTTGTGGGCAGTGGGAGAGGTAGACCAGCATCGTCCTCTTCTATTTTGATATCGGGCTTAGATACTGTGGAGAGGGGGTGTTGTGATGGAGGCGATGGTCCAACCACACACAGCTCATCATCACTGCCGGCTCGAAACATACTCAGTTTTCGTTTTCTCGCGGGCACAGAAGATGCGACCTGGGGAGTCTCTGCTGAATCTTCCTGCTTCACCCGGACTTTCGAACTACGGCGGGCGTCTGTACGCGGCCGCGAGAACATGAAGACAAAGTCGTCGGCGCCGAGGCTCAGTTCGTCGTAGTCATCGCTAAGTATACGTTGCAGCATGGACTTTTGTTGATTGGCAGGAGTTGCAATTGAGGTTTTGACACTCAGCTGTGCGACTGGCTTTTTGAGAGAAGGCTTCGATGCAGGAGTAGGAACTGAAGGTTTTGTTATGGGATGAACGGTCGTAGGTGGAATTTTGGTGGAAGTTGTGGTAGGAGTTTGTACGGCACATTGTGGTGCGGCAATCAAAACTTCTTTTGATCTGGGAGGCAGTGGTTTCGCCATTGGTTCTAGGCAAATCTCCTCATCTGAGAACTCGTATGAAGGATCGAGCCCATTACGAGCAATCGATTGCGATATAGGAGTCTTCTTCGGTGGAGCCTTGTTCCTTGGCTCTGGCAAGGAGCTCGTTCGTCCTTTATCCAGCAAACTTTGGGGGTTGATAGATTTACCGGGAGGCGGTAATTGTGACCCGGAAGCTGTTCGCATCGCTGATGAACTAGGGTGTTTGGGGAGCTGTAACTCTCCACCTGCTTCTTCCTCATCTCTGGACATAGGCTCGGGATTTTCGCGATATCCAGAATGTTCATCGACCTCATGTCTCGGTGAATCCCAAGTTGAAGCCAGGGGTGTCGGCAGAACGTTGCGACCGACGTTGTTTCTCGACAGCGGAGGCTCTTCCACCAGAGGTTCTCGCAATGCCGGCACTCTAGCGTTTGAGGAGACGCGTCCGTCGAATTGCTGCGTTCGAACTTGGCCATCCCGGCTTGACATATTCATGCCCTCATCAGCTTGTTCTTCTGACATCAAGCTTTCTTGAGATTCGCTGACTTCTCGCATGACAACCGTCGTTCCTGATGAACGGTTTACTTTCAAGGAGGAGACACTTGTCATTGGAGTTGATGTCGAAGCTCCAAGCATACCAGTTGTTCCTCTTGGGGTACGGTCATGGTCGGAACTTGAGGAAAACGGGCGGCTGCTCGATGTGATTCTTACATCATTTCGCTTTGATGGCGACATAAAGTCAGAGTCTTTGGCTCGGCTGACTGGTCTATCATTGAGAGGGACGCTGCTCATATTCTTCATAGGGTGAGTGCTGCGGTCCAGTAATTCAGAATCAACACGGCCTCGTAATCTCTGCAGAGCTCCAGCATTTGGATGATCTGTCCTAACATGTTTGACGAGATCCGCCTGCATGAAGAACCCATCCTCGCCTTTGCGTTTGCAACCAAGTTCGCCACAGGGGAAAGGAGTCGTGTGATGGACCCTGAACAGATGCAAGCACATTTCTGACAAGTCCTCATTATCGAGTCTCTGGAGTCGGTACATGATAGTACCGAATGGCCTGCAGTCTGCATGCGGACAAGGAGCTCGGACTTTGGCCTCTTCGGGCGAGGGACTAACTTCTACAGCCATAGAATCTAGATGATTTTCAGGCTCAACGAAATCATTAAAAGCTCCTCCAGAGTTTCTTGGTCGATAACCATCGGCATTTCCATTGACCCGTGGTTGATTTCCTGAATTTTTTTTGCCGGGATTGCTCGCAGTTCCTGTGTAGTCAAAGGATCTGTGCTCAGCTTTCATCCGCTTATTATCTTCAAGCATCTCAGCATGCAAGACTGGGTCCAATGATTGAATAGTGTCAACTGCTTCAGACCAACTGATTATTCTTGAATCACGCTGAGCAGGTTTTCGAATTCGACTTGGCCGTTCCGAGGCGGGTTGGCGCATAGGAACATATGACACAGCTCCTGGCCAGGCTTTGGCAGCCTCGCGCTCCTCGAGGACATGAGTGCCAATGGATGTGTCCGAGGTTACTGACCCGACTTCTTCAGTTTGGTTTGACCAATGATGTCTGAAGCAATTTTGATAATGTCCTTGCCACGATTTCATACTATGACGTGGATGCTGCCCTTGTTAACGCTGCTCTGGATCCATCTGGGAAACTTACATTGTCGGCTAGCTCCTGCCAATGGCGTTCTGACCACAATGGCAGGCCACGCTCCCGTACTCTTTCGACCCAGTCAAGAAGAATCTCATCATCTTCGGCTGTGAACATTACCCGAGCCTTCTTAGTTCTTGGCAAAGCATGTTGAATTTCGACAGATGTCTCTGAATCTGATCCATGGTCATCGGCCTGGTTTGACAGATATGTAAAACTGCGATGGTAGCGAGACTTCCACGACTTAGCGGAGTGATTGGGATGCTATGATTCTCGTCAGGACGGTCATGCGGCGAGTTGGGGAGATTCACCTTCGCCTCTAGCTCTCTCCATATAGCGTCCGACAATAGCGCCTGGCCTCTGGCCTTTGCTCTAGCAACCCAATCTAGAATTATTTGGTCATCTTCAGCTGTGAAATTTCTCCGGATTCTCTTGGTTCTGGGCAAAGTAGCCTGATAAGGTAGACTCAAATCACCCATTGACTGACGTCTAATAGGATTCGGAGGCTGATTGTGATGGTGGACAGGCATCATACTTTGACCCCTGAAAATGGTATCTGCATTGGGAAACTTGGGTTTATTTGGACCGCGCGTCCGAATTGGCGCCCATACCGACTTCGACGCTTCAGGAGACGGAGAACGTTCAATCTCTGGGGCAAGAGTGGCACGCTTGACCGTGGGACGTTTCACAGGCGCAAAACTCGGTAGCTCAGGGGCTCGCCATGCGGGTTCAATATGGCTGTCATTTGGTACTTGCTGCTGGGAGACAAAGTCCACAATTTGTGGTCCAAGTTGGGGTCCAAACTGCGCCAGAATATCGGTTCTTGACGGTAGCACGCTTCCTCGGATGACTGGGCGCGCAGCTGCAGCTGGCCGTGGTTCTCTTCGAGGTGGAATTACTGGCCTCGAAGGTCCTAATTCTGGCGATGCCTGTATGAATCGGTTTGCCCTAGCAAATCCGCGCAAAATTAAATCATCTTCCATCATCTCTTCGTCTTCACTCAAGATTTCGTCTTCCTCTTCATCATCCTCGTCATCCAGAACTTCTGGCTCCTCCAAAGAACTGGCTGGAATATCGTCTGTGTCCTCCGGCTCCTCAGTATATTCTCTCTGCGGATTCCGGCGACTCGCATCTCCAGCATCCCTCTCATCGTGCATCTCGAGTAAATGTCCATTGTTGACCACGACTTCGCCAGTCTCCAGATCAATCTCATCGCCAACTCCCTCGAAATCCTGTCCATACTTTTCAAAGATGGCCTCGAAGGTGGATTTCAACTTGTAGTCGAGTCGCGCTCGTTTCTGCTGGAGATCTCCGTCGGGATCGGACACTTCTGTCTCTTCCTCTTCCTCCTCATCCTCATACTCCTCCTGCAATTCATCCTCGAAATCGTCCTCGAGTTCATCGGGTTGTTCGTCACAGTATGCATGCTGATTATCGAAACTCTGGGGGAATTCGCGACTCAAAGGGGCATATAATCGCTGTCGTTTTGGGAAGGGCTCCATCTCGGATGCCTAGGAATATCTCAAACATAGAGATGAAGTCTGTAATCGATGGGCGGTGACGTGCATGAAGATCTTGGGGAGGAACGCGTGAAGGACGCGGCGCGATAAAGTGATTTTTGCATGTGGTTAGCGCATAAAATAGCGCGGGGCTCGGCTCGGCTCATAAAGATCCCTGTAAAGTGCTGCACAACATCTCCAGGCGTGAATCTTCAGACAACAACCTCACCTCGATATCTCGACTGCTCACATAAAATCAACGGTTATGACAAAGAGGTTTGGGGCGACTTGGACATCGTCCCCACATACCTCTTAATTTCACATTCAGACCCTCAGAATGTATTGCCAGAAGTGTCGGACTCCACTGAAGCTTGATAGCTCTTTGGAGGACCTCAATCCTGCCGCCTTTGATCTATTAGTTGGTCTGTCAACCCACAACTGTTCATTCAAGTTTATAACTAACAGCAACAGGTGCCTCCTCACAGCAACAACCCAAGAACATCCCCTCCTCCCGACCCGCCTACCCTCAAGAACGAAAACAGCTCTACAACCGAGTCTCTCGAAATGCAGGTCCCCCAACCTTCAAAAGGAATACTTCAGCACCCCGTCGAACCGAATCCTCCTTCTCCAGTAACCCAGGCATGTCCTTCGTCATGCTCACAGAATCACAAGTCGTGCCACCAGCCGTTGTGAAATCACCCGAAGATACAAACCCCAAGCACAAGCGGCAAGATGATGGCCCAGGACCAGAAATCACAGCAGATGAAGGGAAGGCTATGTCGCAAGATATGGAGCGAGCATCAAGGCTATTCGAAATCCTCTCAGCACGATCCGACATCGATCACCCCATATGTGTTGAATGTACAGACCTGTTGGTAGCAGGCTTACAACGACGTCTAGAAGCAGCCACAAAAGAGAGGGACGCCTACGTCAGCTTCCTAAAACAAGTCAACGCCTCGATCCCCACCGCGGAAGAAGTGCAAGAGTCCCAGGATGCTTTGGCAAAAGCTCGAAAAGAAGAGGGGGCCGCTATTGCAGAGCTCAAGAACCTTGAGAAAGAAAAGGCACAAGTTGACGAAGAGATCGCACAACTAGAAGAAGAAGCTCGAGCTTTGGATACCGAAGAAGAGGATTTCTGGCGCGAGCGGAACGCCTTCGCCATGAAGCTCGCAGAGTTCCAGAATGTAAGGGATAGCATAAACCAGCAATACGACCACGACACGCAACTTCTTGAAAAACTGCAACGAACAAACGTCTACAACGACACCTTCTGCATCTCGCACGATGGGAAATTCGGAACTATAAACGGGCTCCGTCTAGGAAGATTATCTAACGTGCCCGTCGACTGGCCCGAGATAAACGCCGCCTGGGGCCACGCCCTCCTCCTCCTGCAAACAGTCGCCGACAGACTAGGCTACAAATTCGTCGGTTACGAGCTCCAGCCCATGGGCTCAACTTCCCGCATCATCCGCCACGAAGTGCCTCCCTCCCCCTCAACCTCCCGTACAGGATCCGTCCGCTCCACCCGCCCCCCCAAGAAATCGATTCTCGAGCTCTATTCATCAGGCGACATGCCCCTCGGCTTAACATTCATGCACCGCCGCTTCGACATTGCCATGGAAGCCTTCCTTGAGTGCATGAGACAGCTCGGTTCCTTCGTCGAACAGGAATCTGCTCGAACCTCGGAAACTGGGAGGGGACTGGCGCTACCGTATAAGATCGAAGGCGAGAAGATCGGGGACGTGAGTATTAAATTGGGCATTGCGCAAGATGATGCGTGGAGCAGGGCGTGCAAGTTTACGTTGACTTGCTGTAAGTTCTTGTTGGCGCATGCGAGTAATGTTAATGCGGCTGCTGGGAGAAGGAGTGTTTGATGGGAATTTATGGGAGGTGACAGGGATTTGGCGTTGGGATGTGGGAAAGGGAATAGGGGTAAACTGGGCATTGGTCTTCGGACGAGAATAGCAATCGACATGAGAGAGATTGTACAAGACACCTCTCCTGCAATCACTGAGAAATTTCAAGTTCGAGCTTGTTTTCGACTCATTTCATTCGTTCAGCAGAGGGTATGCAAGCTCAAGCCTCAATCTCCATCACGTTCAAATCCCCTCCCACCCACCACTTCAAAGAAGAAGAAGACAATCTTAAACGCCGCCCCCATCCCTATTTCCACCACCAATGAAGAATCTCATACATGCATTATAGTCACCGTCACCACCCATCAACGTCTTCATGCCATGTAAGTGAAGTTAGCCAAGTGAGCAAAGCGTTTCGTGACGCTCCTTCGCAAGAGTTCTTGAGAATTTTGGTTTCAGCTGCCGTATTTTAGGCGAGGATAAGAGAGGTAAAGGTTCAGCTCGCTGCTGAGGAAGCGGATCCCGCAGTGAGGCGAGCCCGCTGTTGTTCTCGAACGGGCTCGAAGAAGGCGTGGGCCATGGCTTCCTTTGCAGTCAATCGTTCCTACATGGTATCAGCACAACTATCAAAACATCACATAGGGAGAACATACTTGATGATCATATCTCAGCAATTTATCCAAGAAATCAATCGCCTCGTTGCTGACAAATCTTTGGTTCTCCGAATTGACGAAACTGTGCCAGTTCTTCTTGGGGAATCGACCTAGAATATCGTCATACTGTGCATCCAGCTCGATCTCGTACTTGTCTAGGTAGTCGAAGAGGTCTTCTGTGCCAAGGACCTTGGCGATTTTGACAAGTTGGTCCGAGTTGCTGCTGCCGTGGAAGAAAGGTTCTTTTCGGAAGATCATGGAAGCAAACATTGCTCCCAAAGACCACATGTCGAGTGAGTAGTCGTATTCCTGGAAATCAACGAGGAGTTCTGGCCCTTTGAAGTATCTTGATGCCACTCGGACGTTGTATTCTGTCCCTTGGTGGTAGAATTCTGCCAAACCCCAGTCAATAAGTCGTAGCTAAATAATGTCAGTACCTAAAGTCAATCCTGGGCCAGTAAACGGACCTTTCGGTTCTCGTGATCGATCATGACATTGTGCGGCTTCACGTCTCGGTGCATTATGCCCTTGCTGTGGCAGAAGTCGAGAGCCTATCCTCAATCAGCACCTACCCAACATCCATACGAACCCCATTCATACCTTCAAGAGCTCAAAGATATAATACCTGACATCGTAGTCGACGAATTTCGGGTAGAGGGATCGGAAATCTGTGTTATTGACGTATTCGAAGATAAGGGAGGGCGTTTTGCTCTGCATCAAGAATGAGTTGTCGGTCTCATCATCTGAGGAAACGTAACCATCAGAGGCTGATTTGCCTGTCCCAGCTTTGGGCGCTTTCTTCGGATCATAGTACTGAGAGGAGTGATTTACTTGGTTGTCTCTGACGACATCGAGCAGCGCGACGATGTTCGGCCCGCCTGACAGGTTCTGCAGGATCTTGATCTCGCGCTTGATCTTCTTCTTCTTGACCGGCTTCAGCACCTTGATCACGCACTTCTGGTAGTTGACCACGTTAATGCCTTCGAAGACTTCCGAGTACTTCCCTCGTCCTGCGGCACGGGATTGACATTAGCATCTGGCTCGCATGTGAAGGTGAGGATGCACAAAGGGAGGTATTGGCTCACCGATCTTGCGTACGACCTCGTAGTTCTCGAGCACGCCCCAGGTGATATTCACGCTGTCATAGTCCCAGTATGACCGTGGCATCTGCTGGTTGACATCTGCATAGACACGCGCCATTTTGCAGCCGGCCTGCTACCTAGGCAAGGCACAGCGCAAAACGGGAGGAGACCGCGACTGAATTGGAGCGGGATGGTGGGCGCGGAGTGTCGCGGAATGATCGTCGAAGGCGAGATGGCCGCTTGGTGCGAGGGGAAAGATTGGAACCCTCTCGCGGAGCCTGTACGACTATTGTGTGAGATGAAGTGATTATTGAGGCTTAGGAGATGTTACGATCATGGTGATTTTGCGCGGCTGAGCCAGAAAGCCCCGCGCTAAATTGGAAGGCGCGGCTTTCGAGCCCGCCTGAAAATTGAGGTTCAAATATAATTTTTGAAGAAGTCGACTCACCCCTTCAGTACGCGACCGAATCTCAGCAACTCCTTGAAATTTCTCGAGGGAATTCAAGAAGCTGTATCACCATGAAAATTCGGTGACCGAACGCTCTAGAGCAGTCTTCAACATGCTCTACGACCTCAACGTCCCCTGGTCTATGGATCAATATCACCCCCACCAGCAACGAACCATCTCCTTCCTCTCCGAGCTGGGCTACGACACGCTCGCCTTGAACCACACAATAACAGGTTCACTGCCAGCGGCAATCATAAACCCAATCCCCGCCGTACCCTCCTTCGAGATCCCCAAAAAGACAGTCCTCCTCCGCCGCTGTACATTAAACATCGTAGACCCAAGCCAGAACTACCGTCTGCCCGCCCTCGCTGCAGTCTACGATATCCTCGCCTTACGTCCGACGACGGAGAAAGCATTTCTGGCAGCATGTCTTTCCCTCGATTCACACAGCATCATCTCGCTGGACCTCACACAACGCTTCTCGTTCCACTTCAAGCCGAAGCCGTTAATGACCGCCATAAACCGGGGGATTATGATTGAGATCTGCTATAGTCAGAGTATGGATACCAGCGGCGATGGGAGCAGTGCGAGAAGGAATTTTATTGGGAATGTGGTGGCGATTGTGAGGGCTACGAAGGGTAGGGGATTGGTGGTTAGTAGCGGGGCGCAGAGTGTGCTGGGTGTTAGGGCGCCGGCTGACGTGCTGAATTTGTTGGATGTGTGGGGTTTGAAGAAGGAGAGGGGGTTAGAGAGTCTTGGGGTTAATCCGAGGGGTGTGGTTGTTAATGAGGGGCTGAGGAGGACGAGTTTTAGGGGGGTGGTGGATGTTGTTGAGGGGGGTGAGAAGGTCGTTAAGGAGAAAGGGAAGGAGAGTGGGAATAAGGAGAAAGGACCGCCGCAAAAGGGAGTGGGAAAGAAGCAGAATGGGAAGAGAAAGGCGGATGAGAATGCGGAGGCTATGCCGCAGGTGAGCAAGAGAGCTCCGAAGAAGGCGAAGTTACTTCAGGATGAAAAGACGGCGTCATCACCAGCGCCTGAAACACCCTCACAACCACCACTCACGGAAGATACCCCGAGCAAACCACAAGCTACAGCACCTGAATAAATTAAGTAAATACAGATCAACCTTTCATTATTGAAGTGAATGTTATTTACAACTAATATCCCACAGGGACTAATACTTTGGTATATGCCTCTTCCAACGCCAGAATTCCCATTAATATCTGCACAACCAGTCCACTCTATGTACGGTTCGACGCTCTACACTTTTATTGTCGCGGTTGCCAAACTGCCCAGTATCAAAGAGCTCTGGAGGGTGAACTTGCTAATATCGATAGGGTCTGGAGTTGCTTGAGCCTGTGGTACTTGCGCTGGCGCGGCCACAGGAGTTGAAATCGACAGCACGAGATTTGACGCCTCGGATAATGTTGCTACTGCTGAAGTTGTGAGAGAGGGAGAAGGTGACGCCGCCACTTGCGGAGCGGCCGACGGTGCTGAGCCCGCTGATGAGATTCCTGTCTTTTGAATCGCGGCACTAGTGAATGTTGATGAGGATCCACCGGGAGCGGCAGCACCTGGAGCACCAGCTGCGCCAGCGATGCTGGCTCCTGTAGCACCGGGCTTTGCAATTGCGGCAGTGGACAGTGTCGCGGAGTTGATGGCCACGGTTTGGAGGGTCGTCCCAGCTCCTGCTGGCGCTGCAGCCATCGCTCCCATGTTCGGGAACGATCCAGCTCCACAGAGACATTGACAATTGCAAGAACCGTCTGCTTGGGTAGTTCCTTGGCCATTGGCCACTTGTCCCGGAGCACCAGCCGAAAGTGCAGGTGCAGGCGAAGCTTAAAAATATGTTAGCGGTTAATCTATAGTTGTTTTTTACGAAACTTACCTGATGCCGCTACAGCAGGTTGAGTGGTTTTCACAATAGCTGCTGATGTTAACATACCCGCGGTTCCACCAACACCAGCAGGAAGGTTGACACCCGCTGGAACGGACTGAGCAGGTGAAGGTTGCACTGCTGCAGGTGAAGCTTAAAATTATGTTAGCGATTGATTTGTAGCTGTTTCTACCAAACTTACCTGATGCCGCTACAACAGGCTGAGTGGTTTTCACAATAGCTGCTGATGATAAAGTACCAGCGGTTCCACCAATACCAGCAGGAGGGTTGACACCCGCTGGAGCGGGCTGGGCAGGTGCTCCCGCATTCCCCCCTCCAGCACCATTGACCGTAACCGTGATTGACGAAGTAGCCGCTGGAGCTACTCCTGTCCCGAGTTGGGTCTTTGTGATCGTGGATCGGAGATTGCTAGATCATTTAACGAAAATTCATCCATCAGAGTTAAGGTTCTCATACCCAGTTCCAGCGGCCGCAGCCCCTTGTTGCGTAACGGTAATGGTTGACGTCTTTACTCCTGGACATGTATCATTCTTCCCTCCGCCTGCTGCTCCCGCATTCGTGACCGTGACGGTCGACCCTTTGGCGTTCTGCCCATGGTGCTCCTTCTTTGCTCCTAAAGCATTTCCCAGCGCTCCAATTGCTTCGAGTTCTGCTAATAGATCTGATGACCCTGCCCCACCTCTTCGCTGACCTCTTTCATGAACATTGTTCTTCGGCACATCAGTAGCCTAACCAGTCAGTTAAGCCCGCTAATCGCATTGCGATCCCTACCTGTGCTAAACCAGAGAGTCCGGCCAACGCCACCAGCAATGTCGTAAATAGATTCTTCATCGCGCTGATGTTGAACTATAGTGATCCTACTCTTCAACTGTGTGGCTACCTAAGCCAAGAAATATCGAGAGGTCCCAACAGACCAGCCGTGGTGTGTTGAATGAGTGACTTGAAATCGAAAAGAGCGTGACCGGCACCTGCAGAACTAGATCGCAACGAGATCGCAAGGAACCTTTGGTATGAAGTAGTTCAGATCAAGAGCTAGAAGCGGAAACGTTCATGAAGTCGATCCGACACCGTGCGTGAGGGCATTGGTGCTTGAATCAAAGGAATGGAGAAGCCGCGCAAAGCAGTAAGAAAATTAGAGATGTTAGCAAAAAAGCATTGCGAGAGATGGGGATGAGATGAAGCACCCGTTCAAGTGGACGTTTGCAGAGTGCAATTCCCTGTCGGGCGTTTCGACGCTCCTACCACAGGATTATGGGCCATAAACACGACGACTCAGGACTTCTGGTTCGCCGGAGGTTTTGCCAAACTGTCTCATGGGAGTCGGAGAGTAGGGGCGGTCAGACACGAGTCACAGCGCGATGGCAAAATTTGGAGCTTGGAAAGGGGTGATGCAACAAAGAAGGTTTCATCCCGCCCTTAGCGAGCGGTTTGAATCTCGCGTGCAGGGGGGAGAGTGCCACAGCGCCACGAGTCCAATGCCACCCCTGAACGACGGCAAGGAAGAACCTTTATTTATGGAACTTCGGGACCTGGAGGACGTCAAGAACTTTATGGGATTGCCAAACATCAACTTGTTAGTGCTGATGGATCATGGGTCTTCTCGAAGGGACAACGTTGTTTCGTTTACACCGAGGAGCCGCACTTCTTGATTTCCGTTCATGCGGGGCCGTCTTAACCGAAAATGAGGCTTCAAAGCGTGGGTGAGACTGTTGAAGTAATAGAATGTGATGCCTAAAGCGGAAATAGTAGGAAAGTGGACTCGACACGCTGACTTTCCACAACCTGCGAAGCAATGCGGGCCGATCAGATCATCAGATCCCAAGCGTGCCAGGTTTGTCCTCGGAAACTTGATGTTATCTGATGGTGACAAAGTGGGTGAACCTAAAGAGAAGAAAACTATATCGACAATGATAGAAATGGAAGCAGAATGCGGATTTGATAAATTCTCAGCCTTGTCGAGATGGAAGAGCAGGGTCGGATAAATGAGGTCCGATAAGGTTGTGGCGCTAAAAGCGGACGCTAAAGATTTTAGCCTCAGATCAAGCCCGATGACGCTGAAGACTCTTGATCATCAACCATCGGGATATCATCATCGACAGTTTCTAGACGTATTCCTTCCGCTTTCGCTGTGCTGTGTACATTGTAAATTTTACTGGGCTGACATCAGTCAAGGCAAAGCCTTGTCCCATTATTTAATTCTCATGATTTTCTGATCTGAAACTCTTTTCTCAATGTCCAGCGTACGAATCCAACAGCCAAGATGGAGGTCCACGTGTTAGACAACTACTACCTTACCATAACTCTCTTAATCACTATTGGCTATCAGCTCTTCTTCTTTGCTATTGCGTTTTCCCTTAAGTTCGATAAACTTACAGGTATATTTCCCCGCCATCACTCGCGGCCAGCTCATAACAGAATACAGACTTCGCTGGAGGAACCAACTTTGTTGTCCTTGCAATTATTACGCTTGCATTCAGCGGCCATCACAATGCACGCCAAATCGTGTGTTCTCTCTTTATCATGGTCTGGGGGCTCCGGCTCTCCGGCTTCCTGCTCTTCCGAATCATTAAGACCGGCAAAGATGATAGATTCGATGACAAACGCGACAAGTTCTTTTCATTCCTGGGATTCTGGGTATTTCAGATGATCTGGGTCTGGGCTGTCTCATTGCCAGTCACCGTCTTGAACTCGCCGAACGTCACTCAGTACCCGCAGCCAGCATTTGGAACGGGCAGGGATATCGCAGGTGTTGTTCTATACTCAATTGGCTTGATAATGGAGAGTGTCAGCGATGTACAGAAATACCGCTTCAGGTCGGGGACCAGTGACAAGTCAGCGATTTGTGATAAAGGGTTTTTCAACTGGTCGAGACATCCAAACTACTTTGGAGAAATCCTCATCCATTTCTGTAAGTTTCACGCTACCACCTGGCAATTTTACTAATATTCCCAGCCATCTTCATGATTGCCGTTTCTCCAGCAGCAAACGGCTACGTCCGCGGCCAAGCATACAAAGCCCTCTACGCCACGATCCTTGGACCCTTCTTCCTCACCATCCTCCTAATGTTTGTCTCCGGCTTGACACTCCAAGAACGACCCGGAGCAAAGAAGCGATACGAGAAGAACAACCACTGGGAAGAATACGCTCGATACTTGAACCGAACAAGTATTTTGATCCCATTTCCGCCACAAATATATGAGAAACTACCTACGATCTTAAAGAGAACGGTCTTCTTGGAGTTTCCGATTTATGTTTTCGATCCGGCGAAGCATTCGGATGCTAGCAAAGGTCAGAGAGGAGCGGAGGAAGGGAATAGTCACAAACCGAGTACGGCAAGTACGAATAATAGACAGAGTGGTGATCAGTTAGTGAACAGTGGGTCGTGATGGGAAGGTGGTAATGATCATGATGAAAGAAGTATGGCATGAAGTTCAGCGTGTGAGATACAATATCTAACATCAGCACCAGCATTAGTTCCAACATAACATCAACTCTTAGCTTAGAAGCTCTGCTATTGGTCACATAGCAAGGAATGGCTTGCTACCCTTGTATTCACGTGATACCAATGACTCAATCAACTGATCTCAAAGTCTCCAACCCGAGCTCTCCCACCACCTTGTTTTCTCATCACGTCAACTTTGACCGGACTTCGTGCTTACAACACCCTCAATCCTTCCAGCCTTTGCTCAGCCTCGCCCCAAACTTCCAACACGTGCCCACGCGCTTCCCCGAGTACAGTACCCCGCGATTCAGCCTCGCAGGTTTCGCACGTCACCGTCGCTTCCCTCCACCACGCCCTCTCTTCCCCTCTCCCAACACCACTTTCAACCTCTTTACCCCCATTTCTTCCCCCTCTTCGAAAGAGACGCTCAAATCCCAAATATGAACGCGTCCTGCCAATGCGGCGCCATCGCCTTCAAGACGCCCCTCCCCAAGCCCCTCGCGGTCTACATCTGCCACTGCGATGAATGCCGTCGGCAGTCCTCGTCCGCATTCGGATGCTCTGCTATCTTCCCTTCCTTCCCGTTGCCGGCGAGTGTCAAAGGGGCATTGAGCTGTTACTCGTACGTCTCTCCTTTCCCTCCCCCGCATTTCCTATATTTCTCTCATCTGTTGTTCCCTTTTTCCGTCCTTGCAGGATTCGCTTTCAGGTCTCGAAGTTTTAGCGGTGATTTATTTATTTCTTCATCTATTTTCGGGATTGAAATTTTTATCTTTGTTTTCAGTGGCTGGAATTTCAACCAATGCTGACAGGCAAGAAGGAGACCGACAGCATCAGGCCACACCCTAAACTGCTATTTCTGCCGCTCCTGCGGAACACGAGTAATCCACTCTACGCCCGGAAAAGACGTCGTTTCCGTAAAAGGCGGATGCATCGAAGGTTTAGACTGGCGGAGCGCAAAGCATATATGGTGTAAACGAGCTGTTTGTGCTCCTTTTCCTGCCTCCCCTTTCCCAACCCCGAGCGAGACGAGAAAAAGAAGAGAGAGAGAGAGAGCTTTCGGAAGTGAAAGGTTAATGGGGAAATAGATGGTGCCCATCCCCGAAGGCGTCGAGCGCAACGAAGAAGAGCCCGACAACGAAGACTACTCCAGCATCTCGCAATCGGACGGCGGCGGCTCCTCGCAACCCAACACCCCCAACACCAGCACCGCCAACCTCGCCAGTTCCTCCGCAGACCTCTCGTCGGCGACGGAAATAGGTAAGGTTAAGGCGGATCTGGGTCTTGGGAGATTAATGCTGGGGAGTGGTGATGAGGAGGATGAGATTCGTGGTTAGGATTGGATTGCATTGGATAGTGCTGACAATTTTGGGGACGATAGGGAATAGTAGGAAGGTCGTTAAGAAGAAGAGTAGTTTCTTTGGGTTGAGTAGGAGAGTTGCGGGGCAGAAATTGGGCGAGATGGATGGGAACAAAGGCGTCAAGAAGAAGTGTAGTGTTTTTGGATTGGGAAGGAAAGCTGTGGAGGGGAAGGAGGGATATTAGGGTGTACTTCTGAAGGGGATTTTTTTGGTTCATTGGAAGAGATAATGTTGGGTTTGGTGTTCGTGGTACGTTGGATGGAGCAGGAATGATTTGTGAAAGAGAAGATGCTAGCCTTGTGGTTTGGAAGCGAAAAATTGCTGTAATTGTAGTTGGAAAAGACATAAAAGCACAGAGGGAAGATATTGGATGCAAGTAAAAATTCTGTTGCATTCAAAACTGGCTAGAAATAATACAACAAAACAAACAGATCTTAATCAGGAATTCTTCAAGCCATCCCTCCATTGACTCTGACCATCTGCCCCGTAACCCAGCTCGAGCCCTCTCCAACAAGGAAACCCACCACGCCCGCAATCTCCTCCGGCCTTCCAATCCTTCCTTGGGGGTTGAAACCAGCAATCATCTTCAAAACCTGCTCGCTCTTTCCATGCATAAACAGCTCCGTACCCGTCGGTCCCGGAGCTACACAATTAACCATGATGCCCTTCCTCGCGAGGTCTTTAGACATGACTCTGGTCATTTGCTCAATTGCTCCCTTTGAGGAGACGTAGGCGAGGTAATTTGGTGTTACTGTTGAAGCCGCACAGAGGGTGGTGGAGAATAAGATAATGCGGGAGCCAGGAGCCATATGTGGTGTGGCTTTCTACATTGAATCAGCACTGTGCATAGCTTGGCATAGATTATAACTTACCTGAGCAAGGAACATTGGACCCTTAACATTCAGATTGAAGATGTTGTCAAATTCCTCCTCGGTGACCTTTTCGAGTTCGTTCAAAGGCATAATTCCAGCGCATGCAACGAGAATATCGAGTTTTCCGTAATGTTGGATTGTGGAGTCGATTAGGGTGGTGATTTCGGAGACGGAGCCGGCGTTGGCTTTGATTGCGATTGCATGCTCTGAGCCGATTTGTTTGACGACTTCTTCTGCTGCAGCTGCGTTGCCGGCGTAATTGACAACGATTTTTGCTCCGTCACTTGCGAGCTTGAGGGCAATGGCTTTGCCGATGCCTCGTGAGGCTCCAGTGACAAGGGCGACTTTGCCAGAGAGGGGTTTGAGAGAAGACATGTTGGACGATGGGACGGAAGTGAAGGTGTTCTGAAGATTGGAGGAAAGTATGAAGCAGTTGAAGACAATTGAGCGGTTGTTGTTGGATCACTCAACCAAGCAGCAGGGCTGAATATATAGTTGTTGAACAGGGTGGAGATATGTCCCCTCTCAGCTTAAAGCCTAATGCCGCTGCAGGATTCTGGCGAATTAGCGGTCAATGCAAAAAAGATGGCTTGCATGTGCAGTTTCCGACAATCTTATCTCCCTGGATTTACGAAAAACGATGGCTAGCTCCAGCCTCAAACTCCGCCCATTACACAGTTAGGCTGTTATGTTGGGATTGGCTTTCCAGGATTGTCGTTTCGGTGGTCCCGGGAAGGAAAATCTCTCAAAGAACCGCTCAAGGACCTCCAGCGTGAGGGCAGTATTCTCCATAAGTACTCGCAGATCAGTCACGTAAAAGAACTCGGAGCCTCGAGAGCGTTTTCGTAACACTTCTCGAAAAGCATCCGAAAGTTGTTGACGTCATTGTCGATGAGAGGGAGGCTGAGAGTTGTGAGGATTGCTGTCGAGCTTAAATCCATGGGGTTGAGCCTCACAAAGTCCGGTCCGAGTTTGTTGTGGAAATCTTTCTTCAATCAAGGCAAAGGCCCGGTATTTTGCCATCGGGATGCCTCCTCAAGGCAAATAAGTGTCGAGATCACAACAATGCCTCCTTGCTGTTTGTTGAGTGTTCGTACAAAGTTGTTTGGAGGAGAAGTTTGGCAAATGCGGAAATGGAGCACACACCAAGACTTCGCGCTAAGCCAAGAGGGCCCCTTTAGCGCGACGTTAAGTCCGACTGTTGGAAGGCCGGCAGAATAACCGACAGTTACAAGCAAGGCTGCACTTTCCAGCAAACAACAGCTGGGCCGACCGCTTCATCTTCGACCTCACCCCAAGTCATTCACTGCAAGATTCACTCTGTCGGCTGCAGCTTCGAAGTATTTAAGTAGCACTTCCTCGCTTCGATCCATCTTCGAAACCTTTCCATCAACAACATCGATCTGCGTCGACCGTCATCGAAGGCGCATCTTCCAGAACTTCTCATACAATCCTCCCAAGTTCTTTAACCTCCTCTTTCACTCCGTCGGCTGCGACCACGAAGTACTTAAGCCGCCTTTGTCTCTTCTTGCAGCCTCCCAAACCCTTCGATCAACAACATCCGACCGCACCGACCGCACCGACCGCGGTTCAACTCCCACCCCGCAGAACAACTTCTCCAACCTCCGCACACCCATATCAGACATTCGCGCACCCATATCCGGCATCATGGATCAGCGTGAGCTCGAGACCCGCCTGAAGGCTCTGCAGAAAGCAGTCAACGAGAAGGATTCACCTTCGACGATAATTTCCATCCTGCAGACCTTGCAGAAGGAGGTGGTCCCAACCGAGGAGTTGCTGCGGGTACGTTCTTGAGGGCGCATTCCTCACGGCCATTTGTGCTCTTGCGGGCTCGCTCTTGATCCAACAGTGACTGACCTGTCTTTAGGCCACCAAAGCCGGTGTTGTTGTGTCAAAGCAGAAGATGAACGCGAACAAGGACATTGCTAGGCTTGCTGCAGAGATCGTTGCTAAGTGGAAGAAGACTGTCACTGCGGATCAAGAGGCTAGGAAGAAAAAGATGGCCGGATCCTCACCGCCAAAGGCACAGTCGCCGGCCGCGGCCAACGAGCCTCAGAAATTCACTGGAGATGTCCAAAAGAGAAGATGGGAGATGGAGAAGGTTGATACCAAGCGCACTGGCATCCCGACCCGAGATGCTTGCATCGGACTCCTGTACAACGGTCTTGCCTATATGTCAACCGAGCCGTCTGTCCATGTCGTTATCAAGGCCATGGAGGTCGAGGCCGCAGCATATGATACTTTCAAAGGCGAAACCCCCCAGTACAAGGCTAAACTCCGATCCCTCTACCAGAACCTCAAAGCGATCTCCAACCGAGAGTTGGGCCCTCGAGTTATGTCTGGCGAGATCACTGCAGCTCAGTTCGTTGTCATGACCCACGAGGAGTTGAAGTCTGCCGAGCGCAAGAGAATCGATGAGAAGTTGGAGGAAGAGAACATGAAGAAAGCTCAGGTCCCGATGGCGGAGAAGAGTATCAGCGATGCCCTCAGATGTGGAAAGTGTGGACAGAAGAAAGTCAGCTATACTCAAGCACAGACACGCAGTGCAGACGAGCCGATGACTACGTTCTGCGAGTGCACTGTTTGCGGAAACCGCTGGAAGGTATGCTATCCAAGTTTTAATTTCTCAGCAGCTGCTAACAATCACAGTTCTCGTAAACGCTCGAGAATCTCTGCTGCGCGGTTCTGCTTCTGAGTGGAACAAGTCGACCCTTCGCTCTGAACTTTGCGACCGAAACCCCAATGACAACTCCTACTTCGCTCTGGTCTTTTGCTACGACTTCAGATAATGACTTCCCCTTTGCTCTTGTCTTTCTCCAACTTCCGGTGACGACTTTCGCTTCGCTCTGATCTTTGCAGCGAGAAATCGTCCATAATGTACTCATGTCACCAAAATTTCACTTCTTTTCACAACCTTTCTGGACGGCTTTGGAGTTGGGAGTCTGGATTCGTCTTCTGCCGTCTCCTCATGATACACAAAATTGCTTTCGCCTGATGTTTCACCCGTCGTCACTGCCGTCTTTTCGCTGCGTTTTACAGCCAATAGAAACACCTCTTTGCTACGTAGTTTAGAGAATAGAAAATCATACAAATGCTTCGCTCTGATGTCTTGTGAATTATGCTTGCTTCGTTCCCATCTATGGCGAAGAGGCCTACTGACTTCGCTCTGATGTCTTGTAAATTATGTTTGCTTCGTTCCAGTCTATGGCGGAGAGCCCTACTGGCTTCGTTCTGATGTCTTGGAAAGTACATTAGCTTCGATTGTATCTTTACTTCAGTCTAGTCTTACCCAGCTTCCATCTGCGCTTCAAAATTTCCTTTGGTCCAAGCCTTTTTTTGCTCCACTAACTCATTCGTTGATCTCTAAGTTGAATGTCCAAGGCTCTTCCGGTAAAATGGTGAGAGCCTCCAATTTGAATGTTCATAGGTCTTCTTATACATTGTTGAGATTCTCAAATTGAATGTTCGAGTCTCCTAGGGCATCGATGCTTCACCCAACTTTGAACAGCCATCTGAATGGACCAGCTTTGCTTGGAAGATTCAGCCCGACTCGAGTCAAGACTCTCTAAACTGAGTGTTCCAGTGCTGTTGGTCCTTTGCCCTCCCCCTCAATGTTCTGTGCACGTAGGGCAATTGCAGATTCGTTCCCTGCGCTGATATCTGATTCTCACCTCTCGTCTTTGATTCCCAGTAGCTTGAGCAAATCAGTCTGGCCATGCTCCTCCTCCAACCCTAGCTCCCCAACTTTCTTCCAGAATTTGCTCAAATGCCTTGTCCCGCTATCACACAAAATAGTGACAATTCTACTCCCTTTCGGCATATTCATCGCGGTAGCCACAGCAGCAACACAGTTCACCGCACTGCTGCTCCCCACAAATATGCCGTCCTTCTCCACCAGCCACCTCGCCATCTGCATGGCTTGCAAATCAGTAACCTTAACGGCATCGTCGACCAGCTCCCTCCCCGCCTCAAAATTCTCTGTCAATCGATTAATGCCAATACCTTCCACAATGCTGTCAACTTGCTGCCTCCTCCTCGTCCCTTCTTTCTCCGTATTGGAAAACATGACCCCGTGTTTGACTTTATTGTAAAGCCCGCTCCCCTCTGGATCAGCAAGCACGACCTTTAAGTCTCCCCACATGCCCATCTCGTGCTTCAGAAATAAACTGATACCTGAGATCGTTCCACCTGTGCCCGCACCAGCTATAAAAGCATCAAGTTGCCCTCCCGTCTGCTGCCAGATCTCCGGGCCCGTAGTCTGGAAATGAGCTTTGTAGTTTGCAATTGACTCAAATTGGTCTGCAAAGAAGCCCCTGCTCTCATCCTTGCTAGAAGCAGTGTGTTCCTTCGCCCTCGTCCTCGCAAGATTAACAAAGTGCTCCGTACTGGTAATAGGAGCCGGCGTAACTCTTTCGACTTCAGCACCAAGATGGTGAAGTAGGTCTGATTTCTCCGTGCTCTGATCATTCGGCATACAGATATAGGCCTTGTACCCCTTCGCTCTCGCAAGGGTAGCAAGAGAAATACCAGTGGAGCCTACAGTCCCCTCATAAATCGTATCCCCCCGTCCAGGAGTCAACAGCCCCTCTTCCTCAGCCAGGGCAATCATATTCAGTGCTACTCGATCCTTGGGACTGCCTCCTGCTCCATTGAGAAACTCCGCTTTGGCAAGAATTGTACAGCCCGTAGCTTCAGACAAGCTCTTTATCTTGAACAACGGTGTGTTTCCTATTATTCCTTCCACTCCTTCTGGGTTCTGTGGGGTAGGGAGGCCGACCATTGATTGTCTCGCGCTGCGCGTGTGGTCTTCGAGTTTGACCGGGGGGAGGTAGGTACTCCCAGGCCGGGAGTCTGAGGAATTGGGAGGTTGTCCTCGTCGCCGCTGGTACCGCCGTTCAAGGTCGGGGTAGAAGTCTTTGAAGCCCAGGGTCAACAGCACGCCAGCCATGAAGGCGACAGCTATGGCGGCCGTGCCGTAGGCTTTGGGATGATTGCTCATAGACATCGTGTTATCGTAGTCGTCTCATCTTTCAGGGAAAATTCCAATTGTCCCAGGTTATGTTAAAGAAGAAGAAGTTGTGGACGTTGTGGCATGGTTGACAAGGATGGGAGCTTGGACCAATTCGAAATCCAGATCTTTGCACAGAGCTCACACAACCTCATGTCAACACCGTTCTATGGACTCCCCACTCCTCACACGGTTGTTCAGGCAACTGTTCTCGCGGCGAGCATGCCAGTCTCTACGATCGCATTCCGAATTGCCGTCTCGGATACAGGGCACCACGAGGCATGGGCAGAGCAGAAGTCTGTCGAGCACGGGTAGGAGACGAGATGCGGCGGGGGATAGCAAGCGCAATGAGAGTCACTGGCAGCAAAGAACGGACCTGTTTCCCTTGGACATGTCGGAGGAATACCAGAAGTACCCGATGGTTACGGCGGATCAGTTGAGAGGGAGGAGGGAGCGGCCGCGGAGAGTGAAGATGCTTGCGCGAGACTTCATTGAAGGTTGTCCCTAATGCCATCCCAAGCTCTGAATACAAGCTGATAACACCTCGCAGACTCCCTGTACAATCCCTCATACGGCTACTTCTCCAAGCAAGTAGTAATCTTCACGCCGGGGGAGCCATTCGCCTTCAACAGCATCGAAGACGAGCCCGAGTTCCACCGGCTGCTAGGGCAACGATACACCGAATTCGAAGACAAACTGGATGCCACCGCTTCCAATGAATCTCGACAGCTCTGGCACACGCCCACTGAGCTCTTTCGTCCCTACTATGGCGAAGCCATAGCCCGGTACCTCATCACCAACTACAAGCTCTCCCAATACCCCTACCACGACCTAATAATCTACGAAATGGGCGCCGGGAACGGAACCCTAATGTTAAACATCCTCGACTACATCCGTTCCACAGAGCCCTCCGTCTACCACCGCACCAAGTTCAAAATAATCGAGATCTCGTCCTCCCTCGCCAAGCTCCAAGCCTCCCAACTCCTCCGCTCCGCAAACTCACGTGGCCACGCCTCAAAAGTAGAAATCATCAACAAGTCAATCTTCGAATGGGATACCGTCGTGCCGTCACCTTGCTTTTTTCTGGCAATGGAAGTCTTCGATAACTTCGCCCACGACGCCATCCGCTACGATCCCTTGACCGAAGAACCTTTACAAGGAACAGTGCTCATCGACAACGCTGGCGAGTTCCACGAATTCTACACCCCGCTCATCGACCCCGTCGCCTCGCGCTTCTTACGAGTCCGGCACGCCGCCACATCAGGCCACTACCCCCTCCCCTTACCTCAAAGCAAGATATTGCGGAAGTTGAGGGCAAGAATGCCGTTTATGGCGAACCTGAGTGATCCGGAGTATATACCCACGCGACTGATGCAATTTTTTGATATCCTGGGAAGGTGCTTTCCCAGTCATAGGTTGTTGACGAGTGATTTTCATGATTTGCCGGATACGATTAAGGGTGTGAATGCGCCTGTGGTGCAGACGAGGTATCAGAGGAGGACGGTGCCTGTTACTACGCCTTATGTGAGTTTCCCCTATACTTTAGTGAGATTTAGAGAGACGGGACTGAGAAACAACAGGTCCATCAAGGCTACTTCGACATCCTCTTCCCCACAGATTTCAACGTCATGGAACTCATGTACAGAGCCATAACAGGCAAACTAACTCGTGTATTGTCACACGAAGAGTTTCTTCGACGCTGGGCATATGTAGAAGAGACGGAGACGAAGAACGGGGAGAATCCGTTGTTAAGCTGGTATAAGAATGCTAGTGTTCTAACAACGGTGTAGACAATGCACACATACCAATTTTACTTGACGGGACATTCGAGTTTTTTCAAAGCGCTGATTGTGATTTTGGTTGCTAATGCTGATACAGTATGCTATGCTATGGATGTCCCTCATGGAGCAATCCTCTCCTTCAGTGCGGATGACTCCTTCAGATACGATAAAGCCAGTCTCCGATCCACCAACACATATTCTTCTTCATCGTCGGGGGCAGCAGGAACGGCTTCTGCTTCTGGATCTGTTCGACATAGCGGAGAGTCTCGGGGTTGTCAAATGTTGTGTCTAGATGGGCCTGCTGAAGACCCTCCCATCGGTGCAACGAGTGCTGCAGACCCCCATTCCTAATTCCTGAGAAGTACCTGCGCTACCGTGTCTCGCAGTTGTCGCAGCGCAGACTCTGCCTGCACTGCCCTCTGTCGCAGTTGAAGTTCCTGCTGTACTCCTCGCAGCCGTTGCTGGTTGAGCCCTGCGTGTAACACTCGCGCTCTTGCCAGTTCGTTTTCTCTCTGTGTGATTCTCTCTCGCAGTTCCTGCAGTTCGCGTACAATCGTACCGTTCGTTACCGTTACCGTTAAATGGCCACCCTCGCCTACCTCGAATTCAATTCCAAGATTCCGCAGGTGATGCACCACTCGGTTAACTACGATATGAGAATCAACTTCAACATTCCAACTTCTTGCCTTTGTGTAAAGCAGAGGAACTGTACCTATGTTCTGGATGACCCACTGCAGCATGTTACGAGGCATGTTATCACGTGCACGTGGATTGACTCGATGCGCAATTGCGGAAACTATAGATCTTCCAGTTAACAAGTGGACCTGTAGCCAAGACGGGCGTCCGTACAAATTCTTTGGTCAAATTCGTCCATTGTCATAGGCTCGCCTGAAGTTACCGGCCCTTCTGTTGTTCCTGGCTCTTCTGGAGAGGCTGCTTCTTCAGGTGAGTCAGACTCTTCTGGTGTGTCCCAATCATCTCCAGCTCCTCCTCGCAAGTGAAGTCTTGGCTCTTCCTCTCTTCCATCCTCACGCTCTGGGTCTTCGCTCATTGGCTGAACTTGTGGGTACAGTCGACTTTCCCGGATGCGTTCTGGGACGAGTGTGAAATGTAGTCTCTCTAAAGGTTCTTGGACTATTTGGATTGGGTGCGAATGCGCAGCGAAAGAATTCTCCTGTCGCTGTTCTTGAGATCTTCGGGCCGGGTTCAAATGTTGCCGGGTTGCTGGGTCCTCATTCTGTTCACAGCGTACGGCTTCGTGGAGCCTTTGGGCTTGTTGATACAGTCGTTCTAGGTCCACTCTGAAAGTCCGAACAACCGTCTCCAAATTGTCTGCTACATGCTGTCCCAAGTCGACTGTTGCTTGAACCAAATCTGATGCTGCAGTTTCACCGGAAATCCCTCGGCGGGTAGGGTCAATCCCTCGCATCTCGACGTCTGTTCTCAACAGCGTCGGTCCGGCCGGTGGTTCAGGGAAGCGGTGTTCGGAGGTACTTGGGTGATGTTGGTGATTTCGCTCATGTGGTATATCTGTGGATTGCATTTCTCTGTCAGTCTCTGCGCCAAGAGTTCGCAAGCTTTGGAGGACATACCTGCTCCACGAGCCAACCCTATCAAATGAGATCTTTGCGACTGATAGGTAAGCTGAACGGCATGTTGCACATGAGCAACGTGCGTCTTCAGTTGAATTATGGTCCAGCACCTCAGAGGCAGTATGAAGTACTGTAGGGCTTCTTCCGGTCCTTGGAAGGGTTGATGGGCCCTCAATCTCCCAATCATGTCATTGTACCCGTATGGAGCGTAGTGGAGTTGGTATTCTAGGACAGCGACTTCTTCTTTAAAATATGCTGCACATTGAATGCGTTGAGCCATCATTTGTGCTTGTTGAATTTCTGGTGTATAGTGGTGCATCTGTTGAGTAAGTTGGTTGGCTCTCCTATCGACTGCGTTTGGGTTGTTAGCAAGCCATCCGCCAAGGCTTATCCAGGCATGGATGGCAAGGCCGTCCGTAAAAGAGAAGTTAGCTAGAATTCAAGAGACCTGTGAGGGGCAGGAAACCTTACAATAGAAGGTGTCATTTGTCTGTGGTGGAGGCTGAGCCATGATTTCTGCTTTATCGAGATCGCGGATTGGTGAAACGAATGCGGAAATGATATCCAAGCGAATGTTGATTAAAGCGAATGGAAGGTTGATGGGATGTTGATGAAGACCAAGATTGTTTATATTGGTGTTTTGGTGGGATGGGACAATGAGATCAAGAGAACAAGAGAACAATCCTCAAAAGACAATAGGAAGGAGCCACCCTCGGGGACGCGGAGCTCTGGATGCCATTTAAGGCAAGAGCGTTTCGCGAAAGAACATGAAAATCTTCTAACATAGAATTGTCTACAGTTTCTGTAAGGCGAATTATTGATTCGATCTTAGAGAACATCTAGAGTTTTGCTTGCTGTATTGATCTTCAAGAGATTGAAAAGGGGGTTAGGTCACGTGGTATAAAGCATTTTCAATTGTAGAAAGTCGGTAATATCTTGGCTTGACGATATAAGAAGTGATTCAAAAAGAACTAACTATTTCTCGTACATCAGTTTTATGTTTGAGATGTTCATGTGAAGTGGTTGAAACAAGGGTGTCGCCAATCAGATCTGAGGTTGCTTTTGCCTCGCTTCGCTGCAACCTCCAACAGCAACGATATATCACCTCCGGCCAGGGTTCTGACCTTCACCACACATCGCAAATATGGCGAACTCGAAGTAAGCTTTAGAGATTCCCTATATCGAGCTCGAGATTGACTGAATGTACGTAGATATGAGTACGTCAAATCCTTCGAGCAGCCGGATCTGCTTCTACCCAATACCTGGATCGTCATCCGCATTGATGGCAAAGGATTCCACAAGTGAGCTCGCACCCTTTTCGCCATGTTCAATAGCTCATGATGGATAGGTTTTCAACCAAGTACTCCTTCGAGAAGCCAAATGATCGCCGGGCACTCGATCTCATGAATGCAGCTGCCAAGGCCGTCATGACTGAGCTGCCGGACATTGTCATCGCATACGGAATTAGTGATGAATACAGGTATCCATCTCCTGCCTGATTCCAGCCTCATTAAACTTCTAATTATTTCACCACTTCAGCTTCGTATTCCACAAATCCTGTGCACTCTTCGAAAGGCGTTCAAGGTATAACCCCCTGCACTTCCTTTCTCAAGGCAAGAATCTGACATTGGCAGCAAACTTGTGACGACGATCGTGTCAATATTCACAGCTTATTACGTTCATCTTTGGTCTTCTTTCTTCCCCGAGACGCCCCTGTCGCCCCCTCTGCCGAGTTTCGACGGCAGAGCGGTGCAGTATCCGAGCATGCAGAATTTGAGAGATTATATGAGCTGGCGGCAAGTCGATTGTAAGCTGCCCGTGGTGACATGCAAGGAATGCTGGCTAATCCTGCGAAGGTCACATCAACAATCTCTACAATACGACGTTCTGGGCACTGATCCAGATTGGAGGACTGGATGCGAAGAGTGCTGAGAAGGAGCTTTCTGTGTGTTTGTTCGAGTGAAGATGTGAAAATGCTGACCAAAACAGGGTTCGATGGCTGCCGACAAGAACGAGATCTTGTTTTCTAGATTCAAAATCAATTATAACAATGAGCCGGAGATATATAAGAAGGGTAGTGTGGTTCTCAGAGATGTGAGTGGCTGTGGACCATTATCCCTCCGCATCGACTGATCAGCTCAGTATGAACTTGTCGAGCCCGGATCAGCCTCAGAAGTTATCGACGAAGACTTAGTAAAGACAGTTGAGCAGGTTGCGCTGTCCAAGACGCAAGAAGAGAATGACAAGAAGCGGAGAGCCAAAGCAAGAATCACGGTGCAGCACGTGGACATTATCAAGGATGAGTTCTGGGAGAGAAGACCTTGGTTGCTCTCAAACAAACCGGGCAAGATACCCAAGGAGCCGTGATTCATTTCAACTGGATAACTGGAAGCGCTGGAAATGCATATCATGATCACCATAGTGATAATTCCCAAACGCCATGCTGATCTTGTAGTAATCACTCCTTCCGTCTCTTTTTCTTCTTCGCCTTTTCAGATTGAGCCTCTAGTTCTTTTTGCTCTGCTTCACGTGCGAGCTTCTTCAGTCGCTTTCTTTCTTTTCTTTGCACCTTGGTTTCGGGTTCCTCCACCCTTTGGTCGTCCTTCACTTGTGTATCCGGTCCATCTTGAACGAGTCCGTGGGCCTTCAATGCGTTCTTCGTGGCTTTTCTTGCCCTCCGCTCTTCCTTCGCCTCACTCCGCTCACTGCCATCCTCCACTTCTTCAGCAGTGTTCAATTCTTTATCCCCTGAAGCTCTCTTCGCAGCCTTCCTCGCCCTTCTCTCCTCCTTACTCTCCTTTTCATTTTTACCTCTCCTCCTCTTCTTCCTCGGCGGCTCTTCACTCCCCTCGTTACTCTCAGGTGTAATCGTCCCACTCAAACACTCTCCCCGCACAAAGCTCGCATACAACCCGCCCTTACTCCCAACCCACTTCGCACCTCCCTTCGCAACCATATCCAACCCACCACTCGACACGGTCTGCACCACCTGTCCCTGTTTCGAAGTATCCAATCCTTTCAACGAGCTATCGAATGCATTCATCCACCACATATCGCTCGTTTTATGTTGCTTCTTGCCCAATCCGAGATTGTTTTGTTTTTGGGATACGAGGAGGGGTTTCGAGAGGCCGATGGAATTGTTTGTTGGATGAAGGGAATTACCTGTCCCGCGCCATCCTTGGGAGGTGAGGAGTGCGTGGGCGTTCATTGTGGAGGTGCGCAGAGACGTGCGCTCTGATGAAGTTGTCTCAAGGATTTTGTTCATTTTGTTATCGCAGTCTCCGGAATTTCTTGCAATCTTAGCGCGGATTATGTAAGCGATCCCTCCTTTCGGGTAATAACTTCACCTCAACTTTCTTCACTTGCCAAGCTTTGAACCAAATCCCCCAAACCTTGCTTGAAAGACTGTATCTTTTCATGATGTACGATCGTACATGTCGTTTCCTGAAGTCGTCCTTCCGTCTTTCAAACGAGAGGTTCCCATCAAGGCCTCTCCCTCTCCACAATGCCGTACCTCCCATATGAAGAGCCGGGAATCACCACCATCCTCTCCTTGACTTCCTTTCTCCTGCTCCTAAATGGAGTTCGATACATCCTCGATCGCCTCCTCTACTGCGGCATCATTGGCGAAATCTTGATCGGAGTGATCTGGAGTCTCCCAGTTGGCGGAACTGCATGGCTCACAAAAGGAATGCAAGAAACCATCCAAGCACTGGGCTATCTTGGTCTCATTGGACTTGTATTTGAGGGCGGCCTTACCACGAATCTTGCTTTGCTGCGTAAAACTGCTTACATGTCGATTTCCGTTGCAACGATCGGTCTCTTAATGCCCATTGCTTTGTCATTCATCTTGCTTGTTTTGCCTTTCTCCAGCAGCTCTGGAGTTGCATATCCGAGTCCACTAGCAAGCTTTTCAGCGGGTGCTTCATTGTGTTCAACTTCTTTGGGGACAACATTTGCTATTCTGTCTTCTGCGGGTATGCAGCAAACGCGGGCTGGTATTGTGCTTGTGGGAGCTGCCATGATGGATGATGTTGTGGGGCTAGTCATGGTCAACATTGTCACTACTCTTGGAGAAGGAGGGGCAGGAGGTTGGCCGATCGCTAGACCTATCGTTGCGAGTTTTGGGCTATTGCTGGTCACTTTGGCTATTGCTCCATTCGTGCTGAGTCCCGTTTGGCGCTGGACGACAGCTCATGCGAGGTCTATCAGGGATCCCAACGCTGAAGAAACGACTGGACCTCTCCAACAAATTGTCAAACGGCTCATAAGCAGAATCCCGCAACTCAACTTTATTTTGGCGACTGCCGTCCTAATCATCTTTGTCACCATAGCAGCCTTTATCGATGCCTCCGTTCTGTTTGCTGCCTTCATCGCAGGTGGTGTGGTGAGCTTCCTTTGGGGCCGGAACCAAGACCAAGACGAGATAGTTCAACATGACGGCCCATCAATGATGTATGAGCAATACTTCAAGTCGGTAATGGATTTCATCCTGGTTCCATTCTTCTTTGTAAGTACGCTTTCCCATACTCTTTATCTTTGGAGGAAATTTTGCAGCCTCGGCTTCAAGCTTTCAATGGCAGTGCAAATGTGAAGCGAATTTTAGCAAACTCAACTTCAATGACCGCAAGAAATAGTCTGGCCATTTTGGATTCATTGTTTCTTGTCAATTTGGTATCCCTTTTTACGCGAGGTGGTGTGCAGATACGGAAACTTGTAGAGAATTCTGAAAATCCTCATTTGCGGCATAGTATGCTCCCTTTGTCTTTGCATTTAGGCGTCTTCATCTTTTGCATGCTCTTTGCCCTTGCTATGCATGTTATTGATCCTCATCAGAGGTGTTGTAGTGAAATGCTCTAGCCGAATTCAAAGCATTGACTGCTCCATTCCTTCTTGCTAACGACTTCATCGACAGGCTTCCATCGGCTTTTCCATCCCAATCACAGATATGTTTCAAGGTTCAATCGTTTGGAAAGGAATCGTATACTCGATCTTGATGGTAATCGCCAAAGGCCTTGTCAGTCTTGTGATATACTATGACTACTTCTCGAAGCGGCTACACACCAAAAAGAAGCCTATTATCGCCCGGATAACTCGACACATCCCTCTTCGTCTCATCTCGAGGCCGGACCTCGATGCCTCTCGAGTTGAAGCCGAAACAGAGCAGATTAGTTCCAGTCCACCCCACACAATAGCCTTGCTTGTCGGGTTTGCCATGATCGCAAGAGGAGAGATCGGATTTCTGATAGCTTCTTTATCTCAGAGCTCTGGGACATTGATCTTGAAGAATAAAGGTGGACCTGATACGCAAGGCTCTGGAGAAGAAATATTTCTGGTCATTGTTTGGGCCGTGGTTCTTTGTACTATTATTGGGCCAGTGGGAGTTGGAATTATGGTCAGACGGCTCAGACAATGGGATCCCGCAGCTTACAGGGACTGGCTTTGATAGCCATAATTCGGATCAGAGCCTGCAATTGCTCTGGTGGGACCAGAACTATGTGATATCAGTTGCCGGAGTTCAAGGGGAAAGGAAACGGGGTATCTTGTTGTCCCATGCGGAAGCAGAACAATGAGATGAAGCCTCAACACTTTAGACCGAGAGGAGGTAAATAAGGGCTATGGGTTCAATTGTCGGTCAGAACGGAGCAAAGAGATCAGACCAAAAGGGAGACATAGGACATCAGCACCAAGCAAAGACATCAGAGCGAAAGGGACGGAATCTGCAATTGTCCTATGCTGAATAAGCATAACAGCACCGGTGATTGGACTTCCATTTGATATGAACGACCCCTCCGCCCTCCCCATCGTACTCCAGACAATTACACCGCCACCTCCTCCCACGCACCTCGTGCAAACCTCACCAGCTCCAACACCTCCTTCCAGCCCCGCAACTGCCCCCCCGAGATGCTCCTCCATTGTCCACACAAATTTGTGTACCAAGTCCTCCAGCTCCCTAAGAATCTTGACAACGTCCCCTTTCACATGCTTCACCCGCCGCTTGTTGCAGCGTGCGAAGAGCCGGGCTTTGGTGGCGACAGCTTCAATGGACTGGTGCAGATAAGAAGACTAGTACTTTTCGTTAGTCGAGTTCCTTTGGTCTGGAGATCGGCACGAAGGTGGGAGATATAGGAACGAAGGACACACGAAGGAAGTTATCGTGATGAAAATAGGACCGAAACAAAGGAATTTAGTGTTGTGAAAATAGGAGTGCAATGAAGGAACTTATCGTATTGTTTCGCTCCCAACTATCAGAGCGAAACAAAGTAAGTTATTGTGTGAAAAGATCAGATGACGCTCAAATGAGAAGTTCTTGTCATCTCAAGTGAACAAGAATATCAGATAACGCTCAAATGAGAAGTTCATATCATCTCAATTGAACAAGAACATCAGATAACACTGAAACGATAATTTGTTGTCATCTGAAGTTAACAGAAGATCGGATGACACCCAACAGCTTTCGAGGTAGTAACGTAAGTGCTCGATGAGCGTTAATAACGGAAACGGTTCCGGTTCAAACTTCTTTTTCCTCGATTGGCGCTTTGTATATGCCTTCACAACTACTTTCGCATAAGCTAGGTATTATGAACATAAAGAACCATGCGCAATCAATTTGTTTTGTGCTTTGTTTATTGTGATTTGTGAAGGTGCCATAGAGCATAGGTGGAACTTTCGGAGTTGGGAGGGCCTCTGCTGCTGGAAGTGAAGGTGAGGCAGCCGTCGGATTTGTTGCTCGAGTTTGCCCCCTCGTGACTAAAAGAACCCCAATGATTAGTTTGTGTCAATTCGAGCTCAGTTGGAGGGTTACCAGTACTTTTGCGAGCTGGAAACAGACAGTATGGTTTGAGATGATCCAATTTGAGCGAAATGTCTTGTACCAAGCTGCTCGCTCGTCCTGTTGTCTGTGGTAGTCCTGCCCAATCACCGTCCTTGTTTTTCAGGGAGGAAAGTTTGTAGCATTTGCGTCGTTTCCTGTAGCTACTGGGCAAGACTAAATACTCCTTAGCGTGAAAGTTAAGCGAGATAAGTGCCTGAGGCTTAAGCGAAGTTCTCCCCTTCACAACGTCCATAAATAAGGTACCTCTCATATGCGAGAGGAACAAGAAGTTTGAAAGCACTGCCGAGGTAGATGAAGTACTCAGGCAACAATGGTTCAAACATCAAGTGTATAAGAAGAAATGGCACGATTGGAGAGAAGAATATCTCAGTGACTCCCTCCCTATCTGAACTAGGCAGGGACATGAGAGCGAAGCCAAATGACGATTTCTTATCATCTGAAGTCACAGAAAAATATAGGGACGAAACAAGTAGTATCGCTGCTAAGATCAGATCAAAACTGACGCCAATCCGCCAGATATCAGAGATAAAGGGAGACAGAACAAGCAATTATCCCATGCGGAAGCAAGAACAACCAGCTTAAAGCTGTCCCAGTTCTCAAGAGTCCAGACTGAAAGAAAAAAGACCAGAGCGAAACTGACGCCGCTCTATTAGGATATCAGATAATGACTTGTTATTATCTGAACAGAGCAGAAATATCGGAACGAAGCTAGCGTGCTTCTCTCAATAGATAGGAGCGAAGGGAAGAAGATCAGAGCGAAGCTGACGCTGGTCTGCCAGATATCAGATAAAAGACAGTGGTCCTTACAGAGTTGCAGGCGGCTTCGAGCCGATCTGAGGCGACACCGTCTAGGTATCCGATAACGGTGGTAGAGGTAGCAAACTCAATAACATGGACGAAGAGGTTATTCAGATGATAGAGGTCTAGTAGTAACTTGGGTGGATTTCCAAGGCCGCGGCGTGCGAGGTAGGCGACCGTGGACATGTCTATGTCGTGGGTAATCGATCTGACTGTCTCTTCTGCGTGCGAGGCGATTTCGGCAATGTGTGATAGTACTGGACCGGCGACGTCCATGGCGATAGGAGCGGGAGTGGGAGTAGAAGAGGGAGCGGCGACGGGAAGGTGGTATTGCTCCGCCTTGGGCGGGCACTTGTTGTGGTGGAGGAAGAGGTGATGATGACGCGGTCTCTTCAGACTCGGCCATAGTAGAGCTGAAGTCGTTGTCCTCGGAGTTGTGGGACAATGGGGATAATTGTTTATGCAAGGCTTGAGACATAAACTGTCGCTGTGGTGTGTGTGCGGTGTTCGTGGTCGTGGTGGAGCTTGGATGTTCAAGAGTTGTCAAGTACAGTCGAAGTTTTTGATATTTCGATAAGGGGGTGACGTCCTTTCAACAAAAGGCTACCCGGGCATATTCACTCTTGGTGTTTTGAGGTTCTGGATATTCAATTTTCAGGAGTTCCCTGGAACGTTTGTGGACCACCACTTCATTCTTTCACACCAAAGTTGAACATTGTGGGGAGGCATACGGAGCTGTACACACACTTGTCGACCTTCCGAGTCCTTCGAGATGTTGGATTCTTATTGTTCAGGAGTTGCCTGGAACCTTTATGGGCCGCAAACTATCAATATTCGGGACTATGCTGGAGCATGTGTGAAGCACCGGCTCTCGATGTTCAGCGGCTCGTTTGAATATTTGCGGACCGCCAGCTTTCAATGCCCCACATGCAAGTTGCACATTTCCCAAATCCGGAGGGCCTGTATCATCGAAGACTTCGCGGTGTCGAATTCTCAATGTCCAGGAATTTGGTGGAAGATTTGTGAAATACCAGCTTCCAATGTCCTCCAACGAAGCTGGACATTGTGGCAAGGCGGAAGAAGTTGTATTCTTGAAGCCAAGCTCAGCTGGTTGTCTCGATCAGACTAGGACATTGGGTAGAGCTTCTGCAGTTGTTCGCGGATATGTTGCTACTTTGTTGCTTAAATGTTTCGAGGTCACCGAGCAGGACCAAGTCAGGAGGGGCTTCGTTTAGGAAAACGGAGCGGGACTGTCACTGTCATCGCTTTTCAACCATTTGAGTCTTCAAAGTTTTGGATTCTCGATGCCCAGAAGGTTGCTAGAATATTTCGATCCGCTCGTTGTCAATGACCCACAAACAGCTGGACATTGTGGGTTGGTCTTCGAAACCAAGCCCAGCTTGTTGTCTGCATCCTTCTGGAACATTTGGGTGGAGTGTCTCCTATTTTAGTTGCTCGAGAATAGGATGGTACTTCGATCCTTAGAAGATCGGAGGTCTCCAGGTAAAACCAAAGGAGAGAGCTTCTGCTGACAATATTATGCTGTAATGGAAGGTGAAGATGGACTTGATGAGCTGCTCAGGAGTATCGAAGTGAAGGTGAAAGGCAGTAAGGTCCTGCCATAGCCCTATTTGATTCGCAACTCAGATGTTCAGTGGCTGTCATGTACAAGTAATCAGAGAGACCCTTTTTACTCGCCGCTTCGATGTTTGCAGATGGTCAGGTGCCAACAAGTAGTAGGAATCTTTTGGTGGGGGGGCTTCATCGCCACTTGTCAACACTTCGAGTCTTCGAAGCCCTGGAATCTCGATATTCAATGCTTTGCTGGAATATTTCTGAACTATGACTATTAATTTTTCAGTATGAAGCGAGAGGTTATAATCTCTGTCGGGAGATGGAATCAACGAGCAATGCCCTTGGAATTTGCCAAGCTGGAGCCGAGCTCCATATCTGAACAGTATGGGGACTTTGTGACAGAGTTTCTGGAGTTTTTGAGTTGCTCGAAAAACCCAACGAGGTAGGCAAGCTGGCAGAGCTAGGAATGAAGGCCAGCAACCTTTTTAATAGGAATGAGAGCAGGTCACAATTCGAGCAGACTTATCTGTTGAAACTATAGGGTCTTCGTTTGCGGCTACGATATATCTGCTGGTGCGCTGCTTATCCGCATCAGTAGGGGTTATCGATCACGGGCCTCCCTTTTTCAACTACAGGCTTCTTCTCTAAAGGTGCAGGCCAGGGGCGAGGAGATTTACATTGTACAGTACATGTTCGGATTTGGAAGGCAGCTGGAGGGACATGTGAGTAGGGATGGGCTAAATTTAATGATTTAATTAAATAATAATGGTCTAGCCATTATTTATTAATAATGGTCAAGCCAAATATTATATGCAGAATTTTATACTACTTTTGTACTAGAATTATACCAGGCTAGTACAAATATAGGACAATTCTAAAAGAAATTCTCGAGTTATGTAAAAAATCCCAAGTATCATTCAAGTTTCGGGCTTACCTATTTAGGAAGCCCTTGTGCCACTGGCCCACTTTAATATAATGCTTAGTGGTCAATATACCGTTATATTTAATTATATAATAATGGTCAAGCTAAATCCTTCATTAAGCCATCCCTACATGATGTGAGGGATGCGGAAAATCGCGCATCGAGGCCTTTTCGCTCAGATTAATCTTCTCCGTTCGTTCCGCGTCTCCTTCCGCAGCTGCCGGCCTAGCCACTCAAGTTTCAACCCATCAATTCGTCTGCAAAGCCCCCGAGCAACATCGAAGAAGACAAGCTTCGTGGAGTACAATAGAAGGCGAATTGGGTGTCGCTGGTTTTTTAGTTAATTATTTTTAGGCTTTAGCGAGGTCCATTTCTAGCCACTTGTGGCTGTGCGGTAACCGAATTCCAAGGTCAATGCACACCCCAAGCGAATACACACCCCAAATTTTCAGCCCATCCCGAGCTTAATTAATTAATTATTAAAGAACCACGCAATCAATTGATCTAAAATTAAAGATATAAAGTAATTGAACTAGGCTCATTGAGTTGGCCAATTAGGATTTTTTATTTTCTAAGGCGTTGTGGTAGAATAATCTCCCTTCCTGATCGGGATGTCTGCACTACCCCCATAGCTTCAAAATCATCCTCTTCTATAATTACCCCCTCCTGAGCCCCTAAATTCGATAAAATCGAAGACCCTACCCTCAATATTACTATACGAGATGGTTTGGCTTTCTTAGCAGCATTTCTAGCTGCCGTAGCTACCTTTCTTGCTGCTGCTCTTTCCAAAACCTCCAATTTATGCTTCTTTCTCTTTACTCTATCGTCAATATCTTTTTGCTTTGCCTTCCTTAGCTTCTCTACTTCTTTCTCTTGCTTTTCCAAGGCATCTTTAATAGCCTTAGCAATCTTTGCATCTTCCTTTGCCTTTTGCTTGTCCAATTTATCTTATTCTGCCTTCGTAACCTTCGTGTTCTCAAATGCTATTGCAGCTAGTAGTTCAGCTGTTCCAAAGAACTGGGCCTTTCCTGCAGGCTCTCTTGTCAAATTGAGCTTTTTCCCTCGATGTCTTTTCTTCTTTTCAAGCTATAAAGCTTCTTTCAAACCCTCTGTACAGTGCTCTGCAAGAGAAGCCTTTGCTGCATTCGACTCGTTCGCTTTAGTAAGCTTGCGAAAAGCTGCCTTGGATAGGTTCTTTGCGTATATTTTCGAGAATTGCCGTATGCGTTTTGCAGTATAAGGAGTCGCAATTGCGTCAGGAGAAACTTCAGGAGGGGTTTGTAGTCTTAGTAGAGCGATGGCTAATAAAATAATTAATGGTTGGTAAGGCTATATACCTGTCTTACTCCAAGCGGATAAAATATTCGACTCAGATATACTTTTATCCCAAGCAGGCTTGAAAACAGACCAAAATATTCTTTTTATTAAAGAAGAAATGCCCTTACTAGCGTCCAAAAGGTTATTGATCTCGGTAGAATAGCAGGTAGAAAGTAGTAAAAAATAGCCTATATCGAGAGGTTAAAGATGGTATATTAAATACGGGGGTAAAATAAGAAGCAGAATTTCAAGGCGATTACATGTTCGTATAAACTCCATATTAATGTGGCTAGAGTGTCCATCCATAATTAAAAGCCTCCTTCCACGTCCTGCTTTTGTACGGGTAGCAGGATCAAAAACCTAGGTAAGATATATCAAATTAAGGGTATTGGACGACTATCTATTCGTACTAGACATAAACCAGGCATGTTCCCTCTCTTTTAAATCGTCTAACCAAGTATCCTAAAGGTCTCCAGAAACTCCTTTATAAATAAGAGCTAGTGGGATCTTTATACCATCCGCATAAATGGAAGCAAGCAAGCTAATAACTTCTTATAAGCTATCCTGCTTTGCGGCTATAATTTTCCCACTATTATATACTTGTTTCATTATTATACGCTTTATTATATATATAATTCTAATCAAAAAACCCTTCTCGTCCTAATTATATATATTTTCTGCTATAATATTGTAATTCTCGATCGCTTTAATTAACTAAGTGGGGGGGGGGAGGGATATTAGCCATTTTATTCATAAAATAAGCAAGAAATGGATAAAATACTAAAAGTAAATGCTACCAAATTAAAAAAGAACTGAATATAGGGCCTATATTCCGATTTTATTTGTAAATTATCGATATTACGCAAATAAAGGCTCTTGAGACGTGAGGAGTGGCGTTGGACGAAACCAGCTGTCCAGTTCTTGTTTATATTGTATCCAATAATCTCCTCTGCAAGGTTTTTAATAATCTGTAAGGTAGAAGGAAGCCTACAGACTATAAGCTTATTAATTTGATTAATAAGAGCCTCTTCTTGCATATTAGTAAGGAGTTTATAGTATAGAGAGTTCGCTTCCTGTGACGGCTGGTGTCACATGGTTGATACGGACGTAGTTTTAGCCAAAGGGGTTGGTTTCAGCTAAGGTTCCAAGCTATGGTTCAAACCAAGCTCGCTTCCAAAGCTCGGCGTTTCAGTGGTCTTGGCCATACCTACTTATCCACTGCCACACCTCACTCCTTCTCTCCTTAGCTTTAGATTCTGTAGGACATTGGAATCATAGATCTTTGCGCATCGTTCCATTGCTTTGTTCCTGCCGTCACACTTCCTATCTGGAGGCATATATGCCTTAATACCTTCGTATAAGGGTTATACGCTCAATACTAAAATCCCTAGCAACTTGGCTATAATTAGGTATTAATTACGCATTCAGCGCATTAATCGCCTTCTCAATATCTTGTTCGCTGACCATTTTATCGAATTTTGAAGATGGTGGGGTAATTTTTGGGAGGGTGTGCATTCAGTGTGGGTGTGCATTGACCTTGGATCTCGGTTACCGCTGCTAATTGTCAGCTACACGTGCCAACAAACTCGGCTGACCAAGGTAGATTCTGGCTTCTTAATTATCCACTTTGTGCTTTGCGCTCGCAGGCAGCTTCCTGATTGTACCATCCACTCCCAAAATCCAAAAACTCGGCTTTGTCACAAATTTGCCTTTAATCTCCATGGCAAGCCCAGGCTCAGACGTCCTTGAACAGACCTCTGCGATACAAGTCAATGCAGGATTAGAGAGTTATTATCGTTACCACCTTCAAGAATGGAAAGACTTGGCCGGGTGGCGCCAAGATAATGAGTACATTACGTCTGGGTACCGCACTCTTTCCGGGTCTTTTCGGAAATGTCTAGGAAGTCTGAAACATATACATAACGAGACCGTAAATGTCTATTCCCACCTTCTTGGCGGGTTCTCTTCTTAGGCCGTTTCTTTTATGTATTATGGAAAATCAGTCGACACTATACCATCACCCGGCGCGTGGACTATATTGTATTTGCGGCATTCTCTGCGTCTTCTTCGCACCCACTGTATGACAAGTACAAGAGCCCAGCATCGCCATCACGGACGCATCGATTTGGCTGCAATTGATGTGCTCGTTAAAAGCTGCGATGAATTTTCGATATTGATCTCCCTTAATATATGCGAAATAGCTGCACGAATCTCTTCGATTCCCGTTCTTCCCGCATAGCTTCACCGTCCATGATCCCATGCACGTAGCATTCGCCAAGAAATTCATACGTTGTTGGAGTCGATACCGGCCTGGGACGTAGCAGGACAGGTACAGAGCAGCCAAACAATATACAGATCATATCTCCTGTCTGCGCCTCGGCCGAAGTTAAGCCAAATCGATTGGTAGCCGTTGTCCTGAATAAAGCACGATTCCAGACCACACTTTGTACCCGTTCGAGGAACTCCGCGACTACAGAATGGGTTCGTGTTTTGAGGAGCAGTTCGTTCACGTTTAGGTGCCCACCGTACGATTGGCCGAGGCAAGAGAGGTAGGCGCGTGGGTAATAAGAGGGAGGAAGTGTTCCATCTAGGCGGCGATTTGCCACTAGTGTGCGCCAGAAGGCTTCATCAATAGATGCCATTGAGAGAGAGTCGCCTTTTGGTAAACCACCTAGTTGTAGCCATCGTCGTGGAATGATGCCCTGAATTGCGTGAGCCGCAACTGTATCGACTCGATCGTAGCAGAAACCGCCTGCATACATTACTTCACTGTTGTCTACTTTCGTTCCTGGATCATATTGCCCTTCGGTTTCCTCAGCATAATTACTACCTGTACCAAGCAGCTCAGGGGCAACTTCGAGGCTAAAATTTGTTAAGCTTACGGAGCAAGATTCCAGAAGTCGTTCCACAAGGGCAGGTGATAGGACTCGATTAAACGACACAGCAGGTAGTGTTGAATCAGCTGCATTGTAAACTCTCGTTCCTGGCTCGCCGACAAGGCTATCCGCGTTGATACGCGCAAAAAAATTGTCTGAGCGCTGGGTGAATTCGGATTTGTCAACTGACTGTATCCATGATGGTAGTTCGAGAGGATGCATAGAAACCGGTGCCCAAGGACGACATATTATGTCTAGCGACTCGGAGGAATTGACAGCGAACGCAACGAAATTCCGGAACAGCGGGACAACAGATATGCCATAATCAATGGCAAGTGCCTGATGCCCATTCCCGATCACTATCGAAGGCGTGCTAGGCCTGGAAGCTCCGTCGGCAATATCCTTTGCCATGGGCATCAAGGAATAGATTATATCTCGCTCATCGGTGGCATTGAGATGCCTGAGAGCAATAACGAGCGCTTCAAGTGATTTCTGACCTTCCGAATGCTTACCACTTGTATCTTTGTTCTGGAAAGCGTTGGAGACCGTGTTTACGACGCAGCATGCGGGTAAGGCTTTCACAATACCAACAGCTTCAGAGTCGTTGTTGAAGTCAGCCGACCTTTTGAATAACTCTTTGATATCGTTGAAACTCTGCTGAAACAAAGTCACCGCATCTTCGAAATCCCGCCAACCCAGCGTCATTGATCCGCAGTGCAGGGTCGCCGTCCTTGCAAATGCGACGTCGCTGACAACCCATCGACGGGTAAACCATTTATTTCTCATGACCTGTGAGAGGGCGTACCATTGTTGGACCGCATTGCCATCGGCGGCCAAAAGGTTTTCAAAAGTTGCACCAAGAAGCTTGGGAACGAATTCGAAGGCTGTAGAGGTTGACTCGGTAGCCTCACCCAACCAGACACATACGTTCTTCGCAGCCTGGTATATCGATGGCATTCTGGAAAATTGTTGCGCCTTTTCCACGTCGTCCGCTTGATTGATGCAGACAACATCAATCCATAGGTCGCGATAATTCTTGTCTTCGTCCCCAGATTGGGTGTAGCTGCGTTTGGGACCAAGGCGAAGATGCTTGAGAGCTGAGCAAGGGTTTGGCCGTATATGAAATTTCCAGTGCTTTCTGTTCCTACCACTCTCCAGCCCCAATTCGTGAGTGGTCATTAGGGTGATGGTTTCTGTAGACATATCGTTGCCCCAAACGTACGATAATGCTTCATACCCAGTTGCTGCCGCCTCCTCAAACGTCATCACGATGAGCTCGCACTCAATAGGGTCGTCAAATGAGCCTGGGGCTAGACGAAGGATTCTGATTTCATCCATATGGATCTGAGTATACTCGAACAACACGGTATCCCCTTTGGGCTTATTTGGGCCTCTGGTATTTCTGTTGATTTGGGGCTCTGTACAAGTCAGATTCAAACGTATACAGCGGTCACATCTCTGCTGCAACTCGGAGTAGCCCACTGGTGAGCACTTTTTTGTGTCAGCTAATATATCCCCTGGAATGATTTCGCGCTTTTGTACCCACCCTCTTTTTCGCAGCCCGGCAAAAATCACATATTGGCCTCCCAAGCATTCGCCGTTTGTCAGGATCATTATCAGAGGCCGAGTCGACAGTGGTATATCTGGAGGGAATTCCAACATGTCGGAGAGAGGGGTCAATAGCCGAATCTCCAGAAGGGACAGCGGAAGCAGTGAGAATTTCCCAAGATGGGCCGTGGTTGTCCATTTTGCTTGCGATGAAAAGTGCGTGCGCCAGCGCAAGAAAAGGTGCGGACTGACTGTATGTTACCCGACATATTACCTTAGGCACACAGCCATTATCCAAGAGGAGTTTAGCCCCGCTCGGATAAAGGTACTTCCGCTTCCGACAGATCACGTTTTGCTTACACTCCTCTTGCATTTGGTCGAGGACCTTACCGATTAGGTATAGTCAGGTCAGGTGCCTCGGCACGACCATAATGGCCTGCGTGCCTGAGGTAACCGACATATAAGGAAGTGTATACGGACGTGACACAGAAAGCACTCTGAAACTGTCTCGCTTTCAGATGCGATACTTTGGTATAGCTTGGCATCCCTCACTCCCTGTATGCTCGCTAACCTCGATAGCTGGGACTGATCTTCTGAGCAGACTAGCGAGTTGCGGTGCTCGTCTCTTCACCTAGGCTGCCGCGTTACAGCCTCAAGACCCGATTACCGCCGCATGCGCCTGTCGAAACTCCCTGCAAAGCAATGCGTCTTTTGCATCGCAGCGACACTGGCGAGTATAGCCTCACCAAGGACTTAGTAGGCGATGACACAATCCCTCCCTATGCGATTCTTTCGCATACTTGGAGGGAGGGCGAGGAGGTCACCTTCAAAGATCTCATGGATGGTACCGGACAAAGTAAGACTGGCTATGATAAGATCCGGTTTTGCGGACAACAGGCCGAATATGATGGCTTGCAATACTTTTGGGTGGACGCCTGCTGTATCGATAAATTAAACCATGTCGAACTTCAGGAGGCTATCAATTCCATGTTTCGCTGGTACCAGAAGGCAACCAAATGCTACGTTTATTTGTTAGACGTTTCGACAACTAAGCGGAGAGCAAACGATGAATGTCTCGAATATACTTGGGAGCCAGCTTTTCGGGAAAGCCGATGGTTTACCCGGGGCTGGACCCTTCAAGAGCTTCTCGCCCCGCGCTCCGTCGAATTCTTCTCTCGAGAAGGCAAGCAACTAGGTGACAAGACAGCTCTAGAGCAAAAGATTCACGAAATTACGGGTATTGCTACCCTAGCCCTTCAAGGAACCCCTCTATGTGAGTTTAGCGTCGAGGAACGATTATCGTGGGCGAAAAGCCGCCAGACAACGCGCAAAGAAGACAGGGCGTACTCGTTGCTGGGTATATTCGACATCCATATTTCGCTCATCTATGGCGAAGGGGAAGAGCACGCGTTCAAACGGCTCCGGAAGGAGATCGACCAGCCTTCAAACGATCTTCGACCGCAACAGGCCTCCACTCAAGCGGAGAAAAAAGACCAGGAATGCCTCCAACACCTACGCCTCACCGATCCCCGTGATGACAAGAAGCGCATCGAGGAAACCAAGGGCGGGCTGCTGAAAGACTCGTACGGCTGGATTTTCGAAAACTCTGACTTCCAACGATGGCATATCGACCAGCAGAGCCGACTGCTATGGATTAAGGGTGACCCCGGCAAGGGTAAGACGATGCTGCTCTGCGGCATAGTTAATGAGCTGGAGAAGTCAGTAGCCAAGATACATCAGCTGTCCTACTTCTTCTGCCAGGCCACGGACTCGCGAATCAATAACGCCACAGCCGTGCTACGAGGTCTGGTATACTTGCTCATCGATCAGCAACCATCGCTCGTCTCGCATATTCGGAAGAAGTACGATCACGCAGGCAAAGCCCTCTTTGAGGACGCAAATGCCTGGGTTGCGCTATCTGAGATCTTCACAAACATCTTACAAGACCCGAACTTGAATAGCACGTACTTAATCATCGATGCGCTTGACGAATGCGTAGTAGACTTACCAAAACTGTTAGACTTTATCGCCGAGCGGTTGTCAGTATCTTCTCACGTCAAGTGGATCGTCTCTAGCCGTAACTGGCCTGACATCGAGGAATGTCTAGAGAGGGCGGGACATAAGGTGAGGCTATGCCTCGAGCTTAATGAAGAGTCTATTTCTACGGCGGTCAGCATATTCATCCAGCATAAAGTGCTTCAGCTGGCAAAAAGAAAGAAGTACAACCAGAAAACGCGAGACGCGGTGTTAGACCATCTATCCTTACATGCGAACAACACCTTCCTCTGGGTGGCATTAGTTTGTCAAAACCTGGAAAAGATCCCACGGTGGAACACCATTGCGAGCCTAAACGTATTTCCACCTGGACTTGACTCTCTTTACGAGCGGATGATGCAGCAAATATGTAATTCAGGCAATGCTGATCTGTGCAAGCGGATACTAGCCTCGATCGCGATCGTATACCAGCCCATCACACTAAAAGAGCTAACATCTCTTGTCGAGATGCTCGAAGACATGGTCGATGATCTAGAGTCGTTACGGGAGATTATTAGCCTTTGTGGCTCGTTCCTTACTATCCAAGAAGACACTATCTACTTTATACATCAGTCTACGAAGGACTTTTTACGCACAAAAGCATTCGACGAAGTCTTTCCATCTGGAAGGGAAGAGGCTCACTACCTAATCTTCTCAAGGTCGCTCCAGGTTATGTACAAGACGCTACGACGGGACATGTACAGCCTGCGTGCGCTAGGATACCCTATTGAGCGGGTCGAACAACCAGATCTAGACCCGCTAGGGGCGTCACGCTACTCATGTACCTACTGGGTTGATCACCTTTGTGACTGGAATCCCAACTCTTCTGCAAATCACCCGGTCGTCCTGCAGGACGGAGGCGATATTGATACGTTCCTGAGAAAGAAATACCTCTACTGGCTAGAAGCTCTTAGCCTTTGCAAGAGCATGTCGGAGGGAGTAGTGTCAATGGCGAAACTTGAGGATTTAACACATGTAACACCTGGACAAGATGTGCTATCTAGACTACATACTAACATAACCTAGGGAAGAGCAAATGCATCCGCATTAATCAAACTAGTTCGAGATGCGCGTCGATTTATTATGTATCACAAGTGGGCAATAGAGAACAGTCCTCTTCAGGCATATACGTCCGCGCTCGTGTTCAGTCCAGCTCACAGCCTGATAAGGGGTCTTTTCAAGGAGGAAGGGCCAAAGTGGATCACGATACAACCGGCCATAAGAGATGAATGGGGCGCGTGCCTGCAGACGCTCGAGGGCCATAGCCGTTCGGTTAACTCGGTCGCCTTTTCTCACGACTCGGCACGGCTAGCTTCAGCATCAAGCGACAATACAATCAAGATTTGGGATGCAAGTAGTGGCGCGTGCTTGCGGACTCTTAAGGGCCACAGCGGTAGCGGTTCAGTCAGCTCGGTTGCCTTCTCCCACGACTCGGCACAGCTAGCGTCAGCGTCAGACAATACGGTCAAGATCTGGGATGCAAGCAGTGGCGTGTGCTTGCGGACTCTTAAGGGCCACAGCGGTAGCGGTTCAGTCAACTCGGTGACGTTCTCCCACGACTCGGCACAGCTATCGTCAGCGTCAGACAACACAGTCAAGGTCTGGGATTCAAGTAGTGGCGCGTGCTTGCAAACGCTCGAGGGCAGCGGTTCGGTTAGCTCAATCGCCTTCTCCCACGACTCGGCACGGCTAGCATCAGCGTCAGACAACACAGTCAAGATCTGGGATGCAAGCAATGGCATGTGTTTGCAAACGCTCGAGGGCCATAGCGATCAAGTTAACTCAGTCGCCTTCTCTCACAACTCGGCGCGGCTAGCGTCAGCGTCAAGCGACAACTCGGTCAAGATCTGGAATGCGAGTAATAGCACGTGCCTGCGAACACTCGCGGGCCATAGCGGTTCAGTCAGCTCGGTCGCCTTCTCCCACGACTCAGCACGGCTAGCGTCAGCGTCATACGATAGAACAGTCAAGATCTGGGATGTGGGCAATGGCGTATGCCTACAAACTCTCGAGGGCCATAGTCGTTCGGTTAGTTTAGTTGCTTTTTCTCACGACTCGATACGGCTAGCGTCAGCTTCATACGATAGGACAGTCAAGATCTGGGATATGGGCAATATTGCGTTCTTGCAACCGCTTAAGGGCCATAGCCGTTCAGTTAGCTCGGTCGCCTTCTCTCATAACTTGCTACGGCTAGCGTCGGCGTCATATGATAAGACGGTCAAGATTTGGGATACGGGCAGTGGTGTGTGCCTGCAAACGCTCGAGGGCCATAGCGATCGGGTTAGCTCAGTCGCCTTCTCTTATGACTCGGCACAGCTGGCATCGGCATCATACGATAAGACGGTCAAGATTTGGGATACGGGCAGCGGCGCGTGCCTGCAGACGCTCGAGACTGGCCAGACAATCTTTAGCATATCATTCGATATTACTAGCTCGTGTCTTCACACTGACATTGGTATTATCGCCATTGATGCATCGTCAACGTCAAATATGACACTAAGTGTAACGCATCCTCAAAATCCTCGATATCAAGGCGTGGCTTTGAGTTCAGATGGAGCATGGATAACATACAATTCAGAGAAGCTAGTTTGGCTACCCTCAGAGTATCGGCCGTCGTCTTCGGCCGTGATAGGGAAGACAATCGGCATTGGCGTCGGATCTGGAAGGGTATGGATATGCAACGTTGAGCTTAACAACTCTTTAGAACTTTGATTGTTTATATATAGGTAAGTAACTTATTTTATTTTATATCTCTATTTCAAAAAAGGGATCTGGGGGCAAGTTTTTATACATAGTTAGAAAATTTGGCTCGACGAAGCTTCTAGCCACGTCTAAATCAATGATAAGCTGGTTAGTGATAGAATTGCCTTGAACAAGATTTGGCACGCTTAGGTTTTATCAGAAACTGACGAACGTCTTTGGTCACGCTAGCAGGGAGGACGGGCCGACCCGCTCCGGCGACGGAGTTGACCCTATGGTGGATGAACGGAAAAACTTTTGGATTGTTGAAAGAGTAGGATATTCATCTCAGACATTCTTTTGATCGAATCCCGGGCCTTAGCCAGTTCCCGCTGTAAGGCAGCCCGTGCGGCCCACTCAACGTCGCGCCGGAGCCCCGATGGCGACCTTAACACCTGACTCAGGATGAACTACCACCATTCCCTACTGCACGTGTTTCCGTCTCTCCCGAACTTGCGGGGGGAAGCACCGAGCTAGGAGAATTAGCGGAGCTTATTGCGAAGGAGACTGCAACGCAGCAGAGTGGCATTATCGCAAGCCAGAACAGCATCATCGAGAGCGTCAGAACCGACCTCACAGTAATCAAGGCGGAGCAACAGTACCTCAAGAACCAAAACGTCGAACTCCAGGGGACCATCGGGTCGCTCCGATCTCAGCTCGACGTCCTCTCGCTATCTCCCCCGTCGACATAGACATGGGCGTCGGTTGCGGCCAGCGGTGGCCCGGCAGGATCAGGGACGACGCTTTCGCGAACAACAAGCAGCTCGAAGACGGACAAGGAACACAATTGGCAGCTGGTTATTGACGTCAGCCGGGTTGGAAAAGGGACAGCCTAAGGACAACTTACGCAAAATTTCTGTCTGAAGACACTAAGGAACAGCGCATGTTCAGGAGCTTTAACTATGTAAAGTATACTAACTCAAGGAACATGAGAAACTTCCAATTTCTACTGCAGGCCTAACCAAAAAGTTCGCGAATCGCGTAGGAGACACAACGGCAACAGACGATGATGACTTTATCATTTTCTTCTCGTACCGCTGATGTCGACAACTTGAAGCTGATAAAGGAGAAGCTGGACAGACCAAAGATTGACTTCTTGGTGAGGCAGAGCAAGCTGCTCGGAAGAGACAATGCGTAAGATGAGCACCAGGTGTGGTCCTAGTATCATCAATATGCGAGCCGGTGCTCAATAGCGGAGACAGGACTTTGCGTGAAGCGCCATTGAACGGAAATTGACTTATTCACAAAGAGCATAGCATGTGAGAACGACAGCGACTATGCAACATTTCTCGGGAGAGAATCGAGTCATTGTGATTGCAACGAGATTTCTATGGAATTTCATGACATTTTGAGACAAGATAAATATTAGCGTTACTCTTGCATACCATGCGTAAGGTATATACCACGCTACCTCCCTGATTCTGCGCTCACCGCTATGCTGCCGATGGCTGTCCACGAATGAGTGCTTCGGTCTCAGTATCTCCGTTTTGAACCGCATAGTCCAATGCCTTGTAGCCTGACTCATCCACCAGGTCTAAGTCAGCCTCTACTTCAATGAGCTTCTTGATGTATTCACGGTGCTGCTGCGAGGGCTCCCTAGCGAACGCTTGCGCAGGTGTGCAACCCTTAGGAGGATTGAAATACTGCAATGCATCTTCTCGTCGCCCAGCCTGCAGCAGTCCTAAACCACGGAAGAATCTGTAATAGCCCATCACAGTAGCATTTTCATCGTCCCCTTCAAGCGTGACTCCTTGCGCTTGCTCCCAATTTCGAGTTGCGCCCACCGTTTGTGCTAGGGCTTGGGGCGTGATACCATCCGCATCTCGTGGTTGTGCCCACTCACTACCATCCTTCGGGCCGAGAACAGCAGTGTTGTCGACGTAGCCGCGGTGCGCATCGAAGACGAAAAACGTTGCATGCACTCTGCTACCTGACACAATTGATCGGTGGTACGCGCCCGCCGGAACGCTGTAAGTCATGTCACGCGAATGCGGTTCGCGGCTGCCCGGAGTAACTCTTACGAGTCTTCCCGTGTTTCTTATGGTTGAGCTCATTCGGAGATATCCCGACCCACCCAGCTTGCCATCTTCGGCGACATAGCAACATCCATAAGTTGCATGAGTGGTCAAAGAGGGATCATCAGGGCTGTCGACTTTGAAGTTGCAGTTTGTGCCATGTCCCAGTAATGTCCAACTTTGTGCAAATGGCTGGTGGGCATGAATGCAAACTTCAAACTCGCCCCGCCGCCCATCAGGCAGCCATGTATGCAACCGCCATAGTTCCTCAATGCGGCCATCTTTAAGCAGACTGCATAGCGGGACAGCCAGAAATCCCTGAGCACTGCGGCAAACAAGGAGCTGAAGCTTAGTTCCTTGCGCACTGATGATAGCTTTGTGGATCAGACTCCAGATTGTATCGAGGCTCGCTGTGTCAACATCCAGCCCGCGCCGTGCCTTCTCTCGCAGTAACGCAACAGCCAGAGTAATTTGGGCGAGCTGCTGGACACCTTCTTTGTTGTTCTCGGAACTGGAAGCAATGGCCGCACGCCATTCGCCAAAGGGGAGAGCGAGATCAAGGGTCGTTTTGGCATCGGTCGGTGGTGTACCTAGAGGCGGATTGCTGCCTTTAGTGACTCCGTAGTGTCGTAGCCACTGGGCTAATGGTTGAACATATCCATCAGGTGCGTTGGTAGCAACTGCAACACCTTCGAGCACACGCAAAAGCGATGCTGCCGCAATGCTCGTCTCATCGTTGGCAATGTTGGCCGTCCATAACTTACCGTCCGAAGAAGGCATGGTGCCGTTTGTCTCAAGGATTTCCGTTTGTCATATACCGATAAGGTAGTAACGGGTCGTAGGAACGAGCAAAGGATGTCCAAGAAGAAGTTATCCGGGATTGTAGGTTGTCCAGCTGGCGGTTCACATAGGGCGGAGAGGGCCGCTACCTTGAGTTAGCTTCCCCGCCGTCTCCTCCGGCTCGCCCCACCTCCAAGTTGTCTTTGTTTGGATTCGTGAGGGTCGTGAGTGGTTCGGCGAGAACCGGGCTATGTACGGGCTGATTTAGCGACGCTACTGCATCTATTATTTTATCGCAATCGCAAAATGAGAATTATGAATCGAGATTTTTTTTAAAGCCATATTTTATATGGAAAACATACCTAATAATGGCCAAATACGTAATTCCCATGTATTATAGTCGAATGCGCCTAGTACTATTACTCTATTCTCGCTTTTTTGAACTGCCCCCGATTATCCTTATATCTTGACCTATTCCCCGGCCTATAATTACTATCCCCTGGTAATTCCTTCCCTCCATCGTCAAGATCTGATCTATTATCGTCGTTATCGCTTGATATAGTCACTTCCACTTATCGCTTCCTCTTTAATATAGACTTCAGAGGAGGTTGAGGAGGTTTAGTAGGTAGAGCGGGAGTAAAGGCTAGTAAAAACGTTAGATCTACTAGTATATCTAAATTTATTAAAACTTACTAGCTATAGAAGCAGGAGCAGGAGCAGGAGTAGGAGCAGGAGTAGGAGAAACCGTAATTCTAGCTTCTAGTATAGGTATATTATCCGAATTAAAATCGTCAGAATTCAGGTCATTATCTGATCCATTCTCTAAAGAAGTAATCTTCTCCTATAGGGCTTCGATCTGTTAATTAGGAGTCGAAGCAGGTAAAAAAGATACCGTAGATATAACTATAGATATAGATATTACGTTAGGAGTAGTATTAGGAGAGCCTCCTAATAGGGGGCTAAAATCTAGAAAAGGTATCTCCCTATTAACTTTTTTACACTTATCCTAAATCTCGTTATCTCTTTACTAAATTATATTAATATCTTAATTAAATACAAGATAAATATACTTTGGCGAGCTCCTATTTAATTAGTTAAAGTGAGATAATAAGCCATTAATATTCTTTTTAGCTTTAAATATCTGGCTAGTTATATAGTCGATTCTCTTGTTTTTATCTCTTAGCCAAACCTATTTATATTAGTACTAATTCTATTAGGATACTAGTAAATAATAGCTTACTTTACTTATAAAAGAGATTATATTTATATGTTCTAAGATTATAATTCATTAATTAAACTCCCAGTTTTCAAATAACGGAATTAATAATAAAAAAGCCTTGGCTAAATATATAGCGGAATCCTTATATAATAGTTTTTAATTATAATAAATAACTATATTAGTAAAGAGGTATATGTTTCTATAAGTAAGCTTTATATACGTATTAAACTATTCTATTATCTATAGCTTAATTTAAATATTTTGAGCCTCCCGATACTTTTCTAAGCTAAGGAACTTCTTTATAGTTAAAGTAGGTATACTCGTCCCAGTAAAGCTACTCTCTAGTTCTTCTATTTTATATATATATAGTATAATAGAAATAAGGATCTTATATTATTTTTCAATAATAGAAGCAGGAGGAATTATTAATTTACCCTTATTAAAGGCCTTTATATATATCCCCTAGCCGAGAATAAGAGATCCAAAGGCTTTACCCCTTTTCTGGGCCAAATCTAATAAAATTAGTAAATAATATATTAATATCAGGAATTAAATAGATAAATATATACTTTTGCCCTGAGCTTCCTAATAGAAATTACTATATAATTACTCTAAACGTTCGAGCTTAGCCTACTGCCTCCTCTCACGTACTTCTGCCTCAAGGATCTCCTCTAAGAGATCTATATCCGGAAGGTAGTAAAAAGGATAGGAATTAGCTAAGATATTAATCCCTTAATCTCTTAATAATTAGGCGGTAGTATTTTGAAATTGGGTTTGACTAGAAAATGGTATACTATCTAATATAATAATCGGTATAGAAGTAATAGGAGCCGGAGAAGAAGTAGTGGGGTTAATTATATCGTATAGTAGATACTTTACTATAGAGGGGGAATATAGTACCTCCCGTATAAAATAAGAGTTCTATAGATTAATATTATCTATTATAAATATTTGGGGATAAAAGAATAAGGATTTAATTTATAATTAAATATTAGAAAAAGAATATAGCTAATAAATCTAGTAGTTTAGTAAATAGTAATATAAAGATAATTAGTAGAATAGAATTATAATATATTAATATTATTTTAATTCTTTAGCCTATATCCCTATAACTTTTTCCCTAAAGAATTTATATACTAGAGACCTATTTCGAAGATTATAGATAGTAGTATATTACTAATATATAAAAAGAAATAAATATAAGAACTATAAGAAATACCCCTTAGTATAAATTAAAATTAGATTTATTTTATTTATCTCTAGTATTATTATTACTTAAAATATGGTTTCCTATATTAGGGATAATAGAATATTAAGTAAGGGGCTATAGGAATTAAGAAAGAAAAATTAAATTCCATATATTAAGATATAATTCTTATTATTTTTACTAAATATATTTTATAATTACTTTAAAAGTTTATAAGAACTATTAATTTAATAAAGCTAGTATTAACGGAGAATTTTATCTATACTATAAAGTCCTTATTACTAAAATAATAAGTTAATAGAATAATTATAGGAGATATAGAAATTAAAGAAATAGGAATTAATTTTCTAAGGAGGCGAATTATATAATCTTTTAATATTAAATTAGAAATAAATTACCTATAACTATATGAATTTGACTTATTAAATAGATTACTATTAACTTCTATATTTAATTACTTTAGTAAATATTAATATTTTTAGCTAATTCTTTCTTTAGAATATATATTAATATATTCTTATTTAATTTCTCTAATACCGGATAAACTATCTAATATTTATAGAAGGAATTTCTAGATTATCTTCTTCCTCTACTTTAGGCTCAGATATATATTTATTCTCTATAAACTACCTATACTCTTGGCCATTTATAACCTAATTACTATTTGCCCTATTAAAAGTAATATTATCTATAGTAAATCTAGTACTTCCCGTATTATCTTTAACCTCCGCTTTATTATTAAAGCTAATATAGATGAGATTTTTATCTCTATAGCTAGTATCTCTTTCTTTATTAATAAACTAAATACTATCTTAATTATTATAATTCTTTAGCCTTGCCTTCTCTAATTCTATAGCTACCTCTAGTAATAAATTCTAATTATATATATCCTTGGGTATTAATAAAAGTCCTAGCTTTAGATAAGTATTCTTTATATTAATTAGGTAATCGGTAATTAATTCTCTTAAATATATATAGGTACTCAGGTAGTTTATCTCTCTATTCGAGTTATATATAGACTCTATAATTAGAAGTATAAAACTAGTATTCTTAAGTTCTTACTTATACTATTTAAGTATAACCTCTAGTAAATATATATCTTTATTATAGCTAGTATATCTTTTATATAGCTCGTTTAGTTTATTAATATTAATAGGAATACCGTAGTTCCCGATTCTCTTTTACTCTAAAAATATATAGTTCTAGAAGAGTTAGCCAGGAATAATATATAGACGATTAGGCTATTTCCTAATTAAATAGATATTCCAAATCCGGACAAACTCCTTAGTTTATTCTCGTATAATAGGCAAATAGACAAAAAGTATAGCTATATAATCGGAGAGAAGTTTGTAAGAATAAAGCCTTTAAGAGTATAATTACTTAAAAAATATCTTCTATTTATTTAGTATATCCTATATAATATTAGCTAATTAAATTAATCTTTATAGAATTAGACTAAATAAATTACCTTTATAACTTGCCCCTATTATATCTCAATTTATTAATTAGCTATACTAGTTCCAAACTAATAAAGATCTTAAAACTAATATGAATTAATACCCCTTATTTAGTATATTACTTTATAAAAGATATAATAGGCATTAGTAATTATAGGTATTTCGTATCCTTTATCTAATTAAATATAAAATAGAATAATCTCTATTTCGTTTATTAAATTAAGGTATTAAACTAGAATAGTAATCTAAAAGATAGTATAAGTAAGTATATATTAGTATAATATTAATTAGGCTAAAGAAAAATATAGTATAGAGATTTAGGGGTTTTATTACCTAAATTAAGTATAATTTAAATAACTAGTTCTCTATAATACTATAGAATTATATAGCCGGAATTATAACTAAATAAATATTAGCCATTTGTAAGGAAGTATATCTATACCGAATTAGGAAGTAATACTACTTATAGTATAACTATTTGAGATTCTAATATAAATTCAAGGTATAAACTATAAGTAGGTATTAATACCGGTATATATCTTAATACTATAAAATCATAGCTAAGTAAATGTATTAGTAGTTATTTAAATAATAATTTTTGAAGTTAAGTCCATATTATACTTACCTTATAATAGCTATTAATAGACTAAATAAAGTTTGGCTCATAAATATTATATTCTTTTCTAGCTGCTTTTATCTTTTCCGAATAATACTATATATTTTCTGGATTAAGTTCCTATATTATAAAAGCTATTCTATTTCTAGAAAACTTCTTACTATTATCTAGAGAATTAAGATAAGTATATAAAAGCCGGTATCTATAACTTCTAGTATTGCCCTATAGGCCTTTATCTATTATATATTACTTGAGAATATAGTAAAGTTACTTCTTTTCTAGCTCAACTTGCAAATTAAGTATTTAATATCGAAGCCCTATAGCTCGGCGAACCTGCTATAATAATTATAGATTAGGAATATTATATTCTAAGCTCCGGAGGTTAGTAAGTATATTAGTATTAGTTATATAGATATTATAAAAGAACCATATAATAAGAGCCTTTACCTGAGGAGAAGGCTCGAATATTGAGTATTAGGAAGGTACTTTCTATTCGGAAAGCCTATTATATAGAGTTCTAAGGGAAATATCGATATTAAAGTTATATTATAACCTTTTAATAATCTCCTTATATAATAGCTATTACTTAATTAAATAAAGAATATGGGCTTAATAGTAATTAATATTAATCTTTAAACGAGCTATTACGAAGAGGTTAATAATAGAAGATTAAGGAATTAATAATAATAAAGGAATAGAAGTATAAATGAAGTATATAGGAGGGCTAGTATATTAGGGGGCATATCACGTGCATTTTATTGAATCTCCTACCCTATCGTATTCCTACTATAGAATGCGATAAAACACCATATAGATCGACTGTTTTAATTATATTTAACCATAGGTATTAGTTATATTATTAATAATAGTACATTTTTGAAATATCGTCGAATTGATTTTCTCAAAAAATAATAGATGCAGTAGCGTCGCTAAAGGAGCCCGTACTATGCCCGTCGGTAGAAGTTGCAGAATCCGACGAACCGTATCCCTTCGTCTGGCAGTCATTATGCACAAGGCCTGATTTGGAGGAGGATGTTGTATTTTGATTAAAGTAGAAGGAATCACCGTTCAAAAGCCCACGCCACTCAACCGCCCATTTATACCCCTGTCAGAACACCAAAAATTTGAGATTTTTTCAAAGTGCTCAAAAAATTCTAAAAACTTCATAGATTCTGAAGAATACTCCAAATAGCCCGAATATAACCTTTCTTTCTCCAAATTGTAGTGTTGTTGTGGCCAAATTCGATTTTGAGTGGTTAAGTGGCATGGGCATTTGAACCCTGCTAGGGATATTCACGTGTGGCCGCTAGCGTGGGCAATGGCTCCAAACCAGCCGAAAAAAGTAGCCAGTTTGCCGTCTAGTCGTTAAATAGAGTTATAATAAGCTAGCCCAATTAGGTAAGGATCTCGCTCTAGTACTACTTTAATAAGCTTTTCCCCCGATTATTTAAGAGTAAGGTAGCGCTAGAGCCAAATCCTTACCTAATTAGGCTAGCCTATCACGTGCTACGGTCACGTGTATATTAATTAAGGTATTTATAAATATTCTTTATTAGCTTAATTAATTCGTAAATAGAATATAATTAATGAGAATATTTCATAAATAGATTAAATTAATAGCCATGAATCTAATCTAATCTATTCATTTCTCACACTGACTTTCCAGTGAGCGGTTGTATTTCGAATCTTTAAGCCAGCGATCGGGTCGGAATTCCGTTGGATCAGGGAATATGCTTTCATTCATGAGGATGAAGTAACTGCTTTCGCTAACTGGAGTCCGCTCTTCTGTCAGTATTCATTTCGGAGACTGTTGATTGCAATTTAGCATTGACTCCAAACGGAATCATCCATTCCTTGTACGTCAGAACTTCATCTGTTGCTATTCGAGGCAGCCGAGCAGTGACGCCGATGGATATTCGAAGGCCTTTCGATATCACCGCCGACAGGTAAGGGAGCTGTTTCAACTTCGTGACAGAAACTGGACATCGCGGAGTTGGCATGACAGCCCTCAGCTCAGCCCTCAAAGCATCCAGAATTTTCCTATCCGACAACAGATAGAAAGTTATGTAATATAAAGTCGCAGCGGCCATCTTCGTCCCAGCTCCGGTCAAGATCTGTCCCTCATCACACAAGCGATCAATGGTCTTTTCCTCAGGCGGTAAAATGCTGTCTCTCAACTCATTGAAGATACTTCTATGAGATGCCTCTTGAAGATCTCTTGCTGACTGGGTGTGATCCAGAATAGGTTTGATACGCGCTCGCACACCTGCTTTCAAACCCAGCATTAACTTCATGCTTAGATTCATGCTCGAGACCCAGCTGTCTGGCATCATGTTCATCAAAGGCAGTATCCACGGAAACTGTCTGAGCAAAGCGCCACACTCGAAAGCTCCTTCAAGTGTCTCTTTCCAAACCAGCTTGAAGTCGGGCTCAGAAAGATAGTCATCGCCTCTCGCAAAGGATGACATCCATCGTCAATGTGACATAAGCCGCATCAGTTCTGATCATTTCTCCCGTTTTCAAATCTGCCCCAATGCTTCGGCAAAATTTGTCAACATTTTCCTGGATCACAGGCTCAAGTTGCGTAACTGCTCTTTTGGAGAAGAATAAGTTCAAAGCTCATCTCCGAAGGCGGTGGTGGTCATGGCCTACGGTCGAGAAGCTGGACCCAGGAGTAGCCGCCAAGCTCACCCAATTATCATACTTGTCTCTTTTCAGAGTCACTGAGCCATAGAGTTCATCACAATACTCTGGATCATTGATATGAAGCTCTTCAGGGCTGATTCGGACAATGGGGACCTTCAATTTGTCAGCATCACTGGAAATAATTGCTAGCAGTACTCGGAGAATGATATCTCACCATATCTCTCGTGCATTTTCTAGATTTCCCACATGAATTGCCCGCGTTTGACAACGTCGAAGCAGAACTCATACCACAATCTCAGAGCGGCCAGATTGGGACCCGGGAAATCGCGCAAGAGGGTGGAATCACAAACATAGACGGCAATGAAAGTCCAATATCCCGCCAGACCTGCCGCTGCAGCGATAAGCCCGGTTGAGAAGGAACCAGCCTCTTGCTGTTAAACCCGCATCTATCAAGCCGGTGAGGAGGTTTATCTGCAACAGAGGCTGCGTCGGAGGACGACATCTGGAGGCTGGACTGGGGCACGGCCTAAGCCGTAGAAGCTAGCCCTCCCGTCTCCTAATCCCTTTGGGACCGTCCAAACAGTGGGAAGTCTGCTCTCACAACAGTTAGTATATCTTCCTGTCTCCCAGTTGATTTATCGTTGCAGATGACGAACTCCCCCGGATCCTCGTTCGTCCAATTCAACCCAAACCACTTCTGGAAAGCAGGGTGTCGATGGAAGCGAACGATTGGAGGCGCAAGACCCCCTGCTTGTCCTAACTCCCCCATCTATCAGCGGCGGTCACATTTGGCTAAGTTGACGATCAACACCAAGTCCATACACCAAGATAACTTTAAAGATGAACGAATCCGTCTCAAACACGAGACAACAACGTCTAAAATCTCCCATGACTACAGCTGAGCCTTCACAACATGCAGAGACTGCTCCGGCAGCTCAAGCATCACCGCCAGCAATCACCGAAACTACTGTACAACAGCACCTACAACAGCCGGCCCAGAAGCAGACACAGCGTTAAATCCCCAACCACCACAGCCACCGAGCTCAGCAAGCTGAACCTACAGCCCACCCTCCAAAACAACGACATCTCCTCAGACCCCAACGCCGAACCCAAACCCCCACCTCTCTGCGCTCCGAATCCCAGATTCCGTGTACGAAAACAGGTGTCGGCGTCGATCCCACGCTTACCAGTTGGACAACACGATTGACCCTCTACCCTCTCCCCTCGCCTACCATCTATCTCTACCTTTATAATTATACTTATTTAATCTTCATTGATTGATAGACTGACTGACTGACTGATGAGTAGCTCCTCCTAATCGAGGAAGTCGAGTGAGAAGGTCTAGATATGAAATACGACCCATCAAGTCTTCAGAATAACTTAAACAAATGGGGTTATTGGGGGGGGGGGGGGGGGGGGGGGGGGGGGGGGGGGGGGGAAAGAAAGAGGTGATATAAAGAGAAGAGAAGAGAAGAGAAAGGAGGTAACTGCGTAGAACAGAACAGGGAGAAACATAGAAGTAACAACTTCCCTCAACAACCAGACGAGAATCGAGAGTCCCGGGTAGAATTGCTTATCACGCGTGTTTCGACGACACAGAGTAGTAGACCATGCTTGAAGCATTAAATCCTCCCTACTACCATTCTATTCCTCGCCAACCATCTATCCCACCTCGCAGCTCATTTTGGGCAGCCGCGAGAACAAGAGAAAAGCTATATTTACACACCTTATAATGCCCCAGCCGAAACGCCATGCCCTGCTCGCTTGCACGCTGAAAAGGAACCTTGAAAACATATAAAACAAAAAAGCAGAAAGAAAAAAGAAAAAAGGGAAAAAATCTTCCTGTGCAGAGAACGGGTATCTTCCTTCCTCCTTTTGATCGTACAACTCTCGAAATCCCACCACCTCTTCCCTTGACCCCTTTTCATTCCGTCTACCCTCGACATGGGTATAGAATTGGGCGAAAAATTAGAGTTATAGGACGGTGTTTTGCGTCATCTGCGTCCTCGGCCTCGCCTGCATCGGCCTCGAATCAATCCTCTTCCCGTCCAACCACCGGTTCTCGCCCGCCCCCTCATAATACTGCTGTGCCTCCACGGTCGCCATTCTCCTCCGCTCTTCAAACGCCGCTTTCTCTTCCTCGCTCAGACTAAACGCTTTCTTCAGCCAGCCGAAGGCACTCCTCTTTTTCTTGACCTTCTTCCTCTCGCCGTTGCTGTCGATGACTGAAACGTCTGTCATGACGCTCATGCCCATAGCGCTTGGTGCTTGTCTGCGGTTGCCGAGTGCGGAAGGCGTGTGGGTGTGGCCGCGGAAGGAGGAGGTTGAGCTATTGCTATGCATGTGTAAGGGATTACTCGGGCCTGCTGTCCACGGTCTTTGGAGAGGAGAGTGAGGACTCGCGTTCACGGGGCGGAAGAATTGCTGCTGGTCGCTTCTCGGAGAGGGCACGATGTCGCGCGTGAAGATTGCCGGTGGCCTATGGTCCTGGTTTTGGGACTGTGTTAGGGGGCGAGGATTGGTGTATGATTGCGAGCGGAGCTGTGTTTCTATTTGTGGGCGAGGGAGATTATATGATGAAGAGCGGAGTTGGGAGTCTGTTTGTACTTTGGGCCGTTGAGGGGCAGGCCAGAGAGCAGCTGGTGGAGAGGCTTTCTCGAAGTCGGAGCAGTAGGCTGAGTCGAGGCCGCGGGAGGGAGGAGTGTTGATTGCTGATTCTCGGTCTCGTGGGGCGGGGACGGAGACGGAGTGGATTCGTTGTGTTGGAGACCAATAGCTGTCATCTCGTTGAACTGGTGCTTTGATCGTTACTTCTGAAGGGGTTTCTTTGCGTTTAAGGGAGAAACGATTTCTTAGGGAGGAGCGTTCACGGATTGCGGGAGGGGCTTCTTCGACGGGTGCGGAAGAAGGTTTTGATGAGGGGACCGGAGTGTAGGTTCGTGGTGCGAGGATGAATTCAGGTTCCGGTTCTGCTAGTTCAACTTCTGATGTTGAAGACTGCTCAGAGTCCAGTTCTGGTGTTCGCTCACGGTCCTGCACCATTTGAAATGCTGGAAGGGTGGCTCGTATCGCTGGTGTGATGAGATTCGGATCAGAAGGAAGGGTTTTCGACATTGATCGTCGCATCTCACGGGATGGGTGACTAGGTGGTGAGGCTGGTGGCGATGGTGACCCCATTGGAGTTGTGCCAAACTGCGTATTTGTTAGTTAAAAGTTTTTATCTCAAGTATGAGGACATACTCTTGTCTTTCGACTCACTTCACCGGCCCTTCGATCCATTTCCGCCACTATCGACCCAAGTTGTACCAATGCAACACCAAGACTGTTCCCCTTCGTCTGCAGTGACACATATGCCTTGTACCAACCTTCCACATTCCCTTTCATTGCATCGAAGACCTTCTGCATATCCTGCCTCGTGTCCATCCACACACCATCTTCCTGCTCTTCCGCCAAGTATATAGTAAACTCCTTGCAAGCGTCCAAACCCTGCTGCACATCTTTCAGCGCATCCTTCATCATCGCCGCCGTCCTCGTTATAGCGTGCTCGATCCGCTCATTGCCTTGGACAATCTGTAGTCGAAAGCTTCGATCTTCAAGCATATGATCAAAGACGTCTATATTATCCAACGGCATCTTCAGGAGCTGCAACCTCTCATCGATATCCTCCAGCGCCAGATCAAAGTCCTCCAACGTCGTCTCGAGAAACTCATCAACCTCATCCACATGGCCCTGCAATATATTCATAACCTGCTCATCATCCCTCGCAATGCCGTTCAGCAGGAGATAGATACCGAACGAGATCTGCGCCATCAGCTTCCACAGCTCGTGGTACTGCCGCCCGGGCTTCTGCCGCCATCTCGCCGCATGCGTCTCCTCAGATATATCCTGATCGAGGAGCAGCTTCCTCCTTGCCGCCGCGTTGCCAACCCTACTCTTCTTCTCGGTGGGAGTTGAGTCTTTGGAGGCTTCGGAGGCTTCGAGCATGGATTCCTCGAAGGCCCCTTGCATGCTCGGGATCGGGTGCGTGGGCACGGAAACCTGGGGAGCGACCTCCTTCATGGTGTCGGCTTCCGAGAAGGTCGAGTTGTCGTTTCTCGGCGTGGTGGCACCGCTGCGGTCGTTCTCGTTCAGCGTCGGCGAGAGAGTCGACGAGTCGTCTGCGGAGAGCAGGATGGGAAGGCTGTCATTTTCTTCCCTCTTCTGCTGCCGAGGGGAAGAGGAGATGTTGCGGGACTCCATTGCTGCCGGAGCTCGGGCACTTGTGCGGAGCTAGAGACTAGCAGGTGGTTCCACTACATCGATTGTTGGAGGGCATTGGGTGGTGCTCCAAGCTCGACTGCAGATCGAACAGAAGTGTGGTGTTCTGCGTCCTGCGGGAGCGAGGGGAAGGGATAGGGATAGGGATGGAGCGGTCGGCAGATATGGCAGGCAGGTGAGAGTGTTTGTCCTCGTGGCCGCGAGAAACATTCACTACTCCCTCGATGCTGCTGTTGCTGCTGCTGCTGCTCGGACGGGTTGCTGCAGACAGATGCAGGAGCAGCGTGGGATTTTCCGTCGTTGCTTCCCCTGGCTCAGAACGGGAGTCGAAGCTCGTCCAAACAGAGGATAGGGCGAGGCTGCTGCCGAACACCGTGCTAGCTTTGGGTTCGTCCGGTTTATTTAAAGACAAAGCCCCGTGCGGGTGTGCCTCGATAAGGCTAGGGCCTGAGCGGAACGCTCGTCGATGTACCGTAACTGGAGATGAGGTTGTTTTACTGAAGATGTTCGGGTGGGGTTGAGTCGCAGTTGCAGAGCTTTGTCTGGACATCGCGGAGAAGAAAAGGGGGGCGGATCATGGTGGTTTTGATCTCTCTCGGCCACACCAGCTTCTGGGCCTCGATAATCAGCCTTTTCGTACCCAGCATCGGCTGCAGCAGGAGCGTTCAAATGCGGGAGCAATCAATAAACCGGGGCTGCATGGCGCGATTAGGATGTTTGCTGCCAGCTCCGATGGCGTCCTGGGCGGGTTCAGGCCTCAAGGGTTGGCACAGCGCAGGAGCCGGATTGGTGCCTGGCTCTGGCCTGCCTAAACGCCCTGAGCCATCGCCTTCCAGCATGATAGCATCCAACCTCCCCTCCACTTCACTCCAGTCCACTCCACTCCACTCCACAGCTGCTCCCCTCCTTTTCCCGACGAGTCGATGTCATGACCACCTGTTGCACCGGTGCACCTTCAGCTCATTTCAGCATCTCCATCTCCACATCCCAAAACAGAATCCTCATCTCTATGAAATTGACGCATGTTATGCTGGAGGTCCACGCAGCCAACAGTTCCTCATTCAGCTCTTCGCCCGGACGCCAATTCGGGCCCGTCGATAGGTTCCAGCGAGTTGGAGACCGAGTCTCCAAGCTGTGCCCTTTCTTACCGTCTTCCCGTTTCCCTGACTAAGTCTGCAGGTGATGGGAGGATGCGGGGGTTCACCGTTCGAATGGGGACGGGCGCCGCCAGCTGCCAAAACCATGGCGCATATTTGGCGTATTGGCGTTAAGACATGGGGTGACAGCCAGCCGTTTTCTAAAGGGGGGCAGTGATTGATATCCTTGCACATAATTTCATCTGATATCTTCAGGACTGGAGGGTGGGAAGAGGCTGCCTCGCTTGGTTTCGAAGTCACAGCCTCGCCACACCACTGTGCCACTTCCTGAGGACCAGGTTGGGTATGAAGATGTGTTTTGGTGACGACGACTTTGTTTATGAGGGAGTGTTCTGTAGGTTTGGAATATTGACGAGTACCTTGATCATTTAGCGTTTCCATTGATCTCAAGGACAATTCGTTCTCCGCATTCACGGCGTATCAATTGAGGGGGGAGAATATCAAAGGCTTCAGTATGCCAGCCCCAACACAACCACTCACTCTCCCAGATGGCCGCACCATGGCCCGGTGCGAATACGGTAATCCAGCCAGCACCTCCCCACCAATCTTCTACTTCCACAGCTACCCCTCCTCCCGCTACGAGGGCGCCCTCTGGCACCCCCACGTCCTCGCCCCCAACCTCCGCATCATCTCCCCCGACCGCCCAGGAGCCGGTCTCTCAACACACTCTCCAACACGAACCCTCCTCTCCTACCCCTCCGACATCCTCTTCCTCGCATCTCACCTCTCGATCGCCCAATTCCGCATGCTAAGCTAAGCGTCTCGGCGATGGGCCCTACGCCTTCGCCCGTCTCAAGACTATCCCACCATCCCAATGTCTCGGCAGCCCAATCGTTTCTTCGGTCTATCCTTTGAAATATGGAAAAGGCATGAGTTCGTGCATCGGAATGTGCTCTTCATGTCCTACTGGGCACCCGGGCTCCTAGGCTGGGCCATGGACTGGCAACTTGGGAGCGCAGCGCGGAACCCGGATCCCAATGTCCTGAAAGAGATGATGAAGAAATCGACGGCGAGACTTCCGGAGCGGGATCAGTCGGCGCTGGAAGGTCGTGATCTCGGCAACGTGATGATGGATTCTACACGAGAGAGAGCTTTATGAAGGGTGGAGGGGAAGGGGTTGCGCTCGAATCTCGTCTGCTGGCGCCTGACCGGGGCTTTGAGTTGGAGGATATTGATCTCGAAGGAAGGGAGCTGACAATCTGGCATGGGAGGTTGGATGTCAACTGTCCCATTGGGATGGCTGAGAAAGCGGCTTCGCTTTTGAAGGGAGTCAAGATGGTGTTTCTGGATGAGGAAGCTCACAGTCTCGTGGCCCATCAAACCAAAGCGATCGTGAGAAGCTTATTAGTACCACCATCGTACGAAATATGGAGACAGAGGAAACGGAGAGTGCGAATGTTTCGAAGACTTCTCGAAGGTTTCGCATCTAGTCATGAAAAGACGGGTTCCATCATTCGCAGAAAATAATAGGGAAAAGAAGGGAACTATGAAGATGCCAGCGTTTCGAAGACTTCTCGAAGGTTTCATGCGCTGTATGCGCAGTCATGCTAACATGGTGATTCTGGGTTTTTATTTTGAGGATTCAAGTTCAGGGGCAGCAGATCGGGCACATGATAAGGTTGCGTCCGATGCTAGTGCCGGAAGCGCAGGGATGCGCTTGGGCAGCCCGGTACCTGGTCTGCTTGCTGCACGCTTTCGGCTTTCCGACTTCTGGCTCAGGCTTCGCCAACAACCAAGACATGTTTCCCAGTTCAGAAATAAATCGACGACCACAAACGAAAATGTCTCTCTCGGACTCTCTCCATGATCCATCCCACCTTCCTTCTCCATCTTCGCTCCCCTCAAATACACGGGAACGACGTCCCACTTGAAACAGAACAGAACACTCTTTCCCGGTCCTCAAACGCTGAGCCCCAGTTCAGATTCAGGTCTCCCGAAGCTAAGTAGCGTAAGATTCGGACGGAGATCGACTTCCACATCCAGGTGGTTGTCACGAGATTCAGCAGGGATAGCACGGCCACACTCGCGACTTCAAGACGACGACGACTGTGGGGGGTCTTGCAAAGCGCCTTTCATGCGAGAGGAAGTCAAATAAAGATCAGATCGGTCGCAGATCTCGTTCTTGGGACGAGACGGGCGGAAGTTTAAAGAAAAGGCTAAAGGTGGCCAGTCGCTGGAAGATAGGCATACGAGATTCGAATTCGGAGTTGGAAGCAAATAGGAAAGAGAATTATTGGAGGGGATTCGAGTGAGAGAGAGCGAAGATGGCAGAGAGGATGCGTGCCCTGAAATTCGGCACCGACCTTTGGGATCCTTCGCACAGATTCGAGACAAGCTGGATCCTCACTCCTTGGGTGCTCTTTGGCTGTCGAGCTGCAATTGTAGGTCCCCGCTTCCTCCCCATTCAAACTCTACTGATGGATCTAGTCTCTCTACGCATTCGCAACAACATTCTTCATCATCGGCTGGGAAGCGACGAACCACGACGGTCTCTCAATCCACGATGTGCGCCGATCATTCTCCTTCTTCACAAGTACGTCCTCTTTCTCCCCTATCCCCATACCATCCTCGTACTAATTGCTTCATGTTTAGTCCTCTGCTACTGGGGCATATCCTTCTACTTCCTCATCTCCGCCCTACACACCTTTTCCTACGCCATCAACGGCGGAACTCCCCTCCTCAACCGCCTCCCACGGCCCCTGCAAGCCCTGCACTACCTCTTCTACACCACAATAATCACCTTTCCTTTTCTCGTAACCATAGTCTACTGGGCCATCCTCTACTCCGGCTTCTCATCACGTTTCACCCTCTGGTCCAACGTCTCCCAACACGCCTTAAACTCCGTCTTCGGGCTCTTCGAACTCGCGTTCTCGAGGATAAATCCAAGTCCGTGGATCCACCTCCTCTGGCTCATCGTCATCCTCGCCTGCTACTGCGGCCTCGCATACGTGACCTACGCCACAAAGCACTACTACGTCTACTCATTCCTCAATCCCAACCCACCGGATCATGTGGTTACCAACGGCGTCAAGACGAATCAAGGAGGGGTAGGCAAGGGCGCGGTCGTAGGCTACGTGTTCGGGATCGCGGCAGCGATAATTGTTATCTTTTGTGTGAGTAAGGGATTGCAGACTCTGAGGAAGTGGGGCGTGGAAAAGAAGCTGGGCATGAAAGGCAAATTCTATGCGGGCAGGGGGATGGGGAGTGGCGAGGTGGAGTTGGAGACTGTGCGGGTTTGGGAGAAGGGTCCTGGGGAGGCGTGAGGACAGAGAAGGTACGAGGACGAAGCAGTGTGCGAGTACAGAGAAGGACGAAGGGGAATAGGGGAAAATTGGTTTTTGCATCGCGAAGGAGTGAAGGTTATCTTACGGTGTACATCACATCTACGTTCATCTTTAGATCATGCTAATACCCCTCTTGTGTGCAACTCCACTCCGTTTCAGCCCAAGATACTTGTGTTGAGATGCATAACTTCATTGACATTTATACCAACTCTTCTCTTTCTCCTCGCCACGGGATCCGAGAGAGGACTAGACCGCGAGTAGTAGTGTAGCAAGATTCTAGGTGGCGCGAAAGGCTGCGAGTTTTAACAGCGCGTCCTCGCGATGGGAATTCAGATCCAGGGAAACCTAGTCTACGGTAAAAGTGTTGTATTTAGAGTAGTGTGAACGCGAATATTCAGCACCGGACGGGCGTCCCCAAGGAGTTGAGTTGGGTAGGGCTGAGATGTCAAGGTGTTGCGGGAAAAGGGCCGTGTAAGAGCATCTTGCATGGGATGTCCACATGTGTTTAACCGGGAAGGGGATAACTGGGAGTGGATCTAGAAAGTAGATTGCGGTCATGCTAGAAGGTAGCTACTCTATAGATGAAAAGGACCTGTGTTCGAGGGGTTTTGCACTGTTGCCGACGCAGCCTTGAGAGTAAATGTTGGCGGTGAAGCAGCATGCTGGGAGGGGATAGAGGAACGGCGGTTCTCCAAGTAGGTGGAGTGGTTAATTAAAGGGAAGGATGAGTCATTTGAGATTGCTAGTGGTTGATTCATGAGCAGATTTGAGATATTGGTTAACGAGAATTTTATACAATCGTGCTGCCTGTTAAACTGAGCGAGTGACCTCATCATCACCACTCCCATATTGGTCCGACTATTAAGAGCATATCCATAGCATTGGTCTCGACGCCGCTTTGTAAAATGAAGCCACTTGTTCAGAGATTGTGATGGTGATATAAAAGAGTCGCGCCGGGGGCGGGGGGCTGGAGGTTTTTAGAATGGCAGTAAATATCAGTTGTGGGGGGGGAAACAAACCAAAAACTATAACCCCGTACAGGCTTTACTTGAGCGCTATTAGAAGATCTTCTCAAGTTGCCATGATATCGCCTTACAAGCCATCGTTCCTGCGTGAGCTTAAACAATATCCAGTTTCGCAAGGTGTTCCCATTAAAAATTCGACATTAGTCTGAACTCACTAGACATTCTCTTCTTTCAGGGGATAATCAGGCATCCTGCATTGCAAGACATTGTTACCTTGGACTTTTGTCCAACCTTTCAAGACGATGTTTCCACTGGGGTCTGCACAATTGTCAGGTCTTACTAGACTTTGTTCTCTCAAAAACTCACACAACTATCCTACTCCGTAAATAGATATTTCTACCAGAACTTGTATCATTTCCCAGCCTTGCTAGACTTTGTTCTACAATAATCTGGTACAGTCGTGATGCCTACAAAGCTGAACGGGGTGTAAATTCACTACCACAACACCGAGACCGTCAAGAGAATATCGATAGCATTAGTCTGCCCGCCGCTTTGAACAATGAAGCTTCTTATTCTGACGCCAGTCTGTGCTTATCTAGCGGCCCTTCTGAAATATTTATTGAATGGAAAACTCTCCCAGATCGACTACAGATCGGCAACACCATCCACATCAAGATGACCTCTCGTGGCTCACTCAAGGCCACCATTGTCGGCATTCTTGGTCGAGCCCCTGCCATTGCCCCTCCCTTGGAGGCACAGTGGGTTGAGGAGCGAGCAGCTGTCATCCAAGACCTTCGTCCTCTACAAGTACCAACACAAGATGAGAGAACCCGCCTCCACGCTATGCCAACAGAAGTCCTTCGAAACATCGCACGATACCTCCCACCATCATTCGAAGTAGCTCTGACCTTGACCTGTCGTCTGATACTCCATAAATTGGGTAGTCAGTCCTGGCAAGATATCCATGGCCCTATATCCCCTAACCACGAGCTCTACTGGGAATGGGGCCGTTACTCATACAAGCCGGAGCGAGGAATGCTTCTTGTTCTGTTGGACCGCGACATCAAACACCTCATCAACTGCTACTTCTGTGAGCTCTTGCATGAGCCAGCCAAGACTATGCCAGCACCAGGAAGCAAAGCCAAACCAACAGAACGATACTGCACAAGAATCCAGAGGAATCGACGATTTGACGGAACTCATCAACACTTCTTCCATGTCCTCGATGACATCACATTCTCCGAAATCCAACATTCCATGAAGCTCCATCTTCGATTTGGCAGTGGCTGCACCGATCTGCTTCAACGGCTTTCGAAAACGTCCACTACCCGAAGCCTCCACCGGAATTCTGCATCCGCCCAACTGTTCACCCTCGCTCGAGTCATCGCCGGTCACCTCGTCATCCGGTCTGAATATTACATCCTCTTACCCTGGTGGAAAGTCAGATACACGGATGACAACATCTTCGAAGTCTTCCAAGCGCTGAATGTCTGCCCCCACATCCATGAATTCTCGTACAACGGCGCCATCCGCAATCTATGGTTGTGCAGCAAGCTTCACAGCGAACAAAGCAATTGCCGATTCTGCGCCATCAGGAAGAACGCCCCAAATCGCGGTGTCCCTCGTTTCGTCGCCGCGCCTTGGCGCCAGAGCTGCGAGTATTGTCACACCGAATTCCAGATCGACGTTGCGGCGGCGGGGGTGAAGGGGCTCGCGATCGCTTTCACTGTTTGGCAAGACTTTGAAGACTGTACTTCGCCGCATGAGACAATCTGGAGGGGCGATTCCTGGGCCTCTGAGGGCTGGCGGTATGCAGATTTCGAGGGGGGAAGTATTAAGGCGGGATTTGAGGGGCAGGTTGCTTCTTCCAATGTACCCAACCATCTGAGAACTTTGCCAGACAGGCCGGTGAAGGAATGGGGTTGCTTTCTTAATGTTAAATGAAGAGAACGCACTGGCAACGAATGGAACATTGTGTATATTGTAGAGTAATCAAGGTACCGAAATCTGTGGGTTTGATCAATGTGAAAATTCCCCTCGATGTACTGAACTGTATTGTTTCAATCAAGCAGACAGCCGTCCCAATGTACCGAACGCCCTGGATTTAATCAAGAAGATGGTCCTCCCATCGTACTGAACTGCCTTCGTTCAATCCAGAGCACAGCTCTCGCAATGCATCGAATTGAGTGGGTTCAAACAAGAAAACAGCCCTGCAATGTACCCGAACTACCTTAGTTCAATCCAGAAGACGTCTTTTCAATGTTCTGAACTTGGGAAGATTCAAAAAGAATTTGGCAAGTGCATCTCGTAATCACTTGACTAAAATATCAAACCACAAAACCAATGTGAGTATGAAAGTTCACTCCTAGAGATGTATAGTGAAAATGCTCAGACAGAAGAAGACGAACTGAAGGTGTGAAAGTGACAAGCATTGAAGCGTTTGAAGCGTTTCCTATTCCGGCGAATGGGGTCATAGCGTGAACTGATACTTGAACGCGACTCCACGTCTCCCAATTTCAACAAAACAATCAATTGTTTACTTTCGAATTGACGTCCATTTACTGGAGATCAACATTGCCAAATCGCCTCGATGGACAATTCTGGACAAGTGGTCCCCTCTGCTGACGGAGGGTTGTCGTCTCTTCCGCCTGAGATCTGGAGAGTCGTCGCAGAACAGGTACCCACGACTTCTTCCCAGGACATTCTTCTTTGTTTGATCTGTCGCAGATTTTAAACCAAGATCAATGCTGACGAATGTATTGCAATTGCAGATACCAGGCCAAAAGACTCTTCGAGCACTAGTTCAAGTGTGTCGCCTCTTCAGAGATATCTTTCGACCCTTCTTACATAGGATATTCAGCATCGACTTGAGCCACCACGAAGCTACAGCTTTGGAACAGAAGACCCTGCCAGCTTGTTTGGGATACGCAAAATATTTTGAGGTAATTATCAATGAATTTCGACGTTCAGAGCGGCAGAGCGGAGTGTATTACAATATCGACTTGAACGATGGATATGCTGCGTTTGTGGCGAGGGCTCTCAAGGCAATGCCAAATCTCCGCTCCTTCCGGTTTGTCTTCCTATAACGGTTCTTCTGCCATCAGCTAATATCTTGCCACAGTTGGCTCAACTCATCCTTCGGGGAAGACTATGACTCATGCCTGATACTCAGTAACGTGGAACTTCTGACGACGGCGAAGAGCTGTCCAAATCTCCAACACTTATTCATACAATTCACGGATGTGTTCCTCGATGACCCGGTCAACGCATTGAAGTGCAATACTTCGCTAAAGGGCTTCAAAAACTTGGCATCACTCGAGCTCTTTCACTTCTATGGCGAAGAGCCTGAATTGATTGATAATATAGCCACCGTTTTGAGAGATTGTCCTGGACTCAAAAGATTAGGCCTTGGGCTCTCCTGCGAGTTCGATTGTGACCAGATTCCTGAAATCTTAGTGGCTAGTGGCGATTGCGACTTTCTGGAAAAGCTGTGCTTAAAGTATGGCACTAGGTCGTCGCCGTTGGCACTAGAGACTCTGCGACTAGGGCATGGAATGTTCGTCTACAAATCTAAGTCACCGAATACCGGGAACTACCTTTCAAAGCTTGTCAAGTTCCGGGACATTAAGACCTTGCACATATACAATGGCCTTGTTCATGAGACGGATGACTGGGACTTTGAACCAGTGCCCATGCAAGTTCAATGGAATTTCTTTACAGAATGCGCGTCTCTCTGTCAACTCTCGGTGACTAGACTGGACAAGAAGCTTCGACGATGGCTCAATACTAGCGTGAAGTCAGTCGAAGAGCTTTTGGTCACAGAGCATTACAGCATGTACGACAATGGTTTGGGCAATTTTGATATTTTGGAATTGCCACAGCTCTCGATGCTTTTCACACGCGAAATGACGATATCCAAGCATCCGAACGCTCGCGGTTGGCGAGGCATCAACCCCGAGTCCCGGGAGCAAATACGCGTCGACAAGCATAACATTACTACTCTAGATCGCCTTCCTGATAATATAGCTAACCTCACACGACTCGGAATGTGTATTGAGCTGGAGAATCAATGGGTTAGTTGCTTAGCTTCAGAACCCCATCGGCTTTGATCCAGTCAATTGCTGACTACCACAGGTGCGATTCTCTTCTCACCTACCTCAGCTGCGGCGCCTCACCTACCTCCGCATAGATGGCAAGAGTCATCGATCGGGCAGATACCCAGCAACATCTACGTCTCTTTGGCCCGGGATCGTCAAGCCAAAGGAAATTGCAAAACGCTACATCCAGCTAATGCGCTCTGAATGTCCGTCGCTGCAATACGTCCAGGTTAAAAACTGGGCCTGGCAGATCACCTCGCCGATGCCAGGGGTGCCTGCTCGAGAGGCCCATGTTGAGCTCCGCGAGTTGGAGTGGGAGGAGCGCATGGGTATCGAATTATTTGCCCTGGATTCTTTTGCACCGCAATCCGGACTCCCTGGGCCAGACGATTATTACGAGGAATTGTCCGAGGAAGAGGAGTTGCGCATGGACCGGATGGTCGCTGAAGTGGAGAGGAGAATCGCTGCTGGTGATCATAACATGACGGACTTGATCGAAGCTGTACAATGAACCCATCTATATCAATTCGATGTGCTCGATGTACCAATATCATGAGAGAGGTCCCACTGCTTCTGGAGCCTGGAAGCTATGTAGAGTACTAGTGGATTGGGAGATCCTGTAATGGAAGTGTGCTGGACCGCTTGCATCACGAATGACTGCAGCCAGACTTCTTCAAAGATCCATATACATGAACTGGATGGGATGGAATTAGCAGATATTGGTCCCAAGTGATCTTCACTCCTCAATCGAGGACTTCCTCCGTGGTTGTTTAGACCTTTGAGATACTCTAAATGGCGAGTCACGTGAGATTGCTGGAGCGGATCAACATTTTCGCGCAACACGTGCTAAGATAAGACGACGTTGCCTCTCTGGCCTCAAAACTAACGTCTCCACCTCAACACTCGTTCAAATCCGACCCCTCTCCCTTTCCCATGAGATCTGTGACCATATTTATCACCATGATACTCCCTTAGGCCTCAATGGCTTCCCAATTTCGTATATCTCGACACACAAGACTAACATCAAGCCCTCACTTGGGCTACAGTAAGCGGTGAGTGTAGGCTCAAGGTCTTCAACGTGCTTTGTTCTGACTGAACTTAGGACTTTTCCGTCTTTCCCCAGATGGCAAACCAGCAAACCCTTGAAGGGCTAAGGTCCGGCCAATACAAAGGCCTCAAACGTGTCAAGATATCAAGTGGGGTCTCCAAGTTCCCTCGAGAAATCCTTGACCTCTTTAATACCCTCGAGATCCTCGACCTATCTGGCAATCCGCTCTCAACACTTCCTAAAGATATCAGCCGTCTTCACAAGCTCAAGGTTGCTTTTTTCTCAGACTGCAAGTTCACAGTTTTTCCAAAAGAACTCGCACAATGCCGTTCTCTCGAGATGATTGCCTTCAAAAGCAACGCCATGAGCACCATTCCCGAGGGATCATTCCCACGAAAGCTTCGCTGGCTCATTCTAACGAATAACCAAATCTCATCCCTTCCAGCCAGCATTGGGCAATGCCATCGTCTCCAGAAATGCATGCTCGCTGGGAACCGCCTCACGTCTTTACCTTCTGAGATGGCGCATTGCAGAAAGCTCGGCCTCCTTAGACTCTCAGCAAACAAACTGACCTCAATCCCTCTCTGGCTCTTCTCCCTCCCAGAACTCTCCTTCCTCTCATTTGCCGGGAACCCCTGCGCTCCATCCTTCGAAGACAATCCAGTCCTCGACAACATCTCATGGTCATCTCTGTCAGTCCACCACCTCCTCGGTGAAGGCGCCTCGGGGATAATCTCTCAAGGAACCTGGTTCACTCTCACCTCATCCAATCCAAAAGCCGTAGCAATCAAGCTCTTCAAAGGCGAAGTGACATCGGACGGCTCGCCCATCGACGAAATGAACGCGTGCATCACTGCAGGCCGCCATTCCAACCTCATCGACCCAATCGGCAAGATCCACGACCATCCAGAGAAACGAGGTCTAGTGCTCGAGCTCATCCCGCCTCATTACAAGAATCTAGGTCTCCCACCAACGCTGGAGAGTTGCACGAGAGATGCGTTTCATCCTCAGACCGTATTCTCCGTTGAGAAATGCAAGAATATTTTACTCGGCATTGCGGCCGCGGCTACGCATCTTCATGAGAGGGGAATCGCGCATGGGGATTTGTATGCGCATAATATCCTCATCGACGATAAAGGCCATGCTCTACTTGGAGACTTCGGCGCAGCGACCATCTATGGGAAGGAGCATGTGATGGGAGATAGGCTCGAAAGAATGGAGGTCTTTGCGTTCGGGCATCTTATTGAGGATCTTTTGGGGCTGGTGGAGAGGAGGGTTGTTGAGGATAGTGTGATGGGTGAGAAAGATGCGTATGTGGTTGAGGGATTGAACTTGTTGCATTGGAGGTGTACGGATCCGGTTGTGGGGGAGAGACCGTTGTTTAAGGACGTTTATGAGGAGTTGGCTGGGCTTTGATAGATGGGGAACTGGATTGGCGCCATAGAGCGGGTTGCATTGGGTTTTGCGAGATTAATTATTAGATTTCATTGATATTGCGTAGATAGATAGAATGCAATAGATTTCGTCTTTTCAGGTTCGATTTTGATATCGTTATACTGGGCAACCATCGTTGGTTTCGAAACGCATTGATTCTCTTCCAACATCTATGAAAAGTTCTGATCATATTTCATCGTCAGCTTACCGTCCCTCATAACTGACCTTTATATCGTTTGTCATCCCCTTCTCTGACTTGTCGATTGTGCCGACATCCTCAACTTGGACTCATAATCGCCAGGATCCCTTTCGCCATTCCACTCTCAGACGATATGGCCCCTCCCATACCTCCCATCCCGCCACACAATCTCCTCATCCCATCTCACTCCTCAACGCCATCTTCCTCACTACCCCCTCTTCGGCAACCTTCAACAACACAATCCTCCCACTAGCACATAACGAAAACAACACCGGAAACATTGCCCTCCTCACCTCACTCTACAAATACTTCGCCTCTTCAAAAGAAATGCGCGATGCATCGATTTAATGCACGAGATTATGGAAAGAGTATAATCAAGAGCTTGAAGCGAGGAGGTAATTTTTCGGTCTTGTCAACGCGATTTAGAAGAATCGTGGACTGTTGGGGAAGGAGGAGAGGTATTACTGATGCAAAACTTGGTGTTTTGGAGAGGAAGGGAGCGGGGGTGATGGATGGGGAGAAGAGGGGAAGGAGTTGAGGTTGTCAAGAAGAGGATTACGGAGATATATTTGCAGTACTCTAGGCATATCCGTGAAACAAGGAAGCGATGTGTTTTTTTGCTGAGGAATATGGAGGAGTTCCAAAGGATGGAATAGGGAGGTTTAAGCTCAGGGAATTGGGAATGGGAAGGGAGGGGAAGTTCTAGGTGAGTTTCAAACAAACTGATTATACACCATGTAGTGCAGCATGAGACCTTGGAATTGTTGTGGATTGGAAAGAGCAATACTTGTGGAGAGAATGTGGAGTTGATGAAAGAGCTTATTGTCTTGAGGGCGGAACAGGCCGGGTTGCTTGGGTTTGAGAGTCATGCTGAGTATGTATTCGACGCCGCAAACCCTGTTGAAAAGAAGCAGATTTCCGATCAAGAAGGTTGACCGACTTTATCTAGCTACAAGATGCCAGAGAAGATGTTTACGGCGAAAGTGGCTACTGAGTTCCTTGACCAGCTTCAGGAGGACATTGCACCCTACGGTGAGGTTGAGATGGATGAGATGCGGAAGTTTGAAAGGGAATATATTGTGTCGTAAATTCTGGCCAGAGGAGACTGGCCCATAGGCTGTAGTTCTGGGATGCAGCTTTTTATTTACAGACTCATGAAGGAGACTCAAGTGTAATTCGATGAAACGCAGCTATCCGAATGCTTCCCACTCAACAAAGTTTCCGCTGGCTACTTAAAACATCCGAAACAATGTTCGGCCCTGCACTCGAGCAGATCCAGGAGAAGGGAGAAAACTGCCCATGGACAAGCAAGGACAGCCAGTGGAAACAGCCACCTGCATAAAAGCGTCGTGACACTCTCCATCTGGAACGAGGAAGCAATGGACGGAGACTTCCTCGGATATCTCTCCCTCGACCTCATCCAACAAGAAGGGAAAAAGACCACGCATGCAACATCGCCTTAGCCACCGTACCTTCTCCCTAACCCCATATCCGTACCCTAATCTGACAACTGATAGGGATACTCGTACCCAGACGGCACAAAACACATCTTTCGACCATGCTACTCGCCTCCTTCCCAAACCTGAACACCGGCAAAAACCACTTGCTCCGGCAACGCAACATCAAACCTATCCTGCACAAGTTGGACCACGGGATCCATGGCTACCCACTTCGCATCCATCTATGGGACAGCTGCTGCGCAATACTTCGTCGAGATCCCAAGTAAAATGTTGGAGAATTGATGTTGGGGTCCATCGATTTTGCATAAGTTGTGAAGAAACTATTCCTACCTTTCGGCTGAATACAAAAAAGCTTGAGAAGCTGAAATTTCCGGGGAACAACAACCGCCGGAGTTGTTGGAGAGGCTTGCAGCGATGACGAATGTGGGAAGGGGGGTGGGGGGTCGAAGATGAGGGGTTTGTTGCCGATGGCAAAGTTTGATATGTTGATTCATGGAGCAATGGATGTGAAGCAGAGATGTTAGAGTACCTGGGTCGCAAGCCGAATGGAGCGGCATTTTTGAGAGAGCTGAGAAAGTATGCCTTCATCTTGTTGAAACATTTATACTGCGACAACACATAATTTCAATGGAAGCCGTACTGGAGGTTGCATTGCATTCAATCCTCCATGAGATCATCCTGGAGCTCGCGGTGCAAGCCGCTTTCCTTATATGCAGCATTTATCTTTTCTGAGAAGCGTTCCTCAGTCTCATTTAGTTCCTCGTCGGATATTGGGGTACTAGGGCGCTCAGTCGCCGGCAACCCACTTTCAGAACAGAAGCTTTGGAGCGCGAACAGGTCAATCGATGCAATCTCATCCTGATCCAGTGGCCGAAGGGCTATTGTGGACTTGAGATTCTGGTAAGCTACCTCCCAAGCGTATGCTTGTATTTTTATGTACTTCAGTGAAGGACATTTCGAGTGAATCAGTATCCCATAATGGTATGCAATGTCTCGCGAACCCTCAACGCCGGGCCAGAGAGATGAGGCTTTGGTGGGATATTGACCGCCCCGGTAGCTTTTGCCATCCAGTCTCAAGTGCGTAAGACGTCGAAGATTGGGCAAATGGGAGGAAAATTGAACCTTTCTAAAATTAGTAACTACCCGACTACGCTGTAAAGCTGCTCACCCATTGTGTCTCGAAATCAAGGCACAGACCAAGCTTTGTGAGTTGAGCGCCATTCTCATCAAGCCTATCAAGGACGGTTATGATAGAGCGATCAAGTTCTTTGTACGGGTTTCGTGCCTCAGAGGGGGTTTCTGAATCGGACCTTAAACCTGCCTGCGAAGGTGTCCCTGCCATTGACAGGGTTCTTGGCTTTAGGTGGATTTGTGGTATCAATAAACTTTCTACTTCTAATATTGTTCCCGTTTCCGAGGTGATCTCTGCTTCCGAAGAATCAGTGACTGACGAGTCTGTATCTGACCAAGCTTCGTCTCCACTTCGTCTGGCGATAGTCATCTCCCGGACGAAGAGCATCGATAGCCGTGGGAGCAAATACTCAAAGTAGTCCAGATCGTCATCGTACATGCCATAATGATCTGTGACTATGAGCTCTTCGACGACAGAACCACAGCCATTTGTGAGCCAGCTCACGAGATCCATTTCCAATCTCGAGACACTTAGTCGTTGCAGCGACTTGCAGTCTTCCAGCTGATCCCAATCAACATCCATAGACTCGTGTTCATCGAAATCCCACTTTACCAAACCATTGAAGAGGTAGAAAATTTTCAGAGTCTCCAGCTTTACCAACTTGAAAAGGTATTTGTGGGTCTTTGAAAATTCTCGCATCACCGAATCGGAAAGGAAAATTCCGTGGCCGAGTCGCAATGTGTCGAGTGCTAGCGACACCCGTGTAGGGGAGGCATAATTCACACACACTTTCTCGAGAAAATGCAGTGTATATTCATCTTCTCCAATTATGAGTACGTCTGGCGAGGCGTTACAGTCAAAGTCGCAAGCAAAACCGAGGCCTAGTGTCTTAAGGCCTGGGCATTCTGCGAGGACATTCGCAATCTCTACCGCGAGAGAGTCTGGATCCCCGTAGAAATTATAGAGCTCCAATGAGGTTAAGTTATCAAAGCCTTCCAGGGAGATGGAACAGTTGAGAGCATCCATTTGATCGTCCAGATGTTGACTTGCGAATAGAATTGAGATGTTCTTTATCGTGGCGGATTGCTTGAGAGCTTGAAGAAGCTCTTGATTACGAAGCATCAGGCTTGGGCGATAATTATCGTCATAGGTGGAATCGATCCACCTTGGCTTCATGTCAGTCGGGAAATGGTTCTAATTGGAGATGGGATCATCAAACCGGAAAGATTGAAGATTCTTCATTTCTTTCAGTATTCGGACAACCAGAGAAACGTAACCAGAGTTCCAAGATTCGCTATATTCTCCAAATAGGTCCCCCTTGCCACGAAATTCCTCCAGCAAAACCTCGAGTTCTTGGGTATAATGGAGTCCGGTCGGCAGAGGTTTTCGACGCCACCGAGAGGAGGGAATGGCGGTCAACTCGAAGGTGAATTTGCGACGTAAGAACGGAGTGAATAAATCGCAAAAAGAGCGGCATGTACTTATTAGCGCGAGGAGCGTACTTCGACTTTGTATCTGAGAGATCCGTCAGCAAGTTGTGCAGTAAAAGTGAGTGGGGTTCTTCGATAGAAGGATTTGGACGTACCAATTCTCCAATCATACTCCATACCTCAGGCGATAAATACAAGCCCTGAGGTGAGTCAATACCATCTTCGGTCATGATGATGTCCATGGTGGTCCTTGCGTATCCTCCTGGGTTGTAACCTTGCAGGAAAATGAAGTGGCCTGGAAAGACGCGTTCTGGAAAAGAGGAAAAGCGGAGATGCTCGGTTGGTGCGGAAGGCCCTCGGGAGCTAAAACCTCGCTCTTACAGGGGTCTCGCTTACCGCTTATTTGCCCCTGACGTTCCTGAACAGAACCGAATGGACTCCTCTTCACTTCTCCCTTGACGTGGACAGAGAACCTGAGGCCAAGCACCACTACGTCCTCATTGCCAAGTCCATATCTGTCTCTCGAACAACCTGATCACCTCCGTTCATAATACAAATCATACAGTCATGGGCCCTCGGAATTCCGGACCTCACCTGTCGTGGCAAGATAGGTTCCCACTCGTTAATGCGGCCTGACTTCTCCTTCTCCGTCCACCATTACTGACTCTAATACCGGCCGCCTTGATTGCTGGCTGACCCGGTCCTTGGCTGACTTGAGCGCTGGATTACTTGATTGCGGGAGGCGATCGGAGCCAGGGGGCGAGCTGTGAGGTAGAGTCAGGTACGACGATAGCAGAATGCGTTGATGTAGTATGGTAAGCTTCAAGGTTCAGTGGTCTGTCAATAATTCAAGCTTTATTGACCTAGTTCTTCCTGGTTTTACCATATGATTCTTCCGCTGCTTCGTAAGTATTTCATTAGTGCTTGTCTTGTTGCCATTACACAGGCGAGGTTTTAGTTATTCCTACATCCCTTACGCTTTCCCCTACTAATGAGCAACAGCTTCCGACTTTACACAGGCACTTCTCGTCTATACATTTGCGCAGCTGTATTGCCACTCAAGACCACAGGAAAGAGATGGGGGCGACATGAAGTTTCAATGAAGCCAGAAAAGCTGAAAGTAGATTAAAATTTCAATTTTAAGTACACATATTATACCTTATTCACACTTTGTATATCCTTAATTGCTCTGCAACTCTTCCTCGCAGCCTCTACCGCAATCCTTACATCCTGGTAGCCATCCTGAGCTCACATCCTCAATTTGCTTGTGCAAATCTACTCCTGCCTCGCAGCCTCTTTCCATATTCGAAGAATATATATCTGCAACTGGATTAGCCCTGCATCGCGAAACTGGTAAAAGTTTTGCTCACGGGAATGGAGCCATCGCCAGTGTAATGAAAGCCAACAGCGCAGTAGCCCAGTCATATCCCAGCTTCTCATACACTACGCAAAAGCATCAGCACCTCCACTTCATCACATCGCCATTCCTTTTCATCTTACTCACTCTGAATCCCGAAAAGCGGAAACGCGGCACCGAAAGCGCTCCTCGCGAAGCTGTTGGCTGCAAGTGCGCTGGCTGCATACAGTGGATATGCATCGACGAGGAACATCCACGTTCCGGAGAATGATAGGAAGACGCTGCATGATATTAGTGAGTAATGACGGCAAATTCCTGTCGAGTGTGGATGCAGAGATCTGACTTACCCCATCCCGAAAACTCCACTTGCGATGATGGGCGCTATCCCATGTACAGATGAAAACGTCATGAAGCCAAAAAAGAACAAGCCGACGGGGACAAGCACCGCTCCGGCCATGACTTGCGGCAAGCGGCACTCTGGCTCGACCTCTCCATCTACACTTCCTGTCCTCTGTCCTTTCTTCATGGAAAGCAGGTAGTGTCTCTGCCAATGAGGAGTCGTGGCAACACCGCCCAGAATCCCAATCGCCACCCCCAGGAACGTCAGGCCAACTTGCCACAGGTTGAAGCCATGATTCGTCGTGAACACCAGAGGGAATGCACCAAAGAATAAGTACAGAATTCCAAGCAGGACTGCAGAGTGGAGACACAGATTGAGACACATTGGTTCCAGAACCAGCATCTGCAGCGGCCGAAAGAACGACCACAAAACAGTCTTCAGCACCGGGTCTGTAGGAGCCAGGTCGGCACCAAGATACCGCTCATCTCCCATCTCCTTCTTTAGTCTCTCCGCTCTATGCCTTAGAATCACAGGTCTGTACGTCTCCGGCACAAAGAACATCGTCGCTACCAATCCCGTCCCCGTCCAGATCATCATAAAATAGAAGGTCCACTTCCAACTAGCATAATAGTTAATAAAACCACCGGCAATGGGGCCCATTTCCGGACCCATGAATTGGATGCCCGAATATATCGTCATCGGGAGCTGCAGCTGGGAGGGGGAGAATAGATCTCCTGCGTTTGCACCTGCTACGCTGAGGAAGCGGGCGATTATTAGGATTTGGATGTTGGAGGCGAGGGCGCAGGTGAGGAGCCAGAGCAGACCGAGGGAGAGGGAGAGGAGGTAGATCGGGCGGCGACCGTAGAACTTGTTCAAGCCAGTAAGTAAAACAGGAAGGAGAGGGGGAAGACAACCTCTGATAATGGTGACAAGGACAGCGGCGCAATTCCCATATCGAGAATAAAAGTTGAGAGCCCGACTGTGGCCATTAGTTCGGAGCAGTATAATTCGTTTGTGATTTGCTGGTATGTTGCGGTGTATATTGCGGAATCGCATGCACTTTCTAATCAGTAAATATTCCACCTGTGGGCTTCTGCATGCCGGGAAACTTACACAGATGCAGAACTGAAAGATATGATGACCATGATTATCCATTTCTTGGTCGTAGGAAAGTTCCTTGGATTTTCACGATCTTCTTTGCCTCCAAACCGAACCTCGAATTCATCATTTTCACTCGCCGCACGAGGGAGCTCGACCTTTTGATCAAGAGTAGATGTGCCCTGAGATTCAGTGATGTTGCTGATTTCTTGGAGAGAGGCGGAATCGAATCTCCGGAAAAGGTACGCGCCAATCTCGGAAGACATCGGCGAGGGCAAATCCTGTTCCAGTCTCGCCCCAGATGAGTGAAATGAGGCGACAGGATCCCTTAAAGAAGGTGGTGACTATATCATCAAAAAACTGTTGAAGAATGGTAACGGGTCCAGCCATGTTTGAAAATGTATATATGTGTCGAGTTAAATAGGAGGTGAAGTGACGTTGAGAAGATTTGAGTTCTCGATTTCTCAGCATGAATTCGCCGAACCCGGAGAGAATTGGTAATCCTTATTCTACTTCGTAAAACTCCAATCTTTTTAAAGCCCGGAGCTTGATGAGAAACGTCAAAGCAGGTTAGTAGGGTGGGAGGGGCTAGGACAGCTCCTCATTGGCGAGGAAAGATTTCCCTTTTGGGCAACGCTTGTAAGCAACCCCTTTCATTTTGTGCTTACCAAATATAGTTCATCCTGGCATGCAGGGCAATGAGCTCAGTAAGGGGACCATATTAGCAGTAGCTTTATTAAAGATTGGTATGCTCAGTATGGGACAGTACTAGAAGTAATTTTATTGAAATTTTGTACGCATCTACTTGCATCACTTGCAGCTAAACATAGAGCTTGTGTAATCTCTAATATCGAGTCGGGTTCACGCTCGTGTCGAAGGAGAGTATTATTGAAAAGCAGAATCGTTATTAATTCCTGTGACAAGTACTACCCGAGTAGGATAGTCATCGTGAAGTGAGTGGATTTGGAAGTAGCGTTGGGAAGGCTTGGTTGTCTCAGGAACACTAGGAGCGTACTTGGATATTTTCAGTCCGGATAATGAGCCCAACAGTCGGACTTAAAGTCACTCCTAAAGTGCAGTGATTATCCCTGTGCTTTAGAACCAAGGTCAACTCCTCCTATCAGACCATTATACGCCTTCTTGTCCATCATTTCCCGTGTCACTACATTTACGAAGAATGCGGCATAAAGTAATGAGATTACAGGGTATTTGGGAGCTTCTAGGACCCTAAGGCATATTATCCTATAATTTGAGCGCTCAAGCACGCTACAAAGCACTATAACTCTAGGCCTTATTCCCTGAATCTAGGCTGTGGGTTATTAACAGGATTATAGAAGATCTTTACGGGTTATAGCGCTGCTAGCGGGGTAAATATCGCGCTCGGGCGCCGTGAGGGGAGTAAATAGGCCTCTTGAGCAAAGTCGCCTTGTAATTATTGGGGACATACCTCAAAAAGGCGTGGTACCCCCTATTTGTGGATTATAGCTCTTTTTTAGGGCAATGGCCTGAAAATAGAGAGGGGTTTAGTAGTTGAGTGTAGTAAAAATTGGTTTAATAGTGGACTTGAAGCACATATGCCCTGTAATCCCGTCACTTTATGTCGCGATCTTCGAATACCCTCAACATATGGGGCGTTCTAAATCATCCTATAAAACACTCAAAAACGACACATATATCTACTGGATTTCAAGCAATCCCACAGTCTCCCCCAAAACTACCCCGAAGTCCCACCCATCCTGGAGGCTCAATTCATCGACAGTGCCTCAAGTAGAGCGTTGATACTGCTCCACAGTCATCAACGAAGTACCCTCCTTGCTAGCTCCTACCTGTTCAATTGTAGACACGCTTTCATACTCAAGATTATTAAACTTGTTCTGGAAGCCAAAACCAGGATGGAAGATAATGAGTGCAAAGACAGCTATAGTGATCATACTATTCCACATATCAGCTCACTCCAGAATATTTGTCTTCGCAGACTATGAAACACAACATACCAAGACTCGAGAATGATAAAAGGAGTCTCCTCCCTCATCAACCGATTATTCCACCCACCACCCAGTTCCACAACTCTGTACACGCATCTCGTAAAGATCGTCATGAACGACACAACCAGAGCCCACAAGAATCCCCTAAATCGCATACTAGCTCGTAGTTTCTTATACGCGGGGTTCTTCCAGCTTTGATATTTTCGCACGCGGAGGGCAAAGTCGATGCAAGCGAGGGCAAAGAAGATGAGGGATACGATTTGGAAGATCAGACCGACGAGCATGAGGTGGTTTCCGAGTTCCATGGTGCTGTGCTTCGTTGCTGAGGATGCCACGCCGCCGCCTGCCCCTTGCAGTGTGAGCGAGATTATGTCGCAGTTGATGAAGAAGCGTGTGTACCAAACTGGTTTGACGCGCGGGATTCCTTCGCCATAGACCAGCATTCTGTCATTTCGTTAGCGGGTGCTTTGTGAGGAAGTCGAAGAGAAGGGGGACCTGCATTCTTGAAAGACAGAGATAGATTCCCGCTGAATAGAAAGCGGGCGCGGTTGTGAGAGTGGTAATTTGCATGAGGAAACTGATTAAAAGGTCATATGAATATCTGGTTCAGGAAGGATTAGAGTGGGAAGACCAACGTGCTCAGTCGGTACGGGTTATTGTGCATGAGGATTCTTCCAATGTATCCAACCACTTCTGAACTCGATCCTAGCAGCATGGCAATCATAAAGGACCAAGTCTTGTACTTCCATCCCTGAACAAGATGGCAGATGGATGAGAGGTTGAAAATTATCACGAAGATAACACTTGCTGCCACGTTAGGCGCATAGCCAAGGGGAGAGCCATCAGCAGGACAATGTGGTCCTATCTGTTTGCACTGTATGTCTGCCATATTGAATATTTGGCTGATAGTGAATGAGTTGGAAGAATTCGGGCTCTGAGCGGCGGAGAAGGAATGCTGTCCTGTGGGACAAATTTGAGGGGAAATGGATCACGGGAATTAGAAGGTATATATATTTCTTCACCAACTGTTACGCATACCATCTTTCCACTTGGCCCTAAAATAGCTTTGACAGCTGAGTCTCAGACTTTCAGCTACCTAAGTGGCTCAGCAGGGTTGACCGCGAAATTTCCAGCAATGAGTTTAGTGTATGAACGGCACAGCCATCCCTCAACTCTAAATTGGAAACACTCCATAACCCAAGAAGGCTTGCAGAATGTAGGGCTGAGATCATCCTGCAAAAAATGCAAAGGAGACGGAAGCTAGTGAAAATAGGGGGGATGTCGGCTGGGTAAGCGCTAGGTCAAAGTGCGGAAATTTCCGCGACAAGGGGAGGTTGCGTCTCGGCCGTAGCATATGCGGGCTGCTTTGGAATCTTGAACTTTTTGAACAACCTGCTACTCTCACTTGCACGCTCCCAGATTTGCTTGTCGATCGTTTCAGCTCAGACGTTCCAAACAGAGTCGGAATAATGTTGACGGGTTTTTCGTTCTTGCATGTCACTGATTGGACGGATGACGAAAGCCATTATCCTAGAGAATGAGCATGGTCACCTCCGGACCGGATGGAAATCGGTTATTGCCCATAATTCCATTTGCAGCGTATAAAGGGGTCGAAGACCGCATCTGGCACATTTCACGACGAGCCGCGAGGTTTCATTGAGAACGCCATTCCGCCGAAGCTGCCTGTGAGGACTAACTGTGTCTCAACATGGGTCGACATGTCGGAAGAAGCAGAGGGTGCCAGACCTGCGTCAAACGAAGAGTCAAAGTAGGTGCCTCCCGGGTGGCTGGTTCCAGCACAGTGGTTGATGAACAACAGTGCGGTGAGGAGACGCCAGCATGCTTTCAGTGTGTTAGCGCCGGCTTCGACTGCCCAGGTCCAGTTCAAGGAGCAATTTTTATCGATATGTCCGAAGGCATCCGGGAGAAGTCGATGCGAACAGTTTCCAAATCTTCCAATAAGAAAATTCTGAAAGTCCCAAACTGGAATTCGTGTCCAAACTCTGTAGCATTCAAAACCCTGAGTTCAGATACCGTCAAGTGTATGCGTATAGCATCCCAAGCCTTCAAGCTACCAACCACAAGACAACCGAGCCGTCAAGACATATTCCAGGACCTATATGTTGCGAACTTTATTTCGGCCCAAAATGCAACCGTGCACCCCTGGATACTCGAGCTGCCCAACCTGACCTCGCTTTCCTCTTCTTACCTGTCCGAGGTGTATGGAATCCGCGCCGCAACTCTAGCTCTCTACGCCAGAATCTCTCACAACCTCGACCTCGAGGTCGAAGCGGCAAAATGGTATTCGAAAGGCTTAGTCGCTCAACAGCAAGAACTCCACCTAGCAATGAGTACAGAGAGTTATTCTCCGTGTTGCCACAAAGCCGTCGGTGCCGCAGTAATGTTCTCCTATTTCGAGTCTGTGATCACGACCGTGCCTATGGGCTGGATGCAGCATTACGCAGCGGCTATCAAGATGTTTGAGATTGCTGGACCGGAGAACTGCCAGACGGGGCTGATGCACAAGTTCTTTCGCTCTGTTCGGGTCGCAGCCGTTTGTGCTCCCCAAATCTCTTATCTGATGAACCTTGCTGATGGAGGTCAAGTTCACGACCGCATTGATAGCAGACGAACCCTCAGTTCTTGCTGCGGACGAATGGTGCACAGTCCCTTTTGACCGGATACCCAAGACACCATTTGACAAACTTGTCGATATCCTCCTCCAACTACCATCATGTTTGCCATGCCGCAACGAAATGCGAAAAAACTCTTACTCAAATCCTACCAAAGCCTGCTTATTGAGACTTCAACTCGGCTCCACTGCGAAGCGGTTACTTGACCGCCTTGACGACTTCTGGACTGAATATAAGGAAGAGGTTGATCCAGCCTATGATCAACGCCTCGGAGAAATTTCCCCCGCATCGACTTTCACAAATGAAGACCGGTTAGAGGGACATCAAGTCCCGAGCACACAGCAATCCCCGTTTAAAAGCGCTTCCGATGCTTACTTCACCTCCATGTACGACTCAGGGAAGATCATCACGCTGGGCTTCCTCGCAACCGTTGCTGTTGGAGTACACTGGTATAACTATAACCGAGAGATAGTCATGCATGGTACATCGATCCTGGCTTCTGCCGCGTACTGCGAGAGTCTTGGAGTGTTTAATGGTGTGAGTTTCTCGATGGTGTTCCCAATCAAACTCGTTTGTTTGCTCTCGCCTTCTGAAGAGCAGAGGATACTCGCGAGGAGTGTGCTATTAAAGTGGGGCGAAGAGAGGGGGTTGGCGGATTCTTGTCAGGTGGCTGCTCCGTCATATCTTGATCGAAGTCATGGGTAGCGGGGATCTTAAACAGAATTCTCATGCATGAAGTTCAGGACGTGGAGAGGTATGAGCACGAATTCTATGTCAAGAAAGATATTTTCATTTGGAAAGGCACACATGTCGCTTCTAGGACATATATCCCCGAGGCTCTCTACAACCTTGCACTTCCGCCATCCAGTTGCTCTCCCTTCTCGTTGAAACGAATTCTCTCGCCCGTGAGAAGGGCTTCTTGCAAAGCCCAACCAATCTTCAAGCTCATCAAACCCAGTTCCAACTTCAAAGGCACTGGGGTATTGTTTACAATTGAGGCGATGAACTCATTTGCCTCTGTTGCAAAAGCATCCTCAAATCGTTCCCAGTATTCGGGCTGCACTTTGTGGCTGACACCAATTTTCTGAGCCACTGTGACATTGTCGAGTCTTGGTACCAGATTTACCATGATTTTCCCTTTCGTGCCCACCACTTCGGTGCAGACATCATGGCCATGGGCTTGGGTTCGCGAGCAGTAGAAGTATGCAATCTTCCCGCCCCAGTATTCGACAACACCAACTCCATTATCGACATCGTTCAAGTCTTTCAACTCGGGATGATGAGCAATGGTGCCCACTGCCCAAACTGCTTTGGGAATAACATCCCCAAAATAGTATAATGACAGATCGATATCGTGGATGCAGCAATCCACAAACATGCCTCCATTCTTTGCTGCATACCGGACGAAGAATCCCGTGTTATCGATGAGATCGCATGTCTGAGAACGAATGACAAACGGCTCGCCGATGGCATCCTCAGTGATTTGTGCCTTGGCATTTCTGTAGCTGGCATCGAACCTTCGAGAGAAGCCTGCCATGACTTTGAGGTGGGTATTTTTATTCGCAATTTCGACCACTCGCTTGGCCTATATGTACTTATGAAAGGATGAGCTCTATGTTCTGTTTGGTACTCGATCGTAGATGAGAGCCTGTCACGTACCTCCTCCATATCAGTGCTCAGCGGCTTCTCACAAAGGACATTCAAGCCCTTCTCAATCGCTGCAATCGTCTGAGAAGCGTGTACATCAGTGCTAGTGCTGACCCACACAGCCTGAAGTCCGGAATGCTGAATCATCTGATCGTAGGAATCGTAGACTTGGATTCCCCAGTCTTTGTACTCGTTTCGAGCCCATTCGAGCTCTGATTGCTCGGTGCTGCAAACTGCAACCACTTGCGCCTCTGAGACACGATTGAGGAGTGTTCGAACATGGCGCTTCCCCATGCGTCCGAGGCCCGCGACTGCGATTGAGATTTTGACATCTTGCTTGGAAGGAGCCATTCTGAAGTTTGGAGGTATTCTGGGCCGTCCGAATAGTTTGGACAGAGTTAGCGACTTTGAAGTGTCAGAGGTGCGGAACCACTCGTAGTTATACCATTCCAGGCGTCGTCTGGGAGCTGCTGGGTCCCTCTGGATATGGCAAGTCATACTGTAGTATTTCCTTTGGATCGTTGACATTCCGACTCAAATCCGAGAGGGCGAAGCACTTGAAATCCAAGTATTCACTTTTAAAAAAGAGACTGGGAAATTGCCTTTCCTGGGGAGCGGGGTCAAAAGGCTGCGGTGTAGCCTTGCCCCACCATGCCCCCCAGCGCAGCCTCGCAGATCCAGGTCCCGTTTTGGAAATTTTCACGGAACTACCTTCCTCATTCCCTCGGTTCACTAGGGTTCGAAATTCCGATTATCACTCAATGGTGTATTGATGGCACCTGAATGCATTAGTTCCCGAGATAGGAGCTCATGCTTTATTTTAAGATTTTCAACGAATAAAGACTTTCTCCGTCGCTGCTTTCCTCCTCTCAATAGCTTCTCAGACACGTTTTCTTCAAGCTTCATTGATCAACTTCCTAAACACATACAAACCCGGCTTTTGCCTTAATCTATCATATTTCCCAATGGCACCCAGAAAGCTGAAAATCGCTTGTGCTGGTCTCGGCCGCATGGGCAAGAGACATGCTCTACATTTTCTCAACCGAACTCCTCGAGCAGAGCTGGTAGCAGCAAGCACACCAGATGACGACGAAATTCAGTGGGCAAAGCAGCATCTTGAACCTTACGGAGTTCGCCTGTACAAAGACTATGATGAAATGCTGAAGCAGGAAGGTTTGCAAGCTGTGGTCATTGCATCGGTCACCACTGTCCACGCCGAGCAAGCTATCAAAGCTATCGAAGCCAATCTTCACGTTCTGTGCGAGAAGCCACTGTCCACTTCCGTCGAAATTGTAAGATTTTCTCCCACCCACTTTTCCGATTCGGAAACTGACTCCAAAATTTACAGTCACAAAGCGTGGTAGACGCAGCAAAGAAGAAGCCCAGCCTAAAAGTCATGTGTGGGTTTTCTCGCAGATTCGACGACTCGTACCGTGATGCATTCCATAAAATGGACACTGGACTGATAGGCAGACCTTCTATCTTCCGTTCCCAAACCTGCGATATGCTCGACCCCTCCGGATTCTTTGTCGCATATGCAGAATTCTCAGGCGGAATCTTCGTTGATTGCTCAATCCACGACATCGACCTTGCACTCTGGTTCTTCGGACAAGATGTGAGGGTGAAGAGTGTGGTTAGTTCTGGCATCACAGCTGTGCAGCCGGAGCTGCGGAAGCACAAGGATATGGACAACGCGGTAGGCATCGTGGAATTTTATGGAGGCCAGATTGCGTACCTATTTTGCAGTCGGATGATGGCTGCTGGCCAGGACGATGCGACCGAGATTATTGGAACGGAGGGAAAGTTGACTGTCAATGCTCAACCGATGAGCAATTTGGTCAATATCTACGAGCCAACTGGAGTCAGGAGGGAGATACCACCTCATTACTATGGAAGATTCGAGCAGGCTTTTGTCAATGAAGCCAACGAGTTTACGGCCGCCTGTTTAGACGACCTGAAGTTGCCGATGAAGTTGACGGGAGCGGTGCAAGCTGTGAAAATTGGATGTGCACTGCAAGAGAGTTTGAACTCGGGGAAGAAGATCTATTTTGATGAAGTGGGACGACGCGTTGAGAAGGCGGTGCTCTGAATGGGTGTTCCTTTGTTTGTGCCATTGTTTAAGGGAAATTTGATAGAAAGAAAAGCGTTTCGTAGCCATAATAATAGATCGTGGTTCTCTCGACCCTGGATTTCTTGGTTTGATAGGTTCAAAAACTATTGAGTCAGCTACTTCACTTTAAAAGATCAACTCGCCAACCAGGTACATTAGAATTATATCACTCGGAATCGAGCTCAAACGCCTTATACTGAGTGTTATTACACTTGTAAAACGGAGCTCGGACTAATGAAATAATCTAGAGGCCGATGAAAGCGCAGAAACATCAACCAGAACAGCCATTAGAATCACGTGCGAAAACTGGCTGCCAATACTTCTAGATAGTCGGGTCCACAGGTCTGGAAATAAATTCCCGACCCCGAAATGGGACATGGACATCATCTGTATCCAGAAAGTGGCGAGTGGTAAGTTTGTCCGGAGTGGGAAACTTTCCATTTCTGGACAGATACACACCTCGCTTAGCTAGCGAGCTGCCCCTTTTCATCCATTTTCGGCAATTTCTGATCGCAGTTTCTGATCTGGAGATGCACCTCGTCTCTGGAGTTTATGGAACAAATCTAGGGACGTGAGATGCTATATCGGTAATGGTGTTGGTTGGGAATACATGGTCCCTGCCTAATGATGTGCTGCGGATTTGTACCTGACAATCTCCCTTTGGGCCGCCGAGGACCATCAGGTATTGGCGATGACAAAGGATTGTTTGAGCCTTAAAAATGTGAAGAAAAAGACCGAGTTCTTTTGAAGAGGAATTAAAAGAGTCATACATGGAGTGATACAATGCGAGTATGACTGACTTCAATATTTTAATTAGCAACTGCTTGGCTGCTTCATAGAGATATTCAGGACCAAAATTTGAAGTAATCAAAGGCTTGGGAATCAATGGGTAAATAATTTTTCAGTTAATTAATGGTATCCTATAAACTCCAATGGAGATCATTGTCTTCAGATCAAATCTACAGATCGCCAACACATGAGATATTTTATTCAACATCCTCAAACCTCCTCCAAACCTTCAGTGGCATTGGACCAGGAGCCAAGTTGAACGACTCGTATCTATCCGGAACCCATCCTTCACACGGCAACGCAAACTCAAATCTATGGACGACGCTGGCAAGTAAAACAGATTGCTCCACTATAGGTACACAACGTTAGCCTCTGTTCTTCGCGCACATGGAAAGAAATGCTTGCTTACAATAACTGATATTCCGACCGATGCACCCTCTAGCACCCGTGCTAAAAGTGATAAACGCAGCCTGCAACTCTTTCGCATCATCGCCCAGCCATCTCTCAGGTCTGAATGTCTCTGGTTCCGGGAAAACTTTTGGATCTCTGTGTGCAACATAAGCTGAAATCGATACTGACGTTTCGCCGGGAATGAAGTCGCCAAGGATCGGTGCGCCTTCAGCTGGGGTTCGTCGTGGCAGGCCGAAGGTTGAGGGTGGGTACATCCGTAAGGCCTCATCGAGACAAGCGCGGAGATAGGGTAGGTGTCTGACCTTATCGTACGCAACAACAGTCTCTGAAGGTTCGATAACTGCATCAAGCTCTGCTCTGAGTTTGGTCAAGCATTCAGGATTGGCGAGGAGAAGGTACATGGCGTTGTTCATTGCAATGGCCGTGGTGTCGGAGCCAGCGTTCATCATGATCGAGATCTCTGCGACTATTTCGCCCCATTCCATACCATTCGGGTTCCCGTTCTTGTCTTCCATTAACGCGCTGAAGAAGTCATCAAGTTGCTCCCCTGTGCGATAACGAGCCAGTCTTTGAGTAGCGCGATGCAAGACGATATCATTCCATCCTTCGTTCAACTTCCACATCTTTCGATAATCCTTAGAAACGAGCTTCGATATTTGGGTAAGGATGGGGAACCATTCGTAAGCCCAGACAAGACCAGCTTGCGCTCGCGCCGTAGCATGGAGACATTCCCGGTAGTTGACCTTGTAGAGCTTGCCGTCCATTGTCTCCGCGGTGACGAGGTCATGGCCTTGATCTAGGAAACCCAGACGTTCTGAGAGTCCTATATCGGCAATGGCATCGAGTGTGAAGAAGTTGGCATAGGCGCGGTAGTCGAAAGTGAGGTCTTCAGGGACCGGTGCCATGCCTTTCTTCAAGTGCTGTGTGCAGCGATCATCTGCGGCTTTAATGAATCGAACGGTTTTGTCTGCAACTTTGTGTTCCCATCCTTCCAGATTCTTGAGTGCATAGGCACTGGAGAGAATGCGTCTTTTTCTTTGGTGATCGAGTTTGTCTCGGACATCAGCCAGGTGGTGATGCGTCCCAGCCAAGGTGTCGTAAAATACGTCTTTGATACATTTTGTGTTGTGTCCATAAATATCCTGATACCTTGTTAGCTTGTACTCATGGGTTTCTTCCAATTTGAACTTACTTTTATGGCCGCAAGATCTGAGTATGAGAGAGAATTCGGTCCAATGCGAACAACTGGTGACTTTTGGTGTGCTTCAAGCAGGGCATGTGATCTAAAGCCCTTGTGCGATTCATATATAAACCCAAGGTCTGTGATTCCTGATAGGAAGTTGAGGTTGGGGTACTTTCGTAGGCCCTTAGGGTCACGAAAGTACTCGACGACGGGCCATATGATGAAGTATGACAGTGAAGAGAAAGCCACAACGGCAAAAAGAAGATAGCCGAACATGATTGCGGAGAAGATTCGGAGAAGTGAAACGTTGTTAGAAAATGTGCAGTGAGTTTCTTCGAGTCAATGGTGTATAAGTAGCTGATGGTTGTGAAAATCTGCAAGGAAGTGTGGGCCCCCTGCGATAGGAGTGTGCAGATGCGTGGATTTGGACGAACCCCACCTTGAAAGATCCGATAACACACAAGTTCTGCTTCATCTGACATGTGTTTAGAAGAGCCAGAAGGACTAGCTCCCGTAACCTTGCCATTCTAATCGCGGCTCAAGCAAAGTTGTCGAAGATAGGAATCCCCAGACGGCAGGCTTGAGGACCCCAGAAGGGGAGCAGTTGTGGGGTAATTTCCTCGCCAAGCTTAAATCAACAGCAATACTCCATCGAGTTCGTGACCAAGAACTGCCCCCGGCGGAAATCTTGCTCTGCATTTGGGGAAATTTTCGTTTCGTGGCTGAGAGTTTTGCCGAGCCCCTTGTAACTTTCTCGGCTAGCCTCCAGTTGATCAAAAGGGGCAATTCGCTAGCGCCGGAAGCAACCTCGGCTGCAGCTCAGGGGACGGAAACGGCAATTGCTGTAACCCAGATTGTTCTCTTGCCCGAATTGATACTAAATTTGCCTTCTCTATTCTTGCTGAACTACGAGAGGAACTAACAAACTCACAATCCCCCAATTCACACATTTCCCCAGGTTTCTGCTCACGTGATGAGATGTTGGCTTTCGCTGCTTGCCATTTCGAGCAGGCTGTCAGACAAGGCAAGACGCGCAAGGCTGTGGATTGCAAGAAATATTTTCACTCTATCCGATTCTTTCTATATCATCTTGATGTTTCAATATATTCTGAGCAGCTCAATGCAAAGTGTTCCATCCCAGTTCTTTCACTTCAACTGTCGTGTTGAGCGCACATTCTGTCATCATGTCGACTTTATCGAAAATGGTCGACCCTTCGCTTTTTGCGGGAGTCGAGAGCCTTCTCCAACAAGCTCAGAAAGATGACTTCGCTTTCCTTGCACTGATTATCTTGACGGGAATCTTCTACAATGTCTACATCAAAGAGAAACCTGATCCGTACCACCATGTCTGGTTCGAGAAGCCGCAGACAGCAGATGCAAATGCCAAAGGAGCAGATACAAGAGATATTGGAGTGAAGCTTGAAGAAAGTGTAGGTTCTTTTCTGTCTAAAATGTAATTAAACAATGCTAACCTCCGATTTGCAGAAAAAAGATCTGGTCATCTTCTGGGGTTCTCAATCCGGGACAGCAGAAGGCTTCGCAAACCGCCTGGTACGAGACTGCCGAAGCCGATTCGGACTCGATGCTCTTTCAGCAGACCTCTCAGACTACGACCCCGAGTCCATCTCCAACATCCCCTCAACCAAGTTAGCCATTTTCATCATCTCAACCTACGGCGAAGGCGACCCCAGCGACAACGCCACCCAATTCCTCTCATGGCTAGATACAAACAAGACTGTCCAGTTCTCTAAGCTGTCGTACGCAGCATTCGGGCTCGGAAACAAGAAATACAAGTTCTACAACAAAGTGGTGGACGTCGTGGTTGAGGCTCTCGATCGCTCGGGGGCAATATCCCTGCTCCCAGTCGGTAAAGCAGACGATTCAAATGGCACAACGGAGGAAGATTTCACAGGGTGGAAACAATCTCTCTTCTCCCTCTTCCGAGGGACTTTAGGCTTTGTGGAGCGGCCAGCACAATATGAGCCAACCCTAAAAGTTATCGAAGACACGTCCCTAGATATCATCGACCTTCACCTCGGCGAACCCATCAAATCGAAAACAGCAAAGAAAGGCAGCACACAAACGTCGCCAATCCAACCACTGCCTGTAAAAACTGCCAAGAAGCTGCTCGCCACCGAGGAAAGAAATTGTCTCCACCTCGACCTCTCCCTCCACGATTTCCCAGAATTGAAATACAAAACGGGCGACCACCTCGCTGTCTGGCCTTCAAACCCATCCTCTGAGATAAATATCTTGGTATCCGCACTGGGACTGCAACTAAGAACGGAAACTCCCCTGTTGATTCAGGGTCTCGAGTCTGGAGTGAAAGTCAAGGTTCCCTCGCCGACAACATGGCAAGCACTCTTACAGCACTACCTCGAGATTTCCGGACCCGTACCACGAGAAACCGTCCTCTCACTGGCACAATTTGCTCTCGATGAATCGTCAAAAGCCACTTTGAAACAGCTCGGCGAGGACAAAGACGCCTACCACACCTATTGTTCAATGAACCACGTTACGCTCGGTCGACTTCTCACCTCCCTCAATCCCACCCCTGGAGCGTGGTCTGGAATTCCATTGTCATTTATCCTAGAAAGTCTCCCAGTCCTCGCACCTCGATACTACAGCATCTCATCATCCTCCATCGTCTCGCCAAAGACAGTATCGATCACAGTCGCTACATCCTCCGAACCATCACCCGGCCATTCTATCTGCGTCCCCGGATTAACGACAAGCTATCTCTCCTCCCTCGAATCCCACACCCGCTCAATCACCAGCACAGAATTCACATTCCCATCAGATTCCCAGCTCACACTCTACGCACAAGTGCGAACCTCCAAATTCCGCCTCCCGACCCTGCCAAAACACCCCATTATCCTCGTCGCTTCTGGCTCTGGCTTGGCTCCCTTCCTCGGCTTCCTTGACGAACGAGCGCGCCTCACCTCCATCGGACGAGAAGTCGGTCATTCCCTCCTCTTCTTTGGATGCCGCTCTCCCTTAGAATACCTCTACAAATCCGAGCTCGAAGCGCTCCAAACTTCTAGTCAGGAGATTGAAGTCGTGAGCGCATTCTCAAGGGAGGCTGGTAAGGAGAAGAAGTATGTTCAGGATAGAGTAGAGGAAAAGGCAGAAGAGGTGTGCAGGATGCTGGTTGAGGAGAATGCGTATTTTTATATTTGTGGCAGTGCGAGTATGGCAAGGGATGTTAAAGCGCGTGTTGAAGGGATGTTGGGGAAGAAGATGGGCTGGGGAGAACAAGAGGTTCGAGAGTGGAGTGAGGGGTTGAGGAGAGGAAGGCGGTGGCAGGAGGATGTTTGGGGATGAGTTTGATATAAGAGTATTATTTTTTCGGATTTGTAGATAGAGGTGTTATTCAATGTTATTGAGAGGTTTAATTCTCCATATACTATTCTCATTTTCACTTTAAAAGGTGAACGGAGGAAGGCTTTTTCGCCATCTTATCGATTTTCCGTAATTTGCCACCTTTTTCGACTTCAAATTCACGACGAGAAAGACAAAAACTCTTGAGAAAACGGATATGAATTTTCAAGAAACAGCGCTCATAACGTCGTTTGTTTGTACATCATCAATCCCATGATTTTCCGTCCCATAAACTTCAAAGCTACAAGAAATATCTTCAGCTCGTCCACCCCCAAGCTTCCTTCAACCGCTCCTGAATCTCCTTCGTTGGCCACGCATGCTTCGTATCCGTCCACACCAGAATATCCAACATACTCTGCTGATCTCTGCTCTCAGTGAATTGATCACCACACATTGCTATCGCCATACAGGCTGTGTTCATTGCGGGCGGCGCTCGGCGGTTGAAGATCGCCACGCCGCAGATGCGCTTTACTACGGTGTTGACTTCGGCCTGGATTGTTGGGGTTAGCTTGTGGGTCCCTGAAGGGGAGGTATAGGCGGGGTGGGGAGCGGGAAACAAGTGGGAGGGTTGGACTTACCTCTATTCGCCTTGTTGCTGCCCAGTGCAAGGGCCCCAAGCGGGGTATTCGGGGATCATATACCGTGAGCAGGATCTTGGAGAGATCGAAATGTTGGACTGCAGTTACTGGAAGAGTAGATACCGTGAGTGCGGGTCCGTAAACCTTTTTGGCCAGTCATGGCATCCGCAAAGGATCGAGATTCGGGGAATTGGACTTACCATGGCAGTCTGACATGTACCACAACTCGGGATAAACTTCCCCTTTGCTCAGATCAGGAGCCTTGTCGAACATCGGCTCAAAGGACCTAGGTCTCAGGCGATCCCAACCCTGGTGATACTCCACTAATGCATCGTAATCACTGTTATTGGGTCGATGCTCGCCGTAGCAATACATTAGGACGTCGGCGCAATGCACCACGACGCGATGGGCCCAGGTAGCGTCATCTGTGGGCTCGAGCGAGCGGTAATCGTCGCAGTTGAGGGGCATGCAGAAAGGTCGTTGGCGGATGAACGCCATGTAAACTTCCTGGCGGCAAGCCACGCGGAATGCAGCCCGACGAAGGCTGCTTTGAGGGCCGGATGAGGCTTGGGCTTCGATGAAGACTTGGGTTCCTTGGAGCCCGGTTTCCCAATCTCCGCCATTAAGAGGAGCTACATCATACGTCAGGACCTAGAATCGATAGCAGGGGTGTCATTTACCATCTACTTCCTCGTAGAAGCGTAGAATTATTGACGCCACGAGGAGATCCTCGTCGAAAAGTGCCTCAGGATCATCCGCTACGGAAACTAGATGCTCGATGCAGAGGCTATGATACTCTACGGCGGTCTCGATCTGGAGATCTGCGAGATGTTTGCCTTGGTACTCGACTGTGCCGTCAACTTTGTACTCGTCGAGACGGCACAGATGTCTTGCTGAAGCAGTGTAGATGGCGTTGAGAAGAGCGGGACAATTTCTCGCCCTTTGAGGGACGACCTGGGCAAAATGCCGTTCTGGATCGCAGAGATCAAACTGAGATCGTCAATAGGAGTGTTTGAAGGACTCCGTGTGGCGGACATACCCAACATGCTAGTTCATCAATAAAGTATCTCATCAAACATGCCTCCTGAACATTCGTGTGGGGCCAGACCCCGGAATCAGGTGACGAAATTGCGAAAGGAGACTGTTGAACTTTCGATGGAGATTGAAACAAATTTGACTGGTCAGTTCCTTGTTGGGAAAAGTCAGCCGCTCGGAGTAAAGAGTCGATTGCATCTTCACTCCCACCGGGGGTAGGCGAGGAGGCCACGAAACTTGGCCTTGGCCCTTTTCCAAAGCGAGCAAGAACCGGAGAAGGTTGACCCACAGAGGCAAAGGAGGTTGAGTCGGTATCATTGGTTCGACGTCTCTTGAATGGTGTTGTGACTTGGGTGGGAGACTGATAGGATTGAGGGGTCCATGATGCCGGCTCGAAGGGCGGCTGGGTCGGCCCATCTGAGGCGACCGAAGCCACTGCTGCCGAGCCAGCAGGGGAACTTGTAAGTCGACTCCGTGGAGGTGTTGATGTCTCAGGAGTTACAGCAGGTTTGGGTTTCGGATTGGTGAGGTAGATTTCATCCAATTCAGGAAGTTCATCCACAAACTCCGAACATACTGGACGGCCCCTGGTCAGTGAAATTTCATGCATTCAGATACCACGAATGAAGGGAAGGCAAGTGGGCATAAACGAAAGAAACATGCAGCTTACTTTTCCCTCTTATCTTGACCCAAGGTTGATCTTTTGCGAAATCACTGTCGTACCTCGCGGAGGAGCCGTGCCTGAACTGTAGCTTCCCAAGGGTTGACTTTACAGACCCAGCCGTAATACTAGAGCCTTCATCTGAACATAACATGAGTCAGCCAAGCTCCTTTGATATTGCGGTTCAGCTCGGGCCTGAGATTTTGGAGTAACGTGACTGAAGCGGGGTCGAAGAGCGCACCAGGCCACCGACCTGCATTGTTCTGCTTGCCGGCAGAAACGCTGTTCCTGTCAGTACAATCAGACGTCATTGAAAGAGCTCAACCCAGGTAGGTAGGTACCTTAGCCTAGTTCGCGGCATGTAGAGGCAGTCCTCATTCTTTCGTCGTTTTCGCTATGTCGACGCAATCCGCTGCCACGAACAATAACACAGAGGAAACAGTGAGGGAAGTAAGCAAAGCAAGGAAATACTAGATGCGGGGAAGGAGCAGTAGTAATACCTCATCGGGAGTGGATTGGGTTAGAGCGGTTTCAGTGTCGGGGGAGGCGGCGAGGTCTGGATCCATTGCCGGCAAACGCCAGCGGGGACGATGGTCGCGGCGACGGGCAACCTCACGCCGATTCGTGGGCTCGTGCGCACCCCCCCCCGTCTTGCCTTTCCATCTAGACACCTCCGCAACTCTTATTCCCATTTCGACGCCTGACCCCAATCATGGGATGAGCGTCACTTCGAATCCTGCTAAATTGCTAATACTAGTAATGCACCTCTCAGTGAACGTTACCATGAGGCGCCATCCCTGCCACCTGCCCTCCAAGCCTGCGGGGCGAAGGAGATTTGTGGAGGGAAAGAAAGAGCCTGGGGCGCACCCGCTCCCCGCATTCGGTGGGATTACCCGAATTGTCGGTCTCGTTCCCCCTTGGCAGTTTGCCCAAGACCACATTGCCGGCAACTATTTTGTTTGGCTGCCATTCCTAGCTAGACGAGGCTGGGCGGAACATACATGATCCAGGCTTCAACAAAATGTGCATGAGGAAACCTTGTTTTTATCTTCCGGAGCTCGAAGAAATCTATAAGATCTGGATAAATCCTCGAGATCAATCATCCAACTCAGCTCTACAGAGTCAAAACTCCTCCACAACCTTCAGTACTTCCTCAATCTTCAACAGCTCCAACGGCTTCCTCATCCTCACCTATATCCCTCACTATGGGTCTCGCCTCAGAGCCTGAGTCTCCCGCAAAGACCGACGCCCTCCACGTCGAGAAAGTTTCAACATCCTCTCGCGATGGAGGATCTGAACACCTTGAGGACCTTGACTCTATCGAACAGACGCAGTCTGGAAAATATGCCTGGCTTGTAGCCATCACCGCTGGTGTTGGTGGGCTTCTCTTCGGTATGTGTCATGAATGATCCAGATTTTGGTATTAATCTAACCGTGCAAAGGCTACGATACTGGAATTATCTCTGCAGTCCTCGTCTATCTTCACAGTGATCTTGGCAAGATCCTCACCGCTAGCGAGAAGGAATTGATCACATCCATCACTTCTGGCGGTGCCTTTATTGGCGCCATCGCTGCCGGTCTTACAGCTGATCGCTTTGGGCGAAAGGGTGCTATCTACATGGGGTGCATTCTTTTCATCGTCGGTGCAGTTCTCCAAGCCTGCGCTTACTCTCTGGCTCAGATGACTGTCGGTCGTCTTGTTGTTGGTTTCGGCGTTGGCTCGGCGGCAATGATTGTCCCACTGTATATTGCCGAGGTTGCCCCTGCAAAGTATCGTGGTCGCATGATTGGACTGGATAATATGAGTATCACTGGAGGGCAATTGATCTCTTATGGTATTGGAGCCGGTCTTGCGAAGGTTCCTCACGGCTGGAGAGCCATGGTGGTATGCATTCCCCGTTTTCCAGTTCCCATGAATATTGACTGACCCTTGAACAGGGCCTTGGAGCTGTTCCTGCCATTGTCCTCATGGGCTTGTTGCCATTCTGCCCGGAGTCACCCCGTCAGCTCATCTACCACGACAAGCCTGAAGCTGCGGCCGTTGTCATTCAATCTATTTTCCCCAACGGAACTCCCGAGCAGGTCCAGCAAAAGATCAGACACATCAGCGCCCACGTCGCCGAAGCCAAAGCTCTCAAGGAAGGCAAAGGAAATCTCTGGCTTCTCAAGCAACTCTACGTCGTCCCAGGCAATTTTCGAGCACTCATCGCGGCCTGTGGCCTCATGGCTATCAGCCAACTTGGTGGATTCAACAGTCTCATGTACTACTCTTCAACACTCTTCGCTCTTGTCGGTTTTGCCAACCCTGTTGCTGTCGGTACCATCATCGCTGCTACAAACTTCTTCTTTACCTGGGTCAACTTGATGGTCGTCGATCGCTTTGGCCGAAGACGCATCCTGCTCTCCACCATGTGGGGAATGGCACTCTTCCTTGCCCTCGCAGCTGTCGCATTCCACTGGATCCCAATCAACCACGATCTCTCGCTTAAGACCAACAAGATTGGATGGCCCGCTTACGTTGTTCTCGCCTGCATGATCATCTACGTCGGCTTCTACTCCTCTGGCATGGGCAACACCGCCTGGCTCTCTTCCGAGTTCTTCCCCATGGAAATTCGCGCATACGGTACCATGATGCTGACCTGCTCATGCTGGGGCTCCAACATCATCGTCGCTTCTACCTTCCTCACACAGATGGAGAACACCACCCCTTCAGGAGCTTTCGGTTTCTATGCTGCGATCTGCTTCTTCGGTTGGATTGCAGTGTATTTCTGCTACCCTGAGGTGAAGGGCATGACTTTGGAGGATATTAGGGAGATCTTCAAGCATGGGTTTGGTGTTAAGTATGCGAGGGAGTTGCAGAAGGAGATGAAGGCGCAAAGACAGGTTGAGAACAGCAGGGCATAGATTCGGGAAGGGAAGGGCACGATGACAGGGCAGGTTGCGATTTATAGCGTTCATTCTCAAGAGAAATATATTTTCTTGTTTCAATGATCCCTTCAAACCATGATGTGTGAAGAGATAGATAGTGACTTTAAGATTATAAAAAGGGAGGATTCGCTTATTAAGCGAAAAATACCTCGCCAAAACGAGGGGTTGCATCTCATTCAAACAATTAGAAACCTCTATGAGTTGGTTGAAATGGATTCATTAATTCGGTGAAGGGAACGACATCACGAAAAATCGAACTTCGGAACGCGGACCTTGGCTTGGGGTGATCTGCATCTGATAGCATTAGCCCCTCGCTTGTTAGTCAAGCCCGAACCTCCTTATTAGTGCGGGGAGGCGAAAAAGACAAAGAGGGCACCAATCAAGTACAGCTCTGAGAATTATATAGTCACTTAAGTACGAGACAGTTGCGTAGATCTGCAATGCCAAAGCAGGGTAGTTTCATGAATTTCACTGTAATGACGGAAGTGGCGTTCACCAGACCACAAAAGGCACCTCAAAATTCCAATGCCACGGTAACTTCCCCGGATTTTTGGAGGTTTGAATCAGGGATACAGAACCTGGAGGATTGAGTGGGCTCGGCTGTACCTAACCTTCTTGCAAGACCTGCATGACTTCTGCCAGCCATACCCTCCTCGCATATAGCATGCAACATCCCACCTTTTTGCATTATATAAGAACTTCCGAGAAGCCTGTAGTTGGAGGTACTTAATACTTTTTTTAATTCAACCCCCTCCCCCTCCCCCATAGTAAGAAATTGTACTAGTCGAATATGGCTTCTCCAAGTATAACGTCACTACTCCAGCTCGCAGTCTTGCTACTGGGATGCAGCAAACTGGTTATGGGACAATCCAACGACACATTGCCGGTTTACTCATCAGATACCGTACCACAAATCACCTCAAACTCGACAGAAAATGAGAAAAACTACACTGCTCCCTATTTTCCAATTTTGGGTTTCAAAGAATACGAAAACAATCCTATCCTAACACCAAATCCAGCGAACAACTGGGAGTCAGCCTACCTTTACAACCCCTCCGCAATTGTAATCGACGACCTGGTCTGGCTTCTCTACCGAGCCCAAAACTCGTCAAAAACTTCGTCGATCGGTCTCGCTTGGTCAACTGACGGCTACAACTTCACTCGCTACAACAACCCCGTTTTGAACCAAACAGAGCCTTACGAGCATATCGGAGGCACCGAAGACCCGCGCGTTATCCGTGTAAACGAAACCTTCTACCTGACATACACCGCCTACGACAACGTTACCGCGCGCCTCTGTCTCGCCACCTCCCCGGATCTAGTGAATTGGAAGAAATACGGCCCCATGATCCCCAACGTCACAGATGTATTATACAACTGGCAAGACCCAATGACCTCCTTCATCCCACGGCAAGGCTGGAGCAAAAGCGGCGCAATCTTGAATGAGCGCCAGCCAGATGGCTCCTACCACATGCACTTCGGCGACTCGTTCCTCTACTTCGCCAACTCGACGGATCTCATCCACTGGAACGTGACCTACAACCAACCTCCCTTCTCCCCCAAGGTGAATGTCTGGGAACAAGCACTTATGGAATCAGCTGCTCCACCTGTCAAAACCCGCGATGGAAAATGGATCAAGTTTTATAATGGGGTGGCAACGGGGCTGGGGGGTTACAAGGCGACGCAGTATAGTACGGGCCAGATGCTCATTGATCCTGTGAATCAACCATTGGGGCCACCGTTGGCGAGGCTGGAGACCCCGATTTTGCAACCGACGAGTGTGAAGGAGGTTACGGGGCAGGTGGATAATGTGGTGTTTAGTGAGGGGTTGGTGCAATTTAGGGGCAAGTGGTTTTTGTATTTTGGGCAGGGGGACGCGTTTTTGGGTGTCGCGACTGCGCCTGTGCAACCATAGATAAAATACGTATTGTCACGTCTGTCCCTGCGTGCCGAAAAGACCTCATGGTTTGGGAGGCTTAAATCTCCACCACGTAAATATATAAAGTTATAATCAGTTTGCTATTGTTCTTTAACTATTTCTCTACAAAAGTTCAGTCAGAAAAGTACAGCGGTTTGGCTATACTATCGATCGTCTTGTTGAGAGCATCAAAAGCTGCTATAGTTATTACCCCCTGCTCTATTATGACTATCGAACCATGCCCGGAATTCGGGGCCGTGGCATAGAGCTCCTATTAAGTTCAAATATAGCTCTAAGGTTTAAAGACACAGAGCATAAGGAAACCTGCCTGCCAGGTTTATCCGGACAAAAGTTGGGAGGTTCACAAAATGCCAAGCATCTTAATAAGCGAGGAAGGATTTATCGCCTTACCCAATATTGTATTCACAGCCGCGCTAATCATATTTTATTACAAGTATGGCGTTCTTATAGAAGTTTCCACAAGCAGCCACGTGTCTAGTTCTGCACGGAGTTGCCACTCCGTCGTTCCAATCCCTATCCCCATCTCCATGTAAGATACGGAGGTAATGCTTTATGAGCGACCGCGCCAGTAAAGCCCTTACAGAGGCCTCCCCGCCGGGAGAGCCTCGAACATACGATGCCAGATCAAAACACGGTGGGGTCTCTTTATGCTTGTTTCTGTGTGAGAATAGCCTTCGTCTCTTGTTGGTCTTCTTCCTGTTCTCGAAGCGCCTTGGCTCTCTCCTCCCTCTCTTCTCTTGATTTCTCTTCGACTTGCTTCTGGTTTTCAGCAGAGCGACGTCTGGCTTCTCTGTATTGTTGCATATCCAGCCTTTGGTTAGTAGTTGGTTGGCAGGTTCTTCCCGAGCTTTTGCTATTCCTTTACTCTCGAGGCCTCAATGGCTGCTTCGGTCTGCTTGTCGAGGTAAGCTGCCCATAGCAACTGCAGCGACGTCGATCTGCACCAGGGCTGGCGGCTTAAAAAATCCAAATCTGCAAAGAATAAAGCCCATTTATTCTGATGAAACGCAAACTATAAAGGAGTACTAAGTATCAAAGTATTCATTTGAGACCAAAAAAGTGATCGCTCCCTATTTGAAAAGACCGTGTTTGACGATAACACTTTCAATTTGAGGTCCTCCGATTGCTCCGCTACTGCACTTTGGCAATAAAAGAGAGTCGTAATGTGTGCCAGGAACCATCCTAGCCTCACAGCCCTGACGGTGTCCCGTCCCTCCCAAAGTTATGTTCTATGCAGTCAATCGCTAATCAATAGTTAAGTTCCTATAGCAATACACATAGGTACCGTGGAGGATATACCTTCCTTGTGCTTATCAGGGCCAACGCAAGGATCAAATTCATCATGCTGCAATCTGTCTTGGCTTCGTGCCTATCTAACGCTGATTGCGACCTATACTTTGACCCGCAATGCTCGCAAGTCACCTTCGTCGCCCGCTCCACGATGCCGCCGTAGTTGTATACCTTTATATCCCGTGCTTGATCCCGAGGCAACCTCACTGTTCCGCCGTAGTTATAAATGGAAAGTGTGGGCCGAACAACTTGGCTGGGGCGTGTACGACGGCTAACAAGCTGTCGCTGACACATGCTGGATGCCGATTGAGAGGATACTGGCTTGACGGCTGCTGGCTCTTAAGTTCCAAGTTCTCCGTTCACGCAAGGAAGAATACGAGGAGCAATTGTGAGGAGAGACCGCAACAAAGAGTCAATCGGAATTGATGAAAAGCTTGTTGAAAGGTGCCAAGCTTACGGGCCTAAGGCAGCCAGGGGGTTGGGGGGAGAGGGGAGACTAATGGATTTATACTATATTAAGGGGCTTCCCAGCCATCGATAATCAAGAAAAAAGGCTTCCAACCACTTGAATTTGACAGAGCTCCGGTTTTATGCGTACTCGCTGCGGGGAGTAGAATCAAGAGTTCGTGCATGCATGCCAGCTCATCAAGCAAGATAGATCAATAGGACGCCAGCTGAATCGCACACTGGACGCGGTTTCCATGCCAGGTTTCTTTTGGGCCCACGACTCCCGCATACTCGGAGGCATCCGCAGGTTTGCCGCCACCTGCGAAGAATCATTGGATGAGGCTGAGACCTTTAGGTGCCCAACCTTTCTGACGGAAAAATCGTGGCCTCATTGTCGAGGAGGTTGGACGAATTAGACACGTAGAACGCGTTTCCGATCATCTTATTCACCATCTGAATCTGCTACCCTTCAAACAGATGACGCGGTTTTAATCACACCTGTTGTCAACTGCTTCAAGTGTGTACTTCGCCTTTCTTTCTTGATTTAGCCTATCCTGCTACCCTCGATGCCCGGTATCGAAATTGGAGGTACCGGGGCTGATTGGTAGGGAATAGAACGAGGTAGGTCATGATCCCATCCTCAGGCAATAGTCTCCCTGGTGCATGTGACCATTGCATCAGCCATAGCGTGGAAGAGAGCAAGCGTGGCAAATGATTACATACGTTAAATTGCAACGTACGAAGTAGTCAATAGGACGTGCGGGGTCGTTTCGCAAATATCGTTGGTCGCTTTGATTAGACGTACCGACCAGCATGGAGATCATGCATGAATTTGAGTGCCATAGCAACCACAAGGCTGATAACGATTTTCTAGCATAGGAGTGAGCTTCAAAGCATCGGATACAACTATTTTATGAGTATCAGGAGTAATAAGATCTTAATAGTAGAGCTGTGGTGACGTAGCTTCATTCGATCATAAAGTAGAACTCTCTACAAATCAGAGGCGAGAGCGACGACGCAAACATAATATTCTAGTGAGAGGGGCTCAGAGTGTTCGAGAGTAACTACAGAACATAACTTTACACAAGTATGGAAGATATTAATATGTGTGCAGAGTTTGAGATGCTAAAAGTCAAAGTACCTAACATATTTTTTTGCACGGTGGGTTTTTTGCCACACGGGGATGGACGTTAGCTGGATACTTGGGCTACTTGAGGTGGGAGTGAATAGGCTGAAAATACAAATCAGTCTGGTAGGGGAATATCTCGCAGTGTATATCTTAGTGAGAGATGTCAGAAATTAGGATTTCAAGTATGGTCTTACACTCGGCAACAGGGGCTCGCTTAATTTCCTGAAGTGCAATCAAGCTGGGCGGAAGTTAGGAATCCCATTTATATGAATTATATTTCGGAGAAGATTATCAAGAATTTTGACTCCCCGCAATATCAATTTAGCTATCCCTAGCGATTACCATGATCTGGGAGCGCCTCTTTCGCGGTCTGGCCCCTTTTCCCCGCTCGGTTAATTCGTGCCTCTCTACTTCCCTCCATTTTTATGTCCAACATTTCCAGACGTCTGCTGTTCCTGCACCGGCTCCTCCCCCTCAAGCACGATCTCCCTCCCATTTGACCCCTGCTCCACCCACCTGCTCGCCACACAAGCCAAAATCCCTAAGCAGGCCAAACACCAAAACCCCAACCCCACAACACCCACCTCCAATCCCTTCCCAAAAATTGCAAACGCAATAACCGGAAAGAACGACCGACTCAAATTCCCAATCACTGTGCCTGCGGTATGGATCGTTCCGCGCACAGAAGGATGAGGCGTGCAATCATTGATGAGCAGCGTGGTAGCAGGTGTGACGCCCGTCCTCCCAACGACGAAAAGAAGGAGCACAAAGCCTACGGATATCCAAACGATAATTGCTCTCCCCGAAACAGACGTTATTTCTAACGAGCCGATCAGTGCCGGGAACGGCGCCAGAGCATACGCAACCGGAAAGACAAACAACGCCGCTCTCCAGATCCGGATCGTGCCAAACCTGTCATTAAGCATGGGGTAAATCACAAGCTGGAGCGTAACACCGATAGCACCGAGGGTAGACATCGCAAAACCTACTTCGCGGGGTTGCATTGATAGACCGCCGGAGAACTGGAAGGGTGCGTGCTGGGTTTTTGGATCGGAGAGGGGCGTGCTGAGAAAGATTGCCCAGAGGTTGGTGAAGGTCGCGATGTGCCCGGCTATGATGAAGTGTGCGAGCATTGTGCAGAGGACGTTCCAGGTCCAGATGCGGCGGAAGGGAAGTCGAGCTTTGGGTTTCGAGGCCCCACTGTTGGAATTGGAGGAAGGTTCGGGGAAGTTGACGAGCGTGACGGTTGATTCGGGGGAGTTGGGCTCGGAGGAATCAATCACGGTGTAGCCGTGAGAGGGGGTGTGGCTTCGAGTGGTGACCTTCTTCCAGAGCCGTTGGATTATGCTTCCTTCGTGGTGTTTGAAATGCTCTAGGGTTTCTTCTAAGCCGAGGAAGACGCTTATTGCGGCGATTGTGTAGATTGCTGCGGCAAAGATATTTGGCGGTGCGTATGGGAATGCTTTTAATACTCCGTTGCCATTTTCCGAACTCAGTAACCCGCCAACAAGTGGCCCGAGTAACATTCCGGCATTTGCGAAGAGAGGGAGAAGTAGGAGTGCTCGTGTTCGATACCTAGCTGTAGTGTCAGAAAAGAAGTTGAATAATGTGGTGAGGCGTACCTTTTTTCCGGGTTCAGTTCGGCGACGACGCATCGCACGATCCCCACGTTGCTACTCATAGCACCACCAAAAACTTGCCACGCCACAGCAGAGACGAATGTTTTTGATAATCCGTATCCAATGCATGAGATGCCTGAGATCTTTAATTTCATTCCAATTGTTCAGAATGCGCGACATACCAGAGCAAATGAGCCCGATCATCAACACAGTCTTCCGTCCGCCATATTCAGAATCCGCCAAACGACCCCACAACATCCCAGTGCAGACTTGTGCTGCAGTTTTAGATCCAACGATAATCCCAGCCTGAGTGGAGATAAGAGCCTCAGAAGCTGACGGATTAAAGAACCGGAGTTGGTAGAACATGTATGTCTTGCTCGTCAGAATCGCTCGAAAGCTTTTGGGTGATTCTCACCTGGATAGAAGAAGCGGCAAGAGGATCTGCTAATCGTGCAATACATAATATGGCAAGTTGTTTCTTGTTGGGCAGGCTGCTGTACGACACCTTGCCTTTTGCCCTTGCCTGTGCCTGTGCCTCGACATCACCATTTACGATCAGAGGTTCCTGCTGCTTAGCGATTGCGCTGGATGGCGCAACTTGAGAATCAGGCATGCTGGGTAGCGGTCAGAAACAACTAGAAAGAATTCCCCAACATGATAACCGCAGAACGCAATATATGGAGGAGGTGGGCAGTTTTCAATGTTGCAGGGAGAATGTCACAAGCACTAACTTCAACCGATAACAAACAAATGATGACGAGTACCTACCCCGCGCTCCAGAACACCCTAAGACATGCTTCTGCAAAAGTGGTGGTGGTTGTTGTATCAGGAAAACGCAAGAGAATGTCTCTACTCCCGTGTGATTTGACCAAATCTGGGTGATCGTCAGGAAGACAAGCCATAACAACTTGCTTTGATTGGCAGTCCTAGGTTGGCGAATAGGGGGACCTCGCTTAACGAGTACTAGGAGAAAGCAAGAACTTGACAAAGCAGACTGTGACGTGCCCGGATTTAGTGGAAGGCAAGAACAAAATCTTTGGTTCAAAGTATAGAGATTTGGTTCGTCATGCGCCTCTCCTACCACAGAGAGCAAATCGTCCCTGCAATTTCTCGATAGAGAAGAAGCTGCCGGCAAAAGTGACTTCCGCTAGGCGGTTGAAGGCAAAGGAGAAGGAATCAGACAATCGCTATCTCGGCATCTTTCATGGTGTAATGAGTTCTACATCCAGTGCGGCCAATCTGCCTATCAGGCACGTTGGAGAGATCCCAAACTTTGATAGTCAGGTCCCACGAGCTTGAGGTAATATACTTCAAGTCCGGCGAAAACTTCGCGTCGGTAGCACACTTCTGATGTCCTTCACATTGCCATTTAGCCTCTCCAGTGAAAGCGTCCCACACTCGGACTCTCTTGTCATACGAAACGGTGGTAATGTATACACAATCTGGAGAGAATGATATGTTCATAATTTGATCGGTGTGACTGTTGAGATGAAGCAGTGGCTTTTTGTTGCGACGTTCCAGACTGTAGCTGTTTTCTCTTCGTAGACATAAGCAAGAACGTCTACAACAGATGAAAAAACTACGATTTTAATCTTGTCCGCGTGCGGTAGTATGCAGCTCTCAGATTTCGTCCGGAGATCCAAGTTGGCGAGTCTCGAAACCTCTCTGACCGTGTCCCGGAACTTGCAAGAAAGGAGCGGCGCTAGAGAGCGAGAATGCTCCAATGGATGGGAACTGAAGATTCGTCTCTTCGACGTCGCCGTTTTCGACTCCCGTTTCGATATCCCACAACTTCACCGTCCCATCGAAAGCTTCTGTGGCTAGAGTTTGACTATCCTCAGTCGAAAAGGCCATGCTGCAAACCCCTCCCTCATGCGTGCTACCGATTCTGCGCTCAGTCCCCGTAATGATCTTGCGAAGCTGAATAGCAGCACCATCTATTGAGATAGACATAACAGTTTGAAAGTCAGACAAGATCTCATATTCCATGGAAGAGGTTTGGCCAAACTGGAAATATTCTGCCTCCATTCCATCTAGAGGATCCCACCAGGCTGCCAGATTGCTGGAGAAGAATGCGGACAGTAGGCTTTTGTCGTGTACAAACCCATTTTCTTCACGCCAATGCTAGTGACCTCTGACACAGGCTCTTTTCTATATCCGTGGACTCAGAACTCTGACTGTGATTTTGAACCAGCGCGCGTTGCTATTTAGCGTACCCAAATAGAGGAAGCACGGAGTCAGAAATTTGTGAAAAGACCCGTCCAGTGGGTCTTGGACACTTTCGACTTGATCCAGCTCCTTCTTAGGCTCCACTGCTTCATCAAGTGTCAAAAAACTGTATCTGTGTGATCCCCGGGCATGGACAGGCGAACGAGTCTTAGCCAGATTTCTTGGAACATCGAGAGGCTTTCAATTTCAAATAGCCGCTACGGACTGATCCGGCCACAACAAGCCGCGAGGCTGAATAGGTGTGTCGATGGCTTTTCTATTGCCGCTGCGACCGAATTTGAAAGGGAAGAAAGAATGGAGATGCCGAGAAGAATACGTACACATTCGATCTTGTCAGTCGGCTCCGAATACAAGGTCAACAGTCCTAAAGGTGTGTACGAATCTGCAGTTGCTAATCCTCTTGTCGCAACGCGAATTGTTTCTCCAGGGAAGCCGGCACATAAAAATAAATATACTGCACGGGTATTGTTGACCGAAGCAGCCAGATGGAGTTCTTGAAATTGTCTTCTCGAGTCGTCGAAGTCCAGCAAATTGTCTTACTCCTTACTGTATGCACTAGACAGCCATTTTCAAATCTTTTCAGAAATGAGATGCTCTCTGAGTGGGTGAAATTCCCATAAAAGCATGTAAAATTATCGCACTTCTTCGTCCTGGGTACCTAGACGTCGAAGGCTGTCAAGAAGAATGATCTCGAGTTAGCGTGATAGCTCAGTTATTCTCTCCCGCAGATGATTAACCAAGCAAGCAGATACTTGACTTTTCCAATCTCTAAGATGATGAATTCGAGACTCGAGAGCAGCTGCTGAAATAACGCTTGCCATGAGAAACTTCTGCGGCTCTATAAAATCCTAATAACTTCCGCTGACGCCTGAATTGGACTGCAGGTTCTCCCCAGATATCCATCAACGCTTTCTTGATACCAGGAACTATTGCTTCTTGAATAAAATGTTTCAACGGTTCTCTGCTAGAAGCTTTAGAAGTTGCCGGATCTCTTTTAGCTTGGTGATGATGCTTTTGCCCACAACGGCGGTGTAAGTCCTTCGAAAAACGCATAGTATTGTTTTTTTGTCAGAATCATCGTACCATGCCAGCCCAAAGACACGAGTCACTGGCGGAATCGAAGTAAGCTTAATCAGTACTCACAGTCCAAAAAGCGATTCCATATTGCCTTCCTATGCCTCGTAACCAGAACACATTGTACTTGGCTGGGTTCTTCTATCCTCTGCGATGCGACTACTTCGTAATTAACCAAAAAAAAAAAACAGCTATAGAAAGTGTACTGGCGAACTTACAGTGGGATCGTCAAGTTCTTCTCCCCTCCAGACGGCTAAGTTACTGTACTCGGCCTCGACTGAGAAGAGAGTGCAAAGGCCACCAACGCGCTGCCAGAGACAATATACACTCCGATCTGCCATATCGTTCAGTCAAACCTCCTGGAAGGTGGAGAGCCGAGATGTACATTTATGTGGTCAGCCTCGCCGGGCTCTGGAGATTTGGCTATGCCGCTATGTCAGAGCTTGAGAAAGATAACGGGCCAAGTCCACCAAGTTCAGAAAACACAGCCCAAACGTGAAGATATATATGATACCAAGGAGCAAAGGGGTCGGACGCTGACCATATGTTTCTTGCGAGTGGAATCGCAGGTGCGGCGATTGTCAAAAATGTCTCGCGAGATGGGATTTTCGTTTTCCCGGACTCAGCGCCACCGGATCGTACAATTCCCCTGATTTGACGCCACTCATCTACTCAGTAGGTTTTCTGTATGCCGTCATCTGACACAGCACGTGCAGGCCGGTAATGTTAGTTTCCGAAAGGCTGAGTCGCTCCCTCAGCCGAACGACAATCAGCAATAACGACCGTCTATCCAACACGCCAAACTCCTGAGAGACTTGACGCTAGTAAATGGACAGAACACATTGATAGAGCTTCAACTGAGTGGAACCGATCGACCTTATACCATCCCTTCCCTCTTTGAGCCGTGGTGGGCCCGTCCCACGATCGAGCCTCAGCCTTACGGCACATTGCGTAATTCCTCATTCAAGTTTCTGGTCTAAAGTTCCTAGACTGGCGGATTCAGTGCATGATATCGCATAATCTCAATCTATCGTCTGCGGTACCTAGTCCTGCTTTGTCACAGCGCTCAATCCAACTGGAGCCTCGGTCTCAGTTCCGCTTGTGAGATGATAGACCGTTCGATTTTGATTTTACAGGTAAGAGACTACTTGCTGAATATTGGCAGATCAATCTCCATTTCGCAGAGCTAATATAAGCTTCCATATAGCGAGTGCCGCCTACAGAACGGGTCCCGATTCCCCCGAAACGAATACAAGTGTTACTGAAGTCAGCGGTACAACGGAGACGAACGAGGCAGCACAAAAAAGTCTTTCGTCCGAAATTTGCCTAAGTTACGTTGTGTTCTGTTGACTCGGGAGGAGAGGCGGCTATTGGAGATGGAGGCTTGGAAGGCGGAGACAGAAGCTTTGAAGGCGAAGGCAGAAGCTTGGAAGGCGGAGACAGAAGCTTTGAAGGCGGAGAACGAAGCTTTGAAGGCGAGGGCAGAAGCTTTGAAGGCGGAGACAGAAGCTTGGAAGGCGGAGGCAGAAGCTTTGAGGGCGAAGGCAGAAACTTTGAAGGCGGACTTGAGAGATCGCCAAGTGCAAACACAATCCAAAGCCAGGGGCATTTCAGTCGGGGGCTACAATGGCGAAACAGAACATCATTCATTGAGCAATCAGCCTGCATTCAATGAACTAAATTCAGATTTGGAGGGATCGACAGCTACTCGGAGACTAACCGACGAGCTCTCAGAGGGTTCGTACGACACCCCAACGTGGTCCTCGGCCAAGTCAGGAAGTGGTACTCAGGATTCTGTTTCCGGCGGTGAATGCCAATGCACTGATGCAACCGGTGCCGGACATAAGAATGTGTTGCAAGGTGACAATTCTTGCAAAGAATCTTCATCAAAAAAGTCGCATTCGGACTTAGGTTCAGTCATCTCTCGCCCTGAAATCTCCTCTGGATTTCCAGAACAAGAGTCAGCTCGGTTCGTCGAAGATTTGAAGAGAAGTTGTCAAGACTTGTATCCGACGGATGACAGTATACCTAAGATCCAGAAAAGACTTCTGAACCCACCACCAAGGTTTGAACCTGACTTCGTCCGATTGGCAGAGGCCTATATGGAAACAATGGAACGCGTTCTTATTCCATGGTGCACTGAGTACCTGCACACCCTTATCGGTCATGGTTACATCATAAGCCATACGCTCAAGCCCGAGTCACCAAAAGAAATCCTTTTTATAACACCCGAACCTGTCAACGAGGTTAAGGCCGACTTCACCCGAGATCTTATTATCAAAGATCTGTTGCCTCGATATTTGAACGACGTGGTTGTCCGCTTTGAGGAAGGTCACCGCGAAATGCTTGCGCTGACACCTTGCTTGCGTTGTCTGGAGCATTGTCCTGAAAAGGGAATCCCCAGCACTGGACATTATTTCATGGTTCCATCCAAGACATTGGACCCAGAGCAACTATGCTCCTCCACGATTGGCCCGCACTTCTTCCTTGGACAAACCGCTCTGCAACTAGTTTGCCGCCATGCAATGTATTATGATATCACCGAAGGAAAAATTATCCGTAGAGAGCCTCGTCGTGACGATGACATAATCGATAAGCCTCTCATGCACTTCAAAACTGAAGTGGGAAAAATTCGGCCAGAGAGTGGCGGCGACCCTTATCACAGGAACTGGCGGGAATCTAAGCATACCCATTTCGATGGTAAAACCAAAGGCTTTCCCTACATGGATTGGCAACTTGCTTCGAGGGAAGAGTCTGGTCCTCTGATACCGTATGGCCATGATTGCTCTGGTACGTGTCACTGTATCACAAAGTACGCCAGACCTCGGCCAGGATTCAAGGTTCGCTACACTGGAGCATATTCTGGCCAGGTAGAGGGCGAGATAGCTCTGATGCCCTCCTCAAAAGAAGTCCAATACACCGGAGAGGATCCATCCTCGCTACGTGGCACCAGTGATCGCATTTCGAGGAGCATCTTGGTCTCCTTATGGGAAATCGATACTGACGAACCTTCCATTGATCGCCGTGGCGACTCTGGAGCTACAGTCGTTGACATCGACACTGCCGAGATGGTTGGAATAGTGGTGCAACAGTATAAAAGGAGAATCCAGTTCATGGACATTGTTGACGTCCTCGAAGATGCCTGCGAGAAACTCAGATGCGAACTCAAGGATATTACATTCCCTCCACCGAATTGCAAGAAGGACGAGACAAACCCACTTCAAAAGCCTGTGGCTCGGGTACTAGACGGCCGCTCAACTAACCAAGAGTCTTTAGAGTGTGACGAGGAACGTCGCACTAAAGATTTTAAATTACTTTTGCCATTACTTTTGCATAGCACCGCAAAACGAGCTACCACTCGCCCAAGTTCAACACCCGATCAGCTTTCGCTCCTTCATAAACTTTCACCCTCTCAACGAGTATTGGATGGGTGCCAGCCCGATGAGTTCCGAATTTCGGATAGTAGTCCGTTTGCGGACAAACGCCGATATTCAGCTGATGGTACGTCCCCAACCTTTTCAAGCTCCGACTCGTAGGCCTCGCATGTTGATCAAGAAACAGCCGTCGATCCCGCAAGAACCGCCGATATCCCTGAAAGAGAACTCGAGATAAGCGATTGCACGAATCGTTTAAGTCATGGAGCCAGGGGAAGAGCCAGATAGTGGGAGAACGAATGAGAAAAGAAGAGAGGAGTAGGGGAACCGAGAAAATGCGACTGGCAATGAGACATGAGAGATATTCACGCATTTCTCATGCATATATTACCGACCTATTCAGAACTATTTTGATGTTGAATAAGCCAAAGTCTGTTGCTTGTCTACTTCGTCTTCTTTACCAAGGCTGAGTCAGGGTCTGAGATTTCTTTGCATTTCCCCAAATATTTCTCTTTGCGGGTTTTCTCTTAGAGAAAAGTTTGATACTGAGTTCCTATACTTGCTGCCAGCTACCATCGGAGAAACTAATTACAAATGAGAACAGCCCAAGCTGTTTGACATCACCAAATAATTCAGTCGAGCTGCGGAACTACTGAGTTGAGCTCTGTGATGGTGAATAAGGTAGAGTGGCAGTTCCAACATACACCACTTGGACGGCTGCAAAGCTAGAAGGCAGTGAGCCAATAGCCGTAAGCTGGATAAGGTACCGTTATACATACGCTGCTGTTGCCGCAAAAATATCCACAAGGCGGGCTCCCGTAAAAAGTTGCAGAGAGAAGGAAAATGCAGCCGTCAGCCCGGCAATTGCGCCCAGTCTTTTTGCCATGGTATCCAAAGTGTGCAAGACCACGATTGAAAGGACAGGAAGAATGCTCGCAAGTGTTACTGCAAGTAATTTGGTCACACGTAGAACTTTGGCGCGAGGCACGAAAGAAGTAATCCCTAAGTATGAGGACGTGCTTTCCTGGCGATGAGGTTAGGCACCGGAAAACACGGGAGTAAAGCTAGACCAGAGGTAATTTACCTGCGAAGGGGCGAAAGGCAGACCATAGAACCAACTCAAAAACTTGTCTTCGATCCAACGAGAAAATGGGTCCTCATTGTCTTCACCCCTGAGTACGAGCAGGTCTGGTTCATGGCTCGGTTCGGACCAAATGTTGTGGTCAGGTCCTGTTAGATATATACGACAAAGATCATTTCGGTCCATCAGATTCCTAAGTTTGTTGAGGGCCGTTGAACTTGGATTGTGTATCTGCGCAAGCTTCTCTTGCTGCAAGAGAGCGTCGTCTGTATGTTGGTTTCAGCCTGGTTCTTATTTAATTGCATCCATCACATCTTCCTCACTATACTGTAACAATTTTTCTCTGATCTTGAGAAACATTGCCCATTGACGTTGATCTTCGCCTTCCTCAGTCGTTGAAGTCGTGGAGTTGTTTAACATAAACCAATTCGTTGCATACGCTTTCCTCTCCCTGTGACCGGAGGCTTCATTTTCCAATGCCAAAGCACGATGTTGCTCCTCAAGGACGGTCAATTCGGCCTGCAAGTAAAGTAGGTTTTGGGCATTGAGAGTTGCAAACCGACGGAAAATCCCGTGTTCTGGGTGCTCTCCCATCAAGAGAGCTAACTTTGCATATCCCTCCATTCGGCATACAGAAGGTAAGGCTCAGGTTGCAAGAAGTTCTCGCCAGCCTCAAGACAGGATCATCAATGGAAACCAGAAAGACTTCTTGGAGCACAGTCTTCCATACAGACTAAATGATCCAATTACACGGATATGCCACGGGTCTTCGGTTTTGTTAAGCTATATCTGCTCTATGATGTGTCAGGATATCAGTACGAGAACAAAATATTCGGGCGAAAAGTGCAGTTTTCTGCTGTAAGCTCTTTCACAGAAAATTGGAAAGGCAGACTCGTAGGCACACTTTTCTATTCCGAACAGGCCCCTTGGTGTCTTGCTTTGGAATATGCCCTTCTCCTATGGGGATGCCTTGTGACGTGTCAACGCGGTCATACAAAGACCATTTACCCCGGCGTCAACGGCAAACTTTGGCGCCACTTCTTTCAATCATTGATGTTGATTGGTCAGGATGATTTGCTTGGGTTGTAATGCTAGGAAGTCCGCCCGCATCTATAGAGCCTTTTGATAAGGAGTTTCTTTTCCCACAGCCTCGTCGGGCATCAATACCCCCAATCCCCCTGCCTCACCCATTTCTGAAGAACCCAATAGAGTTTCCCAATGCCCAACAGCATGTATAGATTATGGCACGCTCGGAGCGTGAATATTTTGTAGCCGTTTCCTCCCGATGCTTTGAAGCCCTTGTGTTCATGTTCACAGCTGTTCCACATACCGATATCAACCCGTGAGGCTAAGCTATCACAATGAGCAACTCCGGTAAGAAAATAGCCCAGTGACGTTTGTAACTGCTAACGATTTCTAGGACAATACGTGGAACGCTATGAATATAAAGAGGTCAGCATTATGGGAGGCGAGCCAGAACTCGACGTTTGGGTCGGGAGGAAAGGGACCATACCAATACCCGACGAACATGATTGTGAGTCTATAAGCCGGGGTAACTTACTACTTCAAGTTATGTCCTTATACTACACAGCGAGCAAAATGCAAACCGCAGAGAACAAGCAGAAGCAAGAAGAACAGGTAGCCAGGGAAGCCGCCCAGAGAGCAGTAATTGAGTATAAGAGGTGCATAATATTTTCTGTTTATCGGCGTATTGCCTATACTAAGATCTTCTAAGGTGGGCCGAGCAACACTACAACAGCTACGGCGTTTACCCAGAAGAGTAAGTGTGCTCTGAGCCAGTTTTTAACGGGGCATTTTGTTTAACTCGTGGCAAAGATACAGAGTGTGGTTCTACCAAACATATGAGAGATATCCAGAAGAAGTGGGCGGGCAACGCGCTGGCCAGGGGAATGGTAGCTCGTGAATCTAGCAGGGCTTTCCTCCTTCACCATCGCCACTCTGAACTTTCCCCTGCGCTCGAGCTTGTTATCCAGTTAAAATCACGCTTTTCTATAAAAGACTTTGGGCGTCGGTCCTGCCAGTATAGAGACACTTGAATAGCGTCATACAACGAGACCCAAGAGCCTTGCGCTCACATCTCAATAGACCTCTGCGTAATTCTTCTCTCTCTTGAACGACTTCGTGATTTCCAGAGCTGCGCCAATTGGTGCCCGCTTCAAATATTACAAATCGGCTTGAACAATGCAATTGGAGAAGATAATAAAGCAGAAAGCTTGAGATTCTCCTAATAAGCAGCAAGTTGCTGCGGCACTTGCCCAAAGGTCGAAGAATCACAAGCATTAACTAAAAATTTGGTTCAATATCTGCATTTATCACGTACATCAACTACCTAACCGCCAACCACCCCAACCCCATACAACCAAACAGGCAAGAAGAAGAGAAACGCCAACTCTAAAGCAAAGGTATCTACAAACCCCTCTCATAACAAAACATATCCCACCCTCTCCTATCCAACCCATCATTCCATCGACACATTTAGCTCGCAAGCTCGCAAAAAGCCAACGCCAAACACCACCCAATGCAAAGTTAAAAGTAGGTCTGCCGCCCAAGTACCAAGCCAACAAAATCACCAAACACAACTGAAGATCCAGAATTTTTCCTTCTTGCGAGGTCCCATATATCAACACATCAAACACCGGAACATAAAAGTAGGGTAGGGAAGAAGAGGGATCTGATTAGCCCTCAACCTTCGCCCTCTTCTGATCCCCTCCTTCCCCATCACTGCCCTCACCCTCAGGCGTCTTCCTCTTCTCGCCACGCCCATTGCCTTCTCGACCCCCACTATCCTCTCTCAGGAAACTCGGTCCCGTGCCCACCACCGGCGTCGCGAAGTTCAGTGGACTCGGTAGCGTATTGCTATCATTGCTTCTGAAATTCCAATCTGGGTAGAAGGAGCTGGGAGAAGGCAGGAACTCGTTGTTCATGAAGCGGGAAGGCAGAGCGGAGACGGGCGTGTCGATCATAGTCCCGCTATTTGAGTTGGTCTGTGACGTTTGGGAGACGGGATGGGGACGCGCGAAGGGGTTTGGTGGGCCTGATGCGCCTGCTGAGAGTAGGGCTGAGGCGGATGGCGAGGGAGGTGGCAGGACCATGCCCGAGGAGTGAGAGTCTGAATTTTGGCGTCCGTTAGGACGCCGGTTAGAGGATGTTGCGTTGGTGCCTGACCGAGGACTGGCTTCGGAGTCTGCAGTTACGCTGCCGCCGTCTGAGGGCTCGTCGGGGATTTGTACCTTCAGGACCGGACGCTTGCCACCGACTGATGCTGAATTTGTTCTTGAGGGAGGTGTGAAACCATCTGCGGCTGAAGAGACAGAGACATTACGGATTTTATGTGTGTTGGAGCGGGCTGGAGGCGGTGATGTCTTGCCTCGATTTACAGCTGGTGTATCCACAGATTGGGACCGATTATTTGAGGTTGGTGCTGGTTCACTGCGTGGCTGCTCGGCATTCGATGTCGACGAAGCCCAATGCTGCGAGAGGATAGACCGAGACTCGTCAATTGGCGTGAAGATACTCCGCGACTTGACGGACATGCGTTTTACAGGCTCAAGCATCTGCTGTTGTGGAGGTTGTGGCTCTTCTTGCTCTTGATGCTGTGGCTGCTGTTGAGGAATCTGTTGTTGTTGAGGCTGTGGTGGAGAAGATTCAGGGCGCGATTGTGGTCTCTCCTGTTGGGGGAAAGCAGGTGGAATTGAGGTTCTTCGTTGTTCTTCAACATAAAGTTGCTGAACTTGCTGTTGGTGAGGATGTTGCTGCTGCTGTGGAGGTCCATAATTTGGGTATTGAGGCCCTGGCCCTTGCTGAGGAACACCCTGAGGCGGGCCTTGCATCGGGGGACCTTGCATGTGCTGGGGGAGACCATGTTGGTGCGGCGGGAGAGGTGGACCATTATGAGGATTGTAGATAGCTGGATTTGGCATGTAGGCGTAACCATTAGAAGGCGGTGGATGTGGGTGTTGCTGAGGAACAAGATTGGAGCTTGGTCTTCTTGGTGCATTTCTTGAAGAAGGGCGAGATCCAGGTTGCGGCTGAGGGGTATGTTGTCTTTGTTGTGGATGATGCGGGAAGACACCATTGGGAATGGGAGGAGACGCAGACGGTGTATGATGTCGGATATGTTGGTACGCAGGTTGGTTCTGGAATTGAGGAGGCATCATTTGCGGCTCGACTGATCCATGGTGAGAAGGGCCAGATCCATCCTCGTCATCATCATCGTCCTCCATCTTTCCCTTCCCACTGAAGTCCCCGGGACCCTTATGTTCGTTCGCACCTCCATACTGTATCACTATCAGCTTCCGTTATTTATGCAGATCTTGGAGGTAGGCGTACGTATTGGTATCTGTTCAAGATCTCTCCAATATCACTACTCGAATATTCGTACAACTTCTTATTATTGCCAAAGATTATGACCGCGACATCAACGGAACAGAGAACGGAGAGCTCATGCGCCTTCTTGAACAGGCCGCCTTTGCGCTTAAGGAACGTTCTATTGGTAAAGACGGCGATTAGCAGGCTTTCTCCAGAGCCGCCGCGCGAAGACTTACACTGAACGATTTCTATCATCCTTGATAGCCTTAATTTCGATCTTTCTTCTTCCCATCACGGCGACGCGCCGGGCTTGTGGAGGATAGGAAGGTTCTATGAATTGATCCAGCTCCTCTGCGGTGAAGGAAAATCCGAATGCCAGAAAGGAGACAGCCTGATGTGCTATCGGCTGGAGATCAATGCGGTGTCACGATCGCGTACATCAAATCTGTCTCTGGAAAGAAAAGGATCGACGACGACAAGGTCGAGACGCAGACGCGTGGGAGGTGTAGATGCCGAGGCGGGTTGTTGGCGTGGTGGTGTTTGCCGTAGTGGTGAGAGTGAAGACGTGAGTGATGCGCCCGAGTCTTTCTAGGCTTCAGCTACGAACTCCGGCGAAGTCCTGAAACACGACAGAAGGTGCACTTGGGCGAATAGCGTGGTGGGAGGCGGCGGCGCGGAGCGTGATATAGATGTTCTGCTGCACGGTACCTGGATTCAACTTTTCCTCGACGTTGACCGGCTGATAGACTGATAGAGGATTGCGATGCTAAATATAGTTCTAGAGTAGCTGGTGGTCGGTGTTGGGGGGGGGGGGGGGGGGGAGGGGGGGGGGGGGGGGGGGGGGGGGGGGGGGGGGGGGGGGGGGGGGGTAGGGGCGTGGAGGGCGGAGGCTGGATGAAGAGAGGTAAATTTACTGTAGAAAAGCGAGCGAGCGAGCGAGAGATCCGAGAGTGAGCGCCAGGAGGGAGCGAGGATTTACGAACGGTGCTGTGAGTGGCCCGCCGGATGTCTACAGATGAGTAATCTCGCAGTGCAGCCAGTCAGCGGCCAGTTCGGGAGCTGAAAGTGGGGTCATTTCCTGGCTGCAGCGAATCAACGGCGCAGCGCGCCTGTTTTGGATCTCAGCCCATAGCCAGTCTGCGACGACTCTGCTCTGAGCGGGTCATCGTGGCCCACCCACCACTCACGGCGGGACTCGACTCTGCCTGCACTCGACTCTGCCTGGACTCGACTCCGCCTGCACTCGACTCTGCCTGCGCTCGACTCTGCACGCTTCACTCTCCAAATCCTCTCGCTTCGCTCCTCTCGCTCCTCACTACAGCCTCCCCCCCTTTTCGCCTCCACCCACACCTCGTCGCTTGTTTCCACGCCCTGTCGAGTTCCCTCCCCGTCCGCGCCAGCCAAATTACTCGATGTTCTAAGCGCCAGACACGTCCCATGACTGCGTCCTCTCCTCTCCCGTGTGTGGGTGCACACGCTCTACACGACATCTAACGTCCTCGGCTATCCCCTGTCCCTGCTCGCAAGACCAGGCCAGGGTAAAGTAAAGGTCCCAAAATAGCCCGCATCAGGGCCTTTTTGGCACCAATCCCATCACGGCAAATTAGCCCGAATTCGGTGCATATTATTGACAAATGTTCGTCGTGGCCCCGTGGGTGGCCTTCAGCCTCGAGTCCGTCCCGGGGCCACGCATGGAGAGGCCGCAAATTACCCAAGTATGTGCATACTGTATCCCTTACTACCGCGGACATCGCACCGAGTTCTGTCCTTCCAGAAGCCATTGCAAAACGTGCGGTGGAGATTGAGCCCAGGATCTCCAGAAACTCTGTCCAACCCGCCCGTATTTTGGGGAAATGCTTCTATTATTGTCCTCGGCGATGCTTGCAGAGCCTGCAAGGTACGCTGCATCAACAGCTTCATCCTGGTTTGCGAGTCCCAAGATACAAACTCACCGAGAGGCGGCGGAGGTGAAGCACTGTGCCGTGAAGGATGGGATGGGGAGTTCAATGAGCAAACAAAGTCTGCTAAATTCGAAAGCTGAAAATCTTTTTGCACTTGAAGGAAATGCTGCTGTTCTCCATGGGCAGGATTTGGGAGTTGCGTTGTGATACATGGATACATGGGTACATGGGTACATGGGTACATGGGTACTTGATCGACGAGATCGTTTTGCGAGCCGAGCCCACCTTGTCCACCTGCGGCCATTCTCCAACGGCTCGGCAACCTCCCCCAGGCCAGGATTCCGGAAGCTCTTCCTGCCGCCGACTCTTGGACAGCATCGATATCGTCAATCTCAGCCAGTGAGAAGTATACGATCACAAGGCAGATTGGCAACCCGGGAGTTGGTTCATTCTCACAAGGCGCATTCCAGATATTGCCATCAACATCAAACGCTGACAGATCAACGTGGAGAGCCGGGGGGGGACATCTGCTGATCATCCAAGCATCAGCATCTTTCCGAAAGCACATACCGAATCCTGTCCTTTGCCTCTTTCATACTCGACAGCCCTGCAACATCTCCGAATTCGGGTCCCTGCTCTCGTTTGTTCCATTCAACCGACCCTCGAAACACATCACGGCCAATCCGCTGCTCCGTCGTATTGCCTGCATCACCTCTCAAACCAATCCCCAAAATCCGCCGGGAACATCGCAGGCATCATCTCGCCCGGTTTGTGGGCACCTGCACATCAGTGGTCGTCACACCCCACTATCCCCTGTGAGGCTCCCGCCACCCGCAACTAAAAACCCACCCTAATGCAGCTTGTTCCAAAAATATATTTATATCTCAACCCCTGCAAACCTACACGACGTCGACGACTCAACGACTCGACGCTTCCTCGACCCCGCCAAACACCACATCACAGCTCACCGAGTAACAGACGTTGCGTTCATGTCTGTGGCATCCCTTCTCATCGTCATTTCCGAAGCCGTTACGTGCGGTTAAGGACACTTCGGAGAACCAGCCGGTACCTGGATTCGGTTCGCCCGAGTCGACCGCAGCCGCACAGTTTGCTAGATCTTGATCCCTTCTTTCTGCACCGTCTTTCCAGCCCCGCGTCTGCATGCACCCAAAGCCAAGTGTTCGTTGCATACCGCTTACAGAGAACCACGAGTACCACCATGCTGCGCCAAGTAAACCTCTCGAGCTGATTTGATTCGTGGCCTTCCTCCCCACACCACCTCACTCTCTTCACTTTCTCCCCCTGCCAGCAAGTAGATGACGCCACATCACTCCCCTCCCTTCCAAAGGAGCAATAAACATTTCCCTAATGAAACAAACATCCGCTCCCATGCACCCCATCACACCCTGTTTGAGATGTTGACCTGCATCGTCATCCCACAATAGAACATTCTCCTCCGGTCCCCCAGTCCCCTCTCCCCCTCAACGCCCTATCCAGCCACGCGATCTATTCCCAGTCCTTGGATGTTCTCCGGCGCTTAAATTCCTCGACTACTTCTTCTTCAATCTACCACCGGTAGTCGTCTACCAGGGGAGAAGCGTTTCCACTGGCCTTCTTTACAAGTCGGGATTCTATGTTTAGAGTTTTGATATCGGGCTGGCTTCCCTGTTTTGGGAAGAGGGGAGGTGAGCGTTGAACTTCTGAGTCAGAGACGGAAAGGTTTAGGTACGGAGTGAAGGCGGGAATGGATGAGGTAGGTCAGCAGGAAGAGATAGATAGATTACTAAGAGAAGACCAGCTTTCCCTCTCCCTCTTGCAAGTCTCCTTAATCTCCCTCGTTGCACTTGATTCATCTCCAAATCTTCCTACACCTGCACACACACACACAGCAGAGATTGATAGCAACATGACGACAGAAACCACGCACCTCCCCTCCATCCCTTCCTTCTCTGCATCTGCACAACACAGTATGATGTCAGGAACGCATCCTTCCGCTGGGGACTTTCGAGCACTGGCGGACTCGGATTCTCAAAAGCCCAACATCTCCCCAAACCCAAGCACATTCTGCATCCCATGGCCCTCGCAACTCCTGACTCAAACCCTCCACGCCCCATCACCACCTCCCTCTCACCAAACCGCCTATCCATATCCCTATCCCTATCCCTATCCCTACCTACCCTCTCCGCCCCTCTCAGCCTCCTCTCAGGGCTCGCGAACACCAGAGGATCCCCAAGTACTCAGGAACAGGATCCTCCCTTCCCCCTCCCCCTCATCTCGAGATCGGGATCTCCCTCCTGCACGTCACGATAGCCGCCATCCCCTCTCCACCTCCAACGCAGGACCCACAACCCTCCCTCCCCACCCAAGTTCCGCCTCAAAGTGGAGCAAGGATACCTGCCACTGCTCCCTGCACTTCCATTTCGCACCAACCACAGCCACAAACACAACCACAGCCACAACCACAGCCGCAAGCACAAGCACGGCAAAACCCACACCGACACCTGCTCGTCTTCTGCTTCCTGCGCCCTGCCTGGAACCGGGGATGTCGATTTCGGCAGATACGCAACGAGCACTAGTCTGTACGTAGCCGCGAATGCGAGGGATGCTTCAGCCGCCATCGGCCCCGCTGAAGACATCGCCAGAGCAGCAAACGCTCTCTGGACCCGTCTTTTGACGCACGTGGAAGGAGCCGTGGCAATGGCATTCGCAGTATCAATGTACCGCATCGCCTTCGGTAGGAAGAGCAGAGGAGAGGAGACGGAGGATAGGATGGGAGAGGAGAGGATAGAGGGATGGATGATCGATGGTCATACCGGGCGGGCAGGAACGGTGAAGGATGGGCGTGTATTCAAGACTGTAGATAGATAGAGAGTCATGCCTACCTTCTATTCCCAAAGATGGGAGTAGAAGATCTGTATAAAGGCAAGACAGGAAAGACTGGAATGGAGCAGCAGCATCAAAGTCACTCACTTCATCTGCCAAATCACCGCAAGGTGTAATATTATCAGGGGAGTTTATTCGACTGGTAACTAGCTAGGGACTGGGGTTCCGCAAACCCGCTCAACCAGGTGGCTCGAGAACTTAATCGACCAAGCACCTAGGAACAGATGAACGCCAAGCCTCCCACTGTGCAGGCATATCAAATCCAGCAAAGACAAAACAGCAAACGCCAAATGTTTTTTTTTCTTCTTTTCTTTTTTCAATGCTTCCGTGTGCGCCTCTCTCATGCTCATGAGTATGTATCTCCGGAACGCCAGAGAAATGCCGCTCCGATGATGCTGGGTATCGTGAATGCGAATATGGGGAGTACTCTACAAAAAGGAAATCTTGCTGAAACATTCAAATGCAATGCGGGAAAGGTCGGCTGTCGTGGAAAGGAGGAAGGTTTCGTGATGTAAAGAGGTATGTGGGTGGCAAATATGCGAACGACGAAGCTAGATCGCGCCAACTCGAGTTGAGTCGTTGGAAAGGTTCGTGTAGACATGTATTGTTGAGAATTTAGGAGAACGACGGAGCCTGGATGGCGCCGAAGCCACCGTTGTTCGGAGCAATGTCCTCCTGCTTCATCGTACCGTTAAGCATAGGACAAAGCCTGTTGTAAAGTGTTAGCATATGTGTTCTACAGAAAATAGATGCTGTAATTGAAACGCTGTGAACGAGGGAGGCTCATCGCGGAGCAGAGCTACTGAACAAGCTCGAACTCCTTGATGGCGGTTGAAGAAACTGGTTATTCGCAATTGGGGCAGTACTTTTTGTTGGTCTTGATGTGGCCGGCTTGTCCACAATTGGCACATTTGCGCGTGGTACCGGTTGGCTTCTCGGTGGTTGGGGCGGGAGTCGACGAAGGGGAAAGAGCGGTCTCGGGTTCAGCCGATCGACGAGCGTTGAGACGGCCCTTTTGCTTCTCTCGAGCGTAGCGACGGTCGCGGTTGCGATTGAGACGGACAAGTTCGTCGTCGAGTCTATGCACGGTTAGCTCTGTCACTACCTTAATCTAGGTTTGGACGTACCTCTTCTGGTTAATCCTGTCTTGTTCGGGATCGCCAGTCGGCTTGAGATTGTAGACACTTTACGAAGGTCGAGGTTAGCAAATGCGTCAATGGATCCTTCCGCCCCTTCCTAAATGTATCGTCTGCAGTGGTGGTTACTTACTTGATTGCCATAGCGTCGCGCTCACGACGGCGTCTGAGATACTGGGTGACAACACGGGGATCCTTCACAATCTCGACAACGTTGTCGACCTGGCCATAGGCATTGACGATCTTTCGGACAATGCGCAAGACGCGATTTGATTGTTGTGTACCACTGCTGAACACACTCGCGCTATCATCGAAGTGAGGAGCAGGAGTTGCCGTTGAATGAGGAGTCTGGGCCACACCAAACTGTGCGCGATCACCAGCTTCCTCGGGTGTAATGGCATTAACTTCTCGCTCGGCGTTGTTCGACAAATCCTCCTTCTGGGCCTCCCAGATGACTCGAATGGCGTCATTGTAGAGCTTTTGCTGGGTCTTGACGTTGTATCCATGACCATTGTTGTTCTTGGGATCCATCGCAGCGGCTCGAGCAGCTTCCATGGCTGGTGTGAGATCCGAATCAGGACCCTGAAGAGCTTCAAGATAGCCGCCCTTCATGGATGTCTTGATGAAGCTGAATGCGAGTCCACGACCTGATGGGTCTCCAGCACCATGAAGTCGAAGCATTGCCTTGTCGGCCGAAGCCTCCAAGAAGGCCTTCGTGGTCTTCCAAGGTGCGAGGTTCTGCTCCAAGCTCTCGCCTTCCTCGTCGCCAGCATCATCATCTTCCTCGATAGCGAAACCGGCGTCTTCAAGATGCTTTGCTCCAACTTGCATGGCATCAATCATACAAATCTCCTCTGGCTTGACCATGTTGCGGATTTGTGTTTCGTCGGGAATTACATCACCAGGCTTCATTCTCCAGACCTTCTCGGTCTTGTCATAGAGAATGAACTCCTTGAGCTTCTGCCGATTCTGCATGTCGCTGGAGTCGGTAATGTGGGCAGTGATATCTCCGATCTTCAAGTGATGTTGTGGGCTGTGGCGAATCTTTCGGTAGGCAATCATCTTCATGCGATTCTTGGCAGCATTCGTAACCTTTCTCGAATGAGGGCCAGGAACGTCCATAGAAGGAAATTGTTGTCCAACGGCGAAGAGGTTGTCGATATTTCGAATGTGCCAAGAGAAGCCGCCAACGCCAGTGCTGCTTCGGACCACCAAGAAGTCTGTGTTCTTTGGCTCATGCTTGAAGATGGGAGCACGGAACATCGAATTGTGGAGAGTTCGGACAGTCTCGCCGGGATCAACCATTCCAAAGTTTGCGAAAGGAGATCTGTCTTCAGGAAGCAGAACTTCAGTATCACCAAGCTTATCCTCTGGCTGCGGACGCTCCTTGTCATCAGCATCCTTGCGTCGGTAGTAATTGACAACTCGATTGCCCATGCCGAAGTTGGAAAGCACAGTAGGATGCTCCTCGGAGTACTCAAACAGGGTTGCAGTGGAGTAGTGATCAGAAAGAGAAAGGTCCTTGGTCTCCTTGAATAGTTCGATGGTTGACAAGCCCCGGGCTTCCTTCTTCTTTCGCATACCAGGCTTCGAGAAGAAGATAGGTTGATTAATGAATCTGGTGAGTTGGAGAGGGGGTCGATGGAATGATCGCAGTTCGTGGTTCTGGAGCTTGGTCCGATAGTAAGGCCATTGAAGCTTCTGAGCGGGCATACTATGTTCGATGGAGACACTACCAAGGTGTTGTCGAACCTTGCTTTGGTGATTCTCCTTCAGTGCATCGTATGCCTCGTCATTGGAGATGTTGAATCGTTCCTTAAGAGTCGAAGTGAAGGTGCCGGTTCCGACGCGCTTGTATCCTCTGGCGATGCGTTGGCGCTTCGCGGGCTTGAACTCTTGGACATCAACCAGAATGTATGGATCGTTGAGATCAAGAATGACGCGCTTCGAAGTATGGGCTGTCATTTGCTCGAAATTATCGAAGTTGGGAACAGGATATTGCGGAGCGAAAACGAAGTCAGAAAGCTTTGGCTTTTCAACGGTCTTTCTACGTTGTGAAGGATCTCCAAGAAACTCGCGCTCCCAGTCGTCCAAAGGTGCCTCCTCCTGCTCGATCTCAACCTCCGGGATCATATTGATCATTGACTCAAGGTCGAGGATCGCGATCTTGTGTTCAGCGTACGAACGACCGCCAACCTTCTCATTTGGGTCAGGGGGGGAGTAATCGAAGCCATCATCGCTGTCGCTCTCATCAGAAGACTCGTCGACAATCGCAACAAGACCTTTGATTTCTGCCTCTTCAACTCGCTTGCGCTTATCACCGGTTGCTGGACCTGCCGATCGAAAGGTCTTCTCCAAGTCAGGAGCAAGATCTAAGCTGGCTTTGGTCGGGTTGACGGACTTTGGTGTCTTTAGTGGTTGCTTCGGCTCAGCTTGTTCCTCGGGGCCCGGCATGAGCGTGTTCCAGGACAAGATACCGCCTTTCTCATAACCTTGCTTGACGTAGTCTTCGTAGATGGCCGCAGTTTCAGGGATAGTCGCGTCAAGAACCATGGGATCATTGGGGAAGTTGAGGTTGTAGAGATCCTCTTCCTCCTCAGGCTCCTCTGGCTCCAAGGAGGGCAAGGTGAGGCCGCCATTGACGCGTGATTGTTGCGCAGTGCCGTTGAGGTGAATTTCTTCGTGGACGTCGTGCTCGCCGAAGAGATCGTGTGTGTCTTCATCGCCAAATAGATCATCGACATCTAGGCCAGCATCGTCATCTTGTTCTAGCTTGATATCACCGCTGGCTGGTTCTTCGTCCGGGAGATCGTCATCATCGCTGATATCCTCGTAGTCCATAGCATCGTCTGCCTTCTCGCCGAGATCGAGGGGACGGTTGAGGTCGATGAGTGGGTTGCCGCCATCGCCGTTCTGTGTGGAGCTCAAGACGCTGGCAACGAGACGGTCATCTTCAGCCTGTCGCTCGTCCCAGTCGATGTTCTCGAGCTCGAAGTACTCGGGTGGGGGCATCTCGTGGGACGCCATGGTCTTGGGTGTTGATCCTGCTGTCCTCCACCGAGCAGATTCACCTCGAATGGGACCGAGGCTTATCAACGTGGAGACCGCGGCGCAAGAGTGTTCGCGATGTGATTTCGCAATGGAAAGAGACGCGCAAATGGTGACTATGTAGAGAAAAGAGTGGTGCAGGAGTTTGGTGTCGATTGAGATCGCAGTCGACGTTTGGTTGGTGTTGAAAAGAGGGCGCGAGGGGTTGGTTTTATCCCTTCGTCCGGTAGAAACTGTCCACGCTAGCAAGGGGGGCCTGGCTCAGGGCGAAAACGTATGCCTTTGCTTAGAAACCTATTAGTCATCTATCGCCTTTTCGCCCTGAGCCAGGCCCCCCTGCTAGTGTGGACAGTTTCTACCGGACGAAGGGATAGAAAACTGACGTCGGAGCTCTGGCGGAGGGAATGCGCGCTAACAGCACTAGCGCAGGATTTACAGGGCTGAATCACGTGCCATGGACATGGGTCTAAAGTTCCCCTCTCCACTTTCCAGGTGAATCGTAGCCATTCAATACAACCACCTTTGTTGCTGCAACCGCCTTACTTTTGCCTTTAAGTTACCCATTCCAAGCTAAGCTGCATTCATAGATTTTGTACATGCCGAAGGTTAGCCTTGTCATCGAGTCAGCTCATGCACAGTGGAACATAGCACCAGCTAGCTGCTGATCATTTGCGCCCTTGGATCAACTCCGGAACGAAAAGAAATTGTTCGACGAAAGTCACAGGCGGTGTTACATCTCATCAATAACTTCACAGCCTCTTAAACTTTGTTCTTTTATATTGGAGTTCCGAAAAAACCGGCAAGGGCCGAGGTGTCTGCGCTGGTCGAATCAACTGGCTGGGCAGTCTCGGTCATCAAACATGGCAGCTACCTCCTACTATCCCCTTTCTTCAAAGGAAGAATTGTTGAAATATTTTGTTGGAAAATCGTTGAAAGATGTTGTAACACCTGCGGCGGTGCTTGATCTGAGCAAATTAAAGAGCAACTGCAGCCAGATGCTGGAAGCTGTTGATACCTTGAAGTTTGGATGGAGAGCTCATATCAAAACACACAAGGTTTGGAGACCAACCCTTTCAGTGAAGCTGAGATTGTACCTCGCTGCATCTATATAATTATTAGGCGGCTTTGCACGCTTCGAATTACACCTCATGGGCTGATCTTTGTACAGACTACGGAACTCACAAGGCTGCAAGTTGGTGGAGGCTTGGGGCCAGTCAACATCATTGTCTCGACCTTGATAGAAGCTGAAAATATCATCCCCTTACTACTGGAATACGAAGCAGCAGGTAGAGTAGTCAGCGTAGGTTCTGGTTCATTCGCACACTGTTGACCATTTCTAACTCACTCCAGCTCCTCTACAGCTTCCCCGTGACTCCAGCCGCTGCCGAGCGCCTCTCCCTAATCTCCAAAGCCCTCGGACCGAACGGACTTTCTCTTATGGTTGACCACCCCGACCAACTCCCCGCAATTCTCGCCATTCATTACAATACCTCCATCGTTCCTCAGATCTTCCTCAAAATTGATATGGGCGCGCGCCGGGCCGGGGTAGCTCCTCAGACAGAAGCTTGTTCCTCTCTGCTCAGCTCCCTTCTCTCCTTTGAATCGGCAGGCAAGGCGCATCTTCTCGGCCTCTATGCCCATGCAGGACAATCATACTACGGCTCCCGTCGATCGACCGCCCTAGACTTGCTGCGTCAAGAATTCGAGGCCCTGCTCGTAACTGCCTCGGCCGTCCACTCTGTGACTCCATCTAAACATCTGATTCTCTCTGTCGGCGCAACACCTACCACAACCTCCATCCGCAATTTGCTCATCGACCACGAAGATTCGGATGCCACTCCTACGGTAGAAGGGAAAGCAATAGCAGCTTTAAGAGCCACAATCGCTGCGATACGGGAGCAGAAGTGCGCGATCGAAGTCCATGCTGGCGTCTACCCAACGCTTGATATCCAGCAGCTATCTACACATGCTCTTCCCACCGAAGGACCGCACGCAATGCTCACCTGGAATGATCTCGCTCTTACTATAGTTGCTGAAGTAGCTTCTGTCTACCCCAGCCGTGGGAAGAACGGCACTCCGGAAGCCTTACTTGGAAGCGGAACTCTCGCCTTGGGCAGAGAACCATGCAAAGCCTACGAAGGCTGGGGAATCTTGACTCCCTGGAATCGCCCAGGAGTCGGCATGCCTAGCGCTGGACCAGAGAACCATGTTGGGTGGCATGTTGGAAGGATTAGTCAGGAACATGGGATCTTGGTTTGGAGTGGAGAGGGGAATCCTGAAGAATTGAGCGTAGGGCAGAAGGTTCGGGTTTGGCCGAATCATGCTTGCGTTGCTGGGGCTGGGTTTGGGTGGTATTTAATTGTGGATGAGACGAAGGTAGGAAGGGAGGATGAGATTATTGATGTTTGGCCCAGGTGGAGAGGGTGGTGAAGCTTCAAATAAGCGGCTTTGGTATTGAGTAATATTACGGTAATGGATCACGAAGAAACGACGAATAGCTAGAAATGCTTTAATGAATCAAATGGCGTTCTAGAACATACACTGGAATGGTATACCCATCCAAAGCAAAACACCAAACGCCACATTTCCCTTCCCCAATTTTTGTCGACTTTTCACCAGCTCAGTCTATGATAGCCACTCATTTACACCTCTTCTCCACCACACTTGCGCCAAACTCCTGATACTCAGCCTTCGAAATCCACATCTGATGAAACGTCCCCAGACTCCCCAAAATGCTCCCCCCAATCCAGCTGCCAAATCTTCTCTCGGCCGTAAGTCCCGCCGCTTGGATCTTAATCCTCGCACCAGGATACATAGCCATCAGCTCATTGTTCAGTCTGTCCGTAAACCCATTAACCAGCGTCGTGCCTCCCGTAACTACAATATTCTGCAGCAAATGTGCACGCAGATCCATATCCACGGCGCTGATACTCGCCTTCACCATCTCCGGAATCGTCATCTTCGTGCCCGGCTGCTCATTGGGGACAGGGAGGGCGGCTTTCTCGTCCCACATGCCTTCAGCGACTGTTAAGCGCTCAACGCCCCACATTTGGTTCGCGCCATCTGGGAACTCGAAAACGCGGCCAGGCTGCGAGCGCGCATAGTCGAGGTTATTGCTGCCGGTGGCGTTCATGCTGTTTAGTCTGCCTGGCCCGGACCAGACTTGGACAACTGATTCTTTGAACTCAGTCAGAACACGCTCTTCTTCCAATGCTCTGAAGCTTTCCGAAGGCTCCTTCTCGTATTTTCGGTAGATGGCTTGGGCGGGAGCTCCTGCGTCGACAGGTGTCTTGGATGCAATCATGTAGTGTGGGATAAGCTCAACCTTTGGATCTTGTGATGCAAACAGGGAGCGCAGTTGTGACGACAGCCAGTTCCCACCGAGATTCGATCGCTGGACTGATTTCTTGAGGATCAAGCCATCGTGGATACCGATCACTGACGCAGTTGAAGCACCAACATCAACTACAAGAGCAGTAGCCTTGCCAGACCCAAACGCAGCCATGACACAGTTCCTTGCGAGCCAGAAGGCAGGACATCCCCAGCTCTCCATAGCAATCTCAATGCTCCTCTCCCTGTTCTTCACACTATTCCATGCCGTCTCTGTCATCAGCAGCGGATGCTCCTCAAGCGCCTTCTCCCCCTCCTCCACGGCCTCCATCTCCATCTCCAGATCCTTGTTATCATCATTCAACCCATTGTGCCTTGGATCCGCCTGCTTGAAGCTCGTCAATCGCGAAGTGATCGCGTATTCCCACAATGAGGTAGCAGTGTCCCAGTCCTCGACGATTCCTTCCTTGGACATGGGGTTGCGGATCTCGAGGTTCGCCTGGGGGTTGTGGATTGCGTTGTCGCCGAAGATGAGGCGTCCGTCGGGCGTTGCGCCGTAGTGGGAGTTGACGAAGGACTTTGGGGCATCTTCTCCTGCGAAGCCGGCGCGCACGCTAGAGTAACCTGGGTCCAGGACGATTGCTGAGACTTCATCTGCGAGGGGTTAGGGTTGAGCGAGGAGGGGGTTGAGAGCTTCGTACCTCCGCCGTAGACGTCCGTCGGCTGCATTGAGGAGTTCAATGTTTGAGCCGCCATGATTAACGCGTCCTGGGGTGATTACAGGAAGTGCTTGAGAAAGGCGGCGGAGAGATGTCAATTGTCGCGTAGGGAGGCTAGAAATTCGAGATGTGGTTCAGCGTTCGTGGCAGGCCAAAGGCGGTGAAGTTTTCTGCCGCGAGCTCCGCTTCCCAATAAGTGTTTTCACAACTCTCTCTCCGTCTACCTCAGTTCATCTCACTTTTACTAAGGTGTATTCCCCCCCCCTAAGTTTTATCACACATGAACTATTGTGTTTAAAGAGGAATGGTTTTCCTATTCTTTTGCCCCTGTCATTTCTTCACGATGCGGCATTTGAAACCGAGATTTTAGAAATAAGGAAATCAAAGCTGGTATTTTCCTTCCAAAATGCTTCTCCAGCCATCTGTCATTTGGAGGTTGCCATTTTAATATGGAGCTTCCACCGAGTTTTGGGGCAGCATTACAGCACCTGCGACGCCGGGACCGACTGTCTTGTGCCTTGCCAAGTTTGTGCTTGTCAGCCTCCTTAATACAACGCAGAGACCACTTCCAAGTTCCCTTCACTTCATTTTAGAATTTTTGGTTTGGATGTGTGGGATATACACCCGTCGTAACTTCCATCCAATAAGCTTGTCCAGTCAGCTCGAGTCTCACCCCAAATCACACCCAGAAACGATGGCCGGCGAGATGACAAAGAAGGAACTCGGAGCTGGTTTTATTCCAACCACAATTACTTTGTGTATCTTGGTGCCCTTTTTCTGAAGTGTCAGCCCTTCCCCCGTGAGAATAATAAGCTAGTTTTATGGCGGCAGAGGTAGGACACCCAGCGGCGCCTCAGTCAGTCATATATAACCTTCACACTTGTCATGCCAGAAAATGTTTCTTTTCTCTTCATCATTCCCTCACGATTTTCTCTCCCGCTAAAAAAATGGCTTCTCTCCAAGCAGACCCGTTGCAAAGTCCCTCGTCCCGTTCTTCGCAAGAAATTCAAGCAGAGAGTCATACCCAAGAGAAGTCTATCACAGTCACGGGGAGCTCTGAGAATGCTACCCAGTCACCAAAGGAAGGCCCACAAGACATTTCCGAGGACGAAACCATCACCGCCAAACATGACCTCAGCTTCTACATGATCATGTTCTCGCTCGCCGTCGTCGTGTTTTTCTCTGCCATGGACGCAACCATTATCGTCGCCGCCTTCCCTACTATCTCACACGAACTACATGGTGGTGATAAGTACGCCTGGATAGCCAACTGCTTCGTCCTTGCCTCAACGACTGTCCAGCCGCTCATCGGTCAGCTGGCAAACATCTTCGGGCGTCGCAATCCCATGTTGATCTCCGTCTCCCTTTTCGCCTTGGGCTCCGGCATCGCTGGTGGAGCCACGAATATCGCGATGCTGATTGCAGGACGCACCTTAATGGGTATAGGCTCCGGCGGCATTATGGTGCTCACGGAGCTCATCATTTGTGATTTGGTATCGTTGAGAGAAAGGGGGAAATACCTTGGTCTGATATTGGGTGGCAGTGGTCTCGGTGTCCCTCTTGGACCGGTCATCGGAGGTGCATTGGCGCAGGCAAACTGGCGTTGGGTGTTCTACATCAATCTACCTGTGTGTGCCGTGACACTGGCCCTTCTCGTCGTCTTCCTCCGACTGAGGCACACTCCAGAAGCATCCTGGAAATTGGCGTTCGCACGAATTGATTACTTCGGAAGCTTCCTTTTCATCTCATCAATAACCTCTATTCTCCTCGGCCTGATATTGGGCGGCACCGTCTTTCCCTGGTCATCGTGGCGAGTAGTACTTCCACTCGTTCTGGGGGTTGCAGGCTGGGCACTCTTTCACGTCTTCGAATACTCCTCCTGGTGCAAAGAACCTATCATCCCACCACACATCTTCGGCAACAGCACCACCTCCACAGCCCTTATCCTCAACTTCATTTCTGGCATGCTGTTGGAATGGACAACTTTCTTTCTCCCTGTCTACTTCATGGGCGTCCTGACCACCTCACCACTGAAAGCAGGCGTCGATATCCTCCCATTCACGCTCTTCGTGGTGCCCTGCTCTGTGGTCTCCGGTGCACTCATCACGATATATGGCACCTATCGCCCTATTCATTGGACCGGTTTCGCCATCGGTGCCATCGCCTACGGTCTTCTATCGGTTCTGATGAGCATTCAAGTAAAGCGGCATGGATATGTTTCCAGCTCCTAGTCGCAGGGAGCATAGGGCTGCACATGATGTCTACACTTCCCGCCGTTCTTGCACCCCTCCCGGAATCGGACGTCGCGGCTGCGCTGGGCACATTCGCCTTCCTCCGTGTCTTTGGCTGGGTGTGGGGTATCTCGATTCCGTCTATCGTGTTTAATGGGCAGTTCAACAAAAATCTCTCCCAGATTGACAATGAAGCTCTTCGAGCCACATTAGTAAATGGCGCTAGTTATGGATATGCGTCCCAAGGTTTCTTGTTGAGTTTAACCAAGAAGGAGAGGGAGCAGACTGTGAAGGTTTATGCTCAGGCGATGAAGACTGTTTGGCAGGTTGCAGCTACTTTCTCTGCGGTAGCGTTCTTTATGGTCTTCTTGGAGAAGCATGTTGTGTTGAGGACGGAGTTGAATACGGCATTTGGGATTGAGCAGAAGAAGAAAGGGGGGGGGGTCTTGAAGGGAAGGAGGTGGGGGTTGGGGAGAAAAAGAAGAATGAGGATGCCGTGGAGAGTAGCCGGTGTAGGGTTCAGGAAAAGGAGTAGCGCGGTATTTAATCATGATGGATGATGATGAATTGAGGGGATAGGGACGCTGCGCCTGGTCACGGCAATGGAAGAGATATATCGACTGCTGAGGGGCAAGTTGGGTGGTACGTATTATGAGGATCCGATAACGTATCCTGGGTTTGCAGGATTGGGTCTGGGGAAGGTCGAAGGGTGATGTACAGCGTATTGATCGATAAATTGAAACATCTACCAAAATTCAGACTTGTGAGCAAGGACGCTTCCCTATTCTCAAGTTCCACCAACACCACAACTTCTCTAAATCTCGGTGACTCTTCAGTGTTATCTTGCCCTTTTATTCCAAACTCTGTCTTTTGGCTTTCTTAGAAGTTTCTCTAAAACGCCATCAAGCTCCCCTAATCTATTTAAATGTCTTCCCAATCACTATTGCCATCACCCTCACTCTTTTAATACCTGTTTTTTCTCCGATCAGAATGGTGCGATGTCTCCTCCAGGCTGTTTCGTGCGTCAACCCTAGAATGGTTAGGGGACAGCCACGACAAGATAGGGGTAAGCGTGGTTTATCCATGGTCAGATCAGAAAAGGTCATCTCCAGAAAGCATTGTATTCAGCTAATGGCGCATCCTAATTGCCATTTTATCACAGATAAAGGCAACGCAACACTGAATACCGCTCAATTTCTGATCAAGATGTACAGTCCTAGCTATGGTGCTGCTTTGCTACATGTCTGCCTTGTTCTTCTGATACCGAGGACGGAGCCATGGCCGAGATCTGCCGCGGGAAATATGGTTTTGAAGATCGTTTTCCTGAATTCGTTGATATATTTTGTTGAGGCTGAGGTATAATGTCTGGATCACAGTGCTGTGTGATTCGTGGGTATCTTTGAAAGAAGGGGGTGGATGCAAGTGGCAGTGCGTGAGATGTGGTAGTTGGTGGACGATGACAGGTGTGTCTGTCCTGATGGATGGGAGACGGGCATAGCAATGGAACTTGTGCTCTCTTCCAAACATGCCGGAATTGTTAGCTGGTGTCCAATAGATATTTATTTCATTGCAACTCGAAGTCCTCCAGCTTCAGCTCCTCTCTTTCTAGCATCCCCATCGCCTCGCCATACATGTATCCATCGACGTATGCTTCACCGAGATTGATATAGTGATCTTCGACTTTTCGAAGGATCACAGGGTGGCAACACCCTAGTGGAATGCATATAATATCGCCCTCTATCACTTCTTGGGACGCGAGACCCATTGCTTTCGATGAGCTAATGAAAAAGCGGCGATCCCAGATCCTTATTAAAATAAGATCTATCCAGGGTCGCATAACACTCATAGCATCCGCTTCCACGACATCCTCTGTAATAGCCGCGTTGTCTTTCTTCTCCAGAGCTAAATAGGATTTCCAGTAGCTAAGGAGAATAGACGTCTCAGGTTTGGCCAGATTCGAACCCGACACAAGCAAAGAAAGATAACCCAAAATTCCCAAGAGAAACTCGGACTTAGTTCTAAGTCCAAGGTTCCTTTTCTCTACCCTATTGATAATCAGAACCCGAATAAAGGCTTCATGATCTGCACTTGATGTTTTGTCCATTCTGGCAATAAGCTCCCACAATTTGAGGAGTGCTCTGGTGCCATGGAATATGTCCCAGTAATTGACCATTCCGCTCCGTGCACCAAGAAGTTCAATATAGCCAATATTAACTCCTTTAAAGATCATCCCGTCCCCAATAAAGCGAGCAACTGCTTTAGTTTGACCCGCAGAACAATACCAGAACTCTGGTCGAATAACATTATGGAGAAAAAAATGCGAAGGAGACCTGGCAGCCATCGACCAATCTGGAACCCATGACGGCAAATTATATAAATTTCGGCCAGGAACAAGCCGAGTAATAATATCCAGCTTCCTAGAAGTCTCGATTTCCAGTTGGGCGAAATTAGTAAACACGACCTTTGGTGATAAATTATAGTCGACCACAACTTTATAGTTACTAGTCTCATTTGCCAGTGCTGCCAGTCCATAAATCATGTCTCTCGGATCCGATGCCTGTCTCTTAAAGTGGTGAAGTAAATAGTTATAGAAACTCGGTCGGATAGAGACTAGCTCCTGCTTCCAGTAGGACATTGCTTGTATTCCGCCATCGAGAAGGCGGGATCTAGCGTACGCGTTCCCTGGTAAAACATCGCATAGCAAGTCTCTAGAAAACCCATCGAGTTCTAACATTCGACGGAAGAGTTGTTGGACAGTATATAAATGCTTTGCTTTTAACGAATTTCCGCCGCAATAGAAGACGATCCTTTTCGCAACCGTGAGCTCCTGGACAATCCAGATCCTTCCCCAGTAATCGCGACTAAGAACATTCCAGAGACTCAATAACTTCTCTCTTATATCAGGTTTCGAAAAACGTTTAGTGATCCATCTTGTCGAGTTGCGGTGTTGGTAGAGCTCCCGCACAAGCTGGATTGCTAGGTCGCTATCCTGATAGCTTGGCCCAAGCCAGACGATAACTTCAGTCGCTTTCTCATAAATCGTCTTCATCTTGGCAACCTGGTGGTTTCTCTCTCTACCAATCGACTGATTAATACAGATAGCATCAATCCATACGACCAGCTCGGCATAATCGGATTGGAATCGGTTCAAAGCGTGCCAAAGATTATCCCTCACTTCAAACTGAAATCCGTTAAGGTATATCGTGTGCTTGGGATCGGACTCGCTCCCCCAGGTGTATGACAGTGCTTTATATGACGGATATTGATCGAGGTCTTCGTGAAACAGTTCGCAGTAGAGCTCGCTCGAGTTATCTCCGTGAGCCTTTCGTGACTTCGCATTCCTTGGCAGAATACGAAGGAGGCGAATATGATTCCCATCATGATTAAGTTCTCGGTATGTGAAAACTCGTGCTTCCGCTCCAGCGGGGCTTTGATTGTGAACATGATGGGCGACTTGTGTGCGCGGATTGCGGCTTCGCAGGCACTTCACTAACTTGCTCATAATGAGAGATCAAATTTCCAAAGTGCGGAGGCTGCCAAGCTCGATTGAAAGGCTGTGAGTTCCAAAGTATGCAGAGCTCCGACCTCGATTGAAACGCTTGCGATCTGAAGTTGATGTGACGAGAAATCCCGTGTAGGCAATTCCCCTGCGTCCGCTGTAGCCCGCTGCATGGCTTACGAGTTACTCCGCCTCCGCCACAAACACCATTGCAGCCCATTCTCCCTTCCTACCAATCACAAAGTTACCCCGCTCTTCTAGCCACAAACTCTAACTACCATCGTAAGAGACGGTCGTACCAAAGGCCCACTTATTCCTATCGGAACACCAAAAATTTGTGATTTTTTCAAAGTGCTTAGAAAATTCTAAAAACTCCCAGAGTTATTATAGTGGAGTCCCTGATCATGATTATTGACTTTATTTCCTCGATTTGTTGCGTTAGGGCGAAATCGCGCTTTGGGCCGTTGAGGGATGTGAGCCTTTGTCAGGTGAACCCGTTTACGAGTTAGCTATGTCTCAGGCAGCAGACATATCGGTGAGACAACACATCACTACGAGCAAAAAAATATTTCCAAATCACTTTTACGTTGATGTAGGCACATAAAAATGCCGTTTCAGAGTCAATTCTCGCTGTCCCTTGAGCTCACAAAGCTCATACCTATGGGTTCAGCGGCCGCTGGGAAAACGTACGAGGCTGCGATGAGCCTTGCAAGAGATCTTCAGGTAAGGCTCAACTTTTATATTTCCAAGTTTTCTTTGATCAAACTCTATTGCGTCAATGAGATGGAGATTTGTCATTTCTCTAACATTTTCAGAGTTCTGGATCAGATATCGTCGTCGAAGAAGATCTTGCCGAGCTTTTTGGGCAATCACGTATTACCAGGCAAATGGCTTCAACTTTTCGCACCGTCGTCTCAAAAGCAAAGCCCCCACAAAAACTTTGTGAAGGAATAGCCTTGTGTGATGGTCCAGGACCGACTGTTATCCGAGCTCTTACACAAGACACGTATTTCTCAATGGTGTTACAATGTTCGTTGAAATCTTATTAATCCTTCATGGGTGCAGAAGGATAAATATTATTCCAATGATTACTACTCATTCTACTTCAACATCTTTCTTTTGGAATTTCAATTATTCTGACACTTTTAGGTTCGTTTCTGCTCTGTGTTCATGAGAAAAGCTCGCTTGCTGCAGCCATCGCGTATCATTTCGAGAAACAAGCTCAACATGTTCCAGAAGGACGAGCTGTAAGACCGACTCCAAGCCGAGACGGTATTCGAGGCTTTTTACAAGCATGTGAAGATCAGACTTCATCTTTCAACTGGCAAAACGTTCTTCTGGCTGTTGGTGCAACACTTGGAATCTCTGGAAAGGCCATGTACGTTATGCCCCGTGTCACACTCTTTACGCAAGCATCCCACGACTCTTCGCCCTAAGAACAAGTACGAAAATAACGTCTAAAATTAGATTAGAAGCAATGCCTTCTGTAATATTCAGAGGCTTACTCAGTATGCTACCCCTAGTCCAGCATTTCCCCGAGGAACGCCTCATACACTTAGAGACGGACCGTGGCGTTTGCAGCATCATCACATGGGCACATCATATTCTAGGCTTACCAATCTTGGTGAGATTACACGATAGCGGAGAAATTGTGGAGTACCACTTTGGTTCGTCTGAAGTTATCATTATCGATGTTCGCAGTAAGGTCCAGGAAAGCTTCTTACCATCGGGTGAACCTACTATGAGGCGCAGCCTTCCAACGATCACTCTTCTTGAAAGTTCAGGTAAGGAAAGATTATTTACGATGGTAGAAGAGCCCGACGAAGATGTAATTGATGCTACTTTTAAGACCCCTGCATGCGGGTATGGAAGTAAAATCTTCAACGCAGAGGTCTCGCTAGAGGACGGCAAAGAAAAGGTGATTACAGAGATGGCACATATAGCAACGGCATTTGCTATCTGCATATCAAAGGTACTTAGTGTTTCAAGCAATGACGCTCCCTCTACTGCTTCCGCCGCAGTAAGTCCTTTGTCGGACACTGTCTCTGAGGGTGTTGATATTGAAGATCGAAGTGTACGGGATGAAGCATGCTCCCTCTTGCCGTACGAAGTTTCCAAAACTCGTATTTACGAGGCAGCCACCTTACTCTTCGGTGACTTGAAACTCATGCGGAAGAAAGTAGACCAATACGTGGTTAAGTACTCTGAGCGACCTGTGTCTGAGCTTCCAATACCTGAAGTAATCTCGGCGATGATTCAAGGCTGGCCGGAAAGAGGCGCCCGTATGCCATCAGAGGCTGCAGGTTCTGCAACAGAATGGCCGAGGTTTCGCCAAATTGCAATGCAGCTTAGCACCTTGATCCTCGCGTTTGCACACGTTACCGATCTCCACGCGGCTTCCGGCTTGCCTCTGTGTCAGTTTCCTCACCTACTATCTGGCACTGATCTATTGAAGCAAATAGCGACGTGGGATGGGTCTAAGCCACTTCAGATCAAAAGTGACGTTTGGTTTGAAGTAATAGTACAACTCACCATCGGCCATACAACGGAAACCTCTTTCGAGACGACCAGTTTAATAAGTGCACGCGGATGGAGTATTTTCTTGAATACCTTTGGCGATGCTGATCCGAGTTATATAGGTATTGGGAACCAAATTTCTTGGCAGAGTCATGTTTTATATCCCTTGTTTGCTGACATTTCTCAGATCCAGGGTTCCTTGCCATCAAAAAAGGAGTCCCGTGCCGAAACGGTGTCTGGAAACATCGAGTGATCGATGGCCCTAATCAGGTCCGCGACCATTTGATTTGGAAACTAGAGGCAAGCCCCGGAGAATCCGTTGCACTCTCCTGTGCTGCAACCGTTACTTGCGGAACCCCTCTTGTAGGCGAGCGCGAGGACAACTTTGTTGTCAGTATTAGAGTACAGACCGTGGATGGCGGTGTCTCTGATAGTTCAAGTACTCCAAACATCATTCGGCGAACTGGCTACAACGAGCTTGCAAAAGCTCTTTGGAGAACTCAGAGATCCAAGCCTTGCCAGCATCACCCACGACTTGGTGAGAAGGTTGTTCTCGAACCGGGAGTTATAGCTGTGTCTGGATTCGGGGATTGCAAAGATATGAAGGATCTTGGAGGATCAGACATAATAATTTGCTTGACTGCTTGCGATCCTACCGCCCGATGGCGGGCTCTGCTTTCAATGGCTTGTCAAAGCACAGCTGAAGGATGTGGATATCCACCGGTCATGCTCCGGGGAAGAGATTGCTGCTTTTCATGTGTGATTCAGCAGACTTGGCAGAAGGGTGCACCAGGCGATACCTGGTGCATCGTCCTGTAACTCTAGAAAAGTAGCAAGATATTCATTTTCACGCTCTTTGAATCTTATCTATCGAAATTCAAGATCGCTTTGATGTTTTGCATGGGTTTTAATGGCAATAAATTCTTTGTTCGGTTCGTATAAGTTCTGCACCATTTCTAATTTATTTTCTAGGTTGCAGTAAGTTATCCCAGATATCTCTCTAGACTTTTTCCATAACAATAAATTATAACAAATCAAGGCGGTTTATTTTGGCTCAACTATATTTTAATAAGAAAATTAAAGTTAATATTCGATTCTAGAGGAACTTAAATTCGTTCAGTTAGATAAGATAAAGTTATATATTTCTTATAAATAATTTCCTTTATTTATATTAAAAATATTACTTAAAAAAGCCTTTTACTTATATAATATATTTTTTAATAAATAAGAGAAATAAACTTATTTTACTAATAGCTTATAATTCCTTAAAAAATTATAAAATATTTTTAAGACTAGTTAAGTTTTATTATATAATAAATATAAAAAATAAGCTATTTAAATAAACTTATACTTATATGTTAATTAATATAATAGTAATTAAAGAAATAAAAGAATATTAGTAATAGTAAATTCAAGGATTTTAATGAAATATAATTAAAAGAAATTACTTAAGTAAAGAATTACTTTTTTAATTAATTATAATATATATAAAGAAATAAACTCGCTATTACTTAAATTAATTTCCTTATATATTAATATAGTTATAAAAAGCTTTTATTTAATTAGTTAAAATTATAAAGCCTTTTTATTATTAAATATTCGAATTAAATTAAATTATTTAAAAAAGAACTTTAATAAAATAAAATAATATTACTAGTTTTATTAAATAATACTCGCTTTTATAAAGGGCTTATTAAAGTAAATGTAATATAACAAAATTAAGAATTAAAAAGGCGAAGTATAAAATAAATAAAAGTATAATTGAGGATTTTAATTTTAATTTTAAAAAAGAAAGAGTAATTAAATAAAAGAATTTAAAAAAATTAATTCCTATTTAAGTTATTATTATAATTTAAATCGAGTAAAGTAATTATAATAATTAAATAAGTTAATATATTTATTAAAAAAGTTAATAGCTATAAAAAAAATATAATATAAGAAAATAATATAATTATAATTAAGGCGAGATATATAAGTTATTATAAAAAAATAAAAAATAAATCAAGTTCTTAAGTATTATAATAGCAGAATTAAAGTAATAATTAAAGACTTAAAGTTTTAAGTGTTACGCTCTGCCGCTCCACTAGTAAATTTAGCATTACGTAATCATGCGATAACGCATACGGCTGGCTAGTATTTAGAATACCAAAGCTCCTGTATATACGAGCTTCCTTCCTTAGTTTAGAATCCTCGGATTAAGAGCCACTCTACTTTGCTTTCCAAGCCCAGAGCCCGGTATCGTGATATTAAGAATCTTATATATTAAAAATACTAAGCTAAAGAGAAGAAAAAGTAAGAAATAAAAGAAGAGAAATACTAATTAAAATTACTAAAATACTAGCTAGCTAAATAAAACTAGTTATATAATAGCTACTTTATATAACTCTAGTTAGTACTATTATAAATATAAAGAAAATAAAAGAATTATTAATATAAAATAAAATATAATTTATATAAATAATATTAAAAAATAATATTATATTAAAAGAAATAAATTAAGGCCTAAAAAAGCAAATATTATATTTAATTTAATTTTACTAAACTTAAATAAATTAAATCTTAAAAGCCTATATTTTATTAATTATTTTATAAAATACTAATATTTAATTATATAAAAAACTATATAATTAAATAATTAAATATTTTTAATTTAATAATCTTTTATAATAAGAGGCTTTTTATTATATTAATAAATTATATAAATACTTTTAATACTTAAATTATAATAAGGAAATATAAATTTATGAATTTATTACTAGTTTTATATATAATATATATATATATTAATTCTTTAAAAATAAAATATTTTTAATTAAATTAAATTATATAAAATAATAAATATATTCTCTTTTATATTATTTTATATTCGGATTACTTCAAATAATTAGCTCTCGGAATTTCTTAAAAAAAACTAGTTATATAAGAAATACTAGAATTTCTTTTTTTAAAAAATTATATATTAGAATATAATTATATTTAAATTCTTAAAACTAAGTTTAGAATTATAAAAAAGAAACTTAAATGCCTTTTTTTATATTTTAATAGTTTTGAGATATAAAAGGCTTTTATTATAATTTTTTAAAGCTTAGGAAAAAATCTAAAGCTAGTAGCTTTATAGAAAGTACTAAGAAAAAAAAACCTGGCTTTATATATTTTTTTCTTTTTCTTTTTATTATTATTATAGATTCTTTCTGCTTTTATATTTCTTATAAGTAAAACCGGCCTGCTTCTAATTTTATTATAAAATAAGCTAAACTATATAAAACTTGCTATTATTATTAAATTTATATTTCCTTTCTTTTTCTGGTTTAATTAATTAATTAATAGGCCCAAAATATTACTAATTATATTTAGTAATATTTTATTTTATAAAAACTCAATTCAAATATTCTTTTTATTTCCTAATAATAATAATAATAATAATAATAAATAAATATTTCTATAAACGAATTAGCCCTATAGTATTAGTAACGGATTTATTAATTATTTATTATAATTCTAGTAAATATATTAAAAGATCTTTTTATAAATTTATTTATTATATAGCCTTTTAGCTTTTTTTTATATTTTCGGCTAGTTCTTATATATATAACTGGTTTATTTATAGATTATTATATAGCTTATAAAGTCTTTTATTTTAGTTATATAAATAATTATTTTAAGTCTTATTATAAAAAGAATAATATAATACTTCTTTTAATTTATAAGCCTTTTTTATATTTCTTTTACTTTTTTATAAATAATAATTAATTTTATTAGGCCTTTTAGGCAAATATTTAAATATTTAAATATATAATTATATTTTTACTTTTATATTAATTAAATATAAAAAGAATATATAAATTAATTTTTTATAGGATCTAATACTTTTAAATTTATAATAAGCTCTTTTATTTATAAAATCTATTATAGCCTGCTTTATATATTAAATTCTCTTTTATATAGCTTTTTTTATAATCTATTTTTTATAATTAATATATAGGCTATTAATTTCTTTTATTTAAATTATATAGTTTTTTTATAGCTTATAAATATATTTACAAATTATTATTTATTTATTATAATCTATAAAATAGCCTGCAAATATTTTATAAGCTAGTAAATCGATTTCCGGATTTTATTTTATTTATAAATATATTTAATTTTCGAATTAAATACTAATTATTATTATAAGAATTTTCTAATAAATAATCAGATTATAGCTTTTATTTCAGATAAATATATAAATATAAGCTATTATAATATAATATTTATAATTTATAAAACAGGATATAAATATATATAATATATATATTACTTTATTATATATATTTTTTTATTATATATATTTTTTTATTATATATATTTTTTTATTATATATATTTTTTTATTATATATATTTTTTTATTATATATATTTTTTTATATAATAATTCGAACTAGTATTATAATTTATAATTATAAAACTATAATAGAACTTATTTATAAATATAACTAAAATAGTAGGTTTTTTATTAGTATTATTTCTATATTTATTATTAATATAGCTATTTCTTTAGAAGTTATATATATAGTTACGGGATATGAAATATAAGATATAAGTAATAGGATATAAATAATAAGATATAAGATATAAGATATAATTATATAATCTCGTATTCTATTAGTAACTTGACTAGTAAACTAGACTCCTTTAGGCTTAATAGATTTAGGAATTATATATTAATACTATAATATTATAATTCTTATTTCTAAATAATAATTTTACTAACCTTATATAAATAGTACTTTTATATCTATATAATAATATTATATATTATTAGTAAACTAATAGTAATTAGTTAGTATTTATAAATTAGGAAGAATTAAGCTATACTTATCTAAAATTTGGTTATTTAGGAATAAAGCCATTATTTTAGTTAAAGAAAGAATAACTATTAATCCTATTACTTATAATTTAGTTATATAAATAGGAAAAATACTTAATCTTACTAAGGCCTAATTATACTATATTAAAAAAAGAAATATCTATTAGTTCTATTACCTATAATTCGGTTATATAGGCAGGAAAAATACTTAATCTTACTAAATACTAAAACAATTAGCTATTTAACTATTCTATTCTATTTCTATTTAATTCCTATAAAACCCTTTTAAAAACTACTTTCTTTTAAATTTCTAGGGCTCTTAAGTTTTAGAACTATTAAGTTTTCTCGGAATCTCAATATTTTACTTCTTAAATTTCACTTCCTAAATTTCTTATTATAAACGAAATTTTTACCTTAAATATAATACCTATTATAAACTACTTATCTTATAAATTACTTTTCTTTTTATGAATCTATTCTTCTTATAAACTATTATATCTCGAACTAGATATAAGCCTATAGAATATATAATAGTAAAATATACTATAGTAAATAATTTCTTTATTAAATCTATCTAATTCGATTATTCTATAAATAATAATAATTTCAAGGAATTAGTAAGAAAATAGAAATATGAGATTAATCTAAATTTTACTAAGGCAGATAAAATAACTAAGTTCTTAGATACTAAACTATTTTAATATATTTTCTATAAAATAATTAATAATAATCTTTAGGAACTATTTAGATATAACTTTAAAAACTTTACTTATTAAGGGAACTTTAATAAATTCGAACTTCCGGAGATATTATATCTATATAAAATTCTTTAGTATAGTAATATATTTATATAATAGAATAATAGTACTAATATTATTATAGATATTCTATATATTATTATAAAAGAAAATAAATAGTATATATAATTAAATAAGGATATATTAGTAGCTAGACTAGACCTTATTAAGGAACTAATTTTATTAGGCTTTATTACTTTTATAAAAAACAAGTACCTAGAATCTATTATTACTTTTTATTTTATTTTCTTTACTATTATATCTTATATTTTTACTAGATTTATATACT